CACATACTCTCTCTCACTCTCACTCTCTTCATTATCACTAATTTCACCCTTTTGCCCTTGAATCTCACCCTTTTCACCCTTTTCACTCTCTTCACCCTCTTCTAAAGATCGGATAAAAGCAAGCTCTGTCTCTTCTATCTCAAATTTGGTAGCACGACTATAGAGCATAAGATCTCTAATCGTACTAGCCTTCAGACAACCACGCCGATAGTGGCAGATATCACGTGCTGAGTTAAAAAGCCTTTCTACCCCAGCACCCGTAGCGGGGATAGAAAAGATATCACGTGCAATTTGCGCAAGAATTGGGTATTTGGTCTCATTTTCTTTCCAAAATTGTCGAGGATTCAGAAGGGTCATGCCTATAGACACAAATTATTAGCTTTTAGCCAAAAAGTGCTAAAAAGTGCTAAAAAGAAGCAAAAAAAGTAGTAAAAGTAGTAATAAGTGTAAATTACCTGATTGAAGATAGTGAGATAACTCATCTTGGACGAAAGGACTCTGCACTTCTGGGGTTAGTAAGCTTTCAAGCTCACTCTGCTGAAGTATGATAGAGGGTATACTAGTATGACTAGTAGATTCGCTTTGATAGTTTTTGATCCGATCTTTTAAGCTTATCTCATATTGACTAGCATAATCTTGATCTGACCAATCAGGGGTTTGAAAGAAGTGGAGCTTATGCTGAGGGGCAAGGATTGTCCCATGTGCATATAGGTTACCAAGCTCAGGGCTATCCGTCTGACTATAATAGTCAGAGAGCTTAGCCTTAGCTGCTTCTAGGGCTTGAAGCATATGCTGCTTCCATGGAATCTAAAGAGAAGATATCAGCTTTTTTGACTAAAAAGATCGGATGAATGAAAAAAAGACCGGATGAAACTTACCTTTTTCCGCTGCAGCTTCCGAATCGAAGCTTCCAGATGGGCAAACAGCTTATTGTAGATTTGGAAGACAGTATGGATAGTAATATCCTTTGTTTTGCACAGAACTGTGGTAAACTGGTAAAAAGGCTCTGTAATATACAGTAAATAGTCGATTTGCTGCCATTCGTCTGAAGAAAGCTTCATTTCAGTAAGCTCTGATATTAAGCAATACCGATCAAGCTCTGTCCGAACTCGCTTAGCTCGCTGTAGCATCAAAAAGGTCGAATTCCACCGATTCCGGACGTCTTGAAGTAGAAATAAGCGTACTTTCGTTGGATCTTGAAGCCCTAAGAACGTGTCTCGTCGTTGTGGGCTTGCGTTGATATAGATAGCTAAATTCCGAGCTTTTTGAAGAGTTTTAGCTATACCCTCTATACCCCTTTTGCTGCGGGAGAGATCTTCAGACCAAATAAGGTCAATTGTATCATTCTCAGGGCCTGCTTTCATCTGTCCAAGCAGCTGCTTTAGGCTTAGCTGAATCACGTGGGCCATACAAGGATTTCTGATAAATGAGCATGTAGGGTATTCAGCTTGGAGAGATGTGACTAAAGTATGATTATTTGACGCGTTATCAGCTGTAATAGCTATAATTCGGTCTGATAAATCATATGCTTCAATAGTAGTTTGCACTACTTTTGCAAGGTTTTCACCTGAATGGGTCCCTAATAGGGGCTCAAACCCTAAAAGCACTTCTCTATACTCCCATGATTCGTCAAGAAAATAGCCTGTTATGGCGATAAATGCTTGCTGAAAGGGGGAGGTCCAACAATCGAGGCTAAGCGAGAGCTTCGAAGTAGGGGGTAGGGTATCGAGGATAGCTCTTTGTTGTGAAATTGTCGCTTTTTCTAACCAGCATTGAATTGTCTGACCACAGGGGAAAGACAGGATAGAAGGTGCTGATTGGGTAAGCTGTAGAAGATTCTGGAAGTGTGGGCTTTCGATTAGGTGAAAAGGGAGGTTTAGACTAGTAAAAGTAGTCAAAAGCTGCTTTTTCCATAGATCGTCTGAGAAGGGTATGGTAGGATTGGTGGTTGGGGACCTTGGGGTCTATTATTAAATAGCTTATTAGCTTTTTTGTCTGAAAAAAAGATAGGGTGAAAAGATGGGATAAGAAGAAAAAAGATCTATTTACCGCTTTCTGCATAAGATGCTGAATGCTAGGGCGCTTTACCCTTATTAGGCAGCTCTGTAAATGCCGCCGGACTGTATTTGTACCAGTTGCCTTCCAATTAGGGTGCACAAGTAAGGTATTACAGTGAATACACATAACCTTAGGTTCTCCAGTCTGTAGGCTAGCAACTTGCTGTAGACTTACCCAAATCTCAGAAGATTGACGTTTTCGGTCCCATTTCATTGAATTGCTAGCTGGTTTAGTCCCATACTGGGTTTTCAGCCACCAATCAACGAAATTTCGACTTTCTACCTTTGTCCAGATAGCATATTCAAAAGTTTGAAGTTTAATAGTCCGAATTACTGGTGGGAGGGGTGGTGGTGGTAGTAGGGGGTATGGTAGCTGAACAGATGATATAGAATCAGATGGATCGATACCATCATAACTATCACTATAAAGTGATAATTGAGACATATGGGGTATATGTAAGGGGTAGGTAGGAGAGAAGAATAAGAGAATAATAAGAGAAGAGAGTAAAAGGGGTAAATTATACTAAGTGGGGCTAGTATTTGCTGAGAAAAATTGTCTAAGTCTAACAATTCGAACCTTTCATCCGAACTTTTATACTATTTCTAGCTATTTTTTATCAATTGAATAAAGAATATAGATAACAGGGGGTCTAATTCATTAGATTCTACTTTGAAATAGTTCAAAAACGCACTTTTGGGGTAAATTTAGTACTAAAGATGGTATGACCAGAAACATAGTGAGGGTATGCATGTACGAAATATATATCTTCATACCTTAGCAGGGTTATTAACCACTACTCTATAATATACCCTATACCCTTCCCTTATCTATTAAAAATAGCTGTTATACTAATAAAGATATATATTATCTATCCATCAACAGGGATATTTCATAAAAATACAATAGAGAAGATAGATAATAGGGTAGGTGGTATGTGTTTTGACGAAAACAGGGGTAAATAACAAAATTAATTTCGGATAAGTCATCAGATTATGCAAGAAAAATCAGGCAGAAACTAGCAAAATCAGGCCCCCACGGGCTTTTTTAGGCCCGTGGGCATGCCCGTCATGGACATGGACAAAGGCCCCCTGTCCATGGACAGGCCCGTGATAAAGTCTAAACTAGCGCCCAAACTAGTGATCTTCGCGGATAGCTAAGCTATAATCTAAGTAGTATAAAACCCTAAGCGACTATCTAGCCAGTTTATCCTCTTATTAATCTATATCTACGTCCGTACTATTATACCTACCCCACAGTCAATCACGATTCGGTAGGTCCCTATATATATAGGTATTAATAGTAATAAGCTAGCGGACGCCACAGCAAAGGAGGTAGCGCGCGGGAATATAGATATAGAAAGGGACAAGGATAAGGATACGGGGTCGGAGAATCATTCCTCTAGAGCTAGGATTAGGCTTCGGCAGGACCCAATTTTGGACCCAATCTTGGCAATGCCAAGGACCCAAGGACCCAATTAGGACCCAACTTTTTGCATAAATATGTATAAATCATCCAAAATAGGAAATTCTTGGCGTTTTTATGTATTTTTATGTAAAAAGTTGGGTCCTAGATTTAAAATTATTGGGTATTGGGTCCTAACCTTGGACCCAAATTGGGTAATGCCGAAGACTAATCCTCCTACAATATCCGTTATATATTGATTTAAGAAAGGCATTTATAGAAAAGGTTAAAAGGACAGACCTTTATAGTGAGAAATTAACAGATTACGAGGTAATCATATCTCACCCGCAGGCGATTCGCTATGTCGCCGAATTCATGCTATCAACTAGTCTTCTAGGGCAGTTCCGTCACTGCGACATTAAACCAGAGCCGGATAAAGAAACTGAACCAACAAACCACGAATAGCGTGGCACAGACAAGGAGGCGAAGACGCTATATATTACCGACCGCCAAACCAGAGCCACCCGAGCGGCCGAGGTATGGACAACAAGAGCATATACACAACATAACAATCGAGACGGAGTAAGAAAGAATGCTAATGCCGGTGAGCAATCAGGATACAAGAAGAGGACGCTGCGGGGTACAGGATCATTCTTTTAGGTTTCTATCGTTATAGCGGGCGTTTACTTAGCTTCATTTTCCTATTTAAGCGACGCATAGCTTCATTTCCTTTATATTCCGGGTTTACGGCGTTAGATTATTTTTACTTTGGTCGGACAGAGCGCCTACATTACCATTGCGATACTAGCTGGGTAGCATCAGGATAATAGAATATCATCATCATCATCATCATATAGAAAGCGGACTCATACCGACGGAACATTTTAAAGGTGAAGTCTAGAGGGGTAGCCGTACTTAGAGCAGCGCTAGGCCAAATAAGGTCCTTAAGCATTACTTCTGGCTCGTTCGGCCTATTCATGATAGGATAACTTATATAAGTACAGGAGAACATCGGTCTCGCTTCAATCAAAACCATCCATAACTGACTAACTACCTTAAAAGCATCTGCGAAGGTTATCTTAAATCTAATAACGCTTAGCTGAAACATGCTATGTAACCTTTATATGTGCAAATGTGACATTGGACCCTTGTTAAACCCTTACTGGACCCTTATTAGACCCTTAGGAAAATTCTTTACCTAACTGCTCGCTTAATAATATTCAAGTGTTCCTAAGTAGGAACGCCATACGTGGGCTGTAGATACTTTATTTTTATTCCGATTAGCTTAGGTCTCTTTTTAGCCCCCATTTTAGACTACTTCTTAGTTCTCTAGATAGCATCGAAATTTTCGCCTCTCCTCTTGACCATTAGCTGCGAGAAACTAGCCCCGGGGGCCGGTGGCCAAATTCAGTAAATTTCCCGAGAAAGGCGCCACCTAATTTCCGCTATCCTCGTACAGGCTAACTACAAGTAACCTATTCCCGCGATCGATCACAAGGCACGAATTTTCAAATTGCCCGAACTATACTAGCTCCTACATCATGCAGGGGAAAGCCGACGGGATAAATTATGGCGTTGGTCATCGAGGAGGGGCAACTCGACTAGCCGTTGGTATGAAGGAAAGGAAGAGAGAAAAGTTCTCCGACATTCCTATTGCTCATGCCGTCAAATTTATACTCGCGCAAAGAGCAATTCCAGTATCATACCTAGGTAGTTACTAGCCTACTCAATGGACAAAATGTTATTCTACTTCTTAAGAGTATATTTTATTCTACTTACGGCATGGACAACTTGCGTTACGGCCGACTTCACGCTATACTAAAATTATGATGCAGACGCCTTGATTGCTGGTCTCTCTCTAAGTAGTACATGTCTTACAGCACTACGAGTACCTCCCTTTAGTTTTTTATCGCTGATATATCTCATTCCTTTAACACCTTAACAGCAACACCACCGTCTCTTACTATAAGACTGCTATTAACCTCTTAGGGCACGGAGCAGATATTCACTATAAGTCTACTACGTCCAACCATATCATTATCTACGAAGGAAAAGGTGAAGCTAATTAGTACAGTCTAGACGACTTCTAAGGTAGAGAACCTCTGTACAGCTAACTACGTCTCGTCCCTCAGTTCCTGGAAGAGTTATGTTAAAACAGTCTATGCAGAAGAAACCACAATCCAGGGCAACATCGAGGTCAAGACAAGAGCACTACCACTAACATTTACCTACAATTCCAATTTTATATGCACACAAGACAGTTCATCAAATTAGTATTTTATACAATCTCAGTTATGGAAAGGAAGCGACTATATTCGCTAGGATCCAACAATATGCTTCACCGATAGTGATGACAATAGCACAGTCGCGCCTGAGTGTTCAGATCCGGATTTTGATGTTAGTGATATCAGTGATAAGATATCCGCTCTAACTAATATATATGACGAGGAACTAGTACGTCAACTCTCTCAGATATGCATTAGAGTCAAGTCCTTCGGCATTAGTGCTATTAATTAAGGCTACTCGCTAACTGAGTGCAGTTTTGCAATAAGTTTTTCTTAAATCTATATCGACAACGTCTCCTAGATCCTTAGCTACCAGTCACCAACTTCACGGATTATTTAATTAATCAGCTTGACTTTATTTAAACAAACTGCTCAACAACGTACCGTATACTACTTTAGCCTCCACCCTATCTATAGGGACGGCAACGGCTACTACTACCACCGGTATAACGACGACAGGTTCCTCCACAACGGCTACAGCAACCTGTCTAGGCCAAATGGTACAGCCGCTTCAAAACTGGCTTATCTACAATGATCTCAGCGATACGTATATTATCCTCTCGCCCTTCGCTAGGCTAGCTGATTTCTGATACGCAAATAGGTACAATATATCCACGGGTGACACTCGAGTTATCACTAGGGATTATACTTACCATTTTACCAAGGCCACCTGTTTTCCCCTTCTGTGCGAGCTCGATACAGTTTAGCATACACCAAATTAGTACGTATAGGGTAACGGTCGCCGTAATCTGTGCTAATACCTATAAAAATAGTAAAGAGCTTGCTGAGAGATATTCCAACTCGACTTACACTATGAGCACAAGTCAACTGCTTAGTTAGCACTCCAATATCCAGGGCAGTTATTCAGGAATTGCACCAGGGCAGCGTATATATAAAAGGTATATCTTAAATCAAAGGCAACATAAAGGCACTTACAATATCCAGTGATGCTAACCAGACTCGGCCAAAAAAAAGTGCCCCTAGAGGCACGTATCCTAAACCAAATGCAACTATCACAGCACCTAGCGCGACCGGTCAAGCTACTTACTACATAGTAGCCACTACGGCCTACCCGACCCAAAGTAGAACCATCGAGGAGTGCGGCAACTACTATCTCGTTGTAGCTAGTGACGACTGCTCTACCATTAACCTACGCTTCGGTCTGAACTTTAGCCAGTTACAAAAGTATAACACATACCTCAAATCCACCTGCGGAAACCTATGGCTTAATTATGACATTTGCGTCGCCCCTGTCACTCCTAAGACAGTATCAACCGACGGTACGTGTCCTGCTGGGGTAACCTATGTTAGAAGTGCCTTTAGCGACTGCTACTCGCCATTCGGCTACTATGGAACCGGGTCAGATTACTGTGTCAGCACGACCAACGGCACAGCGACGTCGGACGGCACTTGTGGACCCGATTATGGGGGCACTACTTGCATTCCCCAGTTTGGGAACTTTTGCAGTATCTACGTAAGTAATACAATATCCACTCATGAGCGTCTCTATTTTTCATTACAGTCACTGATGATGGACAACAGGGCTACTGCGGCAATAGCACAACCTATTATGGTGCAGGCAACTGCTATTCTAGCGATTATGCCACTAATAATGGTGGCCCGTCCACAAATAGAGAATATGGCCCGAATTTCGCCGGAAACAAGACCTACACTGGTACCCAGTTCGGGACGTGCTGCTCCATCTCTAGCTATTATAGAAGCACTAGTGACTATTATTCTAGGTTAAACTACTATAGTGGTACTTATACGTAGTAGTTTTACCTTAACTAGGAAAAAAGAGGGTCTTGATATATATACCCTTTTCAAGCACTTGAGTAGACATTCCAACCACTTTAAATATTCGAGACTACCTCCACCCGAGCACTCATAAATGCATCTGCTGTTTCCATACACTAATGCTCCAAAAGAAAAACCGGCTAATGCTGTGTGCTAAGCAAATATATAAATACTCGGAATTACGTACCAAAATCGTCCAGTGGTTTCACCGGACATTACTATGTACTTTCAATTGACAAATATTTCTGAGGTTCTAGATATCCAGTCAGTCAGTACCTCTAGTGTCTTTGTTCCCTGAAGGTTACCCTTCAGCTTCCGCACTGGACCGCCATTTATGCATCGCAGTAATCGCCTCCCCTAGACGAGAAAGAGTGGAAACACCAAGCACAACATCATGGGAACTACCATCCTTCATAATGGTAGATGACTTTTTCTCACTGAGCTCTTTAAGCCTTGACAGCCAGAAATCCCATTTTTGCACACTGCATAGGGAAACCTCCTCGCACAACGGCCCAGGCGTGATGGATTTTAACTCCTCCTTATTTAGCTCTTCGTCGGCTCTTGCCAATCTAAATCAGATATAGCCCCCAGGAGTGCGCTACAGCTACATGCTGAGTACTAACCAAACAATAACCATCTGGGATACTACTATTAAGCGAGTACCACCAGAGATTTCTTTCAATCTATGCTATAGTGCATTTTACAGCACGACCCCTACGTCGCGTTGTATTTAGAGCATAGACAATAAACGGTTTCGGTAGATGAAGAGAAACCTTGAACCCGAAGAGACAGTGGCATAAAAGACTGGACCAGCGTGGCGAATAACTTTATATTGTAGGTAGAGAAAATACAGAACACTTCTTGGGATATTATGCGTTCGTCATCGCCGACTCACGCGATATAACTTGTCATCGACGGCGTCGTAGTTGAGATGAAGAAGGCAAAGAGGCCAAATGAATAGAAGAAAAATGCTAGAAGAATAAAATTGATCCTTGAACCTCACAAGGGCAGTTGACTAACGAGTCCTGACAGTGATGCTCCCATAAACGTCTAACGTTGACTCGCCACCTTCGATGACTCGATGCCTAAATTGCGAGTTTTTTCTCTGCCTTAAGCCATGCGGAGACTGCTGCAATTATAAGTTACTGAGATAACGTGACATCTAAACAGCGCTCAATCGAAGCAAATTTCCCGAGCCTCGGCCGGTAACGTTTCATCTAATTTATAGGCGATGAACCTTATAATTGCACCCAGAGACTTTGTAGTCGTGAAATCCTTAGTGACCAGGTATAGGGCCGCTCAAAATCAGCTTTACCTTTTCTTCTGTTTCTTTTCTTTCCTGAACTTTATTCTGAAACAGGCTATTCCTAATTTAATCTAGCATATTACGAGACTATGAAATGTTTTATAACATTAAATACCCCGTTGATAGGGCTATAACTTTCTTAAAATATGAATACGTCTCTTAAGAGTTTGTTTCAATATTATTCATCATAAGCACACTTCCTTCCACTAGAGCCAAGGTGATGTGCTATAGGGTATCTGTACGTTTGCCATTGGTGGTAGCAACTATTAAACAGTAATTCTTATTTGAAAAACTTCGAGCACTAGGGTAAGATGATTAGATTATTTTGCATCTAGATAGATCACTCGAGAGCGAGGTAGATTAGAACCTATAAGATTCAACTCCCGTCTTACCAGTAACCTCGAAATTATCAAGCTATAGCCATGCAAACTACTATTTCCCATGATAGTACTAATTATAGATAGTAAGCAGGAGTATTTAACGGCAGTATTAGGAGTATCATAATTAGTAAGCGGAATATTTAGTTAACTAACACGAGGGAAATATAACTAAACCAAGAACGGCTTCAGGACAATTGGAAATATTAGATCAAGCATGTCTGCGGGATCTAAGAACGACCAACCCTTACCATGATAAAGAGCGTATCATAGATACTAATAGCGGGCTGCTCGAAGACTACTACCGATAGATTCTTAACAATGAGGCATTCAAACAATGGCATGACGGCGAAAGTAATCGTCTTCTCTGGATCAGGGGTGATCCCGGTAAAGGAAAGACAACACTTCTATATGGAATCGTGGAAGAGCTAACACGAGTGCATAGAGATAGTGTCGCCATCTCGTTTTTCTTCTGCCAAGCCACCAACATGCGCATTAATAGCGCTACGTCCGTCCTACGTGGGTTGATTTTTCTCCTTATCGAGAAAATCCTATCTCTTCTCTTATATATGCGAGCTCAATACGACAAAGCTGGTAAAGATCTCTCCGAGGATATTAATACCTAGAGCGCACTCACTACCATATTCACGAATATACTGGAAGATCCGTTATTAAAAGGTGCCTATTTGATAATTGATACACTGGACGAGTGCACAATCGGTCTTCATTCCCTACTCAGATTGATTGTCTAGAAGTCTGCAGCCCATCCGCAGACAAAATAGGTTATCTCTAGCCGAAACCACGCCGATATTACCGAACGATTCGATTTTGCTGCCTATATAGCTCCGATCCCATTGGAGCTAAACGAGACATCTATATCCGAAGCTATGAATGCGTTCATTCGACATAAAGTGGATTCGTTACTGTTACTAAACAAAAACAACAGCGACGTCTATGAAAAAAAAACTTTGAGATCCGCGAGCGAGTAAGACATCACTTGATGGCAAACTCACAAGGCACTTTCCTCTGGGTGGCTTTAGTCTGGAAGAATCTTGAAGAAATACCGCGGAGGCATATTGTGGCGAACCTAGAAGTATTTCCGCCTGGACTCACTGCTTTATATCACCGAATTTTCGATTAAGTCCGCAAGTCACGAGATGCAGAGCTCTGTAAGCAAATGCTGGGGATTCTGTCAAAAGTGTATCGCCCTATTACGCTTATTGAGCTAGGCTCCATTATTGACGGACGAAATCATAGGTATGGTGATCTTGAAATCCTCTCCGAGATCGTCGCTGTCTACGGGTCGTTCCTAACATTACGCAAATAAACCGTCACATTTATTCATCAGTCTGCAAAGGACTTCTTACTTAATAAGACACTTGCTAAGATACTTCCGAGGGGGATAGAGTTTGAACACCGCGAAATCTTCTCCTAATCTCTAGAGGTCCTTAGAAAGACACTACGACATGATATTTTTTATGTCAAACTACTAGGAATTTCCGTTAAGAATATTAGCATACCCAGTCTAAATCCATTCGCGACAGCTGAATATGCCTATATATTCTAGGTGGACTATCCTTACGCTTACAAATATAACGCAACCTATAGATTGAGCCTTAACGATAGGGATTCGTTAAATCTATTTCTACAGCAGAAATACCTTTACTGGCTTAAGGCTCTTAGTATTCTAGGGAGTCTTTCTAATGGTATATAAGCTATGAACAAGCTTAAAAATTTGATTTATATAGGTTATAATGATTATATAAAGATGAGTTTAGCTTCTAATCAAGAATCCGCTCTCAATAAGAGGAGGGCGAGACAGAGTGCTTATTAGAACGAGGTCAAGACGCTTCTAATTTTATTCGATATCACAGGATAGCGATTAAGAGCAGTCCGTTATAAGTATATTGCTTACCGCTCGTCTTTAGCCTATCAAATAGCCTTACTAGAATGTGTTTTTAGAAGGAGAGAGAAAATTGGGTATTGAACAATCCTATGGTAGAGGAAAATTAGAGTCCCTGCCTTCAAACTCTCGAGGGGCATCGTGATTCAGTCTACTCGATTGCCTGGTGGCCAGATGGAAGCCGCCTCGCATCAGGGTCAGCTGATAGGACAATCCGCATCTGGGATCTAGCCACCAGCTAAAGCGTGTCTACTCTTATAGGGCATCGTAATATAGTCTACTCAATTGCATGGTCACCAGATAGAAGCCGGATTGTATCAGGGTCGCGTGATAATATAGTTCGGATCTAGGATCTAGCCACCGGCTAGAGCGTGTCCACTCTTTTAGGGCATAGTGAGTTAGTCTACTAGATTACCTGGTCGCCAGATAGAAGCCAACTTACATCAATGTCAGAAGATAAGATAGTCCAGATCTAGAATCCACTAACCGGCTAGAGCGTGTCCACTCTTATAGGGCATCGCGATATAGTCAAATCGATTACCTAGTCGCTAAATGGAAGCCGAACTGCATCAGGGTCGCAAGATAACACAGTCCGCATCTGGGATATTGCCACCGGCCAGAGTATATCCACTCTGGAGGGGCATTGGGGTTCGGTCTACTCGATTGCCTGGTCGCCAGATGGAAGCCGAATCGCATCAGGGTCCTTGGATAAGATAGTCCGCATCTAGGATCCAGCCACCGGCCAGAGCGTATCAATCCTCCCTATCAGTCTTACCAGGTTCCTCAAGTTTCATACCGCTGATACGAATTATCTGTACACCACTACTAGTACATTTGACATAAGCGCAATGGCTCTTCTAGAGCCTGTGCCTGACAGTTTCATCCAGCCGCTCGAGAAATACGGATACGGGCTCAGTAATGACCGTTCATGGATAACCTACAATGGACTTAACCTCTTATGGCTGCCCTCAGAATACCGCCCTACTCTCGTCTCTCATTTCACTTGGCATGCAACCACGATAGCTATTATATGCTCATCAAATCGTGTCATCTTCCTCGCACTTCCGAAACAATGTCCCCTACATAGCCTTTGAATGGTGTGCCTATTACAAGACACACAGGGAGGTCTTAAAGCCGAAGGTCCCTCGTCTAATCCTCCAAACCCCCCATCTTTCTTGCGCTATGCTAATAAGCTTCGTCATCTACAAAATATCCTTAGTGGTAATTTTCCTCCTATGCTCCACTAATAAGAGGTCAGTTAAAATTTGATTAGCCCATAGAGAAGGATGATATCTCTGTAATATTGATTTCACCGATCCTGAGCACTCATCAACGCCCGCAGTTTGCGGATTGCTAAGAAAAAATCGCCTTACTAAGAACCGTAGGGGGCCCGTTGTCACGTATATTTCCTAATAACCCAGCATCCCCCAACCTTTAATCAAGAATTATTTCGTTCGCTCACTAAGCAGGGTGAGCATGGAGAAAATCATTACCCACCGTTACATCAACGACGCCCATAATCCACCCCCAGCGTTACTTTCCAAATAGCGCCCCAACTGCCTCCATCCAAGCTAGAGATAATCTGTGATATGATAGAGAGCGAATCCTTGACCACGTCATAGATGGCTACGGCTACTAAGTATAGTGAGCGTTCGATAATCAGTATTCGCAGTAATCTTCGCCTGTTCGGAAATATCAGGGCTCCATTAACTCGCGTCAGCCGCCGACGCAGCATCACGCCGCCGATGATACAGACTTTATGCGACCAGCTTCTCAAGAAACCAGGGTTATATATGGATGAAATGGTACTCTATATATGGGATGAATTCCATACTTAGGTCACAAGCTCCAGTTTGAAGCGAGCTCTTGCTTCAGTCGGCTAGTCCAAAAAGATGGCTCAACAGAGAGCAAAAGAACAGAATACTGATTTACGGGATTTCTACCTCCATAATATATCAGACTTCAAGTTGTGATCGACTGCATTCCAGTCTTGCAACTCGGAGAGCGAAGGCTGAAAGGCTGGTTGAAATCATTATTCTTCTATTCAGTATTCTTCTACTCAATTGAGGTCACGATGGGGCATTTCACCATACAAGAAATTCTCCGCTATATTTGAAATTTTTAGAACGCACCGGGATTCCCCTGTGCAAACTTACCGCTGCAGCCCGGCAATCGAATGAATCAGCGTCTATCCTGATACACTACCTTGACAGCGCTATAAGCGCCGTTTCTTGGCCCAACACTACCCGTCCGTCACCCAATCAACGAAAGAGTATCGTTCACCTTACTTATTGTCACACAAATGGGCAATATACCGAGTAAGCTTCCGTCAAAAAAGATGCTTCGCTGTTAGAGAAGGTTATCAGGACCTCATGCGAAAGCGCTAATTCAGCAGAACCAAAACTGACGCAGTGGGATATGGCGATGGGGAATAGAGACTGCGGTGAAGCTATCGAATGCCTAGCCGAATCGATATCAATACTCAAAAGTGGCCGTGCAAAATCTGGCAACGTGCTTGATGTCTTTCAATCGGTTTCGAAATCCGTCCACGACATGGGGCAGAACCCTTGGTGCAATTTTAAGTTTCCTTTTGGCTGCTCTTTTCACGGCTGAACAAGAACCTTGTGGATGGCAAGATTTGCCCGAATACGCCAAATTTATTTACCGCCGCCCTTGCGTCTGCTGTCATGTCCTTGAAGATGTACACGGGCGCCAGAGAAGGGGATAGAACCGTCATGGATTTTTGCTTCCTTTCACCCGGACGGATGACTTTTTTTCAGCTGCAGGTGTCATTGCGGAGAAGGCGGAAGGCGCATAGTATCTTCAAGCGAAGTTCGATCGCGCAACCTATGTTGGAGAGGCGTCGGGTCGGCAATCACCAGATCCGGGAGCCTGGGCTTTTCATAAAATTGTTGCGGGTCTGCCTAGTGGACTTGGCCTGACTGTGCCAAATTAACCAGACTGTGATCGGGCTCGGTGCAGGTAGCTTGGCTAGCCCAGGATTGTCGGAGTACGCGACTGTCTTCGATATTGATAAAGTGGATAAAATAAAAGTCATTGTCTTCGTTGCTCTATATGTTCTTTCGTCTAGGTTGGTTAAAGAGTCCGGTTACTGGTGTTCTGAAATAGCCAGTCTCTCCACTTTTGGTCGCTCAGGATGGATCTTACCCGAGCCTCAAGCCACTCGGTGTTTCCCCAAAATCCCCAGGAAGCCTGGAATCTACACCAGTCGACCAGGGCTGTCTCCCAGTGTCTTTCAAAGGATTCCCATTCATACAGACCCGGGTTGCCTTGGGTAAGGGTAGCGTGGTATCGCTTTAGCAGTTGCCTTTCGCCATCACCCATGGTCAGTTGCTCAAGTAAATGCTTATCAACAAGCATATGCAGAGGAACCGAGCAGGTGAAAAGCTTGGCGAGGTCACACACCCCGAGACCTAGTCCGACATATTGAAAATCGAAGAACGCCACACCTTCTCCGTTAGTAGTCGTGAAAAGATTCTCTGACTTGACGTCGCCATGGATATACGACTCAATCGGCCTTCCACACGGGGTTAGGAACAGTGCAGCCATCTCAGCTACGGACAGTGAGGAGCCTTTAAAGCTGCTGCACAGGGCTTCTGTCCACTCCGAGTCATCCTCGGCGAGAGAAGCATATTCTTTACGTCGTGTCGCAAGATATGTATATCCCCCGTTGAGCCAAAGTCCACTCCCAATCTTTCCTGGGCTCTGTCTTCTACTGCCTTCTTCAAGAGGTGGCAAGACATAGTCGTCAAGACTATCCGGCCTCAATCCCAATGACCGGCCATGAAATCTGGCCAGCCAGTCTAGTGCCCCGTGTACTTGGGTGCAGTTCAGCGCGCTCCTCTTTCCTCCGACGACGGGAAACTTTGGCCGCAGATCGACCATAATAGTTGCCATCAGACCTCTGAGCTCCTCCTCCTCCCCCTCACCCTTGCCATTCATACCACGCGTCGAGGCAAGGCATTTGGCAACAGCGATATCGTCCCCCAGCAATGGGACCACATCACTGTAGAAATACTGCTCCACCTCGTAGCTCAGCATTTTCCGCAGGTGTCCCTCGTCCTCATCGCTACCGCCATTCCTTGGTGGTGATATGAGCTTGAGGACGAGAGGGTATGTGGTCCCCACGACACCGGATTCCAGCCCGCAAAGCTTATCGAGATTCCGAGCTGCGTCTTTCGTGGTTGCTCGAGCGGTAATTGCACAGATTTTTCCGTATCCTGCCCACAGTGATTGTAAGGTGCTGCAGGAGACGAGTTCGAGGGAGTGCCATGACAGCATGATGGTTGCGACGCGTTCGGGGGAATTGGAGGGTGGAGGAGCCATAGTGGTTGTGGAAAGGGTCAAACTAATGATCCCAGGTCTGCAACATGGATTTATCCTTTGTGGGGCGCGATTTGCTGTTGGAACATGAGGCGTGTCGGAGGTGATTGATCTGCAATCAACATTCCGTATCAATGTTACATAAGCAGGCCCCGCTTACATACTAACTAGCATTGAAGTCTCTTGCTGCAACCTACGCTAGTCTTGACTTGTCCATACAGTATAATGCTGCCTAGGGTATTCTACTAATAAATTTCCTCCCTTAAGATTACTGTATCATTACTGTGCTTTGGGTATTCCCAAGTTCTGAAAAGGAGGTGAAACTGATTGTTGTCCGGCTAATCTAAAGTTGTATTTATGTACAGACAGATGTTGCTTCAGCCTCCAGTCTCGCAACGCATTGAGACAGCTGGGAACATGTCAATTTTGGATTATGCAAATTTTCAACAGCGCCACTCTCATGCCGTTCTTCTGGATTAGTTTGGAGCTCTCTATGCCCTCCTCGGCTGATCCGTCGGTTGCCGGTCTTTAAGTGGATCCAAGGCATCCAGAAGGTCTTTCCGGAGTTCGGAGTACATCTCCTCTGCTTATCAAAAAATATGCTTCTCATTTCTTATGACTCAGTCCGGATGTCAGGTTCACGATCCATTATATTCAAAATATTCCTGCTGCCTAAGATTCTATCGATTCCAGCTAGTGGGGTTGACCTGATTACCGTGCAACTCTACACTTATACATATCTAAGGCCCACCAACTACTCTGTCTCCGATAAATTACCACCTCAATTTAAAAATGGCCTCAGTACGGTTTAGCAAGGACTTTGGATCCGAACGCCTCCTCTACCGTGCAGTGGAGGATTCCGAAGAGGATAAGGCATTCTTCCACAATGCGCTCGATAATGATCCCACTAGTCAGGCAATGGTATCAATGTCTCTCAACCGCCCAATCAGCAAAAAGAATGCTGAAAACCACATCAAAGCCATGCAGGATTGTCTGCTCGCAGTGATTATTAGCCTTCGTCCTCAAGAGTCTAAAAAAGGCTCACCTCCCGCGGGTGAGGCGCAAACGCCAGACCCAGCCCACAAGGAAGCTAAGCCTATTCCTATTGGTCGCCTGGCTCTTTCTTACCACCGTGGTGGGGGTGATTCGGCATTTTCTCGCCATCGCGCCGCAATGTTGGGTATATCACTCATAGATGGATTTAGTGGGAAAGGGTACGGCACTGAAGCTATTAGCTGGGGTCTTGACTGGGCTTTTGAACAAGCTGGCCTTCATAGAGTTTGCCTATGTGTGTTTTCTTATAATACTCGTGCAATAGAGTTGTACCGCAAACTTGGTTTTGTGGAGGAAGGGCGAGAACGGGAGGCTGTATTTTATTGTCGGAACTGGCATGATGTTGTTTTGTTTTCTATGCTGGAGCATGAATGGGAGAAGTTAAGGGGGGTTTCTTAGCTATACTTCCTACTCTCAAGCTCAAAATACATGACTAAAAATTTTCTTTTGGAAGAGAGTTCAATGTTCGCAGCGTGCAGGGTATATAGATTAGACGATGCTTCAGGAATAAATATAAGGCCACCCGTTGTGTAAGGCCTAATATTTGAATTACTTACAGTCAGCGTTGAAATGGGGCTGTCGAATGAGGTATTAGGCCAGTTCAAAGTGAGAGACCATGCTAACAGAAGCATACCAGTTATTTGATGAAATTCGATCTTATCATTATCCAATTCGTTGAAGTCCGTCACCTCTCAAGTACTCAAAGTCGGAGTCAGGTGCCCAAGTTTTAAAATAACCAAATGTCTTTTGAAAACTATTTCTTTGCATGATATTTGGCACGTTTTTATCGCAGGCATCATTACGTTCTTATTTGGCGAACAGCTAAAATCACCTCACTGCATGGCTTAAAATTAATATCTTGGCCTGGTGATTATTAACGGCGAAGATCTTGCTACTTTGGGCTTCTTATAGATAAATGAACCCGAGAAAGCGAAGATGTCAAGTCGTAACAGCGAGAAATTGTCTGAAGAAGCCATTCCACAATTTTGACGAATCTGTCGGCTGATTCCTTATATGGCTGAAGGTTTGAAGTCAAATAGTTTTCGCTACACTTTGATTAATTTCAACATCAATATAAAAGGAATATGACGTGATGAAGATACCGAGGCAGATCAGTTCCGAGCGCTTGAGCTGCAGAGTGCAACCTTTTAATCCGAGCACCAAGGTCTGTGCCAAGGGCCAAGGCTTTTTGCATCGTGGTTCCAATAACCACATGAAATCCATCGGTAAATTACCCCATTTTAACGGGAGAATATGGCTTACCTGTGGACACTCGGTTAGTCGGATTCTTACCAAGAACGGAGCATGCACTTTGATGGGGCTTAGCGTTCTGCAGGATCCCAGCATAGTTCGTCCACAACCTATGAGCTGGCGCTTACGGGCCGAGGAGCGAACGGAACACCGTTATTAGGGGCCACACATTTTGGGAAAAGCCAGACGTGACCTTTTTCTTACCACCAAGGCGCGCTTTCCAAACCTCATAAGTGACAGAAACCAGGGAGCTCTGAAAGAAGAAGCAGATACAACAATGTACTGATCTATTGATAATCGTTCTCTGTGATTGATTCAAGTTTTACCATATAAGGCTAGACTCATTTGTAAAAGTCTCCGATGAGCTGACCATCCCCTGTTAGAGTGAGTGGGTCACTACAGATCTACCCGATTGGGAACTATTCGAGCGGCCCACTGTATTGTTCGTCTGGTTGGTTGCATATCGCATAGCCTCGTGCATGGTCGGCCCAGAAATACGCAGAACGACTCAAGTGATAATGGGTGATTTCTCTTGATCAGGGTTTGGTCCATATTTAGTCATTGTACCGAGTCGGGACTACTAGTGGTAAAATCGGGTTCGCAAAGAACCATAGGAAAATACATAAGATTGTACATAATGGCATTGTATGCAGACCTGCAAGCTACTGAGTAACAATAGCTAGTTTAATATGATAGGAGATTGAGGTGAACTGCATGCATGAACTGGGCGCTCCCGCCGGTGCCCTTGTCTCCAATTAGAAGCGGTGCCTGCCTAAAGTGGCCAACTTGCCAAATGGTCGTACTTTGGAGGCAGCATCACAGATAGAAGGGGCGATGTCACCTAGCCAGATAAATTTCTAGGTGGGGTATTTTGGCTGTTAGAACCACGGAGTAGAGTAGCTCGTTTAGCTTTTCCTATAATACATTCATTTGCAAGCGAATTTCTCCCTTCTAAATCACCTGCCTTTGAACATTTCCATATTTTTAGATCAGAATGAATACCAGAGAAAGTGAGCCGATCGCTATTGTCGGAAGCGGGTGTCGCTTCCCTGGAGGATCTTCCTCCCCAGCCCGTCTATGGGAACTTCTCAGCCAACCCCAAGATGTGTCGAGCAATGTTCCCGAGGATAGGTTTAACTGGCAAAGCTTTTACCATCCTAATGGTTCTCATCATGGAACGACAAAGACAAGACGAGGGTACTTTCTAGAAGAAGGGATCCGCGATTTTGATACCAAGTTCTTCAACATTCCTCCATCGGAAGCGGATACCATCGACCCCCAGCAGCGCTTGTTACTTGAGATTATTTATGAAGCGATCGAGTCCGCTGGTATGACTCTGCAGGGAATGCAAGGCACGAAGACAGGTGTTTATTTAGGCATGATGGGCTGTGAATATGAATGGTGTTTGCTCGAGGACTTGGAGACTATACCCACGTATATGGGGACGGGAGTCGAGCGTAGCATGCATGCGAATCGAGTTTCACATTTCTTTGATTGGCATGGACCATCGATGAGTGTTGATACTGCGTGCTCTTCTAGCATGATGGCCGTTTATTTGGCAGTGCAGGCTTTGCGGAATGGGGATGCATCGGTGGCAATTGCGGCTGGGGCCTCTTTGATGATTCGGCCTGGTACGTGATTTTTTCTGTCAAGAACGGAAATCAAACTGACAGGAATTATAGAAAACTTTATAGCCCTCAGTAACATGAACATGGTGGCCCCAGATGGTCGATCGAAGATGTGGGATGCAGAAGCTGATGGCTATGCACGTGGTGAGGGTGTGGGTGTTGTCGTCCTCAAGCCACTCAGTGCTGCGTTGGAAGATGGAGATCACATAGAATGTGTCATTCGCGATATATGTGTCAATCAGGATGGCCACACACAGGGAATCACTGTCCCAAATGGTATTGCTCAGGCGAATCTTATCCGCCAGACATATCAACGTGCTGGCCTTGATCTTAACTGTGCACTCGACCGTCCACAGTACTTTGAGGCTCATGGCACTGGTACTCCAGCTGGGGATTTTCAGGAAGCACAAGCAATTTCCAGAGCATTCTTTGAAGCCGAGGACGCTACTTCAAATGAGATTCCACTATACGTTGGCTCAATTAAGACAGTCATTGGTCACACCGAAGGTGCAGCAGGGATTGCCAGCATTCTGAAAGCGTCCTTGGCACTTCAACACGGAAGTATCCCTCCAAATCAGCATTTCAAATCTCTTAGTTCTTCTGTCGCTCCATTTACAAAAAATCTAAAAATTCCCATAGCTCTTCTCCCTTGGCCTAAAAGTGCAAATGGCGTTCGCAAAAGAGCGAGTGTCAACAGCTTCGGTATATCCCTGCATCATCAGTGATTCTTCTCCCTTTGCTAACAAATTTTACCTACAGGATTTGGAGGTTCAAATGCTCATGTTATTTTGGAGGCTTTCGATGGCGTGTCGCACAATCTCGATCATGAAAGCGTTCTCCCTATTTCTCTATCTACTTTCAATTTCTCGGCCCCATCTGAGCAGAGCCTCAAATCCATTTTGAGTCGCATGGTAGAGTATCTTCGAGAGTTTCCGGAGACCAACATGCGCGATCTCGCCTACACGCTACAAGTCCGACGATCGTTTTTCCCCTTCCGCAAAACATTTTGGGCTCCCACTTGCAGCCAACTGAGTCAGAAAATCTATGAAGAGTTGAAGAGTTCCGAAGCGAACAATAACTCCGCGATCGGACTTCGTGCACTCCCTGAGTCCGGGAAGAAAGTACTTGCTGTTTTCACCGGACAAGGAGCACAATGGATGGGTATGGGCAAAGAGCTTATCGTGAACCTGCCCTATGCTGGAGGAATCCTGGATCAACTACAAGAAAGCTTAGACACTTTGCCCGATGGGGATAAACCATCATGGTCTCTACGTGACCAGCTACTTGCCGAGCCTGAGACGTCTGGCATGAAAGAGCCCGCAATCTCTCAGCCGCTAATTACATCACTTCAAATTATACTGGCTTGCTTGCTTCGACAAGCTGGTATTGAATTCACCGCGGTAGTCGGTCATTCCTCTGGAGAAATTGTGGCAGCCTATGCTGCAGGTTTCATTACCGCAGCGGACGCTATCCGCAATTCCTACTACAGAGGTCTATTTGCCAAACTCGCCGGAGGTCCCAATGGAGAAAAAGGAGGAATGCTGGCTGCTGGAATTTCTTTCGATGAGGCTAAAGAGCTGTGCAGTCATCCCGATTATATGGGCCGGGTTATGGTTGCAGCTAGTAACTCGCCTGTGAGTGTGACTCTTTCTGGAGATGTCGATGCGATCGCACAATTGAAGTGTCATTTGGATGAAACCTCAAAGTTTTGTCGTCCACTTCGTGTCGAAGCAGGTTTTCATTCTCATCATATGCTACCTATCGCGCCAGCCTATGTTCGGGCCCTCGAAAGCTGTGGAGTCGAAGCAATAACGCCCAAAGGCCGCTACCCTCTTTGGTGGTCAAGCGTTCATCCCAGTCTCATGTCTGTGCAAAAGACGAATGACCTGAGTATTAAATACTGGAAAGATAATATGATGCAGTCGGTTCTGTTCAACCAAGCTGTTGAAAATGCAGTGGCATCTGCAGGTCCCTTCGATATCGCCATTGAGATTGGGCCACATCCAGCTCTCCGAGGACCATTCCTTCAAACTCTCAACGCCTTATCGGAAAAAGAGATCCCATATTTGGGATGTCTTAGTCGAGGAAAGGATGGCTTGGAAGCATTTTCGGAGACTCTTGGGTCCCTCTGGTCTCATTTGGGTCCATCAGCAGTCGACTTTGACGCCTATGAGCGCAAGGTGGCCCCTAGAAATGCCAATCGAGCCTTCCTTAGTGGCCTGCCATCCTACCCATGGACCTATGATCGTCCATATTGGTTTCAATCGAGGGTTTCCCGTGATAAATGCCATCGAACAGGTGTAGTTCACTCATTGCTTGGGGTCGATGCAGGAGATAAATCCGAGACTCAAGTCAAGTGGCGAAACTTTCTCCGGTTCAAAGAGATTCCTTGGCTCGAGCATCACCAAATTCATGGTCAGCCAATTTTTCCCACCGCGGCTTATATGTGTATGGCCTGGGAGGCAGCTCTCAAAATCTCCAATGGGTGCCCCATTCAACTTTTTGAGCTGCATAACGTGAAGATCGGGCACGGGATTCTTTTGGATGATACCTCGGCTGGTGTTGAAGTGATTTTTGCCCTCAGTGACATCAAAGAATCTCCTTCGACTCCTGATACCATGTGTGCTCAGTTCTCCTGTCACTCATGTGCCAGTAGACAGAATGATATGTTGGTCCTCAATGCCGAAGGGGAGATAACAGTGACATATGGCATGCCTTCAGCCTCTGAGCTCCCCGCAATCAATGCGCATGTGTCCAATCTCGTCGCTACAGACACCGAAGCTTTCTATTCTGCATTGAGTCGAGTGGGGTATGGCTATTCGGGAGATTTCAAGAGCATGGTCTCACTAAAGAGGAAACGAAACCGCTCGCGTGGTGTTATGCGGAGAGTACCCACAGGTGATCTACTCATTCATCCCGCTACCTTGGACACTGCCTTCCAAGCAGTATTGGCTGCAATAAGCCACCCAGGTGACGGGGCACTCTGGTCAGTATATACGCCAGTCTCAGTGCGACACGTAACATTCAATCCATATTTTGCTGTGACCGGAGGCGATTGCGATGGCGATGATGATGACAATTGGGCTTTTGATAGCACTCTTATGAGCGCTGGCACTGTGCACAGTGAAGGTACCGTGCAAGTATATCCGCAAGGATCCTCTAATGCTGCTTATCAGTTGGAAGGTATCACTGCGAAGCCATCCCGTCCAAAAACCGAAGCAGACGACCGAAAGCTTTTTTCGAAGATGGTCTTCACGCCACTTTCTCTTGATGCTGATCTTATTTCAGAGATGATGCACCGGCTCTCTTATCGCTTTCCACGAATGGACATTTTGGAGATTGGTAAGCTTGGATGAATATCAGTATCTGATTATTTCAGCTTCAAGGCTGACCGTTAAATATAGGCTCTAACACTGGTGCCATCACTGAGAACATTCTTCAAACTAAAGACGTGCCATTTGCATCTTTAATCTGCACGGATCCCTCTCGAACATTGCTAAACTCAGCCCAGAAAACTCGACTGGAGGTTTCATGCAAAATTGAGTACCATGCATTGGATCTTGAGACAGAGTTTGGGGCCCAGGGCTTCCAAGAGCATAGTCTTGATCTCATTATTGTATCCAATGTCCTCTATACTACAGATTCTATTGAAGCGACACTCAGCAGGTTTCGAAGCCTTCTGCGACCTGGTGGTCACCTCATACTGTCAGAGATGGCCAATAGTTCGCCCATTGGAGATGGCTTTCTGATGGATGCATTTTCTGGGCTGGGTGCTGGGTGCAAAGATACACAATTAAGTCCAACAATCAATCCAGTACAGTTGGATGAGCTCCTGCGCAAGTCAAACTTCTCTGGGGTGGATTTCATCACTCCCACAAATGATCCCTTGGTCCCGTCAATCATGGTTTCTCAAGCAGTCGATTCCCGTGTCGAGTTTTTACGAGAGCCAGTTTTCTGCTCCGATCCATATTTAGGCCCTGCGGATAACCTAGGGGAGCTGCTGATTGTGGGTGGCCAAAGCCTGTACTCTTCGAAGCTCGCTCAACGACTCTCCATGACTCTTTTGGCAAAGTTCCGACACATATCAACAGTATGCAGTCTCCATGCTGTTGCTCAATTATCAAGGCCAATCCCGCCAAATATTGTGTTCCTCGGCGACTTGGATCAACCGACCTTCAAGTCTATCACCGAAACTGAGCTCAACGGTCTTAAAATGATGACAAGTGCCGCGCGCAACATACTCTGGTTGACATTTGGCAGTCAAGGAAGCGAGCCGTACAACAAAATAAGCATTGGATTTGGCCGGTCTCTGATGCATGAGATACCTGACACGCATCTACAATTTCTCGACTTTGACGAACTACAATCCATCGATGCTCTGTATGTTGCGCAGCGGTTGTTGATATTGTGCACGGTTAGGAATTGGGCTGAGACAGGACAGCTCAAGGGTTTAGTCTGGAAGTCTGAGCCAGAGATTTACCTGCAGGGTGGCAAAGAATATATTCCCCGTGTGGTGCATGACAGTTCTCGCAACGCCCGCTATAATACTCGACAACGCACTGTCACTCACACAGTCGACTCTTCAGTAACGCCTGTTCACTTAGAATTCCGTGATGCATCTTACATTCTCAGTGAAAAAAGGCAAATTCCTTTGGCTTCCCAGACGTTGATAACAATTGAAGTCTTGATGTCAACTTTGTCGCCAGTGAAGTTGCACTCGGTCGGCTCAGCTTATATCGCCTATGGTCTCATAAAAGGAACTTCAGAGGCAGTCATTGTTCCCACTCAGGAAAATGTTTCGATCTTACATGTTCCTCGGCGAGATTTGATCCACGCTGGTACCCAAACACCCATTGGAGATCATCTTTTAGAGACAGTCGTCTGGGAGATAATTGCCCTCCAGCTCCTGGATGAATTATCCGACTCGGGGACCATTCTCATATATCAACCTCCACAGGCTTTGCTCTCCATACTTAAACGCATATTATCATGGACAACGATAGAGGTCATTGAGATTGCACATACACCTTCTTCATCTCCCGTGATAAAACAAGTCATAATACCTCCTAGGATGATGGCATATCACATCAAAGAGCTTCTCCCGACCCAACTCTTGCTTTTCGCAGACTTCTCTGCCAATGGATGTTCCGATGACTTTTCATCCCGTGTCCGGGCCCTTTTGCCCCATGGATGCAAGAAGATTCGCTCAACTGACTTTTTGGTGCGGAGGCCAATATCAATATTTTTCATCATGGAGATTCGAAGAAGATCCACTTTCATTTAACAAGGGCGTTATCTGAGGCTATGAAAGTTCAGGCAACTGAACAACCTAGTCTAAGTATGATACGGGAATCCCCAGAAAACTGTTCAAAGCAGATTCCAGAGTCTACAGCTCAATTTATCGTTGACTGGGCAGCAAATCCCGATGTCGTGATTCAAATCCAGCCCGCAACTGATCATGTCACTTTTCATGGCCATAAAACCTACTTGCTCGTTGGTCTGACTGGTGACCTTGGCCAGTCACTTTGTGAGTGGATGATTTCTCGTGGGGCTCGCATCATTGTGCTGGTGAGCCGACACCCCCAGGTAGAGCAGAGCTGGTTGGATGCACAGCAGAGGAAGGGCGCATCCGTCCATGTCTATTCCACGTAAGCCAATTAAAGCCCTTCTTCATATTCTCGCTTGGCAAGCTGACTGGTCTGGGAATGATAGCGATATTACAGACAAGCAACAAGTTTATGATTTATACGACAAAATTATGAAGAACCACCCACCTGTAGCTGGCGTGGCGAATGCCGCTATGGTTCTGCAAGACTCGTTGTTCACTAACACGAGTATTGACATGCTGAATAAAGTACTTTCTCCCAAAGTTGACGGGAGCAGGTATCTAGATGAGCTTTTCTCCGATCCAGGCCTTGACTTCTTTATCCTCTTTTCTTCCTTTGGCCTCGTCACGGGTAACGGCGGTCAGACCAGTTACAATGCAGCGAATGCATACCTCAGTGCTCTTGCTGCACAAAGGCGAAGTCGGGGTCTCTCTGCATCTGTCATGGACCTGGGTCCGGTTCTTGGACTTGGTTATATCACCCGTTCGCATCTATTTTCCGGTGACCACATCGATGGCATTGGAGCGTATCCGATCTCTGAATCTGATTTCCTTGAGCATTTTGCGGAGGCTGTAATTGCGAGTCCCATTGGGAAAGACAGTTATGAGATCATCTCAGGACTAAGAGGGGTTGATCCTTCGATTGATCCGCAGGTTACTTGGATTCATAATCCTCGGATGTCACACCTACTGGTAAACAGTGGGAAGGCTGGTGTCGAACACGATGAGAAAATTTCGGTGTCGGTCAAGGAGCGGCTTCTAGATGCAACAGGTCTCGAACAGGTACAAGGAATAATTTTGGGTGAGTCCTTTTTTTGAAGTTGCCATGCACAATTTCAGGATGTTGATTCAGCCCGGTAGATGCATTCACAACGAGATTGTCTGTTCTGCTCCAGCTCTCTATGGATAGCATAGACATAGACACGCCGTTGGTCGATATAGGAGTTGATTCTCTTGTCGCCCTCGACATCCGCTCTTGGTTTCTCAAAAGCATCGACGTGGAGATTGCAATAATAAACATTCTCAGCGGATCGACAATCTCGGAAATTGCCAATCATGCAGCCCAGAATTTGCCAACTCGAGTCCAGGTTAAGCCTCTTGCACAAACATTTACGTCTGTACACAGTGAAAATGAGAGCTCTGGAGTCTCCGATAGTTTGTCACACGCCTCTTTGTCCACAGAGCATATCACACCAAGCGATGACAAGGTCATTCTCACACCTCCTCTCGGTTCCAGTCTAGCTGAAGGTGGATTCTCGCCGGATTACTTTGATCATAAGAGTCCAAGACTGTTGGATGCACCAGTTGAAGGCAATTTTGACGGCAATTCGCCCTGGTCCTCATGATTTATTATGTTCCTTCATCATGTTATGATTTTATGATTTGTCTTCACAAATCCAATGAATATCTCCTTCGCGAGTGACGGAGATTTCCTTCAGCTCCACTTTCTAGTAGCAGCTTCACGACTTCTGTATGACCACGAGAAGATGTAGCTTGCAAAGCATTTCTAAGATGTCCGCCTCTGGCATTGCCTTCAACCCCGCGCTCCAGTAGCAAATTTGAGATTTCTCGTAGGCCCATCAACGACAAGTAAAATAATGGAGGTGCAAACACGTCTGCGCTCACGTGAAATGGGTTTACCACCCTATTGGGGTCGGATGTTCGCAGGCAACTCCTATACGCCACGTTCTGATGCAACACTAAGTCCAAGACCGTTTCCTGGACGTGCGCAGTGCGTCGATATTAAGAAAGATAATGCTTCAAAGAAAAATGAGAATTGTGGTGGTAATTCACAACTTGTTCATTTTTCATCGCTTGAGATCCAAATGCACTTCCCATCAAACAGGGCCTCGCCTCGACATGTCAGCTAGCTGTCTGTCATAGCGAAGATGATTGTAGGTAGAAAATTCTTCCGTCACATCCGCTAGCCGATCCCAGCTGTACTCGATCACCCGGCCTTGACGCTCATAGGCCAGGTATTCCGGCGCAAACCGCTCGAACTCCTCGGCCCACTCGGCCGGCGTGTAGTCGTTCAAGGGAAACAAGTCTCCGCGCTGTATGAGGACCGCCATGATTTCCACGAGTGGCAGATGAATGTCAAATCTGTTATTGACCCTTGTGCGTTAGCCTGTATCGCGAAGAAAGAGGTAAGGGAGGAGGGGAAACATCAGAAAGATAACAGGACGCACGTACGGTTTATTCCAACCCGGTCTCGCGTTTCCTTTCTTGAAAAGTTCCTCCCAAAGATGGCCCAGTACACCATGGAAAAGCGTGAGAGCACCAATTTGGAACGGGATCATCCGCGCCTGGTGGAGAATCTGACCGGTACAGCTGAAATTGAGCAGAAGGAGGCGCCCGTCCTCACAGCTCTGGTTATCAATTACCAAGTATGCCTGATCGTCCAGGTATGGAAAGATAACAGTGCCGGTAGAGGTCATGGCCATTGCTTCAAAGTCGGCGGTTTCGAGGTAGTAGGTCACAGGCAAGTTCTCCCCTGCGAGGAGCCGCGCATAGTCATTGGTAGATAATGTCTCCGTGGCAGGGTCTAGCATGAATGCTGGGAGCTGCGGCTGATCATCGCTACTACAGTTATGACTAAGCGGGTGATTGAGTGAACGTTGAAGGTGGATATAGAGGAGGATCAGAATCTTGGTAATACGGGAGTAGTTCTCCGGATTGTAGGGCTTATCAACAAGGCAGACGAAGCTCTTAGAATATCTTGAGCCATTGAAATCGTGCAACCCCACGAGGGGCCCATCAGAAAAGTATGACTAGGAAATGTTAACGTTTCAATTCAAGTCAAACTCATAATTTCCCAACTAGGCATGGAGTAGAGGATGCGAGAAAAGAGGCCTACATCACGGAAGCTTTGATCTGCAGACGCCCATTTTTCGATGAGAGCGCGTCGTTGGGCCCTGTCCTCCTCTGGATCAGAAAGGGGGAGCCCGAAATTCCTGAGACGTTAATAAGATGCTATCCCAAGAATATCTATGGGGCCAGGGTCGTACCTTCAAAAAATGGCACCAGCCTTGGATTTCTTTCTGCGCGTCCTTGTCATTCAAATCACCCTCTGGGTGCAGGCGAACAGTGGCTGGGATCCCGCCGGGCCATAATTGCGCAGGCGAAATGATTGGTTGCAACATGTTATCCAGGGTGAGAATGGTTGGATGGATAACAATTAAACGGGTAGATCACGGTATTTATGCTCCGATCAGTCAGAAAACCCTGATGTGGGGCAAGGGACTAGGGTCTCGAAATTTCAAGTTCTGTTTTGAGCTTCCAAGATAGCGATGGAGAGCCATGATTTATGGAGCATTGCATATCAGCGAAGAACTGAAAACCAACCAGAAAACCAATCAGCCCCGGTTGGCTGCCTGATGCTGAGGCTGCAGCGCTGAGTGGAAAGCGGTTGCCTAATCGGGACTAGTGCGGCTCGCTCTACTGTTTCGGGTATTAATTTCATTTATTATCTCGTACTCATAGTGCAAGTAACAGACAGTGGATATCGTAAAGCGTGTTGAAAGTTGCTGTCCATCGATCAGATCCCGTGTCAGGGCCGACTTTCCGCAACCAGGACCAGCAGTTACTCGAAGGAGGTTACAGGTGTCACTGTCGCGCCATGTGCGGAATAGATCATCTTCGGGAAGCCATCTGCATGTCCCCTTGACCTTTGGCGGATCGAATATTTTGTCATCTTCATGTTGGGAGAAAGAAAGAGCCTGTAGAAGCTCTCTTTTCTAATGGTCCTCGTAGATTTCCTGATTTTGCGTTTTCTCCGCCTCGAGGACTTGGATTTCCTTGAGAATGTCACGCGACTCTTTGATCGTTTGTATCTCACGGTGCACTCATGTCCTTCTGCAGTTTTTTGGCTTCGAGGGGAAAGATCAGGCTGGTGTAGTAGGTGCTAAGATCCTCGGTTTTTGACACTTGCCCAGTCATACTCTCCTGACACAGCTGCCAGGCGCGGGAAAGCTGGCTGTCGGAGAGATGACATATGGCGCGCCTGGTATTCAATAATGCGCGAGCACAGTTCTGCCACGAGTCCGCTCAGGGCTGGATACTTGGAAAGGTATGCCCGTCCACAATAACCCCAGTAAACTTGGACTTCATCGATCGAATTGAAGCCCTTCAGCATGGTCCATCTGCAGCGCTACCGCTAGTCAAAAGCTATTAGTTTCAGCAAATTTTCCAATAGCCATGGTAAAACTACTTACTGGTAGAAGCAACGAGACGCCACACCAGGCGAGCGATGCAAATGGCTGAGTACTGAAGGCATTCTTCAGCAATGGGTCGGCCCATAGGAGGAACTTTCCCAGCTTTTCGACCTGCTCTCGCACTTTGATGTTCTCTCCCAGTGGAGAAACGTGCCATCTCTTGTTCTCTCGGACCACCAATAATTTCTTCACGACCAAATCAACCGCCTTCGAATCGATCGAATCCACTAGCTTTGAACTCAAGCTGTCTGAGTCGTTCACATTATGGTGTGTCAAAAATTCCAAGTGCGCTTTTTAAGCTTTCATCAGCTCAGGCTCTCGGGTCTCCAAGAACATGTAGGCGCGAGTCCATGGATCAAGATCATTGGGGGATGTAATTGCACCCAAGACACCTGCATCAGAAACGTCGGGCGATTCGGGCGATTCGGGAGTCACATTTGCGGGCATTGCGATTGGAGACAGTTTTTTCTGTGAGGGTTGCTCAACGGTTGTCTGGGTGGTTAAGGGCGATTTGACAGAACTGCGGGGTTGTGAGGGAGAAGAGACACCCTCTTTTAGGGGGTCCGCCTTTTTGCTCTTTCTTATCCCTATCCTCTCACGGGAACCTATTTTTCTGGCCAGGTACACGTCGCAAACTATTGAACTGAGGTTCAAGTCAACAGTCCTTCATGGAATGGCTTGTCCCCACACCTTGGCCAGAAACAGGCGGAGATGTCAGCTAGTCACGTAATGCAGCATTACTAATATCCAATACTTGTTACAAAGTGTAATCAGCAAGTCATTATCGGAGATTATGAGGGGGCATGAACAAGACACATGGCAACCCATCTCATACAGCATGAAGAATGAAGCGGTTAATACAATGTCCTTCGAAAGCATATACCCACTTTGACGATGCGGGCCGGTCCGGAACAGTTCCAAGATCGGATGTGAATGACACACGATCGACAAAGTCGTATTACATATGGTATACTTTTAAACCGGAAAGGAAAAGTGATTTCGATATCTGTTCTATCATTCTGCTTTGCCTGTAGCCGTGCAAGCACCCTATGACCCAAAAATAGTGGCGTTGAAGCGAGACCGTGCCTATTGATCACAACAATAATGTAGCTCGCTTGTCGACCGAGTAGCTGCTGATAGCTTGTGGATCCTAAGTCGATACTTCCCGTTATTCCCAAGTGGGCCTTCATACAACGGCTTCATCTATAAAATTCTGAAGCCTGGTCGTACGTAGCCAAGTTCATCACTTCTGATTGGCGGAAATCCAGCCGCTCCAAAATTGCATTACATAATATCCAGGGCAGATATTATCACGTGGCTGAGACATACCCCACTTTTGACCAGGGTAGATATCCCAAATAGGCAATCATTTAAGTAGAGTGTTGACGTCATAGATACCAAAAGCAGACGCGACCCAGCGGGATTCGAACCACAAGAAGGCTACACCAGGAACGAAAGGAACGAGTCAAGTCTCTTACGGACCTAATTAGACCACTCGGACCTGAATTAACCTGTACAGTACCTGGGTATATCATGTTCATGCACCTGGCAAGCCACAGGGGGGCGCCAGCGACCACTCGAGGCCTGTCCTAGAAATCAGGATCGTCATTGAAATCAAGGAAATCAACCCGTACCCAGCGTCGAGATGACGGAATAGGCTTAAAGCTAACCGGTAACCTGTCATTGAGAGCTGATCTTTGAATCATTCTTCATGAGATGCTTGAAAGTTAAAATTGCATCAGGCTATTCTTTCCCTCTCCATCTCTCTGGTCTCCTTAACAAAAAGACCCCTTTTGACGTCAGTGCTGCTCAGCCCTATCATTCCTCAGGTCAAGCTCGTTGTGGCTTGCGGCTTGTGACTATCTTTAGCCTTTTTGGGACGAGCTGTTACGTATCTCTGCGACACTCGTGAATGCTCGTTGGTTCTATTGACGATATCGTTTTCGTGATTTGCCTTTGGGCTGCAAACCGGGTTTTTTTTAGACCTGGCATTTCTAGATAAATATCTTCGTTGTCCTACCTCTTCTTTCTCCATTATGCGCCCCTTCAGTGATACATCTGTCCGCTCTACTGCTTCCAGCTCAACACCTCTGGCCACTTCGAAGCCTAGACCTTAAACTCTACAATCTACAACCTACATCTATCCAACACACTTTCAACCGACTACGCGTCACATCCTTCAAAATGGGTTGCATTGTCTCCTGTGTATGTTGTCGCTATCCCTTGCCTTGTCACATGTGCCACCTGCCAAGATCATGTCACTAACGTATCCCTTCTTTCAGATCCAAGCTGTCTTCCACTCCATCGGGGCTTGCCTCATGGCCATCGTCAATACCATCGGTGCTGTCTGCACCGCTATCATCAACGGTGTCGTGTCTGTTCTCGATGCCATCATCTCCTGCATTACCTGTGGTGGATGCGGAGGAGGAAGACGACGTCGTCACAGGGCGACGGTATGATCTTGATCATCGCCACGACAAGTGAACCGAATCACTATGCCCTGGCGGCTACGAGTTACGATTCTTGATTGATGCGATCGGGTTTTCTTGCTATTTTTCTTCTTTTGTATTATTCATACCCAGGCGCAAATGAGGTTTTTAACCAAATTTCAACGACCGAAATCTTCCAATGTTTATCTCTTTATCATCTCTTGGTTCGTAACGTATTATAAGGGTCGGACAATCCTATGTATATTCATATCCATATCTGGGAAACTTTAAGTAACATAGTAAATCTGTACCTGCGCACTATACAAATCATAATGCTTCATCATGCGCCGTCTCACACATGTTACTCAATCCAATTCCCGCTCAGCGTCTTGCTGTTCGAAAAATCGCAACAGATCTCCCTCCACATCTGCCATGAGATCATTCCACCTCAAATCCAAGATCGCCCTTGCAAAAGGATCTCCCTTCTCATCCGCATGCCGCCTCACCAATTGATAATGTGAGCCTTTCAACGGCCATGGCTCAGGAACACGACAATTCGCAGCGCGAAACGACATCTGCAGCAGCTGACGAAAAGGCTCGTGTTCCCGCTTCCGTATTAATCGACTGGTGATCTCCACCGACCGATAATTGGAGTACTCGTCATCATCTACGTAGAAGTCCGTAGATAAAAGATGAAGAAAGTCGAACTGGGAATCCGACCACGGAGGTTGAAGTAGTTTATCAGGGATTCGACCAGGACCGATTGCAGTCGAAGCGGGGAGTCGGAAGAGGTCATTTTCGTAGTATACCTCATTTGGTTCACGGACTTGCACTGCGCCGTAGTGGAACCAAATTGCGATTTTGCGATCAATATTGCTCCGTGATGAGCTGCGGTACTTTTTGTCCTTTCGGCTTTTTCTCTTGCTTTTGTTCTCTGGAAGTTGGGCATTGATCACCAGATCGCCCTTTCCACGACGATCGTTTATTCGTGGGCGATCATAGTCTCCTAGATCGTCGAATCGAGGAGCAATACTTTTCATTGTCTCCTCGTCTTCAGGGGAGAACAGAAGATCTGCACATTTCCGTCGCATAACATGATCCACGTATTCACGTTGACACTTCCGCATCAGCGGGAGTGTACACCACCGGCATGCGAGCAGGGTAGTCTGTAAATGTTGCCGTTGTTCCCATGATAGATCCCAGAAATCGAGAGGTGGGGGTAAGAAGTCTGGAGTGAAGAATCCATGGCGAGAGCCAGGGTTGGCGGAGCTAAAGACTAGTCGAATAAGCCAGGTGTAGAGCACTGGGCTTGACAGGGCACGGCTGAGATGTAGTGAGGCGCGCGGAAGGTTGATTTCTAGGCTGTGCAAGAAGATCAATTGGAGGATCTCTACGGGGAGGGATTCTAGGCGCGAGCGCGGGTGATCGGCCAATGCATAGGGGTGAATCATTTGCGATAACACTTAAAGGTCGAAGTGTTGGTGAGATGTAGATGTAGAAATTTATTTGGGCTTGTTAGATACCCCCGTGGACCCCTCGGGAGGACACACGGAAGTCGGGGGATGGGCATAGGATGGGGTCTTGATCATTTCGGTGGTATCAAGATCGACGGGAGGTCGATAGCAGGGTTAACATGTCGAATTACAGTGTTTCACCTCTTGTCGGATCAAGAAAGAAGGCATAGAGGAGGGGAAGCTTGAAGGTGAACCTTGATTCAAAAGGTCTTGGCATCCATTTGCGCCGCCTGCAGATGTGGATGTTGATCAAGTCATGAATCTATGTCATAGCATCACGCAAACCATCGAATAAATGAGACAAAGAGCACTTGAGTGTTTTCACTACCACTAAAGTAGTGCTGAATATTTTTTCTGGTGTCCCTGGGGAATATATCCATGACATTCATTGTTGATAAATTCATGAGGAACGAAAGAATTGGCCTGCTTCAAACGTTAGATGAAATTGGATTGAGGTATTCTTAAAAGCAAAGAGAATTTTCAAGATTGAGACGCATATCATTCATAAGCTCAGACTACATGTCGTGCATCTTAAATATGTAAATTTGGCAAGTCGGGCTGTTTGAATGCGTACATATATGTGTGAAGTGGATCGAGGTTCCCGGCCGACAGTTGCAAGCTATATATATATCCCGACAACCTTGGAAGCGCCTATACATGCAACAATTGATCCCCCAGTAATGGAACAACCGTGCATTGCATACTTAATCAATTGATGTTTACGGGTCCCATGGACTGGCACATTTAAACCACAGTCTCAAGTTTTAGATTAAGGTCAAGATTTAGAACGAAAAAAGGAAAAGCCTCTGTTCACGAGAACGCAGAAACCATTTGAATTGAACTGTTTCTATACACATTCCAACCGCCCCATCGCACCATGGAAGGGAATCTAACTGAATCCGGGCGTGAATGCCATATGCTTGACGCCAAACAAACATCTTGGGCAGTGAGATGAAGCGGGGAATAAATGAAGTTGAACACGAAGTCCAACATTTAGACGGCGGAGAGATCGCCGAAACGCTCCTACAAGACACAACATCATCAGCATACCATTACGAGTTTGATTAGAATCCAGGTCTGTACGTACCTTGTAACCCGGGGGCATCCACTTGCCCTTGGAAACAAGGGAAGCGGTCTTCTCGTCGATCTCGGGCTGAGCGGCGGCAACCTCGTCCTAAAGATAAATGATAAGTAACCAAGCATAGCAAAAAAGCCGATACGATGTGTACGTACGACAGTGAGGTCCTCGAAGGGACGGGCAGTCTCGATGTTCTGCAAGGTCTTCTGGAGGTTAACAAGCTCGGCCTCAACCTTGCCCTTGGTCTGCTCGGCGTTCTGGATGGCCTGGGCCTCGAAAGCGTCGATGGCCTTCAGCTGGCGGCTGACATCGTAGGAAGCGGGCTTGAAGGTCTTGAAGTGGTTCTCGATCTCGTCGACAATAGCCTGGTTCTTGAGGACCTTGCGGTAGTGGGAGAAGTCGACAGTCTGGGGCTGCTCGGACAGGAGCTGAACCTTGCGGCGGGCGTCATCGTTGCGCTTCTTGAAGGACTGCAGAGAAGCGGCGGTCTGGCCGCGCAGACCGAGGGAGGTGGTCACCTTGGTCCAGTCGACCTTGAGAGCGGCGCTGCGCTGTTGTTCGGGTAAGGGATGTTAGCGGGTGCTGGTTCCGGGCCGGATGACCGGAGAATATTGCGCCGATCAGCAGGGAGGAGAACGTACAGCTGCCATTGTGACGGGAGGGGTTATGGGGTGGTGAGGTGGAGGGAAGAGGGGGGAGAGTTCGATGTGCAGGGAGGTGCCGGACAGGCGAGTTTGACTCGGAAAGGTTTGGATGCGGGAAACACGTGACCATCCGGCATCCGAGCATCGGCCACTTGTATACTACATGATACCACCATTAGATCTCTATGAACATGCATTTTGCATTGATACATTTATTTAATTATTCATTTATTGCTTATTGAAGCGTCTAAATTTTTGGAATAGGTTTGAAAATTATTTTGGGTCGGTTCAATTCCTTTTTTGAATTCGAATTGTTTACAGGGCAAGCTAGGATATCTCCTGCTGCAAAACCCAAGCCACTCATGAGATTCGCGACTTATTCACGCTAAGGATAGTTCATCATATGCTGAGAGCCATGATGGAGTTGACAATATCGTTGTCGTTCTCCCGCAGGGCCTTGACAGCCTTCTTGCGGGAAACGCTGGCCTGAGCCATGACAAGGTCGATGTCCTTGCCCTCAAGGCCAGTCTCGTCAACCTCCTCACCATCATCCTCCTCTTCCTCCTTCTTGGGAACAGCCTCGCCAAGGTCGGTAATGGGGGCCTTGTGGTCGTGGTCGTGGTCGTGGTCGTGATCGTGACCGGCGTGCTCACCGGCAGCCTCAGCGGCAGCGAGCTGCTGGGCAGCGGAAGCCTGAGCCTGGGCGTTCAAGTCCTCAATCTTGGCCTCACCGAAGATGCTGAGAAAAGCATTAGCATTTATTCCTTCGCATTGGCAGCGATAACATACATCCAGGTGTTGCTGTTGGGGGAACGGTAGACATCGGGCTGGTTAACGACGAAGAGGATCTGTGGAGAAATCAATTAGTCTCCTGAATGCAAATTTTCAATGACGCAGGTTGCCAGTCATGATGGATGAATGCGCCATGCTGCAGCACTCTTTCCGAACCAAAAACGACACCAAATGCACATACGTTCTTGGGGCGGCGGAGGGTAACACGGGTGATGCCGGGGACCTGCTTCAGACCAAGCTTGGCAATGGCCTTGCGAGCCTTCTTCTCGTTGCGAGAGTGGATGGTGACGGAGGCACCACCGGGGATGGAGGGCTCGGCCTCACCGTCAGACTCGGAGTCGCTCTCAACGGTGTTGGGGACCTCCTCATCGGGAAGCTCTTCAACGCGGGGGTCGGCCATTGTGAATGTATGTGGAGGTGTCTAAATGACAGGAATAAATATACAGCGTCAGTGTAAGCTCAATTCGAGTGTCGAGTGTGTTAAAGGTGGTGAGAAGTGGGAGGGTGGGCGTATAGTGGGAGAACCGAACAACCCCCACGAATCGCACAACGGGCGGAAAATGACGATTTCGGGTTGTGGAAATTCGATATTGAGGACTCTAGATTCATTCAACGCACCTGAAAGACGGATATCGAGCTGTGGTGGAAAAGGGTGGATTTTGTCAAGGCGTGAGATCGAAGAAGCCGTGAGCTGTGCGGCAAGACTGACCGAAAATCGTTAGCGAGGCGGTTACACCCACCCCGGACTCCCACACATTGCCCTATAACTATGCCAATGCAAGATAGTTCTATATGCTTTATAACGTCACTTTAAATCGATTTCAATCATATCAACTTTCAATTTTTACAATACAGATGAATACAGAATTTTTGGGTTCTACACAAATTTGCTTTCCTCGATTCTTTTTCAGGTCCAGGAAAGAAATCCTGATTCTATAGAAAAGAAAAAAAAGTAGCCAACGGGCCTAGAACACAAAACATTGACACCGGGGCCTTGCTGGGACTTCAAGGATTTTTGAATCATTTTTGCTGTAGATGATTAATGCATACAGCGATTTTGCTAGCAGTAGTGCCAGCTATGGAAACCCATCCCAGGACACCTCCTTCATCCTATGCACCAAAACCGTCGTAAAACATCTAAGCCTTAGTAGCGCGGACCTTAGCGAAGGACTTCTGGACCTCGTAGCGGGCCTGGTGAAACTGTTAGAACTCTGCTGGATTGGATGATAGATTGTGACCAGAAATGGTGGTATATGCGCCGAATTCTGCTGTCATCCATGGGAGATTCAACGTACCTGCTTGCGGAGACGCAGGACCTTGAAGCGCTCGAAGTCGGTCAGGTTCTTCCGTCGCTGGACACGGTCGGTCTTCTGGGCGAAGTTGCTCTTGGACCACTTGGCATCGATCTCGTTCTTGGCCCAGAGCTTCTTGACGGGGCCAGTACCGGCAGCACGGGGAAGCGCGGGAATGGTGAAGGGAGTCAAAGTGGCGTGGGCAAGGGCAAGAACGTGACGGGGCACGATCTTCTGCTCCTCGCTGGAGGGACCGTCAACCAGGACCTGTACACGAAAGACAGTCAATAACACAATTCATAGACAATTTGTCGCATATTCGCCTCCCCTGGAGTATCCTCTTCTTGGTCGTCTCCTGGCTTCTTCTCTTTGGCGGACTCTTTCGGGGGGAGTGATTTGGACGGCTGGCAATGCGGAATTTTCAACATACACGGCGGTGGTCGACAATCTCAACAATAGCGGCGAGCTTGCCAGCGAAGGGACCGCTGCGGATCAGGACAAGGCGGCCAACCTCGACCAGCTTCCACGAAGCGAGCTTGACATCGATATCGGCCATGGCGAAGGCTGTCTGTAAAATCACACGAATTCAGCGATTTGTTCTTTAGATGTGTATGCGGTCACACTCACGGTCGACGGGTTAGGATGAGTCGGAGGGTTGTTGTCGAAGAAAGTCGGATACTCAAAGTTGCCTTTGCGAATTTCGGATGTGCCCACACAATTCTCGCTTAGCGGGCCACTCGTGGCTGGTCTAGGGTTCACTTATGTCAGCAGGCCAGATCGTATCGGGCCTTCTATTTATCCGGCGCGTCGCTTTTATTGAGTTTTTTTTTTCTTCCTAACAACTAATTTGATCTTCATGATCTACTCCAACGAGCAAAATGGTGCTCTTCATCACGGAATATCAATCAACAATCTCAACAACTTTATTCGACTAACATCTCTGTTCCATACAGATTACATTAATGGTACGTTTGAGATCGGTCCCAACTTTGCCTTTGCACTACACTTCGAATGATGCGGTAATTTGCGATTGACCCGGTGTCTGTGGACCTCTCGCCGGAGGTTCTATACAGCACTGATGGATGATATTTAATTTCTTACATATTCTGACTCCTTGTTTCTCAAACCATTGTGATTCATGTTTGCTTTGTTGGTACATCCAGCTAACTTTGCTCGAAGATTCTCCAGATATTGCCACTCATCTTTCACCAATCTTTCGACTTGATCTCTTACTGGGTATGTTTCATGACCCTCTGCTACTTCAACATCATCCACCTCCCCCGGTTCAATGATTAAAAACTTTATCACGCCTAGATAGTAATTGAGCTTCGGCAATGATATTACCTTATCACCAAGATCTCTGAGAACCTTACACATGCCACATTTCTTGTTACATGAACTAGTTGGACTTGCCTCTGACTATTTATAGGACTTCTTTTTTCAACTCCACTTCCCTTAGTTTAGCTCATGCATTTCAATATAACACTATTCTATATGATCACTTTATCTTTCTACTCCGTACTTGTGTTCTAAACATCAGCACTGAATACCTCGCTGTGAACATGTAGATAGTTTTGATTACAATAAGTCGTGCTATATCGTGACTATTGAGGCCGTATAGTATGAATCCAAGACGCCGACTGCTGCTGATCAGCCTTTCATCCTGCCATACCAGCCAAACCTTCCCCTGTTTCCGTCTATACCTTAAATGAAACTCCCCGGTATTGACTGATCAAGAGCTTTCCTTCGATGCCAACGCCGATGGACCCTCGCGACTGAGAACCCACATGAAGATAAACTGAATGACATACGAGTAGACAAACAAGAACTGCGTGCGACGGTTACGCTGTCCCCGGGCCACAGTTTGCATGCCACTCTGCATAGTAGAGTCGGTCGAGTCGGGAAGCAAGACGTACTTCAACGAACGGAGCTATTCAAGGCGGGTTAGCACAAGTCAGCACTAGATAAGCGTGGCGGTGTATATCAACTCACCAAGAAGAATGCATTCGCCAAGAATGTGTATACAAAGACAGTCCAACCGACCCAGCCTCCAGTCCCTCGGCCGGGCATCAGGATCTCCGATGCAACCAACGTAGCAATGATACCGACGAACTTATATCCCGAGTACGCCACGAGATCCAGCAGCTGCGAGTCATTGTTGATGCTGAGGATGTACATGGCCATCTTCAAGCAAAGAATCTCGAAGATGATCACCGCAATGGCCGTTGTAGTGATCGAACCAAGCAGCTCCGGGTGGAAGTTGCCTCGAAATCCGGCCAACAATACTGACAAAAGAATGTATGTGACCACAGCCATGACGGGGATGTACATGTCGGGTGAGTTGAGGTCGTCTCGCGGAGGCAGAAACATGGACGAGTATTGTTGCTGCATGATCTGGCCATCTGGACCAGCAGAAACGGGCATGCGGGCTTGTTGGCGGGACCAAGGCTTGTGTCTCCAGGGGAATAGGACGAGGGCGAGCTTGTTCAGGACGTAGGAGTTGGAGACGTTGAAGTAGTGCTTCAGGGCTGGTATGGAAACATAGCGATTGAACTGTGAGTGAAGGGTTAGCAATTCATGATGGATATATTGTAAGTCTTAGATGGGGCCTTACATTATGTTCCATATACTCCTGTCCTGCCATCATCGCACTCTTGCCAACCTGGAAGCCCATCTGGGCTGTTGGGTCGGTCATGAACTGGCCAAAGCCGGGGCCACCGGCATAGTTTGCATTACCACCCTGAGCAGGTGAAGACTGGTAAGGGTTGCCTCCATAACCGGCATTAGGGGTCTGTTGAGAAGTAGGTGGGGGTGGTGAGCGCATCATGGGCACGGTCGACACATGTTGCGGGACAGGGTGGTGAAGAGGCGGCGACTGCGCGGGCGGTGGTGCGAAGGAGCCGCGATACATAATGTTCCTGGTGAGACAGGGGAGATTCAAAAAGAATGCACCAGGTGAGTCAAATGACTGCTTGCTGTGTCGAAGGGCGAAGTTCGGGGGGTGAGGAAGGTGGGTGTAAGTCGAGAGAAGTGTTTATACGTGGCTGAAGATCCCGTAGTGTCTCCGAGCTCTCGAACCATCGCTTTTGCCCGAGCCGCCACCACCAACTTCCTTCTCTTCCAACGTTTCTTTTCTCTCACTGATACCCCCATTTCGCTCTTGATTATTGCATTCGAGCCAGTCTCAAAATGCTCGAGGCTTTTGAAATTCTTACCACCTCCGGTGTTGTACTATGGTCCAAGTCCTACGCTCCTGTGGGGTCTCATGTCATTAACAGCCTGATCAACGACGTTTTTATCGAGGAGAAAGTCGCGCCCCAAAGCGTCTCAGCTACAGGAGTTTCTCCGATATTTAAGAAGGAAAAATATACGCTCAAATGGAAGCGGGTCAAGGAATTCAATTTGATCTTCGTGGTACGTCCCGCTCGTCGCATTGCCGATCATGTCGCAAAACTGACCATACTATCTACAGGCAGTCTACCAATCACTGCTTCACCTCGGATGGATTGACAAGCTCCTGGAAAACATCTCGACTATTTTCATCGACGTCTACAAGGATCAGCTCCAGGGCAACCGCTCCAGAATCACCACCTACCGATTCGAGCCCTACTTTGAACAGCAAGTGCGAGAGCTCGAGGATAATACTGGTGGTGCCTCAGAGGTCTACACTGTTGAGACTGGTGACAAGAAGGATCCGCTTGTCTCATCGGACAATGGAGGCCCGCCACCGCCGCCGATTCCTGGCCTTATGAAAGGTATGCGTGCAATGACCCATGCCTTTGAAGTTTACAAGCTGACAACCTTCCAGCGCAGCATCAAGCTGCGCTAGCCGGGACTACCTCTGACGAGGGTACGCCACCGGCAACTCCTGATACTTCTAGGTCTTCAACTCCCCTCGCCAGCCACATCCTCACCGGAAAAGCTGGTCCTGGCGGCCGAGGCTCTCGCCGATCGCGCAAAGCTGCGAATTCGAGCACCAACGCTTCGTCAGGCGATGAGGTTTCGCGCAAGGCAAAGCCTGTTAAGGGTTCTGCCAAGAAGATGCGTAAATGGGATGCCAGCGGGTTCGCTGACGAGGATGATGGTGAAATTTTGGATTACTCCGCTCCGGCTGGTGATGGGGAAGCTTCTGCTCCTGCTGTAGAGGCTGTCGCGCCGGAAGACTGGGGTCGCAAGACTGGCAAGGGTGAATTTGTCCTGAAAGACTTGGGCGACGAGGTTCACAACATTTTGGACAATGCCGATGCGGAAAAGAGCAAGGGAGCTGCGACTGGCTTCCTTGGTTCTGGCTTCAATGCCGTTGGTGGTCTGTTCCGTAACATTGTTGGTGGTAAGGTCCTTACGGAGAGCGACCTCCAGAAGCCACTCAAGGCGATGGAGGATCATCTCCTAAAGAAGAACGTGGCTCGTGAAGCTGCCGTGCGTCTCTGCGAGGGCGTGGAGCGTGAATTGGTCGGCAAGAAGACCGCAAACTTCCAAAGTGTCGATGCAGCATTGCGTATCGCCATGGAATCATCTCTGCGAAATATCCTGACGCCCACATCCTCCTTGGACCTATTGCGTGAGATCAATGCTGTGACCGCCCCAACCACCAAACAGCAGGCCCCTCGGCCCTACGTCATGTCTATCGTTGGTGTTAACGGTGTTGGAAAGTCCACCAATCTCAGCAAGATCTGCTTTTTTCTCTTGCAGAATAACTACCGCGTTCTCATTGCTGCCTGTGACACCTTCCGTTCAGGTGCAGTAGAGCAGCTTCGCGTTCACGCCCGCAACTTGAACGAGCTTAGCTCCCGAGAGAATGTCGGTCAAGTTGAGCTCTACGAGAAGGGCTACGGCAAGGATGCTGCCAACGTCGCCAAGGACGCCGTTGACTACGCTGCAAGCCAAAAGTTCGACGTGGTCCTGATTGATACCGCCGGCCGACGCCACAATGACCAGCGACTCATGTCTTCGCTGGAGAAATTCGCCAAGTTCGCTAATCCGGACAAGATTTTCATGGTTGGCGAGGCTTTGGTTGGAACGGACAGTGTCATGCAGGCTCGTAACTTTAATCAGGCCTTTGGAACAGGTCGGAACTTGGACGGTTTCATTATCAGCAAGTGTGACACTGTAGGCGATATGGTTGGTACCCTGGTCAGCATGGTTCATGCCACTGGTATTCCCATTGTCTTCTTGGGAGTGGGACAGCATTATGGTGATTTGCGTGGACTGAGTGTTCCTTGGGCTGTCAACCTGTTGATGAAGTGATTATAGGCAGACGACTCCTGTCCTTTTCGACATTATTTTTCGTTAATCAACTGCAATCCTATTTCAATGCGTCTATAAGCCTTGCTAAGTAGCGAGAAATAAACATTAAATCTTCCTCATCAGTCCTCACCTACTCGGACATTCAACCATTTCGCCATAGAGAGGATTGGCAACACGACCTAAGGAAACCTTTGGGAAACAGCAACTCTGTGTCTGTTGGATACAACAGATTGTTAGCTAAATAGCTGACTGGACGAGCAGAGCCTATCGGTCTTGTCTCAGGGCTGGACATTGATTTGGATATGACTGCATTCCAAAGACATGGTTCCTGCCAGTTGGCTTCTCATTTCGAGAGCCTTGGCTCAGGGTTAAGTAAATGCGTGTTTAAATTCGGTCTACATAGGTATGTTTCTAGTAGCAGAAAAGTATATTGTAAGTTTGGTTGTACCTATTCATCTACTGCTATACCATATGGTATGTAGCTACATTCATCCCAAGTTTAAATGCGTCGTACAAGACAGCAAATGGAGTACCCTAGAATACTGTAGACTTCGATTAGAAAAGAATATTGATCTGATTTAGTAAACTCATGCGTATAGTCTCTTTGGAGATTCACATTCGGAAAATTTTTTCGTTATGTATTACTTGAAATGACCATGCTGTCTCTCTGAATACCTGCGCTATCCTGGAATCTCCATTCCCGAGACTTCATTTAGCCATATTTTCATCCGATATCAACAAGGCCGGCTGGCCCAATGGCAAGGCGCTTGACTACGAATCAAGAGATTGCAGGTTCGACCCCTGCGTCGGTCAATTTTTTAGTGTTTTTGTATCCGGAATAGCGTTTCGATGGCCTGTAAACGTTGGGTGGTGGTTTCGGCTTCTAAGCATGAATCTAGACTAATGTTGGCTGAGGTCTCTATAATCTGTATCGTATCTATTACCTGGGAATAATTCATAACCTAAACTATCATAGTATTCAATCTGGCGCGACCGGACTCCTATTCTAAATTTTCACTCCACTTTGTGTGTTCTAGGGCAGTTTGGTAGGTGTGGATATAGATGTGGGTCTGCCGTTAAACTGCAGAAACCTTATGGAAAACCTCGATGCCAAGGCTGCATTATCTCCGTCTTTGCATATGGCTACATAATGGAAAAGGAACCTTTTGTATTATTGTAATAGAAGTTTTACCCGAACAGGGTTCGACCACTTAGAGGAATGGCATCTATAAGCAAATCATATTGTTAAGTATAACATCCTTTAGTAAATAGCCCTCACTATAGTAGCTTTTTCCCTATTCCTCTTCAATTTTCTTCTTCTCCGCTCATTCATTCTCTTCCTCGTCACCCATCACTAGCCTGATCGACGAATACAGAGATTCCAGCTTCCTTGTCTCGGCAATCTGATCATCAGCTCTTATCAGCTATATTTACTCAATTAGCATAGTGACAAAAGCTGCACTAGAAACTATATCAGCTTTGGCCTAGATGGGCCAGCACGTTCTGTATCACTAGTAACCGAAACCAGAAGATTATATGGATAGGATTCTGTACTAACACACCTACCAAGGAGTTTTCACATGTACGGTCATCCTCAGATAGATTTCTTATACATATTAAGGCCAAAGAGAAGACTGTGGATATTTGCTGGTTTCCATAAACAAGGATTAGATCCATTATTTAGAATGATCCTGTAACAGCGACAAGAATAAGCAGTTTCGCCTTGCGGCACCAACAATTCCGGATTTTTTTGGACTGCTTGTCGACAAAGACTGTGAGATTATTTGGCTATCGACTCCACACTGTGTCCCGCTCCACGACCTCTGAAGCACAACTCGTATATTTAATAGAATGGGGTGGGAATTCTCCAACGAATCTGACCTGGCGCTGGTATGGGGGAGGTTCTTTTTGAACCGGTCATGCGATTCTCCCTAACGATATATAAACTTTGGCATATATCACTTGTGGCTGGTCAGCAGATATCATCCAATAAAATACATATTCGAGTGGAAAACAGACAGATGGCTTTCTGATACGGTATGATCGCTAATTTGGGTGTTCGTCACACTGATGCAAGCGCCAGCGTATTCCATCACCCTCTGTATAGATAGAGTTCAATCTTCCATGCAAAAATCATATAATGGCCACAAACAAAAACACCAAAAAAAGTTGACCGACGCAGGGGTCGAACCTGCAATCTCTTGATTCGTAGTCAAGCGCCTTGCCATTGGGCCAGCCGGCCTTGTTGATACAAACAGTCCACTAGTGATTCGTAATCCAGAAAAATTCTTCGGGCCCCACATTGCCGTTTGCGGGATGCAGCCCTACTAAAGACGCTAATCCTAATTAGGCAGTTTATGCCACAAGGTGTGCCAGAATCCAGAGGTCAAGTGAATAGTAATTGAACATTGTAAATATGGTAGGTCACTGGCTGTGTTGACAATTGAGGCATTAGCTATAGATACCCTAACTTAAGGTCCTGGTTTACAGGCGTATTCGCTAGAGTATTGGTTTTTTCTATTCTAATGGCAGCTGATTAGAGCGCAAGTATATCTTTGGCGTTATTTCTTCTCATTTCTCTTGATATTTCCCCTGTAGTCTTAGTTCTCCTATTGAAAAGACTAAATTGCCTCGTCAAAATGACTTAAATTATCAGTTTGGTCATTGTGAGGTGATTTGCCAGCAATTGAAACCCTTCCCCCAGCTTTGCGAAAGGAGCTACTGCGATGATCACTATTGTCAAGCTTGAAACTCTAGGGGATACAGAAACGAAAGCAAAAGAGAAGGTAAATTAAGAGGTAAGAGAGCAAGCAAGGAACATGTCCTCGCCAGTTACCATCCTCCGCCTCTACATCACGCAATTGGTAATCAGGCAAGCCAGCTGCTTCAGTCTCGGTGGTCTATGGTATATTGAAGGACCAGAACTAATGAGCTTGAGAATTGTAATAATAAAAATAAAAAGTTTCAACATAGCCATCGACCAATCAATTGAAATCTGGCAATGGAATAAAAAGAAATCTCTCCCTCGGGGAATCGAACCCCGGTCTCCCGCGCGTATCAGTGTTAATGACAAGCGGAAATCATGACCCCTAGACCAAGGAAGATGTATTAGTCGAGTTACCACTCGACCACTTGGTACTGGTTAATACGAGTTTTCTCTTGTTTTGCTATATATACGTTTGCTTGGAAACTAAGAGAAGTTTCGCCATTTAACACACTCAATGTGAGTAAAATGGGTAGGGTCAGTCAAGGATCTTTTCGACCCTAAGCCTTTTAATATCATAATGGCTGAATTCATAGTTTTTGAGTAATGGCGTAGATGGTTTCCACCTTATCATGTGCATGTGGCATGTGAAAATATATATTTGTGATTCCCATCCACATATATTCCAGTCTATGGATGTTGAACTTTGGAAATCGCATATGCAAACGTTGAAGTCAACATCAAAAGATTCCAAGATTGAAGAACAGAAGCCTCAGAAATCCCTCCAAGAGCCTTTCAAGAAAGGTAGTCGAACGACGCAATACACTTAAATTCAATGCACCTTGAGGTCCACCACTCTATGAATGTCGTGAATATCCTCAGCAGCCAACCAAAGTATCCTGTTTAGTAGGCCTTGCTGGCCTTGTGTCTCTCGGCTCTTCCTGGTCATAATGGTCGTCGTCAAAGGTTGTATTCTGCTCATTCTGGTTGTCAAAATCCGTGCTGTTGCCACCCGTGGACTCGTATGTCATGTTACTCCCAGATGTTTGATCCTCCTGGGAGACCATGTTGGGTGATGAATTATGGTCATCTGCAATTAGATTATCAAAACATGAAGGAAAGAATACTCACCATGGTCAAAATAAGATCGAGATTGAGCTTCTTTGCTAAGTTTGAGACTCACCTTTATTCATGTCGTCATCTGTATTATACTGGTGGCCATCGACAACCTCTTCAGATTTCTGTTGCATCTCTGACATGTCTGCTAAGACACGATAGGCGATCAATAAGATTCTCGACCACAAAGAATTCAAAGAAACAAAGATGAGTAAGATTCGTGATAATTGTATTGTAGGAAACGATTTTGCTATATCGAGGCTTTAATCTCAATTCCAAGTATACAGCAATGACGTATTATCAAGGTTTTTGTGGGGTAAAGCGTCATTATATGATCATGCGACAGGGGAAAATCTTTTATGGGAGGCACCTGATTCTAAATATTATTAACATACTAGATCCATTCCCTGGAAGAGGCGACTGTTCCGGTTGCCGGCGCAGCCAATCAACGTAACGGAATTCATTGAACTGTATCACTGCCTTTCTTATCGCGTTCATACATTTGCCATACCAACGCTAATGTAGTTGAAATATAACATAAAGACATCCCAATTTGTAATATCTACTCACATTTCCCTCAGCCATGTTACAATTATCCCTCTTGGAAGGTCCATCGTTCGCTTTGGACATAAAGTCCAAACTTGCTAAGGTCTCCTCCACCTTCTCCGCCTTTATAGTTGGCTTTGTTTCAACATCACGAACCCAGGTTATAATATATACTTCAGATCCTGACAATTGCCAGGAAATCATCGCTTTCTCATATTGACTATAGTTGATCTCGGCGTATTGACTAGATCCGTACTAATGGTTTAAATCTGTTTGGCCAGACCATGATTACTCATCGAGCTCCGCATGCGCTTACATCATTAATTCCCTTCCCCAATTCGTTTGCCTTTGCTTCATCCTCATCCAGTAGCTCCTATTCAAGCGGTAGCTCGTCAATCCCGCCCCCTTGAGCTTGGATATACAACTGTGGAGTATTTATGCTCTTATACGTGTTATTTTGATCCTTAAGTTCTCCTTGCGAATATCTGCGAGTCCTGCACGAACCCGGCATTGCGGCTACGATCGGTGCACCAGCCTTCTCCAATCGAGGCTGCGAAACACTCCGACTAGCCTCAATACTCTCTTCTTGACTTCAAAATGTCAGCTCCCGATCGGCGCCTCTTAAACCGCCGCTCCTCTACCCAACACTACCAGACTTTTGATACCCCGCCGCCCAAGTCACGCGGCCGACCCAACTCCGGCCAGTCAGGATCATCGGAGGAAATAGCACACATTATCACTGATGCCCCTCGCCCACAAATTGTCCAGTCTCCATTGCCCAAGCGGCAGATGGCAGTACTGGCGATGATTGCCTTGGCCGAACAAACCGCACTGAACTCGATCAGTCCTTATCTTCCCGACATGGCCTCGACTTTCCCGGAAGTGGAGTCTAGCCAGGTGGGCGTTTACGTTGGAACAATTGCATCGGCGTTCGCGTTGGCTCAATTTGCTACAAACTACTTCTGGGGAGCGTTGTCCGACCGCATTGGTCGGAAGCCAGTCATTCTTCTTGGTACTTTGCTTACCGCACTGTGCTTCGTTGCCTTCGGATTCTGCAAGACTCTCGGTCAAGCTATCGCCGTCCAGGCACTGATGGGTCTTGTCAATGGCAACCAAGGCTTGGTTTCCACATGTCTGGGAGAGATCACCGACCGCAGCAACCAGTCACAAGCTTTCACCTGGCTTCCCGTTCTATATGGAATCGGAGGTATAACAGGCCCACTCTTGGGAGGATTGCTAGTTCTTGAAAACAACCCATTTACCGGAAAGAAAAACCCATACCCATACCTTGCTCCGAATCTGGTTTCCGCTGTTATCCTTCTTGTGGATTTTGGATTGGCGGCTTTCTTCATGGAGGAAAGTTTGGAAGATGCAGGGAGTTTACCAAAGCTGACCAAGAAGGTTCGCAACCTTTTTGCCTGGCTCTGGCAGTTCACTGGGCTCTCGCGTCACCCGACCTACCTCCGTCTTCCTACACCCACAACTCACCATTCAGTCGAGAATGAGGACCACGATAGTGATTTGGATTCAGCTTCGGAAGTGTCGAGCCGCCTTGAGCACCACGAGGAGTTGACATGGGACGAAATTTTCAATCGCGACACTCTTCTACTACTTTTGACATACTTGATTTTTGCTCTGTGCAACGTCTCATTTAATTCGCTGTTCCCAATATTCGCGCAAGCTCAACCACCAGCTGGACGTAAGCTCACACCTTCTGAGATTGGCCTTTCTCAGGGATTTGCCGGTATCGTGACAATAATTTTCCAGATTTGCGTCTTTAATCGCCTTCGCGACAAAATGGGTAATCGGTGGTCCTACCGCGCAGGCCTTTTCGGCTTTGTGCTCTCTTTCCTCCTGATGCCCTTCATCGGTTACAAGAGCGAAACTGGCAAAGGACTTACTCGCCAATCCGCACTGATGGCCATGGAGTTATGTTTCGTGCTTCTGGTCAAGACTGTCGCCTCTGTTGGTGGTCTGACCAGTGCTCTGTTGCTAATCACCAATTCTGCGCCGAACCACGCTGTCCTGGGTGCCCTCAATGGTCTTGCGCAGGCTCTTTCCGCTGGCGGACGTGCTCTGGGTCCCTTTCTATCCGGAGGACTCTTCACCCTGACATCGAAGATCCAGCCGAAGGGCGAAGCCGTGGCCTTTGGGGTTTTCGGAGCTGTCTCTTTCGTCGGATTCGTCATGAGTTTCGGCATTCGTGGCCGTGCTCTTGAAGCAGAAGGCTGGGCGAGTGATAGTGACGACGCGGCCTACAAGTCCGACGACGACGAGCCGAACATCACATAACCATATGGCATGTGCAGCGCAGCGCAGAACGACGTCATGACAATCTCTTTCTTGGCCTTTCTTTTTTTGTCTTTTTTTCCCTAACCTTATCCCGTAAATACACTATAAATACACTAATCAACTCCGTCGAGGGGTTGATAAGCATACTCGGCCAGCCTGGTCGGGGTGGCGTTTGTTTTGTTTTTCTTGGTGACCAACTTTGGCACACATCAGTGAGCAATTTTCTTCCTGGGCGGCTGCTTGTCTTACATTTGTTCATTTACATTTATATATCTTACATCTTTATCAATAAAAAGTTTCTAATCTAAAAAGTTTTCAATATATTTGTTCAAAGTAGTATCTTGGTAATATGGAACTTGTACTGGTCTACTTATGCTTTCACTTTCCGATTGATCAAAAGGTCATTCGTTAGTTTAGAAATGAGCCTCTCGAATGTAGATCTTTTTTTCTTCCGGGTATCTGAGAATGGACTATGCCAAGATTTACACTTGAGAAGAACCCAAAGGACATCGCGACGACATCCACACCACCCAAGTAAATGCAACAAAAACTATAAGGAACCGTAGAAGAAATTGTGAAAGTGATAAATGATATACCATTTAATCAGTTCCAGGTACCAGAATTACGAGACTAGTGATAATTCTAAATAGCAAATCACATAGCTTCCAAAACAGCAACACAATTGCACCCACGGGATCCGATGTAAGGTGTTTCTCAAGCCTCCTCCAATTTACCCACGTCACTTGGAGTAAGTTTAAGCATCAGCGGGGGTTTATCCCACAAAGTATACGACTTCTGATCCATCCAATCAACATTGGGCTCGGCTAGCTCCATATCAAAGTTGACAATCGTTCTAGCGAGCATCAAACGCATCTCAACATATGCCAGACTAAGAGAATAGATAAAGGGTCAGCAAGACATCAATACTTTCACTTGAAGAAAACTACATACTTGCGACCAATACAATTTCTTGGACCAAAGCTGAAGGGCTGTAGTGCATTTCGATTGTCGGATGCGAATCGAGGATCATCAAGATGGCGCTCAGGGATGAAATGTTTCGCATCCTTGAAATTATTCTCGGAGGCATACGTAGCCGCATGAGAAATTGAGACAATTACCTATGAATTTGTTAATTTTCGAGATTGAGATTAGAGTAGTGGTTGAACTTACACCTCCTGGTACCCAGTTGCCTTCCACAGTGTCACCTTGTGCATCCATAATACGAGGTAAACCAATGGCAACAGGTGGATACAGTCTCAAACCCTCAGTCAAGCAAGCCTGCAGATAAGGAAGTTGATTACATAGTTCCAGATTGACCTCCGCATCCGACTTGAACGCTCCACGGACCTCCGCCTTTAGCTTGGCTAGTGTATGGGGGTTTTTCAAAAGGAGATACGTTACTCCCGAGAGCAACGTAGCAGTAGTTTCCGAGCCAGCGATGATCAACACGTTTGCATTCGAGTAAAGCTCGCCCTCACTGAATGCCTTCGACGGATCCTTCTGTTTGAGAATGTTCGCAAAGAAATCAGGTCGCTCATTGGTTTTCCCCATCCTGATTTGTGTCTTTTCCTTTGTCAATCTTCGATGATCCAGCTGAGACTCGATAAGTGATTTCGGAGTAAGCAGATTTGCAAGCGGCTTCAGGTAAGGTACGCGGTACATAGCGCCAATTATAGCTCCAGCCTTGACACCTTCGAAGATCATTCTGACCCAAGGGTGATAATCCGAGTTCGCAAGACAATCAAATGGCTCACCGAATGACAGATCTCCGATGATGTCAAATGTGGTGAAATTAAACCAGTTGACGATATTGACGGGCGTAGTGCCGCCGTGTGAGATCTCTCGTAAACGCTGCATGAGTAGATCGATATAGCCCTGAATTATAGGCTCTTGTCCACGCAGGGAGCTATCTGAGAAAGCATGAGATAGCGCGCGACGGAAGCGGGTATGATCGACGTCGTTGGCGGAGACGATGTTTGAGCAACCGTCGATGTCAAGATGATAGAAGTCTTGATCCTTTGCCTTTTGGCCGTGACCTGGTCGAGTGCCGTAAATAGGCTTCCAGGCATCACCATTGGTGACAAATGAGAGCTCGTTAGGGCCGATTCGAACAACAGGACCGTATTTCTCATGTAAATCTGTCATTACTCGATGGGCCATACCGGATGACACCATGCGCACATTGGGAATACGTGTTGCCGCCATCGATTTGGGGCCTGGGTATTTGGCCAGAGGGTGGAGGTAGATATTGTAAAAGAAAAGACCGGCGAGGCATATTGGTATCTTATACGCGGTATGAGGTTAGCAAGTCGGATCAGCTTGGATTGAGTGGGACGGAGGAGATGCCTACTAATGAGAGACATGATACTAGAAGTGTCACGCCTGGATAGAAAAGCAAGCTGCCCGAATGCTCGGACATGCCTGGAATGACTGCCATAATGAGGGTGATGGAAGAAATGAGTTTTCAAGTGAGATGAAATGGACTCAAAGAAGGAACCATGAAGGATCCTGGTGTTCGACAGAGAGGCGATACTTATACACCCTCCCAGGATGTCTGGGCGTACAGACCAGATGCGGCCCGGGGGTAATACTTCACAGAAGCGAGTCATTAGATCCAGCCCGGAGTACATAAGTCCTCAAGACCCCGCATCATGCATAACCCACGTAAAGGTCTCAAAAGAAGAGGGGTTGAGAGGACGGCCAAGAACCTGCCTTTGGAATCTGCAACCACTAAATTCAACAATGAACAAAGATTAAGTGGCGAGAGAAAATTTTGACAGCCCGAAGTATAACCAAATAGATCCTCAATTTCAACCCAGAATCTTAGGGATTTGACTTTGAATGAGACATGAAGCTGGAGCTTCCCAAGTTCATCACATAGAATTGACTCTGTCGGGTGGGGCCGTGACCTGTGGAGATTCTGCAGGCCTGGCGTGCATTGGCACATAATAAGACAGCTGTCACTGGTGGGGATATACTGCAGTGTCTTATCTAGTCATCCGACGCCTTACCCGTCGCCCTTTAATGCAAATAACCGGGATGGTATGACCCAGTTATGAATCAGCACTCAATTATAAATACCGGAAAAGCCACTTTGACACGTAGGACCCGAAATTGCCGTGTTGCACAGGCCTATTTTCATGCATCATGACACATGAGTCTTGAAGAATTAATTTATCACGAGTCATGTTCTAGATATAATGGCGCTTCTGTCCGAGGAAACCCCGATACTATACTACAAGGTCGGACTTGACATCAAATCTTCAAGAAAGGAATACAATAGCCTATCTGGTAGCCTGCCTGTGGTCCAAAACAGGCCAGGTTTGCCAACAGTCGGACTGACTTTAGCTAACGAGTACTAACCTACGGCCCGCTCGCTTAGCGATAACAGGCCCACGCTAGTAGATCTTTTGCTGGACTTGCATGTAAGAGAATGGCCAAGTGCGGAGTCGTGGATGTTGATCTAGACTCTGGGCTGTTCATGCACACTCCTGAGGTGGGGTTTCCATTATCCGAAAAAATCAATGAAAATAATCCAGCATAACTCGAGAATAAATATTTTTATATTGAAATTGGGAATCAAATTACCATCTTGTAGCTTTTGTTGGATTTTAGCATTTCTTTCTCGCTGGACCCTCATAGCATCTAATTCAGCAAATCATAGACCGTGACAGATGTGGCTGATTTTAGGCGCGTCTCATCCCGTCCCGAAGCCTGTGTACCCACCAGGTGAGATTGAATTTCGAATTTGTGGATATTGCCGGGAAAGATCTGATTTCCGTCAATTCTCAGAAGCTTATTCGAAGGGTTGTCTAAATCTGATCTAATAGACCTTGAGTTCTTCATGTACTTGGGGGCCTGCGTTTTGGATTAAATACTATTTGGAGTGACATGAAAACTGTGAAAGAAAAAAAAAAAAGGGCGCAAATGTGGATAGCGTCAAATAGCTACTAGGGTTGAAGTAGATTTCCAAGGTTGAGAGTCACTACAAGAACGTGTGTTGAGCATGTTGGGTCACTGCTAATGTGCCTTATAAAAATTTAAGGCGTCAATTTACGCCTTAAGGACAAGGCATTAAGGTATCAAGATCGAAGTCTCGGGCACAGACATATAACTGATACGTGGATGCTCATGCGGGGAATCGGTTTCTAGGAGATATAAACGGGAAAATCATGATGGATTGCTTTTCAAAGAGAATCATAGGAGGGACTCATAGCTACCAGTATCTGGAGTGTATATCAAAACACATTACTACGAGGATGGTACGGAGTATAGAGTATAAGGAGGCGATGAGCGGCCACATGGACACATAATTAAAAGAAAATCATAAATACTAGTAAGCTAATATGACAATACCCTTACTGTATGCACCTGCCCTATAGATGTACCTAACCGCTACAATACTAGATTACTATGCATATTCCAATTCATGTCTATAGTAAGTGAAAATGAATGGTCCCCCTTAATAGTAATAATCACAGTCGCTATTCCAGCTCGAATTAGATATCAGGAGAGTTGAAGCCAGCTTCCAGCTTTCCATTAAAACTGACTAAGATAAAATTTTGAAACCGACTAGTTACAACTTACACTGCATACATGTATCAATCTAAGCCTATTCGAGATGATAACCAATGATATACGTACTACATAATGTTAGATTCTAGCCTCTATAGTATTTTAATTATTACAAAACAGTGTAAAAGGGGGTAAAAAGGTATATAGAGATACAGATAGTTGTACGTGTGTAACTAGGTTAATACTAGGTGGATGGATACTATTAAAAAATAGCATCTATGAAATGCGTGGATCTTCTAATACAAGACAGTATCAAAGTGGTAAAAGCGGTGAATACTATTCATAGATAAGGTTCTGTCCTCATGGCAGCTACTCGCCCCCTGTAGGAGTTTAAGTAGTCTTTGATTCCAGCCCCCAACATTGGCACCTCTTTTCCTCTTTTCTACCTCCATCTGCGCCACCTGCTTTAATTTTCCGCCTCTAGAATGTTTAACAGTCCCTGAGATCAAGACAATTTAAGCCTTGCAGAATGTCCACAAAGGCAGTAATCAGCCTATCTGTCCATCGAATGTCAGACGCTGAAATCCGGCACCTGATCAAGACAACACCAACAGATGTACGGAAAAACTACCCGGCAATCTTCCAAACTCATGGTGGAACCAGATTAACCAGGTGATCTCTCCTTTTTATCCGGTCATCTTAGCAACATCTCCAGATGGCGTCAGGTACCTTTCAGATCAAGATTTGAAAAGTGTTCTTCCAACGTGGAAAGAGTTTCTAAATGAGAGAAACCCAAAAGACATATCTGAATTTTACAAACGGAAATATCAAAATAAGTGGCGGCAATGGATGGAAAAAGAGAAACAAAAACTGAAGAAATTAGGTCTTTCTTGGCCTAGCGAGCACAACCCAAAGCTCATCAAGAACATGGGTGAAACAAACGCTCCCACTGAGAGGCTCCATTACTTACCGAAGGATACTGTTTCCAAGGCGCAAAACACCGATCCACTCTCGAGAATGCAAGAACCTGAGAATCGAGTCAGCAAGCACCCGGTCGATGAAAGTGACGGGCCCAGCCCGCCTCGCAAAAGAACGCGCCAGTCTGCACAGGCCGGTGACTTTACTTTGTCCACCCCCTTCAGTGACATCATACCCAGTGATTCGACAATGAGTGAGGAAGAGACGTATGTATCTCCTAAGGAAAGACCCTCACCGTGAGTTACAGCTTGCTGGCCCATCAAAGACTCAATGCTGACAAAGCTTCATAAGAACCCGTGAAATCCAAGCTTCCATACCAAAGAGAACACCATCACCTTGCCTCGATAATTCTGTCTCTGGAATTAAAAAGGAGGCTTGTCGGATAAACCGAGAGCAAATCCGATGCATGGCAGAGATCTCGGAGACACTAGAGCGAGAGGTTGACCGGAAAACATTGTTTGGGCAACTGGTAACCGAACAGGAGGTTCTTGAGGATACCCATAAGGATTTGTTCTCACGTGTTCTTCATGAATACCGCGCCATTCAAAAGATATCTGGCACAAACTCGCCCATTGATTCAGCAGGGCGACGTGTGTCGAAGCAGTTCAGCGAAGTCTACGCCGAGCTAATGAAAAAGCTCAAAGACATAAAAACGCTACAGTGGCAGCAAGAGGATCAACTCAAGGAGATGGCGCATGTGCAGCGGACTGCGAACATGGAACTATTCCATCTCGAGAAGAAGTTTGTCACTGCCTCTAAACGAGTTGGGGATGTATTCAGCAAGCAGTGATTTTTTACGGGACATTTTCTGAGCAACGAGATATCTGATACCATTTTTTATACCATCCTTTATAAATTTACTCCTTTCATTCCTTAACGAAATTTATGCAATGCATTATGACTGAGGGAGCGTGAGTGACTGTAGCCTCGAAATTTCAATGCCTGTGGCATCTTTCTTCTTGCAATGACATTTCGAGGTTTCGATATCATTATCAGACATCATTATGAAAATGCCACATTATCAAAGTCGCATCTTCATCAAAGGCATCATTATCAAAGTGGTAGCATTATCATATAGTATGAAGAGCCTTACTAGATCAATATTATTATATGCCTGAAAACCAATAGAGTTGCCTGGCAATAATCCTGGAGAGAAAGCCGGGACTTCCCATAAACTAAAAAGAGGAAACCAAACAAGTCGGGTGATACGATAGCTTGTCGCTAAAGTCTCTTGAAGTGAGTGTTGTGCTTCGCACCAAAGCACCCAGCTTTCTAAATATCTCCTAAGGTTCGGTTTTCATTTCTCACCTTCTTCTCCTTCCATCTTCTCCGTCCTCGCTTAGGTTCGGTTTTTTTTTTCTCTCCCACCCTCCCCTCCCTCATCTCGTTCACCGTTTTTACGTACTTCCCCGCACATACACAATACTCGATATTCTCATTTTCATACATTTCTACTTGACCAGCGTGTCGGACTGCGAGACTCGCTATCCGCAGCTGGCCAAATTGATACTGATATCTAAAACTTCACTCCCATCTTCGGTGAGCCTAATTTCATCCCACACATCATCAAAAACTTACATTTGATTAGCTTGTATCCTTTCACCCTGAAGAACTGTTTCTCCACTGCATCAGTAATCATTACCACAGATACAGTAGAAATGGAGAACCACGAGCTCGCCTGTGACTGTGCTCGCTGTGTCCCAACTCAAGAACTTCTTGAGCAGCATATCACCATTGGTCAATGGACCACCAAAATCGAGCTTTTTCTTCTGCGCAAGTGTCAGGAGACCCGCATTCTGTGCACACTGCAGAACGCTTCTGAAATCCCTGGTCTGAATTTCAAGTTTGGATTTGATGCCAAACGTTACGAGATCAAGGAGCGCACCGAGGTGAATGCCGCTTTACTCGGCATCTTGGAACGTAAGGTGAATGGTACTTCCGTGTTCAGTATCCTCGAGTTCCAGATTGTTCTAGCTGCTTGGAAGGTTCATGCGCGGCACCGCCCTGTTACTAGTCTCTGGGAACCTGCTCCTGACCTCTGGTCCTCTGCTCCTACTCTCTGGTCCCCTGCTCCTGCTCTCTGGTCTAGCTTCTTAATCCAGGCCATGCGTGAATATACCACCGTTGGTTTCCGGGATGCCTACCGTGATGCTATTGCCGAATTAATCCATTGCCGTGGCCCCCGTGTCTTGTCACCTGATGTGATAGTCCACATGTTGCTCAAGCACAAGGTTCCTACTGCGATGGAAACCATGTTCAAGATCCACCCTCAGGGAACCTTCCGCAGCAAATTCGGTCACACCATCTTTTACTCCCAAGCCAATCAGTTGCTTCCTCAAGATGACCTCCGTGTCATCATCAAGGAAGAGGATGATGGTCCCTCCGCTCCCATCGGAAAAGAGAAGACGGACCCCTCTTCTTGCCCCTCTTCTTCCTTTGCAGGATATGATAATGATCGACGTTCGGATACCGTGGAAACCGAGTATCACTCTCCTAAGCGTCCCTACGACGAAGAAGACGACGTTGGGTACAAGCGTTTCCGCAAGAACGACAAAGAGCAGACTCTCAACAATGCCCCCCTGAAGGTCGAGATTGCGGCTCTTCGTGCACGCTTGAACAGCCTCGAAAGATCTGTTCGCGGTCGCCCGTCCTTGATGCCGTCTACCCAGCCTGACCTTAGTACCGAACTGCGCAGTCATTTCGAGACCGACATTGCTCGCGTCGAGGCTCGTCAGGATGCTCTGATCAATGCCGTTAACGACTTGACCAGGAAATTCCGCGAATAAGAGATGCGGGACGAGTTCTTCGAGTGGTCCGTTGCCGGCTGAAGTCTTCCAAAGACTTCCGTGTTGTGATTCCCCATCTGTCGGTCGACTTCAATGTGTGATACCTTATGGGGAAGTTTCTGCTTTATTTCTGAATGTACAGCACAATGTAGTCCAAGGTGGCAGTTGTTTGGGGATGTGGATGCACCTTGGACATAAAAGCATGTGCTTAGTGAGAATTCCAAAATTGATAAAAGGAATTTCCAATCCATTTCGCTTAAATTTACTGCATTACAAAAAAAGTCTCTTACAAAAGTAGGATTTGGTGAATCAAGACGAATTACAAACCCCACGCAAGAGCGTCGTCCCCGCATGAATATCTCCACGGTCTATCAAAATCCTCACCCAAGAGTGCTCTCCCCGCGAGTCATGAACGTCCACAATTCATCAACATCCCCACGCTACCGTGGGGACCACAATGATGTATATACACAAAAATCCACAGCTACACATGATATTTACCAATCTAATCTATTCGAGGAGACAGATCCAGACTGTGATCCCGGCAAACAATCAAGCTCCTTGCATACTATGATTTGTCAGAATACATCAACATGCAATTATCGAGAAACTCACATTGCTCAGCCTGCTGGAAAAGCGAACTGCCCTTTGGCTGACGCATTGCTGGGCGAACCAGCCCCCCACCAACCCTCTCTAGCTTTTGGTGCTCATGAAGATGTTTCAGGATCCTGTGTGTAGTTTCTGAGCTTTCAGCTGACCGTTCGGTAGCGCATTGGTAATCGTTCTCAATGCTCTTGATGAGGCTCTGAATGACTTCCTCAACAGAGTTGGCGAAAGCGGTCTCGTTCATACTGGGCTTGGGGGTCGATGCAAAGAGATCATATCGGATGCGAGTACTTTTTTCCGAAGAAGGTAGGAAATTCAGAGCGAGCCATATATCTGCTTGTTCAAACGAGTATAGGAATGTGCCGGGAAACAAAGTGCAGCGTGCTTTGTGAGTAATCGGCATCACAGCCCGTAGCATCCGAGTCGTAAGTGATGGCTTGAGGGCTTCGGAGATTCTTTGTTCGAGTTGTTTAGTGAAAGAGGCCAATCCAGGCCCACTAGCTATTCGCGTACACATTAGTGATAGTCCATGGACATGATACTATTTTTGTACATACTTCCCAATTTCCAATTGAAACTCCCAGTCAGCGTCTTTCCAAGGACCCACTCAGAGTTGCCCAGACTAGTAGCCCGCACAAAGTTATCCAAAACAGACAGAGCAGGCTCCATGGGGCAAGGTTCCCCGGCATCAAGATTCACCAAAACACAGCCTTCCTTGGTAGTGTGCGCATGGATCTCAAAGAGACTATTCTCAGACTTCTCGAATCCAGGCACATCGTCAAACTGAGGCGCTTTCACCAGCTGCCCGCATGTATCGTAGCTCCAGCCATGATACCGACAACCAAGCACGGTAGAGGCGCCTGCCTCTTTCCTGGTGATTGTATATGCGCGATGCCGACAGACATTGTGAAACGCGCGAATTTTATCGTCTTTTCCTCTGATCAGGAAAACAGGGAAGCCAGCAATATCAAATGATTGGTATGCCCCGGGCTTGGCGAATTGAGTGATGTGAGCAAGATAAACCCAGGACTAATGAAGTTAGCCTTTGTCAACAATAAGTTACATCGAGGGTTGAGCTTGACTTACTTTGCTGAATAGCGCGCGGCGTTCCAACTCGAAGACCTCCAGACTATGATACCATCCTTCGGGAAGATCAGGCTCCTTGCTGACCTCGATGGATGAATATCCATTCGAATCAGAAGTTACTCCTGTTTTCTTACCAGGGACTCGTGTCAATGCCCGGTTGACTAGGAAAACAGTCACAACCGCCACCAAGATCGACCCCGGAGATAAGAGATACGCATGAAGAAAGTCCATGATGTCAAATGGATTGATTGTAATCAATTCAGTGATGATCCAGGTATATTCTCGGCATCTTGATCTCATATACCTGACGATAGAGGCCCATGCTCGATCCCCACATTATACAGTTCAAACAAGCACTTGACCCCTCTTGTAGAGGATTTCCCGATTAAGTTGCAATTTCCAGCTCTCGGGATTTAACCGGCGACAGTGCGCCGGTTATCCAAGTTGTATCGGGGCTTGATTAGTGGCTAGGGAGCTTATCCTACGAGTCTCCGACGTGGCGGATTCTTATTTAGTAGATTCAGTATGCAGTCGCACGGCTAATTTTACCTTAAAAAACACATTAAATTTCGATTTAAATTTCAATTCCAATTCAATTTGTCACTCTCAATCCGCTGCATTTGGTGGATTTGTCGCATGACTAAAGCTAAAAGCTAAAAGCTAGACTACGCTGCCGTTTCAACCGCAGACGCTACCCGTTCTTGCGCGGATGCCTCACTTTGGGTCTTTCGGTCGGTTTCATGCTGTTCGAGGACCATGTCAAACACACGTTTCTGGTAGTCTAGATGGACATTAAATTAGTCTGGTAAATATAAATGAGGAGAATAATCTACTCACATAACACGCCATTCTCTTTGACCGGATTCAAGATGCCTTCGTGGTATACCCCCTTGGCCAGATTATCTTGTGCCTTCTCGCAGAGCTCAAAATCTTCCATAGCAACCTGCCTAACAAACTTGAAGTATTCCTCGAATTTCTCTCCGGATTCTAGGTGGTAGTAGTCGAATTCCATGCGGGTGACATGGGGATCTGCGGTAGGACACACGCGGAACGAGGACATTCCACCGCCGTACACATTAAGGGTACAGTTAGGGAGGAAGTAGAGAAACAGACCATCGTCTGGCTTCTTGGGATCTGCGATATGCCGGGAAAAGTTGTGCATGTTGTGCACGGCGTAGAAAGTAGGTGGGTAATAGACTGAGAATGAAGGATGGGTGTATTGGCAATGTAGGCATTCTTGGTATCCATCGACCCTGGATAATATTAGTATCATTGAATGTAATGTATGTAATCTTGGGCTTCACTTACATGGTCTTCCAGTTGAAGCGACCCTCATAGCGGATACTGCGACGGTATGGGAGTCGAGTGAAGTCAACTTTTCCTAGGATTTCCTCTAGCTCGGGAAAAAATTCATGGAAGCTGGGAGCTTCGTCTGAAATTGTCGAGAAAAGAAGACCAGTGGGAGTAACATGGCAGCGCAGTTCTTTGTCCTGTGACCATCAATCATCTGCTGGATATTGTGTTTATGCTAGCCTACCGTCTTTCCGCAGAATACTTTCAGTTGATCCGGTCCTGGATTGAGAGACTCGCCTCCAGTGCGAATAGCATAGATCGGCTGCTGCGCAAGCTCGTATTCGACATGCTCTCCAACCGTCTGGAACCTAGTTACAGGTCCAAGTAGGTACCAGGACTAGATGAATTAGTTTTGTCTAGAGGAAGATACTGGAAGCCTTACTTTGAAGAAGACGGCACGGCGCTCCATCTGGTAGAGCGATTCATTGCAATACCAAGATGCTGGTAGGGTTCTCGCGAGTTGAGACATGGATAACCGGACTTGATTTGGCGAAACTGTTTGACGGTGAAGCGACGACTTTATATCGTGAAGTTCGGACGATTTGATCTGTGGCTGCTATGTGTTGGTTGAACCTTAGTGTTTATCGTTTCCTGAAGCGGTTATCGAGTCCCGTCAGTGATATCATTCGCTGATTGGCGGATGGTTGTCATGTCAGTCATGCATTCTAGTGCTCATGACAATCCCATTATGGTGTTCGCCATGATGTGAAGGCCTTACACAGTCTCGATCACAGTCTCGATAGTTGTGGAAATGGCAAAAAACTGATTTCCCTCGGATTTGAACTGTTTTAGATGAAGATCACATTGACTATCTTTTTCATGTAATTTTTCGAGTTTTCCGATCGGTCGCATATATAGGATTATTGTGCCGCAAGACTGAGGCAGCTGATATGGGCAGCTGGTCTTCCATAAATATCTTCTGGATTTGATTTTATCAAAATTGGGAATTAGTTGAAGCTATTCCCATTCTGCAAGGAGTTTGTTGCTGCCTAGAGCAGCTTAGTGCTAAGTGGCGAACGGAGCGAAACCTGAAAACGTGAAAATGATGACAATGAAAGCTTTCAATCTCTCAGATTTACAAGGAAAAAGGATTTGAAGTTTCAAAGACTAGAAAAGGGAAGCGAAAGGCAGAGTTGAAGTTGATGAACTGATTAGAGGGGAGTCTCTTATCGATAAGACTTTATCGAGATCATTACGTCTTCCAGCTTGAATCTTAACTCCACCAACCTTTCAACGTCATGGCGAATCCGGTCAAATACACGCCTCCATCTACTCCTCCTTCACCTACGGCGTCGTATTATGACCTGAGCGATGATGATGAGAATGAGTACAACACCATCGCCCAGGCCCGCTCAGGCCGTGGCGTGAAGCTTCTCTATTCCAAGAGCAAGGTAAGCTGACCTGTTATACTAGCAGACCCAGAACTGACAAGAAATTAGGTCTATGTCCATCCATCGCCCTCCGCTAAAGACAATATTCCTGGCTTCATTGCCCTTATTCAGCAAAAACCCCAGTCCGGTTCCTACCCCTCATCGCCTCGCAACGAGGCGGCTTCGTACCTACTGGCTTGGGTGCCCGAGTCGTCGCTGGGCGATGCATACAGTACATATGTGAAAGTCGATCTATCGGAAGATGCCTCCCCACCTCGTCAAAGATACCTCGTCCCGGCCCTTCCGACCACCACCACACATAATGGTTCCATCGGTCTGTACTCGTTCGCCGTACCCGTGTCAGAAATCTATTCGGTTTTAGTGCGCCCCCCGAGCCTTGGGTGGTGGTTCGGAAGTCTGGTGATCAACACACGGGCAGGTGACAGCTTCCCTGCTCTGTTCTTCCATGACAGCGAGTGTGAATCGACCATTCTGCAAAAGAAGAAACGAGTCAAAGATAGCTTCGATCCCTTTGATAGCGAGGGAGGGCTATTCTGGGGTGGCGATGAAGTTCTTCGCTGGTTGCGACGATATGTGGAGGTTGAGCGCTCGACCGTGGATAGGAATGTGTACCTGATCAACCCCTCGCACGAAGATCAGCTCTCGTTTGGGAAAGGCATGTCTAGTGGGGATGCGTTCTTGCCTTCTAAGGCACAACCGGAAGCTGCGGGTCCGAGTACTGGACAGGGAGATGCAAGTATGGATCCATTTACAAGGACCCTCAAAGAGACTCGCTGGAAGGTTCTTGAACAACTCAGCAAAATCACGACATTCACGCGACGAACTGCGAACGACCTTGCTGAGAACACGCGTATTCCACCACAGGTTCGCCGTTTAATGAAGAATCCGGAGATCCAAACTCTTCAGGATGAATTCGATAGCGCCAGGATCTACCTGGCTCGCTGGGCCATGAGCATCGCCGAACAGAGTGAGAAAGATAGGAATGAGCGGATCTACACTGCTCAGGATATGCTCGAGTCGGAGAATAGCTCGGTTGGCGAATTTGAGATTCTGGAGCTTGAGACTGGCAACCTAGGGATCCAGGAGCGGCGCCGCACAGTCACGATTTCCGAGTGGGAGAGTTTCTTCGACCCAACTTCTGGAAAATTGCAACTTACTGTCGAAGAGGTCAAGGAACGCATCTTCCATGGTGGACTGGATCCAAACGATGGCGCACGGAAAGAAGCTTGGCTTTTCCTTTTAGAAGTGTATCCTTGGGATAGCAGTCTCGAGGAACGCCAAGCCATCATGAATTCAAAGCGTGATGAGTACATCCGGTTGAAGGCCGGCTGGTGGGAGCGAATGGTCGAAGGCAATTCGACCGAAGAAGAATATGATAATTGGAAAGAACAGCGGAACCGCATAGGTAAATTTGACAAACTTACATGGGAAATCCATTACTAACTTCCCACAGAGAAGGATGTTCATCGCACAGATCGCACTATTCCGCTCTTTGCGGGAGAAGACATTCCTCATCCCGACCCGGATTCCCCATTCGCTGACACCGGCACCAACGTCCATCTAGAGCAGATGAAAGACATGCTCCTGACGTACAATGAATATAACCCAGACTTGGGCTACGTCCAAGGAATGAGTGATCTCCTCGCACCACTGTATGCAGTTATGCAGGATGACGCCGTGGCTTTTTGGGCATTTGTCGGCTTCATGGATCGAATGGTAAGTCAAACCTTCCGGACCAAAAATGACATGCTAATAAACCATCAGGAACATAATTTCCTTCGCGATCAATCTGGAATGCGCTCTCAACTCCTAGCACTTGATAATCTCGTTCAGCTTATGGATCCCCAGCTCTATCTGCATTTACAATCCGCCGATAGTACCAATTTTTTTTTCTTCTTCCGCATGCTACTAGTCTGGTACAAGCGCGAGTTTGAATGGAGTGACGTCCTTCGTCTCTGGGAGACCCTATGGACAGATTATTACTCCAGCAGCTTCCACCTATTCATCGCCCTGGCTATTCTCGAGAAACATCGCGATGTCATCATGGACCACCTGAAGCATTTTGACGAAGTTTTGAAATACAGTAAGTCACTCCCACGTGATGAAGTTCTCTACTAATAGCTGCCAGTTAATGAACTCTCCAACACAATGGAACTTGTTCCCATCCTCACGCGCGCTGAATCGCTCTTCCGTCGCTTCGAGCGCTCCGTTCATGCTATTGACAAGAAAGATAATTTTCCCGCACCCGCTGCTACCCAGCGTCGGACATCGGGTCTTGATAGTCCTGGGAAGGGCAAGGCTCCACAGAACTCGACTGTTGGCTCTACGACTAGTTCAAGTGCGGGCCCTTCAGCTCTAAAGAAGATTATGGATGCCGATAAGCCCAAGGTCATTTCACCAGAGCTGCGTGGGTTACTTAGGAAGGATATTCCCTGGAGACGCCAGCACCAATCATAGAACGCTTAGCTATGCTATCTTACGACTGGACCTTGTTAAGTCCCTGGCTTGTTAAGGTCGTTCCTGTGCATGGATGTAGTTCAATGTTCTTTCCGGTTCATGAATTCATGACTACGAATGTATACCATCCGTTCATACTTTTGTTGTCTAGCTCGGGAGTTAGGGATATTCCTCACTTTGGGAAAGGTTTTGGCACTCTATTTGCAAGGTTGGAAATGAAGCATATGCAAGCTATGTGATGATTCTGAGCTATTGAATCTCCTAGTAAACCGATTGTAACCTGTTATCATAGATTTTCCCTTCATCCCGCTTCAAGCTTGCCACAAATAACCGAGATCACGGATTATACAAGTCCAAAAATGCAGATGGTTTATTCAACAACACCCGAGGCGCGTCGAATTCCACCAATCGCCCATCACTGAGTAGTGCGATGCGATCGAAATCAATGATGTTGTTATGTCGATGTGCGATCGAAATGATCGTGGCTCCTTCGAACTCCTTGCGAATCACTTTCTGGATTACCTTATCGGTAGCAATATCAATACTGTTAGATACCTCATCCATGACAACGATTCTTCCCTTGCGTAGAAGGGCACGAGCAAGACAGAAAAGCTGTTTCTGGCCAGGCGAGAAGATTTCCTCATCCAAGTCAACATCAAGGCCCCCTTTAGACTGGATAAGCGACCAAAGGTAGACTTTGCGGAGTGCATCAATAATTTCTTCATCGCTATGCTTCTTCAAAGGTGAGGCATTGAGGGGGATTGATCCCTTCAACTCGAAAGCGTCTTCTGGGATGGCATTGATACCAGAGCGAATTGATTGTCTAGAGATTTCAGTTATGTCCACGCCGTCGATGAGGATAGTACTCTTGGGGGTAACTTCAAGCAAACGTAGGAGAGTCATGATGAGAGAGCTGTTCCCACTACCCGTTCTTCCGCATACTCCTATCTTCTCCCCAGGCTTAATGTCCATATTTATGTCTTTGAGAATCAAAGTTCCACCAATGGAATTGGTAGCAGACACTGTTTTGAAAACAATGCCACCCTTATCTGGCCAGTGATCCGGCATAGACTGACACTGCACCTGCAATGTCTCTGTCGGTGTAGTCGAAGTGAAGTTTTTCACGCGAGACACCGCCCCAATAGAAGTCTCCAGTGACGTCCACTGCCGAAAAATCCAAGCCAAGAACCGTTGAAACTCATAACGTTGAGCAATGCTAAACTAGTGTATTCGGCTCCCACGGATTCACGGAGCTCAACAATCAAAATCATCAACACATTCGCCAGTATTGCCATCATCACATCCAAAACGATGGATAGCCACCGCTGAATGCAAAACAACAGATAGTAAGGCCGCTGGGAGTGATCCAGAGCGCGAAGGTCTTGATCTACAAACTCTTCAGACCAACCGAACGCTCTGATAGTGAACAGTCCAGACAAGGACTCAATGAAGTGTGTGTACAGTGGTGACTTTGCTTCTAGGTCAGTAAACGTACTTGCCTGGAAGTTCTCAAGTAATACTTCTGTATGACTGTTCATTCTTTCGGATCAGCTCGCTGGCCATTGCAAACTCTCAGCCGAAGGATTGAGACGCAACTTACCCCACATGATGGCAGCCAAGGGTGGCAAGGTGAGAGCAAAATAGCCAGTTGCCAGACACATCAATATCGCGCCCATTAGCGCTTGAACTACCGAGACCACCAAGTCAATGAGAGCGAACGGAAGCTCCTTGTCAATCACCGACATATCTTGGCTGAATCTGTGTCACAGCATTAGCGATTACCGACCACAACAAAATGCGCAGGTGAGAAACTAGACTTGCCTATTAATGGTAATCCCTATGTCGATGCTTGTGAAAAAGGATAGTGGAGCATCCATAACCGACGTAAGAAGCCCGGCATGCAGCTTTTCCGCACTAATCGGAACCAAATGAAGAAAAAAGTGATAGACGGAGATGTTCCAGAAAATCGCCCCGATCCCGGTCATCATCCCATATACTCCGAGATAGAGCGAGTTGACCTCCTTCCCATCAGCCGCAAATGCCTTTGCCCAAAGAGAAACAACCAATTCTGTGCGCTTCACGGCCACTCCAGAAATACTTATATAGAAAAGTGAAAGAAGGGCCCGTGGCCAGCCTATCGAAGCAAAGAAATACTTGTATGTAGACCATTCACCAATGGGCCGATTGAGTTCATCTTCTTCGGCCTTTTTCGCTTGTTCCGCACCGCTGCTTGGAGGCGAGATGAATGATTCTTTTGCGATGGCAGCAGTTCCATTGGGATCCTTCTCATATCTATCCTTCGCCTCCAGACTTTCCACATATCCTCCTGCACTCTGGAGTTGACCGAAGGTACCTTGTTCCGCGATATGCCCAGTGGGATCCAGGGCGATGATATGGTCAGCAAAATGGAGGCGGTGCACAGCATTTGTGACAAGAAGAACAGTGGTCTCCAGTTGCCTGAGAACACCAGACTTGCCAAATAATGAAAGCAAACTCTTTCCGTGCCAAGGAGAAGCTCACATCCTTGAGAATTTGGGGGCCATTGGCAGTCCACGCAAACGCTAGGTTTTCAGCCTTGATGACTAGGGAGCAAGGGGCCTCCTGCTCATGTGAAGACAAATTCGCAGTAGCCAGCTTTTGTTGGCTGTTATTATGAGAAAATGTAGTGGTGATTTTGCCCTGGGTGCTTTTCACACTCTGGTCAGTACTCTGTAGAGATTCTTGCAATGGAACAAACAGCAAATTGCGAGATGGGGACTCTAAAAACTTTTCAATCCTGTCAAAGCAAGCAAGTGCGGCTTTGAGTGTTGGAATCGTTCTGAGCATAGTGTTTACCGGGTCCGATAACATGCCATTAGAGAAAGACCAGTGAAAGCAGTGGCTGGCGTGAACTTCAGCTTTTCATAATCCTGAATAAATGTGAGATACTTTGCGCGGCTGACCGTGTAGCGACCACAATCGGAACGGGATCAAAACCAAAAGCAGAGCAGATGGCAGAATTGACAGAATTGTGTATTCAAACAGAAGGCTAAAATCAAAATGATTAAGGACGAGCACTTGAGGGCCAAAGACATCAAGGCCTGCCTCAAATGGTGTATAGTTGGAAGCCATTCTGCACTGGATTGATACTCAACCCGATGGGAATGCTTTGATTTTATTCCTTGTCGTGTTTGGCTGGAATTATCCTCCTACTATGACCCATTATGACTCAAATGCATGAGCTCAATTGCTTGGAGATTGCACAATCCCCGCCCTTCACTTGCGTCATTTGGACCCTGTCGCAGTCCTAGTCCTAGGAGCAAGCTGCGAGCGGAAAATTGCTAGGAATTGTAAAACCCCACACTGATGGATATTTTCTGCGCCTATATAGAGACGGTATCGCGGATACGAGACTCAACGACTTAACAGTGGCATAGGCACAAAATAGTAAGACCAATAAATTTGGCCCCGCTGCGAGTTTCCCTCCCAGCTAGAGGCGAGCCAGGATCGACCGCCATATTGATTACGCCAGCCTTTCGTTCAGGGGAAAACAGTCAAGTGTTGAGTGAACAACTACATTTGGAGGGGGCTAGGGTGGTAGCATTTTATTGAGGTCAGCTGTTGTCACCTGGTAACAGCTCAAATCAACTTAGCACATGGGCAAAACACCAAGAGGTTCTTGATTCTATTAACGTGTATGGATCAAAGCCTCAACAGGGTATCAAACAAGAAGCAACAAGGTATGGTATATGTACAGGTAGAAAGAAGAATCAAACAGCAATAAACAACCATGGAATATTGACCCAAGGCAACCCCATAGATCAAAGTGATCAAGCCAGATCCACAATTTTCGCCGCGCTGATGCAAAATGTAATTGAAGTATAAAGCAACCTTCAAATAGATGGGAAAGGTAAATATCAAGAAAGTAAAATCACGCAAAGGGTATTCCCGGACTCCGAATCCATCCAAAAAAGGCAAACATTTTCTCTCGTAGGAGATTATCTGTGATTGCCCAGTCCTTTGAGCACAACTCGTCTGCCTGTGCCATTTAGGCTGATATCGCCGATGCTTCGGACTTTAGGTATTCTGCGGCCAGAGTGGTCGTGGTCAGGGAGATCATAGTTTTCACCATCGTTTTCAGGGGAGGCGTTTGGTTCTAGTGGAGGATTGAAAGAGGTGGATCGGCGGGTTTTCTGGAGAACAGTCTCGACCCAGGCTTCGCCTTCGGGACTCATTGAGATTTGTCGCGAGCGAGGCTTAGGACCAGCGAGGCCGAGGGGGGTCGAGGTGTCGTGGGATGGCACAGGGAGTTGGGAGGGGGAATGCAGGTCCGCAAAAGAGTAACTTGAAGACATTGAAAGACGACGACCTGGAGCTTCTGCAGATGGAGGAGAGGTAAAGGAGTTCAGGGTTCCTGTTGTCACGGATCTGGGACCCACTATCTCGGATGCAGTGGAGTCGCGTCGGGATTTGCGGACGGTAAGGGAGGATGGTGGGCGAGCACCGAGAACAGAGGGGGGTCGAGAGGGGGTAACACGACCAGAGCTGAGGGAGGAGATAGCGGGGGGAACAAGATTGGCAGGGGAGGGGTAACTAGGGGACGAGCGAGTTGAAAGACCTTGCACCTCAACTCGGGGAGTTTCAGAGACCTTGCGACGGCCGTGGTGGACCACATATTCGCGAAGGTATTCGCCAAGATCTGCCCAGCCACCACCAACTCGAACCATCACTCGTTGGCCGTCTTCACCGACAGTACGAACAAATAGTTTGGTGGGTGTGGTCTGGCCGCCATGATGCAGATGATAGAGCTTGACGTAACTGTCCTCTGTCTTATGCACATATGACAAACGCCTTCGGGTAGCAGGCATAAGCGTAAGGGAAGGGGCAGGGGTGAAACTTCGGGAAGGCCCGTTTGGTGACTCGGAAAGGTATCGCTCTCGCATCTTTCGATCCAAGGATGAAGAGGATGATGAAGTATCTGCCTCATTGCTGGGATCGACGAGATGGATACGGCCAGGGATCGTGCTGAGAATAGAATTGATCTTCTCATCAAGCTGGTCTCTTGGCTTCCTGGATAGCTTGTTTGGAGTTGATGAGCGGGAACCGATATCAATTAATTCTGAGTCCTCCTCAACATAAGAAAGTTCTTGCTTCTTGACCCCAAGACTCTCCAAGCTAGGATGAGTAGTCAACCGCTGGCGAAGGCGCTCAGATTTGGGTTGATCTTGATGCTGCATGGCTCTGCGTGCAGTGTTACCACCAAAGATTGGCAGACTGCGGTCTGGAGCATTGGATGAAGCGTCACTGTTCTTCAGGTCCGACGCAGACTTCCCACGGACGAGAGCAGGGCGGCGTCTGGGAACATGTGGAGCTGCAGGTGTAGATACTACTGCTCGGCTTGTTGACTTGAAACGCTCAGGAATATCAGGCATCTCGGGTACCGATTCAGTACTCAAATCCAAGTCCAGTTTCTCATTAATAAACCGCTGAAGAGGCAGGCTCACGGCGCGATTTGGCTGGAAGGCACTAAGGGCAGACATCTTCGAGTTTTCAAGTCGGCGAAGACGGTCTGCACGGAGCATATGGTCACGAGTGAATTCCTGGTGGTGACCCTCGTTTGACGAGCCAGTATGCGGCTCAGTTGCATGAGGGCTAGCAAGAGAGCTGTCTGACAAGAAAGAGCCCACAGAGCCTGTTGATGGCCGACGAGTGCGAGCCTTTGGGGACCCCTTATCGCCGGGCTTTCCTTGGCGAGTCTTGGATAGCTTGATAGGGCTCTGTAGTGGCTTCTTCTTGGAAGGACCTTGCTGCTCCGGCGCATCATCTTTGACTGGGAGCGGTTTTGATGTGGCTTGAACAGGCTTTGGTATAGGGATGTTCGATTTTGGCTTCTGAGGCGTGGATTTGGCGGATGATCCCTTAAGCGGGACACCAGCATTGTCTTGTGTATCCATCAAAACTTCGGCCGAGGTCGCTGGTGTTTCCATGATTGGCTTTTGTTCAGCGTGGGTCTCAGGTCTCATTGGAAGCGATGTTCTTATCACAACATCCGAATCATTCGACCCATCCCCACCAAAAGTCGAGGTTTTGGTGATTTGTTTCCTGATATTCGAAACAGACTCACTTTGGAGACCCACAGCTTGATGAGCTTCTTGGATTGTGGATACAGTAGCAGTGGCTGTATCAGTAGTATTCGGTTCTTGCTTGCTCTCGGTCTGAGTAGTAGGCTTGGGAACGAAAGGATCATCATCTTTATGCTCACCCAGCACAACCGGCTTAAATGCAGATTCTCGGACAGAAGGTGATTGCTGAAGCACAAAACCCTGGGGTGGGATGTTTTCCTTGTTCTGCACTTCAGGTGCCACTGGCAAAGGAATTCGGGATGGTGACTGGACATGTGGGGTTTCCAGTGACAGGCCTCGAAGAAAAGTTAACTGCGTTGGAGTTTGAAGATCTTCCGCGACGACAACATTTGATTGAATTGCAGGCTTTTGATTGGTCGGTTCGCGGCTGCATGGTTCAGGGATACCGGAGCTAAGCGGAGCGTCGAGGCCACCAGATGGTGTGGAAGTTTGAACATCAGACTGCTCGTGGGCTGGAAGATTTGTCGACAGAGCAAGCTGTGAAAGTTGTGATTTAAGACGATGTTCTCCCTTGATAGTCTCCATTGGAGCGTTTTCCTGAGCAGGCTTGGTTTCAACGGGGATATTGGCTGATTTGACATCAAGTTCCTTAGGGACATCAGACGTATAATATGGTGCTTCGCATGATTCGGCTTCCTTGGGCTGAGGTTTCGCGCGTAGCCATTCGGTGCGGAGCTTGTATCGCTCCGTCTCAACCACCCATGCTGCAAAATCAGCTTCAATACTTTCTAGGTCATCAATCCATTGTTCAGGCAAAGAATCATTTCGATCCTCCAGCGCATCTAGAACGCGATCCATCCGTTTCCCCACAGCAATGACTGCCGACTCAAGTTTGATATGTTGATCACGTAGGTAAGGGGTTGAAAATCGAGTTTCGACGTCTTCCGAGGTGTTAGATGACTGAACTTCGCGGCTGGAGGCATTCAAAGCGAATCGAGTTGACCGTAACTCTCTCAGAAGACCAGGAACATAACGGAGAACTAGAAGGCGAACCTCCCATATTGTCAACAAGTTATTCAATCGGGCCAAATAGGGCAGGGCGCGTAAAATTGTCGCAGTGACTATGGCGGTGAAGTCACTGAGTTGCACATAGCTGAGCGGAGGGGGCACGGACACGGTGCTGGTCGAGGAAGAAGGGCGAGACCGGGAAGGAATGTGGGCATTCAGGACGTGCTCCTTTAATTCGTCCACATCCAAGTTGTCCATTCCATCACGGATCTCTTCAATTCTCTTTTCATACTCCTCTACCAATTCAGCCGGCAAGCTCCCATAATAGGTTACCTCATCGGAGGCCGATGGAGAGTTCGACTCTTCCAGGGATGGCGGAGGCATGAAGCCTTTTCCTGCAGCGGCATCGTTGACTTTCGGCCATGGCCACGCCTGCACCTCCTTGTACCAAAGATTAAGGTTGCGGGCCGCTATGGCAGCACGGATGCCCAGGGCACGTTCGGCAGGTGAGACTTGCGAGATGCTCTGTGAAAGGATATGCGAGAAGTTTCCGTTCGCCGGTACGGCTTCGGTGGAGGTAAGGGCGTGTAGGGTGGATTCGGGGGACAAGTTGCTGAGCAGAGGATCAACTTTGGGATATAAGGATCCGGGATTTCGTTCCGGTGAGGTAGATCGTGAATTGTCGCGGGAATCAATTGGGGAGAGGCGGATGGATGGGCGAAGAGGGGTGAGTCGCCGACTAGCTGCCATTCCGAAATACAGGCAGGGCAGCCCAGCTCAACACAGGGAAACACGGGTACAGGTAGCTTCAGCTGGCTCTGGATGGCATAAGAATAGATATCGAGAAGGAGCTGCAGGCGGACGAAGAGAGCACTGTCGAGCCCGCATGCTGAGACGAGAATGTATCCGGGGGGGGGGGTGGTTTGTTCCGGTGAATTTCTCAGGCTGCAGGACGCGAGATGGCGGTAAGCAGATGGAACCGGTCACCCTTTCTCTCTTTATATCAGACGTTTCCCAAGGATTTCTTGTCAGAAAAATTGAGGAAAATTAAATCAACAAAGTAAACAATCGGAATAATTCTGATCTGGAGGTGGAGCTTCCAAAAGGGGCACGAAGTGGACCACTTCCGGCGATCCGCGCGCAAGTCAATTTTTGGTTCGTGAATCGGTTAATTTTAAGTCGACTATTCTCTTTTGGATTTAGTTCTAGTTCTCTACCAATTACCTGCAATCTAATAGGTGTGTGGGTTGAAATTGAATGGTTCTTCTATATTCCGTTGTATGACTGCATGCCATAGATACGCGTCAGTCCAGGTGCGATGACGACAATTTCCCCATGACCCCAAAATAGATTCCTCACCCAAACTAGGATTAGAAGATAGAGCTCCAAGGTTTCTTCCAAGTTTCGATTATAGGATTTATGATATGATGAGGATACTTCCTTGCCTCGTTAATGCATATACCCTTAGACTTGAGATCGTTGCCGTGGTATCATAATTGGAGAGACGATACATCACATCTATCGAATGTTAATATATTGACTTTCAGTTCATATAGTGCAGCCTCGCATATATCATATCACAAAAATTGCCTATGACGCTTGAATTTGCAATGCCAATGAAGATATCATGCAAGGCACATCACAAATGGTATATGGAATATATTCCGTGAAGCAGACGAGTCAGTCTAGTTTGCACCAGGTGCTCGGGATGTAAACACCCCGAGATCGTGCCTATTACTAAAGGGACATGGTATTATATCGGTGGAAATACACTAGTAGGTGTACGGCAAGGAGAGAAAGAAACTGTAGTATTCCAGCGTCATATTGAACACAATCATGTGGGAAAGAGAGAAAAGAAAACCAGAGGGAAAGGAAAGAACCAGGAAGGAGGATAGCAATGGAAAACCGTTAACTAATTAGGGAGTGCAATAGTTGTTAGTAACTACTACCCTACTATAATTAACTGACTAGTAGTATAGAAAGACGGCGATAGTCCAGTTGGGAGCCTTGTCAACGATCGGGGTTCATGGACGTATGAAAATGATACCATTGATATCTACTCAATTGCAGTGGTGAAGCGACCGATTGATTACAAGAAAGTTTAATCCTTTTCTGTATCTTCAATGTTTCTTTTCCTTCAATTCTTCACAGTTGATCCTTTCTATGAAGTCTCACGTGACCACGCGCCGCATCTCACGCGATAAAGCCACGCGATAAAGATACCGATAAGAGATATCTCCATGACTCGTTCCTCCCATCAACATCTCATTAACAACACAATGCGCTTCCGAGCCTCATTGAAGAACACAAGCGTCTTCACCAGTAAGTGGGGCTTGTGCAATTGGAAATACCACACTGACCGGTACAGAATTAACCGCCTCTCTATCATCTCTGGGTAAGATATGTTGGATGCGCGTCGAACAGGATGTCGTACGCTTCACAATCATTCCAGAGCGAGGCACCCAAGTATGGTCCCAAATTCCTGTTGTAAGTACCGATTTCCATTCCATATGAACTATTCATATCGGAAACCACCCTAAACCCATTCCCAAGGACACCATATTCGAGGAAGAGGACTACCAATGTATCGCCCAAGGAGATGGTATCAACATCGAAATCAACGTCGGCATGCTAAATCGTATACTCCGCTCCGCCATCGGCTCCACATCCGCCCAATTACGTCTCACCAAAAAAGAAAAACAACCCTTCTTAGCTTTATCAGTTCTGACCAGCTACTGGTCCGATGGCAAACCGGTGGATCGCGCATCAACAGTCGACGTGACAGGGGAGGAACGAGTCCGGGATCGCGAAACATGGGTAACGCATGATATGCCTGTTAAGATCCTGCACCCGTCAGCGGTGGAAAACCTCCATGAGCCGCGTTGTCCAGACCCAGACGTGCATATCATTCTCCCTGGGCTGGCACAGCTGAAGAACATTTCGGATCGATTTACCAGGATTGCATCTTCGAGTGCGAAGGGTAGTCAAGTGGGCCTTGTGGCGGTGGATGCGCCTTCGACTGCGGGGGGAGCTGGGGCTGCGGCGCTTTCAGCGAGTGATGTACCGAAGTTGGAGCTGAGTGCCAATATGCATGGGAAGTTACGATTGTCGATTTCTACGGATGAGTTGAAGATTGCAAGTGCTTGGTCTGGACTTGTGAATCCGCCCTTGGACCCGGCTCATATTAATCATGATGAGTATTCGCAGTTGCCGAGTACGCGGATGCGGGAGATTGGCGAGGATGATGAGTCGGGGTGGGCTAGGGTGCGCATTGATCCGAGGGACTGGGGTCGGGTGTTGAGTGTTGGGAGATTGAGCCCTAGGGTGGTTGCTTGTGAGTTTCATGTTGCATTTTTGGGGTTGTGATTCGCCGCTTATCATGATACGCCAGGTTTTGTTAACGAGATGGCCTTGGTTCTCTACGTCTACTTACCCGGCAGCGACCAAGAGTCCTGTATGACTGTGAGTACATCCCATCCACATTCGCGCATGCAGTCACGATCTGACCCGAAATAGTATTACATCAATTCTTTTACCACGTGATGGCATGTGAGACTGCTACGTGCTATGAAAATGAATTTCCAGGCGAGAGCCGAGGTAAAATCACCAAAGTTCGTTATTAAGACAAGCGTATGAAGCTGAGTTGTCATGCCAAAAGAACCTTCAGATCGAAGGTCTGAAGATGAACAGGGATCATCCAAGGTATACCGGAGTATATCTGCAGGACAAGTGATATACATGATGCAAGGAGAATCGTCCCCCTAGCTTCGCAGACGAAGAAATGCGCAGCAAACAACAAAAAGCAAGCTATGTGCAGCGCTTTGCGATGCTATTTCGGTCTGCAAGAACGCCGGGGATTGAATGGTCTGCTCGGTCTCCAAGAACCAGACAAGACACATGCAAGATGCTGGGGCGAGGAATGAAACTTAATCACGGGGAATCTATTATAAGGGATAGGGTAGGGGCATGGGGAGGGAAAGGTACAAGAATAATAAAGGCATCAGACGTAATAAAACAAAGGAAAAGAACAAAGAAAAAACAATCCAGCTGGGCATTGCCTTGTTGAATCATTAACAGGTCCATGACCATAAGATCATTGTGCCATGACATCAACGTAGCGACCCTTCTTTCTGCCTCGGACGTTATTACCAGCCTTGCGGGCCGTCGGAGCGGCCAAAAGATCATCAATAGACTGGGCATGACTGAGGGAGGAAGGAGGTCTGGGTGGAGTGGATGAAATGGCCCCGCCAGTAGAAACAGATCGTGGCATGGGTGGAGGGACAGCGAGCCCGGGGAATGCGGGGCTTGATGACAAGTGGGGCGCGTCACTGGACGATGACTGGGGTCGACTGTTAGAGGTGACAGACATCGGAGCAGGGGGAGGGGGCATGCTGCCAGAGCTGGCCCGGCTGGGAGGAGCAGAGCTTCGAGGAGGCGGGGGTGTGGCACGAGCAGGACCACTGGAATTAGGATCCTTCTTGTTGACCCATTTCTTCAGCTCATTGTCATAATAGAAAGAGCTCTCCTCGCCGAGTTTAGCTCTGATAGGACCACCGCCTGCATTTTCGGACTCCTTTTTGCCAGCTCCACCGAACCATCCACCGAACCAACCCTTCTTTTGAGCTTGCTGCTGATCACGTTTGGCTGTAGCCAAAGTTAGAGATAGAAATAAGCGAAATTGAAGCGCGACTTACCATCTTCTTCGGCGGCTTTTCGGAATGCCTCATCTGCCTTACGATCGTTCTCTTGCTTTTGGGATAGCTTCAGGTTTGCTACTCGAGCAGAGAGATCCTCGTCGTCGTCATCCATAAATGCCTTCTTGGGTTTTAGCTCATCTTCTTGAGGTTCAATCTCCTCTGGGGCAAGACTCATGACTGGCGCGTAAGATGGAGGCTCATAGGAATTGGCAGAAGCTGGGGGCGTGTAACCGGAATTCTCAGCTTGTGGCATGTCAGGTGGGCCTTGGTAGTAGGGTGATTGGCTGGGAGAACCATTGGCCTGCCCAGGAGGCTGATAAAAGAGACCATTCACGGGAGCTTGGGTTGCTTCAGCTGGTGGTTGAGTAGCATCCTCCTTGACTGGAGCCAGAGGCATATAAGATTGCTGAGGCGGGGTAGGTTGGTATGCAACATTGCCAGGTGAAGATCCATACATAGGTGCTCCCGGGAACATAGAGTCCACTGGGGTTTCAGGGTCCTGTGAAGGCCTGCGTTGTCCAAAGAGAACACCACCGGAGACAGATCTCTGCGAATCCATGGAGGACCTACCACGTAACTGCTCCGGCGAGCCATTCACGGCATATTGGTTGGATGGAAGATACCTTGAAGAACCGGCGGCAGAGATCGCAGCGGGGGGGATTTGCTGCGCTCCAGCTCCCGGGTAGGAGCCATATAGATCTGACACGGATGGGGACCGGCTCACAGTAGGTGTCCCAGCCACACCAGCAAATGGTCCAAAGTCCGAAGCCTCACCAACCCTGCCTGAACCTGTTGAAGTTGCGTCATTGTCATCACCGACAACGAAGCTATTGAACCGGGCCCACATAGATCCGGAAACTTTCTCCATACTCGGCTTTGAAATCCAAGATGAAGCCCCATCGCTAGCGGCTTGACGAAGGCGCGCTGATAGCTCATCAATGTCGTTGAACAACTGTTGATGATGGTAAGGTGACGGACGAGTGGTTGCTTTAAGAGATGTAGCAAATGCATCACAGTAGTTCTGTGCCTCTGATTTACGCCCACGGTCGGCGAGGTACTTGGCATGCATAAGCTTGAAAGCTAGTAGGTGCGGCAAGTTGGCTACTGGAGAATTGCCCAGGACAGATGTGGCAAACTCATAGATCTCAGTCAAGAGAATAGAATCATCATCGAGCAGGGAACAAGGAAGGCGCTGGTGATCAGCACCAAGGAGCACAATGTTGGCCTGGGGATCGTCGGCTCCACCAAAGACTGCATTTCGAGAGAAGATGAAGCAAATGTGGGCGGCCTCAGTACGGCCATAGGAGGCCAACAAATTTCCAAGAGCCAGCAACGCTTGTTGATCATCGGAGCTGCGGTTGCTTAATACCAAGCCAAGAGTGTCTCTCCAGCTTTCGAGCCCGTCAAGTGCATTCTTAGGGGCGCCTTGACCATTTGCCTTGCTGATCAAATGATGACCAGCCCGTGCCGATGGAGGAACAAGCTCGTCGATACTCTCCTCAACATTGCCGGCAAATATCTGGTAAAGAGCCGCGATCGACTCGGTGTTGGCTCCTGTAGACCGGACCTCACGTCTGACAAATTCCTGAACGACCTGTCTCCAGATAGTTTTTTCCATAGTCGAAGCAATCAACATTGCGTGGCCCCAAAGGCGCCTATCGACAGCGGCCCAGACGGCCTTTTCCCGCTCACCAAGCAGCAGATGGTTCCGGAGCTCTTCACTCCACTGAGCGTCAATGGCATCCGGTTGAGAGGAAATGCCCAAAGCTCCTGGACCACTGGACATAGGGAATGGGGCTCCATAAGTGTTCTCAGCTTCGGGTTGAGGATCGTGGAGATTCGGGGAAATGATCTGTCGCAGAGACTTTTGAATCTCAGGGGATCCTTCAAAAGTACCATCACTTTCAACCAAGATTTTAGTGACCTTCCAGAGTAAGATCTTCTCTTCGTGACGCTTTTGAATATCAGGCTGATGAGAATTGAAGCCCGGTGTTTCTTCATTTTCAAAGGCTGCAATCTTGCTAGAGAGCCAGGTCAACACGTCCTTTTTCTTGGATTTGGTCTTAAGAGGACCAGGATGCGGCACAATAGTCTCGCCAGTCGGTAGCCATGCATCAAGCTGAGAATATCTAGGTTCACCAAGAGTGGGCTTGATCATTGGAACCGCTACCCCGGCAGAATAACGAGGAACGTGCTTGGGGAAGCACGAGACCACCGCTCCACCAAACCCAAATTTGAAGATAGGAGCACCCTTCCAACGCTGGAGGGGATCTTGTTCTTGACCATCAGTGGGCGCGATAAACTCAAGCTGCTGAGAAGCTCGAGAAGCCGCCCGAGCACGGCTTGCGGCTTGCTGAGGTGCATAAGGATTCACGGTCTTTGTCGGGGAGCTTGATCCGTGCACTGAAGCAGGGCGGGGAAGAGTGTCAAGGGGCGGCACGTATGCTCGAGGGCTTACCAATTGGCGACCAGGTGACTGGGTTTGAGACCTGCGGGGAGAGATTACTCCAGGCTCGCTGGCTTGAGAAGAAGGCTGGGCATCGACTACGGGAGGAGTCGGAGCGTAGGGATTGTTTGGCACCATACGCTGAGTGAACTGGTTCATGTACTCTTGAGGTGCATAGCGACCCTTCTGTTGCGAACCACCAGGAGGACTTCCGGCTGCCTGGTTCGCGCCATAGGAGGATCCATTAGGCAGCTGTGGGGCATGGACTGACCCTTGGTCTATGCTTGACCGCTGTCGGGGCGGTGACAGATCAACGGAAGGTTGAAGCGATGGGGGCTGTAGCAGCGGCGGTTGCTGCTCCTGCTGAAGACCATCGGGCTGATATGACACCTTTTCGTGGTATGCCAGCGGGCTTGATGTACGAGGCTGGAAAGGCAGGTTGACACCCTGACCAGGAACACCCAGTGGCTGCGAGGCGTAGCGATTTCGACTACCAGATGTTGAAGGGGGAGGCGCGGGTGAGTATCTTGAGACCGAAGGGGGCTTCCCCGAGGGCTGTAGATTAGGAGGCATAGGAGAATAGCGGGAGGAAGCAGGAGGACCAGCAGGGGCACTCGAGGCTAATGTTCCACTGGGACCATATGGGTCCAAAAGCTCCGGCGGCTGGAGCGAACACTGAGCAGGAAGGACGCCACCTGTAGGGAGAACAGGCACAGTGCCCATTACTGGTGCATATGGGCTCTGGGGGGGCGGACCCATTGACGAATCTGTTGTGGCGGGGCCAGTCGGTCCTGGCGTATACCGCCCTGAGCTGGCTGGTCTGGATCGTGGGGGAGGCAACGGAAGTTCCTCATAGAAGTTCTTCGGTGTAGGCGTAGTAACAGCTGCCGCTGGCCGTGCAGAAGCTGTAGAGGGAGGGACAGCATATGAGTTACTCACTGGAGGTGGTGGAGGCGGCATGCTGTTGTCCACCTTCGGAGGGGTAGGCTTCTGAGTGACAACAGGCCGCCGAGGCAGAGACAAGTCATCAGGGAGATCGTAAGGAGATTTGTAACCTTCTTTAGACCGCTCAGCAAAGCTTTCTCCCCTGGTGGTGACTGGGTTCGGCGGTTGTTGTGTATAGAATGGCGGCATGGTGGAATTTGCAGGCGGGGCACCCGGGAAATCGACTCCTCCAACTAAATCTGCAGTGGATGGTTGGTGTGGAGTGTATACACCAGGAATGGGCCTGGGCGGAGTTTGCCGCTGCTGAGGTGTCTCAAATGGACTGTTCAAACCCACAGCCATTGGAGTCTGGGGGACATGTGAAGCTGCTGGGATATCGTCTTCTATATCGTCATCCAGATCCAGTGCCGCCTCCCAGCGAGCTGCAAGGTCATCTTCCTCTGCATCGCTCAGCTCGGCCTCCCACCTTGCAGCCAAGTCATCATCTGAAGGCGCGGGTTCGCTGGTTTGGGTTTGAGGCTGCTGAGGCTCGGAGGTCGCTGCCTTGATAACATCGTCGAACTGCGCCGCTGCCGAGATATCGCTTGTGGGGGAATTGATGTCAAACCCGGCCGATTCCAACACCTGGTTTGTACTTTTGCGAGTAATATGAAAGCGTTGTTCATCTTCAACGGGTTTCGACTGTTTCACAGAACTGAAGAAATCCTCCACATCGTCGTTGTCATTAGCAAACATATCAGTTGCTACCTCCTTGTCGTGCACTAAAGGTTCTTGGGAATCCGGGGTGTCTTCTTCGAGCAACGGGATACCCTCTTCAAACCTCGACTCCGCTTCGGGTGCGAAGATGGGTTTAGTCTGGGTTTTCAGTTGATTAAAAAAGTCATCACCATCTGAATCAAATTCTCCGTCGGCCTGGCTACCCCAGGCACCTCCACCATCTGCACTTGTATCCATCACTGGTTCTTCGAAGCCTGATGGTACCACGTCAGTCGAATGGGAAATTCCCTCGACAGTCGGTTCATGCGGGGGTAAGCTGTTTTCAACCGGAAGTTCTTGTGGCTTCGTGTCCTGCGCGGGCCAAGAATCTATCGGAGCAGATTCCAGCTTTTCAGGGGCTTCGTTTGATGCAAAAATGGCTTCACTTGGGTCGGTTTGCATCGGGATAGATGTGGGTTCGACATTCGCGGATAGTAAAGCAGAAAAATCATCTGGTTCTTCACTGGAGCCGAAAACTGCGGCGATGGACGAGGATTCTGCCGGATGTGATTCAAGTTGCTGGAATTCAACAGGCGCAACATCAGCAACTTCCACCTCTCGGTCTCCTTGTCGATGAAGAGGTTCCTCAGTGACTTGCTCTTTGGCCAATAGCTCCGAAAAGTCGACTGAATCCTCATTAGACGCGAAAATCGGATCAGACTGATATTCTACCACATGGGTTCCCACAGGTATATGAGCCTCGGCAACTTCCGCTTCAGGGTCTTCTTGTTTATTCAGAGGCTCCTCGACGACCGGGTCTTTCGTCAATAGCTCCGAAAAGTCGACGGAATCCTCATTAGACGCGAAAATCGGATCAGACTGAGACTCTACCACATGAGTCCCCACAGGTATATCTTCAACACGCACAGCCTCAACAACCTCCGCTTCAGGGTCTTGTTGTTTATTCAGAGGTTCCTCGACTACTGGATCTTTCGTCAATAGCTCCGAAAAATCCATGGAACCATCATTGAAGGTAGTAGTTGTGTCAGGCACAGAGATTTCTGCTTCTAGGGCATTGGCGGTGGTGGAGATCTCCGGCTGGCTAGGCTCGGACTGCGCGGGCGCAATATCATCGGAGGGGGAGTCGAGAGAAACGTCCGGGGTGATAGTCGTGCTAAAATCGTTTTTGTCGTCAAGTAACGCCGTACTGACATTCTTCTGATCATCCATTCCAGTCTCGTTAGGAGTCGGGGGCACGTCCGCCAAAATGGAATTTAACGATGTAGGCTCCGGGTGTGCAGCGGCCGCATCTTCTGGCATATCCCACGCAGAAAAACTGTCGTCGCTGAGGGGCGATATAACGTCAGAGCGAGGAGGTTCTGGCGCGCTTTCGGTGACCGGGAGGTCGAAGGAAGTAGCTTCTATCGAAGTCGCCGCAACCCCGTGTATGGTATTCTCCGGGCGTGATGCTGGATTCCAGTTACCAGCGCCCTGGTCAGGCGATACTGCTTCGTCCATGATCGTTGCACGTATATCAGGCCCTCGACTGTTGGCTCGGTTCGGGGAGTTCGGAGGATACCTGACACGTCTCTCCAATGACGTTCAGGGTCAACAATCCCAACAAACAATAGACGAGCGATTTCAAGCTCGATAATCCATTAAACGGCGTACGTGGGGCGGGAAAAAGAAAATAGGATATTGAATTAGAAAGAAATAGACCATAAATGCGTGAAGTCGCCGGACAGCCAAAGACCGGACAAGGTTGAATGTCCCCAAGGATGTCGCGACGCCCCAGATTGATGTTATTGGCCCCAATTGGGGGGCTGAGTCAGCACCCCCCCTATAAATTGTGGGACTTGCTAGAGACACTCCCCTCTAGCCTGATTAGGGAAAGATCCTGACCCTCCCATGGATTTACACATAGGATCCTGATTTCTCAAGAAGCGATTGGTCACCGAATGAAATATATAGCAAGTTAAATGTCTGGGCAGACATATCACACGGTCAGAAGCGAGGCTATTCCGCATACAATCCGCATACAATCCGCATATAACGATAATTCAATCGGGATATGCGTCTAGAAACCAATCGGGTTAGATGGGAGTGCACCTAGTAAGTCTTCAATTGCAAAGGGACTAATATTCCTCCGAAATGAACACCGTTGCAGCGCATCACATGATAATTTGTTATGCATGCTGAGATAAGCAAGTGACACGACCACCCATCATATGCGGTCAGGTGATGCCGCAGCATGGGCGTCAGGCAGTCGCGGTGCTTAAATAATTTCCCACGATACATACGCTGGACTAACTGCCATTGGAAAATTTTACAAGAAATACCTCTTCTCACCATTATCCGTGGTTTTTCTCGCAAGATTTCCATCGTACCCCCTTATCTTTCTTGTTGTCCCCACTGTGCTGCCGCGTCACTTCAATGCCGTTTGAATCGCCGATCTTCAATCCTCTACTTACTGATAAGCTGTGCCTTGCGACTTGCCCATGAACAGCTGACTGTGAGGCTCGAAGGGCATCGCGATAAAGATGCCTTCTACATCCGATTATCTCCATCCCTTGCGAACAGACGACCCGGATGACTTCTCCGGATCTGATGATGACTTGGACCTCGAGGAGCTGGATCCTGACACGGCGCCATCACACACAACCCGAATCTCACGAGACTACGCAAGTCGCTCCCGAAACTATGGACCAGGAATAGCTCTGAGGAACCTTCGGGTGGGCGTGGGTAGTCGTTGGCGAAGTGTATCTGGTCATGGGGACCCGGAGGAAGACACAGCCGCACTGCTGGATGAACGGGGAGAAGATGGGACTCGCCAGTCACATGGGAGCTCCCGCAACATGACGGAAGCTGATGCACCGCTGCTGGATCGGCGGGGCTCTATCCGCATGCTCAATGACGAGGGTCCGTCTAAACGGAGTTGGTTACGGATGCCCAGTCTCAGAGGGCTAGGATTCTTACAGAGCTTGTCGAACCGACTACAAGGAAATGATACAGATAAGGAAAATGCGCCTCCCCGAGGAGTTTTTGTTGGCCAGCATCAGTCCAGCAAATACCCCCCCAACATTGTCTCCAACGCCAAATACACACCCTGGAGCTTTCTGCCGCGAACGCTGTACAATGAATTCTCCTTTTTCTTTAACATATATTTCCTTCTTGTTGCGCTTTCGCAAGTCATTCCAGTGTTGCGGATCGGCTACATGTCTTCATATATTGCACCCCTGGCCTGTGTGGTTTCCATCTCATTGGGCAAAGAAGCACTAGACGACATCGGGCGGCGACGACGGGATGCCGAAGCGAATGCAGAGGAATTCACCGTTGTGTCTCTCGAAGGAACAGTCATGGATATAACTAAGAAATCGCGAGACTTGAAGGTTGGGGACGTCCTCAAGGTTCGAAAAAACCAACGTCTGCCTGCGGATGTGGTGATCTTGAAGAGTGTTTCAAATGACTCGGGCCCCTCCCGCCAAAATTCCTTAGAAGGGACGGCTCCCGGGGCATCTGCCGATTTACTTGGTTCAGACCAGGAGCCTTCGGAAGCAGCTGCTGATGCGATATCCAATCTTGCTGAGCCTTCGTCTGCCAGTGACACATTCATCCGAACCGACCAGCTAGACGGAGAAACTGATTGGAAACTGCGCGTTCCTTCTGCATTGTCTCAATCGCTCTCATTTAACGACTTTACTCGACTGAAGATCACAGCAAGTCCTCCAGACCAAAGAGTCAACGATTTTGTGGGCACGATTGAACTTGGACCCCCAAGTGGATTTTATGATACTCATGTCAACAAGTCATCCACCCAGTTGCAAAACGGCTTAAGCCAGGATGACGGTAGTCAAAATACTAACTCAGCACCCCTAACTATCGACAACACAGCATGGGCTAATACTGTCCTTGCCTCCAACACCATCACATACGCCGCCATTATCTATACGGGATCTCAAACACGCGCTGCTCTTTCTACATCACCTTCACGTTCAAAAGTGGGCTTGTTGGAATACGAGATTAACAACCTTACAAAGATCCTGTGCATTCTCACCCTCGCCCTCTCTATAGTCTTGGTCGCGCTGGAAGGATTTGAGCCAACGAATGATAAGGTGTGGTATGTCGCTATTATGATTTACTTGATCCTCTTCTCGACAATTATTCCTATGAGTTTGCGAGTCAACCTCGATATGGCAAAGTCTGTATATGGTCGATTTATTGAGCGTGACAAGGATATTCCTGGTACTGTGGTTCGTACTAGTACGATCCCGGAGGATTTGGGGAGAATTGAATACTTGCTCTCCGACAAGACCGGGACTTTGACTCAGAATGGTGAGCACTGAATACTCTCGATCAGGAACTTTGTAACAACTAATAATCTTCATCACAGAGATGGAATTGAAGAAAATCCACGTTGGTACCGTGTCCTATGCTAATGAAGCAATGGACGAGGTTGCATCCTTTATCCGCCAAGGTTTGGCTGGCAATGCATTGACCACACCTTCAACTGTTTTTGGAACCCAAGCTGGTCAAGGAGCGGCACCCCGAACCAGACGAGAAATTGGTTCTCGCGTCCGGGATATCGTCTTGGCCCTTGCTCTCTGTCACAATGTCACACCGACCACCGAGGAAGAAGATGGTCAAAAGGTGACCAACTATCAGGCATCGTCTCCGGATGAAATCGCCATCGTCCGCTACACGGAAGAGGTTGGACTGAAACTGTCTTATCGGGACCGACACAGTGTGGTTCTCGAATCTACTGATTCCAAACAAGTGGTTGTTCGTGTTCGCATCATGGATATTTTCCCTTTCACATCTGATAGCAAACGGATGGGCATTATTGTCCAGTTCCAGCAGGATGAAAATGTACTTGATGCTGGAAGCAAACCTGAACCCGAAATCTGGTTCTACCAGAAGGGCGCAGACACTGTCATGTCGTCAATTGTCGCGACTAATGACTGGCTTGATGAGGAGACTGCAAATATGGCGCGCGAGGGTCTACGGACCCTTGTTATTGGACGCAAACGCCTTTCACTCCAACAGTACCAAGAATTCTCCAGCAAGTATAAGCAGGCATCTTTGTCCCTTCATGACCGTGATGCTGGCCTGACCAGGGTTGTGGGTGAATTATTGGAACGGGACCTAGAACTCCTTGGTGTCACTGGTGTCGAGGATCGTCTACAACGCGATGTCAAGTCTTCTTTGGAGTTAATGCGCAATGCAGGCATCAAAATTTGGATGTTGACTGGTGATAAGGTTGAGACGGCTCGATGTGTTGCCATTTCTGCCAAGTTGGTGTCCAGGGGTCAGTACATCCATACTGTTTCCAAAGTGACTGAAAAGTCTGCTGCCCAAGAAGCACTTGATTTCTTACGCAACAAGACGGATTGTTGTCTGCTGATCGATGGTGAATCCCTGACCCTAATGCTTGGCCATTTTCGGTCTGCATTCATCTCTGTTGCGGTGCTTCTTCCTGCAGTCATCGCGTGCCGGTGCTCACCGACGCAGAAAGCCGAGGTCGCCAACTTGATCCGCCAGTACACCAAGAAGCGTGTATGCTGCATTGGTGACGGAGGCAACGACGTGTCCATGATCCAAGCTGCCGATGTTGGAATCGGTATTGTAGGCAAAGAGGGCCGCCAGGCCTCTTTGGCTGCCGACTTCAGTATTACTCAGTTCCATCACCTGACCAAGCTGTTAGTATGGCATGGTCGGAACTCGTACAAACGCTCAGCCAAACTAGCACAATTCATTATGCATCGTGGACTGATTATCAGTGTGTGCCAAACGATGTATAGTATCGCTGGGCATTTTGATCCCAAGGGTCTTTTCATCAACTGGCTCATGATTGGCTACGCCACTGTCTACACCAACGCCCCTGTTTTCTCCCTTGTCTTCGATAGGGATGTGGACGAGCGACTTGCGAACCTTTATCCGGAGCTGTACAAAGAGTTGAAGACTGGCAAGAGCTTAAGCTACCGTTCGTTCTTCACTTGGGTCCTCATCTCGGTCTACCAGGGAGCGGTCATCCAAGGCTTGTCTCAGATTTTGTTGGACACCATCACAGGTCCTCGTCTGATCAGTGTCTCCTTTACAGCCCTGGTGCTTAACGAACTGGGCATGGTTGCCATTGCCATCACTACCTGGCACCCATTCATGATCATCTCCCTGATAGGCACACTGCTCGTTTACGCCGGCAGCGTTCCTTTCCTTGGAGATTACTTCAACCTCAGCTACGTCATTACTCTTGACTGGCTGTGGCGCGTTGTTGCCGTAGTCGCCGTATCACTAGTACCTGTGTGGGCTGGCAAATTGATCAAGCAGTCTGTGAAGCCCCCGAGCTACCGCAAGGTGCGTGGCTGATGTTACTTGGGAGGAATATATGGTTTTATTTAGGCATTCCCCCCTATTCCCTTGTCTTTAACTCTTTCAGCTCTCATATGGTCACGGTAAACCCCCTGACCATCCTGTATATCTACTCCAAGCGTATTTTGCACAGCGCATCAGGCGTTGGAACATGAACTATTTTCTGATCTTGAAAGATACCTGGGTTGTCCTTTGTTTGGTCTAGAAATCTTCTCCAGTTACTTCTAAAAGTAAATACCTCTATGATCGTCCGTGCTACTGTACTATCTAGAACTGCTCGGCATTAATGCCTATTCCTTGAAGCAATGGAGCATTTGTCCGATTTTCAGCTGGTGGCTGGCTGATATATCCACCGGTCCACGGGTGGCGTCTGACTTTGGGGCATTTAAGCGGGGACCAAAAAAACTTTGAGACATGGAAGGTGCTGGCGAGCGCAGACGACGCTATACTAGTGCTTACCAGTCTCCGCCTGTACATCAATGGGCATAAATAAGATCTTCCTCCCTGCTTCAGTGCTCTCAAACTAATAATTTCAAATCTTGATTGAACCTACGTCCTTCGAAGACCCCAAGGCGAAGGAAAGAAGTGAAAATGTCTGACTCTGAAGCTGCCTGCTACTTAAGGGATAAAGCCGCCCGATACCTTGTTGGCGACAGACTCATCGATCGTATTAGGGACCAACAAGAGAAAGAAAAGATACCAAATGAACCAAATGATGGGGATTCACTTGGCCCAATTTTAGGCCCAATTCCAGACCCAATTTATTTACGTCCAGAGCATGGTCCTTTGAATCTGCCAAAGGCACCTCTGTCTTTTCGGCCTCATAAACCAGAGGACGAAGAAAGCTTAACGGCAAGCACTTTCAAACAGCCACACATCGGCATCATCGGAGCTGGTGTCGCGGGCCTTTTCACAGCCATGCTTATTGACCAAGTTAATGGATTATCGCCAACCGGAGACTTGCTCACTTACGAAATCCTTGAGTCCAGTGCTAGAACTGGCGGAAGGGTATACACGAAACACTTCGACACGGAAATATGGAACGATTACTACGATATTGGTGCTATGAGATTTCCGGATGTAAGTCGGTTTATCTTGAGAGTAACTTCCTTGGACTGACACAAAACTTTGCTAGATACCAATCATGGATCGGTTCGTCGAGTGAAATATCTACCTGGAACAAATATACTAATATTGACACTACATAATTTTGTAATAGAACTTTCCGTCTTTTCAAAGCCTTAGGTTTCGAAAAAGGCGTTGATTTGCTCGACTACTACCTCGAAGGTGAAAATTGCCCTCAAAGATTCAACGACATTACCTACGTGGCGCCCAAGGAGGGTAGTGGGGAGCACGATCCGTTTCATTTTAGCATCGCCAACAAGGGACTCGTGCCTAACAGGTAAGACCCCGACCTGACTGCTCCGAGAAAGACTAATCGGAAACAGCACAATAAATGACGGCGCAGGAGAAATTCTGGCGGATGCTTTCGACTACTATAAGTATGAGTTGAAGAAAGACTTTGAAAAAGGATTCAAGAAGTTGATGCGACGGGATCACCTCACGACACGAGAGTATCTGCGCCAGGTGATGTAAGTCTGTGTACAAAGTTGTTCCATGCACAGGATTGACGCTCACAATTCATTAGGAACTTCGATTTTTACTCAATTCAGTACTTGGAAACAACAAACAGGTTTGTCTCACCGTGTCTCTCGCATCGCACAGCTACTCATCCCTTGTTGCAGTGCCACCGCTCTCTACGACCAAGCATTCACTGAAAGCGTCATGGATTCATTCGACTTCGACTATCCTATCAAGTCAGACACCTCAAAGGAGTCTCCAGAGTCGGATACCTCAGTGGATCCCCCAGAGCCAAAAGTGCAATGGTTCTGTATCAAAGGCGGTACATCAAAAGTCATTGAACGAATGGAGACAAGTCTTAAGACGAAGGTCTCTCATAACCACCGCGTGACTTCCATCCAGTACAACCAGGTCACAACCAATGAGAAAATCTCCGACCAGCCTATGGAGATCAAAGTGATGAATGAATTCAATGAGTCAGAGACTAAATCCTTTTCTGCTGTCTTCAGCACAGCTACTCTGGCTTGCACCCAGCGCATGGATCTCCGCGAGGCCGGCTTAAGTCGCTCCCAACTTGACGCCATGCGCAATCTCCATTACGATGCCTCCACGAAAGTAGCCATCGAATTTGACAATCCCTGGTGGATCACAAAATGCGGTATCGTCAAAGGAGGATCTGCATCGACGGACCTCCCCATTCGCACCTGCGTATACCCGTCCTACAATCTCGACGCAAAAGGGAAAGCTGTCCTTTTGTGCTCCTACACCTGGGCTCAAGATGCTCAGCGTATGGGCTCCTTGGTGAACAACGAAGCTCCAGAGGGCAAGCTCTCAGGAAAAGACAGCCAACTCAAGGAACTCCTGATCCATAATTTGGCGTTATTGCATAAAGAATCCGCCTCGTACGAAGAGATGCGTAGCATTATTGCAGAGGCATATATTCAGCACCACGGTTTCGATTGGTACGCTGATCCTCATACTTCCGGAGCCTTTGCTCTCTTTGGACCTGGTCAATTCGCGAATTACTACCCTGACTTGATTGACCCGGCTGCGAATGGACACTTGTATCTTGCTGGAGAAGCATGTAGCACACATCATGCGTGGATTGTTGGGGCACTAGATAGTGCTTATAGGGCACTGGTTCTGTATCTTCGCACCCTGGGGACTTCTGTTGATATCAAGGAGATTCTATTGGCGTTGGAGGGCAAATGGGGAGAGCTCCGACAGATTTCCAGTGATGCGTTGGACTGGCAAGCATACCTTTCCAAGTGCGATCTGACTAAGGGGGATAGTTGATGCATGAGGATACTCTGCGGTTTTCTGCTCTACTAGCTGCGAATGCCGTGTACATTGACTTGACAATTCCACAACGCCTTCATTTTATAGATCAACCCCATTCTAGTAGTAACAACCGCAAAAGTGAATATGTCCATTTAGCAAGGAAGAGTATGAAGGATGTCACATATAGTAATAAATAAAAACTTAAACTGTACTAATATTGAATGGTCTGCTTAGTTGGAACTGATTGTCCATCAGGACAGGTATCAAAATAGGCTATCCAAAGAGTGATAATGAAAACCAAAGCGATAAAGATACATTCCACTAGACTTTGGGGTAAAGGCTTGTAGATTTTCGGGTTTGATCTGCCACAGAGGCGACTAACACCCGGGAGGAGATTCATCAATAAGTTCGACGATTACTGCTCTAATTTTTTGTTCTTTTCCGTCATATTTGTGCTACGTCTCAAGGTGGAGATGTGAAGATGTGGACTTTGGGATAAATTTCCGGGCCGACACCTGCCCTCGTCCTTAAACGCACTCACTTGACCGGAACCAGACGGCAAGGACTAAAGAACACCTATGACATGTAAAGGAATGTAGGTGGTAGGCAGTGTTCTTTGATCGGTATTCATGAACAAACTTGTAATGCTAGGGTTTAGTATCCTTGATTTTCTGCCCTTATTCATAGTATTGTCGACATTTAGATGCTGCTATCTGCCAGGGAATAAAGATGCTACATCGTAGCGTGGAAATAGAGGAAGAAAAAGGTAAGGTATTTATTCTATGAGAGATTGAGAAGAAAAGAATAGAGAGAGAGATCAATCTTTCTATTACTTGGGTGCACCGCGGACTCTTTGGATGTCCGTTCAAAGTCATATATTAGTCTTCTATTTCGTCTGCTCTTCTTCTTTCTATTTCCTTTCTATTCAGCTACACATAGCTTTAGAGAGCCTTTGACTTATTGATTAGCCTGGTGGTAGAGAAAGTATAGTACTGGGTAAGATACCAGGTAACAGACTGAGTAGAAGACTTTGTAAGAGACCAAGTAAGAGACCAAGTAAGAGACTAAGTAGGAGACTGAGTGGGAGACTGAGTGGGAGACTGAGTGGGAGACTGGGTAAGAGACTAAGTAGGAGTTATAGCAGGAGATGTGGTCTAATGATTGAGTAGGCGCCGCTTTTTTTGCGCGGCGGAAAGCCTATAGCGATAAATTTTACCAGGGAGTGCTATAGTTGACTAATTAAATGAAAAGGAAATGGAATGAAACGAATCTTGAATAGATAGGGTACACAGCAACTGAAGCTAGCCATCAAGCGAAGCCGACCAAGCGGCCCATCTATCCAGCACCATATACTCTTCCATCAGGTCAGAGAAGCTAGCCAGCTGCTGGGTGTTCCCTTCAGTAATTTTACGTAACCAAGTGCTGCTAAGTATGTTGAAGAATTTATGCATATCACCTTGAAAATTCTCGCTTGACGGATTTTGACGTTGCGGGTTCCCGTCATATGCGTCTTCGAGTAGCTTTTGGGAGGCCAGCAATTGATCCCGAAATGCGATCATTTTCTCGTTCAGAAGCTGGCGAGCCTTGAGAATTGACGCAAGTTCGTTATCAATTGCCAGCAATTTCTCAGGAATCATGAGCTTAGAGCTCCGTCGTGACTTCTTAACAGAAGGGGTTCCAAAGGAGCACCGGTCTCTCTGCTTGTCCCAATGACAGTTCGCGCACTCCATAACGCCATCCAACTCCACCTGCACACACATGACGAAAGGGCCAGTATTTTTGCGACAATGTGAGCATTGCGCTTCAGGATCGCTGTTTGCCTTTCCCACGATTTGCATAATAATAGCCTCGACATTGGCAAGGCTACTATTGACGTGAGTGTAAAAGGTCTTGGCGTCCCAATCCTTTCGTCGACCAAACCGGATAACTGGCTCGCGCAATGACTCCATTTTCAGAAGTTGACCAATAATCTTCCCCCGAAGACTCTTTCCTTGGACGGCAACAGGGAATTTGAATGGTTCGTTCATGACAAAGTTGGCCCAATCGCGCGGATCCTCGTTCCTATCACCACTCCATGGAGGAGGTAGTTCAATGGGTAACCCAACTAGTCGTGGGGCTGTCTGTGATGGGTGCCTTTTAATCTTGAATTAGCATTTTGAAATGTGATGTGAAATATGATACTCCTTACACGTTCACTGTCTGGACTGGCGTACTGGGTGATGAAGAGGATATGTTGTCTGGGTCGGGTGTTGGGAATGGCATATCGCTGGTTGTATTAGTCTGGCATCATTATATGAAAGGCAGGGAGGACTTACTCGCTCATGATGGCGGTTAGAAAGGACGAAAGGAACAATCGAGACGGGTTCAAGATCTTAAAGGAGGAAGAAGAAGGAAAGGTTGGAGGGGAGAGAGATAACGAAACATAAATGAAAGCGAGGACGCGTTTAAGGGAATTCACTTCATTTCTTTTGTACCTAAGTTGGACCTAAGTTGGACCTAAGTCGTACCTGAGTTGGACATGGGTTGAAGATGGGTTTGTCCCAGCATCAATTAATCTGAAATTAGGTCCCTTACATGACCACCGGTCGAAAGACTGTCCCCTCAATGATGCAAGCGTGGGCTCTCGGAGAAGTGGTAGGAGCTGCATAGAGTTCAGCAGCGTGCCAACTTTAGTGATATGTACTCAAACACTTTTCCATATAGGGTTCCTGGCGCTGTTCGCCTAGAATGAAGGAGGTCGACGGGTGCCATCAATCATTAGGGCTGCCTTATTCATGGACTTTCTGTAAATTGAAGCGGGCCGAAACCTTTCCATCCTTTCTCATCCTTCCACCTCCATTCCCTTTCGACACCTCCATCTTCATCCACAACTCTATCTATATCCATAACCCCATTTGAATTTTATGTCCATCACTATGGAGTCCTCTGGCCACAAACGATGAAAGCAAAATGGGGTACCATACCCATACATCCCGTTCACGGACCAGGACTACGGGTACCACGAAACGGCGAACCACCCTTTTATCATACGGACAGTACCATGTAAGTGGTCACTCTACTTTCCGTGAAAGCTTCCTTGGCACTGATCAATGCATATTGATTATAGGTCTCCCGGCAGAGGATTTTATAAAGTCCGACCAGTTTCGCGCAGAGTCGATCACAACGACTAACAACGAAAATGAGAAGTTTGTACAGAAGTTTGTACGGGGCTGCCACCCAAGCCTGTGCTCCAAGGATACTGTGATGGTGTCAGAATCGAGCTTTGGCGAGCCCGTGTGGCTTGTGTTGTCCCCAATCACCGGGCAAGAGAAATCCACGTAGGTCAAAGGCAGATTCATTATTTCCCCGCCCATAATAGCAACTATATTCCTAGACTACTCACGCAACGATAGAGATCTAGCTAAGAGACACGCGCTGGAGTAAACGGAGGGGGCTCACATGACCCCACACCCCAATACATGTACCTCCTTACTAGATACTTTCCGCCGCGCTTTTCGCACGGAGCCTACTTAGGTCGTACTTGGTCTCCTACTTAGTCTCCTACTCAGTCTCTTACTTGGTCTTACTCGGTCTCCTACTCAATCTACTACCCGGTATCTTACCCAGTAATTTACTTTCTTTCCTATCAGGTCATTTCAATAGTCAAAGGGCTCTCTAAATCTTCATATAGCTGAAGAGAAAAAGAAAATAGAAAGAAAAAGAGAAGTAGACCTTCTTTCTGGACTGGCGTGCTGATTTGGTAGGAGTGACCTTCGATCTACCACCATCCATTACCATCATCTTGCAGGTAGAGTTAGATCGCTTTAAGGAATGCGCCAACTGTCATTGGAATAAACATGAGGACCGGTGCTCCTTCATCGCAGCTACCTCAGCTAAGAACGGCACCATCATTTCGTTTCTTGTCTCAAAATCAAGCATATGCTCCGTCATAAGGCACAGGGTGGTTCTCTCTGACCCACTCCTTTTCCTCCTCACTTTTCAACGGCGGAGGTATCATGCCATTGATCTTCCAAAGCCTCCTCTCAGTCTCGTCCACATGATACTCCCAATCATATCCTTTGTCCTGGATGTGAGGCTTCAAAGCGTTGTCAATGCGCATGGTATTTCGCCTATATGCTGCATCATCATCCGGTAAACGAACAGCGATTTGGGTGATGACCACACGAATAAATGGTTTTTCTGTCCTTGGTGTGCCACCGACCCAAAGTTCGCTATCTTGTAGCTGAATGAACTGGACCACCACATAGAACGCAGGAAGACCAATCCCCGTATACATTTTTGTAATATCCGTGGCTAGGGCTTGTTTGGAAACATTGTCTTCGAAGGTGCCAGGCGGATGGTAGATTTGCCAGAGGGGCATAGTAGCGGTCGGGAGTCAATGCGAGGGCTTGATTTTGATTGGAGGAGATAATGACTCGGACGGACTTGGGCGTTGTCAGGCAAAATATAATGGAAATGTGGCAGTGTTGATCTTTCCTGCGACAGCATTCTCCTAAGTAATGCCTTGAGTATAAATAGTTACAACAGATGTGCATGTGGGTAACATTGACCGGGTTGTTTAATAATCGTCCTATTGTGTGGATGACATTTGAATGGCACGGGGGTCAGTAATCACAGGCTAGTAATTCCCGAGTATCCCTTCACAGCCAAGTACTTCAGCTCCACGATCGTAAATGCTTCGTGAAATACCGATTATTACAGGGATAGATGGTCAAGCTTCAGAAAGCAACTAAACAGACGAACTTTGAGATTTCATCAGGGATACTCTGTTTCTACCCCTAGGTAGTCCAAAAAGAGCATAAATTCTGGATTCAATAGAAAAATCAATGTCCAGCTTCGCAAATAGAGATCATTCAAGAATGGAAGTTTGCGCTTAAGTTCATCTTCTGGTGGGGGTGACGGGAGGAGACACAATATTCGTGCCCGTAATCAAGTCATCCAAGATTTATAAAGCTTCATCTATTAGGTAGATAGATGCTATTTTGTATTCTTTCTAAGTTTAATTGTTGCAACGTCCATGGGTAGTTGATTTCATTATTTATGATCACTCATCAAGTTATCAAACGGGAATCAATCAAATATCATTAGTCAACGCGAGGGATGGAGAAAGCAAAAAAAGAGCTAGTCTAAACTCTAGACCTGGCAGTCTTTCTTCCTCAGACTCCAATAAGCACTAATTGCATTCTACTTAGTTCAGGCTTCGCGGATGACAATGATCACTGATTCCCTCGGGCTTTTTGGCGACAATGCAAGGCATCAAGAGTTACTGTTGTGTAATCTGCAGATCATAACCCCATTCTACCGCTTTGGATCGTGATCATAATTTACTTTGCATTCATCAGAGTGGAACACCTGGGCTAGTAACTCAATGCCAAATTGATTATTCATCATGCCGAATAGTTTACGAAACCTTATACAATACGTAATTTTACGCTTTTACTGATCCACAGACCCAAGGGTGACTATTCAATAAAAGGAATCCCGTCTTGTGAATGACATATGAGTGATCATAGCTCCTATTAGCAATCAACTGTTGAATTGATTGCTCATCGTATCCAATCGTCACTGGGTGGATACCGCTACCAACATCGAAGTTGGAACCTGGATATCTAGCAGATATAATGTACGAATACACGCTTCAAACTTCTTAAATTTCGGCTCTTCAACTTGAAAAACAATACTTTTATTATTTCCTCCCGGTTTCTCACTCAACGATTTTGAAATGCCTCCATTCCCATCTCCCACCAAAAAATGGCACACGGATACCTATCCTTCAATTAGTCCACGGAGACCAGAAGTCTCGATGGTAGGACGCAAAATTGTTGTCACGGGTGGAGGAGACGGTATCGGTGCATCCATTGCACGCTCCTTTGCCAAAGCTGGTGCATATAGCATTGCTCTGATTGGGCGAAGAAGACAAGTATTGGAGGAAAACAAATCCCAGATTCTTGCCATTTCCAGCGATATCAAAGTGCTGGTCCTCGTCGCCGATATTAGCAGTGCGGACGATGTCAATAAAGCATTCCAGACTATCAAGGAAGCTGTTGGGAGCCCTGATGTGCTTGTCAGCAACGCCGCATACTTCGCAGGTGCATCGCCCATCCTTGAAGAGACAGTCGAACAATTTGCTTCCGCTGTGGATACCAATGTTAAGGGGCCATTCTTCGTGCTTCGAGCTTTTATGAGTGTTGCAAACCCATCCCCAACCATTGTCAGCATTACAAGTGCCATCGCTCATGTGTCTTCGTCGATCTTTCCTGGATTTTCGGCGTATGCCGCTACGAAAATTGCCGGCTTGAGGATCTTTGACTATGCTCAAAGTGAGAACCCTGATATGCATGTTGTTCACATTCATCCAGGACAGGTCATGACCTCGATGTCGAAGAAGGTGGGCATGGAAGCCCCGATTGATACCGGTATGTACGCCGCGGCGAAGGCCAAGCAGTTCTTGCCTCATGGAAAAGGGTCCCGAAGACTAACTCTTATAGTTGAACTACCGGCAGATTTTGCTGTATGGGCAGCTAGCCCGGAAGCTAAATTTTTGAAGGGCAAAGTAGTTTGGGCGAATTGGGATGTGGACGAATTGAAAGCAAGAGAGGAGGAAATTGCAAACAGCAGCATCTTTACTATTGCTATCGAAGGCTGGCCGTTTTTATCTTGATCATTGTCATCTTTTATATAAGAGTTCAAAATTCAATTACATTGCAGTTTTAATTATTTCCATCAATTATTCATGGGGAATACAAGGTTTAATAAATAGAAAGTTGAGTATGGTTTTAATACCGTTCCGAGAGTGAGGTCTAAAGCTTGCAGGGCACCCATGTTGGCTCCCTTTTCTCAAGAAAAGCTGCGATGCCCTCTCGAGAATTTTGGCCGGCCCGAAGCATTGGCCACCAAGGTTTAACAAAATCCTTGCCTGCTTCATCCACCTCCATTCCATTCCAACCCATCAGCAACCCTTTCCTTGTCACAAAAAGCGCATCGGGGCTGTGTCTGGATATTTTCTCTGCGATTTGGATAGCCTCAGAAATCACATCCGGGGTAACAGAATATACAAGTCCCCATTCTTGAGCTAATTGCGCAGATATTGTGCGACCAGTTAAAGCCATCACCGTTGCTCGTTGCCTCCCAATAGCACGGACGAGCCTTGAAAGACAGCCACCGAGCTCTGTCAGACCGATTTTAACATCTCGAAGCGATAAGGTGGCATAGGTAGACGCCACAGCAATATCCTAGTTCACTACCATCTCGGTAGCGCCACCAACGCCCAGCCCGTTGACGGCGGCTATGGTCGTCTTTTTCCCGGTTTGACATGAGATACCCCCGAATCCAGACGATGGCAGCTTTCCTTGCTGATCAGAAGAAGATTGGAACCATTGTATAGGAATGATTATTGTAAGTGAGTTTTCGGACATATTCACATAAGCAATACCTTTCCAACGTTTTAATAAGTACCTTGAAGGTCAACCCCGACACAAAAGGCTTTTCCAGAACCTTTTAAGATTCCCACATTCAGATCTGGGTTGGCATCGAACCATTCCAATACGCTTGCCAGCTCCACATGGCCATGACTAGGTAAGCAGTTAAGTCTGTTGGGCTGGTTGAGCGTCACAAGTAGAATTGATGGACGCGGAAAGCTCAAGGAACAGATTGTTGTTACCGGTTGGTTCATGCTCTAAACTATGAATATTGATTTCGGGTTAAAATGTAAGAAGAGAAGCCAAAGAGATAAATAGAACGGACCATGACCTGTCCGCGATACAAAGATTCAAAGGAAGCTATTTTGATTATTCAACATACCGAAGCGAAAGATCGCGCCTTGCCGTAGGTAACTAATCCTTAACTTCGGTCCTCGAATTCAGTTCAGTTTCTTAAGGAAGAGAGTATATGTACTTAGGTACTTGACAAGACTAGTCTTCAACGTTGCTTAGAAGAAACTTAAATAGACACACGCAGGCTAATCTCTAAAGCGCTCTCGACATCGCATTTTCTAAATCCCGGTCCAGTAGAGAGACAAACTGCTCGATCAAGTATGTCTGTGGTATTGGTTAATCGGTTTCGAATTTTCAGTGAATATACGACAAACACTCACTATCCAAAAGTCTGTTCGCACTGAGAACCACGGTTCGATAACTCTTCGGCTGCCACGCAGGTATGTTCTCGGTTTTTCTAAGTTGAATTAATTGCGACTTGGAACTGACCATAATACCTCTTGATTGTAGGTACATGTCCACATCTTTTGCACTTAGAAATTCATCGCCCTGAAAGTAAGAAAGACCCGTTTCTGGATCAGACATCGGATGAGTAGGTGAGGTTGGGAGAGCAGGAGGATCAGTAAGCTCAAACATTTTGTTTGAAAAGCTCTGCTGGTTGGACATGAAAACCCAAGGCAGGTCTTTGGCGGGACCCAAAACAGCCCCTTGAAGCGATTGTTGCAGTAAAAGCTCTAGGCGACTAGTAATCTCTTCTCTGCTGCTAACCCGAAAACAATGTTTGAAAGCGTAGTGAAGAATGGAGAGCGGTGTTTCAATGTTTTTAATCAACTCGTATCCCCTTTCCAAGGCATAATGTTGCAGCCGTCTAGAAAATGGGGCTGTCTCCGTCCCGTTGGGGGGAGATGACAGAAGGACATTGGAAGGAGTAGGACATAAATCCAGCCCAGCCTGAGCTCCAAAATGGATTGGCCCAGTACTCAGACTGCGGCCCTCTGATAGCGCATCGGGAGGGGATATTATCCAGCTTGCATCCAAGTTGAAATTTTCCAGATCGCTCGATGATTTTTGGCTGGAAAGCCGTTCACTCTGCGAGACCTCCAAGTCTGGAAATGATGCGGCGTTGGACGGCATATTTGGAGCAGCGCTGCTGTCAGTAGTCGCTGTGGCTGTATCGCCCTGGTTGTTGTCAGTGTACGGATCGTATGAGTGATTTTGATTTACTGACTTCTTCACGCCGGGCCTTTTTCACAACGTCAGCCAGTAATCGTGCAGTACATTCAAGATGAGCCATGTATAGTGGATCTTGCTGGGCAATATGGGATTGACAACTAGTCGCATAGAAATTGTTGAAAATTTCGTGCAAATTGTTAATAGACCTTCGGAGATTATTGCACTCATCCCTCGAATCTGCTAATGCATCTTCTTTTCGCTGGCGATAAGCTCTTTGTGCTAGTCTGACCTGTACTTTTCGTCGCCTAAAGGAAGTCAGGTACTTTTGTTATCCTCGCATGTCTCCATCAAAGTAGAACTGCTGTCCGTGGGATCGATCAAAAAACCCCTTACATCGCAAGCTGGCTCCTCTTCTACGATCGAATCTTTGTAAGTCTTTCTAGAGACACGACCCTTTGCTTTGGCTTCTGTTTTGGTCGTAGTCCGAGGGGCTTCCGAGGATTTTCTGCTGACCATAGCCCTGGTTCCCATTCTGCCATTGTGGGAGACCGAATGTTGGAAATTTGAGTCCGGGGTATCAGAGGGTGATATTGAAATGTTCGAATTCCAAAATGTGTTAGTACCGTGATTATTGATGAGAAAGTCTTCCCAGTTAATAGTTCGAGTTTGTTGATCTGTGGGGGCTGAGATGTTGGAGTTTTCCATTGCTGATGCAAGCATTGCTTCTGGAAGGGAAATAAGAGATTCGAAGAGGTCATAAATGATAAATTGATTGTTATGCACAAAAGTTTGGAAATTATAGCCGGGGGCGGGGGGCTTAGAAATAATGATTATTATTCAACTCCGACTGTGACTCGATAGTGATACTTTAAGCAGTCAATACTTGATAAAATCCAGACTCCCTCTATCATTGAATCCATTTTTAATGTAAGTTGGACAGGTCAGGAACTGGGGAATAGCTTCTCCTATTATTCACACGTAAATCAAAATGAATCACATGTATGAGGGGCACGATACATTCAAGTGTTATGGCCATACTGATGAATAATCCAAAAATACTAGCTCACTCATCGTAAATACGGTCAACAGAGGACTTTCGAAAACCGACGATCTATTTAAAGGACTTTCAAGCAGTACCTACGACAGACAAGGTTTTCATGTAAGAACGGGCCTAAGCCCTGGAAGATCATGTGGCTAGAAAATACAAATGAGTGGACCGCAATGCGAGTTCAGGCTTGGATACTTGAGATCGAAACACCAAAGTGTTTTTTATTTTAAATCGTTCCAATCTTGAAATTTCATGATCTTTGGGTATTCGTGTTTGTTGGGCTTGGCCAGGGCTTTTCGAGTCCATGTATCCTAGCATTCTCCGTAAGATAGGAAGTTATGAAAGATTAGGAAAGCAAGTCAATGAAGCATGTTTGAATTGATTGAATTGAAGTCTGAGAAAAGTCGAACTGCTGGGAGTAATTGAGGCTACTTATGATCATTGGCTTCTAACCCAAACGGGAGCAAACATTAGATTGACTTCGATTCCAGGCTTGACTAACTTTGCCAGAGATGACCGCTAGATCTCTGAAATCCTTGTAATTTGAGGTTCATTTTCAACGAGAAGGTCCTAGTTAAAAATAAATTTCTTTGCTCAGTCCTGACTCCTGACTACTAAATAAGTACGGCATATCAAACTGCACTTTAGGTCTATCTCCATAACCGGAACAATCTGGCAGACAGAATAAACTCAGTCGGCACCTGGACAATCTTCATTGCACCACTTGATACCCCACTCTTGAATTTCCCAAGAAGATACACGAAGATGCAGATGTTCATCTTCTAATTACCTTCTGATATCTTATCAGGCAACCTGCAATCTCTAGCGTCATTCCCAATCCTCTGAATACAACAACCCGACCACGCGCGCGAGACAACCTCTGTCTCGGGCACTCACCATGACAGAGCCTCCAGCAAAACGACCCCGTCGCGTAGACAGCACTACAATGTGGGATATGAATGACTCTCAGACCCACCCCACAGACTCAGGCGCAGAGGTGGACCACAGGCGCTCACCTCAACCCCGAGGTTCGCGTGAAGATCGCCGATACCGATCGCGCTCGCGAGACCGGAAGAACACAAGGCGAGAACGGAGCTGGTCTCGAGATCGCCGCGATCACGATAGAAGGGATATTCGAGATCGGGACGGTCGAGGGCCCAGGGATGGAAAGAGAAGCAACAGCCGAGACCGTGGCCAAGATCGACGAGGTAGGTTCAGCTCTGAGATACAGTCCCAGCTTGCGAAACTCCAATGATATCTAACTAACAATATTTGCATAGCTCCCACATCTAAATACGATAAGTTCCGCGACCGTTCTCGCTCACGATCGCCCGCTGGAAACGGTAACCAAACCCGATCACCTCAGCCTCGAGGAAATAAAGATGACCGTCGATCTGGTCGGCGAGAGCCTCGTTTCCAAGCAGATGGGCGGAAGGCCAATGGTGCGTTCATCAAAGGCGATGAGATGGATGTCGACTTCAAGGAAGATGCGGACGAAGATGAAATGGAAGCGATGATGCGAAAGGCTATGGGATTTAGCCGGTTCCGAAGCACCAAAAACACCAAAGTGCCTGGAAACGATATCTACGGTGTGCGCAAGGAGAAGAAGACGGAGTACCGCCAGTACATGAACCGGACGGGTGGTTTCAACCGTCCTCTCAGTCCGTCACGGTAAACCTGATTTACCAGTGCTCATACTTGTTTCATTACTGGCTCTCAAGACTTAGGCCGTGCACCAACCCCCCGGAGTTTCATTGTTCAATATCTTTTTATTCCCATCACTATTGCATTCTAGGAGCATGGCATCCCGGGTTGTTTCTCAAAAATTTATGGCAAAGACCTTGTGATTGGTTGCTCCATTTCTATTGAATATTCCAGGTAATCTAGATATGTTTCCCTCATTCTATGATCCTTGCACAACTGATAAAATGGTAAATTTAATTATGGTGGATAAGAGCGCTGCACATGACTGGATATGCTCCAACAGCAGTGACGTAGCCGTTGTCGACCAAACCGGTGCTCCAACTTTCCCATATCCCAACTCTCCTCAAGGTGGCCTCGATCCGTACTATAACCCGCAAGTTTGCGCCAATATTCAATATGTCGGCCCCTGGAGATCGTCGAGACATTGTCATTGTTGGTATGAATACACCGTTTGCGCCAGCTCGGAGCCCCGCACCCCAATTACTGACCGGGTTTGACCTCAGGTGGTGGCATCATTGGATGTTGTTCTGCCTACTTCCTCACAAGACATCCCTTCTACGACCCAGCTCGACACAAAATCACACTTCTCGAAGCCTCCGACATTGCAGGCGGCGCGTCAGGAAAAGCCGGTGGATTGCTTGCACAATGGGCATACCCGGACAACCTCGTGGGGCTTAGCTACCCACTTCACCAGCAACTTGCTAAGGAACACGACGGCAAAAATAGATGGGGATACAGAGAGACCAACTGTGGTCAGCTTGTGGTCCGTGGTCGGACAATGGCAGAAATGACCTCGAAAGAGACCGGCGATGGCAACCACAAGTCGCTACAAAAGCGCAGCACGGCCGCCATGTCCAGATTGAAGGCCGCAAAGATCCCCCAGGATTTGGACTGGATCGAGCCTGATCTTTTACGCGCCTACGAGAGTATGAGCGGACCAGGCGAGACGGCTCAAGTTCACCCATACCTGTTTACGACATCTATGGCGAAACTCGCAGAGGAAAAAGGCGCACAAATTATCCTTGGACAAGTCACAGACATCGCGCGTCCCAATGACACCGTCGAGTCAGTCTCTTATACTGACAAGGAATCGGGGGAATCGCGGACAATCCCCGCTACAGACGTAATTGTCGCTGCCGGGCCGTGGACTCAAGCCGTCCTCCCAGAAGCACCCATCACAGCAATGCGCGCACACAGTGTCGTGATCCGCCCAACAAGAGCAATCAGTGCATATGCGCTATTCACCAACATCGAGATCCCAGCAAACTTCAATCCGGCCAAGAAGTCTCGACCAACCGTGGGCGCGCCGGAGATCTACACACGTCCCGATGACACAGTGTATGCCTGTGGTGACGGGGACAAGACTGTGCCATTGCCACCGACCTCTGCTGAGGTTGAGGTGGACCTGGAGCGCTGCCAAGAGATCATTGACCATGTAGGTAGCATTTCGGATGAACTTCGGGCTGGTGAGGTTAGTGTGCGCCAGGCTTGTTATCTGCCAAATGTTGCAGGTCCTGGGGGGCCATTGGTGGGCCCTACTCATACTAAAGGGCTATATCTTGCGGCAGGTCATACCTGCTGGGGCATTCAAAATGGTCCTGGAACGGGGAAGTTGATGAGCGAGTTTGTGTTTGATGGTAAAGCTAAGAGCGCGAAGATCGCGTCCCTTGATCCTCGTGATCAGCTTTGATAGATTCACTCGATGCTATATATCCCAAAGTTCGCATATGCACACGATACATACAAGACCATGATTCATCTATGTAATCTACGGAACAGCACAGCATCACAACCTCTCAACATGAGTAAAGCAAACAAGAAGCAGGGCCATCTGAGTAGTAGCAAATATTTTCATTTTTTTAGTGAAATGAAAAAATCATTTATTCATAATTTCCAAGCCTTCCGGGTAAATGCATGTCAATAGTCTGTTGTTTTCAAGTACACATAGTTTGTTCCTACGGAGTATATCTGGCCGAATCACAAGGAAGCTCGGGCCACGTAATTGCGGAGAACAGTTAATCACCGAAAACAAGTCAGAACTGACCACATCTTCTCCAATGTCCCCTCAATTGGGTGGTTACTGAAATGCATTTACGGATTACAACTCTCCTTACATCACTCCTCTACGCGGGGACTCTTGCAACCCAAGACCCTAATGATGTGTCCATCTTGATCAAAGAGGCCGCGCGTGCCAACAACGAGTCGCTGCTATGGGGCCCCTACAAACCGAATCTGTATTTCGGCGTGCGTCCTCGGATCGCAAATAGTCTTGCTGCGGGATTGATGTGGGCAAAGGTGGATAACTTTGCTACAGCACAAGGAAGTATGTTCTTGCTCCTTCGTCCCCAATCGCTCTCAAGGACCAGTGCGTACATGTTTGCTAACAACTAAACTCTCCAGATTTCCGACACACCTGCGAACAACATGAAGGAATGGACGGGTATGGATGGGACGAGTACGATATTCGCAAGGGAGGACGCCAGACTATCCATGATGCTGGGAACACTCTGGACCTCACAATTGATTTCGTCAAGGTCCCCGGTGGCCAGAACGGTGGTAGCTGGGGATTCAGGGTGAAAGGTACTCCGCGTGAAGATGGTGCACCAGATCAGCCTATTTCGATGCTATTCTATACGACACTTGAGGGATTGGGTCAATTGGGTGTGGATCTGGACAGCGTGGGCGATGCCCCTGCGCTGGAGGGTGACGTCAAGTTCAACGGTTTCTCTTCCGAGCTTGGGGACTTCTCTATCGATGTTACTGCTGGACCGGATACCAATGACTATTATGAGCATGCTCACCCGAGCTACGAGGCGAAACCATTGGGCAAGGGTATTGTATCTAGTGAGACCTACCCCCAGGAGCAGCTCTGGCAGGCTAAGGGTAAGTCGTGGTGGTTGAAAATTGGCATGGGCTGTGCTGATTAGATTTAGGGATCATGTTCATGCAGATGAAGGAGGAGGTGGAGCCAGCTATCCAGGAGTATGGAACGGAGAACCCTCCGCCGCCAGCTCAGCTGTTCACTGTGAAGCATAAACCCGGCAATGGCAACATTCATTTCGTCCAGAAGGTCTTCAAGGGTCCCTTCGAGGTAATGAAACTCCCTCGAAAGCAATCGCAATGGCTAATGGACCCAGTTTGACGTTCTTTTCTCGTCTGGCTCTGCTGGTGAGCCTCTTACATGTAAGTTCTGATGTTTGCATCGTTCCTTGAGGTCAGTCCTAACAGTATATACAGCGGAGACTATAACCAAGGAGCTCGAGAAATCTTCGCTATCTTTCTCGGAGAGATTCAAGCAGGTGCTTGCACCACAGGTGCCTTTCGACTCGGCCAAGTACTTGAAGTTTTCCAAGGCCATGCTTTCCAACCTAATCGGTGGCATCGGCTTCTTCCATGGTGACGATGTTGTTGAGCGGTCTGCTTCTCCGGCTTATGATGAGGAAAACGAGGGCTTCTGGGAGGAAACCGCGGCGGCTCGCGCAGTGGCCAAGCCTGTTATTGAAGGTCCCAAGGATCTCTTCACTTGTGTCCCCTCTCGTCCATTCTTCCCTAGAGGCTTCCTCTGGGACGAAGGCTTCCACTTGCTGCCCGTGATGGAATATGACTCCGACCTTGCGTATGTCTGTTCACCCCTTCAGTAAGGCTTTTGCTAACATTTCCAGCCTCGAAATCATCAAGAGTTGGTTCCACCTGATGGACGAAGATGGATGGATTGCCCGCGAGCAAATCCTGGGTATGGAGGCTCGTAGTAAGGTGCCTCCTGAGTTCACAGTCCAGTACCCTCATTACGCCAATCCGCCCACTCTCTTCATGGCCCTGGAAGCGTTCATGGACAAAGCATTGAGCAACAAGAGCATCCAATCGGAAGGTCTTGATGCAAGCGACGTTGCAGAGAGCCTTCGATCTGCAACTTTGCGCAACCCCGACCTGGCCGATGCCTACCTTCGTTCCTTCTACCCCCTGATGAAGAGACACTACAACTGGTTCCGCAACACCCAGCGCGGAGACATCAAGTCCTATGACCGCGACGCATTCTCTACAAAAGAAGCCTACCGCTGGCGCGGACGTTCCGTTCAGCACATCCTGACTTCTGGAATTGATGACTACCCTCGTGCTCAGCCGCCCCACCCCGGCGAGCTGCACGTTGACCTGATCAGCTGGATGGGTATGATGACTCGCACATTGCGTCGCATCGCGGAGACTCTGGGTGAGACGGAAGATGCCGAGGAGTTCGCTTACCACGAGAACGCTATCTCGCGTAACATCGATGATCTGCACTGGGACGAAAAGGAGCAGACATTCTGCGATGCTACCATCGACGAGTTCGAAGAGAGCGTGCATGTCTGCCACAAGGGTTATGTCTCCATCTTCCCGTTCCTGACGGGCATGATTGGTCCCGAAAGCCCCCGCCTTAAGGCTATTTTGGATTTGATCAGCGACCCCGAGGAACTGTGGAGTGATTACGGTATTCGCAGCTTAAGCAAGAAGGATGAGTTCTACGGCACCGAGGAGAATTACTGGCGCAGCCCTATCTGGGTCCCGATCAACTACTTGACGGTGAAAAACCTTTACGTGAGTCATGTTCCTTCGTATCTCATTTCAAAGACTAATTTCTGCTTTTCTTGTAGGTCATCGCCACCACCGAGGGTCCCCACCAGGAGCAGGCCCGTGAGATGTACTCTAAATTGCGCAAGAACCTTGTGGAGAATGTTTTCCGTGAGTGGGAGAAGACCGGATTTGCCTGGGAGCAGTACAACCCTGAAAATGGTGCTGGCCAGCGGACGCAGCACTTTACCGGCTGGACCAGTATGGTGGTGAACATCATGTCCATGCCTGACCTGGCCAAATCCGAAGTCTCCCATGATGAGCTTTAGTGGATGTACAATAGCATAGATTAGATCGAAGATTTATCATGCAAGAATAAAATTTCGAATGCGTCGCTCCTACTCCGTGCACTGATAGTCAATTCGTTAAGAATTAGATTCATTTCGTGTAAGATATAATGCCTGCTAGGGGTACATAGAAAAAAATACATTTTCAAGCACTTGTGGAACTGATCGGGGTATCTTAGATGTACGAGTCTGCAGCTCTTGCGATCAACTGCGGAGTTTTCAACAAAGATCCAACGTCAGCTTCAATGCCAATGTTGACGTGGCAACTGACATCGCACACCTCCTAATCACCACGAACTCAGGCCCGATTCAAGAAAGACCCTTGAAAGCTTGATCAGTCTCTGCAACTTTTGTGTGATAAGTGCTTTGAGCTCCAGAAAGAACTTTTCGATCCGGTTCATCTCACAGGAGTACGGTGGTGACTACACCTTGAAGAACCTTTTGGTCGTGTATAATGATAGTTTGGGTCTGAATAGACCTAAGTTCTGTTCATTTACTGCAATGGGGAGATTTTCGATAAAATCGTCGAACATTCTGGCATCCGATCTCGAGGGACCTGCCACATCAAGATGCAATCGTGAGAATACAGAAATAAACGCTTACTTCTGATCACGATGTTATGGGAAACTTTGACAGGTGCTACCCCACCAAGAGCCTTATCGTCGGTCGGAACCCTCTCGATCCCCACGTCGTTCGGGATCAGATTTGCGATCAATGGGCGAAAAGCTGCGTCCACGTGGTGGAATGGGCTCTTTGTCCTTGTAGCCATGGCGAGTCCGAGACCGCGAACGGGATCGTCTCTTCTCACGGTTGTGGTCCCTGCCAGATCGAGAAGGTGATCGAGACCGATGCCGATGGCTGCGATACTTATGGCGATCACGGCCTCGATCCTGGTCATCATAGTGATGAGTTCTGCGATGTCTCCGCTCTCTATCACGATCACGACCACGGTCATCACTGCGGTCGCGTCGCCTTTCCCGACGAGGACTGCGACTGCGACTGCGCTCGTGTCGCCTTTCCCGACGAGGGCTGCGACTGCGTTCGCGTCGCTTTTCCCGACGTGGACTCCGACTACGTCCGTGTCGTCGGCTTCCCCGTGATTCTCTGTCCGGCTTGTCGACACCCGTCATGACCTTATCATTGTCATTGTCTCTCTCTATCATTTTGCCGCCTCCTCCCAGCGGTACCATATTCGCATTTGTGTCGGGTTTCAATGGTACCGGGAGTCCTAGAGCGATTGCCATTGCTTCCGCTTCGGCATCCTTAACTCGTTGTCGTTCCTCACGCTCCAGGCGGACTCGTTCTTCTTCATCGTCGATATTGCCCTTTGCGTACCATTGCAGGTCTCGGCCTTGTTGCCACCGTCCTACCGGGGCCATCACCGAGTGACCTAGGTAGTTCTCACGATGGGTGGAGCTCTGAACGTCCGACCATTGGAACTCGGTGCGGCCACCACTGGAGACACCGTTAGCGCAGTGAAAGAAAGATGTCAGACAAAGCACTTACCGGCTACCTTCCTTGCGTACACTTGCAACCAAATCCATGTTTCAAATGGGTGGTCAGTTCAAAGAAGGTTAAGCGTTACGCTATGATGAATGGGAAAGGCGGTGACAGTGCGGAGGCCAACGTTAGAACTGGAATTAATTGGCGGAACTAATCCGGACACGGTAATGATCGATTGATTTGTCAAACATCCTTTATTTTGTGGATCTTAAGAGGGGGGAAAAGGATAGCCTCATCGATGATTAATGTCTCGGGGTTTGATCGTTTTGATCATGTTTACTTCCGTGACTCCTTTTCACTCCTCCAAGGGCATCAGGTCCGGCCATGATCACACTACTTCCACCTACCTTTCTTACACGTACGCACAGTTTGTCGACTACCCCACCGATCACCTCAGCCACGGCCCAACGGGTCTAGCTTGAGGAGTCGATATGTCTAGCACCGACCAAACCGACGACGACCTCACCAATGACAAGAATAGCAGACCTCAAGTTCGCAGGCTGAACGTCGAGACTCCAAAAGAAAGGGTAAGTTCAAGATCTCATTTCACGTGTGCTCAGGATACTGATTGAACCAGTTCTCAAGGTACATTTGCCATATTTACGTGTTCGAGTTCGGACGCCCCGCTAAGTAACCCTAAGTAAAAGAGACGAGTATCCCCCTGAGTCTTCTGCATGGAGATCCAATCTGGTAAGGTTCCCGCGCATCTCTAACTCTGCACGTGACATTGACTGTATCAAAAAGGCAGCATGCTCACAGAGACGGAACCTACTTTTTGTTGCGTATGTATCCGAGATCTATGTCTTCATACCAGCCGGGCATTTGCAGCTTCTACGTCATCAGCCTGAGATGATTATTTCTCCTGTGATGAAAGACCCGTATGCAGAAGGCTTGCTTGACACAGAAAATCCCCATGCTATCAACCATCTTTTGGTGGATGAGCTTGGTCAGGATGAGATATTGCTGTTGGCTACTGACTCCGGCAATGTCTGTGCCTACTACGTGGAGGCGATTTACTCCAGCATCACCCGGCACGCCGATAAGGGGGCCAAGCGTCCTTATGATACTTCAGAGGTGAAGCCTTTCTTCTGTGAGGATGTTTACATGAGTGTGTGGGGCCTTGCAACGCATAAATATGCTCGCCTTATTGCCGTCAGCGCCAATACTCAAGTGGTCACGGTATTCGCATTCGCACTTGAGACACCTAAGGGTGGAGTTACACCTTCTACAGACCCAAATCTCGATGACCCGGATCAGCCCTGGATCAATATTGATAACAATCACAACCTTCAGAGGCTGCAGACGATGATGCCGAATAATCATCGGTCCCGGAATTTACGACTCAGTTACAAGGGACACTATGACAACATTCCGTGCGTATCATTTGCGAACTTCGATCTGGACGCCAATGCCGAGTGGCTGGTCAGCACAGACATAGCCAATCGAGTCGTCATCTGGCGGATCTGGGAAGACTTGTTTCCGATACGGGTCTATTATCCCGGCCACCCTCAGAACAATCCTCCCGAAAGAGGCTGGGCCGTCCTACCGCTGGATCCAAGAACATTCAAGTCCTACAAATTCGCCGAACAGGCTTGTGGTGGTGATCCGGAATCAAAAGTCATCTCAGGCCGAACAATCCTGGATGTGTCGGAGGCGGTACCGCAGATCGGCGACACGGCCCGGTACTTCAAGACCGGCAACATTAATTCAGAAGCTCCAGAGTATTATACTCTTCCCGATGATCTTCTTTCAGAATCTACAGAGGTCGTTGAACCTGCTCAAAATATTGACCTGAGCGAAAATGTAAACTACGCTGTGCTTCGGGCTTCCTTCGACTCACCTGAGGCAGGCACAGACATAGAACTGGAAGAAGATGACGCGGAAGATGAGGATATGGAAGATGATGATGCGGACATGGAAAATGAGGAATCAGAAAATGAGGACTCTGGAGATGATGACATAGAAAATGAGGACTTGGTCTCATTTTCCGAGTCCTCATCATCGAAGTTACCTCAAGGCACCCGGGATCGGCCTCGGCTGCAGAGCCTGTTTGAAGATGATAATGCCGACTTCCCTGAGAGCCGATACATGGACAACAATCTTCATCGCCAGTTCGCCCGCTATCCCAAGAAATCCTACCGTCAGCAGCCTGGCTCTGGTCTCCGTCTTTTAAAAACCAAATCTGTCCATCGTAAGAATTCCCTTGTACCTGAGACACCACAGGATAATTTACTAACAGATAGAGTTTCTAGCAAGCTCACCTTCTTGCTTCCCCATTCTTCACTTTTCTGAGCATCACATCAGCATGGCCCCGTACCCCATGGATTCCAATTATCAGCTACTGTGCGCAAATGCCCTCGCGCAACAAGCAGCTCCCTATGAGGCCGCCAATACACACCGTGCATTTGCCATTCTCGCAAACTGTGACCGGCTCAACATGATCAAGTACCTCCCCGAAGCCGGAATTGTGGTTGCTGCCTCCCAAAAAGGTCGTGTTGCCATTCTATCTCTGACCTGGCAAGAGGACGTAGGCTTTGCGTTCCGGACTGACTGGATTCTACCATTCAAATCTCAAGAAAACGACAGAGAACGCCCTCTGGTCCCACTGCTCGGCATGGCTGTTAGTCCAATGCCAGGTTTTGAAAACCCACCCGACATCCTCCATATTCCCCAGGGAATCGATCCAGATGATTGGATTTCTTTCAACTACCGTGCCATGCATTCGGATGACACCAGCTCTTCAAAATATTCATCCAACACCTCAAATCCGCAACCCCAACCTGAACAACCCACTGAGTCGATGGACCAGGATGTCCCAATGATCCCGCCAATGATCCCGAGTGGTTCTAATCAATCGGAAATAGAAAATTTGTTCGATCTGTTCGACAACACATTGCTTCGGCTATCTGAATTAGAACGTACCCATGCATCTCGCCAGCAGCGTGAAACTGGAACTGATGAAAATCAACCAAAAAGCTATTGGGACCTCATCCTAGACCCTGTTCCCAACCTTCCAAATCACGGTTACTCCCTGGCGGAGCTGCACGCTCAAGCTTCAGCAGCCCATCACCCCCCAGAGCCCTGGCATGGCACGCATCCATCCCGTCACTATCGCATTCTCTTGTTGTTCTCTGATCACACCGTAATGAGCTACGAGTTTTGGCAAGGGTGGAAGAGATTCCCAGACTCTTCATCTGCTGTGTCGAGCCAGAGACCGTGAGATACGAGTCATCGTTATCATTTTGTACTAGTAAACATAGCCAACTCCGAAATAATCAATAACATATCAATTTCTTCTTATTATCATTGTAGACGATTGTTACATAGTACATAGTCTTGGTATACCGGGCCATTAGAGTACTATACGCCTGACTAGCGGGTGTACCTCGGTAGATCTCGAGGAATAAGCCCTGATGACCACCTAGCCTGGAGGTCTCTAACACTACATGCACATGGATACACGTAAGGAAAAAAAAACACCTGCGCACCCTGATAATTACTATAACGGAAGGCACAAGCAACGTAAGTGGGTATATGCATGGGTCTAATTTATGTTTCACTGCACATCATGGCCAGCCCTCGGTTTGCAGTCCACCATCCCACTCCGTCCCATTCACCATAGGGTTACTCACATCTGAATCCTCACCAACCACATCATCAGCAAACCCCCATCCCATCGACTCCAATTCCCGAACGAAGAAATCTCTCTCCTCTTCCATGATGGCGGTACCTTCAGGACCACCCATAACATCTTTGTACTTGCGTAAATGCCACCAGTGTGTTAGTCCCCGAAGAGCCTGTTCCAATGGCAACGCCACTTCGACATCACCTTCGACATCCGAGCCCGCAAGCCAATCATCCCGGAGCTCGGGCTTGCAATACAGGTAGATAGCGGTGATAACGCGCATGTTACTCTGGCGCCATTTCCGGCCACAGTACGGGACTTGTGATTTGAAGAGTTTGAGAGTGTAAAATCGGAGATAGGGGTCAGGGATTTTGAGACCCTTTCGTAAGATTGTGCTGGATTTGTACTGCACGAGAAGTAGGCAGCGATGTGCTTTGTCGCGTGTGATCTTTTGCATGATGTGGAGGTAGTTGATGGCGGAGAAGAAGTTGCGGAATGAGAACACAGTAATAGGCTCCTTGGGGAGAGGCGCTGTTGGGTAGCCTAGTTCGTCGACTTCCGGTCGAGGAGGGCCATCTAATCCGGTAATATTTTCCTCGGTTGAAAGGTTTCGCACTGAGGTGTCTGCTCGGAACAGATTAGGGCGACGTCGGGAGATTGGTGGAGGCGCCGCTTCGTCCTCGCTTTCGGTGTCTCCACAATCAGGCTCGAGATCTGATGGGTGATCGGCATTCTCACGGCAGAAATGGAAGAAACTGGCGATATGTTAACAAGCTTGATCAGATAATGTGGCGAAAAAAACATACGATAGGTCATCACGGTCATTCTTCTGTGCCACCGTTTGGTCCACATCTTGATGAGCAAACATCTTCAGAATCAAGGGCAAATAGTTTGAATCCAGCAAGAGCTGTGTCATATACTCAAACTTCATGACATCTGGTATAGGTTAGTACTGGTTTATATAGTTGATGAGAAAGGGAACCCACGGGATCGTTTGAACCACTTCACCAGAAGAAGCAAAGTGCCCGAAACAGCCTTGGAGGTGATCTCCCGCAGCCGAATGTTATCAAGCTCGTCGACAGAAGTATCAGGGAAAAACTCCGCTGACCCATCAAGACTGTGCCCATTGCTTAAGGAATGTTAGATATCATCTACTTGTTTTTGTTCGAGTACAGATACATACCTCATGCTCTGCGAAGGTTGGGAATTCGCCTGGTTAACCACAGCACTGACATTGGTCAGAATAATCTTCAAGAAGACAATTGTAATCGACTGGAGGTTGGATAGTGTTTGAGCCTAGAAAAGATATCAGTAAATGACCAATCCCTGCGGATCGAGATAAGTGCTTACATAGAAGCTCTCTACAGCATCCAGTCGTCGTTGAATATCCGGATCATCCGTTTCGTTCGTGGAGTTCTTGGCCTGAGATGCTTCAGAGTTGGACAGGTTTAATCGATCCAAATCATCCTGTAGGTCTTCGGGCGATACACAGCCGAATTTTCGGTGGCCAGTGTCAAAGTTCCAACCTCGGTCATATTTCATAAAATTCTCACGCTCCTCCCACATCTGTCTCATTGACCGTGCCATTTTGACATGAGTAGAAAACAATCGGCCGGCCTCGATGATTGATGCAGGAACATCGCTGCCGTCCCACCGTTTTCCAACCAGAACATCCTGCCGTTCAGTAGTACCTTTGCCACCAATTTTGTTGCTGGTGTCATCTAAAGGAGGGTACATCAGCGGGAAGTTTTGGTTGGTCTGGTAATTTTGCTTCTTGCCGCCTTTGCCTCCAGGCCCACCTGGTGATGGAGGTGGGGATGGTGCCGGAGTTGCAATATGAACAGCCTGTTGAAGAATAGAACCATTTCCGCCGGCGATGGGCGGCCCGACTCCAGAGAACAAGCCACTGGAGGTGCTGGCTCTGGCAGGATGCTGTGGGAAAGGAGGCAGAATAGAATTGTTGTCCAGCTCTAGAGGAACAAGGGGTTGTGGGGGATTGTATGCGGGGTATTTTGAGGTGATCTCCTGACGAAAAACGTGGTAGTCAAGGGGAGATGCATGTAAGAATGGTCCTCGGCGGTTCGTGGAATCATCATCATAGGACAAAGATGGCTCCAACACCTCCTTGGCTTTCTTCAATTGAGCACTGCCACCAAATACCAGAAGCAAAGATTTCCATAACAGAAGAATAATGCGGGTAAGAGGAATATTAGCGGTTTCGTCCCATCGCAGCCGCGCGATGATTTCAACAATCGTAACCAGCAAGGAGAGGTCGGACTCGGTTAATGCATCACGGATCGAGGTAGTTTGAGGGTTTTGAGCCTCTTCTCTGCGACCGACCTCAATTGAGAAATACAGCAATGTGAGCACCAGGTTGGCTTCACGTTCTGATGCGGGGATTTCGCCCGGGTGAAGTCGATCAAACTCCAATCCGTCTGCATCAGGCCCCCGTGAGTGACGGCTACGATCGAACAATTGGGACAGCCTCTTCACCAGCAACGGAATTCCTCCACACTGCTGAATCAGTGAAACGTTCTTTTCAATCCATTTGATCTGTAGCGATTGTAACCGTGGTGATTCTTTAAGAGTCTTGGAGTCCGGTGCTGCGGGATATTCTGGCGTCGGTCTTCCACCAGTAATGCCCCAGACACCGGTAACCGCGTAACAGATATTCTCCAAAGCGTCTAGCCGTACTGAGGTCTCAGGGTATTCGAGCTTGTCGAGAGACTGCGATATGAAAGTCCGACGCATATTGTCAGATGCATCCAGCCAGGACAATTTCGGGGTCCCTGAGTTCTGGTTTCGGCAAAATGTAGCCCAATGGCGATCGAAGGTTATCTTCATACCCTTCAACATAACACGGTCGAAATCATTGTACTGGAACCACTCGTTCAACTCTTCCGGAAATGCTTGCGAGTCTGCATATTCAAATGCATATGCCGGCTGTTCCACCTTTGGCATGTCCTGGACAAGTTTTCGCAACTGGGCCAGGCTAAGGGAATCCGTGGGTTGTTCCGCATTCTCCTGTACCGGGGCCGGTGGAGGGGGCTGAAGCGGAGGTGGAGGAGCTATTGGGTTGTCTCGGCGCAGTTCAGGTCGTTTGGTGTTCTTTTCGGGCTGAATATCATTCGATTCGACCGTCTGAATTGCTTCAGTAGCTTGTTCTTGGGCTTGCTCTTGTCGCATTTCCTCCGCAACCTCCTCCATCAACTGGTCATCGGAGACTGGTGAAATATCGGTCCCAGTCTGATCGACTTCATCGGCCTTGACGATATGGTGCTCTTCCGGCATTTCTGCGTTGCCAGAAGGCAAGATTTCCATTGTGATAAGGTGATTTGGTGTTGACGCGGGGGTTTTCTTTGCGTCAACACACTTGTATTGCCAGAAAGGGGAGGCTAGCTGGTCGGTTACGGAGCCAGTAGCATTAGGAGATTAAAATATTGGCCGGAATTCTTTAGATCAAGAAAGCCTCGAAAGGCTGCCAGCGATCATGATGCAGCCAGAGCTATTCGTATAGACAATTCGATGCGGAGTTGCGGTGATAGGCCATATCCCACGTGACCGACGCCCCCAAAAAAGTATGGAATCAACGAACTTGATAATTTGTTCATTTGTACGTTCATGATTGCAAACGCCATATAATCTTTCATATGTTCTTATAAGCTCTAATATACAACGAAACATATCACCCCTCGAAAGTAAATTGAAATTACTGCGATTTGCGGGCATCACGGCGACGCTTCAATCTCAATAATTCCCATCGTTGCCAACCGGCCTCAGCCAAGTCTTCACTAACCACCAGGTCACGCACTCGTAGTAGGCGGGCGACAGTCAATTCCACGGCCCAGTCAATCCAGCCCCATCGACGGAGCAGACCGGTAATAACAAACCAGCCAAATGCACACACCACACCAGCTCCACAGCCCGCCAGCACTTGGCGAGGAGTGTGATAATTCAGGTAGATGCGGCTTGTAGCAACTGCACCAGCAACAGCCAGAAGGATCAGAGTCACAGAGGCTCTCAGCAAAGTTCCCAGTTTAGGATAGGAGGTCGCATAGGCGGGAGTGTGTCGGAATAGGAGGAAAAAGGTAAGGTAGACGGAGAAAAAGGTCATGAACTGGGCATGTGACGATGGCATTCCATAGCCTTTGCCAAGCATTTCTGCAGAGATACAGAGTAAGTATATATTCACCATGAGACCATGATGAGCTGTTCTAACATACCCTTCGGTCGTTCTTCTTTTATAAAGCGCTTTAGCACAAAATTGATTGCTTCGCAGCCTAGCTGTCCTGCGAACATCAATATGACCTCAACTTCTCGCGTTGCCCAGATCAGAGTGGTATAAGAGACGCAGAGCGCCTGGGGTAGGAGAGCGAGCCATGCGGATGCAAAGGACAGGGGATCCTCGGGGTTCTATACCAGTTAGTTCTCAGTCTTGTTATTATCAGGTATTATACTCACATAATGGACATGTGTAAGAGACAATGAGGCTAGAGGTGTATCCGACATGGTGAAGTGTATGAGGAAGTGACGAAAGGAACTTGCCAGAACAACAAAAGGAAAGCACGAGCCACATTTGAGCACGGGGCTTAACGATAAGATAAGAGAGACAAACTCAACAAACATTGTATTTATAGAAGTATTTTACTTACACTTACATAGTACCCTACTAATAGGTTAGTACTAGTATACGAAGTAATAGTAGAATAAAGTACTTTTCAAGCCCTGAATACAGACAAAATCAAAATACCCATAACAAGACAAAAAACACCACACATTTCAAGTCCAAATCAAAACTTCATTAGGCACCAAGGACTGGGCTGCTATTGTGGCCTGGTTCTTTTTTTTGCTTCTTTTTGATTATTTACTTTCTCTTTCTCTTCTCTTTCTCTTTCTTATTTTGCTTTGAGCTCACTGTTACTTTGACAGAAATCCCTTAAACCCTTTTTTCCGTGAATCCGTTCTGCTACCGAACCATGACGCAGTCCCTGGCTCTCTATATTCCCGCTTTCTTGTTACATCATTTGATAGACCCCTCAGTATTCAACTCTCCGGACAACCGCTTGCTTGGCTCTAGAGTTCCTTGAACGACTGGTGTGTTTGAACTCTAGAGTAATTTATTCCGTTCTGTTTCGCTGATGAAATTGTCCTGCAGGAGAATCCCATTTCTGCCCGATTCCGAGAGTCGCCACTTTTTTTTTTGTGGTGACCACGAAACCACCCACTCTATATCCCACGTTCGCAACCCAAAAAATCTCCATCGACAAGCCTCCCCCCGGCCACGTCGCAAGGTATGACCATTCAGGACTAGCCTATCTGGTCAAGGTCGTTGCTATCGACTTTGCGACCGCGACTCAAACTATTCTCAGATCTTTATCAACCCGGCAATCCTCAAACTTCCCGGAGACTCTTCAAGATGACCGAAGCCGAAGACCCCGCCGAAGACGACCGTTCTGTCGAATTATCATCGATCGTCGCAATCTTCCCAGAGACAAGGATTGACCCGGAGTTTCCCTTCAAGGCTGTGTTGGACCTGCCAGTCGCATTACCGTCGCCCACCCGCGTCAGCTTTCACCAACCGCTCGATGGCGGCCTCCCCGCAGCGCTGACGCCACCAACTTCCGTCGATGTCTCAAAGGCTGACCTCGAACAAGCCGCTGTCAGAGATGTTCATATGCTTTCGCATCTACCGCCACTTACCCTCGAGATCGAATTACCAAATGGATACCCCTCCGAAAATCCCCCGCGGGTAAAGCTTACCACCCACCCGCGATGGCTTTCACCTGCGACCCTCAAAAAATTGGTGGACGACTGTCAACGACTATGGATCGAATGCGGTCAGGATATGGTTGTGTACACATACATCGACCACCTTCATCAGTTGGCAGAGACGGCCTTCGGAATTCAAGATGCATCGGACGGCGAGCTTTCGTTATCGCGGGACTTGAAGGTCGCATTACTGGACTTTAACAACAAGACGGAGCGTGAAAATTTTGAACAGCAAACCTTCGAATGTGGCGTTTGTCTCGAGCCGAAGAAAGGTGTGAATTGTCACCGGCTCTTGCGCTGCTCGCATGTCTTCTGTGTCCCTTGTCTTCAGGACTTTTACAACACATCTATCTCTGAAGGTGATGTCGACAACGTCAAATGCATGGCACCGGACTGTGATAGAAACAAGAACCCCAGCCCTGCTCCTGGCAGTGGAGGCCAGGCTCCACGACGCAAGAAGCACGACCCAACGCTTGGGCCAAACGAGCTTCTCCAAGTCCCACTCACGCCGGAAACTGTGCAACGATATGTCTTGCTCAAGCGCAAAAAGAAGATTGAAGCTGACAAAACCACCATATATTGTCCACGACAATGGTGTCAAGGCGCAGCACGATCAAAACGCCATCCCAAACCACTGGACCCGATGGCAGATGACCTTGAATCGTCGGACGAAGAGGAAGATTTCGCATTTGACCCTCGAGGGCCTGAGGAACAACTCCCTCCCCCCGCTGAGCGTGTGGCCATATGCGAGGACTGCAATTATGCTTTTTGCTCTGTCTGCAGAGGCAACTGGCACGGTGTGCTAGTTCGGTGTTACCCCCGCCGCGCCGCAGAGCAAACCGAAGAAGAAAAGGCCACCGACGAGTACCTCAGACTCTACACGTCACCTTGTCCAACCTGTAACGTCCCTTGTCAGAAGCTTATGGGTTGCAACCACATGCGCTGTCGCCAATGCGACACCCATTTCTGCTATCTCTGCTCAAGCTGGCTCTCAGCCGACAACCCATACGAACACTTCAACAATGGAATAAACGGTTGCTACAACCGTCTCTGGGATATGGAGGGTGGTGACGGACTTAACCCAGTGGGCGCCGAAGAACTGCACCGTATTCCAGAACATCTACTCCATTTTGACGAGATAGAAGACGATGACAATAGTCTAACCGATGATAACGATGATGATGAAGACGATGATGATGAACTTCCGGTATGGGACCTCGACTTCAGCGACGACGAACTTGATCTCCGGCGTCACCCTCCGCCTCCCGCACCCGTTCCACCCCGTCCGCCTCGCGCAGCACAAGGCCCTGGCGCAGACGACCAAGGTCGAGCTGCCCGTGCCGCCGCATTAGAGCGACAAGCCCAAGCCCGGGCCATCGCCGAAATCCGCAATCGTCAAGCAGGCGAACGACCTCGACGCCGTCCCCGTCTTGCTTTTGCCGGCCGTCCCCCCTTCCCAGGTCGCCCTGGTGCTCTTCCCGGTCATCCTGCCCGTTTTCCTGTCCGTCCTCGTGCCGACGAACGGTTCGTGGAATGGCAAGCTGGCCTACAGCATTTCCTGGAACTTGTACAGGATGACCGCGAAGACGAATGGGATAGCGACGAGTTGGATGACGAACTATGAGGACCTTTCTGTTGCTGCTTTCGCTCTAATTGATACCCGATCTCCTGTTTGCATATTTACTTTTCTTTCCACTTGCCTTTCCACTTGAGCGGGTACAGGCTTTTTCCGGGCCTTGATGTTTGCATGAGAAATGAACCCAATGACTGAACTGGTACCACGAATTTCTTGCTTGCATGTATTACATTATATCTTTTCCACTTTCTTCCCCTTTTTGAGTTTGCTTTTGACCTACTGATCTTCTTTTATTTCGAAGCGCTTGGGCGTAAATTCTTTCCTTCTTCGATCCCCTTCTTCGATCCGTTCTACCTATTTCTGAGCGACTGATTCAATGTTCGTTCAAGGATTTCCTTCATGTCTCATTATGATTCTTTTGCTTTTCATGCCTTGACCTACTGAGATTTTGGTTTTGATTGAAGACTTATGAGCGTATGCACGTATCTCTTATGGGCCCATTCCATAGATTTAGCTGCCTAAACATCCACAGCATCATATATGTCGAAATCTTGTTCGAAGATTACTGGTAATGGTAAAAATGATATTTATACAGGCTCAATACTGAATTAGGATCACACCCGTCTAACTCCATGGAGTCGAGCTGTCTGAAACCCTCCAGCAAGATGTGCCGCTTTATATGCCAGAATAGCAATGCGAGGCTTCGGAGACTATCAATCTTGGCGACAGGCTTGGCTGGTAATGTAACATCCGTCCACGAAAAGGAATTTTGCATCTGTTGGAAACTTTACAACACATAATCTCTTCTTGAAGACTTAGATTTCACATAATCTGCTATCAGTATGGCTTGCTCTGAAAATGTAAACATCCAAAGCCTTGGTGTATAATGGACAATGGTATAGAACCCTTCGCATAACATAGTCCAGACCCTGTTCACTGACTTGATATTGATCTTCTGCTGGCTATAGGACAAATGATTGACTTGCCAGACAGACCCACTACTGAAGCTGGTAATACCAACCTCTTCCATCCTTGTTCTTACTAACCAGATCCGTTCGTTTGAAGCAAGGAATCTCTTGGATAATACGCAAGACCATCGGACTAGCCACAGTCTATCTTGATATTTCAATTTACGACACCGAATGCTCCGAGACATCAGCATCATCCATGAACATCGACGTTCTTCAAACCGCGACAGGAGGCCTGGCTGGAACAACAGAAAGACGTAGGCTAGATTGGAAAATGCAAATCCATACCGACTACATATTCGGTGAGCTCAGTTGTTGGAGTCAACTTGTTGGCGGAGCCCGAGATGAAGAGGGGAATATGCGACCCGAATTTGTGGTTCAAAAGAGAGTCAATGATGAAAGAGTTGTTGAATTCTTGAAAGGAGTGACTATGCATGATGGGACAAGAAGCGATGGATTCATGATCGACATGAAAAGCGCTGAGATAAAAAGAACTGGGAGTTGGGTGCACACTTTTGCGCGCAATTAAAGGTCCGATTGGACGGCTGAACAAGTAAATACAACCTGATTTAATCGAAGCGCTGCTTTTGACTAAATGCCAAAATTTACAGATCTGAGGCTTTGAAATGATCCTTAATAAGTGTTATCATACTCGTCGGATTGTGGTGGATGATTGTAAGGGACACTACAAAATGGTTCGACTCGTATATGCGAGACAGAATTGATCTTTGGATCTCGGCATACCTGGCAAGTAATGAGCTCACAAAAAGGTTGTTATGCGCGATAGTTGGATTTCGCTTCAATTAATAGGGTAACAAGTACATGAAGTCGCGGAGAAATAGATAAGGTGTGCCATACTGCCATCTCTCACCGCCATCATTGTGTTAGATCCACCACTCACCGCACGCCTATCGATAAGCTCCGCACGTGACCGGCAACTTTTTTTTTCATCTGGATCAACACCTGGGCAACGGCTCTCCAGTGTGCAACTCACCACCTAAGCCCATCATGTCCGACGAAATTGTCTGGCAGGTTATTAACCAACAGTTTTGTTCTTACAAGCTCAAGTGAGTCTTTTCCCAAACTTAACCCAATTTTTCCCACCTTCTGCAATCTATAACATTCCCTGTCTCGACCGCAAGCATCTCAAATTTTCTAGTCCAATGAAAAAAACTTAACTAACCACTCTACCTCAGAACCACAAAAGACCAAAACTTCTGTCGCAATGAATACAACGTCACCGGTCTCTGCAATCGGCAAGCATGCCCCCTCGCCAACTCGCGGTACGCAACCGTCCGCTCCGACCCCGAGACAGGCGTGATGTACCTGTACATGAAAACCATTGAGCGTTCCCACATGCCCAACAAATGGTGGGAACGTGTCCGCCTCTCATCCAACTACGCCAAGGCCCTCGAACAGCTAGACGAGCGATTGATCTACTGGCCCAAATTCCTGACCCACAAGTGCAAGCAGCGTCTCACACGCCTGACACAAGTGAACATCCGCATGAAGAACATCGCCAAGGAAGAGGATCGCCTCGGTGAGAGGGTCGTGCCGAAGCTTGCGCCTAAGGTGCGCAGACGAGAGGAGACCCGTGAGCGCAAAGCGCTTTCGGCTGCTAAGGTTGAACGCGCGATTGAGCGAGAGCTGATTGAACGTTTGCGGTCCGGTGCCTACGGTGATCGTCCGCTTAATGTTGAGGAGGGTATTTGGAAGAAGGTTCTGCGTGGACTCGAGCGCGCGGGAGAGGGTGAGCGGGATGAGGATCTTGATGATGGAGAGCTGGAGGAGGAGGAAGAGGAGGAGGAGGGTGTTGGTGAGGTGGAGTACGTTAGTGATTTGGATGAGGAGGAGGATCTCGAGGATATTGAGGATTGGTTGGGTGAGAACTCGGCTGATGACTCGAGTGACCTGGATGACGACAGTGATGATTCGAGCGATGATGACGAGCCCAGTGAGGACGAGCAGAAGCCCAAGCCCAGTGCTAAGCGGAAGGCCGCTGCTCCTCAGCAGAAGCCGAGGAAGAAGGGACCCCGCATCGAGATCGAGTATGAGACCGAGGGTGCTGAGCGTGATACTATTATGGCTTAAGCTTGTGATTCTCGGGAATTGGGAAAAGTTTGAGATTGCATGGCGTTGTCGGGTTATTTTCTTCAATTTTGTCTTGTGCTGTGTTCTATTGTGGTCGGGCATCATACCCAGCTATCGCATCTGCTCGATGAATCTTGTCAATACGGGTTTAGACACTTTATGGGCCCTGTTTTTATTCAAAATTATTATTTCCAACTTCATCCGCCTTTCGCTTCAAGTATTCAATTGAGAGCCTGTATCGGCAATATACAAGGTAGAGTGTAGGTGCGAAGTGTGCACAGTGCCGGCAGTAAAAACCCAGGGCTTGGATATGTGGTATTTCTTCTATTCCAATGCTTCCTTGCATTCAATGTTTTATTTCCACTTTCAAAGTCGCCGAAAATCTCTATAGCTGTTAAAAAAGAACTAGCTGTAGGGTGTAGATGGAGGTAGCCAAGTCATGATATCCATTCTTGCCTGTCACATAGAAAGCAATATTGATGATGATGCTTCCTCTGCGAATTCATTCCTAATCCGGGTATTGATGGAACGCTTTCTGCTTGTCGCGAGGAGCCCTGTTGGGAATTTTCGTTCAACGGTCCAGATAAGAGCCATCTCACTGAAGAAATGATCGCCAATGAAGTATCTTCCTCCCGAAGTTTGAGAATGATATTGGTCAATTGAAGGATAGATCACCAGCTGGGTAAGACATTCAGCATCCTGGCAAGCGCCTATATGTGTGAAGTATTCCTTGGCCAGACTCTCGTTGATAACAAAGTTGATAATGCAATCACGAATAAACCATTTCGGACAACTGATATTCCTGCTTGGATGTACAATCAAGCTTTTTTCAAACTCGGATAGTTCACGAGGTGGGACAGGCATCATATCGGCATTCATCTCGGGTATGCAACTCAGAATAACGTCGAGCTCCCTAAGGCATGGGAACCGGCCAAATGCAGTCCAAGTACCCGTCTCAAGGCCTTGGTATCGTTGAAAACAGATTGATAGTTTTTGTAGAGATAGGCATTGACCTGCCAGCTCCACAACATCCTCGTTCGAAAATATGGGTCCGATTTGTCCTATGGGTCTATGCATGTACATAGTCTTGCGGTCAAACTTAGTAGAATCCAATTCCAAAGTAAGTAGGGTTGATCCATGCTGAGAAAGGACCTGGCCGTTAAGAAAGGCAGGCGTATATGTGCCAAACAGACGAAGATATGTCAATGGAGGCAAGGATTTAAACATTGACCCCGCAGCACGCCAAAATTCCAGGTCTTCGTCGTCTCTCGGGCGTAAGACGAGGGTGAGTCGTGTTAGCTGTTGGAAAGGATGAATATCCAAGATACTATGAAGCAATGTCGAATCCCGGATACAGCCGACAGTCCATGATTTCAGAAGACCAAAATCTGTAATAGTCTGCCAGTCTTGGAACTGTCCTGCTGTCATATTGGTTCTGAGAGGCCAGGATATTGTTTCAAGTTTGCCGGGTGGTAAATCATGCTTGCTTCCCTGTACCGGAATGTATTCGTTGAAGCCCCATTTACAATAAGGCATATCACGCCGGTTGATCTGCAATGCAATCTCTTTGATATTCGGTGCAAGTAACACACTGTTCTGGAGGAGCCTATCAGGATGTTCGATGATTTTTCTAATGTTCGGATTTTCCCAGCAGGTAACATGCACAGCATGCAGCATTGGTGAAGTAAGCCAAGCCTTGTGAATCGTTGGCCCCGTGGTGAAGATGGTCACTCTACAAGCAGGGTGATATTGCGAAAGAGCTTCAAAAAGCTCAGGCGGGCCACCGTTGTCAACAAAAATATCCACATCTTGCAAACGAGAGAGATCTCCCACAGATTGAGGATAGGAGTCAATTTACTAGCCCTTAGCCCACAAATTCGGGGAATAGCCATGTCCCCTAAAGGTCCTCCTTCCAGAGCACGGGGAAGACGTTTGAATTGACGGAGAGTTTTCTCAACTCGGCCAAGAAGTTCTGGAGTCCATTTAGGAGGGTCGTCAAGGAGATAGTCACCCTGTGGATTTGGCATTGGTCTCGGATACCATTCCGCGAAAATACTCAGTCGTCTCACTTGAGTGAGAACACCGGCACCGGGCAGGGGGAGTAATCTTTCGGGGGATGAAGAGACAGTTTCTCCATTCCTAAAGCGGATGACGAGATGTCTGTACAGAGTTGGGCTGACAATTCTATTCCATTCTCGATTTACTAGGGACAGCTCACGAGGTGCCTGTTACTTCAGTTAGACCTGCTGATTATATCATATTTGGAAGACTTACCCATTCGGCGATGATATGTTTGATTTCTAGTGGTAATTGATCCATCGTCAAATTCTATCAATGTTGAAACATTTGAACATTTGAAAATTTGAAAGATAGGGAAAGAAGGTCAAAGTAACTAAGAGGAATTAATAGAATAGACTAGTGGATTAATATTTATCCGCCTAACAATAGGCATAGTGCTAAGTCGCTAACAGTGAGTTAGTCATAGACTCATCACCACTTACTGCCCTCAACGTAGATATAATCATTGAGCCAGAGAGAAGTTCAATTATCGTTGACGGCTGTGTTCTGTAGAAGTCAGCTAAGGTGATACGATGGTCTCATATGCGACTGAGTCTAAGGCTGTGGTTAAAGTCGATATTGGGGCCGAAGTGGTCGTCAAAGTCGCAGTAAACTGAAATGTGCCACTGAAGAATGACTGTGATGTAGAAGAGGTTGTTACATAGTCCGACGGCAAACTTGTATAGGTTCAACAACGCTCACCGCCATTCATTTGTAGAAGCCAGAAACCATTCACAAGGTTCACGGCCCGAGTCGATATCCGTCACAAGCGGGTTCTGGGCAATCCAGGGCCACGGTTATCGTTATTCAAATATTAATGCTTTGATCAGACTCCTTGAGGTTCGGAAGAATCATCTCCGTATTGATTTGTAGATGGCCTGACGAGGGCTTATTTTGGTAGGCCATTGGGGTAGGGGTTTTCGGAGGATATGCCATCCACATGCCAAAGCACTTTTCAGGAGGGTTTGAAGAATTGAATTAATATATTTCAAAAGAAGGCTTTGCTTGTCCCTGGGCTGAAAATTTCTGATGGGCTCAATCGGAAAATCTCGACTTCATGCCAAAGCCGGATAATGTTGTCCGGTAGCTGGAGGCCAAATCAGACTTTCCAAGGTTAGTGGAGCTGGCGTACTCAGTAGCGATTTCTTTAATATTGAGCCAATGAGATTATCATGAAGGATGAAAGATTACTAATTTTGCGCCGTGACTCCATTTAGCCCCCACGATGCAAATAAAGTACTTGCCCCAAGGCAACGTCACGGATCTGTTAGCCCAACTACATTCATACCCCTGAATTCCATCTTTGTCCTCATAGGATTTGGCAGATGGATAAATTACTGGAGAATGCCAGCAATCAGCTGGATCATGACCAATCGAGGTTTACTCTCGAGCAACCTGCCGGTAAGTCTGCCACATTACCATCCCAAGTCTTTGGTCTACCGTCTGACACTCCTCTAGATCGGTTTCAGATTCAAACCTACCTCTTCTCGCACTTGGGTCTGCAATCAAATGTGATTGTGGCAGCATCATATACCAGTGCCCAGGGGACTGAGGTGCTATCCAGAGACATTCTCTACCCAGCCATTCGACATGTAGTGCAATTATATCCGGAACTATCCACAGTCACTTTCTCTCGCCCGTCAACGACGATGAAAAATCGAAATCGACGCTGGTCAGGCTTTCTACGACAAATAGACTTGGACAATCATGTCAAATTCGTTCACATTTCTGAAAAAGAGGAAAAAACAGGTCTAAGCGCGACGATACAAAGATATCATAACATCTGGTTCGAAGATGTCTCAGAAAAGCCACCATGGCAACTTATCGTGGTAAACGGCAAACACGTTCTATTCGTGTTCGATCACTATTTCACCGATGGCCGCGGTGCAGCCTATATCCTGGGTGGCCTTTTGAAAGCATTGAACCAGCCGAGTAAGACTATAGTTGACGATTCACCCATTGTCAAAGTAGCTCCTGAATTGCCCGGATTTCCAGAGGAAGATCCACTGATCCGTGCCGGCGTGAAAGCATCTATACTCGCAGCTCTCTGGCTATTTCATCAACCGCTTGATCCAAATTTCATGCCGCTTGACCGATTCCTTCTTCCACGACGCTAAATGCCAACCGAAGGACAAATTGGATGTCATCAACCCGCACCGTGAGACTCGTCTAACCAAAACAAAAGTTGATACTCTCCGTCTCGACGCTGAGACGGTTGAAAGATGTGTCAAAACCTGCCGCAAGCACCAGACCTCATTCACCCGCCTCCTGCATACGCTCATCAAAGTAATTCTCGCAACGGACTTTTACCCCAAAGCGAAATTCAGCCACTCGCACCTAGCCGTTGATATTCGATCTTATCTTCTTCCTGCACCCCGGGTGACCATGAAAACAGCCGTTTCGATCTTCACGAAATTCGACTGGCTTGCCAAGTTCAGAAAAGCCGGGAAGGGGGAGAGGGACAGTTCCGACAAGATATCTATCGTCAACGCGAGTATTGTATGGGACTTGGCACGAGAGCATAAAAGTCTTCTTATGGAGGACCTGAATCATACGAAGATATGGCGAAAGGCTTGGAAGAGCATGGAACTTGTCCAGGCAGACGATGAAGATTTCATTGCTCAGGCTATTGATGGGTATTCAACGGCGCTGCGAAAATCTTTCGAAATATCTAACCATGGTGTATTCGATCCCGCTCAATTCGGCTGGACTGGCTCCGATGCAAAGTGGAAGATCTCTAATATGGAGTCCTCGGCTAGTATTATGAAGGCGGGCTATGGAACTAATATGACATTTAATGTTATTGGTGTTGCGGGGGTTGATACGGTTATCCATGTCGGGTCGGAGGAGGGTAGTTTGAAGGATAACTTTGTTGCTTCTGTTGGAGCGTGTTCGAATACGGCTTGAGGCGATTATTTAAATATGCCGAGACTGGGGCTTGGATAGGCCGGACTTCAAATGTTTACTGAATGCTTGCCCATCAACGGCGGTAGGTATGGATGAATTTCAAATGTTGACGAGGCCGCTGTGCAAGGTTATGTATACAATCCTAATTCTATCATGTTCACATATATTGATGTCATTAAGAAGACTCGTTAGTCTCAAACAGATCCACGGATCTCGGGAGGTATATATTGAGCTTGGGCCTCTCAGATGAAACATAACTGCATGTAAAGAAGGAATCTTTATTGTATCTGGCGTACATCTAACCAATTTCATCAAAAAAAGTATCTCGCATATCAGGGCAATGTAAGGCATTTGAGTCCGAGCGAAATGGAAGATGACATTGTATAGGATCACGTGCCACCGGAGCCGCCTCTCCTGTTTCACTTCGGGTTTCGTCCTTCTCCGCCACTCAACTTGCAGGAGCCGGCTCTTTGCGCAATACTTAATTTACCTCCTCCTTCAGCGGCTTGCTTAGAGATTTGCAACTTCTCGGGCCTTGCCCCGATCCTACAGAATTTACTGGATTCCATTCTGCAGGAAGCAGCTCCGTATCTGACCCCACATTCAAACTGTCCTTTACAGCGTATAGCTTGACAACCGACAACCCCACACTGCCAACGCAAAATGAGCTCGTACTTTTCCTCCTTGAAGTCTTCCTCCTCCATATCCAATGTCATCGGGTCACGACTCAACAGCCTCCGTCGTGCTATCACCGTAGGTGACGAAGCGGACGACCCGGACAACGAAGACTGCTCGCACATTTCCAACGCCCTCCGCGCCTACTACATCGAGAAAGGCCGCCCATTCCCTTCATGGCTTCCCCCAGACCCGAAAGCGCCCTCTTCCACATCTTCCCGCGTCATCGCAACCAGCCAGGGCCAGGGCCAAGGTTCCGCCGCCAATGGTCGTGGTGGCGGTCTGGGTGATCTATGGGGAGACTCGGGTTCCGCTCAACCACCACCTACACAGACATCCAGTCTCCGCCGAGGTCGAAACGCGGCAGGTGCCCCTCCACTCAATTCTAGTGTCAGCTCCCCCGCAGGTCCTGTGCCTCCGTCTGCAGGAGCGCCGCTCGCACATGCCCAGTCGAACCCCTCCATCCCGGCCTCTCTCCAACCGGCCGGAGCTCGGCCTTTGCCTAGCCAGCGGACTGGATCATATCAGTCTTCTCAAACACGGATGAACTCTGGAGGGTCAGGTGGCTCTGCGCAGGAACGACTGCGGGCGCGGTTGCAGGGAGGTCGGTCTCCTAGTCCGGGCAATCTTGATCCGAGTGTTCGAAAACCAGTTGGGGAAAGACGATGGTAAGGGGAATTTGCATTGGATCGATTGCATAGTCATAAGCATGGCGTCGGGAGTTTCATTCTTTTATCTGACCGTTGTACATACAATCCAATTGACCAGACTAGACTTTCGACTTTGACCCGCTTTCATCTGAGATAAGGGAATGTATCCCGTAGATTGATGTTTCCTTATCCCAACTTCCCGATGCAAGTGTCAGGTGTTTCCGGTTCTAGATTCTCTTCAGCCTCGCGCAATCTTTCCCTAGAAGTGTCTTCATCAGACTGACGATCTTACTATTTTGGCTTGGAAGGTCTTCCAAGGTACGCGAGTGACATAACAATTATGATTGGTTCTATCGTCTTCTGATATTTCCACTCATATAGGCTAATCTCAAGTCTTAGATCCGCTTCGCCAAGCCACCAACCCACGCCCGCTCAGCGAATGACGCCCTCGGCTTGAAAGTGGGAAAATCCCGCAAGTTCCACCCATTAAGAGGACGAAAACAAAGCCACAGAACAGAACCCTGAAGCTCGAACCCGACCTTTTAAGAAAACAACTCGGAAGCATCTCGGGATCCGGTTCCTATGTCTCCACTTTTGACCCCGAGATTTGTCCCCCCGGGCCGGCACATGCTTTAAGTGGAGGACAGTTTCACCGAGATGTCACCGAAACTGGAGTCTCCATGGGGAACCCCAACCTGCCATACAGGATACTGCGTAATACTTTGAAATCGGACACTCTCCGAGAACTTCCCATGTGACGTTCCTGATTTTCATCATCAGATACCTGATGTTGCCGGCTTGACTAGGGAAGATGGTCGGCTTTGTCTTCACCCGCAACGACGAACTCCACTTCTAGGCCCGATTTTCTGCAAGACAACGGGAAGCCGGGAATTTTCCAGAACTAGGATGCCGAGTGGATGTTATGCTGATATTTGATCATATTCAAGCATCAGGGCAAAAGTTGCCACAGTGTGTGGTTGGACTGCAACCTTGGATTGAACTAAATAAGCTTCTGTGGGTTGCGATTCGTCCAGACGCCTGATAATCAAATTCCCCGGCCTGCCTTTCCCTCTCCACATTCTCCTATCCCTGTGAAGCATGCAAATGGATACTTGTTCGGGCAGTCTTGACCATGTTTGGGATCTCGGTGAGCCCGCATTATGCTTTCCCCCTCTTGTTTGCCTGCCCGTTTTTCGTGGTCCCCGGATCCCGTTTCTCCACAGTTGAAAACTTGGAGTACATGACTAGTTACTCCAGATACCGAATCAGGAACACGGGAACGGATCCCCAGCCGGATTTTTAGACTTTTAGTTTCTCCGAGTAGCTTCTTCCCCACTGTTGTTTTTCTCTCGTGCGTCACGACGCCAAAGTGTATTTCCGGCATCTGGGGTTGATGGTCTGAGATTTGCTTCAAATACTTCTTGTCTGCCCCCCTTTCCAGTTCGATTTTTTTTTATTTGGACGTGCTTTCTTCTCCCTTCTATTCTAATACACCACTGTGTGGGCCCCGGCTGAGACGCCTGGTTTAGTTCCTTTTTTTCTACATTTAGTTATACATCTACCCTAAGGGTTCTCTATTCACCATGTCGGACCTCAAGGATATTGAGATGCCCACCGACACCCATAAGGAGGCTCCTATCGCTTTCGAGATGGACCATGTGTCTGAGAAGGTCGATAATGAGATCAACGAGGCTGCGATGGACGCTGAGCTGGCACAGCTTGAGGAGCAGTTGCAGACTCTGCCCAAGTCTCGGTTTGAGGTCACATTCTCCAATCCGGCTATCTATACCTACATGCTGGTTGCATTCGCTTCCATGGGAGGTCTTCTTTCTGGTCTCGATCAATCTCTGATCAGTGGTGCCAACTTGTCTCTTCCCACTGCTCTGCACCTTAATTCTAATCAAGCCAGTCTGGTGAATGGTGGTATGCCGCTTGGTGCTGTTGCTGGTGCCCTATTGCTTTCTCCATGCAATGAGTACCTTGGACGTCGCATGTCTATCATTGTCTCTTGCGTTCTGTACACCATTGGCGCCGGTCTGGAGGCTGGTGCCATCAACTTTGGTATGATATTTGCTGGCCGTATGGTTTTGGGTGCCGGTGTTGGTCTGGAGGGTGGTACTGTGCCTGTTTATGTTGCGGAGTCTGGTAAGTCTTCTGTATTTGATGTTTGTTGAGGTCACTATACTAACAGGAATTGGGTTCATAGTTCCTAGCAAGATCCGTGGTAACCTCGTCTCCCTCTACCAACTCAACATTGCTCTCGGTGAAGTGCTTGGTTATGCTGTCGCTGCCATGTTCATCAGCGTCGAAGGTTCCTGGCGCTACATTCTTGGCTCATCCCTCGTTTTCTCGACCATCCTCTTCGTTGGAATGCTTTTCCTCCCGGAGAGCCCCCGTTACTTGATGCTCAAGGGACACGAAATCGAAGCATACGGAGTCTGGAAGCGCATCCGTGGATTCAACGATTTTGCCGCCAAGGACGAGTTCCTTGGTATGCGCCAGGCCGTCCAGGCCGAGTGCGAGGAGCAGTCCCAGACCAAGAAATATGCCTGGATGGACTTCTTCACCAACCCGCGTGCTCGCCGCGCCATTGTCTACGCCAACATTATGATTTTCCTCGGCCAGTTCACCGGTGTCAACGCCGTCATGTACTACATGTCCACTCTCATGGAGGCCATCGGTTTCGACGCGAAGACCTCCGTCTTCATGTCCCTCGTTGGCGGTGCTTCCCTGTTGTTCGGCACCATTCCTGCTGTCATGTACATGGAGCGTTTCGGCCGCCGCTACTGGGCTAATGCCATGCTCCCCGGTTTCTTCATCGGTCTTGTCCTCGTCGGCGTTGGTTACACCATCGATTACAACAAGTACCCCGCCGCGGCTCAGGGTATCTACCTTACTGGTATCATCCTATACATGGGCTTCTTTGGCTCCTACGCGTGTCTGACCTGGGTCATTCCCTCGGAGGTCTTCCCCACCTACCTGCGTCACTATGGCATGACCACCGCCGACGCTAACCTCTTCCTCTGCTCCTTCATCGTCACATTCAACTTCACCCGAATGATGAACTCAATGACCCGTATCGGTCTCACTCTCGGTTTCTACGGTGGTATCGCCGTTCTAGGCTGGTTCTACCAGATTATCTTCATGCCCGAGACTAAGAACAAGACTCTTGAGGAGATCGATGAGCTCTTCTCGCAGCCTACTTCTGTTATTGTGAAGCAGAATATGAAGCAGACTGCTCAGGTTATTCGTGATCTGTCTCACTTCCGTCTGCGGAAGGTTTTCTCCCCTGAGCCTTACTAGGCTTTTAATGGTGGGCAACTGATGCTTCATCGGTTACTTAGTTTTGGCTTCTGTTCCTTTTATGCTTTCATGACTCGCCATGAGCATGTGCTATGATGCACTGCAATATACCCCAATCAAATATATAATGAATTTCGATCACAAATTAGTCCTCACTTCCTCAGTAGCGTAGGATCTACCCCTCTATCTACCCCTCTATTTAGCCCTCTATTACTTGGGTGCACTGCGGAGTTTTTGCACATTCGTTCTAAACCCTGAAGCTCTTTTCTTTTTATTCCGCTACATGTTTAGAGAGCCCTTTGACTGTTTAAGTAATCCGGTAGGAAAGAAGATAGATCCCTAGGCAGGATATAGTGGGAGATAGATAAAGTATCCATAAGACCTAGGTAGGCGCCGTGTAGTACCCGAGTACTTGAGGAAATACCTTATCAAGGTATGTTCACGCTTAGGGATTGCAAATATTGAATGACTAATGGACCAGTAGGGTAAAATTGAAGAAGCTCCCCACAGATTGACTGCAACTAACCGGTAGCAGCGTAAAAGCCCATATCATAGGTATTCAAATTAGTGCCTAGATTTCCAAATCCCGCAGGCTATGTTCCAATGCATCCCGAAGGTGAATTGCGTCAGAACGTTGCTGGCAAATCGGGGGAGGGGGGGGGTTCGGCAGCTAAGGAAACAAGTTCCTCATCAGAGTAACAACTAACAGTCATTGGGTTGAATGCATTGTTCAGTTTCGCGAGAATATGCCTTTCAATAACCTGGCGACAGACGTTGTCAACGAATGTCTTGCATGCTACCTTGGCGGAGTTAGTTAGAGGTAAACCACAGATCTGAATGAAGAAGGAATAACCTTGTAGTAAGAACCCAAGGCCATGAGAGCGTCTGAGCATGCCTGTTCTTTCGTGTCGACGATTTTGTCTGGTTCGATTGAGTTCTTCTTCAGATAGGTTAGCATTGAGTCTGCGGACATGTGTCCCGCCGAATCAATTGCATGTGACAATAATTCTGCCACTTGAGATCTCGAACGATCATCTCGAGACTTTTGGACATTGTCAGTGTAGTAGTGGTTGTATGTCATTGGCTGTCGAGTTTCATCGTCAATCAATTTTGCGAGCTCGTGATTGCCAACTTTGGTATTTGATTCCAAAGTTTTACGGACGAGGTGATGAATTTTGTGACGGACTGGGATGTCCTTGATGGTATGTTCAAGGGCAGTCTCCATAGACAGGGAAACGAGTCTTGAAGTGGCACTGACGTGGTCTCGAGAAATTTCAGCCCATCGTGAGGACTGCTCATGGAAGAGCCTGGTAACGAGACAGTGGTTGTAGCTTCCAGGGAGCTCTTGACCTCTTGTCTCTTTATATGCCTATATCAGGTCAATATTGAATGAGAATAATTTTTATGCACTGCAAGCAATATTTCTTACCTGTCGAACCCAGTTCATCAGTTCCTCCTGTGTAACAGCTAGTTGACCATCCTCAACTTCGCTTTTGCTTAAGCTTTCGGAGCTACTGTCGACTTTCCACGATCTCTTTCTCCATCTCTTTCTTTCTGGCGATTCGGGATTCTCAGTGACGAGAACTGTCTTTCTTTTCGCTCCATTTTCGCTCATGTAGCTAGAGAAAGTCTCGTTCCCAATATGAACTGCAGCACGAAGACGAATAAATGGCTTATCATCATCATGCAGAAAGAAAATTGAATCAGGTCCGCCATATGATCCCTCCACAGCTGCTTGAACAAGCCTGTGGCAATCAGCACTTATTCTGGTCAAGAATGTGCGGATCTGACTGGGAGATTTTCGCTCATTTCCAATCGCATTGAGCTCTTGGTTCGTACGTTCCAGCAATCGACGCACATCTGCACGGACAGTCGGTAATTGCTGTTCAATATGACTATCCAAAAGGTCCTGCAGGAAAATGCGCAGCTTGTCTATGCCAACTCGATCCGGATCTAAGCCCAGCGAACTCCAAGGTGGCGTGCTAAAATAAGTCGATTCCATCTTCCGGCGTATTTCACCAGTCATTCCAGCTTTGAGCTCGTTGGGGGTAGGGTTTTTGAGAATGAAGAACCCTAGTTTGAGTTTTGTTTGATCACGGTTGTTAGCCAGCCTTGCAACTCGGGACTGAGTTCTAAGACCAGGGAGATCGACAATAGTGAGGTGAACTCCGGTATTGCCAACCAGTTCCAGCCGAAGAATATCCTCTGCAAAGCAGGGTTTGTCGACTTCCGTATCGCTGGTAGAAAGTCCTATGAGCTTTGCCGCTTCTTTTGTAATGCTAGGCAGTTCTGCGAAGTCTTGGAACTCGTGGCGGTAGTCTTTTAGCTTGGCTTTGGTATCCTCATCTCGCGAAGGATGTGGGGTTATCGTTGCTGTGAATTGTGACTGAGAGGGATCGTGGCGAAGAATAAGTTCAGTTGCAAAATGGGTGCAAAGACCATCTTGGCGAGGGAAAGGGATACCACTGATACCCTCCAGAACCGAACTCTTCCCAGCGGACTGATCGCCACAAACCACTATTTGAGGGAGTGAGATATGTTCACTGACCCCATTTGCCCGGAATTTATCGATTCCGTTTAAGCGTCCAGATGTTTTGGAAGAATGCAGTCCAACACTTTCGCCCAGCTGCGTGGTATTCATCGAAATCATACTGAGCACCGACAGAGAAATGGGGATCTCAATGGTATTGGTGGTGCACTTGGTGGGATACTGAAGAAGAAGGAAACGGAAGTCACAGAAACACCGTCATTATATAGACAGAACGCCTGCCAAATAAAGTCTTGTTTGCTGTTTCCTTACGTATTTCCTTTGCTATATGCGTATATTTACCGAAAACAAACTGCAACTTGAAGAATCTGAGATAGCCTATAATGGTTATACATTGCCATCACTACCAAAATGTCCACCTGGCCCATAATGACCTCCTAAGTTTCTTCCACTACCACAATCACTGCAGGTAAGATCCGAAGAGGCACCGTCATTGAGAGCATTGCAGTGCGAGCATTTTTCATATAAATGTTAGAAAAACCGCCGTGGGTAAATATGAGGATCCTGGCAATTTGTTTGCCTTCCTTAAGCCGTGTGGATCCTGTCTTGAAACGCGTACCAAGCCTGGCTTATCAAGGTCAAAGCCCAAGGAAGCAATGAACGCAAGCCCTGTTTTCTAGAAAGCCAGATCGCGTTTTCAACAGTACATTGTCATTGTCTGCGAACACTTATACGCGAAAATTTTCCTCGACCACCTCAAACATGCCCTCATTCCAGTCCCTAGGAATAGTGCTCAGGGCGGGAGTTTCCGTAGTGCTATGATGCGCCGGTATATAGCGGCCTTAAATTAGATTTGGATTTGGGCAGCAGATATGAGTTTGACTCATTGTATGTTCACCCCTATTCTGGGAAACATTAGGTGGATGTTCATAGGAGAGGATCTTAAAATGCCCTAATTCTAAGGATTCATGTGTATGATCTTCTTATGCAGAGCTGGAAAAATATGTAGCTCGCGGCTCGGCCCGGGGAGCCTCAACTGTAAAATCACGCGAAATTTTTGCGGTGAGGAAATACCCCACTTCAATCTCCTCACCTCTACCTACAGCCATCTCAACTTTAAATTACAGATCACAATGGCGCCTGTCAATCTGTCCCATCGAAGGACCCATAATCTGCTACTTATATCTAAGCTCCTGAGTCTCCGAGACACGGCGTCGCCACTGACGTTGCTCTTGGACTCATTAGAGCAACCCGCCACACCCCTCATCCAGGAGTATATCAGACGCGCTAAGGCAAGTATAAGGTCCCACCCAAAAAGAAACCGTTGAAATGTTATTCATATCAGGCCTTTTGACTTCTCATGCTAATTTATGATGCAGCTGTCTAAAGTCCATGTCACCCTCGTAGCCTTTGAGACTTTAAAGCGACCTGATGGATGTGATGCATTTGTATCCACCCGTCGCAAATGCCCGGCCGACATTATTAAAGAAGTGGCTGCAGCATATCAGCCTGTCGCATCGACCGGCCCGTCAAAGAGTAGGGAGGATCCAATGCTCATCCGATTCTGATTCAGGAAAGCTGACCAGTACCATAGGACGTCTCATTATCATTGATGCCATAAACCCTCTTTTGAGCTCACGAACCCTGGACCCAAACTTTCATTTGCCCTCATTCTTGGGTGCTTTCATTGCCCCGACAAACCCGGCAGCCCCCAAGTCTGACGCCGCATTGGTGGTGATTTATCATCAAGATATTCCGGGTCTTCCCTTGCAGAATCCCTACTTGCCATCCACATTCTCTGTTCTCACCTATCTCGCTACGAGTATTATCACGCTTCATTCATTCTCTCATATCTTGGCGCAGAAGGCTGCGCGTGATCGCAGCCTGGCTGCGCCGGTATTTGGCCTTGAAGAAGAGCAGGACGGTGTTCTGCTGGGCAGACTGGACAAGCTTGTTGGCACTGGCGCTTCTGAAGGAATCGTCCTCGAGCTGGAGCATCGCCGCAAGAGTGGACGAGGTGTTTTGGAATGGTATCTCCTCCCTCCTGCATCACGGTACTCCTCCAACCAGGTGAAGGAGATCGTCACTCTTCTCGATGACAATACCCTGTATAATCCTCCCATGGAATCCAACTATGATGCCGAAGAGGAGCCCCAGTCCACCTTCGAGTTGGGGCTTACTGATCGACAGAGACGCGACAGAGAAGGTGTCGTCTTGCCCTACTTTGATGCACAGCATGGGGATGGACCTGGAGAAGGTGGGCGGATTCTCTACGATATGGGCGAAGAGGATGACTTTGACGAGGAGGAAGATGAGATCTAGATATTGACTCTACAAGCTTCTTGTATCTGATTTGCAGTTTGCAGTGTATTGCGTGAATTTGAGGTGGATTGTGTCCTGCAACCACCGGGGATTTATTAACTATGCATACAATCATACAAAGGAGCGCCGGCGAGGGGAGGCCTCCAGAGAAAAAGGGCGATCAAAGGAATCGCCAAAACAGGAAGATGAAGATCACCAATCCGAGGCCGACAAAAGGTCCATACTGTCATATGGTCAGAGAACGGGATAGACCAGGGATTACAGGGTTGATCATCTTACCTGCTTTACCAATAATTCCCAGTTGATGCGGACTGCTGCTTTCCGATACTTCTTGCTGTCCTCGCGCAAACGGCCAGATAACTCGCCCATCCGCTCCAGACTATCTCCGCGGTACAGGAGATCCTCGATATTCTTGGTCATGACCTGTGTGACATCGCGCAGCTCATCATTGAGTTTATCGAGATTCCCCGAGGCACGGCTGTCTTGGTATAGCTTCTTTGTCCTCTGAATAAAGGTATCGAACTCGACGAATGCATAGGGACGGAGGTTAGGAGATTGGTATTGTGAGGGGGAGTAGGTGGTGGTGAATTCGGAGGCCAGATCAGCGAGATAGGTGAACGCAAGCTTGCGGGGATAGGAACGGTCACAAATGCAAAGGAAGCAAATTTCGTCTTTGATCAAATAGCTGTCATATTATAAGAATCTTAGTCTCCTGCATTGAAAGAGCTCACAATCACTTACTGGAGGGTGTACTGGCCCGACTCAATGCTTGCCTGAGGTGCGGCATTGCGATTTAGACGGCGGAATATCATCTTGGTCTGACCCTTGATCTCAGCCAGATCACTCTCAGCCTATAGAGAGTGGTCAGTGCACGTCCATCATCAAACATCCTTTCCCTTTATCTCACCTGCTCATCATCCACCGACGCGGCCAGCATCAAGCCTAAAAACACCTTATCGTCAGCAACAGCACCTTCTTCCTCTCTTCAACAGTGTCACATACTGTCAATCCTTGCAATCTGAGTTGACTTCACCATATTGCCGGCTTTTAATTGTGGAAAAACGCTGGAATCACTCTTTGTTTTGTCAAGATTCACTGCGCAATCGGCCAGAATGGCCCGCCAGAAAGCGGTGAAAAGGGGCAGAACTAAAGGCTCGGGGTAAGCTTCAACCTCTCCGCTTTGGGCTTTGTGTACGGTAGCGAGCGTCTACTTCTAACTCCGATCATGCTATAGACAAATTGCGCCAAGCTCTGCTGGTGTAGCAGGAGGTTCATCCAAGAAAATGCCTACCCAGGAATCACCAATCGTGAGGTCCCCTACAAAAAGAACCCCCCGCAAAGCCGCAGCTCGGGGAAAGTGGAGCGAGGAGCAGCTGTTGACCAGCGATAAGTCAGTTTTGATCGATGCAGACTTGGTGGTATATCTCCCAACTTACCGAAAAACAAAATATGCTGGGAGTTTGAGCTAATCAGATTGATATTTCTACAATGTTAGAAACTCCTAGCTAGCTCCAAAGCATGGAACTGCTTAGATGAAGATGAGAAGCGCCAAATCCTAGATTTTCTCCCCGCTGATACCCACCCCAATCCAGATCCCCCAGCGGATGACCCTCATGCAAAGATCCCACCACTCCCTGATTCCTTTGTTCGGTATTCAAACAACTGGCGGGATGGCATTCGCCAGTTCCAGCTTGATCTACAGCATGGTCGCTATGACCCCGAATGGCTACGACAGGCTGAAGAGGCACGACAAGAGCGGGAGAATGGCGAATTTGAATCTTTTAAGGAACGGGAATACGAAGAGTTCTGGGGCCAGAAACAGAAATTGGATAAGCGTCTCGCCGCTGGAGAGTCGGGGAAAGTGAAGCTTGGCACTCTGGTGGAGGAGGGCGCGATTCAGATCGGAGACGTTTGGAGATTCAATTATGTTTATGGTAAAGGAGCTGAGCGGATAGTCATTGACAAGGAGACTAGGGTATCGTTTCATCGGATGGATTGATAATCATGGAACACTTCACTGACAATTCTGCAGGTTCATGAGATCAATGGTTCCAAATTGACGTTTGTCATGCCAGCTGGACAGCGTGTCTTTCTCAAGAGTGTTATCACTGAAGCCCCAACTACTGCATTGTCAGGCCAGGAGGATGGAGCGCAAGAGATGCAGAGAGTGGAACTCGACACTATTATGACAGAGGAGCCCGAGACGAAAGAAGTGCCCGAGTCGAAAGAAGTGCCCGAGGTTCCATTAATGGATCCAAATTCACAGAAAAAAGATGAGGTTCAGATGGTCAACGAGAGTGAGGAAGACATCATTCCCGATGCACGAATTGTCCAGGGGGAATTCAAAATAGATTCCAAAGAACGAGCGATTCAACAATGGGACGATGTTTGTCGCGACAGAGAGGAGCGCATCAATCTTCTGGTATCCTCCCCGCTTTCCACTCCACCACCGAGTCTGGAACCAACGAGCTCACAAACCGAGCCACAATCTACACCTCAGGAGGCCCAATCAAAGGTCCAGGTCGTGATTATGAGCCCTATGAAGGCACCGTGTGAGAATCTGAAACGTTCCATTTCTCAGCCTGCAGAAGAGTCTCCAGTCAAACGCAAACGGGGTCGACCACCTAAACCCAAAACCTTTGGACCTCAGCCCAAGTCTGAGCCGAAGTCTGAGTCTGTATCTGCACTTAAAGAAGATCCAGTGACAGAGTCGATACATCAAACTTTACACCGCCCAAATGTGCAAGTTTTGGTTGAGTCACCAAACCTCGAGCCTAAGCCTGAACCTAAACCAGATATGCATAACATTGACAATATTGTTCACAGCACCATGACACCCAGCACAGATGACTTGAAAGTGGAATCAATATCTCCTCCCGACGATGTATCTCAAAATCCCGAAAATACTACCAAGGACCTGACCCCAACTACGCACACTTCCGCCAGCACGCAGTCAAATTCTATATCTGCATCCCAGCCTAAACTCCAGGCTGCAATACATACGACAGCACCACTCACGCAACCCCTGACACAAGATTCCTCCGAAGTAGTATCTACCAACAAAGCGGAAGAAGTCTTTGTTCGCGATGTCACATCGCCGCGGGCACTAGTCCAAGAGATATTGGCTACAGATGGACGAGCGGTAGGCAAGCGCACTGCGAATGCTTGGAAAGAGTTTCGCTGTTATCGCAATAACCAGGATATGGGTTCGCCCTGGGATATACGCCAGACATGGTACTACAAGAAGAATCCCACTTCTTCATAAGCGGGATCCCCAGACTTCCGACATTTCTTTGGGCATTTGCGTGGAAATGGTCTTTTCAGTGCATGGTGTACATTCTCATGGGTGGCAAAGCCTCATCTGCAGTCTATTGATACCCACGTTTTCGGTCAGAACTATATTTTATTTCTTCTCGTTCTCGAGTCCTAGAATAGGGGAAATATGAGGACACAATTCCTTCATGAAATATTCAGAAAATTATAGTTCGTATAGGGTATTTAGTTCATCCAATTGGCGGTATATCCGAGTCCGCCGCAACATCCACCGCATAACTAGCTTGAATAAAATCCTCCAACTCTTCGCTCACGGTCTTTAATTTTTCTTTGACACTAGCAACACCTTCCTGCCCTACAATATGACGGGACGGCGGATTTTCATGCCCGCCAATAGATGTGATGGCATAGACAGTTTCAGACACCAGAACCTCCAAGTGTGCGGAACTTAGTGGCGGGTGCATGGAGACGACCTCTGGGACAGAAAATGGGCCACTCTCGATTGAACTGACTCTCGTGTTCTCTGGATCGTCATCCCCGGGAGAGCTATACTGATTTTGTACGCCCTCTGATTGGGCGTCTGGGAGTCGAGGGACGAGATGGTTAAGAATCCCACGGAAGAGGGGTGCGCTGTTGTTTGATGGTGAATAAGCGGGGAATATGGGTGGGACGCTGGTGACGAGGTTCGTGAGGATGCCGATTTCGATGCTGCATTGAAAGATGGTGACTTTGATGTTGAAGGGCGCGACTTCGAACGCGAGGCTCTGGTATAACATTTAGCTACTAGAATATCGCTGAGAATAGAGCAGAAGAAGCCTACATCGCAGAAACCTTCAAGGGCCCAGCCGGCTGCGCAATACATTCCCAGGCCGGGTGTCCCGATGTGCGCCGCTATAGTGTGTCAGTTTCAGTTCCCGATTGTATGGGTGTGGACCTTACTGATTCCTGATAGGATCATGACATGGCCACTACATTCTCTTCTCATGTGTGGCAAGGCGGCTTTGATTATGTTCAGTGGACCGAAGTAGTTGATCTCGAATTGGTCGCGCACAAGGTTCAAGGTTTGAGCTGAAGCCGATAGCTCTTCGACAGTGCCAATCAAAGCTGAAATTTATCAATGACACTTGATCACACCATCCATGTTTTCTTTGTTGTTCTTACCTTGACTTGTGCAGCATAGAAGCATATCTACCCGGCCAAATGTCGCCGCTGCTTCTGCGACAACCGCCTGGCACTCACCCATCATTCTACAGAAAGAAAATCAATTAGCCTTGTATTCATACTCCAAAAACTTCTGATAGTCCCAGGGTTCATGTGCGCACCTTATGTCCAGAGGAACCGCCTTCATCCGCTCCTTCCATCCTTCGTCGCGGTGTTCCTCGATCTCAGCCAAGAAAGCTTCGAATCCATCCCGACGGCGCTGGTCTCGTTGTAAAACTGAATGCGCAAGCCCCAGCAGTACATAATCACCATGCGCAAGGACCTGCCGCGCGACAGAGATGCCAATAGGCGAATCTCCGGCGGTGATTAGCCATACTCTTGGCTCGCTATGCGACGGGAAATGCTGCGCGCGAAAATCGGGGGAAGGGTAGTTGTCCATAGGGTCAGCGCCAGCACTGGAGTGCGATACCCATTGCGCGATCAAAAAGTGTTCGCGACAGGTGTAGGGGCGTGGCCGAGGTAGGGATGAACTGTGGAGTTGGAGTTGGAGTTGGAGGGGAACAGATAACCCGAGCCACCGCCAATGCTAATAATGCCAATGCCAAGCCCCCGCGTCAACTTTCCCTTGGGTCCTAGCTCTTAGGCCCAGACAAACGGATAAGACGTGCCCGCTATTCCTTTCCGGCCGATTTGGCCTTTTCTCTTCTCATCCTTCCTATCATCCCATCATGCCTGAACAAAGGCAACGAAGACAGGAGCCAGAGTCATCAAGCGTACGTAACCTTGATTCATGGAGATTCGCCTCTCGGTCAATTGACAATTGTTTATCTAGTCTGGCTTCAAGGGCGCCCTGCAAGGCCTGGGAATCTTCCTTCTTGTACAATTCGCAATTAGTCGGTTCTTCAACAACAAGGAAAATGCAGCATCCGACGTTACCGTTAGCTCTGCCCCGGGCCAGATGCCTTCCTTTGAGAATCGCCCGGACCACAGTGAAGTCGCCAACCCAAGCATTCTACCGGATATCATCGCTCCTATTTGGCCGGCCGATACTGCCCTCGATATAAGTATCTATGTGACACCTTCTCTTGCTCTGCCCTCCCTCAAGTCCCCCGACAATGTGCTCGTGCTGGAGGAGAAGAACTTCACCCTCGGAAACTACTCCGATACCCGTGAGATCGATACCACCATCAAGGTGCCAAAGCAGGTCCAGCAGAACGGTACTCTCTGGGCCCATTTCTTGGTGGCCCGCACTGGACATGAACTTGATCCCGCGGCTAAGGGGTACAGCAGTGACAACGCTGTCCACTTCCAGCGACCCCTAAACCAGTACTTGGCCAAGAAGAAGGTCAAGAAGCTCAAGAACCTCTTGGCTGATGGGGGCGAGATTGAAGAAGAAGAAGAAGAAAATACCCCTAAAGTCTCCATTTCCTCTTACTACCACCCTAACTTCACCGTCTCCCTGATTCCCGATTCTGGCACAACGAAATTCGGCCAGATGCATCCTGCCGTCCGCCAGTATGTCCAGCTTGAACGCACCAGTGCTCGTGATATTAGCGGCAAGAATGGCTGGTACTATCCTATTGTGTTCTTGAATACATTCTGGCAGCTGCGTACCCACATGACGGAGTTGAACTCGACCGTGGAGAGTGTTCCCCTGCGTATTACTCTTAACAACATGGCCAACTGGAAGTTCGCCATCATTACTAGCGTTGACGAGGGCTCCAAGCAGAGTGCTCGCCAGGCTGCTCATGGTGGCCCTGTGCCTGGTGGCGGTGATGGTACTGAGTGGGAGATGATCAAGGAAATTGTGCTCGATACCAATATCTACCTCCTGTGCACCACTGGCGTGGTTACTATTCTGCACATGCTCTTTGAGACCCTGGCGTTTAAGAACGATATTGTAAGCACCTTTTACAACGATGAACAACATATTTGACTGGGATCCGTTGCTGACCACATAATGTTAGTCTCACTGGCGCAAGAAGAAGGACGTTGTCGGCACATCTGTTCGCACCATCCTGGCCAATGTCTTCATGCAGGCTGTCATCTTCCTTTACCTTATGGACAACAGTGATAATACCTCCTGGATGATTCTGGCTAGCCAGGGCTTCGGAATTCTTTTGGAAGCCTGGAAGGTCACCAAGACAGTCGACGTCCGTCTGCGTCCCCCTCCAGCCGGTTCATTCTTCTCCTTCCTGCCTTACGTGATTGTCTTCGAGGATAAGCACAAGCTCTCCGAGACTGAGCAGAAGACCAAGGAGTATGACGAGATTGCTTTCCGTTACCTGTACATCGTTGCAGTGCCGCTGCTCCTCGCATATGCCGGCTACAGTCTTGTCTACAACACCCACAAGTCCTGGTACTCGTACATCATTCAGACTCTTGTTGGCAGTGTCTACGCCTACGGATTCCTGATGATGGTCCCGAGCTTGTACATCAACTACCGACTCAAGGTAAGATATTCGCTACAAAGCAATGCACTCTTGTATACTGACATTTGAAATCTAGTCCGTTGCCCACATGCCCGGCAAGGCCATGGCTTACAAGTTCCTCAACACCTTCATCGACGATCTTTTCGCTTTTACCGTCAAGATGCCTTGGTTGCACCGCTTGGCCACCCTTCGTGACGATGTCATCTTCTTTATCTGGCTTTACCAGGGCTGGAAGTACAAGGTTGACTTCAAGCGTGTCAATGAATTTGGGCAGGGCGGTGATAGCGATGAAGAGGATGAGCCTGTCCCGGCTATCGAGTCCGAGAAGAATGAGGAGGTTGCTATTCAGACCTCCTCCAAGGTCGACTCCAAGTCGTCCAAGCCTGCCCGCAAGCGTAAATGAGCGGTAATTGTTGGGTATTGTATGATTGCCAAATCGGAGTCGCAGCGAACTCTGTAAAGAGCTCAACTGTTATTGGACCGGTTCTTACGTATGCCATGTCTCAACTTTGTTTTGATCATTGATGTTGGAATATGCTACTTACTCCTCAATTTCTTGAATCCAACAATATTCTAGAAAGATATTTCATTATTTCATTCTTAATCTGAGAAACTCCAATTTGTAGGAAGTAAGTGACTTGTCGACTTCAAAGTTGGTCGGACTTTAGGCTTATTGTTATGGATTTCCCGATCGGGTTTAAGCGCGGCTTCTACTCTTCACCCACGTTCTTCTTTTCTATGCCACAGCTCTTGGCTATTATCCGCAGCGAAGTCTATTTTTGTATATTTTCCCTTAATATTTTGTGGTCTCTTATTTTCACCACCCATCCAATCGCTGTAAGGCAGTGTGGAAGCGCGTCGTTTGACGTGTACGCGCCGAAAAGCCGGGGTCAAGCGCATGCGCGCATCGCCCACAGTAACACGTCTTGCGACGAGACGACAAGAACAGTGACATCCCAATGGATGTTAATTCAGGTACTTTGATGTTTAAAGACGCCATGAAACGAATATTCACTGATGAATTGCAGAAAGTAGTGAGCGGGGCAGTTTGCTCGACGCTGTCGAGCATTTAGAAGCCGGTAGGGTATCCAGAACGGAGTTACCTATCACCCAAAACAGAGCTAATAAGTTTCCAGTTGCATTCGTGCCGGTAAAGCAAAGATACACTGATGCTGGAGAGTTGGCTCAAACGATTGCGTCGACCGCATATGAGAGCGGTATTCCTCCTGATGCGCTGGGCCGGCTGTTGAAGATCCTAGCAAAAAAGAACAACCTTGACCAAGGCACCACTACAACCTTGATCAAGAATCTTTACCCACAAGAGAGGGTAAAATCCAATCATGTCACACAGGTCGTCTGCTCTTTGGGTCCAAGCAAATCCAAACCCAGCCCGGCGACGCAGTCCCTGCTTGTCCGCTGGTTGATTCTCACATACGACCTTCTCGCCGACAAAACTCATCTTGGAAAGCTTTACGCGGTACTATTCAATCAACTTGACATGATTAGTCTGAGGAAGCCGCTGTGCCATCTTCTCTCGCTGATTACGAGAAGAAAACACGTGAAGCCGTTCCGCATCCAGGCGTTGATGGAGCTTATTCAAAATGCGGGCGGGGAAGACAAGGAGTTAGTGACCCTACTCAAGATCTTCAAGAACTACTACCCTGAAATTATTATTGGAGGTGTGGGTGGGTCTAGAAAGTCTCTGTTCTTCAAGCATCCCGATCTTGAATGGGCGAGTCATGCGAAAGTACTGCAGACTGCGAACTTAGAGAAGGTGGAAGCTACACAAGGATCAACCTTTCAGGTTGTTCACCGGGGTGCAGTGAAAAGAAGCAGGATCGAAGTGGTCATTCCGGCTTTGCAAACCTCACGTGTGTCAGACAAACACACATCCCTGGAGGAACTTCGTGACATCGACCATTTTGTCGACAAAATTGATATGATCGAATTACCTAACCAGATTATCTCGACACTTGGGGATGCGATGGCTCAGAAGTATCTACATCTGGTTCAGTCTGAAGTTGCGGATCATCGGCTTGATGAGTGGTTGAAAAACTTCCTGCAAGATAAGTTATTGCATATTCAAGAAGAAAACGGTGATGATGAACCAGATACGTTGTCTTATGTTCTAGACTTTGTTGAGGGATATGCTACATACACCAAGGTAAGATGATTTGTTATTCAAATATTCATATGGCTAATGAAAGTCTAGCAACTTCTGCCTTCTGTTCGATCGTTTTTGGAGTTGTACATACAGTCTTGGAATGGCCGTGATAATCGTGAACAAGTATTGCGGCTGGTTCGATATATCCCGATCGAAGCCTACGACTCGCTCTTGAGCAAATTTTTGTCGCCATTGGAGTCGGCTATGCTGGATGGCTCTCTAGCCTCCAGGACTGAATTGCTCGATTTCTACTCGGCATTGATCAGCGAATGGGGTGTCAGGGTACGAACTCAGCTGCCCATGTCTGAAGAGTCAGCGCCTTTAACTGAATTAATCCGACATGCGGAGCTTTTGGCATCGTCAATTCAAGAGTTTGCACCAGTTTCCGATGACAGACAGACGTCCAGACCAGCCCTCCTATCCATCCTTCAGTTCTACCAGTGCCTTGCAGAACTATTCTCTCATGCATCCGAGAATGCTCACATCCGATTGACAGTCCCTCCTTCTCCTTTAATCTACGCAATAACCTTCACACCCAGTGTCTCCATTATCTCAATCCTCAGCTCCATTCTCGCAACCTACAAATCATCATTCGAATCCTCCCTCACTTCCAAAGCCATACAACCACCCAATCCCTCAGAGCCCTTATACGACCCCAAAATTGTGGGCCAGTTCAACGGTTATGTCATGGATACATGCAACCTGGTCTGGCGAAATCGTGCATTGAATTCAGAGGACCCCAATGCCCGCGCCTGTCTCATACCTGCATCTAGCATCTCGGTCTTCACAATTTATGTCCGCGAAGTTAACGAGAATGCCAAGCGCTATGACTCTAAGAGCGCTTTTCACTGCACTTTGCCATCCATCTTTTCTCTCAGTCACCATGCTGCGTTCTGCAATCTTTCTGCGGCTTGTTTTGCGGATTTGGAAGAAGATCAGCAAATCGCGGAACATCAGCCTAGGCTACGAAAGCCAGTCACTCCGAAGGCATTGCAGGCTCTTGAGAAGGAGGGAGGAGCAAAGATTACTTGGCAGGAGTATCGGGTGCATATGCTCGATTGGCTAGATGCAATTGGTAGTAGAGGCACAGGCGATTTGATGAGGAGTACGATGAAAGCTTTGCGGAAGGAATAGTTGGATAGATCATTCCTATCATGGATTCCAAGCTCTGTTTTCAAAGCCTTTGAAAACTTCGGATTTTCGAAACTGCCAACCAAATCCTCGAATTTATGGATGACTGAATCGGCACATATATCTACATACTTGAGGGTAGAGTCAATTTTATCTATATTTCTAAGTTGTGCCTCCAGGGCTATTATACATGATATACATATGCTTTTGTGATGTCACTCTCGACCCAAGCCTGATTCTCAATCATCAGATTTCACAGCTTGTCCATCGTGTTCAGGTAGATGTCTTGTACGCTCGGTTCATCGCGCAGGGAGCTAAGAAGATTCCGAGTAATCTCAGCCTGCTCTTCATCCCGCACCTCAACCAAGGTATCTGGATTCGGATCCCAGAAGAACTCCAGCCCCTCAATCGTAAGACCCGATAGTTCGGAGAACCTCTCCCCGACTTTCTTCGTTTCAGATGGATCGGTGAATACGACCAAGCGGCCCTCCTCATCCGCGATAATATCCGTTGCTCCAGCCTCGATAGCGTGATCCAAGTAGTCGTCCGGATTCAAGCCGTCCTTCTTCTCCAAGGTGACTCGGCCTTTTTTCTCAAACAAAAATGTAGTCGGCGTCACGGTACCTCCATATGTCTTGATTGAGTGTCGAATGTCTTGTAGCACACGCGCCTTTTGATCCGTCTGGCACTCGATCACTGCAGCCACGGATCCGGGCAGAATTGCTTCAATCGTCAATGACTCTAGTGCTTGTCCCGTTACACTGAGTCCCTGGCCGTGCGCGATTGCTGCTTCGATGACGATCTTGGGAATGGAGGCGCGCTTTGCTTTTGACAGCGCCAGGGTCAGGCGAGGGTTGTATTTCGGATCGGGACCCCATACTACCGTATAAATATAGATTAGCGACCCGTATATGTTTATATTGACTGGGATAGACGTACATTGAGTTGCATTACTGATTTCCTTGCTCACCATCTGGCGCTCTTTGCTCTTCGACTTGTCGTTCTTGGCCTTGTCATGTTTGATCGTTGCCCACTTGCTGTGTCCAGAGAACCAGACCGGGGCTGAGCTGAAGCTACGACAGGCGTTGCAGACAGAGGGTGCGCGGGGATGGTGCCGTAGCACTCTGCTCAATTGTAGTGTCATCTCCATCTCTTGCTTTTGCCGTCAACCTAATCTCAATCTAGACTGATGCGACAATCCATACATTCCAAACCGGGCCGACTGTTTATCCGTCCTCCGCTCCGCGGCATAAGGAGGCACACATACATCATACCTCATTGATCTTGTTTATTGCCTTTCCATTCCTTTCATGGGGATTGTTGAATCCTCCATTTAATACATTCAATGTCTTCCTCTGAACCTGCCCCCGCATCCACAACCCCTGAAAATGCGGCCCCGGAGCTGGATGTCACCAAGCTACATGCACTCCCCTCCGAACAGCAGGACCTCTACCTGCTTACCTTCACCTCTGATCTCGTGCAGTTTATATGTGGACTCGATTCGGCACAGCTTTCAGCACAGCAGAAATCCCTGAAAAAGGAGCTGTTCAAAATCTTGACCCTTACCTCTCCCACCATTACAAGAGTCCTCCGCAACAACCTGGGACGATGTTTCGGTACTATCCTCGCGAAAGGGGATCGCGGCATCCTGTTCGAAACCATCGCCGATCTGCTTGGGGTCATAAATGCAAGCAAGAGCGAGGCAGATATAAAGGTCAAATTTGCTGCGGCGCATTGCCTGGGTGAGGTGTTTGCTACGGCTGGTGAGAGCGCATTCATGCAGTCCAACGTTGCAACGTCGGGCATGCTGAAGCTGCTCAAGTCCGCTAGTAATCATACTGGTCTGAGGGGTGTCATCTTCTCCGTGCTGCGCAAAATCGTGGTTGGCATCGGTGTCCCGATCGACGAAGCGACTGGTCGCGATATCTGGAAACAAGCGCGCAATGCGGCGACCGGTGACAAATCAACGTTTGTTCAAGTGCATGCATGTCGGTGCTTGGAGCAGTTGATCAATACGACTCCATTTTTTGATAATGTTAACGACTTTGAGGTGTTGAAGACCATGATGTGGAAGGTCATCGATAGCCCCACTACGCCGGTTCGACATGCTGCGGCAGCTTGTCTTGGCCGTGCCTTGATCAAGCTCCATGCCATGGAAACACATGTTATGGCAGCCCCCAGGCCCAAATCGAAGAAGATGAAGAGGATGTCTAAGAAGCCGGGTCCGAGACCCGGAGATGAAGAAGAGGCCGAAATGTCCGAGTCGTCTGTTGCGCCCAAGAAGCCCGAGTCTCGGCTGTTCTTCCTTCTTCCAGATCTCTTGCGACAACTTTCTTCACAGTATTTGAAGAGTACAACTTCTAATCGCACTCGTGCGGGCATTTGCATGTGCTACAAATATATACTGCGCAACCTGGGAGACAAGGTTGTCGAGGAGCGGTATGGCGAGATTGCTACAAACCTATTGGTTGAATTGCTTAACCACCCGACGGTGACATACAACCGGTTCCGCCTGCTCATGACCCGAAAGTTTGTTAAGAGCATACTCGAAGACACCATCGGCCGTGAGATGCTTCAGGAAACTAGCCAGCTCAATGCCGCGAAGTGGATTATCAACAATATCCTGAAGGACTACCCGCAAGTGGTCCAAGAACGTCGCGAGCCCAGCAAGTATACCCTGACCAGTGCTGTTAGTGCTTTATCGTCCTTGATCTCATCACTCGGATCGGCCTTCGTCGTTTATGCCGATAGTTGTCGCGATTCCTTGCTGCAAGTTTTACCCCATCCCAGCTATACAGTCCAGATCCATACAGCCCATTGCCTGCGTAGCTTCGTGCTTGCTTGTCCCCATCAACTTCTTTCTTGTGTGACTATTTGCATGAATAGCTTGAATAGGGAGATCGGGCACCTTGCTACACCACGACAGTCATCTCGTCGATGCGTCGGATATGCAAACGGCCTTTCCGCGATGCTAAGTACTTCGCGCTTGCAACCGCTATATGGTGCTGTCGATGTATTTGCACGCATCTTCACCCAGGCAACAGATCTGCTCAAGACCAGCACAACGTCCGAGCTTCGAGCTGCAAGCACGCAAATCCAGGTCGCGTGGATCTTGATTGGAGGATTGATGCCATTGGGACCGAGCTTCGTCAAAATTCATCTCTCCCAACTCATGTTACTTTGGAAGAACGCCCTGCCGAAGCATTTGAGCAAGGAAAACTCTGCCCAGCCCAGCACTTTAGAGACGAGTTTCCTCGCTCATGTCAGAGAATGCGCTTTGAGCGCCCTGCTAGTATTCATGGAGTTCAACAGCAAGCTTATCACAGCAGATGGCGCGAAGAGAATTGCTGCGATGCTGCAAAATACTGTCGAATTTTTGGATGATCTGCCTCGTCCCAAGTCCATGGAGGATATTTCGCAACGTCTTCACCCTTCTCTACAACTGCATGACTTCACTACAATGGTTCGTCGCCGAGTTTTGCAATGTTTCTCGAAATTGGTACATGTTCACCATCCCAGTCATGGCGACATCATTTCACAATCTAGTCTGCTCAGTCTTGCTATCTCTTCCTTTGCGGATCCAGATGCTCAGTACAGGCCGCTGGAGAGCTCAATTGCCGCCTCGACTGGCCAATTCGATGGACTGTGGGATCTTTGCGATAACTATGGCTTTGGTGTGACTGGTCTTGCCCGTGAATATATCTGGGCAGCGTTGTCTGGCACCCATGGAGGTGAAAATAGCCCTGCTTGGTCCGCAGTTGACTCGGCGGATGAGTTTGTTGATGACGTCCTCACATTCCCTGTATGCCAAGCAAGCGAGCATGACTCGGTGCTGCTGTACAGCTTGCGAGACGGCGATTCCCTCGCTGTGGATCCACCCACCACTGGGGTTGTTAACTCTGCAATTGACCTGTTCTCGGTTGCGATTGCTCTGCACTCACCCAAGATTCAAGAGAGTAGCGTGGAGCAGATTGCCACATTCCTGACATCTCCAGCTCTTCAAAGAAACCCGGGTCGGAAAGCTGCTTTAGGGGTCAATATCGCAATTGCTCTTTTGCATGCTCTTAAAGTAGCGGTCAAGGAGACTGACTTTGTGGCTGGAAAATTGAGCACCTCGACAGACAAGATCCTACAGGAGCTCATCCAGAAATTCACGATCGATCCCGACCCTATTATTCGAACAATTGGCGTGGAAGCACTGGGTCGTCTGTGCGATAGCGCTGGAAATTCCTGCACTAATACACAAGTTAATTGGCTCGTGGACACCATTGTAGCAAACAGAGAGCCAAATGCCCGAGCTGGCTGTGCTGCTGCTCTTGGATGCATTCATTCCCAAGTCGGTGGCATGGCAGCTGGTCTGCATCTCAAGACGATTGTTGGAGTTCTGATGTCTCTTTGCAACGACCCCCACCCTGTGGTTCATTTCTGGGCCCTTGGCGGACTAGAAAGAGTGGCCAACTCTGCTGGTCTGACTTTCTCCCCATTCGCTTCCAGCTCATTGGGTATGCTGGCTCAGCTCTATAATACCGACACACATAACGAAGAATGCGCAGTTTTGGCGACATCTAATATTGAAATGTCCTTTTTGACACCTGTCATTATCGGCCGATGCGTTGATTCGCTCATCAATGTCCTTGGCCCAGATTTGCAAGACATTGCAAAGACTCGTAATCTCATTCTGACTCTTCTCCGCCAATTCCAGCTGGAAGAAAATCCTGCTCTGGTCACCGAAAGCTCCAAGTGCTTGGACCACTTTTCTCTCTATGCCTCCAGCTATGTGGATTTCCCTGGGTACGTTAAGCGCTTGCAGAAAGAGCTCCGTGCGAAAGACTCGTTCATGCGAGAAGTTGCTGTCCGTGGTCTGAGCAATCTGATGAAGCGTGATGCTACATCTGTGGTGCAGACTGCAAGCGAGACTCTCGAGGATGATATCTGGCTTGCATTCGATGATGCGCCGGATAATATTCCTATAAAGACAATGATCCAGGAATGGTTGCAGCAAACTGCCTTTACAGAAACCGAACTGTGGATTCAACGCTGCCAGAACATCATGACCAAGACGCGCAACAAGGCGGAAGTCGCGCCGACTACAGCAATCCAAACCGCTGCAGCGGATATTCCGGACGATGAAGTTGCAGGTTTTGCCGCAGCAGGAGCTGGAGATGGTCAAGGCGACTCCACAAACGAAGCTATCGCAGGCCAGGAATTCCTCAAGTGGCAGACGCGCAATTTCGCCATGTCTTGCCTCTCTGAGCTTCTAGCGACGGTACAAGAAGCAATTCTTCCTGATCAAACCATTCCGGCGGAGCTGGCACTTCAGTCTAAAGTCGGTGACATTGTGAGAATGGCATTTTCAGCATCGACTGCTAATGTGATTGAGCTGCGCGTGTGGGGTTTAAAGATCATCGACCAAGTTTTGACCGTAAGATCTTTTCATTCCAGCTTGATAATATTTACTCACCCTCTTCTAGATGTTTGGCAAAACTCCAGACCCGGATTTCGCCGAAGCGTCATTGCTCGAGCAGTACCAAGCTCAAATTGGTTCCGCGCTCACTCCTGCATTTGCGGCCGACTCGTCCCCGGAGCTGGCTTCAGAGGCAATCAATGTCTCAGCCACATTTATTGCAACTGGAATTGTGACAAATGTGGATCGTATGGGAAGAATTCTCAAGCTTCTGGTACTGGGTCTTGAAAGATTTGCGAGTATGTTCCCCGTTCCTATGATGCGTGCAAAATCTAATTTGATTCCTAGAAAATCCAGAAACCACTGATATCGGTGATCTCAAGGGCTTGAACTCTAATGCTCGAGTGATGGTCAAGCTAGCGCTGTTCTCTGCGTGGGCTAGGCTGCAGATTGCCAGTATCGAGCAAGAATACCTTAATCGGGTGGTACAGCCTTATGTTGCCAAACTAACTCCACTGTGGCTGTCCTCTCTCCAGGAGTATGCTCGGTTGCGATTTGAGCCGGATATTTCTGGCGCTTTGGGTACGAGCACTCAGAGCAATGACCTAGACGAGGTTTACGCTGCATGGAATCGCGAGACTTTGCTCAAGGTAGGCATAGACCTTATTCAGCACCGTATTTCCTTTTGGCAACTTGCTAACACACTGCATAGTTTTACCAAGATACCTGGCTCAATCTCGTTGATGCGATTGCTGGCTTGGTTGAAAAGGATATTGACTTCGTTTTTGATGCTTTGGACGGCAAGTTGCAGCTGCCAGAGGAGTCCAGTACCCCTGACGAGGATGAGAAGAAGGAAGGTCAAGAACTTGCCAGGAGGGATTCTGAAGACAAGGGCCATGACATTAACTATCGCGAAGAGCCTGTTGCGTTCTTCTTCGTCCTATTCGGCCTTGCCTTTGAGTCTCTTGTCGACCAAGGAACTTCGCCGTCACAGCGCCTCGCGATCCTCCAGGCTCTCAAGAGAATTTTGAGACCCATCATCTCGGGCAATGCCATTTACCAGGATGCCATCTTTTCGGAGACCATGGATACTTTTGACCGACTTGTTCTGACTGAAAGCACACCCATTCAGACAGTCATCGTGGGTATCGCGCAAAATCTCTCTCTTGACCATCCGGCGGCGCAGAGTGACCAGGAGCGAAGCGATCACCTATCGGATGATATCGAGCAGCTGTTTGAACTGACTAGAAACATCATTCTGGTTCTTGCTGGCATGCTCCCCAACCTACGTGAATCGACACCTCTTGCACGATTCAACGTGTCATCAGACGAGTCCTTGGCCCTCATTCGCTTGGCCTTGCGCTCTCTCGTCGATGTAGCGTCAGTCTTCCCGTCCATCATTCGTAATGACCTTCACGCTTGTATCCTTCACATCTTCACCACCATACTTGCAACTGGAATCTGCCAAGCCGAAGTTGTACCCCAGGCTCTTCCGATTTTCCGACAGTTCATCCATGGAATCACCCACTTCTCGGATGTTCCGGAGGACATGGACGTGATAACTTTCCAGATGCGAGGGTGTCTTACTCGCTTCTTGACCATTCTCACCATCGCCCAGCGTCGCGAATCGGAAAGTTCCATGCCCTGCGCCAAAAACACGCTCCTGGCCATTACATTCCTGATAACGGCGGGTGGGCATGTGCTCCCACCGCAGGATCCACTCATAAACCGCGTTCTGGACGAACTCCTTGATTGTCTTCAAGACGTCGGGCTCGCCACTGTAGCTGCCAGCTGCCTTCGTTCGATCGTCCTTAAGCCCGGCCCCCGCTATATGACTGACGATGTCATCTCCCGGTACCTTCTTCCGCGGTTAATCGCGTTCCTTGTTGGTTGTCCATCGGACTCGGGCGAAATTCCCACCGACCCAGAGAACTCACGGGCTGTTATCGCCCGCACGCTCGTGTCCTGCTTGTCCAATTCGACATTCTCTCCTACTGAGATTCCGGCCGCTGTTTCACTCGTGATGTCTGCGTTGTTGGCCCGTGCTACGCGTGAGGGACAGTCAGTGTACAAAGAATCCGCTGGCCATCTGCTTGAAGTGGCCAAAGCAGACCAAGTCAGTTTCCGGACTTTGGTCGCGAATATGAATGCAGACCAAAAGTCGCTTCTGGAGGAGGTCCTTCGCAGTGCGGGTATTGGAGCCAGCAATTCAACGGCTGACGAGGCAAATGATAATATACCGCAAGCTGCGCCGAGTATCGCACTGCGCATGGACTTCTAAGCTCCAGGTTGTCGCTAGCGGGCGTGTTGATGTGATAATGATTTGAATGCAATAGTGCATAAATGTATAGACCACGACATAATATCTTCAAGTTTATTTTTCCCACTTCCTAAAATGAGACCTCAACCCCTGAATTTGAAGTTTAAACATTCTATTAGGCAGTGTCGATTTTCTTTTAACCTCAATTGACCGGGTAACACCGAGAACCGCTTTGACCGACGGTGTGCTCCTGGCTTATGTTATCCGCATCAGGTGACGCCATATTCCTCACAGAACTCGGCGATTCGCGCTTTTTAATGTCCCAGTATTGAATTATTTCGTTTTTGTGTCCCAGCAGACAGTCCTGACTCCTAAGTAAATGTACTGCGGGGCGAAATTGCTCCACAATGCCTCCAGATCGAGGCCGCGCCTCGAAAGCGTGCGTTTCGTGCAGAAAACAGAAAACCCGGTGCTATGAGCCCAGCCTCCCAGGGAAAGCATGTTTGCGTTGTGAAAGACTTCATCAAAGATGCTCACTAGTGCAAACTATCGAGCAGCAACAGGAGAAAGAACCGTCTACTTCTCGATCAGGAACGGATGCACGGTATGAATATAATAATCTTGCCCCACATGTGACATGACGAACTAGAAAATTGATAACATTTTGATATAGCTTGGAGCGTCTCGAGAAAACATTGGCAGCTCTGCTCGATCGTCTGGGAGAAGGTCCTGCAGCCGATGATCAGTCCAGTACAGCAAGCGCACTGACGACATCGGAAGCCGGGGAAGTCACATACAAGGACACGGAAACCTCCGCCCCGATCATGGTCATCCGGGATCTGGCTGACACCGGCATCAAGTCTGCGCCCGATACAAGGTCTCTTGAGGCGGTCTTGGATGATCTTATTGCGCCTGATTTAGCTCTGACTCTAATCACCATGTATGCTCTCCGAGATTGATCATCAGCTTCGGCTATTATACTGACATGAACATCTAGTTTTCTCGAGTACTATGGCCGTTGGACTCTATATGATACCGAAGGGGATCCAGCAGCTCTGTTACCCCGCGTGAAGAGATCACCCTTGCTTTTCTGTGCGTGTTGTTTGATTGCCGTGCGACATACTTCCGAAAAAATAGCGGCGACTCTGGCTCCCAAGCTTTATGAGTGCGCTCGGTCCTTTGTCTCGGGTACTCTTTTGGTCGCACCGCAATCCATTGAGTTCTTCCAGGCAACTCTGATTCTATGCATGTGGTCTACGACGGTAGGACAGGTGCCCTTGAGTATTGATAGCTGGCTTTTGAGTGGGTTTGCTCTGCAGCATAGTCAATCCAGCCCGTTATTCGCTGCGGTGACCTCTCAATCTCAATCACCATATAGAATGGATGAGAAGACTTTGGATCTATGCTGTCTTTGGAACCATCTTTGTCTCGCACACTTGCATTATTGTGTTGGGACGAGTCGCAGATCTATGCTGCAGGCCTGGCAGATTGAGCGCTGTCGGGCTATTATTGATTCCGATCATGCGACAAACTTTGAAGTTCGCATGGTGGCTGAGATACATCTCTACTGGACTGTCTATGAGCATTTAATTGAAGAACCAGTTGATTTACTCAAGTCGGTGGCAGATTTACAGACATGGAGAAGACAGTGGGAATTTGTAATTGGTATGCATTGTTCTGCTTCTTACAGGGCAAAACGCTAACAGTTCGAATTTAGAGCAGCCAAGATCTCAATTCTTACTGATGGGCTTCCATTTCTCCAATCTACTCTTATACGAGCATGCCCTAAAATCAAGAACCGCTCGCGCTCAAGAGTCAGTGGTGTCGGAAATGGTCCGCCATTCAACAGCCATCGTCCACCTAGCTATGGATACAGTGGATGAGCGGACTCGCCACTTGACTGATCACATTTACCATATGATTACCTTTGCAGCAATTATCATCTGTCGATTACTCAACAGTTATGAAAGCCAATTAAACGCGGCATATGATACTAGAGAATTGGATGCTCTAGTCCAGAGTCTTGTCGACTGGCTTCATTGCATAGGCCTGCCCTGCCACGCTGCACATACTCTGGGTAATATTATCGCGAAAGTACACCAGAAACTACGCCCTCGCGTCGAAACTATTCCAGATCCAATAGAAGGTTTCTCGGAAGAGAGCTTCACCAACTACTATTTCCCTGAATTTTTGGGTCTTGGTCCATCTGCTGATGGAAATTGGGATCTCATGTCAGATTTGGCTTTATTCCAACCAAGCCCTTCAAATACATGAATGGCAAAATAAATATGGGTACAGGGACACTTCAAACCCCAAAGAAAAATCTATCTGAACCAACTTTGGTTGTTCTAATACCCGCCATATCTTTTCTCCACCCAGCGAAATAATGGGAAAACGATGGCAGAGAATGCAAATGTCAACTCGTGACCTATATTTGCACCACTGCCAATCAAGGATGCAATCGGTCCAGAGTACCATTTTACATGCATTCCAAGAGCGGCCCCAGCAAATCCAAAGCAGAAAGCTCCTGCTGATGCCCACCCAAATGGCAAGGCAGCTGGATTATTCCATGCGTCCAAGTCGTATGCTGTCCATCGCCGGCGAAAGATGAAATGCTCCTCCATCACAACAGTAGTATGGATAACTGTCCAATAACCAATGACACTAAGGAAAGTCTGCAGAGTGTCACTGAAATACCTCGCTGCGCAGCAACCAACGACCACTGCTACAACGGACCCAAATGTCACCAGCACAACTCGAGGGATTCTGATGGCCCATGAACCAAGATTTTGGGCGTGCAAAGCGAAAGAGTAATTGTTTGGAATATTATTCTTGAAATCATTAGCTCCAAGGAAAAATGGTATCGATGTTGGAATCAACTCACCGGAATCGAACTCAGCGCTGCAAGAACCATGAGAAACTTTCCAAATCCACCAGCTGGCTTTAGCGCCATCTCGAGCAATCCTCCAATAGAGGAAGCCGAATAAGCATGTTTCCATTCGACACTTGTCACAGTACCAGTATATAGCGCCGCACCAAGCGCTTGAACCAAAACACTAGGCACGAAAATACCCACATACGTTGCACTGAAAATCTTCCAGCGCGGAGTATCATGCGGCATCCGTACATTATAATCCGCTGCACAATTAACCCACGAAAGCGAAAAGGAGAAGATACTCGCCACGTAAGAGAGAACGGCAGCCGCCTTATCCGCACCCTCAAGATGCTTTGGACTGGCGGCTGTGAATGATGATGCGCCCGTCCCTGCAGCAACACACCACACGATCAATGGGAAGATCCAGATGAATGTGTCGAGACGGTGAATCCAGGTAATACCCAGTGCACATATAATCCACACCAATGTACATATGATTATGACACCGGCCCAAGTGGGACATTTTCCGTTCGAGAGTGCGTTGAGGACGGAGGCTCCGGAGATGGAGTTGATGGCATTCCAGCCCGTTGTTGCAACCATGGAGAATACTACTACGAGCATGTTACCCCAGTATCCGAAGGAATATCGACTACAAGTAAAAGTATCATCAGCTGGTACTCAAAAGGATAAATGGGAGAGTCGGATGTTCGCAAATAGCTACCCAAGCATCTACCAAGGACAAGATACAAGGAAGTCACTTACGAGAAGGTTGTCATTCGTAGACCTGTCAATCCTGCTGTAGCCGTCCATGCTGGAAGTAGATCAGTGAAGAGATTGACCACTACAATCACGATGAAGCAATCCCAGAACCCCAGGCCCATGGAGCCTCCCAGAGATCCAATGTTGAGAGTAGCAATTGCCATATTGGCGCTGAACCTGTTGTTTATGATACTCAGCAAGATCACTCAATGAATACAAACACCCAGCACTGGTGGATTTACGTACCAAAACGTAGCAGCATGCCAGAACTTTGTTGTCTTCTCCTTTCTCTCCTCGTCGGTGACACGTTCAATTCCTCCCTCCTCGATGGAGAGTCTCTTTGGAAACCATGGTTGAGTCTTTGAAGGAGACTCCGTCTCATGCTCCGCTTTCTCTGTAGACATTATGCGGCGATTCGTAATCACAATAGAGAAAAGTTAGAAGTTTTCTGTCTGCCATTTTCTTTGGAGGATGAGCCTTTCTATATCTCCTCCATCCCCTATGTACAATACAGCCATACCTTCAAGGCTCGATGATAAGCATATAAGAGGCGTATCTGACGCAATCTGAATACACTTTGAAGCTGCGAATGATACTGCTTGTTGTGATACTTGGGGGACCCACCGGGTACCTTCTCTAGCGGATTGTATAATTGTATTAGGACTACAGCGGTAATGAATATCAGTGCGTAATCGGGATATATAACACGTTTTACTCTCGTATTATATCCAATCTAAATCTCCCTGACTTAGTATCTCCCCCAGTGGGTCTGTGAATGCATCATCTTGGCCTCCACTTATCTACCGCGGCATACCGCGGTATGCCGGTCCACCATACCCTAATTGCAACTATGCTGAACTACCCAATACCCACATCTGCAAGATAAATGTAAAGATCCCTGCAGCTCTTGGCTAGGTATTTCTCTCCAATTCTTTTATCCCGAGATCCATCCACGCCCACAATGGAACAGCAAACCTTTCGCCGCCGCGGCCTCGGTCTCCGCGGCGTCGACAAACAACAAGTCTCACCGGGCTATGTCCTCTACTCCCCCCTAACATCAAACACGGCTCACCTCGTCTCAACAACCGGCGAAGAAGTTCATCGCTGGACCCTCCCCCACCGCGCGGGTCGCCACTCCCGCATCCTACCAAACGGCACACTCGCCTACAATGGCGTGCATCCAGAGTCCCCCCCTCTCTTCCCCATGTGGGCGAAATACCGCGGCGGGATGATGATGCAGCTAGACCCTGCCGGAAACATCCTGCGCCAATACTCTGATCCCTACGCACACCATGATCAAAATCATCTGGACGATGGAACGATCCTCTACACTACGCTTGAGCCCCTCACGGCTGAAGAAGCGGCCCGCGTCAAGGGTGGGATTGAAGGCAGCGAAGCACCTTCTGGAACTATTTACGCGGACTGTATTAAGCTTGTGGATCCCTGGTCTGTCTCGAATGTATCGTCGTCTTCGGACTTTGACGGTTCCGGCGGGAAGGGAGGTGCTAAGTTACTCTGGTCCTGGCGTGCGATTGACCATCTTGATACGAGTGACTTTGCTGCTCATTCGCATTATCCACGTGAGCACTGGCCGCTGATAAATAGTGTTGCATTCAACTCGTATGGGAATATCATTGCCTCGACCCGCAATGCATCTTCTGTTTTTGTTATTGAGCGTGCGTCGGGTGAGGTTGTATGGACCGTTTCTGCGCCGCAGGTATGCCAGCAGCACTGTGCACATCAGATCAATGATGCGGGGGATATACTTGTTCTCGATAACGGGGTGTTCAGACCTGGTGTCTCTGTGCCGTTCTCCAGAGCTGTGATTATCTCCTCGGAGAAAAAGGTGAAGTGGGAATATAAGGATTTCTCGACTGGTGGATTGGGCTTTTTCACGCCTTTTATGGGGTCTGCTCAGCAGTTGCGGAATGGAAATTTTCTGATTTGTGAGGCGGCCACTGGGCGTATTTTTGAAGTCACAGTGGGTGGGGATATGGTTTGGGAGTTTGTTGTGCCGCAGTTGAAGGATTATAAGGGCGTTATGAGGGATGAAGAGCTTGAGGAGATGGAGCGCATTGGATTTTCGAATCAGAGCAATGCGGTTTTTAGAGCTTATAAGTATCTTCCGGAGGAGATTCCGTGGCTGGGAGCCTTATTGAGCGATGCGTAGATAGACGGCTCGGTTGAATGAATGTGTACCATTTACTTACACTGTCTCCTACCTTTTTACCCACAGTATCCTACTGTCTGTCCCCGGTTGCCGCCATTCGGGATAATATAGTTTGAAAGAACGTAGCACATGGTTTCAAGAGTATTTGCAAAGTCGTAGTGTATGTGGGTATCTGGATCTATTGGTGTTATACAGGCGGTGTCAACTCTAGAGATAACGCTTTGAAGGAAAGTATGATGTACAAAAGACTGGCGTGTATGTTTGTATAATGGAAAAGGGAAAGGAAGAGCGCCAGGTCATGGCGTTCAGCCTAGAGACTCTCCAAGGTTCACTTCGGCAATAGCGGCAATAGAAGGAGTCTTGGGTTGGCGAGGTGCCTCATGGATGACCCGGGTTTCTTTTGACACTTCCTTGACAGGCTTCTCAATTTCGGCTGCCTTGGCTGGCTCCTGCGGCTTCCGAGTGGAGGCGTACTTGAGGAATAGGATCATCATGACTAGGGACACGTTAGCATTGAAGATAAAGACTTGAAAATTTTGCCACTTACAGGCACAGGTAGCAACAGCCATAGCAGCGCGTCTTGTCAAAATCCATCGTAGGCTTTCGATTTCGCTCTTCCCGTCACTGTTGAGCGAAACAGTAATCTTGTAGTTCAACTCCTGGTCCGATGTGTCGATGACGCGTTGCTGCTCTCGAGTGCTCATCTTGTGGTCATTGAACATGCCCTTGATCTCATCCTTCATGCCCGCAAGCTCTTGGTTCAGGCGTTGAGAGAGTATATCGAGCTCATGTTCTAGCTGGCCCCGGGCAGCTCTTTGCCTTTGGATTTCTGAGTGGCGGGCTGTCTGAAGCGACTGCTGGAGTTCCGAGCAAGCTGCCTTGAATAGATATGACTCGTTCTCTATATCTGATTTGGAGGTCAAGCTCTGCTGAGCAAAGTTGAGATTATTTTGTAAAATGGTCCGTACTGCTTTCATGATTGTCGTAGATTGCTGCTTGGTGTATCCACCCTTTGATAGGTCTTGGACGAGTGAATATGTATCAAAATGGTGCACATACGGTGCAGGGGACATATGTGGCGGTTTATGCTCGGCGTTCGATGGGTCCGTTGGAGTAAGATATGTCGATGGAGAGGGCATGTGGTAGACTTCTTCAAATGAGCTGTTGGTACTCGAATATGGAGACATGTGGGCCAGTTCTTCCTTCATCTCCTCAAACGGAGATGATGCCGAAGCGCTTGCCGTGGTATCATCCTCCGATGCTTGCTCCGGGGCTTGCTCCGGGGCAGCTGAGTCATTACTTTTCGTAGAGTCAGCTGCTGCCTTTTCTGATAGAAATGAGGATGCAGCATCGACCGCATCGCTAGTTGTATCATTTGTGGTATCGGTTTCAGGTTCCGAAGGATATGACTCAGTTTGTTCTTGTGGCTCGGGTTGCGACAATGACTGTTCCGACGAGCTAGCCCCCTCTGTGCGGTCTACCTCTCCACTTGATGCCCCAGGAACATCCGTTGGTTGCGATTGGGAATTCTCTGAGTGTAAGTGTGGAGGCATGTTTGGTTCGACCGCTGGCCCATATCGGCGCTGGTAGACTTGCTGTGCATGGCGACGGCTGGTGTGAAAAGGTCTCCGGGCACTGAGCTTGATATGGCGGTACGTCTTTGGCTCACATGATCGGACCGCTCGCATAAGATTAGGATAAAAGAAAGATAACCGGGGTGTGGTCATTGTGAGGGGGTTGAAGAGGAATGAAGCTTTCCCGTCGGCGAAGTTGAGTGACTTCATTCCGCGGGAAGGGAAGCTTATATCAGCATTAAAGTCGATCCACTTTATGATTGGTCGATTTTATGTATATAACTTAAATTTATATCGTGGATGAAATTCCAAAATATATGTATCGTCTTTTAACTGATACCTTCCATGGTGATTACCAGTAATGTTGAAGACTTACTTGCATATTGAAATATGTAGCGAAGGATTCAGGCCATATAAGGAGGTGCTTCATGCAAAAATAAATCTACACTTTATATAAAAGCTAGTATAACAAGTCAACAATAAACAATCACTTGAGTGTTGATGTTCAAATCAGACAGTCTTGGAAATTAGACACCTGGGAGTATACTACCTTATTATGGAGCTTTTTATCTTTCAATGTTTCTTCATTTCTTCTTTCCCCTTCCCCCTTCATCCTACCCTTGTTTCATCTTCCCAATCCGCCAGCTTCGTTCTCCCTGATTCTACGATCGTCTACAACGACTTTACAGCTGGATCCATCATCCGATCTCGAAATCGAATCGTTTGAACGAGTGTCTCCACTTTGTGTCCCCACTACGGTGGGGGGCCACTCCGCCAGGTCGCAACCCTCCCGGTCCAATGTACTTACGGAGTATAGTATTTGGCGACAGCAAAACAAACCGTAAAAAAGGAGTACACACTATCAATATGACCACGATCTATTGATACATCGACCTATTATCGATGTGCATTTATCATATACTACGCAGCAGAGGCCTCGGCTTGCATGCTTGTAAATGCAGTAGATGCCTGGATTTCCAGGCTAAATACTTTGCAAGAATGGGGTAACCCAAGCGATCCTCCTTCTAGAGCTAAGGCTGAACATATTGAGTCTGTGAGAATGACCCGACATCAACAAATGAGCCTTGTTGGAAGCCCGCTGGTATAATCAATACCCTTGATGCAGAGAACTTGATAGACTTCCGATGTTTTGAGATTGAACTTGAATGACCGGAATATTGGAAAAGGGGTTATGATTTTTGAATGAATAAACCATGGCGCTATATAACACGCTATCAATTGATTTAAATAAAGCTTCATTGCCATCCCATCCATGCAAAGGAGGTATTACCGGTCAGCCAGCAGACCAAAGAGCAGCTCCGTCCGCTTCCAATACTCAGCTGAGCCCTTCTGGATGCTCCTGATAGCTTCGGTACTTAGCTTCGCGCTCTTCTCGACACGTTCCATGACGCCAGCCAGCCGGGTCGGATCACCTAGCATATTTGCTAAGTAGAATGTATCGAAAAGTAGTTGTATCTTCCAGTCTCGTAGTGTATTGATCTGAGATGCATCGTCCTCGGGCGTAGGATCCGTAGTCTCTTCTTTCTCCTTTCCTTCCTCGCCGTCGTCCTCGGTTTCGGCTTCACTCTTTTCGGGGTTTGGTGTAATATTAGTCGAGGTAAGCCATGTTCCCATGTCATCAAGCGTAGACCCGATGGCAGTCTCCAAGTGCTTCTGCAGCTCGCCCTTCAAGACCTTGACGATCGATGGGTCCCAGAGATCATATCCTTTCTCGTCCATAGTCGCAGTCAGGTGACGCAAGAACTTGAAAGTGCTCGCAGATGGCTGTACGGGTACGGCGGGTTCCCCTTCCCATAGGGAACGACCAGCGACAGATCTCAACTTCTTGGAATCGGGGAGAGTTCTTGACGAAGGTACAAGAGATAACGACCCATTTTGGGCGACAATCTCAGCCGCAAGAAGCTTCTGTAGGTCTGGAACTACGGCACGAGAGAACAGGAAGTCCTGTGCAACAAAGCCAGCAGGGATCTCTCGGCGCACAAGTCGAATGAGTCGGAGGAGGAAGGTGGCTTTTGCGCTTTGGTGAGTGCTTCCAAAGGCATTGAAGGCGTCGGTGAATGATTCCTGAAGCGTATCAAATGCTTGCGTGACAGCTGAGTGGAGAGCATCAGATAAAGCTTCCGGGTCGTCGTCGTTGAGAAGGGGCGTTATGTCAATATCTTCGTCCTCTACTTCACCCCCGACGAGGATATCGGTCCATCTGAGTTGACGAAGAGAGGATATGGATTCGTTTCTTTCTTCAATCGCTGTGAGCCAGCTTTGGTAATTCTTGAGGACCGCGGAGACATCATCATCGCGGCCGAGAAGCCGGTCTGCTATGACGTGTTTGAACGTCGATGCGCCGTTCGAGTAGTCCGCAGCAATCATATCAGCTTCCCAGAGAGATCCAATGGGGATATGCTCTGCCTTATCCCAGCCGGAGATAGTTGATGAAATTTGGGTTCTGATCTCATCGATACTTTGGACCTGCGCTGTCAGAACTCGTTTGAGGTGGTCGTTAAAGATTTTACGCAGACGTTCCAGGACATTAACAGAGCGATGGGTCATTGTTGAGCCCCAGGATGATAGCCAAAGTTCAATTGTTTCTGCACGTAAAAACAGAAGCTCGGAGAAGTCGTCGCTATGCGCAAGGCTTTTGTCACAGCCCTGGGAGAATCGTTCAAAGGCGAGGATAGACCATCCCTTGATCGATTCTAAACCTTCAGTTCGGCTCAGTTCGCTCATTTTGATCCAAGGTGTGAAGTTGATGACCTCTGGAGCGGCCCATCGGCCCAGGACTTCAATTTCCAACCCTTCCAAGCTGCGTATCTCTGGATCTGACAGAATTGGTCTAGCTTTGAGCTTTGAAAGTATATCAGGGAATTGACGCGATCGCAGGGTCTTGGATGTTTGTAGTGTACGAATGAATAGCCGCAGGGCCTTCGAAATGTTTTCGCGCGACAAAGCCAGCTGGCCGGTAATCACGTCTAGGCGCACCTGGTGAAAATGGTGAATGGCATCATCAGAAGAAGGGCTCTGGGCGAGACAGTAAGCAGCCAGCGCTTCGATGATACTGTCCTCTGTGGCATTTGTGGAGGCTAGACGTTTATCAATCCGTTTAATGAGAGTGCGGTGCAGAGACGCAAGTTGGTTTCGAAGATCGTCGAGAAATGGCGGGGTCGATTCGTGCTGCGATAGAGTATTATGAATCCTTCGGGAAATGACAAAAATCTTAGCGACAAGCAGTAATGAAGCTCGTCTTCGGAGAAGTCGCGAAAAAGATGTTATACAGCGGTGAAGAATAGCAAGTTGTGCTCCAAATGAATGCTTGTCGGTGTCTGCGCAGTTTTAGCCATTGGCCTCCAATTCGCACATACTTACATGGTAGAAGTTACATACCCTTTTCTGCTGCATCACTCTTCATTTGACGCGCATATACATGTTTCTTCTCGATCAATCGCGGGTTGCATCGGCGTCCAACATCGGCCAAAATCGACTCGACCTCTTGGACCTCCTTGTTCATCGTCACAATAGTCTCAGCAGTTCCGACAAGCTCTCGGTATCGTGTACTAAGTCCCACGCAATCGCTATTAGCAGGACATACCACCAATATTCAGGTCATCGGCAGCTTACCCCACGAGAGCTCGGAGCTTCTCCTTATTGCTGGCGATATCCCGTCGCAGTTCCTGTTCCACCCGGCGAACCGTGGGAATTGGATACTGAAAGGCGTCAGCCCATGACTTGAGGCTCTGCGGGTCTGGAGCCTCTGGCGCCATTCTGAACGGTGCTGTGAGGTGATGTTCAAGAGTGAGAAGGCCATTTGGTCCAATCGGACCGGAATGCTGCCTCAGGTTCATATGATTATGTCATCCATCCTTATCAGCTTATCGGCCCGTGACTCAAAAAAGAAAAGCCCCGCCAATGATTCATGGCTTTCTATTTCATTTCTTGTGGTTGAATTAGCTCAAGATATCTCTAATGGAGTCAAATCCAGTCCCAGTTGATGCGCAAGTAGACGCGTCATCCAATGATCTACCAGACCGTCTACCCTTTCCACCAATCACCTATTCTCACATCCTCCACTGCTCGTACCATGACTGGCACCCACGGTATATCTATTCCAAACACCCATCTTCAAGGTACGACTTTAACATCCTTTGTCGCATAGCTACCGCACCCTCGCACCCAAGTCCCGGGTAATTCCTCTCACCACCGAATTCATTACCTACCTCCGCGCCGACGGCATCGTGCTACCTCCGGAGCCAATACGCCCAAGAGATGATGACGATCTAGACACTTTCTCCGACTCAGGCGAGGAAGCTGAAGACCCCTCGATAGAGTGGGCTGATATCCACAAGCAAATCAAAGACACAATCAGCGAGTTCGGCAAAGTCACCCCGAAACTAAACTGGAGTGCCCCCAAAGATGCTACGTTCATGGCCGCCACAAACGACACGAAATGCGCCACTCCCAATGACGTCTACCTCCTCCTGAAAAGCAGCGACTTCATCACCCACGATCTTGAACATCCCTTTGACGACTGTGTTCCTGATAATACTGAAACTACGAATGGAGAGGCTTCCGAGACCCCGGCTGTGGACTCCCTAGTCCCGGACGTTCCCTACCACTTAGTCCTTCGCAAATATGCCAACTTCAACCCGTCTCTCGAGTTCAGGTGCTTCGTTCGCAACCGCAAGTTGCTGTGTATGTGTCAGCGGGATCTTAATCACTTTGACTTCCTATTTGAAATGCGCGATATGTTCCGTTCGCGCATACAAGCGTTCTTCGACGAGAAGTTGCGCGATACCTTCCCGGATCCAAACTTCGTATTCGATGTCTATGTCCCTGCGCCGCATCAGCGTGTCTGGCTGGTAGACATCAATCCTTGGGCGCAGCGGACGGATCCGTTGCTGTTTAGCTGGTTGGAGATTCTGCGGATGAAGGATCCTATTGGCTTTGAGGAGGAAGAATATGATGATCTTAATGGTGGATTCGTGAGGATCTCACTTCGTGATGGGAGCATTATGACTTCGGATGAGGTGACCAGTGGTGTCGTTGAGGAAGTGGAGGATGATTCCGAAGATGAACAGAAGGCGGAAGAAGGTGATGATGATCTTGCTCCCTTCTTGCCCGAGGTTCGTCTCGTGAAGAAGAATGATCCTGAGGCATATCAGTTCTCTACGCCGCAGTACTCAGCTCACAAGGTGCCAAAGGATCTGGTCGATGCCTCTCTGGCGGGACCGGGTGGCATGAGTGAGTTTATGGGGAAGTGGCAGGAGATTCTAGCTAGGCAGTGTATGCAACAACAGCAAGATGAGAGCAGTGACTCAGAATAGACTGTACAGGATATAAAAGGTGTTGGGTTGGTGTTGGATCATATGACCCTTGACTTTCAATGTTTCTCATGCATCCACATACCGCAGCTGAAATGCAGACAGTACTCCAATGATCTATATCACAGCATGAGAACGCCTTAGAATATGTACATGTAATTGACCCACATCTTGGTAGCCCTAACATTGAAACTGGTAATGTGCAGATGTGCATTCTGGTCCACAGATAAATAGAATATCTAAGATCTAAGATCTACAGCTTATGCTTCTTCTCCCCAGAAGCCAATTTCCGAAACTCCTCCTGCGGCGTCCCACTCAGGAACCGCTCCAATCCCATAAACGCCTCAAGTCCATTCTGACGATCCAGAATCTCTCTCTCCGGCCTTCTGACAAGCTCCTTAATCTTCAACAAGCTGGATTGATTCAAATGCGTCCCCAGTCTTTCCTCAACCTCCAGAAGAACATTCTTCAAGAAACCCGCCGAATCATCCCTCTCCCCCGAGTCCGCCTTGATGACCTTATTCACGAACCCAGCGCTCACAAGCTCCTCACAAGTAATCCGCTTACTCATGATAAGCGCCTCATTCGCCTTCGCAATACCAAGCCGCTCCACAAAGGCACGACTAGCTCCGCCTTCGGCGACGAGGCCGAGCGAAGAGAACGGTGTCAGGATAAAAGAATGTGGAGCGGCGTAGATGAAGTCCGCGTGAGCCACCAGAGCTGCGGAGAGACCGACGGCGGGACCGTTCATTGCTACGACGAGGATCTTGGAGTGCGTGTAAAAAGCGCGGGTTGTGTCAATGTTGTTGGCGACGAAGCCGCGGACTAGTTCCTGGCGCGCTGTTGAGCCGATGCCGCCACTGTCACCGTTGCCAGGGTCAGGGCGGGCGCTGGTTACATCTGCGCCGCTGTCGAGAGGTTCGTTAGCTTGTTTGGGTTGGGTTGGAAGAGTGGCTGGTTGGATCCTTACGCGGAGAAGAATCGACCTGTGCCTGTTACAACGGTAATGTAGATGTCATCTCGCTTCTCGATTTCACGAAGACGCTGGGCGAGAGTGTAGTATAGTCCGACATTTAAGGCATTCAACTTGTCGGGACGGTTGAGAGTGACAATCGCGATGCGATCCTGATAGGTCAGGGTGATGAGCTCTTCGTTAGACATTTTGGTAATATCTTTCAATGGGAATTGATATTCAGTGTACTTTTTATCTCATTGAAAGATTGATTAGAAATCAATCAGGGGCAGGGAAAATAGCCATGGCCCCAGAATAGTAACGATCGCATTCCATACATTGCGGGGAACTGAAAGCCGAGGCCCGCGGCAGGTCATGTGATGTATAAGTTATGCTTGATTACTGTAGCCAGGTTTCTAAGGCGTCGAGCGCTGAGTAACCACCTCAATGCAAACTAAGCAAATAATTATCAGCCCATATTTCCAGACTACATTCGTTTGATCGCGAAGACCCTAACAACAAGACCAGAACAAAGTGCCGGTTCTACTCCATATTCTCATTCCAGAAAAACACCTACACACACATCACAAATGATTTCTAACGTCCTCCGCCGACTCCAGGGCGGTAACCTGGAAGTCTTCAAGGTAAGAAACGATCTCAAATCAATGTATAACTATATGCTTCTACATTGAGCCTATCTCACTCTCTACCTATACTCAATGATCTCCTTATGTCCAAACCAGTCCTTCCAATATGCTAACCGCTCTGCCTTCTAGTTCGGCATGTACGTCCTCTTCCCCATCGGTTGGATGTACTACTTCGGAACCAACCTCGACGACCGCTTCAACGTCAAGAACTTCTGGCCTACTCAGGAACAGTCGCACAAGATTCCGTTTGACAAGGAGGAGATTGACAAGGAGTTGGCGCGTATGCGCGTGGTGGAATCTGTGCGCCGGGAGCGGAGGGAGCGGGAGGCTGCTTTGTTGCAGGCTCAGCAGGCTCAGGCCCAGACGGAGTCAACCGGAGAACAATAAATGTTTTGATTGGAAGAAAAAGAAAGTGTTGGGTTATTGGCAAGCATTGGTTATCATAGTGGGGCAGGATGGATTGGGCTATGCTTTGATAAATGGTGCATTGGGATGACGCCCGTGGCGATTGACTCATTATTTCTTGTCATGCAAAGGGTCGGAATCTCGAGCTACACGAGTTGCATCTTTTTGATGATTTGTACAACATCTGCTCTGGGCATTTATGGCGTTCGGGGATATCGATCTCAACTATTTCAATTGTACAGCATCCAAGACTGGATTTTTGGATTTTTCATATATCTTTTTCTCGTCTGTATTCATTTCTTAATTATTACTATGTGGTGAACTCTGTACCATATTAAAAAATTTCGTCAAAATTATGTGCAATATCCAAACGCCCGGATCGAACAGAGGGTCTCGATTGAAGAATGAGTTCTGCGCTGCGCTCAACCTTAAGAGGGAGATCGCAAGCCCTTTGCACTGATTGAGGCACAGGTAATGATATACTCCAACCCGAACAAGCAATGCAGCGCTGGAAGAATAGTGCGGGTACCCGAAATGTGCACGCTCCACCTAAACAGCAGAGAACCGGGCTTTCATTGACTTAGCGGTCAATGACAACCAAATGGGATCAACAAGGAAGAAAAACAAGAAGAAACGCCTAGGATGCGCCGGCTGTAGGACTTTGAAGCGGAGCTGGGACATGATAAGTGACAAGGGCCTGATGTGACTTCTTTGCGTCTAGGTAGATGAAAGATGCCCTAACAACCCCAATATCTCACTTATTTCAACTCCACGTCGACCTAATCATCCGCCTGGATGAGCCGAATGGTGCGTTGAGTCCGGATCACATTACAACTCGCCCATGTGCTGTGTCGTCGCCGCAGCCGCGTTCTTAGCTGTTTCGTACATCACATCAAGGGTCTGGGTCGCTTCTCCGAGCACCGAGCTCATGTTGGTCATTCGGGAAGAGATGAATGGTCGCTCGCCAACAGCATAGTAGTACATGTGGCTGTAGATCGTACGGAGGTGGTTGGGGAGGTAGACGTAGATGCCGGCGGCGATCATGGTGATCAATGTGAGCAGGAGAGAGTCTATACAGGAAAGAGGATATGAGCTTCGTTTCATTGCAATGCAGGGGCATAGATCCAGAAGATGGGACCAAGGGTACGTACTGAAGATGAATTTTTCCGTGGGGGTAAGCATGTAGATGGCGAAAGTGACCTCGTACTGGTAAATCTTCATACGCACCCAGCGCACAACGCTGCTGATGATCCAGAGAATAGAGCCCATGATTGCGACAGGTGATGAAAGTGGGTGTGTTGTATAGTCGACGTCTGTTTAGGCGCAGGGAAGGGTTCGTCCCTGAATGACTGTCAAATCTCCGGCGCGTGTAGTCTCTGGCCCCTTGAACAGAGCAGATACAGTGTCACCGTATTCTACCGAGCAAATCTGGGCGCAAGCTGTCACAATGTTTTGGCACGCTTCCTCCCTTCGTTCCGAGGATCGAGAGACTCAGGGGGTGATCTTCTGGTGGCGCTGCGGGACCGTTACTTTGAGGGGTGTGGGGATGGGAACGGGTCGCCCGATGCTATCTGCGATTAGGCGATTAGGCGATTAGGCGATTGAAAGATAGATAATCGGAAAGAGTGTCAGGTCCCAGGTGCAAAGAGTGTAGAGTTCTTAGGATCAAGATCGCTGGGAGTGGAGATAAAGCGGAGAAGGAACTTTTTCACTTTTTGGTTGGGGGAGGCGGTTTCATTGCCGTTTACTCCGTACTCTTGATGACAAGAACGAACATGTAAACTACCACTGTCCTTCCTTCCTTTTGCTCTATCTTGTACTCGTTGCCATATATCTTCTATTCCTGCCCCTACGAACCTCTTTTTTCTATCCGACTCTAACGCTGTAACCAATTTTAGCTACTAGCCTAACAAACATCGCAGTGACCTAGCCCACAGTTGTACCATTATAATTGGGAATTATTCGAGAAATTCAGAGACAAGTTGATTGATTTGTTCCGTGACATTGATATTGTGCCGAATAACCTTGGACCTATACTCGTAGTCGGACAGGGTAGGCAATGGCATACAGAAGATGTATAGTAGAGAAATTGATCACCCTAGGCGCGCGAAATGCGCGACGGAAAGCCTACAGTAGATAGTCAAACTGTGCATATAGCAAAGTTATGTAAGCTTTATCACCTTGGTGTTAGAGGCTACATGGTTACGAAACTCTATGGATCTGCGGAGGTTGCTGAATTAAATTTCAGAGTAGTGGAGTTAGGACTGTCGATCTTATATACATATTTACCGTTTATCTAGAATATCTAGAAATGCATATCTGCCTGTCAATTAAGGCCAAAGTAGAAGACAAATTTAGAAATTCAACTTCTCTCAAGTATTACTGCTTTAACATTGCATTGAACTCCAGACCTTATCCCCTATCGCTTATCTTATCACTATCTTATCCCCAAAAGCACCATCGAACCCACCAACTTCACCACAAATGCGCAATGCTACGCCTCAAATCATGGCCACAGGCCCTTCAAGCCCTCAAAATCTCTCCCTCCATCTCAATACCACATCACCCCTTTAGCACAACCCCCGCTCTTGCCGAAAAAGCCCTCCCGCCCCGCCTCAAGATCAACGATGCCGACCTAACGATCTCCTACCTCAAGGGCACCGGACCTGGTGGACAAAAGATTGTACGTTACTTCCAGCGAATACGTCACGATAGATTTTAATATCTGATCAGAATAAAACCAATTCCGCCGTCCAAATCATTCATCATCCCTCTGGCATTGTCGTCAAGTGCCAGGCTACGCGGTCCCGGTCTCAGAATGCGAAGACCGCGCGCTTGTTGCTTGCTGATAAGATTGAACAAAGGGAGAAGGGGGATGGGAGTCGGGTTGCGTTGAAAATTGAGGCTAAGAGGAAGAAGAAGGCTAGTAAGATGAAAAAGACTAGAAGGAAGTATCGTGACTTGGAGAATGGGGAGAAGCATGAGGATGAGCTGGGGAAGGGTGAGGATAAAGATGGTGAGACCTTGGAAGTTATTGAGGGCCGAGCGGACTCGGAGAGGACTTCGGAGAAGAGTTCAACTTGATAGAGAACTTGAGTCCATCATTTTGGCCCTTTATGTATATATATCAGTGTTAGTCTATGCACCTCCTGGTGGGGTCTGTACAGTATTTTTAAGTTTGAATCTCAAGATCTCTTTGAACAATCTTCAATGTACATGTACATACATATATACTATTCCAATCTTGGAAATTTCAAAATGTTTATTCGATCTGTCTCTACTAGATGTATCTTAGGGGCTTGACTTGAAATGATCCTCCGACCCTCCGCTCCGACGATCCGGAGGGTGGATCCAACTTAAGACATTTACATAGATAACTTAAATGTTTTCAACACTAAAAACACATGGGATCTTGAAATTACTGTACGTCCAAATGATCCTCCATTCCGTTCCTCCGGGATCATTCATATAAATCAACCTTCCATAAACCACATGCGCTCAATATTGTTGATTCAATAAATGTCCTATACCACGCCTGTCGAAGACTCTGAGTACTTCACAAGAATTGATCCCAATCAAAATCTCACACCTCTTCTCGACACTACACTACACTACGAATACACATCAATCTATAGGAACCATAACCATCATCACAACCGTCACAAGATGTCGACAAACCCAACTCCAATCTACGATGTCCTCATATCAGGCGCAGGCCCGGTAGGCCTTCTACTCGCTACCGAACTCAAGCTCCAATCCCCGGAAGCTCGAATTCTAGTCCTCGAGCGCAGAACAACACCCGATACAGCCATAAAAGCAGGCGGTATCAACACTGCTTCCGTTGAAATGCTTGAGCGCCGTGGACTTCTTCCCGCTATTCAGTCCGTGAGCGCGGCATACCTCGGCCCGGATAGGGGAGTTGGTGGAAAGAAAACAGGCTATGCAGGGTCTGTTGGTCATTTCGGCGGGATTCATGTTCCTGCGGCTCCTGTTGATATGGAGGATGTGTTGTTGAAAGGGCGCGGGAGGAATGGGTGGTATATGATGCTGGCACAGCTTGATTTGGAGAGAATTCTTAATGACAGGGCCTTGGAGTTGGGGGTTTGTATTCGGAGAGGGGTGGAAGTTACGGGGCTGAAGGCCGATGGGGCAGGCGTGACTGTGAAGATTGATAGAGACGAAGGGGAACAGGAAAAGGAAGTGCGTGGACACTGGCTTGTTGGCTGTGATGGGGGACACAGTACTGTGCGCCGGCTGGCAGGCTTTGACTTCCCAGGTACAGATCCCCAAATCACGGGCCGTGCAGCTACTGTTGAGATAGAGGGGGCAGAGGATCTGGGACAGGGATGGCAGTACACGATCCAGGGTGTGTATGTGTGCGGCCCAATGCCGGGACGAGTACGCACGGTTGAATTTGATGGCCCACCTGCGGACAAGGATGCGCCTGTTACAGCACACGAGATGGAGAGCAGTCTGCGGCGGGTTAGTGGTGTTGAAGGGATTCGCATCTCGAGTGTCAGTGGTGGAATGCGATTCACAAATAATGCGCGCCAGGCTAGTACCTATCGGCGTGGAAGAGTGTTTCTCTGTGGAGATGCGGCGCATGTGCACTCGCCATTCAGTGGACAGGGACTGAATCTGGGTCTTGGAGATGCTGTCAATCTGGGCTGGAAGCTGAGTGCTGTGATGCAGGGGTGGGGCACTGATGATCTGCTTGATACATACATGAGTGAGCGTCATCCTATTGGTGTTCGGGTCTTGGATTGGACGAGGGCGCAAGTTGCTGTAATGCGTGGCGATCCCGATTCTTCTGCATTGAGGGGTGTTATGACTGATTTTCTGGGAACGAGGGATGGTGCGACGCATTATGTGAAGCAGATATCGGGTTTGTGGCCGCAGTATGAATTGGGTGGTAGATCTCCACTCGTTGGAATGACTATGCCTGTTATACAGTTGGATGATGGCACGCTGCTCGCTGATCATGCTCATGATGGTCGCAGTTTGCTGCTTGTTCTAGCAGAGAATGAAAAGCTTGTAGGCCTGGCAGAGAGATGGGCTGGGCGTCTAAAGTTGATTCAAGGACGGTCAGGTATTGCTGGGATCGATAGCCTGCTAATACGTCCTGATGGCATTGTAGCTTGGGTTGCTACTGGTGGTGTTGGTGATATCGAAGGACTCGAGGCTGCTTTAGTTCGTTGGCTAGGGTATAGTGAGCCAATCTAAACCATTCACTCATGAAAAGGAGCAAGAACAAGTGTCAATGGGGTTAACTAGTTCGTCAAATTCATATGGATTTACCATTAGCCACGTGTGTCAGTATGACTGGCAGAGTATAAGGTTTAATTCCGATCGCTCTCGATGCATTTCAACATTTTGGTATCATGATCAGGTGCTACAGAGTAAGAAAGGTAAGAAATGGCACATTGATCTAGTATATTCGTAATTGCAACTGCCCGGCCTCGAAGCTCAAATCCACAGGAAAAGGCAACCGCCACTCTCAGCTAACTTTTTGATTCGTAAAACGAGGGTTTGTAAACCTCCAGCTCAAGAAATGTAGCTACCCAGCACCGTCTTCGCCTGGTCGTCCAAACGCTCTTGCGCGAACTGGGAGATCCGGCCGCCGTGCTTCTTGTCAGCTTCCTTCAGGTATGCGCCGACCCATTTCTTCAGATCCGCGCCAGTCTCGGGCCAGGGATCCTTCTGCTGTGGCTTGATGGTGTTCAGGGGAGTGAAACCAACGCCAAAGGACATCTCCTCAACGTCCACCTCGGCCAGGAGATCATCCTTGTGGGTCACATCAGGAGGAAGCTCGAGGAGCTTGAGAAGTGTGTTGCACGTGAAACCCCATCCCTTAGCATACCGGGTGGCAAAGGCGTCCGAGTTTGCCAGTGTCTTGGTGAGGGAAATAACGGCAGTCTTGCGGTCCAAGGGCCGGGCAAGTTTCTGGGTGTCCTGGAGGATGACGTTAAGGTAGACAGGAGTGAACAGACTGCAGTTTAAAGGTTAATATATGATCCCACCGAGGATATCTGGTTAGTCGCAACTTACTTTTGTTGCACTTTCTCTGTCACCTGCATGACAAAGTCGGGGTTGTATCCCTTGTCATCGTGCGCAGTGATGAAGTGGAAGAATCGAACGAAGCGAATCGACAGGTTCTCCGTCTTGGAGTTTTGCAGACGCTGCAAGATAATCTCCATGATCTTGACAAAGTATGGTTCCAGAGTAGCCCTAGACAATCAAATTAGTTTGTTTGCGCGAGTAACAACGGGTGTAGGACATACGGTGGGAAGGTCGCAACAACAGTCTCAAGCAGATCGAAGGCATAACCCTCGTTGGCCTTGGTAGAAACGAGCTTTTGGAAAATACCTAGAATAGGCTCGACCTGATTGTGCTCAACAATGTACTGGGCTCCGCGGGGGATGATCGAAGTGAGCAAACGAGCCAGGGCAGGGATGTTTCCTCGAGAATCCCACATGACTGGCATCAGGATAGGTCCGATCAACTCCTGGTAGTAGGTGGGTAAATTAGCGGCCGAATTGGCCTCCAGTAGAGCAGCAAAGAGCTGGAAGACGTATGGCATGAATTCTTGAAAGAAGTTAGCCGAGCACGGCACAAGACATGGGAATGAGCTTACCTTGCACGTCTCCCTGAAGGATACCAGCGAAGGGCGTATAAAGAGCCTGCTCGAGCTTGTCAGGGTTGGCGGGGGCGGCATATCGAACGAAAGCACCCATGGCCTCGAAGAAGAAGTAGTAGAATCTTGGGTTACTGGGGTTAGAGCTAATGATCTGAGTGATAGTGATGAAGCGTTGGAGCACAACATCGGTGAAAGGGACCACGCCGTCACGAATGACAATCAAGACACGCATCACACAGCGCATCAAAAACTCATTCTCCTGCACCTTCTGCGGCGCCGGATCCCTCTGGATTAGCTGGAAGATGTGCTCCAGAAGGTCCTTAGCAAGCGGGGTGATTTCGGTCGGGGGAATCACCGGTTGGCCCTGGCCGTCATTGAGGAAGAGAGCTCGCTCAACGGCAATAGCAGCGTATGTGTATACGACGTAGTTGGAGGAAGCCAGGTGCTTCACTAGAACAGGGAGAACCTGTTGCCACTGTTCCTTGGTGATGATGCTGCGGAATGTATACAGGTACTTGATAGCATCAACCTTGAGGATGGGATGAATGCCATCATCCGAGACCAGGTCTGCAGCAAGATGCTGCTGGAAGAAGTCCGTGATGCTGACTAGGCTGTTGGTAGCTGTGACACCGTGACTAGAGGTTGCCACACCCTTGGCCGCCACAGCAGAGTAGAGGTAGGTTGCGGTATCCTTGGACTTCCAGTTGGAGGCCGGGTCCTTAGAGTATTCAGCAAGATAGTGCTCGGTGTACTTAAGCACAACCTTCGTCACTGATTCCTCAAACTTCTCAGCCAGACGACGGAGGAAGTCCGTGGCAGCACGACGACGAGTCTCACTATCAGAGCCCTCAAGGTCTCGTCGAATGAACTCAATGGGCTCATCCTCGAACAGTTCCTCGTCTGACTCGCGCAGGCTCACATTTGGCAGGATAACCTTCTCGATGATCTGGGCAAGGGTCTCCTCCGCCTGGAAAGCCGCGGCATGCTCTGGCATGCTAGCAACCGAGGTCAAGAAATGCAGAGCACGACTCACGAGGATGTCATACTTTGTTTCCTGCCCAATTGTGGTCAGAAGGCCCCACGAGCTCTGAATGAACTGTCCAACCTGAGGCCCGAAGGCGTCCAGGAACTTCTGGACATACAGAGTCAAGCCTTCGAAAATTCCAGCACGAACATACTCCAGCAGACCTGCCTCAGTATCGTCATCAGTGTGGAGCAATTGATTGTCATATGTCAGGTATTTGTGCAAAATGGACGCAATTGCGGAGATGTTTTCTTCGAACATGGGAGGAAGGTCGTGGCAGGAGAGGTCGTAGAAAAGCTTAACCATCAGGTTAAGCTGGGTGAAACCCTGAGTCAGGTTTTCTTTGTTGTTCTTATTTTGCTCGAGGTAGTTGTCCAGACTCTCGAACAGGGCCAGGAATGGGGTACCGAACTTGTTGAGAACATGGTTGATTTCAATGTAAAGCTCGTTGGATTGGAAAAGTGGTCGCCAGCGCTTGAAGATGGAGTGCGCAACTTGTAGAACACCAATGTTGACGGCAGGGTTTGATGGCGAGAATTTGGAAACAAGGTCCTAGACGGAGAAGAGCAAGGGTTAGCTAGAAACCACAAACCATGGCCGCACCACCACTTACATCCACAAGGGTATCCCAGCGCTCCCAGAAATCACTGTCGGCGATCACACTGACAGCCTCGCCGAGCTGAGTCCGGATCGTAGGAGGCACGGAGATCATCAAAGTGATCAGCTCGCGCTTGATGGTCGAAACCTCATCCAGCGGCAGCTTGTATTCTCCATCCTCGTTGGTCCAGTTGCGCTTAATGAAGTTCTTGAAGCAAAGGGCACTCGCAAGACGAAGGTTGTTTGTTTGGGAATCGGATGCCGTGATTTGGAGGAGCTGTAGAGAAAAACCGGGCTTCTGTTCTTCTTGACGAAGGGCGATCTCGGCTGGAAAATACAAGAACACTGTGAGCAACGATTCCAGTTTAATCAATGAGGCGTGGATGCCTTACCTTCCTTGTTCCGTCTCGGATCCAAGCTTGCCTCCAACAAAGCTCCAAGAGCTTCCGCCATTTTCACCGGTACGTGGGGTATCAACAGAAGGGAGGGGAAAGAGAGAGAGATTAATAAATGAGAGAGATGGATCTGGGAGCGTTTTCTAGAGTTGAGATACGCAGTCCACCAAGAGGAGAGGATGGATTGTCACGGGGAGAAAGTCAGGACACAGCAAAGCTCACAGGACAAAGATCATAATAAATAATGAGGGCGCTGATAATTGTACGGGCAGCCCACTGCGTCAACACACTAGTCCCAGTGTGGTTAGAAACATCACATGCTAATACTATTCCGTATTAGGTATATTGCCTGAGGCATAAAAGATTTGTGTTGTGCCTTGCTGCCTTGCTGCCTTGATGCTCAATTTCTGCCTCAACAAACCTGAGCGATGACTAAGATCTCGTGACCTCAATCCAGATTCTAGGGTTAGCACTCCAAGTTGAATAAGCATAGCATGGTGCATAGGATTTCTCATGCATTGAACATTTGAAGATTTGTTATAGACAACTGCCCAAATACAAGCGGGAAATTTTTAAGATTTACAATCCTTGATTTGACGTTTATTTGTACATACATAGTACAGTAAGACCTCGCTTCATGGAAATATATCGAGATACATATGTCTATGAAGAGTCACCAAGAATTCGTTGCAAGTTGCCAATGAAGAATTCTAAACTTTGCAACTTGGAAACAGCCATATTCCTGCCTATCTCCGCCTGTAAGAAATTAATGAAACCTGAAAAATCTCACAGATTCCTCGTATGTTTCGACATTGTGAATGTTCATTGTTTTCCAAGATGTTCTGTGTCCATGGACGTCGACTGAAACCCATATCAACCCCTCTATTTGGGTAAACTGCGGACTTTTAGAACATCCCTTTGAAACCTCAAGCCCCCGAGTTTTCTCGTTTTCCTTTTCTCCTTCCGCTTCTCGTTTATCAATTTTTTTTTTCTTTTTTTTTTCTTTCTATCCTGCTACATATGAATTTGGAGAGCACTTTGACCATCAAATGAATCCGGTAGGAAAAAATACAATACTGGGCAGTATACTGATTGGGAGACTGAGTAGGAGATATAGTAGAAGATGGACATAGTATCCACAAGACCGAAGTAGGCGCCGCGCGAAAAGCGCGGTGGAAAGGCTCTAGTGGAACCTCATAAACTACCAGTCTAATTCAGTGACTATGTTTCTCAATCAAATTATATCTGTTCTTTCACATTGAATATATAGTTTTTGATGTGGTGGACACACCGCTTTGGCCTCGTGTGAAGTGTAAATAGCCGTGCAGCTTCCTGCTGCCGGGTGCCTTATAGTACATAGGCACCTAAATTCTCCTATTTGTCAATACGAAATAATTAAAATTTGATATGTATCACCTCAGTACCGATAGCTCACGTGGATATATGTTATTCGGTAAACAATTTTTCAGCTGAAGTTGCTTTTTCGCCAAGGGAGCTACATAAGTACCAGGCATTCTTAGGGACCTCACTTGTTTTCCCATGCCCGAATTGCATGGCCAACTCCTTTTGAATGACCCACAAACTATGTTACACTAGTATGTGATTCCGAAATCTCCTGGAGGTCCACCACAATGTAAGTAAGAAGACTAATTTATAGTTGGTGACAAGCCAAGCTCACTTTGCTTATCCACAAGTGGACCAGGCGGAGACTGCTTACACAGCTGTAGCCTCCTTATACCGGTGTATGTTTTGTAATGACAATTGCGTATCATAATTTCATACTTCCCACACGTGGCTTGAAGGTCCACATGGTGGGTGGCTTTTGGGGGCGTCCTAGTCAATCTGATAAAACATCCGGGTTGAAAGGCTGCATATATATGAATGTATTCATGCACACCTGGAGATCTTGAAAGAATAGAAGTATCCCTTAAGTGGACTTTGATAATTACGTGAATTAAAGGGTCATGCCGTCTGATTCCAAGCTGGGAGTGCATCGTGTAATCTTAGAGCCCTAAAAGCATTGTTGATTTTAGCACTCCGATGTTGGACGGAAGGTCCACAGGATTCAATTGCCCCTGAAAGTTTGATCTCTCCGGCCCGAAGATTGTGGGCTTTTGCGAGACCCGAGAACCGTGAAATGCAAAGGTATTTCTCAATTAAGCTTGTTTGTCATAAGATCCGTCGAAGACCCGCCTGACCTAGTCTCTACAGATAATCTAGCCGAGGGGATTGAAATCAGAAATGTATCACATAATGCTGGCATGAAGTCTCTGGAATTCATGAAGTCCATTAATTCTCAGTTGGCAGATATCAAGATTGGATATCCTAAGCAGTTTGTTTTGGATACTAAAATGCGTGACAAGGGCTTCAGGGACTATCTTTGGGCATCTAATTACGAAGCGCAGCGTCTTGAATCAATCTGGACACCTCTTAAAACTAAATTGGAATTGTCAAATCTATTTCATTAAAAATGGGGACAATTCTCTCTAAGCTGATGGAACTCCAGGACCTAAGATCCACTTCGATATTATATAACGACAAGAAGACTGAATGATTTCTGAGTTTTTGAACATCCCTGGGTACACATAAGCAACCCTCTTCTGAATCGCCATCTGGAAAACTCTAGAGGAGTGATGTTACGTCAATTGACTGGTAAAAAGGTGAACGTAGGTCCAGGCATTGGAGATCTGCATTTTCCCGCCGTGGCGATTAGAAACATACGAAATAGCATATTTCACATGTTTGTTTCCACCTTGTACGCAGGTAAATTACTGGAGAACCATGGACATCCAGACTGATTAGGGGTCACTTTCTGTACGCAAAGGCTGAGCCCACAATGGGTCCCGGGGCTGAGAAGGAGATTGTTGCCGAGCTAACACAAAGTACCATGCGTAAGACCATATCTCCATGATTTGGAATTGGAAGATCAACATGAAACTAGCAAAACATAGTAATCCCGAGGGTACCCAGGAGCACGTTGGATCTGTGCCTCAAAATTAAATTCCGAATCTGCATAGCATCTTGTTTATCAACTTTTTGAGTTCTTTCCACCTCACCGTATCTACGTATGAATGACGAATATGAGAACTAGAATTATTTGTGCGCTCAAAGTAATCCCAGAAGAATTGAGTTACACTCGATCACTCGGCACACATCTCCACCTACAGGTTCGTGATGCTGATCATATACTATCGTGGTAAAATTCGGGTGGCGCACATTTTAGTGTACAGTACATCGTATACCACGAGGATCCATCAAAGCCGGGAAATTTACCAAGAAATGGCACGAAGTACTCCGTAGATCTTGCACAACACTATTCCGCAGTCACCTCTGCTCATACTATGCGGCTTTTCCTTTTTGTGATAGGATGAAAGTAATTAATTATACATCGAAGACCACCTGGAGAAAATTTAGTTCGATACAAAGTATAGACAGATCAGATCCAATATAAACGATGATTATTGGTGACAGCTTGGTGAAACTTGTTTATTTACCGAGTTTTATTCCGGTAATTACAAATAGTATCAAAGAGGGGAAAGTTCGGTAAGCAAGTAGAAAGTGGAGAAACGGTGGGCCCAGATTCAGCTCCTCCACTCTTCTGCCACTTCGGTGTCGCCTTTTCTTACCCATAGAACTTTATGAATCTCAGCCTGCAGAACGGGTGGAGCCGCTAAGGTTCCATGGGACATCAGTTCTTATTGTTTACACCTTGATCTCTCCACAAGACCCATCATACTAATGCACCTCGACTAGACGAGAACCCAAACCTCCTGTTTGACTCCTTATTCGCGGAGTTCACCGGAACGATACGTACGACAGGGGTCAGAGCTGATGTGTTGGTCGAAACACGACATGTTCCCACCCCTGGGCCAGAATGCATTAATCTACCTAAATTCTCAGGATAAGCGCCGCTGTGACTTGGCCAGTCTCCCACATGCTTCCACTGGTTTGCCAGGCAACCAAGCGACAGGTGGTCCGAGTGGTTAATCTTTCGGGAGATCGGGAGCACGGATATGGGGCACACGGAATCAAAGTGGATCCAATTTCGTCAGTGATCCTGCATGCGTTCATAAGGGATCCATTTCCGATCGGCGATGGCAGAGGCTGGCGGGATCCAGTAATCGAACACCCCGCTTCCAAAAAAGGCAGACCTGGATGCAAATCGTTTCAAAAAAGGCAAACCTGGATGCCAATCGATCGGCTGTTCGACCGACTAATACAGGGAAGAACTACTTTTTCTCGTGCCAACTTGACACTGACGACTGTCACGGTGGAATCACCCCCCGCACAGTGGGAAGGGAGAAAAATCACAAATCCCCATGGCCAGCCAGCCATGTGTGCACCGTGCACCGAGCACAGCCTGGTACTCCAGCTTTACGGCACATGCGGGCGGGCGCTGAACACCAAAAATGATACACCAAAGGAACTAGCTTGCGACAAATCGCCATTTTGAGGTTAGCTAGTGCCGCCCCCTCGAACCGGTGATTCCGGAGCTTTTCTTCGAACTGTTTAGATTGCCAACCTTGAGGCCGATTCCAGGTGGATTCGAATGTGCCGTCTCTCATAGAACTATGGGGCAAAATGATGCCCTAGGTGGAGGGAACTTAGTAGCCACCTTTTTCTATCACCCATGTGCCATTGAGATGCTCCACATAGCTGGCCAGCCTCCCGGAACATATGTGACGTCCTCGAAACAATACAATACCATTACTATACGGTGATAATTCGTATCCGGTGCTGTGATCCCCTATCATTGGATTCTGGATGCCCCAGAGCCACCACCATGCACCATCATGCACCATCATGCAGCTACCGAATAACAGACGTTTTGACTTTAACATTGATGGGGATTGACAATGGGTAATGCGGTCCTTGGAATTCAATTGCCTTTGATCCCATACCTTCGCAGATAGGAAACGAAGCTATGTCTTTACAGTCTAGAAAGTTAGTGTGAGAGTGGAGAAAATCGACCCAGCAAAGCTGAAGCTCATCCCCACCCGATGATACCATCAAAGAAAATTCGTAATACAGATTGGGAAAGCTAGCATTGTGCCACCACCGAGCCCTTACCCGAAAGGAAAACCCTAGGGATCATCTATAGTGGCCACCCAGATTGGAGCTGCTACAAAAGGCGAGTAGCCCCCCTCCTTGCAAGAGGTCAGATCCAGCTTTCTATTATTCTTACCCTCTACTGTGCTTGAATGCACTTGTACATCTAACATCTCGATTTTATACTGAGACTCCTTGCCGGTTTGTCTCGCCTCTTTTGTTGCTTTAAGGGCTGTTGCTCAAAAGAAAAAGCTTTATCAGTTCATAATCATACGCCACGAGAAACGACGTCCACCTATATCAATACCCAAAACGAACCAAAAGTGTCCATCCCGTCACATATACCCAAGCCTCCGAAGCCTACCTCTACCTCCCGTGATTACCAATCCAACACCATGGCTCCTGGTCTTGTCTCCCCCGTCCCAGGCAACCTGTCCTCTTCCTTCTATGAACGTCCTGGCTCCCGTCAGGTCTCTTCGTTCTCGGCCCAACTCGACAGTGACACATTCTCTCAAAATGGCCGTTCCACTCGTCGGGAATCGGGTCTTATCCGCAACATGAGCGGTGCTGGAGGCTCCAACCTGACCAGCTTGGTGCAGACTCTGTACCAGCGTAGTGGTAATGAGCTTGGTGCTCATGCTTCATCCAAGCTGATGAATAGCAGCTATGAATCCCTCAAGGAGTGGATCCGCATTCAGCGTATGAGCCACCTCCCTCCTGAGGGAAGCAGCTATGACAAGGTCCTTTCCTGGGCCCTGCTCTTCATTGAGCGTCTGCACCACTTCGACTCGAACATTAACAAGTTTGCCGGTGACAGTTACCTCGCCACTCAGCTGTCCTACGGATACTGCGGGATGCTGCTTGAGGTAGGCTGACATCTAAAGCGAATTGTATGAACCAATGCTAATCACACTTCCTATAGCTCGGCAAGGACAATGCTGAGGCTCTGATGACCTCATTCGGCTTCTTCTACAGCACCTCCTCTACCTTGGTCAACCTTCTTGAGCGCACTGAATTGTTCGATGTCTCGCAGGAGATCAAGGAGCAGCTCATCCTGGCTCTGGCTGATCTGGTGTCCCTGGTTTCCAGTGTCTCTACCCACTTCCACCAGGCCATCAGTGGATTGACCAAGGCTTCCGTCTCCGTTCACATTTATGACACCTTCCCCGGTCAAATCCTTGCCTTCAAGGACCGCTGCAGCAAGATCTCCGAGGCCATGTGGCGCCACCAGCTTATCCGGGAGAACATTGGTGCTGAACGCGTCTCAATCGTCCGGGACGTTCGCGCCTGGCTGGCCCCTGAGGACCGTGTCCTTGCCCACCTGGCTGAGAACACCTCTCAGCTCGCTCATGAGCGTGAGGAGATGACCTGCTTGTGGGTTTCTCACTACCTGACTCACTTCCTGAAGAGCCAGAACCGCACCCTTGCCATCACTGGCAAGCCTGGCTCCGGAAAGACCGTCACTGCTTCCGTGATTATTGATCGTCTTCAGGACCCTATCGCTGGTGTCTCCTACAAGACTCTCTATATTCCCATCAATGCGCGAGTTCCGGCTGAGACTACTACAATTGCTATCGCCAAGACGATCCTTTACCAGCTCTTCGAGAAGCGCATTGGTAACACCGCACTCTTGCAGATTCTGGGTGATGCCTATGAGCGCACCAAGAAGACCACCGATGAGGCACAATATGATACCATTCTCTGGAGTGCCTTGGAGCGTGCTCTCGGTGCTGCTTTACAGAACGCTAAGGAACTTGTCATTGTCGTTGATGGTGTTGATGAGGCCGCTAGTGGCGAGGCTTCTTTGGTCCAGAAGCTGATCACTGCCACTACCAACGGCACCAATGTTAAGCTTATCACTCTAGGTGCTGAGAAGCCCAAGGATGCCGCTGGTTTGATGCATGTGCCAATCACTGAGGATCGCATTGCCGATGATGTGTCCACCGTGGTTCGTGCCAGCTTCGAGGGTAGCGAAGAAGTCTTCCAGACTCTGCCCGAAATGGAGCAGGAGATCATCATTGACCAGATTACTGAGGCTTCTCAGGGCTCTTTCCTCTGGGCCAAGCTCTGCTCCAAGCGTGTTCGCCAGGAGAAGACCCCCGAGGCTCTGCACAAGGCTGTCGAGAGTATCGTCAGCAGCAAGCTCACTATCACTGACTTTGTCCTCAATGCTATCCAGTCCCCTGATGTGAAGGATGAGGGCCGTCAGATCCTGCTGTGGCTTGCCACTGCGGACCGTCCCTTCACGTTGAAGGAGCTTACCGTCTTGCTGTCTATTGACGTCACCAAGCAGACTATCAGTGACCGCACTGTGAAGCCCTTGGACTTCCTGCGTCCTGTGAACAGCCTGGTGTTCGTGCAGGATGGTCAAGTGTACCTGCGTCATGGCCTCATCCGTACCTCTCTTCTGGAAATCCAGTCCAAGGGCAAACTTGTGCCTACCGTCAAGGACCGCCACGCCGACTTTGTTACTCGTCTCTTCATCTACATCAAGAGTGTCCTTCCCGAGCAGCACGAGCCTTCTCTGACTGCCCTTGACGGCCACGACACCACTTCGTTTGTGCAGCGCAACCCTCTTCTCGACTTCGCCGTGCGCTACTGGCCTCGCCACTTGAAGCAGACTACTGTATACACTACCGGTGGTGATGTTCCTACTGCTAAGGAGTTCGGCAAGATCTTCCCCGCAACCATCACTCTGCTTCTCCTCCAGAACACGCTGTGGCACACTATCATCACCCCGACCCTGGTCTCTTACCAGACTACCGTCACCAACCTTTGCCGCAACATTTTGTCCCCCAAGCATTTGGTTACTTTGCAGTCCATCATCACTCTCGCGTTCTTGCGCCGTGACATCAACCTGGTGACTGATTCGATTCCTCTCTTCTACGAGATTACCCTCCTGAGCCGCGATCTACTCCAAACTAAGCACATCGTTACTATGAAGATTGCCAACATCTTCCTCGAGTTGACTTCGACTCAGACCACCACGTCCCGCACTGACATCATGATAAAGCGCGAGGAGATCCTTCTGCTTGTTGTTGAGTGCTACAAGATCCACTACGGCAACTCTTCTGAGCAGGTTGTGACCACTCTTAAGGCTTTGATCGAGCACTACCGCTTGACCAAGGAAGAGAAGAAGATTCAGGAGATTACCACCATTATTAACACCATCACCACTGGTTACGAGGCTGGCGATGGCTCCCGTGGTGATCTCCACGTTCACCTGAAGGGCCACAAGCGTCAGGAGAGCGAGGGTGGCATTCGCTTCATCCTAGATGCCGAGGAGGATGAGTCGATTGACGAGAGCTTCGATTACGAGGCCCTCATTAAGCAGGCCGAGAAGTACCGTGCCGAAGGCAAGGTTGCCGAGGCTGAGCGTATCTACGTTGAGATCTGGCAGCGTGCCAACCGGGAATGCCGTGTCCAGACCACTTCTTTCTGGGAGGAGATCAAGCTGAAAGCTGTTGTTGCCTATTCCAAGTTCCTCAAGCAGGAGAAGCGCGAATCCGAGGCCTCTTCTATCTTGTCCAGTGTCTGGGAAGAGCACCGTCATACCAGCCTGGCTTTGTCCGAGAAGTCTTCCCACCACTTCCAGGAGATCGCCACTGTTATGGCTACCGTCGGCCTCTCAGCCGCTGCTCTGTCCATCTACAAGCAGGTTGCCCACTACTACCAAAGCACCTCCAAGTCTTCCCACTATGAGGAGATCCAGAAGAGCATCTCTAGCACCTCTGAGAGTGTCATGAAGTCTAGCAAGTCTTCTCACTCTAGCGTTTCGGAGTCCACCATGGAAGAGATCATCTACGAGTCTTTCTCCTCTCACAAGCACGACGAGAGCTCCTTCACTGCTACCTACACTTTGGTCGAGCAGTTCACCTCCCAGCACCGCTGGAAAGATGCTACTCGTGTGATCAAGAAGGTTCTTCAGGGACTGTGGCCTACTCTATTTGCTCCCTCCATCGAGGATGTCGTTCTCCCCAGTCAGAACGCCGACAAGGCTATCGAGCTTGCTGAGCGCCTTGCCCAGTGCTACCACTACCGTCGTCGCTTCCCTCGCGAGGAGAACATCCGCATTCGTGTCTACCGCGCAGTCCGTGCCGGACGTCCCGTGGATGACAAGGTGCGCGAGCGTGTGACTGAGGCTTTGATTCGCTTCTTCGAGCGTAACTCTCAGCCTGATAACGTTATCACTACCCGCCAGGAGAACCTGGACGACTTCATCAAGCACTACGGCCGTGACCATCCAGTTGTCATCAAGACTCTGTGGACCTTGGCTGAATTGACTCGCCCCCGTCCTATCTTTATCGAGTACTACCAGCGTATTATCCGGACCCTGAATAAGGATGCGCCCACTTGCAAGCCTGAGGCTCTCGAGCCCCTCGTTCTCGTTGCCACTGAGCTTTGGACTCAGAGCCGGTACTCGGATGCCGTGCCCTACTTCACCCTGTTGTTCACCACTTTCTTGAGCCAGCCCAAGCAGCCCCGCTTCGAGAACCCCTCCTTCGTTCAGGAGATCTTCACCCGGTACACTCACTGCCTGCGCTCCGTCCGCACTGATTATGCTGTGATCCATAAGGTCACCGTTGACTACCAGGCCAAGGTCAAGACTGTTTTCACTGCCACTGCTTCCATCACCATTCAGGCTACCCTCACCCTTGCCAAGGTTTGCCAGGAGTCTAAGCGCTATGAGTCTGATGCCATCACCCTCTATGAGGAGCTGCTCAAGATTGGCTCCAAGGAGATTGATCTCGACGAGGTCTCTGCCACTCTGGATGGTATTTACGAGGAGCAGACTGCTATTGCCACCCACTCCTCTTCTGCCTCCAAACAGCAGATTGAGACTGCCTCCAAGATCCTGCGCAAGCGTGTTACTACCATCCGTGAGACCCAGGGCTGGGCCCACGAGGAGTCCATTTCCAAGATGAAGGAGATCGTTGCCTTCAACTACAAGCACAGCTCTTCCGAGTCTGTGCACCAGGAGCTGAAGGAGTCGACCATCAACATCCTGAAGGAGGCCACCTCATCCGCCCTCTTGGTCTCCGCCGCAGTTGCCATTGCCAGCAGCTACATTGAGACCAATTCGGTCCACAAGGCCACCGAGATGTCTGAGGAGCTTTACCGCCAGATCGTCATGAAGGACACTTCCAACGTCAAGACCTCTCAGTTTGACCTGACCTCCAAGGGTCGCTCTAGCCTGGTCTTCTTGGCTGAGCTCGAGCACAGCCTCCACAAGCAGACCACTAGCATTACTGAGATTCTCGCGTCTCTGACCACCGAGTACGTCTACTTCGAGGAGTTCCGCAGCATCACCTCCAGCAAGACCGCTTCCTTCCATAGCGTCACCTTGTCGGCTACCCGCCTCTACCACTTCCTGCTCCGTGCCAACCGTCAAGCCGCTGCCGTCCGCGTCTTCGACGAGTTTGTTGCCTACTTCCAGGCTACTGAGGGCAAGCGTACCAAGCTGTCTGACAAGGCCCAGGTCAAGATTTTCGTTACTGTCATCTTAGCTCACTTCAACACTCACCAGTCCTCGAACTTCATCCGCTCTGTTGGTATTGCCAGCAACCTGCAAGTCATCAAATTGCTTGAGGCCAAGAAGTACGATGATGCCTCTAACCTGGCTCTCGCTGCCTTCCAGTACATCTCCGCTCATGATGTCTTCCGCACTGCTGAGATTGTCAAGTTCGTTTTCACTCTTGGTGTCTTCATCACTGGCCGCACTGTCGCTCCCCAGCCCGACGCTGCTGTCCAGAAGAAGCTGCACGGTGTCTCTGCTGTTATCATCCAGGAGGTGCTCCGTGTCATCAGCGACCTGAACATCAACCTATCCCAGATTAGCTTGGACTACCTGAACATCCTGATCGGCCTCCTCGGGGAGCAGCAGGACTACAAGACCCTTGTCTGGCTTCTCAGCGGTCTCTGGACCAGCCGCAACAAGCAGGCCGCCTGGCCCGCCCAGGTCATTCTCAGTCTTGCCCGCCGCTACATCCTCGCTCGTTACCTGGTTGGCGACTCTCTCAAGGCTGTCCGTCTTGCCGAGGACATTGTATACAACTGCCGCCGCGTCAATGGTCCCCGCCACTCCAGCACCTTGGAGATGTCAACCCTGCTGACCCAGCTGTACACCGGTATCGGCCAGCGCTATCAGAGCACCAAGGGTGGCCAGAGCATGAGCTACAAGTACTACAAGAAGGCCGCCGGTGTCCACGAGAACCTCCTCCGCATCTTCGTCGACCCTGCTCTCGCCGAGATGGAGGGTGGCCTCGACTGCAGCTTCAGCATGGATGGTTCCGCTTATGAGCTGAACATCGAGGAGCCTACCAACGGCTCTGCCCTCTCTGAGGGTGAGCACGTCCGCCAGCACTTCCACCTGCTTAAGCTCGCTGTCCAGCGTCTTGGTGACTGGCCCAAGGATTACTCCGAGTACGAGCGTCTGAACGCTGAGCTCTTTGCTGAGTTCAAGTCTGACCTTGAGGGCTTCGAGGGTGTTGAGAAGTGGAACCTGAAGGGCTTCGGCTCTGGCAAGGCTTCTGCCAACGAGGACACTCTTGCCCTTGAGACTATCTCTTGGGAGATCGACCTCTCCGCCACTTCTACCGAGTCGGAGTACTAGATTGGTTCTGAATTACTGTATTTTGAGCGTTGTTTAAAATCCTGTTGTCGTTACATAATTATGTACAAATTGTCGAGGGTTATATAGTTAGCTGGATCCCTAATCTGTATACTGCCCTGTTCTGTTCACAATATTCTCTCTCTTACACATGTGTAGACTTAAGGTATACCTAGGTCATAAAGCTGTAGAGGTGCCATTCATTGCAAGTATTTGCATCATCTTCCCCAATGAATGTTTGTATCTCAACATCTTCCGGGAAAATTCACACGTGCAATCACACTGCCAAAGAAATATGTTCGGTTTTTAGTCGCTACTATGACCAGAAGCTGTGAAGTCGTCTGAAAGAAATCTCTCAATCGACGCCTTGATCCAGCTGATAAATGGCCAAACTGAGATATTTGTGGACTAATACCAGTATCCACTAGCGAATTTTGTCTTCGTTCATGGACCTGTTTGTACTTACATCATGGCCTGTATTCTGACAAAATTCGAAATAGCTTCAGGTCCATGAAGTACCCACACACCGCCCCCCACCTGAGCTGGTCCGGGTTGGAGTTTTTTTGCCATGGTTATCGGGCGGTGAGCTTATATTGATGACCTATCAGGTGACTTGGGCTGGAATAACCTCATTCCCCGTGATCCTCAAGGCAATCCTTTACACCATCCGACCTTGTGCCCATTTTCGCACATTCTCGCAAATCATACCTCCTGGAGCATTGCTTTCTTGCCCATCTTGCACCTGTGATCCTTGCGCAGCCGCTCAATTCCTTGTGGCTTGCTCCACCCGGGTCCCGCTTTGGTATCAACTCCCAAATCGTACCTTTGTCACGACACATTTTGCGTCATCCCTGTTCCTGAATGTACAGCGCATTCCTCTGAGAGCTACCCTTGTGGTATATAGCTCTGTCCAAGCTGTCTGGAAAGGTAAGAAATCCTGCAGGGCCCACTCAAGTGACTCATTCCGTATCAGCTCTCCTGATCGCCCACCTATGTCATGCGACCTTGGATGCTGATTGTGTGACACAAATGAACAGACATACCTCGTCCTCGCCCACAAACGTAGCCTCTATTTACCGTCCTAAGGCGGATGTCTTCCGACGATGCTCCATCAGTACCGCAACACAAACCTTCTTCAACTAGCTTTGCAGGTGTGTTCAAGACGCTAGCCGCCGGTCGTCCGAAATCGCAGTCCCCTATCTCGATATCAGAAAGCAACAGCGACTCCATTTCATATAACCGACAAATTATTGGGCTAGACTTCATGCATCGAGGCAGTGTGGTGTCCAGCTCCTCGGACACGCCGAGTGGCCCGGAGATTGAAAGTTCCCTCCGGAACTTGTCGCAGAGACAAAATCTGGGCCAGGCTGTCGAGGAAGCTGAATTAGTATCCAAGTCCATTTCATGGTTCACCCCGGAACAATCAGTGGGGCTATGGGAGGCGGCGGAGTATCTATTGCATCATGAAACCTCCATCGATGCCCAGAAAAGTGGGGCGAAGTTGCTAGAAGCTGTTGCGGCTCGTCAGGATCTCAGCCCATCAGGCAGGCGTCTGATATTTGAAGCAATTGCCTGTCCAACTGAAGCAGATGCTATTGCCTCGCGGGTTCAATCGCTGATATCGTTGTCGGATCATGGCCGGAAATTGGATTTTACCTCCACGTCCATTCTTCCTATTATCTCTTCTTGGATCGTGCCTCTTTATGGTGTTATTGCTACGGCGCGCTCCAAGGCGAAAAAAGGAAAGACGACCCACCCGAATGGACTCGGGCACGAAGAGGTTGTTCTCGGAGATCTTTTGCAATTTGCAGTAGACCTGGTTACACTTCAGCGCAAACCTCCGACTCAGGAGGAAATCGAAGTGCTTCTCACAGAGACCTTCGCCGTTTGCAAAAAGACCAGTGTCGCAAATGACATCAAGAATGCTCTTTCCGTCTTTGATGCCGTGATCGTGTATGCGGATGTGCCTGACAACAGCTTTAGCCCTCTCCTGGAAGTTCTTTGCAGCATTCACGCTTCTGTCAAATCTCTTTCAGGGCCTACTTCTCGGTCGGTACGCAGCTTGGCAAAGTCTCGAAGACAGGAGGAGATGCTCAGTACTCTGCATAGCTTTATGAAAGAGAGTTGTGACAGTGACTCGTCCCTGAACCTGAATGTCATTCGCGGTACAATTTACGTTTTTTCGGACCTTGTTCACGCGTACGGTCAGGCTGGCATGCCTCATATTCCCTTTGAGAAATTGGTCGACTCACTTATGGTCGTTGCTCAGAAGGACGATGGCCGCGTTGATGCTGACATCCTGGACCTGTGTCTGAACATTTTGGAGGGAGACTACACAGACATCGCTTTGAAGTGCGACTGGACAAGCTTCATCAGCCTTCTGGTTCTATGCTCCCGGCGAGTCTTCCAAGAAACTGAAGACCTTGTGTCACCGACAAGCCCGATCCAGGCATCCTCTAAGCCTACCCACGATGATACAAAGTCGAGCATTCTGGCAGACATAGTCCGGATCGCTTCTGTACTTGAATCGATTTGGGAACAGCTCAACAAAGAACAAAGACAGCAGGCTGTCCGGTTCTTAGCAAGGAGTCACCAGCATATTGAACCTTCTCAGTCCGAACTCATTATCAATATGATAAGAGAAGACCAATCTTGTAATCCAGTTGAAGGGACCGTTTGGTTAAAACGTTGTCAGAGCCTGATTGAGCGTTTCATACAGCCTCGAAAGCAGTCTTCTGATATCCGGATTCTGGCTCTGGACACCTTGAAAGAATCACTTGCCGGAAACGAGCATCTTGTTTTCTCCGAGGAGCATGGCATGTTCGACCTTCTTTTGCAGGACTTTTCGGCAGAACATGATCTACTTTTCCTAGAATCCCTTGTCTCTTTCCTGACCGAGTCTGCGATCCACATCGACGACGATGCCATATTCAAGCGCTTGGTGGACACTATTAGCTCGCCGATGAAACATGACTTGATCAAGGATGATCCACGGCAAACTTCAAGCTACACGGCTTCCTCGCGCCGCACGTCTACAACAAGTGTGCTGGAGCTAACCCTGGCCAATGTATGTGCGGTGGGTCTTGTGAAAATGATGCTTCGTGCTTTGAACTCTTCCGCCACGAAGTCCGTCATTATCTACGAATCCCTTCTGCAAATCGCGCAGTCCGCAGACCGTCCTACGGACTCTCGCCTCACCGTCTTGAAGCTGCTGTTCCGGCTGCGGTGTGATTCGGCTGGCTCTGTTTCTGTGGTATCGACCTCGGAAGGTGATTTCTTGCTGAATGTTCTGGGTCGCAGCATTGATGTCGGGTCTAACAATCGAGGCCCGGGTGATAGCCCATTAAGAGAAGCTCAACACGAGAACGTGCCGCCCCTTCCCAGCGGCAAACTCATTGGCAAGGATCTTCCTGCTTCTGTCCTGGCCAAATCCGCCTCAGGCCGAGCCTCAATTTCTTCTCGTTCATCGAGGCTAACACCTCCCGTCTGGACCTACGCTTTGCCACAAGTTCTTCCCGAGCAACCGCCTGGAGAATCCAGTCCACTGGTTTATGCCCATACCCAGACAGATGCTCAGAGCCCTGTTAGTGAAATTGCTGCGGCACAAGTCGGTGTTCTCAAAGTCAACATGTGGCTCGAAGTCGTGATCTTACTGCTCCAACGGGAAACCGACTGGGATATTTACAGCTACGTTCTCACGCATCTTGGGCCTCAGCTTGGTAACAAGGAATTCTTCAAAAGTTCCAGCCCTCAAATCAAGCTGCTTCGCAGCATTCTCTGCGATCAGGTCAAGAATGAGACTTTCCACGAGCCCCCTGGCGTCACTGGTCTGAAGAAGAGTGATGTCGCTGCTTGTATCTTTGATGCGCTATGCATGCTTATCAGCTATCACGAGCACTTTGCCAAGAGTGAAGAAGATGATCTCGTGCGAGCTTTCATGTCCGGCATTATCGGGTCTTGGGGTGCCACATCTCGCGGCTGCATCCAGGCCCTTTCCCTTTGCTGTCACGAAATTCCAGCGTCGGTGACCAAGTCCTTGATGAGCATTCTCGACAGGATGTCCAAGGTGATCACTATGTCAAATCTAGCTGTTCACATTTTGGAGTTTCTATCCCTCCTTGCTCGTCTGCCTGATGTCTACATCAATCTGCGCGAAGAGGAGATCCGTACCGTGTTTGGTATTTGTATTCGCTTTCTACAGACCTCACGAGAACAACGATACAAGGCTGCCGAATCTCCCACTACCCGCGCCCCTCAGCAAGTCCCATCGAGACTCAGTGCTGGTGCACGAGAAATTGCTACAGGGGCGGCGGAAGCAGCGGAGAATTCTTCAGCTGATGCCATGTCTAGTTATATCATGAGCCTCACATACCATGTTATGATATTCTGGTATCTTTCTCTAAAGCTGCAGGACCGTGCCAAACATGTCAATTGGATAACCAGCCGACTTGTTTTCCGTGACGATCAAGGTAAAGAGGTGGTCGAGGAACAAAGCCAAGTCTTCATTGACTTGATGCAACGCGTTGCTTTCTCTGATTTGGGAGAGACTGTTCCTTTTAAAATTTTCCCTCCCACTCCTGAAGATGGCCCGGTGTCCAAGAAGTCCTGGGTTGTGGGCCTGAGCATTGTGACCGTGGAGACGGCAGGCGTGTCTGGACTGACCCAGATCTCGAAGCGCCAAGCATCAGGAACAACGTATATTGTTTATCAGCAGCGAACTGCACCTGTTCTACCGCACCAGGTTCCCCCGACACCAGATGCACACCTGCACTCTGACGATATGCGAACGGCAGTCCTGCCCAGTCATATTATGCTCCAGATGACCACATCGGCTTTCCCTACACCCATTGTGATGCAGCCTATTCCTGTCCCTGAGGACGACATTACCCGGCGCGCGATCGCTAGCTTTGATCGAACCGATATTGTGGATGGGCATCGTATTGGAGTAGTCTATCTTGACAACGGTCAAAGCAAGGAAGCCGAAATCCTTGCCAACACCGCTGGCTCTCCGGACTATGAACACTTCTTGTCTGGTCTAGGTACCAAGGTATCGCTTCGAAATGCTCAATTCAATACCCAGGGCCTTTATGCCGACACCGACGGTGAAGCTACTTATGCTTGGCGAGACCGGGTGACCGAAATCGTGTACCATGTCGCGACGATGATGCCTACAAACCTGGAGAACGATCCTGCTTGTGTCAACAAAAAGCGAAACATCGGCAATAACTTTGTCACCATTGTGTTCAACCGATCGAACCTCCCTTTCAACTTCGACACAATCCCATCCGAGTTCAACTCCATCAATATTGTGATCACCCCTTCCAGCCGCATTGCTTACGATGAGTCTGGTGCCGCTAAAGGAGAAACGGATCCGGAGAAACTCTATTACAGCGTAAGAGTGATGAGCAAGCCCGGTTTTCCCGACGTCTCCGCCGCGGCAACTCCTAAGGTTATCTCTGGCAAAAATCTGGCATCTTTTGTCCGCATCCTGGCTCTCAGCGCCTCCGCCTTCTCGCTCGTCTGGAACAACAAGGGCGGCGAACACGCCTCGTCCTGGCGCACTCGTCTCCGTGAGATCAAGAAAGTCCGCGAACGTGCATTGAACGCACAAGCCCAAGGCTCCGAAGCTGCAGAGGGTGCCTATCCCGGCCAGCGCCGCAACACGAAACCCAACATTTTCTCCGAGGAACTTCCCACGCGCACTGCTCCTATCAGGACAGACTTCGCGACCGAATGGGAATCCGCTTCAGAGGGCAACATCCTCCAGAACCTGGACTTCTCTCGCTGGGGCCGTTAATCAGCTTCCACCTCCCCCTCCCACTTTCCTTTCCAAAGACAATAACAGAACTTTTCACACTCCCTTCCCTCTCTTCCAGATATCTATCTATGTTATACTCAACCCATCCCAGCTCAATTTCTCGCAAAAAGAAAGGAAACGACAGACTCTTCCAACGAACCCTCACGTCACGATTTCATGTACATCAATTTGCTTCTTGTAATGCACGGCAGCATTTGTGAATACCCCTATTGCCCCCAAAAGTTTTGTCTGGTTTATCTGTTGTATACTTTTGATCTTGCCTTTTTCTTATGAAACCGCACCTGGGCCTGATCTTGTTTTATTCTTTCCTTTCAAAAGAAAAAATACATTTACACTTCCAGGATGGCCAAGGCTGAGAATCAGATAGCGATCACAAATCCATATATGACGATGGATTGTTTTTACTTAACAAAAAAAAAAAAAAAAAAGCAGAGACATAGACATAACCCGTAGGCAAGGCATTAATGGCTGATTCTTGATAGAATCAGTGAGGCGAAGGGGATTCACGTGCAGAATCGGTTAAGATGACAAAGAATTCCTCGCGCGGTCGCTCAATGCGGATCAGTAGTCATACCTAGACACATTGCCTTGACCACTCGGCCACACTTGCAGTTGTAGTTCGGATGAAAATCTGAAAACAATAGTTAAGATCAAAAGATTAGAATAATTCTGTTAGTGAAACAATAAGATCTAAGAGTAGAGATTCATATTATACACCCCCCCACCGGCCGCCTTCACAGGCAACCATAAGTAAATCACATCCTGCACCTAGTATGAAACAGCGGCATGATCATGAATACCTACTAGGTAGCACCAGAGACCATTGATATACAGACTATATACATGGAAATATTGAAATATAAAATGTCAGGATATATTGATTCTTTATATAAATTACAGTTAAATTTTGGACAAAAATAGAAAAAAATAGAAGGAGGGAACAATTCGAACTGTGAATGACTAGACATAGTAGTCAGAGATGTCAAGAGAAGTCCCAAGGTCTCTTCAAAGGATATATAGGATTCTAATCCCAATGCCAATCAAGGTGAGTGATATGATTAAGAGTCCATGGAAGAACCCGATCACCAGCCAAAGATCTCACCGACACTGACCGTGCTAAAGCGCACGCCAGGAACAGCAAAGACCAAAAGGACAACGTCGATAACGCCCAAGACAACAGCACCCATCATAAAACGGGGGCTGAAAATGCGGTATAGCATTAGGTGGCGACGGAGGTGGCCGGCCCACATGGTGGTGGCGAGGTTGATAGTAGCCAAGTAAAGGATGTGAGTAGAGACGGCTTGGATGACGTCGGAGAGGAGCTCTGTAGAGGGGTTGGCGGGTTTATTGGGAGAAGAAGAAGAGGAGACACGGTCGTGTGTTTGAAGGGGTCGCTTCCAGAGGACAGTGAGTGGGACGGCGAGGGCAGCGAGGATCTGGGCGCCGAATGTGTTGAGGATGACCAGCAGTGGGGACCAGGGGTATTGGATTGTAGAGAGGGGGATAAAGGCGGTTTCCCATTGGATGCTGCTGAGGGTGGCTTGGTGGCCGGTTTTAAAGAAGTAGAAAGATCCCAATATGCCCAGGATGATGGGGCCGATCGAGGAGTTGGCGAGAGTAAGGGCGTTAGTGTCGAGGATCTCAAGGAGGGATAAAATCTGCCAGAGCAGCAGAGCAATTGCACCCTGGCCCATGGGCTTTGACATGAGGATGATGGCAAGAGCAAAGTTAATCACCATGAAGAAGAAGCGAGTGCCGTACATGTTGCCAAAGCCGAGTACGGTCACAGTGGTTCGGGGTTTCTGATCTTGGCCAACGATGAAGGGCACCGGGGGCGCGTTCGGATCTTCTTGGGCTTGACTCACGCTGACGCTCACACAAGGCTTGGCGTAAAGGAAAGCAGCTGTGCCCGCGGCGAACGCCAGAGCAAGGACCAGCTGGGCAAGGAACACCCGGAGGGACTTGAGGGTTTCTTTGCTCAGCGGAAGCCATTCACCATCGTCAGCGCCTTCTAGCACCCAGAACACCGAGGTAACTAGAAGACCAAAGCGGAAAGCGAAGCCAATCCACAACGTAGCATTATCCTCATATGACTTGGAGCCACTGTAGAAGGACCGCACCACGCTCGGGAGGAATATCATGACCACAAATGGAATGATCAGTTGCCAAGGAGCAGATATGGACGAAGTCGAAGAGGCGTAGTAGGTTGATCGGCAGAAGGGCATCTGCTCTTCACGGCAGAGGCGAGAGAAAGATGCAACACGGCCCAATATAACGAAAAGAAGCGAATGATACACACCCAGAACCCGGTCGGGTGTGGATTTCTGGCGCATGGACGAGATACCAGCGCATACACCAAATGTTGTGAGGAAGAAGAGCAGAATCTCATCCTCCCAGATGGTATAAGAGTTGGATGCAAATCCAAGAGACTGAGACACAGTGAAGAAGAAGGCAAGCCATCCCCACATGCCGGTGGGAAGAGGCACGGTCAACTGTGCCGACTTCCTAATAAGAGCGAGAGATGCGCCCACCATGCTTCCACCAGCGGCCACCAAAACAGCCAGGTCGATCATGGTCATGTCAGTGAGTCCAGAGAAAGCCAAGACAGAGCCGGCCACAACACCCACACCGGATCCAATGCTGACAAAAGACAGGAAACGCGAAGAGAGCTCAGTCCGGTCTGCTTTCATGCCACGAGCGTACAGAACCAGCAAAGAAATGCCACCGAAGAGGAGCACGACACCTTGGATCATGCTGACAACATCGAAACGGGCCCAGAGTCCACGACAGATATCCAGAGTGTGTCGCTGGTACTTGCGGTAAAGGTCATAGCTAGCTCGGATTTTGATTGACTTGGAAGTGAAGCCCTTGGAGGCAGACTTCCATTCCGTTTCCGCCGCAGACCAAAGACCAAACGATTCCTCATCTTCACCTGCACCACGAGCAATAGCATATTCGTGCTGGTATCTCTTGATTTGTGCAGCTGTCAGACGGTTGACAGCCAGTAGATTGGCCCAGTCATTGCCACTTGATCCAGCAAAGGCTTCCTCAATGGGAGAACCCAAATTGTTGAACGGGATCGGCATGCCAAGGAGCAGAGACAGGGTCGGAACGAGGTCAATCTGAGGGACGGAACGTTCACGAGCGTGTTTTGGTGGAAGCAGGCTCTCCTTGCTCGTACGGCCGAAGATTCCTCTCTTTGAGTACATCCACAAAGCTGCTTGGACCTCGTCGTCTGACTCGCCGCCATGGTCACCCTTGATATCCATGCCGTGGTCGCCCATTACCACCAAAAGGGTATCATCATCCAAAGCGACGATGATATCGCGAATCACTCGGTCCATCTCCTGGAGCTTGCTAGCCATAGCAGCGTGGTTGGGTCCATAGCGGTGACCCGCATGATCAACACCGAGATAGTGACCAAAAATTACATCCCACTTGCTCTTGTTCTCGGTACGAAGAAGCGGAAAGAGATGTTCATTCACGCCGTTGTCAACAGTGTGTAGGTCCCACACGTTGAACGAGTCGTACGGGTGAGTGAGGTTCTCGTTAAAGTACCCTGGGAACAAAGACTGCCAAGTATCATCACCAAGCTGGACGAGTGTCTTGCCAGCGCTGTGCAATTGTGCGACCAAGTTATCCTCGTCAATCGCAGTTCCAGCGAAGTTAGAGCCCGCATCGATGAAAGTAGGCAGGGTACCAGTGGTTAGGCCCTTCAAGCGCTGGAGGGTCGTTGTCGGCGGATCCGCGATGAAAGGCAACAGGAACGCGTTGGCGGGGTTCTTGACAGCAGTTTCATACAGGATCGGAATGTTATCGTGGAACAGGTGGGCCTCTTCACTCTCATCTTGAGAGGCAAAGGGCACAGTGAAATCGTACCGGAGAGCGTCGATAATGATCACAACCGCCTTGTCGAAGGATTTCTGATGCCAGCATCCATTTCCATGTGTATTTCCGGTGACTTGGTGGTTCGAGTTGTCAAAGGGGAGTACTTCACAAGACGATTTGCTCTCCAGCACCATGCGCGTAAGAAGGAAGCCCTTGGTGAAGAAGTAGATACCGGCGAGGTGTAACAATCTAAAAATGAAAGCGATACGTCAGCCACAGTGTTCCTCAAAGCTCAAAGCTCTTCATCCCAGTTACTCACAGAATCCACGTTAATACACCTAGCACACCGAAATGCTTGCTCTTAAACTCTGACTCAAGCTGCAGGGCCTTAAAGTCCGGACCACCACTTTGTTTTCCCTTTGCGGAGGTCTTCGGTGCATTACCACCTGCAGGACCTGCAGGTTTTGGCACCATTTGGGACAAAAATTGGGACTAGCGACAGTCCACAGCTCGAGACGAGACGCTACCGGGGTGATTGGGTTGCGGCACGATGTGCAGGAGGCGGCCGAGGGGTGAGCACGGGCGCAAGTTGAATCGGTAACAGGGAAGCCGAGAACAAGCGCGGGTTCACACAATTGACTTGCCTTCGGAACAGGCGAGCTCACTTAAAGGAGGCGTGAGGGGATGAGCCTAGTGGGTTGTAAGGCGATTTTGCAAAGGTTACCCCTGTCTGTGCTCTGTTGGCGAGCGGCTTCCCAGAAGATACTAAAAGCTGCACATTTCTCGTACAAACCAAAATTGTACGAACAGAAAGTAAGGAACGTCTTTAGGGGATTAAAGCGAAGAGAAATTCGCATTTCTGGTGTCGCGGAAGCGGCGGGTTTGGGGGAGAGCTCCGGATCGGCATTTCTGATTGGCCGAGTGGACTACAAACTCATAATATCATATTGAATTGAACTATAATTTCAAAGATTTGCATAACATTTGCATAAGACTTGCCTAGGCGTAGGAAAAGTTAGGAGGACTAAATACATACATTATCCAGCTGCCGATGGTACCAATAAGGCACAAGAAAGTAAGGGGAGAGACATGAGCGGGTCCAAAGTGGAAGAAAAATAGACGCCGCCGTTAAAGAGGTGTAGATGAAGAGAAATGAAATCCAAGGAGGAGACGAAAAAAATGATGAAAAGGATAGTCCTACGTCTTTCAAACACCCTAGGAACGTAACAGGGTAGAAGGTAACATAGACAGCAGGAATGGAACGCCATAGAAGAAAAAACGTAGAATAAGCGGCAGGCCCTCGCTATACAAAACTCAGTTCTCAGCGACTCTCAAGGGAACAAGAATCTGCTAAGATTCAAGGTCAAGGAGAGCAATTGCTTGTCTGGATTTAAACAAGCAACGAAACAGGTCAAGGTATGTGCATGCCACATGGGCAGGGTCGAGAAGAAATAGGTATTTGGAAAGGGAAGAATAAAAGGTTCGCCAAGATGCTCGTCATGCTTTTGGGTCGTCGAAGAAAATAGTGACAGGCGGAGATTGTCATGGCGAAGGACGGGACAATTGGTTGCGAATCACTACGAGTAATGATCCCCCTTCTCCTTCAATCCACCCATACGCTCGAGATCGAGGGACTGGAAGCGACCGCTATCGGTAGATTGGTACGGAGGCAGATCCTCATGACACGGTTCAAGACCGATGCTGCCAGCGTCACTGATGCGGACGACAACCATCCGGCCAGACTGCCGCTTGCCAGACGCGTCTTCTTCTTCAGGGAAAGTAATGCGAATCTCGGGAACCGGGCTGGTTGGGGGACTGTCGGAGTTCGCCATCAGGCTTCGTTTTTCGTCATACACAAGTACAGAGTCCTTCTTGTTGGTGGTGATAGTTAAGCCACGGTGGTGCGATGGGACTTGACCATGGTGAACGGGGAGGAGGGATTGTTTCTGAACCTGGCGTTTGCGGCGGATGAGGAGCAGTCCACCAACCAGAGCGAGTGCGATCAAGATCAGCACCAGGAGGGCGATGAGGAGATCGACCATGGGAGTAGAGAGACCATCGTTGTTATTGTTGTTGTTATCCCGGGCCACGATACTGGAGATGATATTGATCATTTTGTCGATCGGGTTTGTCGGATATCGGATGTCGGATGTTGATTGTTAATTGTTGATTGTCGGTCAAAGACGAGACGCGTCGAACAGGTGATCGACCAAGTTAGATTCCAAAGAGAGTGGGCGGATATCATCCGGGGTTGAAAGCGATTGTAGGAATGAGCACTCGAGAACGCTAGTCGCGGACAGTCGGAGTCGAGGCTGGTCGGGGGGAAGAATGGTCAGGAAAAAGGGGAGTCTGAATTGACCGAGAAAGAATGGATGGCAGCACAGCTGAAAGAGTGAAGCTGAGTGCTCAAAAGAATGGAGGGGATGTAGAGAATGGAGGAGGAAAGGGGAAAAGGAAAAGGGAGTTAGGTTGCACTAGTGCGCACAAGCCTAGACCTTTTCCCTCTCTAATTTCTCTGTTATTTTTGGATGAACCTTTTCAGTTCGCCCTAGACTCATCAGGGTCTAGTTATCCCCGGTATGACCTTGATCCTCCAATAACAGGTCAATGGTGCCTGGGGGGCTGCAGCCAACGGCGCTTCCTGACTCGTCAATGGGAGGTGATTGGATCCACCAAACCAATCCCTTTTGTTTAGGTTCCCTCCCCTGAACACCATCACGAGGCACCAAGTATAATCGGGTAGGTCTGATGGTATGCACATAACCTGATGAATATAATTCCTACAGCATATATCTTTGTTTCAGGTTTCTAGCTTGAGTTACTACATAGTAGTTGAAATCTCTACCCACTCCATAGTGGAGCCTGAACACGTACAGTAAGCTAATGATGCAATCAGGCTTAAGGAAAACAAGATTCTCGCATACTTAATTAAGTTCCCTGTTCTAGAAGTTCAATCCCTTGTGGGTCAAAGAGTGAATCAAAATAAACATTCAGGGTCTCATACTCCATAAGTAAACAACACTTGAAACAACTTCAATGAAAAGGGAGATTACTTGTCTCAGGTCCTTTGAATTGTCCATTTAACTTTACAAAGATTAGATTCAAGATTATCCAATCTAACGGTTTTATCCGCATCCATATCAACGCCTTCTAGACTATCCCAAGGAACCTTGGAACAGCGAGGAATGATATTCGAGACTTCAGTCAAAAATAATAAGCTTCTAAATAAGGCTCCTCACTGACGGCTTGGTTGTGTTGATGTATTTTTATACTAAATAAGTATGTAATTGTATATCTCAATAACGGTCGGGTTTTGGGACGTAGAACTGACATTTGATTGTTCTTAGACAAACCTGCAACATTGATGGTCAATGGATGTATATATATAACCAGCACTGGGCACCTTTCAACACCAAGTTCGAACATTGATTCGAATCCTCCACGAATCTATATGACGAATCCCAACTGAACACATGACCTTGGAATATGTTATAAGGCATTGATGATTTACTAGACTCAATAAGAGCATTTGATCAATTGAAGAATCCGACACGTATCAGCCAAGTCAATTGGCTTCTCTTAAGGTCGAGAGATTCTCGGGTACTCGCACAGGTGCCCATTCTATCGACATTTGAATACAGGTTTACCGAAGGACAAGAAAATACCTGATTATCTTAATAATGGTGTAAGTGCCAATTTTGAATGTCTACATAATGATATCAGGAGTCTTCTTACCGACCAGCTTCGATATCTATGAAATGAAGAACTGCGACCTCGGGAATATGAAAAAGATGCCGAAGTCTGAACTATATATGAACACATTTTGAATGCAATAACTAAGGCCAATTCTCTCCATTTTACATTGCCATTGTATCCACGAGTACATCCTCCGACATGTAGACATATGGATGTATTAGTAACAGATGTCAGTGTACATAAGATCATGCTAGTATATATGTAAATGGCGCCACTGCCGACAAATAAACATGTGAAGCTTGCCCGATCACGTCTTTCCAACAATTCAAGTCAACTGGTAACAGAATCAGGGAACCTGATGTCCATCGTCAACACAGCTAAGCCCAAACCTTGGACCCTTCCATTCACCGTTCTCCACGTCTCAGCACCGGGAGAAAGCAGCTTTTATACATCTCATCGCTTCAAAAATTGATACATCATATACCCAGAAACCTGGAACCTGCAAATCATCTGCAGGGAATAATTCAAGCTCCGAAGTTCCCCACATGCACTTCGCATCTCTCTAGTAACAAACCCAATTCCCTACCGCAATAGCCTCCAAACACACGGTCGCCTCGGAGAAGAAGAGAGGGGTTCTCCACACCGAACAAACCTGCAAGGAAAAGCCCCCTCGAGTCAACGGTTCCGGGGTAGATCGAAGAATTTCTGCAAGTGATAGTCTGACGGCTGGTGTGACCCCTGCGCAAGGATTAGGATGTGTTTTTCCTTGCTCGACGAGGATTGTATTACTCTGGCGCTGGTCGTGTCTCGGGCTCGTTGAAAACCCGCCGAGGCGGAGGTTTGAGCTGGATGGCTGGTAACGGTTCAATCTAGCTGGTTCTTTGGATTTGTTAGGTGGAATATGGTACCTTTGTTCAATGTTTCAAATGTTCCAAAAGTGAATATCATTGACATATCAATAATGTTCGGGATGTTCTGTTATCCAGGGCAGGTAGAAGCAAGGGGTTGGGTAGAATCGCGCCTACATTCATGGGGTCCCAAGCGCAGTATTGATGACCGAGCACTTTATTGTATCTTAGAGGTGAATCTCTATTTCTTCTATTCCTCTTGATCTTTTCATAATTTCAATTATTTTTATTTCCTTGGAACTTGACAGGAGGATATATATTGGTTTGGATCCGAGTCGATCCATGTCGAAGGCATTGAGTTTCTGACTAGGCGGAGATCAGAAAGACTCCGGGCCTGGAATGGTAAGGAATCCACAATTCTAAAGGTGGCGGTCCTTGGATTTGTTTTTAAGAATGTTCATCTATTCTGTCTTTGACCGGTAATCCGTAGATGGGAAGCCATCCGACTCCAATGGACTGAATCAATTGCATGAATTGAATGGTCGACCTTACTCAGATCCAGGGCCTTATTCTAAGTGGATCCGATCGGAGTATCTCAGTCTTACGGGGAAATAACTTGAACTGTGCTATTATTATCTAAGGCCCCCATGCAGGTTTATAATGTCGGACTAACTACTCATACACAATGTTTCGGCTTCGTCGGTTGACTAAAGCAATATACTCTGACCCTGAGAGCTGTTGACCATGGTTCAAGGGGTACTAGCTCAGACTAGGTGGCTAGGAAGTGTTGACCGGTTGAATGACATCAGGCTTTCACGTAGAGTTATAAAGGTGTTCTTTTGTAGTTGGTAAAGAGTTTAGTAACTCGTAAGTTTGCTTTCCGTGGCCATGTAGAATCTAGGCCATGAAGATAGCGGTCAGGGTGGATTAGGTGCAGCACCAACTCATTTAGGCTCTTTTTGTGAGAGAAGAAAAGGGAATAGGAAAAGTATCAAGAGAATAGTACTAATAGTGATTAAGAGAATAATCTTCTATTGATATGCTATCATGAGTATATATATATAAGTTCGAGGTGGAGGAATAAAGATTGATTGATCTGCCTGTTACAATACCATACACAATACAATCGATGCCTAAATGACTAAGAGGGGCCAAAAGGGTACTTCTGTTTGACATATATACAGTAGTGATATAAGAAGTATCTAATCAACTTAGCTCCATTTCAAGGCGTCATCACTGGGTCTGGTAATACCATGATAATACACGCGGCTGATCAGCCCAAATCTCACTCTTAATTAAAAAGCATAAAAAGTTGTTAATTCTTATCTATCAAGTTTCCCTGAAAAAAGGAAAGAAAACATTTCTTTTTCGTGTTTCACTCTTGTTCTTCTTTTCTTCTTCTTCTTTTATCTTCTTTCATCCTCCTTCCTAACTGCCAAACAGAAACTCACACCGCAAGGGTAAAAAGACAAAAAAAAACCTGAAGCTCCCTCTGTCATGGCGCTTGTGTGACAGCTGGAACTACATTAAATGCAGTGCTTTGTCTCTCTTCCACATTCCCATCCATCGACCCACTAAATCCCGGATTTTCCATCCTTTGCGCAACCGAGCGCATTCCAATCCATTTGAATTATTTCTTTTTCCAAACCCCCCCGAGTCGAATCGCATCGTTCATTCACTTCCCCCCCCCCTCTCGCAAAATCGCAAACCTCCCTCTCCCGCCAATCCATCCCCCACCCCTTGCGCAAATCCCCATCCAGGGTCCTACCAACACTCTTCCATTCTCGGAGATCTGCCTCTCCACAAGGCACATGAGGACGATCGGCAAGCTGGGAGATTCCTGGAGCATGCACGGAGCAGAGTAACGTCGCGTCCCGACCTCAATTCTGACGGCTAAGCTGCAGCGACAAACGAAGGGAGAACAGGAATACCTAAGATTTCCCATCCTTCCAATTCTTTGTCGCCTTGCATCTTGTTCGGCCGTTCCCGTTCTTCTTACTTGACATTGAAACCTCCCCTTGTCCTCCCCTTCTCTCTCTTTTTTCTCTCTCCACACTCCTCTGTTACCTGTACATGTCAAGGGCTTGTGGATTCTGAAGAAGGGAAAATCGAAAGCAACCGATCTTTTTACTCCGCTCATCGATCCCTACCGTTGCCCTCCTTAGGTGAGTGCTCCTCGCAACCCTATATGCCTTAGCTGGGGCCGACCTGTACCTGGACCCTATCTCACACTGCGTTCTTTGCTAACAAGGCCACGCGATCTCAGCAGTCTTATATTCCTTCGTGTACGCCGTTTCTGGTGCCTGGTGCCCCATCTGCAAATACCGGCCGACAACCTCTCGGCCTTCGTGATTTATCAAATCACTCGATCTCACAAATAATCGCCCCGCCCGTTCGGTCGATCGTTTCCCTGGAATGGCTTCTACAATGGCAGCGAATGCATCCAGCGTACACAACGTGAGTGGCGAGAATTTAAATGGGACTGGCGGCAAATTGACAGCTGTGCAGGTACGGTCGAATCGGGGTTCCAACATGGGTTCGTCAGGCATGAACAATGATCGTTCGCGTGGATCTCACAGCAACGGGGTTGGGAAAGGATTCAGTGGCAACAAATCGAGCTGGAATAGCAACATCTGGGGAGACTCCAACCTCGGAGGTGCTTTTGCAGATGGTACGTGTGACGGTGCTCAAGAGGCCTGGATCTGCTTGGTGAACTGGGGCTGATAATTTCTGCAGATCAACAAACCAGTGATGCTGGATTTGAAGCCAAGTCCGGCTCGGGTTCCCTGTTATCGACATCAGAGTCAGACGGCTGGTCGGGCCGGCCTAACCTTCCATGGAGCACTGTCAACTCGCAGCTGGCTATGAATCAGACTCGCGGCATGTCAACCTCCCCAATTCAGACTCGCTCCAATGACCGGAGTGCCCCACCATTGAATGACGCACCAGACGCGTCCTACTTTAACCTGCCACGAACTTCGGGCATGGCCAACTCTGCCACAACAGTCAGCCACCGGCCGTATCTGAACTCAGGATCTGAGGGTGTGTCCCCCTCTGGTGACGGAATGGCATTTGGTGGATTTCCAGCTTTGCGAAATGGAGATGGGCGACGACAGATGAGCACCGCCGGTCTAGGTGGCAGTCCAGTGGGAGCTTCATTCCCTGTTAAGTCTGGATTCAATGGTACGATGGAGGGACAGCGCTCTGATGATATTTCCAACTCCATGGGTATGTCGTCCATCGCTCAAGGAATTCCTGATGGGATGTCCCCGCCTCCGAGTCGTAGTGGCCTTTCTCACATGTCTCACAATTCAGCCTCCTACACCCAACGACCTGTGCACTCCGCAAACCCCTCTTTCTACTCTGATAACCAGAACATTGATGGTCGGTATGCCGGCGGCTCGATGGATCTCTCGGCGGGATTCAACAAACTTCAATTGAACGACAATGGCTACAGCACCCAGGGAAGCGCCCAGCGCCCACAATTCATGCCTCACGCCTCGTTCGACAGCTCCCTTACACGGGGAAAGTACCAAACCGATGATGGCTACCAATCCCTGGCTGGTTATGGTGGGGACAATGCAGAGATGCATCTCCAATACCACGCACGGGCCCGTGGCGCCGACAATGGTTCTATCTCTCCTTCTGAATATGCTCGCATGGATAGCCCCATCTACACCGGTCTGGACGTGGCAACCCAGTATCGTAATTCCGGTGGTCGTATGTCCGACAGCCAGGCGGCCGCGTTCGAACGTCGTCTCCGGCTTCAAGAACAGGAACTTGCGCAAGCTCAAGGAGGCTCTGTCCCGCGCATGCAGATGCCCGGCTACGATTACGCGAACTACCAGACTGCTGCCCGCATCAATGCCCTCCAAGGATATTACCCGATGGCACAACTCGGCGGTATTGGTGGAGCCGCAGCCGTTGCGTCTCGCGCGCAGCGTGAGCAAGATCCAACTCAAGTGGTTCGCAGTGCTCTGCTCGAGGAATTCCGGGCGAACAGCAAGGGTAACAAGCGCTACGAGCTAAAGGATATCTACAACCACGTTGTTGAGTTCAGTGGTGACCAGCATGGGTCGCGGTTCATCCAGCAGAAGCTGGAGACCGCTAACAGTGATGAGAAGGAGCAAGTATTCCGTGAGATTCAGCCCAACTGCTTGCAGTTGATGACTGACGTGTTTGGTAACTACGTTGTGCAGAAATTGTTCGAACATGGTAACCAGACTCAGAAGAAGATCCTCGCCAATCAAATGCGGGGTCATGTTCTAGCTCTTTCCACCCAGATGTATGGGTGCCGTGTCGTGCAAAAGGCCCTTGAGCACATCCTCACTGACCAGCAAGCTGCCATGGTGAAGGAGCTCGAGAGCCATGTTCTCAAATGCGTTCGTGACCAGAATGGCAACCACGTCATCCAGAAGGCTATTGAACGTGTCCCATCGGAATACGTTCAGTTCATCATCAATGCCTTCCGCGGCCAGGTGAACCGACTTGCTGCTCACCCTTACGGATGCCGGGTCATCCAGAGGATGCTCGAGCACTGTGAAGAGGTTGACCGCCAATCTATCCTTAGCGAACTGCACGCCTGTACTTCCAACCTGATTCCCGACCAGTTCGGTAACTACGTGATCCAGCACGTCATTGAGAATGGTGACGAATCGGACCGCAACCGCATGATCGTCATTGTCATGTCGCAACTATTGGCTTACTCCAAGCACAAGTTTGCCAGCAATGTTGTTGAGAAGAGCATCGAGTTTGGTGACCCCAGCCAGGCTCAGCACATCATTTCCACCCTTATCTCCCCCAATGATCGTGGGGAGAGCCCTCTGCTTGGCTTGATGCGAGACCAGTATGGCAACTATGTCATCCGTATGTACCTTCCCCTGTGTTATCTTTTCTTAACCTGATACTAACTTCCTACAGAGAAGGTTCTGGGCCAGCTTAAGGGCGCCGAACGTGAGGCTCTCATCGATCAGATCAAGCCCCTCCTCAGCCAGCTCAAGAAATTCAGCTATGGCAAACAGATCGTGGCGATTGAGAAGCTCATCTTCGACCCTAACTCCCCCGCCACCGGTCCGTTGTCTCACACCACGTCGACCACTCCTCCCCACTCCCACAAGTCCTCACCTCAGCCTGCCCAGCGCTCCATCTCCAGTATGGGGTCTCCCCGTGCCTTTGTCGGCACGGCCCCGCCTACTCCTCCCCCGACGGACAATCAGACCACCGTCAATGACTCCCTTGATCCCAAGGGGCTTGCTAAGAGCACTGTGACCTCGGTGTCCAGTCCCGAGACGGGTAACACCGGTGTTCCCGTCTCGGTCGATGTCACCAGTGCTCACTAATTCGTTGCATAATTTACTTTGCTGCCCACATAATTGTTCTAATGCTGATCTGTGAACCGAGTCATTTCTGCTTTATCTAATATGGGCGTATACATACAGGGGACCTGGCGGGATATATGAGTTACCCAACTTCTTTCAAGGTTTTGTCCCTTCCCATGGCTTGACGGCGCAACAGAGCCTTTGTTATTGTTATCTTTCATGTCGATCTCGGACCTGTTCTGTCTTTCTTTCATCTCTTTCTTTTCTTGTTTTTCCTTACCTGTTTTCTTCTGTTTATTTTATTTTTTCTTGATGGCGTTGCCCCCCTTTCCCACCTTTCCCATTGTTCATCAATGGGAGTTGTGGGTCCGAGGATCGACCCCCGGGGACTTCGGCGTCTGTGTGTTTTTATGGGGGCATCGGATATTCGCTCTTCAACGATCTTCAGCATATGACATGGGAAACTCGAATCGGTTCGGAAATGGAAATACGGGAGAGAAACATTCTCTTTGCATGGCACGGTCCTTTCTTGTTTTGTTTTTTTTCTGTTCATTTCTACTTTCAAGGTCTATTATTTTGTCTCCCTGTCATCTTTATCAAAGGTGCGCAACATATCCGTTGTGGGATTTGCTATCTATGTTCATGTTCGTGGGGTGTACAGTTTGCACTTCCAATGAATAGTGTCGCTTATGCCTGCACTGATATTGTACTTGCTTCTGGCTGATGTATTCAATATAAACAATTATGACAGCCATCAATCTTCAAATCTTCGAATCCTCTTAGCCTTGTAGTGATTATAGTATAGTACAAACATCCTAGTATAGCACAAACATCCTTGAATGTCCCTGCGTACTAAACTGAATGGCGACAACATCACGTGACTGATAAGCTCTTTCAAGCTTCACTTATCTCAACCCATCTCCATCTTTTCTCCAAGTCCTCAGGTTGGCTGGAGCAAGTACAACCAATCCCATTACACACAAAACCCCATCCACATACCAAGTGCCAGTCGCATCAACCCGACCAACCCAAATCACTGAACCACCAACACCTCCAATCCGCCAAATCAATCTACAATCCAGCCCAATTGAACACTACTAAATCAACCTCAACTCAAACCCTCCCAACCCCACAATGTCCTCCAACGTTGGTTTATCCACTCCCCGCGGCAGCGGTACATCAGGCTACGTCCAACGCAACAACGCCTTCATCAAACCCCGCAGCACAGGCTCAGGTGCCCCCTACCCACCCCTCACAGGCGCAAACGGCAGCGGCCCAGACTACGGCTTCAAGCAGCGTGTACCCGATAAGCAGATCCTGGAACATGATCGGCGCCGTGCGATTGAGGTGAAGGTTATGGAGGAGCGGGAGAGACTGGAAGAGGAGAACGAGAAGATTGAGGAGGAGATTAGTGCCAATAAGAAGAAGGGTAGCGGCAAAAAGAAGGATGTTGAGGCCGAAGAGAAGGAGGAGGGGGAGGAGGATGGGGATCGGGGCGTGCGGAGGGTGCTTTCTGAAGAGGAGATTGATGAGCGGTGTGAGGTTCTTAGGAAGAGGTTGCTCAAGGAGATGGAGGATGCAGCTGGAGCTGGGGATAGACCAGGGCCTGTGCGGAGGAAGTGGGATTCTGGGTCTGGGTCTGGGTCTGGGAAGGATCGGAGGATTAAGTCTTATCAGGTTCATGAGCTGGCTGAGGCTAAGATTGAGGAGAGTGAACGGTTGCGGAGAGCGTTGGGGATTCGAGAGGATAGAGAGACTGGGGCTATTAGTAGTACTCGGGAAAGAAGGCCGAGGGATTCTCGGGATTGATTCTGGTTTTGACTCTGGGTTGATTAGCATGTATTCCAAGGGATTGAATTTGGGATTGGCGTTATTCTAGGATTTGATTACTCTACTGAAAATCGCAATGAAGAACAAGATGCACAATGCACTGGATATCATAATCTCGTCTATACAGAAGAACAATATTCTCATGGTCAACCAACAAACTTCTCAATAACCCATCCCTCTTTGGGATCTTTCCTCTGGACAACCTTCTTCGCAGGTAAAGGCCACCCGGTACCGCCTGCATCACCAACTAAGGAAGGAATAACCCAACAAGCTCTACGTTGCGGAATCCCCTCCAAGGTCTCAGTCTTTCCAATCGGCTTTCCATAATTCACAAGCGGAGTATCATGCGCCAGCGCTGCGAGCTGCAATCCACTCGGCGCAACAAGCGGGAACATTCTGATCTTAGGCGTCTGATCCGAGACCACGCTTGCAGTAGACTGCTGCAGATGCGAGTAGATGATATACTGAGGCATCTCCTTCGGGGAAAGCTTCGCCATGATGGAAGAGGGGTGCACGAAGACTGCACGCTGAGAGATATCGTCGTTGGGACCCTCTCTTGACCGGAAGAGGGTTAGGTAGGGGACGTCGATTGCGCGACGGGGCGCACGAGGGTTCTCAGGTGGTACGGGAGCGAGATCAGCGCGGATAGCGACGTGATCAATGAAACCTGCTGTGACGATTTGTTTCAGGGCCTTGATTTGCTTGGTGGATGGCTCGGGGAGGCGCGCTTCGTAAGCTTTTATGAGGCCGGGGTTATTGGAGCGAACGATATCTGTTAATTGGCGACGAAGCTGGGTTGCTTCTTTGAATGCCTTGGCGCGGAGGAACATTTGTTCGCTGAAGGCTTCACCGTCGGAAGCGTAGGCGTAGGCGCAGATGGCGGAGAGGAATTTCAGAGCGTCGGATGTGTCGTCGTGTTTGCTAAGGAGGCGTTGGACGCGGTTGTAGTTCTTGACGCGGGCTTCACGCTCTGTGTCTTCTATCCGGTCTAGGTTTGTGTAGACTCTTTTGTCGTCGTCACTGTCGCTGTCACTATCGTCCTTGGGCTTGGGCTTCGGCGCGAATGCTGTGGGGTCGACTTCGTTTTGGGAGATGAAGAGGTCTCCGACTGCGAGGGCTGAGACTAGAGCGATGACATATGGCATGCAGCCATGCTGATGGCCGATGTAGAGCATTTTGCCGAATCGGGGGGAGAGGGGGTATGTTGCGAGACGGCGACCAATCTGTGTGACTTGGCCATCTGTGGAGAGGGCACCTAGGTTCTTGAGAAGCTTCTCTGCCTTGACGAGACCTTGACGGCTTGGGGGTGTGGGGAATGGGAAGTTAATCACATTGTGTAGCCCCATGCTCTTCATCTGCAGGACGACGCCTTCGATAGGAGTGCGCAGAATTTCGGGGGCAGTGTATTCGGCGAAGTCGGCTTCATAGACTGCCGAAGAGTACAGACGGTAGCAATGACCAGGGCCTGTTCGACCGGCACGACCGGCTCTTTGGCTTGCGCTGGCTTTGCTGATCCAACCGATCTGGAAACTCTGAACTCCGGTGAAAAGATCGAATTGCTTGTCCTTGGCTCGACCGCAGTCAAAGACATACTTGATACCGGGGATTGTAAGAGATGTCTCAGCAACGTTCGTGGCGAGAATGATAAGACGGGAGTTTTCTGGTGGTGCCTCAAAGACCTTCATCTGTTCTTTTGTCGGAAGCTGCGAGTATAGAGGCAATACGTGGACCTTTGTGGATGAGTCCATGGCATCCTCTCCAAGGTCAAAGCCCTCGTCGTCCTCTGGATCGTCCAGTCCGGTGATCTCAAGATCGCTGTCGTCGTCATAACCATTATCGTGCATTTCGGTACCACCAAGCTCCAGATCCTCTGCTTCCAGGGGCGCATCGTTCGCCGTGAACTGCACCTTGGCTTGCGTGGCATCCGATCGCTCGGTAGGCTTGAAGGCCTGCTTCAGTCGCTTGGAGAGCTGTCGGATTTCGTTCTGTCCAGTTAAGAAGACGAGCATTCCACCGGGTGGAAGTTTGCGATGACCTCGCGAGACCTTGCGGAAAGCCTCCTCGACATAATCACGGTGTGTTCGACGAGCGAAGTGGACAGTCACAGGGTATTGCCGACCTTCTGCCTGAACCAGAGGTGGTGGTCCTTGGCGAAAGAGGCTTGGATTTTCAGTAAAGTCCGAAATTCGAAGAGTGGCAGACATGATGACGACTTTCAACGGCTTGACAGACGGATCTTCCTCGCACAATGACTTGCGCAGGTCCACAATACGGCTGACCATTCCAATCAGAATGTCAGTGTTCACACTCCGCTCATGGGCCTCATCAATGATGATCACGGAATATTTTCGCAGAGCAAAATCATCCGCAATCTCACGGAGAAGAATACCATCAGTCATGAACTTGATGGCTGTGTTCTTAGAAACGGTAGTTTCAAATCGAATCTGATACGAAACCTTATCCGAGTACTGTCCAAGTTCTTGGGCAACACGGTTCGCCATACTGACAGCGGCGACACGGCGAGGCTGAGTAACACCGATCAGGCCTGGGTTTTCGCTGTCTGGGTTACCAAAGCCGGATTCAAAGAGGAATTGGGGAAGCTGGGTTGTCTTTCCGGAACCAGTAGCACCCCAGATAACAATAGTCGAGTTGTTGTGGATTGCCTCCATGATCTTCTGCTCTTCACCGACCACTGGCAAACCAAGACGCGCATTTTGAATCTCCTCTGACCGTTCCACGGCGACGCTGAAAGTCTTTCGGTTGACATTTGAATAGTTCGGTTGAAGCTCCGCAGGAAGAGGGTCCTCTATATCAACGGTGTTCCGTGGCTCTTTCGTGGGGGGAGCAAATGCTTGCTGCGATTGATCTTCTGTCACTGGAGCATTAGGCTTGAACCCGACGGCCTCATTAATTTGTTGTACAGCCCATGACTTGAAAGCGGATTCCCTGGGTCTGATTTTTCTCTCGCTTGTCTCATCTTCTTCATCTTCGTCTTCATCCTCATCCTCACCCTCGTCCATATCGTCAGAGTCATCCTCATCGTCTTCGGAGTTGTCCTTGGAATCGCCTTGAGAATCGTCCGATTTATCGTCCTCATCAACCTCAGAGTCCTCATCTCCGGAGCCAAAACCTTCCCACGCAACCTCCTTCACGGGTGGAGCTGGGGCTGGTTTAGCGGTGCGCTTGCGCTTTTTGATGATCGGGAACCCATCAGGTCCAAGTTCGAGAGGGCGCTTCAATCCACTTCCGACGGCGGCTAGTGGTTGAGGCTTTGGCGCAACCACGGGGTCTGTCGCAGGATCGGAGGCTTTGAGATCGGCATCGGAATCGTCGGTATCATATCCGGAGAAATCTTGTGCTGGTCTTTTGCCAATGGCGAATACCGGGGCATTGTCTCTTTGCAGTCGCTTCCGCTGTCCCAATTCCCTTGAACTCTGAAGGCCAGAATTATCTGCTGTCGCGTTCGCCTTGGCGAGTTTCTTGATGAGTTCAAGGTTCTCTTCTTTCTTCAATTTGGTTTCCTGTTGTATTGTCAGCGATGCGATCGACAGATTCGAGGAATTTCACGTACAATGTACTTGTCCAAGCGCTTTTGCTTCTTTGAAGAGACATTGGGATTTTGATCCCGTAATTCTGCACGTAATTTCTGCCTCTTTGCCTCCTTCTCATCTTTGGAGACGGGTGCTAGCTCCGCGACATTGGTGTCCACCGATTGATCAGGCTCTTGCTGCCGGTGCTTCTGTTTTCGCAGACGTGGAACAAACTTAGGCGGCATCTTCGCCGACCTGTCTCTAACCGAGAGACAATAATCAAGCGATGTGTATGTTCGAGCTGTTGCTCGTTCTCATGAAAAAAAATTGAGGACGGTCAAAGGGCGGTGTGATAATGCCCGACTTTGGTGTGGGGCGTGGCAGACCGCCTCGGAGGAGCAAAGCATCAACACGCAACGACTTGTGCATTGAATACCAAAGCTATTTCACCATGGCGTCGATAGAGAACTTGCTACAAGATTCATTGAACCTCCCATTCCCAGCCCCCACAAAACAGGTGGCGGGATTGGTTGATGGAGTCAAAACTGATGTAATGGTCATGAACTTCAGCGATAAGATCATGGTTACCATCTCGCAAGAGGGTCGACTCGCCCATTGGGTTAGTCTATACGTACCGGCGTTGTTCGAACATACTGACAATATTAAAGCTGCACGTACCACTCGGGAACCCAAATCCCGGGACTGATGGCATGCATACATTTTCTGAGGCAGACGACAGTCTGTTACCCCTCAGTGCATTGACAGCAACATCTTTACTCGGAGGTCATGCGCCAGGCCAAGATACTATCGGCCAACTTTTAGCTCGCCAAATTGGCACTGCCATTGCAACCAAATCACCATCCGAGCAGCGATTGCTCGTCGTTGGGCTAGGACTGGGCAAGACGGGATCTGATCGTGATTCCTTCTTCGCAATCATCGACCTTGTCCTGCAATGTATCTGAGAATTTCCGAGTCTGCTATGCATATTTAATGACCGTCAAGAGCCAAAACACAACTTGTAATTCTTCCATACATACAAGCTCTCTGAGATACGCTGTGCTTGCTCCTTTACCACAAATCCTCCACAGATTCAAGATGATCCCCATGCACAATTGGAAAGACGTGACCCTTCCCATGACCTGTCAGACCAGACAACTTGGAGGGGGGTTTTTTGTTTCATTTTGACAGAATCTCCTTGTAGGAGCTGCGGGGCGAAGCCGGGAAGTGGAGTGACGACCTCATGGGCCCAGCCTAGAATCCATCGAAATTGGCAGAAAGGACCCGTCAATTAGGTGACTATCATCCGACTGGGATGAAAATGGATCCTCCAGGGCTATCAAAGACTTGAGGTAGATATAGCCATTGGAAGTTCGGCCGAACATAGCCGTGGGGAAATTCCATGTAGAGTCTGTGTGTGCATTAGGTTCACAGGAATATCCAAACAATCTACATATGTATACCCTGAAAACCTCACCTGTACAAATGAATGAGGTCCGTATTTATAAGATGATAACGCAAGACTTTCACTGGTTGGAGTATCCCAGTGACTTGGCATTTTGATTTTCGATAGAGTTCTGCTCGCATTTACAGTTGAACACTATGTCGAGACAATCTGGCGTTCCCTTGAAGCCGGTAGTATGAGTCCACGCGGGGGTAGCTCGATCGCCCCGCAAGAAGGTGTTGTTGACGAATACCTGAATGTCCACGGAGACAAAGGACTCAGGGTCTCTGACTTGTCTATCTATTCAGACAACGTAGGCTGCAATACACTCAATGCAAGCGTCGCTCTTTTTCTGTTTATATTCGTATCTGACATTGGCAACAGACTGCTCTTCTAATTGGTGAAAAATATGCCATGTCAGTGGCAGAGGACTTGGGTTACTCTGGCGATGCGTTGAATATGGAATTGCTCAACTATCATGCACCAGGTTAACTTGCAAGCCTTTCGAGACTCTAGAGGTGTCATGTCCGAAATTGTGTGATCTTTATTTGGATTTTCTTGTCTTATAGGGGATAACACATAGGAGCACCACAGAATGTATAATTAGAATTTAGCATTGAACCCGGTGTCCGATCAGATGGTGTATTTATTCATAAGGTGAGATTATCATTCTGCTTTTAGTCCCTGAGGCTCATGGAATTGTGCACTCAGTCGATCATTTCCTCAAATGATAATTTGCCATCAGCTAGACCATAAACAGTAAGTTCAAGGCATAAACCTGTCCGACATAATCCCCAAACTTTTCCCATTCGGAATAGACGGGATCTTTTTGGCATTTTGACGCTATGAAGTCATTCTTGAGGCTGAGGTTCCCGTTCACATAGCCTCGTTCACCCGGGCACCTGGGCAAAGTTCCACTAGTTCACTAGTTAGTGGAGAATGATATCATCGAAACAAAGACATTCAGCCCCATCCACCTGGAAAACTTATTTATGTCAGTCTATTTAAACACTCGCTTATCTCCATGCACAGAAGAAAGTCAATCCACAATCCCCAGATTCTCCCACCTGCAATTTATCCCAAGCATCCAACCACCAACCATGAATTCAGGCTCTGCAAGAGATTATTACTATCCCAACGAGAGAGATTCCCACCGCGACTCTAGAGATTCGCTTTCACGCAACAGCCATCATAGGGAACACAATCATATCTCTGCCTCCGGCCCCGGCTCCAGCCATAGCCACAGCCATAGCCATGGACACCGACACGGGCACAGCAAGCACAAAACACAGTACAAGAAGAGCACAGACAATCGCGACCCTCACCATAATCGCCACCTCATCGAAGGGGCAGTGGCAGCTGTTGGAGTTGCTGAGGCCATACACCATCACAGGAAGCAAGAGGGAGAGGATGTAAGTAGTGGGTTTGGGCATATCCTTCGCACGGTGGGTGCTGGTGCACTTGGGGCTGTGGCAGCCAATGAGATTGAGCGAGCGCACAATTCCCATCGGAGCAAGAGTCCACGTTCATCTAGTGGACACTATAAGAGATAAATATTTTCAGGCTAGCTTGTTTTCTTTTTATAGTATGGGTATGGAACACACCTGTGTCGGATTGCTATCAAGATCCTTCCGGCCTCTATATATGGGTTTCTGCAGATGTATGTAATTTGAATAACGAAGAAATGATGCAATGAGTACTTGTCTGGATTATGAACGAAAGTAGTCCTGAAAACACGGTATAATATGATAGCATCACCACAGAAATTAACCCCGAAAAGTATGCAGACAGGCGAGCGATTGAGTTACCTAAATCAATCCGACGAGACCAAAGTAATCTTTATACATCTGTCACATAGGTAACACTTGAAATTCAAGCGAAACTTTACTCTTTCCATTTCACCATTTGTCCTTGTTACGCGTGAAGAATTCTGTCAACCCAACAGGCTTCTCTGACAGCAGATTCAAACTTGAAGTCAATACAGCACCGGCATAGTACCCAGGATCCTCGAGCAGCATCAGGTTTTCGTAAATCTCCTCGGCCATCTCCGGTGAGAAACCAGATAAGAACGACCTGAATACCTCACCGGGGACGGTGACTACCTTCAATTTCTTTCCAGTGGCAGCCTCAAAATGCGAAGGGATATCGTCAAATTTGTAGTAGTTACTCGAGGCATAAACTGTGTTTGCACTCGACTCGGGTTTGTTCAATATGGCCGCACGAACAAAATTACCTAAAAAGATCAGTACAAAAAATGTCAATGTTTAAAGAAGTCTTACCCATATCAGCAGCAATGTCAATAAATGGTGCAAGTGATTGAGTTGTTGTTGGTGTGGCCAGAATGTAAGACCCATTCTCCTGCTTGTGAATCAAATTGAACAATTCAGTGGTAAAGATACCGGGCATGACAAAGGAAGCCGGCAAGCCGGTCTGTCGGATATAACGTTCAATCTCTGCTTTCCCATCAAAATGCGTGATGTGGACAAGGCGACCATTTGATTCCTTGGTTGCATCGATCAAAGACGAGAAGATCAAGTGCTTGATTCCTTCCGCTTTGCATGCATCTGCAACAGTCTTGCCCTGAGCAATCTCCGGCTTGGAAGACATGTGTTCCCAGAAATTGGTGACGAGGAAAACAGTATCGGAGCCCTGCAAAGCTCTCTTCATGTCTTCGGGAGATGACATGTTGCCCTGAATCAGTTCGAGTCAGGTTCCTCGGGCCATAGTAAAATTGGAATGAAATAAGTCTCACCTGGACAATCTCGACTCCCTGAGCTGCCAGTGCCTTAGATGACTTCTTATTAATATCGCGGGTGACACCTCTGACGCGAAATCTTTTGGACAAGTCTGGGTCCTCCAAAATCGTGCGGATGACTGAGCCACCTTGGTTGCCAGTCGCACCGAAAACCGTAATCAAATTGGACATGATTGAATTGCAGGTGAATGATTAGGAGTAAAAGTAATAAAATTCCAATGGCGAATTATGTATAACATCTTCGTGTGTTTTTATCTCTCAAGTGCTTCATATCCCTCCGGTCTTTCGGCCAATGACTTCAACCGCCGAGTGTATATCAGGCTATGGTGATTGTATGTGCTTCCGGTCTATGCCTATGGATCAAGTGCAAATCCGTATATCCAAATCAATCCTCATCCAATCGTCTTCATCTTCTAGAAGGAGGCGGTCTAGATTGCGCCGCCCGACTCGGGGGACTAAATTGCCGAACGGCCGCGTTGTTCGTGGATCTGATTGGGCTTCGCCAACCCAAAAGAAGCTTCAAGTGACTCACCGACTCAAGCCTCCTGTTCGCACCCTAAAGACTTGTCTAAAATACCGAAAGAAAAGTAGCAAGCCACCAGAATCAACTAAGCGATATAGACGCTTTACCTTGGTTCAGGTGCGGCGAGCCCGAGATTACATAAGCCACAACATACTTTCCAAGAATGCGCAGTGGATGCGTATTCAGGCCAACATTGAATATTGAAATTTGCAAGGTTTCCAATAAGGCAGGAAATGCTAAACACCAGGTTATCCATAAACATGATTCAATTATCTCCAAAGCTGATCTCGGATGTATGAATTTCAGCCATCGATCAGGGCCCGGGGGGCGTTTCTGTGCATGGCTTCATTGATTGCATACAGGGTTTAGCTTTCTGCCATGGTAACCCTGGAATGTTTACCATCGTCACCTGTGGACCTGATCAGCTGAGGTTCACGCTGGCATAAGCCGCCATCTAAGCCACCATTGCTGGGAATTTGAGATATATTTACCAGTGGACACTGCGTGGCTGGCTGGAAGTAATGGGATCTGAAATATAAATTCAGCCTGAGATCCGAAATCTCGAGTTTCAGGGCTTCTCGAAGGAGTGAATTGGACTCATAATTTCACAATGTTGTTGCCATCTTTTCTTCTCGTCGTCTATGCCCTTTTCATCGGCAATGCTGAATCTGCCCAGAATCCTGCAACAAAGTCTCCCAAGTCAACATTCACCTACAACCAGCTCTGGAATCTTGAGAAGAACTTCTGGGATGCGTTCCTCTATCCAGCAAACCAACTCCAGATCCAGGGAAATGAATCCACCATCTTCGCGTCTGATGTGAGCTCCAGACCACACGAATCTTCATTTTTCAACTTGCACAAATCTGACCCCATTCTCGAACAGGTCCAAGGCCGCGTCGACATCACCCGCACCTTCGATGGCGACGAGCTGAACCGCGAATACATCTTTGGCCTCTTCGCAAACGCATCAGCCATCAGCCTCGTTGGCATCCCAGTCTCCTACAACATCACCCAATTCGCCGCAAACGACAACATCGTCTCCGCGACAACAGTCGTAACATTCAACGCCACCACATTCGGCGTCGTGATCCCTGTAACAATTGATACCTGGATCAAGTTCAACAAAGACGGCAAGATCGTGCAATACGATGCCGTCTTCCGTTGGTTCGATTACCTAGTGGATTACTTGCTCGATGCAACAGCGACCAAGTACAACACGACTTACGATGGCGCCGTTTCAATCGTTACCAAGGTTTTGGCTGCTGATATTTGCAAGACCCATGATACTTATTGCACGGGTGATAATCAGCAGTACCCGGTGAATGGCACGTCCTGCTATGATTTTCTGACTGAGAAGATTCGATTCGGGAAGAGTTATGAACTTGGTCGCAATACGCTGCTTTGTCGTGAGGTTCATGACCATATGGTGCAGTATCGGCCTGATGTTCATTGTATGCATATCGGGCCTACTGGAGGTGGTTACTGTGTTGATGATAGGAGCTATCAGCAGACTGTGCTTCAGCGATATTTCAACGAGTCGTGGATCCCTTTCGGATATGGTCGGAGTCAAGATATATGGCTGAACTAAGTATTGGTATATTAGACACCTTTGGCGGCGCAAAATGCGCGGGATTAGTAACAACTAATGTTTCTACTTTATCTCCTATACAATTTAACTATCCAGTCTGTTACCATATCCTACCTTCTATCTCACCGTAGTAGTTAAATGATCAGAAGGCTTTCCAAAAAGATAAATGGGCTGGAAAAGAAGAAAAAGAAAAATCCGCGATGTGCCCCATCATTAAAGAGCTTGACTGACTCTGGTCTCATTGGATTGGTTCGAAAATCCTTTTTGATATAATTGATTTTCTCCTCCTACAACCATTTCGAACTCGATCTTCACAAACTTTTCGACCTTTTCTCATACAAAACACCTCCCCAGCCTCCTGATAAAAGTCAATTCACTATTTGATCTCTCTGATCTCTCACTCACAAACTCACCTGCAATCACTTCCCCACGTGATAGACTTCTCTACCCTGAATGTGGGGTCAAAGTGAGGTCTTTCTACAGTCCCCATCTCTCTCTCTCGGACCTGCAAGCAACTGAAGACCTACCTAGGCATGATCGGCAATCTACGCCAATTTATCCAAAACGGCGCCTTCAGAAGAGAGAAGAACGAAGTTCTGATAGTGTACGTTGCACATAATTCAAAGTATGAGTTCAAAATGACTAACCTCTTCAAAGGGAGGCACCGATTCTTGGGCCAGAAAATCACTCATTCGTGTGAGTGAGTCGCGAAGAAGAGGCAATTATCAACACCGAAGGGAAGAGCAAGGGAAAGAAAGGCTCGGTCAAAGCAAGTGGGGCATTCACAATGCAGTTCCATGACTTCGCGCTTCGAAACCCCGCCTAGCTTACTCATGAGAAAGATGTCATTTCAACAGAATCTTCTCTTGCTCGCTTGGCTAAAGTGACGTGGGAATTGCCGTCTGAAGTGGACACATAATTGATCAAGGCTGGTGGTGTGTTGTTTGTGGAATGAAGGTAATCGACGAAGTCCTGAAGGTGGTCCAAACTGACCATGACCAGATATCGGCCGCGCCTTCCGCTATCATCAAATTCATAAGCCGCGCTGATGCAACAAAAGCAAAAGAAAACGAAACACCAAAAATGAAACGACGGAAAAAAGAAAGAAAGAGGATAAAATGAAAATAAGGACAAGAAGGACTTGTCGAGGATTCACTTTAAAGGGGTGGCTGCTTCTTTTCTGATTGTAAGGAAAATCCCCAAATCTGATATTGATATTGTTCTTTTTTGTCATTGGCAAAATTCGTGAAATTTTATCGTTGGGGTGCCAGAATCTATGAGCTCTGGTGGATTGACATACTTTACTACTTGATTATTGTTCACATTTACCAAAATGCAGCACTATCAGGGGAGATTGTTTCAGACAAAGTATATGATAATGTTAATTAATGCAATTGATGAATGTTTACAACCTTGGACGACTACGTACTTGTAGATCTCTCATCTTGCTTATCAATCGCAAGGTCAATGCTGTACATACAGATATGCCTCTGTCAGTGTCAACAACAGAATTACCGCTTTGCCGAGCAACGTGAGATCTTATCATCCCTTGCCGCAAAACACTCATTTGAAACAATGCAAATGCATCCGCCCACATCATCTCAGCTTGGGGATTCCACCCTGCCACCTCACTATACCAAGCGAGACACTCAGAAACCGACGGTAGACCCATAATAGTAGCTGCGGACTGCGATGGAAGTGACAGCGTATCGGCTGCGCTTGAAGACATCTCAAGGATTTTCCGGGCTTGGAAAAGATTCGCAAGATCCACGAGTGGATGGCCGATTGTGGACATTTCCCAGCTGGACGAAGATCAGTATATGAATACGAAAATAGAGAACGTTATTCCATACCTTAGTATACCAATAATCCTGGGCTCTGTCTTGTGGAAGATAATGTTATTGATTTTGAAGTCGCCGTGAATCAGACAAGAGCGGTCCCTTGGTTGGTGATCTTCATCCGAAAGAAATCGAACTATTTCCTCCACTCCAGGAACCTTTCCGATCGGTTTCTTACCTTGAAAATCGATGAAAGCACGTTGAATTTCCTCACAATGCTTCAAATTCCAAACTTGCTGTCTGAAGAAGCCACCTCGGCGACCAAATCCGTTCAAACCCACTGTATTGATGTCAAGAATGTGGAGCTGGGCTAGCGTGGTTATGATTTCGCGCCACCTGTAACGAGTATCGGATTTTAGCCTTCTCTGCAATTGAATGAAAAACAGAGATGTTTGATGTCGTTATAGACTCACATCTGATGCCTTTCTCTCGGTGAGACACCTGGCAGACTCTGATCTTCAAAGGTTCGGCCTTGCAAAGATTCCATAATAAAGAATGGCGCTCCAATGATACTAGGATCTTCACAAAAGCAGTAGGGCTTTGGTACGGGAATCTTTGAACATTTCAAGGCACAGAGAACACGATACTCTCGCTCGATTGTGTCGGCGTTTTTTAACTCAGCAGGAGCTGGTAGGCGTTTGCGCATGACTAATTTCTTTCCAACACCATCCTTTATGAAGTATGTCGGACTGGACTGGTCGTATCCCAACTAATTTCAAATATCACATAATTAGTGGGGATATCAAAGGAACATAGTATCAGTATTATACCTGAGTGACCCAAATAGGTCGTTCGATACGAGGTAGATTTTTACAAATGTAACTCTCCAACGACACAACGTCGATAGGCTGAAAGACCTGGCCTGGCATGGAGGATAGATTTTAAAGATTTCAATCGGCTAGACTAATGAAGAGAAAAGGAGATGGCGAGAAGATCGACCAGGAGATAAATGTAGCAGTTGCATGATTCAGCTACCCCGCCTTTACCCCGGATTTTCCCGCCAATCAGAGCGGTATCGCCACTCGTACGTGACTAGCGAATTTCATATTAGAGATTTGAAGTGAGAGAATGAATTCGAAACTTTACTTCCAACAGTTCTTGCAACATTCATTCCTAGTAGGCTGCACACGATGTATGACAGACCGAATGTACATATTAAGAAGAACATTTGCAGATCCACAAATCGAGATATCAGTGTCTTAGCATTGAATACTAGGCTTAAAATTGCAAAAAAAAAAATATTTGATCCATATGAACGAATTCAACAGAGAAGCTCCATAGAAGTGTTGTCCCATCCGCTGAAGAGTTAAAGGACCTGGCGCGGGTTCCAGGAGATGAATGAATCCTCCAACAAGACTTTCAACTCTTTTTCAAAGTTTCTTTAAAATCACTTCCATATTCAGCATAGAGAATTGAAAGGAGCGCGTAAAATTTCATGGCGTATATGGCATTTCGACTGTAAAAATCCATCGTAGGCTCGGAGACAGGAACTCGCTTGCGGTACTCGCGCATGCATGGTTTTCCTAGCTTATATCTCGGATTTCGACATATGCCCAAGTCAGCTGGAAGGGGTTGGAGACGCATAGTTAGTAAATAAATGGAAGAAAGAATTGAACGTTGGTCCTTACCCTCATTGTGACCCCAGTAGGCGCAGGCATCGAACATGCAGAGCTCACCTGACGAGGCTCTGGGCTTAATGTTCCCCCCGGCCACAAATCCGAATGGATCAAACAGTGCTCGATTGATCGCCCTTCGCTCTCCAGTGGTCCGAGGTATCTCGGAATTGCCTTGTCGAGAAATGCTGATTTGAGCGCTTCCAACTCCTCGTCTGGTGGGTAAACCCGCTTTTCCATTACAAACATGCTCCTCATCTGCTGCGCCCAGAAAAACACTCCAACTGGAGTTTCAAGTGTTGTTGATAGGTATATTAGCCAGATGTGTGGGCACATGCAAACCAAATTGCTTGGTTGGCGATTTTCCCATACTATTAAGATGGAGCTTTGACACGGCTGTTGCCCAGTCTTGCGGGCTAGGGATCTCATCACTCATCTCCACAAATTCGCAGAGGTCAAAATGAGTGTTTGGACGACCGGCATACTTTCCGTATGCGATGGGCTTTGGCACGCGACTTGGAAGGAAGGTGTAGAGAGCATGCTCTGCTTCAGATGTACCCTTCACCACGCCTTCTCCAGCCTCCCCCGTTGCTCCCTATTGGAACTTAGAGATGTGTAGATTAAGAGAGCAGTTATGGTATGTCATCGATCCGGCCGTCCTGTAATTGGATTGCAATCTTGACCGTAGCCACCTATTGACTTTTTCCGGCAGGCGTCACCGAAAGAACCCAGCAATCTCGTGAAAGCCCGGGTAAGATTCGTAGCCATATTTAAAAATTGGTGCTTATCATTATCAATTTTAGATTTGAGTCAGTGAAGGAAGCATATTGGCCAACAGAGCCTTGTCCAGCTGCACGTTTTGCCTATTAGGTCGACCTGCTCAGCTTAGCTTTTCAGCATGATGGGAAATTTATTGAGATAAAAGTCTAAAAGTATGGAGAGGGATGTATATATTTTTCAGCTTCTCGAGAGCTGAGCTGGCCGTTTTGATATCTGACAGTGACTGCTGCTATCAACGCTTGGACCTCTACCGGGAGGGGGAAATAAAGGCCCGTGCACGACTCACGGCCCGACCCCCAGGCCGAGCAAATAGCAAATAGATTCGGAGATAATAAGAAGTACTAGTAAGCACTAAATAATTCAGGTTGACCGCCCTAGTTGATTCGGTATTGTATTGTACTCCAATGGAAGCATCTAATCATTTGGATATGTAGCTCTGCTGTTTTGTGTCCCCAGACTGGCCAGTTCAAAATGTGTGTGCATACTGAAGTAACTAGTAATGGCAACAGAAATGCCGGAGTACCTGGCGGTAGTAAAGAGTATGGAGTATGGTTTTTTAAATTGTAGTATTTTTGATTTTCTGCCTTTCAACATGTACTTTAGGGATCATGTCCACATGGCGGCTGGGGTCAACCCCCCTCAGCCTCCGAGAAAACGCAACGAGTGAGCCTTAACTCATCAAAAATTTCTGACCATACTGAGGATGGCTGAAAACCTGTCAGTTAGTGGACAACGCGTACCTTGTCTCACTTCTCAAGAAATTCGCTAATCTGGTGTCTGTATCGTTGTCAGCAGGGAGGCCCCATCACTGGGAATAAGACGTCGATCGAGAACGATCCGTCGTGGGTGCGTGCACCATACCTAAGCTTCATACAGAACAGACTCCGCAGGTTGAGCAGCACGTCATCTCGATCTACGTCCCGAATCAGTAGAGTCGTCAAATCCGATCTTGATACTAAAGGACCTCTGGGTCTGAATCTTCTCCATGAGCCTTCTGAGCCTCGTATCGATTTTATCTTCGTGGGTTCATATGTCTGGCCCAGATATCATTGACAGGGCTGTATACTGAGCAGGAAAATGTTAACACAGATACACGGCTTAGGTGGAGGCTCGAGGAAGACATGGAGTTTTTCGCCTGAACCCGAAATGTTTTGGCCCAAGGAGTGGTTGCCTAACGAGGTTGGATTCAAACACGTGCGCATTCATAGTTATGGGTATAACTCAGACTGGACGACGAAGAAGGAAAGCCCCTTGACGGTCCACGATTTCGGACAGGCCTTGCTTGCCGACCTTCACAACTCCCCATACCTCCGCAGGAATGGAGATGTGGGCAACCGATAGCACCTCACTTTTATGCTCCGAGGTGAATGCTGACTTGAAGCCAGAATCCGATCGTGCTCGTCGCCCATAGCATGGGTGGTTTGGTTGCCAAGAAGGCAGGTCGAGCATTTCCATAACAGACATTTCATTTGCACCAGACCCTGATAATCTTTAGGCATACCTTCTGTCCACCCGAGATCCAACCTACCGGAATATTGCAAGGCGAATTCACACCATGTACTTTCTAGCTACGCCACATCGTGGGGCCGATTCAGCCCAACTTGCTAAGCTTGTGCGTCGGTTCGCGGGTTATGGGCCAAAGGCTTACCTTGATGACCTCATACCGGGCCACGGAACTCTTGATGTAAGCAGATTATCCGCCGCTAGATTGACATTAGGAAATGCCTCTAATACAATCAGCAAATCAATGACGAATTTCGACATGTTGGCGGGGATATCCACCTTTGGTCCTTCACTGAGGGTTCACCGATACGAATGGGTCTGACCTCCTCGTTGGTTGTAGAAAAGGAGTCGGCAGTTCTAGGTTGGTCATCCGGTGTGTTCATAACGTTGATCACTATCCAACGAGTGAGATTGTCTTCATAGGGCTGCCCAAGGAGCACGTCCAGTATATCGACGCCGACTATCGCCAGATCTGCAAATTTGACTCTCCAATGAATGCAAATTATGTCATCTTACAAAGGGCTTTCCAAACAACCATAGAAGAAATCGGAGCTGACGGTGTGTACATGAGATTTCCAAGATAGTCAAATAATTACGCTAATATTCTTAGTTTCCTTTCAGGGGCAGCACGAGTACAGGTCGCAGATGAAGAAAGTTGGTTTACTCTTGCGAATTGGGCAGAGACCGGACGCAATCCTGCTATCTACGAACGAGAAACAACACTCGGGAACCTGCCAATGGCTTACTGAATGCCAAGCATTTCAAGAGTGGGTAGATGATCCCATGGACTACGCAGAAGACATAAATTCATTTCAAGTTCATGCGGGGGATCAAGCACCGAGAGTATTATGGCTCAAGGGCCGACCTGGAACCGGCAAAACAGTGGCGGCCGGACATGTTATCCGCTACTTACAATTCTGCAACCTTGACTGCAGCTTCTATTTTTTCCAGAACGGGAACAAAGCTGATGCAACAGTTGCTGCATTTCTGAGATCGGTAGCATACCAAATGGCCGAATCGAGCTTCAAAGTTCGCCGCGTTATAGCATCAATGGCTGATGAAGACATCAAATTACCCATGACGACCACCACATGCTTTGGAGAAGTCTTTTTGTCGACCGAATCTTCGAGGTAGAGCTTACCAAGCCTCAGTACTGGGTAATAGATGCAGTTGATGAGTGTTCGAGACGCGGGGTGCCTGCTTTGATTTCGATGCTATCGAGCTCAGATTGGAAGAATCCTGCCCGAATACTCGTTACAAGTCTCCCTGGTGGACAGTTAGAGCGACTTTTTAACTTGGAGCGGATAGAGCTCTCTGAGATCGCCACGGGCCAGGAGGGATCTCTCAATGATATTGAGCTTTTAGCAAAGGCCAGATGCCCCAGAGGAGGCGATGTTGGACCCTACCAAGACCTGGTTAGCGATGTCATTGCAAAGTCAAATGGGATTTTTCTCTGGGCTTCCCTGACAGTGGCTAAGTTGGAGGATGTATACAGTGTCGAGGATAAACAAGATGTTCTTCGTCAAATCCCAGTCGAGATGGATCTTTTCTACACCCGAATTATCGCTTCAATTGCCGATTCACCTAGCTTCGAGCTTGCCAAATGCATTTTGAAGTGGACTATCTGTTCACCAAAGCCGCTTCATATTGAAGAGCTCGCTGAGGCTGTCAGGTTAGATATCGGCCATACCATAACAGCATCAGCAAGACAGCTTGAAACATTGACAGGACATCTCATATTCGTGGATAATAATTGCCGAATTCATGTTACACACCAGACGGCATCAGCCTTTCTTACCAAGGAAAGGGCTCTATTCTGGATCGATCGCCCAATGACTCACTCTCAAATTGCTGAAATTTGCCTCACCATTTTATCATCCGTGGAGTTTAGTCCACCCAGAGCGCGTCGAGCAGGCATGAAAAGCGGAGGAACCGTTCTCTCGCCACTTTCAGACTATGCTCTTCACAACTTTTCCTATCACTTGGTGCACGGCTCTTCGGCTGCAATAAATCCTCTCAAATTGCTGCACAAGTTTCTCCGATCAAATGTTCTGGTTTGGATTGAGAAAATAGCGAGGACGGGCAATATTTGGAATCTTCAGCTCACTGCGCAAAGGCTGAAGGCGTACCTCAGTCGACGTGCAAAAAATGAGCCACCCGTCAGCACAGAAATGCAGACCATTGCCGCGTGGGCTACCGATCTGTACTATATAGCCGCGGCCTTCCATTCCAACTTGCTCACTTCACCGTCTTCGATATACTTTATCATCCCCTATCTGTGTCCCCCAAAGTCGATTATCGCTCAGCTCTTTGGCAGGCCAAGCAAACTCTTGAGAGTCACGGCGCAATTAGAGGAAAGCTGGAACGATAGATTAGCGTGTTATCTATTTACAGAAGTGGCAACTGCAGTCGCAAGCTCCACGCGCCTCATGGCAGCCGATCTCGCTAACGGCGATATTAGAATCTACCACATCACTGGATCTGGGACCTTTGACCCCGCTGGAAATTTAGCGCACGGAAAAAGACTGCGACACCTGGCGTTTAATCAATCATCCTCGCTTCTAGCCTCTTGTAGCGTTAGGAAGCTGGTTCTGTGGGACGTTGAAGCATCTCATGGGCCGCCAATCTCGCGTCTATGGTCTCTGGATATCGATTTCACACCCTCCTGCATGGCCTTTCATCCTGACGGGAGGTCCCTCGTTCTCGCGAACCATGATAACAGCTCAATAATATCATTTAAACTACAAGACGGTCAGAAAATACAATCGATGTTGCTTCATGCATCATCCGGTTCAGACTCAGGTGATAGTGATCGGCAGGTCTCTTCTTGGACCCCCTCTGAAAAGATTAGGTTTGATCCCAGCCACAGTCTTGCCGCACTGGCGTATCGAAATGCGTCCATTGTGGTCTGGGACCTAAACTCTGTTGAGAAAATCGGCAAATTTGAAAAGGAAGGCTTTGAAGATTTATATTCAACTCCACCAGCCCTTGATATGATTTTTAACCCAGTTGCCGAACTCGAGCTCCTAGCCATCACGTACAAAAATGGCGATATAGTGATATGTAATCCTTGGACATTGGAGCAAAAAAATCATCATCACCTGCAAGTGCTGATAGATGCTATGGCTGCCACTACAGATGGTCGAGTCCTGGCTGGGGCGGCGGATAATGGTGAAATTTACCTCTTCATGTTTGAGACGCTGCAGCCATTATATCGGATTGGCAAACCAGACGACCAATTTATAATACACGAGATTTCGTTCTCGGCTGACAACCTTCGATTACTGGATATCCGAGGACAGTGTTGCAATGTATGGGAACCATTCGTGCTCGTTCCGAAGGATGGGTTGGATGACAGTTCCTCTGAGCCTCATAGCAAAGCGATCACGGTTTCAGAGCCTGATTCCCCTCAGATGTTTGCCTTTGATTGGGGAAGAACTATAACTGCCATTGAGTCATCAACCCATGCCGGTCTTCTGTTTGTGGGGCGACAGGACGGCATGATGGAGATATGCGAGTTGAGCTCGGGCGACTTGATCAGTAAACTTCAGCTTCATGACACATTTGCTCCAATAGAGCTGATAGAGTGGAATGACGAGAGAAGCTGTATGCTAAGTGTGGATATTACTGGCCGATGCATTCTCACCCAGTTCTCTTCTATTGGAAAGGGTGCCAAATTGGTGAGCAGATGCTTGTTAGACAACCAAGAACAGGGCTCGGTCCGACAGGCATTGATGAATCCTAAAGCCAAATCAATTCTCATTTGCAAAGAGTCGGTGGTCAAACTCATAGGACCCGATGGAACCACCCGGGCGGAGTTAAAGAGTCTTCCCGGGAGCTGGCGGACAAGACACCAGTCGAACAACGATCATCTGATCGCCATTCGCGACGACAGGGTACACCTAATGGAATGGGGCTCTCTGAAAAGTCTCTTCCAGACCAATGGGGTCCCCCTCCGCAATCCTGATCCAAAAAATTCGGTGAAAGTTCTTCCCTGGGTTGGAGGTGCTGGCTCGGGGTATCTAGTCCAGGCTGATATCCGGTCTCAAGCCCGAGCAGGTCAATTCTCCGTGATTGAGGCGTCTAAAATTACGACTGAAACGAAGGAAATCGTGCTTCACATGCATAAATATGAATCATTGAACGTCGAGTCCCTGTTGGGCTGCTTAAGGTCAAATCTTTTTTTTCTTGATACGGGTGGATGGGTTTGCTCAATTGGACTGAAGAACTTGGATACGGCTATTCACTATACGCGACACTTCTTCATCCCACCAACATGGCGGACTGGGGTTGATGTCATCAAGATCATCTCGAAGTCAACTGTCGCTTTCGGGCGAGGGGAGTGGTTGATAATATTTCATGGATTTTTGGAGTTGGAGGAAATGGTGTTGTTTTGAGATCATTCAAACTCAGTCCTACTAGAACCTCGAATTTACACATGCAGTTATATTTTCTTGACTACAGGCTTTCTGCCGCGTAAAACTTGCGGTGTAGAACAACGAACTTTCGACAATATCCCTTTAAATCATCCACTTACCCTGCCTCCTACCATATATCCGACTAATTAATTGTCAAAGGGCTCTTTAAAGGGACTCTTCAACATGGCAAGTAACAAACAAGAACGAAAAGAAGATAGAAGTGGATGGAAAGGGAGGCAAAGAAACCTTGAGGGCTGGAGCGGCGACTATCGATGCCCAATTTACTGCAGGGTACGCAAATAACGAAGGGGTAGATAGTAGATCATAAGCGCATTTCAATGAGTTCTAGCCCGGGAAGTCTTGTAATTCTTCCTTTCATACACCTAAATAACCGCGAACCCGTGACCTCGGGATATTATTACAATGATGATATTTCGCTTTGACTTGTTTGGCCATTAAGGAAATGTATCATCTGCTGGTGTTTTCCCTCTTAAGGATGAAGACACGCATCCTGGGTGGGGGGCCCGAAACTGTCATTTATCAAACTTGCTAACCTTTAAAGTACCGAACGCAGAATACAAAATTATAACTTGAAGTCTTTCATGATTACCTCGATCTGTCTCTGATGGTTCTAGCACCCGTGAAATCAGCGTATCCATCCACTGATGTTGGCGTCAGAGAAGTTGATCAGTCTAGCAAACGTGAACAAGTGGACACAACCAAGCCAGAGGTTGATAATGGGAGTCCAGAGGTGGTGGTAGAGCCACCATTCTCAATATATAGCACACCCGAAAAGAAATGGATTAGGTCTGTGGCTTCATTTGGCGCCATGTTGTCGACGCTCAGCAGCTACATTTACTTCCCGGCGTTAGTCCCAATAGCCACCAAGCTACACGTTTCTCTCACACTCATCAACCTTACCGTCACGTCCTATATGATTGTCGCCGGGATCGCGCCTGCTTTCATGGGCGATATTCCCGACCAAGGAGGACGCAGGATTATGATGTTTGCCTTGGTATTCGGATCTAACATCGGATTGGCATTGCAAATGAAGGTGGGAAACGGAAGCTCCATATTCCGAATCCTCTGAAGTCAATTTTGATGCTTCGCTTGAAAGGAAATCTGACTGTGATTATGATTGGGTCTATCACATACCTGGTCAAAATGACGCTTCAAACAACACTGGCAGCTCAATGTACTGATATATATGACCTCGACTATCTCCAGGCCGGTTTAATCTATCTGCCATCTGGAGTTGGTGGTGCCATAGCGTCCTACACAACAGGTATGCACAAAAAACCCACTCCTGATTAAAAAAGATTTCACATGTCTCCTTCAAATGTTTATTGATTGGGATCATTCTGAATGAGGCAAGTTTTTGGACAGAAATATCAGATTGTTCGCCTCTCGACATGGAGTGAATGGTGAATACCGGCGAGGTGACGATATATCCAATTTCCCAATTGAAGAGGCGCGGTTTGTTGGGATATACACGCTGGTTATGCTTAGTGCGCTAGGGACCGCGGGATTCGGAATCAGTCTCATGAAGCGAACTGTAACAGCACACCTCAACAGGCCAACGCCGCTATGAAATTCGATAGCTGACCAACTTGCTGGCACATCGCAGTTCCTCTCGTCATGCAGTTTATAAGTGGAGCTACAACTTCTAGCATTTTTACAGTGAGGGCCCCCATCAACAAATCAACACACTGGAGAGATACTGTTTTTTCTGACTTGAACCCAGCTCTGTGGAACCCGTCTGACAGATCTGAATCCCAACGCGTCCGCTACTGTACAGGCTTCCTATAATCTCGTGCGGTGTCTAGCAACGACCGCAGCAGTCGCATCTCAGCAAACTCTGGCTAACGCTATTGGGCTAGGGTGGTGTTTCAGCTTCTTCGCTTTTATCATGCTGTTTGCAGCTCCGCTCGCCATGATACTGACAAAATGGGGTCCTGATTGGAGAAGAATCAACCTGGTCAATACCACGAACGATATTTCTTAAACTAGTTGTGAGCAGTAATCAAACAACCGAGATATGGGTATCCGACTTCAATTCCATCGCCATATCATGCTCTGAAAGTTTGATCTTGTGCGGTTATCCCGAAGCGTTGATGTAGGGGAGGGTAAAGCCAGGCCGTATGTGTTGATGAAGATCATCCCACTCGATTTCAAAGAAAAACCATTCCACGGAGGATGTCGATGTCTCAAGTATACGCCGGTGCCCTTTTACCAGATCAACGGCATGCTTGTATCGGGGTATCTGTACAGGTATTAGCTTCCCACAGGCTAGACTAAGATGTCAAATGAGTATTCGGATGTCGCGAGCTCTGTCAACACTTCATACATGGGTTCGTTGGGTGGGATTGCCACGATTCAGATTTCAGGCGGATGTATAAGCCCGCCCTTTAAATACACAACAAGATACAAGCTGCTTTCCATGCGGTAATCGGTGATGATCCTTCGATTGTGACCTCGTCCTATTATTTCAAAGTTGAAAAAGTAGGACATAGGACGACCATGAATACAGTCGTTCTCGAAATCGGCTTGACAGACACACTCTTCGTCACTTTACTGTATTCTGGCCCCGCCGCCAAGACCTTGGCGCAGATCAATCATTGAGCGGGCCGCATCAAATTGACGGACATTGAGAAAGGTGTATTCTAGTATGTAAATTACGCAATACGAGATTTGAATGGAATTCCGTGGAAATATATCGTGGGGTTTCGCAGATCATGCGGAATGGTCGCCTGACAACTGGTTGACGTTTTGCTAGGTGAGCTCAGATTTTTATCTTAACCCGTACAGCATGGATTGATTCCCTGCGCCGAGCATCATCATGGGAAGGTGTCTCTTCGGCTTACGGATCATCAACGAATTAAGTTCGCAACACAGTATCTCGACTACGTTTCTGTCGATTGCTTGTGAACATCAGCCTCTTCGGCAACCGATCGCGTAGGCCCTGGTTGGGTTTTCAAAAGAAGGCTTCCTCACCCTCACGTAGTTTTTAAGGTTGGTGGTGGCCGTCTAAAGCGCATTCCAGGGGTTGATCTGTGCTATTGAGGAAGCGCAAAGAAGTCTTCTTTCCACTCAGTCCAATACATAGCCTTTGCATTCGCATAACAGTATGGGAAAACCTAATACAAGTAGGGAAAACCCATGCTAAGGCATTTTAGAGGAAACTCACATTCAAGCAAACAATCCACCAGCACAACTTCCCCTACCACTTGCATGAACTCCACTAATATAAGCATATGGTCACGGGCAGCCTACCAAGAACCTATGCTCTGCATCATCACGATCAGCTGTGACACATGCCCATGTATAGTCATTGTCATCGCTTATCACTGCTGCAGCCACATTATAATTGCATACAGACATTCCCAGTACCATATTGATAGCTGCAGACACCTCGCCTCCACTGATAGGCGTGTTCGGGGTTTGAGACGCCTGGCAAAATATTGTTGTCGGTTGGTTGTCTCTCTGAAAAGTCCCAGGCAAGGAGATGGGAACGAGTGAACTGTAGTATGAATAACCACCGACAGCGGTACTCCCGGTGGTAGCCAAAAATTTGCTCATCGCGGGATTCTTATGACAAATGTGCATGTGGATTTGATCCTGACTTATAGTGTGGATAGGATTGATAGCCAGCCCTTGTGTACCCGCGTCATATTGCATTTGACCAAAATCCCAGCCAAAGGGGGCAAGACTCGCGTGGGATTTCTGTAGGCTCACAATGTTGTCTATGGCCACATTTGTCGTCATAAGGTAACTTCCGATCCGCACCCAGAAACTTCCACTCGAACTGCTTTGCGGACAGTTGTGGTTTTGCAAGCATTCACAGACTGAATTGAGCCATATCCCACAGGCTTCGCAATCCTTGTTAGCATCGGCCGTGCAATCAGTCGTGCAGTCGTCGAGGTAGAACCCCGCAGGTGATTTCTGTCCACAACCAGCAGGATCAGCGTCACATCGGGTGGCGCATTGACCAGTGCCATAGAAGGATCGACATGTACAGCCAGTCGGACCCCCTTGTTGCAAAATTTGGGAGCTGGTGCAGATCATAGCTTGACCAGAACTCTTCTCAATGAAGGTTGGGTCAAGTAGAATGCCAGCAACAAGTAAGATTTTCGGAAGGAACATTTTGAGATATACTATAGAATAATGCTGAAGTGAAGCTGTGCTACATTATGTAGGTGACTATGGATGTAAGCGGGCCTAGGGCGATCGACATATATCCAACCCACCATACTAAGTTGGACGCCTATACGAGATATGACACATCATTACATCAGGGATATATCCTGTCTAGAGCCAGACAATCAGTAATATATTCCCATAGTAGCAGTTTAGCCATTAGCACTTGTTGCTACTGTGCGATTTACCATTAAAGGCTGGTAGGTTTATGGTGACAGATAAACTACTTTTGTCCCTTTAGTAGGCTAGTTATAGTAGGTAAATTAAGTGTAAGATTTATGGGATAATTTTGTGGCTGCAAAAATTAATTAGGGATATGGTCTGTAGTATTACTGTATCTAGAATAGAACTAGAGGAAGAGTTAGAATCACTATAAGCAGAATAGTTCTTGGCTCAGCTAGAACTTTAGTTGTGTTCTAAATCTCTAGTTGCCACTGTTACCATGATTGCAATTAAAAGTATACACAAGATGAGTGTCATTATATTGGATGCCATAGATTGAAGGATCTGCAAACGGAAAGTGGATAAATCACCATACGAGTTTGAACGCATATACATTATACGTATGACACATCATTACATCAGAAATATATTCTGACCACAGCCAGATAATCAGTGCTATATTACCGTAGTAGCAATTTAGCCTGAAATAATTGTTGCTGCTGTTCGATTTGTTATTAAAGGCTGGTATAGTTTATGGTGGAAGACATAAAATTTTTATTACTTTGGTAGGCTGGTGTGGGCTTCATCAGGACCCAAGGTGGACCCAACCCAACCCTTGGAGCCCCAGTTGGGTCGCACACATAACAAACATGCCAAGCTTTTTCAATACAGCATTTTTGTAGTATGTTTTAGGACCCTAGTATATACATGTAATTTTATTATTCTACTACTAGTTATTATCTCCTAATACTATTAGATACATATATTACCTATAATATATCATTGGAGTGTAGAGTCAGCCGACATTCTCCGTTTGTCAGCACGTGCATGTCTTTAGCTACATCTCTCTCTCTCTCTCTCTCTCTCTCTTTCTCTTTCTCTCCTCCATCTCTCCAGGAATACAGATCTTGTCTCTTTCTTCTGTTTCAACGCTACTACCATGCAGCCCTTTCTTCCCCTGCACGGCAGATCAACTGCCAACATTTTTTGAATCATTATTGAATTGTCATTGATTTATAAAATAAAATAAATTACAAATTTCAGATATAATACAAAAAGATGTCTTCACTCTAATGGACCGGCCCAATGGGCTGCCGAAGTCCAATGACAACTCCGATAGTTTATAAGGCACCAATCAAGTCTACGTCTCTGCGCTGCCACTTGACCCATGGTCACTCAGGCACAACTGCCTCGAATCTTACCAGCGGCACACTAAAGCCGGAGACAAAGCAGATGGCCATTGATTTCTTCAATGGTTGTTCTCGAGAACCTGCTGGCAGCGTGGCTATCATCAATTAGCCACCAATCTCTATATCAATCCTTATATCAATCCCAATATACTGTGGAAATCCAGCATGCGCGAACTCTAACGAAATCGCATTCAAAGATCTGCGCGAACGGAAGCCTGAATTTGGCAAAAACTCAATGCAGATGACGAAATCTGCGTTCAATGTTCTCGGAAGGAGCAAGAAATTGAAGAGGGAAATTTTGATGAATTTTCGATTCTGCCTGACGGGCCAATATTTCGTAAGCATCCAAGATGCAAGACAAGTGAGGAGACTATAGGATGGAGGGTACCCAACGAAATTCTGGGGCGGCCCATACCGTGGAGTGATTTTTTTGCCTTCTGTTACAACTTTACTGCAAAAGATCACATCTGCAGTGGATGCTATGAGCTCGAGCAACAAAGGCTCCAAGCGAGCAGACCTCTCGAGCTCCAGCATCTTAGGAGGTTCTCGTGAAGTGAGAAACTTGCCTTTTTTTAGAAGTCAAACGATATATGTCCGTCATTGCTGTTCTCCCTCTTCCAGTAGATTCAGATATGTGCACGCGCCCATCAACTTCAAGAGATCCTTTACAGAAGCCTATCATTGCTACTTATATGCCCAAGACGGCTTCATGATTTCTGACTTATATCTCTTAGCTTGCTTTATAAACACCTCCTTTATGAGTATCTAGGGCGCTGTGCGATTCTTGCTCCCCATGTGGAATATGATGATGAGGTGTAGATACCCAAACAGGGAATTTCCCTGTCTCATAAAGCATGAAATGCATCTTAGAAGCCACAATACCCAAAAATGGAATCCTGATGTCTTTTTCGAGACTATTCTGCTGCGCTAATAGAATAGTGGGCCCCCTAAACGTGTGGATCCGATCTGAACTCCTTTTAATGCCTTTTTCATCATGGCTAGAAACTCAAAAAAGTGGACGGCGTGAATTGCAGTCTTCCCCCGCTTCACTGGATATTATTTCGGCCTGGAATGTTGATTATGCACGTGTATTTAGGCCAATCACCATTGAATGATTATGCGCGTCCACACATGATCTGTTCCAGTAAGACGCGGGGCCGGGCGTTGACCCCGCAAGGATGAAGGATTGGCGCCTTGTGATTTGGTGCATAGTGCAGAGAACTATTGATTATAAGAAGCAAGGCTATCTCCTATGCCGTTTGCTAAAGTTTCTTCTTCATACTGTATTCTATTGCGTGCCAACCCACCACTCTGAATGCATTATGCTCCCGAGCTCGAATACCCTGAACATGCAGGCGGGCTGGCTTTTCTCCAGTCTCAATTTGCTTTCGCTTACGCTTAGTGCAATATTATTTCGCATGCTGTATAATCACTTTGCAAGGCCACTCTACAAATACCCAGGTCCTTTTATCGCGTCTTGTACCAGGTTCTGGTTAGGTAGGGTTGCCTGGATTACCCACAAAACCTTTCCTTGGTGTTGATGCATATAAATAACAATATTTCAGTCTATATTGCGTGGACCGGCCATGTGGAACAATATTACTTGGAAGTGCATCGTAAATATGGTATTTAGGTCAAAAAATGCAGTAGAATTATTCCGCTTATGCTAACCTCGGAACAGGACCAGTCGTAAGAATCGGCCCCAACGAACTTTCTTTCGCATCCCCCGATGCTGGTCTTGATATTTTTCGACCCGGACGAGGATTCAACAAAACCGATTTCTATCCCGTCTTCCTTCCGGATGGGATTAAGGATATTTTCACGGAAATCAGAGAGAAGGTGCATGCCAAGAAGAAAAGACATGCTAGCCCACCTTATAGTCTCGCATCGGTGAAGCTACAAACCAAGCAGATTGAAAGGCTTATGTTAGATCTGATTTCAATCATGGATTCTGTTGCAACTAAAAGTCAAACAGAGACTTTTGATCTCGGCAGTTGGCTGCACTTCATGGCATTCGATGTACGTTTGAACACTGAGCCTTTGTTCGCCACATTGTTACTGATATGCTTTTCAGGTACTTGCACAATTTGCCTTTGACCGACCGTTTGGATTCCTGAAGCAAGGGAAAGACATCGATAATTTCATCTTATCCATCAGCCAGTCTACATACGAGAGTTCTTATCTGGCTCAAATACCAACACTGGAACGACTCACGCGATCCAATCCGATCTGGAAATATGTCCCCTTCTTGCCAAAAAACAAACTCAGAATGATGCCCGAAACTGCGGAGATAGTCCTCAAGGAGTTCCTAGATCCAGAGAATGAAAAGTCCAAAACAGCCGTCTGTCTGCTGAAGTCTCTCTTAGATGCGCATTTCAACAATCCAGGAACCTTCGGGATGGAGGATGTGATGGCGATTTCCATGGGCGCTATGTACGGAACTTCCACATGACATTCGTGAACGCTTGTCAGACTTTGAATAAAACGACTGATAGCACTATAGCGCGGCTGGTTCGGATACTACCGCATCAACAATGCATAGTTTCTGCTGGCACATCCTTGCAAACCCCCAGATCCACAGGAAACTGGTAGCAGAACTACTCGATGCACCACTATCTACCGTTATCCAGTACGAGGAGGCGATAGTGCTTCCCTATTTCCAGGCTTGTCTTCAAGAAACAATGCGGTTGCAGCCTGCACTTTCTCATAATATGCCACGTGTCGTGCCAGATGGGGGTGCCACGGTGAACGGGACATTCCTGTCTGGAGGCACCAGAGTTGCGGTTAGTGCCTGGGTGATGCACCGTGATAAGACAGTGTTCGGATCTGACAGCAACTCCTTCAACCCCGAAAGATGGCTCGATGCTGATGTTGACCGGGTGAAGAGGATGGAAAGATGCATGTTTCAGGTATGAATTCTTTGCAGGCTTTGACTTTTCCTATTCCGCCTTTAAGAATCAGTCTAATTGAATGTAGTTTGGGGGAGGATCTCATATCTGCATTGGAAGATATTTAGCTCTTTTCGAGTTGAACAAGGCTTTACCGCAAATGTTCCGTCGATATGAGATGAAGTTGGTGAATCCAGAAAAGCCTTTGGAATGCTTTACTGGTATGTTTTATCAGCAGAAAGGTCTTCATGTAACCATGAAGTTGCGAGAGACGCAATGAGGCAGTAGAGTCTTTTCGAATGGCATGCAACATTGAGGACACCTGACTCCAAAGGAATTGTATTTTTGGCGAGCTAGATAAGATGCTTCAATGATCTTTAATGGGTGCGTGGAGCAATTTATAATTTCCCATATGCTTTTCCAGAGCATTGCACAGAAAACTTCAATGAGGAAAGACGTAAGAAAAATAATTCAGCATCTCCAGACTGCTCGTGTCCTTGGAATCTGTATTTAGTCATAGCCCAGCCTCCTTTGCCACGGCTCTAATATCTGTCCTCCATGTTTCGAAGTATGGCTTTGCTCCTTTCTCCAGAGCCTCTGGAGTCAGGCTCTGGAGAGATCTCAAGTAGTCGTCGTCCTCCGCCGCAGTTTCGCTCGGTAGATGAAGCCGGAGCTTGTTAGCCGTCGTAGTAGGATCAACGAAATATTGGAAGACCTTCCTTCGAGCATCCGAGTAACTTGTAAGGATATCATCCGATCGACCTTCATTGAGGATCATAATAAGTGCTTCTGCTAGAGCATCTCCGTCGAGAATGCCGGTGTTCAGCCCCATGGCCCCATATGGCTGCGAGAGATTAGATTGAACAATATCCAACGAGATGAAAGGCTAACATTATTCATGTGTGCTGCATCTCCTGCCAAAACACAACGACCTTTCCGCATTGTTGGAACCAAACGTTGGTGAATGCGATATATTGCCTTTGCTGAGACTTTAGCTTGAAGTGGCCGTGGACCTGAGATGACTTGTTCGTAGAGTCCGTGGATAACATAATCTTTAAGCAGTTCATCATCGGATCGTTTATCCTCTGGGGGGATAGCAATCGTGCACCTCCATAGACTCTTCTCTCCGATAACAGGGACCGTGAGCGGGGTCATGATGGTGTAATTTTGGGTACCGATGATAAAGCAAGTATGAAATACTGGGTCGACGTGGTTCTCAAGAATGACATCCGTGGAGATCAGTCTCTCAGGCCAGGTGTGTCCAAGGCAAGGTGTTCCGATAAGTTTGCGTGTTTTCGATCTGCCACCATCGGCACCAACAACATAACAACCTGTTACAGGTGACAAATCTGTATTCTTGAACTTGATTGTGACCCCGTCCTCTTCCTCCAGGATACCCGCAAGCTCACTATTGAATTGAATCATCGCATTGCCTGTCTCCAGCGCCTCGTGCAGAATTAAACTCGTCAGCTCTGACTGGCGAAGATTAAGGAGGCCAGACGGGCAAGCTTTGATCGGATCATTGGGGTCACAAAGAGGCTGCGCAGCGATTATTTTACCTAATCGCTTACCTCCCTGGCCATCGTCGATGGGAAGGGTACGCCAACATAGACCAGAGGTCATAAATCCTTTGGCACGGATATGGTCGTAGAGTCCGCATTCCTGGAATACCACTTGAGTTGCACCGTAATAGCCGACAGCTCGTGGGGTGTTGGGAATGGCGGACTCTTTCTCGAAAATCCGTACTGGAATTCCTGCTTTTGCAAGGCGATATGCGATAAAGCATCCGACGGGGCCAGCCCCAATAACCAGTACGGGAACTTGGTCTTTCGTCATGATGGAGTGGCGTGGATCAGAGACTACGGTTGAACTTTGATGGAAGCGCGCCGAGAAATGGAAAATTGCGAACTTACTCAACTAGCCTCGCTTCCAGAGCCTCAGATTCCTGTGTTCCTTGCTTCTTGAAGCCGATGACCATGAAGTGGGCGCACCTAAGGGGAACTCAGAGAGTGATGGCGCCGGAATAACTGCTTCATTTGTCAGACCATTGGTTGGCGACGCACCTGTCCGTATCACATGTTCCTCCTTGCATGATGTGATCTCGTTTCTTATCACACCGGCTTTCCAATTTAGGAGCACGAATTCATCTCAACTGCACGAAAGCCGGAGGAAATGTTCAGCCACCTTCAAGGTCTGCACGTGAGCGCACCCATTGTAGTTCTATTTAATGGTATATAACACACGAAGCAGTCCAAATGGTCCGTAATGAAGCGGAGGGACTCGATTGAATGATAATACATGGAGTTTTTGGCTTGGTCACTATTTGCAACCTCAGTGGTTGGTTGGACTCAAAGAATTGAGGAATATTTGCCATATTCCCGGATTCGAAATACGGCCCCAACATTGGGTACACAAGGACCCGGTGACGTAGATACGATCAACCATCCGGGGAAAAAAGGTGTCCGAGTATGTCAAAATGTGAAATATATCCTTGACGTTCTGAGCGATTTCTGTCTGGATACGAACTTCTTTTTTCTCTCAGTTTCCTGATGCCATAACTTTGAGGACCGCATCCACATTATCATGGCACATTATCATGGCGGTCATGAGCCATCCCGACAGTAAAACCACCGCCAAAACCGAGTTTGTGCCTGACCAGATACCTTTCATTGAGAAGTCCTCCAAAATAGTTTGGGTAGAAGACGCGTGAGTTGGACTCGGTGTTGTACTTGGTGAAATGCTCACAAATATCATGAAGATCAAAGTTCTCATCTTCAGTCTTCACAAAATCACCTGCTGACAAAGCGGGATCACCCATTTACATACTACCATGCGATCATGATTGGCTGGCGAAAATACCATGATAAACAATAACATTCCGTCGTGCTCCTTCCGACCTCCATCAAATGCCACGGAGAGAGCAAGAATCGCAATAGAGTCCCTGTCACCCCTTCTAGCTCCGGACACTTTCCTCGCCTCGTTATCCTTTGCATGCAGATTTCAGATAACACAGCATTCAAGTTGATCTGATAGGTCACGCCAGAGGACAGAGCAAGGTCCTCGAGTTTATTGATAAGTAATTCACAACGCGCGATTTTCTGATTCGTTCAAGAAGATGCTTAGCTTGAATGATCGCTAACGGGTCCCTGACCGGTCGAGAGGTTCCTGACCTTTGAAATCGACGTCTTCACCACAAAGACTTCCTGACACCTTCTCAAAGCCAATCCGCGTGTGCTTGGATACATCATGATGGAGAGAGTTACGAATTTCGGCAAAAGAGATATTCGGAGTGCGCCAATGGAGGTAATTGAAAGCCAGTCTCCCCCGGCTGAGCTGGAAAAGGGTGCCGTCGGAGAAGAAATTGGGACAGAGGCTGCTTTGTCTGGTATTGAAGCGACCACTGCTGTTTGGGGCAATAAAGGAAGAGGACTTGTCATCATTGGGTAGGTCTCATCTCGTTGCATTTCTTGTTGCATTTTGTATGAAGTTTCACTAACAAATCTCTAAAGCCTGGCCATGATCACGATTATTTAGTAAGCTCCTGTGGCCAAGTCATTGTTTATACTGGGATGTTATTGACAGCACTTTCTAGCGAGCTCGACAATTCCACGGTCTATGTCTACAACATTTACTCCACATCATCATTTGATGCCCTGTCAAAGCTTGCAACTTTAAGCACAGCCGGCGCGGTGCTTTTTGCAGTCATCAAGCCGCCAATTTCCAAGCTCTCCATTGTCATGGGTCGTGCCGAAGCTTACGTGATGACGATCAGTCTATACGTACTATCTTACATTTTTATGGCTTCGGCTAAAACTCTAAACACTTATGCTGCAGGGTATGTCCTGTACGTTATGGGTCAGTCAGGCACTAACATCATGAACGACATCGTCATCTCGGACATCAGCAACGCACGCTGGCGTGGCTTTGCAATTGCCGTTTCGTTCACCCCTTTCCTTATCACCCCTTGGGTAGCCGGGTTCATCGCCAATAGCGTGGTGCATGGGATCGGCTGGCGCTGGGGTATTGGCATGTTCGCGATTCTCATGCCTTTTTGTGCGAGCTTTATCATCACGACACTTTTGTACTACCAGATGCGAGCTAGAAAAATGGGTCTCGTCTTACGAGAGAAGATGAGAGTCTATGACTTTTGCTCACAGATTGATCTTGGTGGCCTCATACTCTTCAGTGGCGGATTTGCTTTGATCTTGCTCCCATTGAGCCTGGCCGCGACGACGACCAGCAAATGGAAGACACCCTACCTTGACACACTGATCGCCCTTGGAGCAGCCATGCTGATGGTCTTTCCAATTTACGAGACTCTTGTATCTCGCTACCCATTCATGCCGCCATCTTACTTCAAGAACCCCACGATCGCTGTTTGCTTCTTCCTCATAGCAACTGACTCTATTGGCTTCTCATGCACTCATACCTACCTTTACATGTGGGCGACAGTGGCACACAACTTTTCAGCCCGCAATGCTACCTTTTACAACTCGATCAATGGTTTCATGCAGTGCCTGTCAGGCATAATAGCTGGGATATTAATGATGTGGACGCGGCGGTATAAGTGGTTGGTGGTGGTCGGTGCGATAATCCGTTTAATTGGGTATGGCATCATGATCCGCCTTCGAGGCGCAACGAACTCCATATTTGAGCTGTTCTTCGTGCAAATAATCCAGGGCATCGGATCAGGCATTATGCAGACAAACTTACTGGTACCGGCGCAAATATCCGTACCTCATGCACAGATGCCGCAGATGACCGCATTGGTAGTATGTTTTTCTTTCTTGGGTTCTAGTGTGGGTGCTTGCATCGCTGGCGGTATATACACCAACACCATTGGAGAGGCCTTAAATAACCATCTTGGCAATGGAGCAACAGTAGCACTGATTAGCAGTCTATCTAACTCAATCGTTGGTGTCGCCCCAGCATGGGGCTCCCCAGAACGTATCGCCGTGAACCTGGCTGTAAGTTTCTGTCGATTCTATTTGAAGTCTTATAACAACTAACAATAGAGGCCAGTTCTCTGATGTATTGAGATACATGACTTACACTGCACTTGCATCATCTGCGCCTGCGATTATCTTAGTCTGGTTCATGCCAAATCACAAGCTTCCGTCAGTAACTCTGTCATTTGTGGTGATGCCAGTCACTGACCATGTATCAGCGATCGGAATAACTTGGTGGAGGAGTAATGGAGAAGTCCTTATTATCCGATTGCATACTCTTAGCATTATTAGACGATAATAAGGAAGAAGACTATAAAATCTTAAGATTAAGCGCACAGAACAGTATGTAAAATGTGTCTTGGGAGAAAGGAGAGAGAAAGGCAAGTCCTAAGGACCCTAGAGTCTGTAACTACGCTAGCCTTAAACGAGATGAGAGCGGAAACTAAGTCAGATAACCTGGACCACTCCTAATAAACCCTCATAGCGCAAAAGCTAGCTAACTAATACCAAAATAGTAGTATCATCAGCGGTTACCCAACGGTAGTAAGCGAGTATTCGTCGCAGAAACCTTTCTAGCCCTTTCTCTAAGAAAAACTACTAGAAGGCACTCGGGCCCCTAATCTACCCATCAGGCATAGAAACCGTCGTAATAAACGTTTTCCTCTTCCTCAACAGCTCGAGTGGATCCTTCGACTTCTGCAACGAAGTATGAACGTCATAAGCCCTCCATACTCTATCCTGCATAAGCCCCAGCATACCAGTACCAGCTCCAACAGCATTCTGTATGGAAGAACCCCGAGGACACTCAGCTCAGCTCGTCAACCATTTGTTCAAAATATGGTTGGAACTGGGTAGATAGAAATGAGACCCATTATTGAGCGTTTGTGAGTACGTCGTCGGGTGTGTTTGGGGGTGTTAGAGGGTGTTTAATCATGTGCAGAATACCGTCTATAAACGTTGTATTTATCTCGAGAAAATGGATTCGTTGGGTATTCGTGTTATCGTCTGCATGACCGAGGAATTATCATACGTCATACAAGGCTCGATGACCAGCCCTTGTATTTCTATGATTCAGCTTCACAGGCTCGGTACGAGGATCATGACGGACACACCGAACTGGTATAGATACTTGGTCACATCGTGGATTATAGGTAGTCGATATTCCATTTAGATGGCAGCTTAATGGAGTTGCTAATGGCGATGACCCGGTAGTCGTTCGCTGGGAAAGAACGTCCAGCTGCAACGCAAGACAAACACAAAAATTCATCTTGCTCTCCCTGTCATTTCCTTCGTCCATGAATTATCTGAAGCATAAACCACGAATTATTGGCTGCACATTTTCCACCCACTCGAGCTTAAAGCTTGAATGCTGATGAATATCACGTCGCTTCCAGATTAACTCCACGATCTCTCTAGATTTCTTTAGAGACTTCATCATCAAATGAATGTGGGGATGGTCGTGTAGAAGATCAAATTGGTCGAGGCAGAAAACTCGATCTGCGTCAACCTCTGCATAAACTGCACAAACAAAGAGCGGCCACAGGTGAGCGGGGTGCATCAGACATGGGGAGAGAGACTTGAGTAATGTGATCGCCTCTTGGACTAGCTTTTGCACCTGTGGTTGGTCTGGGTTCATCGGACGAAGACATGCCAGGAAGTAAAGCTTAGCAGCCACATGCATAAGCAGAGAAGTTTGGTAAAGCATTGTCACAGGCCAATTCTGGGCGGAATTCTCCCCCTGCTTATACTGGTCCTCCCCACTGGGCTGATAGGATGGTTTCAATGGTGTGTCTGGTGTGGAATACTGACTAAGGCTCTCCAAACGATGCCACACGAGGTCTGTTTTCTCACGCCATGTCTCACAGGCTGGTACAAATTCCTGGAATAATCCATGATGAATCTTAGCTCCTGTGACTCATGTTCTGAGTGGTTGGCATCACCAGGAACCTACCGTCGTCATGGACAGATCTGTGATCTGAGAGATCAGGTCGACCAACTCTAGAGAACATCCCAGATATGGGTCAATCTAGGAGCACGTTAAAATTCCCTTCTAGACAACGAAACTTCGGTAGGAGTAGGGCTGACCTCTGCGGACCGAGGTATTGTAAAGGTCTTCACCTTGCCTCTCTTCCCACATGCAGTTCCCCCAAGTGCCTCTTTGGTAATGAAGAATTGGGCCACGAATTTCAAGACTCTGGGTGAAAAAGCGAATTTTTCTTTTCGGAAATTTGCTTGCAGCATGTCAACTGCTGCACAAAGATGGATAGACCAAGTAATGTCCTCACTGTCCGACGACTAGAAAACCTTATGTTAAAACGGGCTTGAGGTAGAAGGCAGAACATACTTCAAAAACACATAACATTACAATCACAACCAGATTGATATCGTTCAGCGCCAATATTGGGTGCGAGATATTGTGGCGGAGCAATCGAATGGATCGGACTTTGTAATGCAAGGCGACGGGATAGAATTCATGGCGGCCGGTGTGAGCCAGAGACAACGCACCGAGCGCGAACACCATATTCAAAACAATAGGGTTTTGAATAGCCAAAGGAAGAACAACTCGGCGAAAGGAGTTTGATGAATCATCCACTAAAGTCATGCTTTGGCATACCTGCTCGCAGTCTGTCCACCAATCCAGCATTAGCGAAGCCAGTTAATTTAGTGGATTAACATTAGAGATAAACCGAGGAGACCAATACTAACAGTATCCATAAATATCGTTAGAGTATTCTGGCCAGTGGCTAGAGAATGGGACTGGCGAGAAACGGATAGACCGCACTGAAGAAAGAAAAGATCTCGTGCTAGTCATGTCGCCAACCCCGAAGTTGAGAAAATGATAAATCTTTCGTTTCACCGCCAATATTTTCCATGTCTGTTCCTGGACATTTAGAGCAGTCTGACGACTCCGTCCATGTGTTACACCCTGGAGGTTGCTGTCCTCCTCCCAGCGCAAACAATCAGCATAGAAGCATTCCTTGTTATCATTCCAGCATCTTTCACACACAGGCTTGTTCCCTGGTGCAAGGCCGTATTAGACGAAGTTACTTGACGCAAAGCCTTGACTTGGTAACTTACGTGGACATTTGATTCTTCTTTTCCTGCAAGTCAGACAGGATCCCCGGTTGGGCGTACCCCGCCGTCCCCATCTAGCTGTTTCCTCCAGGTCGAACGTCATATCTAGTACGTCTATGATGCGGTCATCATACAGTCTCGGGGGGCGGACGTGATGAAGAGCCCGAAATATCACAAGTATGAGTAAAAGAACATGAAATGAACAATTATTGGTATTCTTGGTCTCAAAAATCTCTGTACAAGGGTCCCGTGGAGCTTGACTGGCCAACCGCTGACTCATGTTGATAGATTGAGGATGTGGGTCTAATAACATGTTATGATTGGTTTACATGAAACTAGTGCAAACTCAATTTGCGCGTTGGATTACTAAATTTTGGTCCTGCACAAGCCCTACTCAAAAACAAGTCCGCAACAATTATCAAGTGATTTTGATTTTCCATACAGCCACTGTTATGAAAGCGATCCAGCGGGTCAACAGCCGATCTACAGAACATAGGGCACGATAATGCCAGACCCTATCACCATGATGATTTGAGCAAGAATGTGAGATGGACCGGGAGCCAGAACATTGAGGGAAATAGATAATCTATGACACCAATCGGCACGCGGTATTTGCTTAGGCAAATATCGGGAAGGTACCAACAAACTATGTCTGAACGTTAGAATGATAGTCTTACAAAAGAGTCCGATACGTACATCCATGGGGTCGTTGAATCTCAGCCCTATATCCAGCGCACTGATCGTTTGGATATCTTCTTCCTCCAGGTCGAAATCAATTGATTGCAAATTGAGCGCCATTCTGTTGGGGTTCGTACTTTTGGGAATGACGGCAACTCCCCGCTGTGTCGCCCATCGAAGCAACACCTTTGATGGTACCTGGCCATTTTTCTCTGCAATTGCCACGATAGTCGGATGATCGAGAAGAGACGTAATAGTCTTGGCCTTGAGGTTGTCCAGCGGCAAATAGGATTGGGACCCAAATGATGAGAAAGCAGTGACCGTGATCTGCTCGGCCTGTGCAAATTGGATCAATTGCGTCTGAGTGAGGTACGGATGGTGCTCGATTTGCAAAACAGCGGGTCGAATCCGTGCGTATCGCAAAAGATCCAAAACCAGAGATCCTGAAAAATTTGCAATTCCGAGCTCCTTCGCCAGGCCGTGATCAATCAGTTTCTCCATTGCCTGCCACGTTTCTTGGATGCTTGTGGTGCCAGGCCGTAGGTCGCTGGTACCATCGAAGAACCATCCAGGAGGATAGCGAACTTCGGGGGCCACATACTCCAATGCAATGGGAAAGTGCATGTAGTACAGATCAAAATAGTCCACGTTCCAGTCGGCTAATTGCTTGCGAGCTACCTGCTCCACTTGACTCGCTTCGTGAAAGGTGTTCCACAGCTTGGACACAATGAATAGCTCCTCTCTCCTGACTAATCCATCCTGAATCGCTCGTGTCACTCCCTGTCCTGCCTCTCGTTCATTACCGTAATCTGAATAAATTGGTGGATGTCAGTGAAACCGATCGTGACAAGGAAGACCTGCACCCAAAGGGATCTCATACCACTGGCACCATCAAACAGGCGATAACCGGCTTTAATAGCATCATAAACAATATCCGCGCAACTTTCTCTTGGGATTTTCCAGAGCCCAAAGCCAACTAATGGCATCTGGGTGCCACTCGCCAATTTGAGAGTATTCATGGTAATATGGAAATTTGCCAAATTCCACTGTTTTTGCGAATTTCAGTAGAAATAGACAGTTGATATGATAATTTTCCTCTTTTGACCATTTCAGATCTTGCGAGATGCCAGCCAGATACTTATAAAGACATAAGGCCCCACCGATTATCAACATGGGCAGGTCACTCCGCAATTTAGGTTTTCGATGACAGAATAAAACCACAGTTGACGTATTTCACGGTCGGGCGGGGGGCCACCCACCCAAAAAACGTATCTTCCGTGCTACCCCACCACCTCCAACTACTGACTATGCCACCAAAACGCACCCAAAAGCTCAAAAATATATTGAGAAGGAGAGTAGGGTCCTAATATCTATCCAAGCTATCAAAAACGACGATATCCACACTATTTGTGAAGCTGCACGCGTATTCGGTATACCGCGGAGTACCATTTAAGCTATTTAATTTGAATTAATTAACGGATATAGATAGTACAAGATCCAATTTACCTAATTTTACACTTTGAATAAAATTCTTCAAATATATATCCTTATATCTTAATACTATTATTAAATACTAATCTTTAATATACCCGTACCCTACCCCTACCCTTCTAGATAGCTATTAGACTAATAAAGATGATAATACTTATCTATTATTGGAGAATAGGGTCAGCTGACCCTCTCCGTTTGTCAACGCGTGCATGTCTTTAGCTAGATCTCTCTCTCTCTCTCTCTCTCCCCTCCATCCCTCTCGGAATACAAATCTTGTCCCTTTCTTCTGTTTACACGCTACCACCATGTAGTCCTTCCCCTGGACGGCAGACCAGCTGCCAACAGTTCTATTGGTTGTTTGATTCATAGGTATGTTATGTACCAGACTAAAGATTAAGAATAGCTTTTCCAAAAGTACGCTGATTAGTCGACCTCCGACATAGTCTTTGATCGAGTCTCTAAATAAAATAAGTTATAAGATGAAAGTTTTATATACTGACCTGATTGAAAAATTGGGTAATTCAGACAGAATTATCCCTATGAAAGTATTTTTTGATCCTTCCGATGAGAATCTTCAAAAAAGTTTCACCTGATCGATCTTGTTCTGTACTGAGCGGAGGTGATGTGAGCAAGCGTGCAGAAATATGTATGTGATGAAGCTTCCCCCCCTCCCCACTCTGAAACTGTATCTAATTCCAATTCAAATGTCTGCAGAGTATGGTGTTATTCTTCAGAAGTAAGCAGGATAGTACTTCGGATGAGATTCGTTAGGTTTTGACGTCCGTCTAACAGTGCTTGGAGGTAGTTACAGGGGTTCGAAGTTGGCGAATTATTTTGAGGGTTTACGGTCGGCCGCGCCGTCACTAGCATCACCCATCACCAGCTAACAATCACATACCTTTTAGCATATAGCAACCAGCAGGGATTATAGACTAAGAATTCGGTCGTAGGATTCAGGGTTCCTATCATACCTTGGTTTGAATTCTAGCAACTTGAAGTTATTTTACAAAGGGGCTGACTAGCCGTGCAAGAGAACAATGCATTCATTTATACCATATCCCTGGGTATTCAGCCAGATATTGTACAAACGGATTACTCGGTAGGTGTTCTGTATATTTACTTGTTTAGTTTGCAGTTCGCCTGGAAAGTGGATCTATGAAGATATCCCGTCCGTAATGTAAAGGCCCCGTGGAAAACGCCCACGAACGGCGGATCTCACAGGGTGGCTTCCTCTAGGGGTAGTTACGGACCACGGTGGTCCACTTGGTCGATTGAACTCGACGAAGTATGTAGCAACTAGTATCAACAAATTCAGCCCCATGAAATTCCCCATAGTGGCCGTGCTTGCGCTTTAGTGCTCTTTTTCGTGGACGGAAATAGGTTCAACCATCGGGCTTCCACTACAGACCGTGGGCTGTACAAATTTTTAAGTAGCAGTATATTGGCCAGGTAAATCAAATCTGTAGCCTATTGTGGGCATTGTTTATTATGATCTGATTTGAAGCTTGCACATGATGGAATTGACCTCGAGGATAATGGCCCACTGTCAGGCTGTTCCTGGCCCTGATAATGAAAGAAGAGAGAATCTCTTTTGGTTATTACGACGCAACTAAGATCCAACAACCTACCGCGCGGGGGATAAATCGCGCACGATACCAATTCCCATCAAAGGGGAGCCTTCCGCCCTAAAAAAGGACAAGGCTAGCCTGAGCCCGTCTGCATACCCGGAACTGGCTGTCGAAGAATCCGAAAGCCCTAGGACGACATGATCTTTGCAAAATAGACGGCAGAAGACATCTTCAGTAGACCATCCCTTTAATTTGATTCTCATTCATAGGATAAGCATTGAAGTTTGGTCGAAGCATGCAGTAGTCAGGCACTATGGCGGGTATACCATTCGCCATGTCCTTTCCAAAATATGTATAATGAATGGCTCCTTCGGAGCGCTTCCCGCAGCCATTCTTGAGCCTGTGAGCCTCGCTGAATTCTCCATTTCCACCAATTACGCGGAATGACTCGAAGGTCCACTTTCTAGTGGCTTTTAAGTCATTGCAACACAAGCACGAATGAATAGGTCTTATGGATTTGCCAGGTGAACAAAAAGTAGACATTAATAACATCGAGTTGTAGGGGATATGAGTTGATATTTCGGTAATTTCTAGATCTACTATTACATATACGATCGGAGTACGGGAGATTAACATTAGCATTACTTGGCCTCTAAGCACATTAAATGCCTCGGCTTATGTCCTAGAGCTTAGACTTAGCTATTTATATTGTAGGACTAAAGAGAGACTCTATAGCGAAGAAACATTTAGAGGGAAACAGAAAATAAAACGAGACTAAAATCAGACTAAAAAGGGACTTTAGAGGGGCCTGATATATTATATAAATAACAATGTGATCTATAGGAAAAGCTTCTGTACCTGCCCGATATATATCCCTACTTATCTGGATTTTCGGCGAGATTACGTGGCGTAGCTAATGATAGGGGGCTATTCTTATATAGGGCTAAGGCTAATATACTAATCCAATTTCGCGTATAGTTTAGAAAAGGATTCAACGTCTAACCTTTTTTTTGCAAGTTAAATATGCGGGTCTACTTAAATATATCCGAGCGATATTATTCCCCTCTCTTTATTCACTAATTCTCTTATAATTTCTGTATACCAGTGATTATTGCCTAGAAATCAGATCGGTATCTAGCACTTTCCCGCCGACTCTTATAATATTACTATCTACCACGGTCTCTAGTCTTTAGGTCTTATAATTTGACTAATAAGCCTATATCTCTTACTTAATACTTTCTTTACTATACGTCTTAACTTATAGATAATAGTCTGTCTTAGAAATATAATCGTATCATCGACCTCTGTCGCTATTACTTATAATATCTATCTTCCCTATTTATCTTTAGTGGGCTACGAAAAGGACGTATATTTATATTGAGTAAGAAAACTCTATCTTTTTTTAAACGAATATTTATTTCTAACTACATTATAGTCCCTAAAGTAGGCGGTAATTAATAGTTCGCTACTTTTCACTAACGATACTCGTAACTTCCTATAATCGATGTCGATGCAGTAATATATGCCTTAAAGGAATGACCTAGCAACGATGCCTATCAATAGTAATGAAATTAAGCTCTTCTATGCACTTAAAGCCTACCCACTATTAATAGAGGGAATTAACTTAACCTTAACTCTCACTAGAGTTCGCGTGGATCTTTTAGACTCTAATAACGCACCCGTCACCCCCAATTTCATAATCGTCGATCTTCTCTTTCATGCTAATAGTTCAAATCTTACTTCTGGAATACGGACCGAGTCAATCAAGAGGCATAGTGAAGGTAGTTCCTACTCTGGCCGGCTATAGTACACGAATTTCTGGTTAATAGTCTTCTTAGGGGATAAACAGAAGCTATTTCCGGATGAAAGTCTGCAAACAGCCATCAATATCGCGGAAAATGGTAATAAACCACATTGTTTCTAATCTGCTGATACCACAGCCAGTAAAGAATTGAGGGGTGATCTCTCCACTAGCTTTTGCTTCCACATTGATAGCAGTAGTAGTCGGGAAAGAAATATCTGCAATGTACTTCTCAAATTCAGAGGTCACATATGTGGTCTTCTCTGAAGAGGGACAGTCAATTTACGGACAAGCAGTAATAGTGCGAGCCAAGGCTGTGTAGATGATGGATGTGCCCATATAATATAAGATAGTTTCGGTGGCGATTGTTTGAGTGGTCATCGAGGAAGTCTTCTCAGAGAGAGACAGTCTGTCACTATATATGGACATTTGTAGACTCTTTGTTTGTGTAGAGAATTCTGGTGATATAAAAATCGTCTGGTGTAAAGTCACTTGGGGCATTTCCTGGGACAGCCGTAGTCCGCATATCACTTAAACCGCTTGTGAAGGTAGAGACGAAGTAAGGCATAGTCTCGGTGTGTATTGTTCTAGTGATTGTCGAGGAATTCTTCTCGGAGAGGGGGACAATCCGTCGCCATAGAGGGACAGAAATCGTTGAAACTTCAGTAGTATAAAATGTCATTTGGGGGCAGCACCACTCAGGGCATTTCCAGAACAGATGTAGTCTGCATATCACTGGAGCTGCTTCTAAAAGTGGCACCGAGAGATTGCGAGCTTGCTTGAATGACAGAACACTGGGATATTGGAAGACCTGAGGAAGACCCAGACAAGTTAGTACCTGTTAAGGTACCGAGATGACTCGAGAATATAATTGGCGAGATCCTTGTGATAAATGATGCCGCCGGGAAGGAGGATGTGGACTTGGCATTTGAAGATGCGTACGGCGATAAATTGGGAGCCACGATGCGGATTGAAAAATCTAAAGCTGGTGATGAGACAAAGGCACCGGTTGAAATGAAAGATGATGAGACTGGCGATGAGACAGAGCTCACCATGATAAAATGACCGATGAGATTAGAAAAGACGGTGAAGATGCAGCAGACCTCCACGAAGAGACGATGGCGAATGGAGTAGGAGTAGAAGTCGGGGTCGGCGTCGGCGTCGAAAGGACGATAGTCGAAGTATATGGGACGGTGTAGTCCACGGTTGGACCATCCGTCACAAGATCGGTAGAGTCTGAAGTAATTGTTGCTATACAGGGATTGGAATTGAATATTTGTATGACTGACGCAATGGTTGACGTGGTTGAAACTAACGTAGGGGTGCCACCTATCATGTATACGTTATAGCCTGCGCAGGATGTCGAGAGATGGCTACAGAACAAGTCAATTTTCGACCATGGCATATTGAGGTAAGTAGGAATTGTGAAACTACCACTGAGAGGTGTAGAGCTACAGACTCTTTGACAGTACCCCGAATCTGCAGACCAAACAGCATTTCCAAGGTCACAATTTGTTTCTGCTTTGTGTTCCATTACAGTGTCGGAGGGATTTATAAACTTCCAAGCCTTACCAACCAACCATGTTCGACGATGAGTTTCCCAATTCGTGGCCTTGACTCATCAATTGATGAGGTTCAGAGACATAGCCAGGCAAATACAAACTCAGCTAAATATAGAGAAATCAGATATTCACGTCATTGTCTATAAAGAGATATCTTCAATCTGAAGAAGTATCTGCAGTTTGATTGATTAGTAGATTCCTACCATGCCTTTCCGCAAATATCCGTTCTCACCTTTTCAATATATCGCACACCAACAAGAATCCCATCTTGATCCTGTAGCTCTTTCTCCGTACCAAAAGTATTCTGGTCACCTTTATCGAGACACGTCAAGCAAGCCGTAGTGAGATTGGTATACCGCTCCCCCACAAGAACCGGCAGCCGATCTCTAGCCAGTGACAACATCTTTCTTTTGATAGCAGATGCACCTCTTTTTGGATCTTTGTCAGAGAGGGCAGCCAGGATATCTAGCTCAGCCCAGGGCACCAAGCGATCTCCATCGTCACGAACAAAAGAGCACCACAGCCCTATTTCGAGTAGACAAACCCCCAGACTATATACATCGTGTTGCATCTTGAACATATCTTCCGGCCAGGCTCCCTGCCGCTGTGGGTGGCGGTACAGATTCGCTGCCCACGACAAGTCCCCGTAAAGTTCGGTTGGGGCCTCGGCTGGTCGAATGCGCTCGAACCCAGTGAGGAAGGATTGGATTGTAATCTTGCCTGCTTCTGAAAAGACAAGGATGGTCTCCGGCCGGATGTTCTTGTGCACAAACCCCGCTGTATGGACAAACATCACTGATCGGGCGAGCTGTCTGGCGAGTTGGATACGTTGGTTGAGTGGGTATTGTGATTGTTCGATGAGGAGATGGCGGAGGGTCGTTGGTGTCGATGAGAGCCCTTGGGGAATGTCGAGAATGAATTGAAACTGGGAGGTCCTTGACCCTGTCATATCCTGTAATTCAATAACGCCATTACACTTCAGCAAGCCGAAGGTTGCTGGGTCGACATGACGCAAAAGCCGTGCGAGATTTCGAACGTAGGGCTTCACTCGTTCTGCCGGGGTGTCCGGGGGATAGTGAGTACAGTCCAAGAGAACCGATCGATCGGTATCAACATAAGCCGACATAAAAGTGTTCGTGCGGGGAATCTGCCGCAAGTTGGCTTGAACGATGGTCGAGTCACGAAAGATCGTTTCCGTGCTTTGAATACTTTCCGACATGGAGAGTTTCTTGACTGCTTGTCGCATCTGCGCCAACCTCCTGGACGCAGGGTTTTCGGGCACAGTTTGAAGCTTTTCATCCACTGTGGCGCTCACAATCCGTGTGATGAGATACCACGAGGGATCAAATTTGAACTGCCACTCCTCCAAATCAGACACAGCCTGTTTGACTTCCTTGCGCATGGAGATCCATTTAGCCTGACCTCTGAGCTTGCGCAATGAACTTTGCGGTTTCTCAGCCTCAGAATTCGTTCTGATTGATTCCAGACTCTTCCAAGCCGCAAACTCTTTGCTTTGAAGCCGGTTCAGGGCATTGAAATAATGCTCCTGCAGTGGGCCAGGCAGAGTATTCCACAGCTCCTTTAATGACTGCAACTGAACTTCAGTTTTTGTCCACAAACCGACGTATGTGTCAAACAACTCATCAAGCTCTTCGTCCATACGGGCTTGATCTTTGCATATAGCAACGGCATATTTGCCATATCTTGCACTCTTGTTAGGATCATCACAAGATCTGGAAGGGTCCAAATTACTTTAAGCACAGATCTATGGTTCCAAAGACTGCGAATCCCAATCCAGCGAGACTCACAGGATCCATTGTTTTTGAAAGTGTGGTTTGAATCAAAAAAATAAGAGGAAAGGAACGATATCGGGAATCGACCCCGCTTTCATCAGAAAATAGATGATCCTTGCAAGCTGACGGGGAAATTATTGTGCGAGCGGGGTAAAATGAGGCTCATCACAAAGACAATAGGTAGTCACCATCACACTCCTTTCGCCATCAACATGGATGACGACTTCTTCGCCGGTCATTTCAAGCTAGACGTCAGCTTAAAGGAAAACCGCAGCCGCCAGGTCTCCTACACGTCAGATCCTCGAAGGGGAATCCGCAAGAAAAGAACCGTGACCATCTGGAACAAAGGGAAATTTTTGGCACACAATGTGTATCTCGAGCGAACAGGTCCGGGAGATGTTCGAGTCGTCAAACAAATACTTCGGGAGGATACATCACTCGACCGGTGTTTAACCGAGCTGCGTGCGATGGGCAGATTGTCGAAGGAAAATACGCTCTTTGTTCAGTTTATCGGCTGGTTTGAATCATCCAGTCATTTCTATTTCGCCATGGAATACTGCCCCCTGGGGGATGTTGCTCATTGTTTTCCGAATCCGCTGTCTGAAGCAGCGACGAGGGCCATCGGCCGCCAAGTGATCGAAGGATTGAGCCGGTTGCACGAGATAAAAATCATACATCGAGACATCAAGCCGCAGAACATTCTAGTGCAGCAGAAAGACCCGATCTGGGTGAAGATTGCTGATTTCGGAATCAGTAAACGGGTCCTCGACGGAGAAACCGACCTCCGTTCTCGAGTGGGCACAGAAGGTTATATTGCCCCTGAAGTGTTCGGGATCATAGAGGTTGACGAAGAGAGCTCGAGATACACGAGCGCAGTTGACGTCTGGTCTCTGGGATGCTTACTTCACTATATACTCACCAAGGAGCCCCCATTTCCCAAACTTACTACTCTCCAGTATTACTGCTGTGATGAAGATTCAGTGTTCCCGGAGGAGAAACTGTTCACACAAGGTGTCGGAATTTCTGGACGGAATTTTATCAAGAGGCTTCTGGGCGTCGATCCTGGAGCTCGACCCAAGGTAACTTCCTTGGATATTATGACCCAGTGGAAGATTGCAGGCGCGCCCCAGATGCTGTCATCTTCTAAACCAGGGCCGTCTCACATCCAGAATGTCCTACTCGAATGCGACCAGGAGCCGAATCAAAATGACCTATCGATTCAGAATGACCCATCGGATCAAGAGGAGCAAATGGTAAAAACCATCTCTATCATCCTCAAACTGTAGCTCCTTGCGCTCATTTAACTAGGACTATTACACCCTCGAGCTTTGGAATGGAATCAAAGAGGACATCGGCATGGGGAAACTACTTGCCCTTCTTGAACAGGGCGCCAGCCCAAACAAGGAGCACAAGACCTACACTGCCTTCCATCTTAGTGCCAAACTCGGCTCTATCGAGCAGATGGAAATTCTTCTGGATTATGACGCAGACGTGAACCTCAAGAGTCGAGCCCATGCAGACACGCCCTTGCACATGGCAACGTATAGCCGGAACCCCCGGAAAGTGCAGCTGCTGATCAACCGCGGCGCAGATGTAAACGCCCATGACCCTGGTAGTGAACCAATATTGCATCAAGCTCTGACTTCGGGATGTGGTGTGGATATAATCACAATGCTACTAGGCAACAATGCATCAGTGACTGCAGAAAATCATACGGGCCGGACAGCATTACATCATGCTGTTTACTTGTATCAAGAAGACAAGGCCAGGATTTTACTAGAGTACGGAGCGAATCCAAACGCGCGCGATCTGGACGGAAGAACTCCTTTACACTCTGCCGTTGCTTCGGACAGAATAAGTTTGGATTTTATTCGACATCTCGTGGCGGTTGGTGCGGATATTAGAATCGAGGATAATGATGGACGGACGTCGTTGCACGAAGCCGTCCACCATAGACGACAAGAAGTTATCCGCTTCCTGATGGAGCAGACTCCAAATTATCGGAGTCTGTATCCGGAGCTTGAGAAACACATTGAAGTCGCACTGTCTGGGAAAAGCATGCTTGGATTGTTTCTTCCGTGAATCTATAGATAATCTATAGAAATAAAGAGATTGAACACCAGTGAGAACAGGAGGTCCATGACATATCAAGAGGTTATCGGTGTTGCGTCATCGTCAGTATATGACTCAATCGGTCTTGTATCAACCTGATCCTCGACGGATGGCACTCGCACGTGGCTGCGTCTGAAATACCGCCTGAAACCATTGAGAAACTGGATGATCTTGGGGAACGGGTGGAACATTCTTATCGGCGGACCGAATACCAATGGGACATCCTCTAGGAAGGTGTGTTCCGACTCTCTGATGAACAGGAACACCAATAGGAGGCAAACAGCTGTACTGATGCTGAATAGGTGGAGGTGATGAGAAAGAGCACTTGAAGTTGATAGGAGGCATACTCACGAAAAGAGGAGAAAAACATCGACATGGAACGATTTATGTATGTATAGTAGACCCATCCGTACTATAATAATTTGACTCCCTAGATAGACGCAGATGGACAGCGCCATCCCAACATCTACAGAGCTTTAGCATTGTGTCCACGAGGATTTGGAATCACTTACCTCGGTATTGCGCAGGAAATATCTCGACAACGTAGGGAAACGGATAGGAGCTCGGCCCACTAGCAGAAACCCCTGCAGCGAAATAGCACAGGAACACCAGGAGTGATTTTCCCAGCAGAGGTATAGAGGCTGGTAATGATAGTAATGATACCCCAATCAGAAGAAGAAGCAAAGATAGCAATACCATATTGCGAAGATATTGATGACGTCTTTCAACATGAAACACTACCAATGGGATGAATGCGAACTCAGGAAAGGTGATTAGGACAGCAAAGACTATCCACGGACGAAGGATCAATGTCAAGAGGAAGTATAAGCAAACCATCGCGCTGGTGCCCAGAGCCCCTGACACCATGACCGTAACTGAGGCGAGAGTTATCCGTCTGAGTCTAGGTGTTGTAAATAGCTGAGCAAATCGCAATATAGTGTCATTGAGACTGGGGGACGACCTTCGTTGTCCTACTCGTGAACAGATCTGACACAGTTCCCGTGCAGCCCGGATATCTGAATTCTCTAATTGGCGGAGGTCCTGATAAGCCTGCTTCATGTAGCCATGAGCCACATTCCAGCGGGGTGATTCGTTCGCAAACAGGAGAAAGATCGGGACAAGAAGAGTGGCCATGATTCTGACGGGTTCACGAAAGGGCCGCACGGGCCGCACGAGCTGCACGAACAGAAATCCCTCAATGTTCATGTTGTCCGCCACGCCAAACATGTATCCTACAATTATTGCCCTAGGTAATTATTAGCAATATGTAACAATATAACACTCCTCCCAGTGGAGAGCGTACGCGGACCAGCAAAGGTGTAGCGAGCTGCGCCTATACGATGAGCAAATCTCTGCTAAGTAGATTGGGGTCGTGCAAGTCACGACTCCATCGCCCACACCGGCAATAAAGTCTAGAAGACGAATAGTCCAAAATTGTCCCGGAAATGCAGGAAGTGCAAAGAGAACGGCAGCCAGCATCACAGCCATGACTTTTGCGGTTGATGCTGAAAGCATTGCACCGCGACGGCCCCGAACGTGGTTCACAACAGGCGCCCAGCAGGTTCCAATGAGAGCGCCGCAGATGTAGAGGACACTGTGAAACAAAGTCAGAGTTTGATACATAGAGAATGGTGTTTTACTCACTCTACAAAAGACTCGAACTTGAAATCCAAGCTTTCCCCGTCTGTCCGGATGGTGAAGGGGAAAGAGAGCGAAAAGAATTTCCATCCGCTGACACGACACCATTAGCATGTACAGGTCGAATGGGGGTTCAGGTGTTCTTACAAGAGGATACCATGAACAGCAGCAAAAATTATTGATGTGCCCAACTTCCGTGATTTTCTGGGTACTGGTGCCTCCTGCAGGTTTGCTTTCTCTTCGAGAGTAAGTCCATCCACACGCTCCAAGTCTGAGGGATCATCTGCTAAGAGAGCACCCTTTCGTAGTACATCTCGTAGATGATCCAGATTATGCTGCGTGACAAAGGTATCAACTTCACTTAGGATCCGGCGCACATCCCGATGAGTATCATGACTAGGCCGGTTATCAGTGTTTCAGCCGACAAGCGGGAGATTCGTACCTGCAAGATTCGTGTCGCTGAAGATTGCCTAGAGCGAGATAGGTCTCCCCGAGCTCTGCCATGATGCACGATCTTGCCCTCCACCAATGGGATGGAAGTCATTAGGCTTTTTGGTTTTGACCGCGGTGACTGCAGTGAAAAGATGCCTAGAGTGTTTTGAAACGGGGTATTCACCGTCTAAGCGTAGATCAGACCGACATGTGATGGAACTGCAGAGCCTGCATGGTCTCACGTGAAGTCACGCGGCCTGTATACAGCCTCGTCTTACCCCGCACCGGAGCCTCATTTTTAGCATCACTCTCTATTGCCGTGTTGGTCTTTTCGCGTGATTTTGGGCGCATATTTCAAGAGCTAGATTCCCATGGCTCTGGGAGATCTACGATGTTGATGTGTTCTAAGAATGAGAGAATGACGAGATACGTTAGATCTAGCGGCTCCTCAACGAACCCGCTATTCGGTTCTGGATCTTATGTGATTGCTGTATTGTGAATCTCTGTATTCGGGGGGATTTAGGAAGAATCAGATAAACAACTGTTCATCAGACGAAGGGCACTCTCCAACTGCTTCGATATATGAGAAGTTGAACGTGCTAGTAGGGTGGAAGATTGTGCCACAGATGTGTTTCTGACTCATTTCAACTTTCGCTTAGCTAAGGAGATAAAAGGCCTCGAAATTTTTGGTGGCGCAAGTACTTTTCCATTTTAATGAAAATGACTTACCAGAATATGGCTTCTTTAATCCAAAATGGGGAAATGATCGATATTGGGCGTCAGTTGCCAAGGTTTATTCAGCGACTATTACGGGCCCCAAGAACCCATTCAAATCCATGCACATGTGGATCGGGACTACTAGTTCTTTTGAAGACCTCACCCGAATTTAATGAAGTACTACAGATAACTGGGATATTGTGGCGTCATTTGTGGGCATTCACTAAATTTGGTCCTTATTTCCTACTAACCTTGCGAGATACAGGCGTTCATCCGACCACACAGTTGGACCAATTGAGAAAGTTGCATTAGCCCCAAAAGCAAGTTCACCCCCACTGGGCTGAGCCCGGGGCTACTACTCCTTGTGACTACTTCGCCCAGTCATGGCACATTGCAGATAATGCGGTTCTGCGGCGGTCCTGAAAGATCATCTAAGGTATGGAATGCGCGGTTGCCTTTTCTGGATTAGGGTATGGTTGAACACCAATCAGCTGTGTGTAAGCGAAAAGGTGATTGGTGACGACACGATCAGTGCATGAGAAGCCTCGTATCTGCATAAGACCCTAAAAAGTTTCTTAGGGATCGAACTAAAAATAATCTAGTGCTTCCACGTGTGTGTTCCACCATAATTCACTAGCGTCGGCATTAATATATGGGCATCTACTTCTTTTGCATGAATTAAAATTTGAAATCTTGTCAGCTCTTGGCACTATACTAATATGAATGAGCCTGTTCCTTGTCTGTTCTAGAGTTTTTGCGTCGTGGGTTCTTAAAAAGCCCACAAGATGAGGAAATGGAAACAGTCGGCCTACGGGCTTGTGCCAGTCGAGGAACAGCAGTCGGATTCGAGTCCAGCTGGAGACTTTCCTTTGCATCTCTATCATAGAACAGTTAAACAGCCTGTGACGAGCCTCGAGAGGCCGACAAAACCTCCACCACAGCCTCTTGAGGCCTCGTGGCTGGTTAAGGGTCTACGTCTCGCATTCGATTTGACTGTGGGATCTGTGGCCTTGCTCTTCGCTATATTCGGTATCTGGGTTTATCAAATTGATGGAAGCCCAGCTGGTCCAGGGTCCACCGGCTCAAAACTTTTTAAGGTCTCTCAATATGTAAGCGGATCCTATTTTATACTTGGACCACTCTCTTCATATATTCGCTCAGTCATAACTCACAACAAATTCTCTTAAAGGCACCCACCATCTTCCCGGTCCTATTTGCTGCTATCGCGGGCAGTTTTATGAGCAGTATTGCCGCTTGGCGCATCCAAACAAGTCGAGGGGCGAGTATAGGGCTGGTGGAACATTGTCTAGGCAGTCAGACTCTCTCAGGGGCATTCCTAACACCGATAAGGCTACGAGCCTTCAGTCTTTTCACCGTCGCCACAATTTTTCTATGGATCTTATCTCCATTGGGCAGCCAGGCAGCTCTTAGGGTAGTTTCCATCGTGACTAGCGACTCAAGTAGCCCCAAGCACCTGGCTACTATGAACACTTTCACTGAGTACCAATACGGCTATGCTGAAGGGGTTTCGGAGGCCCTAACAACGGTGGCAAACCCTGTCATCGCTGCCATATCGGCGGCCTCACTTCTTGGAACCCGAAATCAAGATCTATGGGGTAACATCCGTTTTCCCATGATTCAGAATCTCAATAATACAAGCGATGGCTGGACGGATGTGCCCCAGAACAACAATTTGACATACGCCTCGCTTATCGGCACACCAGTCAGTGTTTTGCCTAGTTCAGGCCAAACGGCCTTTACCCTTCCAGGCTCTTATCTATCAATATCTTGTCCGATTTTGGGTATATCAAGCCAGACCGGATTTACCAATTATTCAAGCCCAGGCACCCCTGCTCCTGATAACTGGAACGACTGCACCTGGTCGAGCTCCACTGGTGGCTCTCAGTACCAGATCGCTATTTCAAAACCATGTTCTGGATATAATGTATCGATGGATCAGGGAGATCGTAATGCCCGATTACTCGTATGGGAATCTTCAGGAAGTTATGCCAAATGCAGCCTCACCACGTTATATGTCGACATCAACGTGACATGCACCGAGAGTGTGTCCGGAAGTTCATCCACGAGCACCTGCAACATATTTTCTGCTCGCCGCTCGCTCACGCCTCAGTTTAAAATCAACTGGACCGTTCTTGACATTGGCACTGGTTCCGTCGATGCTGGTTCTGTCCTGAAAATTTTAACCGGCTTGTTTCCTGACGCCCAATTATCTGGCGGCCAACAACCGGTTCTGGTTTATTTTACCAATCCATATCATGCTGTGGGAGACTTTGATACACCCGAGCCAATTTACAATGTTGGTCGCAAGGTGTTCGAGACCCGTCTGGCTCAGCTTCTCAACTCAGTGCTCTACATGGGGATCAGCCCATCTGCATTCACAGGCTCTTTCAATTCTTCGGGTATTCTCCCGGGAGGCAGCGTCCTCAAAATTGCAGCGACCACCACCCTTCAGCAAGAAGTCGTCCAGTGTAACCTGGCTTGGCTTGGTGTGCTCGTTGTTGCGTCTTTGACTATTTTTGTTTGCGCACTAATCGGCGCATTTCTGCGCATTACAAGGTTTAGCCCCGATGTTCTGGGGTCAATATCGGTTGCCCTTTTGCATAACAAAATTAGGGGAATAGCTGGGTCCTCTACGTGGTCCTCTGATGAGTGGGCGAGGAAATTAAGAGACACGAAACTTTATCTTGGAGATATTGAGCCTGGGGCTGAGGTTGGTTGTATTGCCCTAGCGACCTCTGTGCAGGATGTGGATCTTAATCTGATAAAGGGGAGGAAATATATTTAATTCTCAAGATATGATTACGGGGATTGCCACACCAAGGCGACCAATCTCAAGCGTGTGACCTTGGAATTGGGTGGAAAATCACCGGCTGTTGTGTTTGATGACTGCAATCTGGATAATGCTGTGGAATGGTGCGTCAATGCAATCGCGAGAAATACCGGTCAGGTGTGCTTTGCTGCATCCAGGGTGTATGTTCAGGAGGGGATCATCGATCAATTCACGCAGAAATACAAGGCCGCTCTAGAGGAACGCGCTAAGACTATCGGTGGCCCTGACAGCGATGAAACACAAATTGGTCCGCTGGTGGATGAGGCCCAGTTCCAGCGCGTCACCGGGTTCATTGAGCGTGGCGCTCAACAAGGAACTCTGTTGACTGGTGGAAAACGTGTTGGGGATAAAGGCTTCTTTGTGCAGCCAACCGTCTTTACTGGAGTTGAGTCCGACGCAGAGATCTATCATCAAGAGATCTTTGGTCCCGTCTCGATTCTCAACTCCTTCAAGACGGAAGAGGAAGTTCTTCGTAAGGCCAATGCGACTGAGTATGGTCTCATGGCAGGCGTTTTCACACAGGATATCAACAAAGCCATGCGAGTTGCAAGTGAATTTGAATCGGGGATGGTCGGGATCAATTGTGTCAGCGTAAACTTCTTGAACGCACCCTTTGGTGGACGTAAGCAGAGTGGTCTCGGTCGCGAGTGTGGTCGAAGTGCACTTGAACACTTCACCGAACCCAAGACTATAATGAGTAACCTCACATATTAGGCAAAATGTTTGTGTGAAACACATCTTTTATTCACATTTAGCACATGTGCATCACAATATAATCTCACTTGTCCTGAGCCTCTTCTTTCCACGTTTCAGATTTGTTTACAATTCGCCCATTTAGTTAAACGCTAGTCCAATAACTTACGCTCCCATAAATCCGCAGTCTTGATCAAATGAATAGGGTCCAGACCAAGCCCCTCAAAATTGGTATTCCGATGATTCGACATGAATGGAACGGTAGACGTCTTTTGGCAGCTTCGCCTGTCACCATGCAGGTGATCTACGTTTCGAAGCTCAATTCCCATCTTCACAATTTAAGTTGGATTATCTGCTGAGAAATGGATCAGAGAGTAGCCAGTCTCCCCTGTAATGCGACGCCACCGCGGCTGTAGGTTGGAACAGATGTGCCGATGGCAATTTGCTTTCCCGTCACGCCAGCAGAAAATTATTTACCGCACATCTACACGGGTCGGTGAAGTCGCTACTGCTGGCTGGTTTTTGGATCAGGTCGGTGTCTTTGTCAGTCTAGTCCTGATTGTATTCACCCGTGGGGCTCTTCCGATCATCCCCGAGGTTTCTCCCGAGTTAAATCGATCGAAATTGATCGAGAGCTGAAGAGCCTGGGAGGTTTCGGCGAATTAGCACTCCCAGGGAAATGGTTGGATGGAGCTAATGATTTTCACACTAAGCAGTATTTTTCGCTAGCGTAGAACAAACATCAACCTCATGCTGTGGTCGAACATGGATATAAGGCTCAGGAGCACTCCCAATTCGGGAAGTGCGGCCATGGAACGCGTCCAGCGGAATGTGTGGGGTCACCAGGTACCAGGAACCAGGCACCATGCGATCGAGGAGAAGCTGGCCCGCCGCCAAGATTCTGGAAATCGCTGGGGAGATGATATTGCATGTGCGAAATCGAGGAGAACCATGGCTCGCCACTCAGTAATGTGGGAAGCTCAGGGATGAGGAAGGCAATTCAGGTGAACGGGCCAGGAGTGGGTACCGAAGTGGTTCCAGCAGGCAATTAGCCCGACTGAAAACCATGGAAATTGATTTCGATGTCTCTGATGAACTGGATAATGGGTCTGTTGGCGCATAGACTGTAAATTAACACTGTTGAATCGATTACCCGGATGCTCAACCGTGGAACGAAATTGCAGATCACCATATGCACATCGATAACATTCTCGTCTTAGACTCGAAGACAAGATTTGTAATCATCTTGACCTATTAATGTCAGGTGACCATAGGAAAACGTGACGCCATTTGTCCCACAAGGCAGTTATGGCCGTTATCTCCTAAACCCGCTACAGAACTCCTTATTCATGCGGAGTCCGGAGTACAGTGTCTGATCCCAGTTTGCCACCTTCATGGCTGTACACCACTTGGAATGGTGATTATGAAAACTTTCAATAACGGAAACGCTGAATCATCGGATATTTTTAAACTCAATCCGCTACTCAATTTCTAGCAACCTGAGACTCCAATAGCGTACACATTTCCACGGCATCAGTGATTTTCAGATCAACCAGTAATTGAATATGTTTATCTACTTTTGGCTCATTTCACCTCCCTATCACAGTCAACTCCGACAAGCTGAGTCGGGGGACATACCGGGACCCACAAAACCAGTACCCAAAGGGAAAGGGGCAAATTGGAATTGGCCGCCTATAATATCCCGTGAAATACGCAGCTCGAGGGCAAGCTTCAGGCAGGGGTATTAAAATTGCATACGGAAAACTTCCACAAACACGTGGCTCAAAATTCAGTTCAACCACGAGGCATGACATCGAGCAGAGTTGATTTCCAAGGTTCTTAACTTTTGAACATTGTTAACCCTGATCACTGTCTAAGCATATCCAGCATGGACATGATCTGCTTGTACTGTGTGGGACTCCGAATGGAGATCTGCACTCACCGAAATTTCTTCGGTCTCGTTTCCCTGCAGAACATTGAATTGTTAAGCTTCTCATCACGCTAGTGGCTGAGACTAGTGGCTGAAGATCCCACAGGGGGCAAATGTGGAGCAAAACATGTGGAAAGTAGTTGCTACTCCGTAGTTTGAATTGTTTGATAATTTTTAGGGCAGGAAATCCCGTCAATCCTCCCGCGTCAATCACTTGCAATGTTCCTTGTCCTGAATAAAGGTGGGGCGGCGGGTTGAAAACTAGTCTTCAGGGGTTTTTGGTTCAGACCCAGTCCACTAAAGTTTCTTAAAGATGTCCAGCTGCCGATTTTGCAATCCAACCGTGTCGGTCGCTCAAACCATACACATACGCCATGACGAGCTTGATGTCGAGTTTGATAGCGCAGTGGGCGCTGTCTGAACAGACCCCTCATGACAGTTACGCTCTCAAACCCCGCAAATATGATTCGAAGGAATCTGTGGCAGCCAATTCAGCGAATTCGGCAGCTGGATCGTGGATTATTGATCCGCTTCCTCCGCTTCAACGCCGTGGTTTGACTGCCATCGGGGCATTGGCGCTGGTCTCTCTCGTTTCCACCTTCTGTCTGCTGAGTTTCTTCACCTACCGGTTCATCTTTTGGAAGAAATACTACAAGCGCTACATTGGTTACAACCAGTACGTGGTGTTGATGTACAACTTGGCCTTAGCAGATTTCATTCAAGGTCTTGGGTTTATTGTTAGTCTACGATGGATTGACCAGAACTCCATTCACGCCGAAGACCCGGGCTGCTTTCTACAAGGTATCTGGCTTCAGATTGGTGACCCGATGAGTGGGATGTTTGTGCTGGCGATTGCATTGCACACATTTATGCACGTTAGCCTTGGTCGCCAGATCAGTCATCGCGTCTTTGTGTCCATCGTTGTCGGTCTCTGGATTTTTGGTATCGTCCTGGTAGTCATACCTATTGGTATCTATGGTTCCCACGTTTGGATGCCGTCTGTCGCCTGGGTAAGTCTTTTCTGTCACTTTTATTATGAGTCCTTTGATGACTGACGATCTCTCTTTGAACAGTGTTGGATGACCACCCAACATCCCGTGCTTCGACTCTTCACCCACTACTTCTGGATCTTCGCCGCCCAGTTCCTAAATCTTGTTCTATATGCCATCATGTTCTTCCAGCTCCGACGCAGGATGGCCCAGTCAAAGATCTTAGGATCCAGTTACACCGAAACTCTCAAGCGCATGAACCGAGTTGTCTCGTACATGGTGCTCTATCCCATTGTGTATATTTGCCTCACACTTCCCTTGTCGGCCGGTCGCATGGCATCTGTCAGCGGCAGTTCGCCAAGTGTGACATACTTTTGTGTCGCAGGTGCCCTAATGACTCTCTCTGGAGCCTGCGATGTCGCCCAGTACACATTGACCCGCAAGAGCATTGTGCTGGAGTCGGAGACCCGATCGAAGGAGCCTTCGCGCGACAAGTCGAAGCAAGGCTACGGCAACATCTACTCCAGGGGTACTGATGACAAAGGTCCATTCACTACCGTTTGTGCTGCCCAGGCCGGCAGCTCGACCGAAGCCATCGTCAAGCAAGAAGACGTTGAGTTGACAACTGTTGACCAAGTATTCCAGCATACGACGATCACGGTCACCCATGAGCCTGCTTATAATGGCCCTGATGGGCCTTCTTTTAACGAAGCACATGAGCATGGGTATTAGTATATGTTCAATGCCCCGACCAGCACTTTTTACGGACTATTCCTCGCTCCATCTCACCATACGTTCTTTTAATTTTTCATATTGTACATATTTCATCTTCATGATACCCTTTTTGTTTCGCATATACTGTCTCTATTACTGAGTGTCTATGAATACTGAGCCGGTGTTTCATTTTCATGAGCATGATCCGCCTTAACTCAGACAGGCGGGGATTATTCCATCGCAGCAAATTTTCCCTTTGATCACAACACGCAGCGATCGGAAATAAAATTTATTCCTTGAGCAAGTGGAGACCATATGACCCACCTACGCTGAAGTCTAAAGTGAGACACTAGGCTTGAGTCGTAGTCAGGAGTCGAGAGTTGGCTTCTGCGGCAAAAGGCTAGACCTGTGGGGATACGGCCTCTGCCATGCCTTTCCATCGATGTTATTCTTCGCCAAAAAAAATTGAGATGTCATCAGGTCTGTCAACCAATTCAACCCGCCTCCTTAAATAAATTTGTGGCATGAAACGTAGGGACTTCTTTTTGTTTTTTGAACTGGACAATGCCTCTTTCATGAAAATTTGTAAGTTTTTACCTAAAGCTTCTTATCGGTCTCACCTTGCTGCCAGACCGGACAATCCCCTCACCGATCCAGTAGATTTCCTTAGCGGTCATTCCTTTTCCCAGCAAGATTTGAATGTGGCCGCCGGGATTTTCACATACGCACCGACGTGGCTGCGGAAAGGGAATCCACGTCACCACACAGTGATGTCGCTATCCTCCATTTGATCGCCTGGGCCTGCAGCCTGTCGTTTCTTGTAAATGCGGCGAGAAAGTCACTGAGGGGCCGACGAGTACGGCTTATTGGCGTTGTTGATAGTTCTCAAGTGCTCTAGCAGTAGAAAACTGTCTATGGCGGCACCTTTTGGCTTGTTTTTTGACCCCTATAGATGGCCTCGGCGCTTCACCACGACTGTGAAGTCCCGGGTGTCCTCTAGTGTATGTTCAATAATTTGTTCGATGGGCCGCTCGACTCGCTGTAGGTTGGACTGTTGCGCGGGTCGTTGTGCAGATTCGTCTCCCCATGACCGGCTGTTTATTTGACACTCTGGATAACCGGATCCGTCGCATCACTACATACAGATACGAATCACAATTGAATGCTGCCACAAAAGAAGGAGAGAAAGATTCCAACATCCTCTTCTATGGTGTCAGTGCTTCGGAGGATACAACGAAATTCCAAAGTCGAATCCTCCTAATTCCTGAAAGTCCCTTGCCCGTAAGGTCCCGAGGTCGCTTTCTGGTAGCCTTAGAATTAAAAGTTGAAGTCAGGAAGTGGACGGACGATTCCACGGCCTTATAGAATCTCTCTCTTCGACCATTGAATTGATGCTCGTGCGAGCGTTGTTCCCTATCTCTTCTGGCGACATCTTGGGCTTGCAAGTATCTTCTTTCCAATATCGTTTGCCGGGTCTACTTGAAGGGCCTATGGCCCTGGCTACTGTAATTGCACTGCATTTCGATGTCTATAAACGCCTTTCCCATAATTTACATGATATTGGCCCTCACATTAGCCAGACATCTGGCGACGCGAGTATCCAAGACCTCTACATCCAAGAAAATCAGGCGACGGGGTCATAGAGAAATGGAAGTAAACAAGAATATGCTTATCAATGTGGCGCAAAAGTGGCAGAACCTTAGGCCGTGGGTGGGTCCAGCCAAGAGTAAAACAAACTCCCTGGCTTATCATTGGCTGTGACATACTACTATGTGGGTCGGTGCCCAAGTAACCTGAGGCCGCTCAGGAGGTTCCTCCAGGACGTTGATGTTGTATTTTGCTAAGAATGATTCTGCAGAGAATCTCTGCATGGCTCATAGTAGCAAACATTATATCTCACTCTCCCTTGGCTGATATTCATCTCGCTTGCAGAAGCGGGGCTTGCCTGGGATATGAATATCAGGAAGTTTTCCCCCCAAACTCAACTTTCTTCCGTCTTTTCACGACTATCAACTTGCCTTCACAATCGGTCTCCTCCAAGTTTATATTTGATGACCTCTTGCATCCACCACAACATGAATTTGTCTGCATCCATTTTTTTGTTCTTTCATCCATCCTCTGATGACCTGCATCCTTGATGACTTTATCTGTTGAGAAGTATTGTTCTCTAGAACAATACGAAGTGGAAACTGCAATGTGGCTAGGAGATTGTACCTCATTATTGGTAGAGATGCTCGCCCAAGGCTAGTGACTTGGCAGCGCGACCTGAAGTCAGCCCCCCAGATCGGCCCAAGATCGAACCACAATCGGTACATGATCGGGATCTTCGCGAACTATTTAACCATTAAGGTCCAACTTCCTCCCGGATCGCACGACCTCTGAGCGCAATCTGGTTTCAAGGTCGCCTGCCATATATGATTGTGGATTTAGAAGCAGGAATAGTCAATAATACTTACCGCCTATGTCCTCCTTTTCGCCTGCCCGAAAAATCAAACATTATGATAATTTCACTTTGAAATCGATAGTGCCTTTAAGTGGTGGCGATCAGTCCTGTGATTCGACTTCTCACAGCTCGATCGATAAGCGGTGTATATCTTTGCATGATGGTCCAATAATTGATGCCCTTACATGACAGGAAACGAGGATCGACCATGATTCTACGCTTTCCGGTGGCCTTGTCAAATAAACGGGCTCAGCTCGCACCTCAGACAACTTCTGATTGTGGTATGTTTAAAGAAGACGGCGTCTCTACAGTTGTCTCAATCTGCTAGATCTACGACAAAATCCGAACCCCCAAAGTTTGCAGCGACGATGCGAGCGAGTTATATACTTTATCTACTCCTTATTTCTCGCTTCAATAATGGCGGTACCGATTAATGAGCGCTCATCGGGATTGTTGACTGAGCATCAGGTAAGATCCCCCAGGACTGACGGACGGCGATCAATAGGAGTAAGTGATGATTGCCCTCGCTGAAGAATGATAAATGCGTGACCAGAACTGACAGACAGTGATTGATAGCCTGTAAGTGATAGTCTTTTCGTCAAATAATAATAATTCGTCAAATAATAATAACTGCGTGACCAGAACTGACATACGGCGATTGATAGCCTGTAAGTGATGGTCACCTTGGCTGAAGAACGATAGCAGCGTGGCTAGGACTGATTCCCAGAACAGTAATTAAGGTCTGTCTGGTGGTCTACAGTGATGTCTCACAAGTACTATTTGACCTCGGAGTAAAGTGCAGTAGGTCACTTTCGGCATGCCGGACTGGTAATTGACGAGTTATACGCGGCCAAATGATCGATTAGCTTCAAATGCCTGGACTACAACGTTGAGAATCTAAGAAAGAAAAAAAGGAAAAATAACATAAAGCTAGGACTGATATATTTGTCTATTGATTCAAGCTTCGAGACCCCACAAATCAACTTCAATTCCAACGCCCTGTGCGCTCCGGCTGTTTTTTGGTTACCGGAGAATTCCATTGGTAAGGTGATGTTGCGATGGAAATTATCGCTTCCCTGTCGCGTCGCTTGCAACTAGATGACCATCATGCCCAAGAACGACAAGAGTTCGTCTGTTACATTTCCCGAGCCGGGGCATACCAAAATCCCGAAATCGAGGCTGCGCGCATGTGTTGTACATAGTTGATATTCTTGACAGGTTTTACAGCATTTAGAATAAGGTGAAAGCCTGCATTACTCGTGATTGCACCATCAAATAGACTTCATCGATTGGCAAACTATTCTCCGACGATGGATCGCCATTGATATTTGATGTGCAACGCGCCCGTTCGATGTAGATCCGGCGTTTGACGAGTAGCTAATGTGAACTAAGCCAGATCTTCCAACTACCTCCACACTCCATAGCAACACCACAGATCCTCACGATGTTGAACACTCACGACTATAAGCGGTCCAGTCCGAACGTCTTTATCGTAGTGGGTCCCATCCCCCCATCTTCAACTTCTGAATGCCGCACCGCTGCACATGGAGCGCTCTGAAACGCCCATAAAATTGAATCGCCATTGGAGAAGACGAACATACGCGGCCGATTGAATTCACAATCTTATATTGAGTGTTGAAAATCGAGAGGATTTGACAAATTTGCTATGGCGAGCAAATTATTCCGCACCGTAGCCATTTTCCGCACTGGGGCTTATCAGGCTTTGTCAGGCTTACATATTCGGTCGGGTTGGTCGGGTTTATGCCCGACCCGCTTACAATTACGGGCATTGCATTTAGCGATATCATTGGACCCGTATTTCCGCATGTTATAATCAGGTGGGGCTATCACGCGGAATCCCCAATCTTCATTGGCCCTGATTTTTTAACACGTTCTTGGATTAGAAACCAATGGAATGAAAATTGGAAACTAGCGATGCTATTATGGGATCCGAAAGTCGAATTGGATTTGGTTCAGGTCCCCATACTAGAGAGAGATAAAAGCCCTCGATCCACCGTCCTGTCTGTTTTTCTGTCTCAATCATTTCCCCCGCTAATAACTCCAAACACCTTCAAAATGGGCTCCACCGCTGTTGAATTCAAGAACCCCGCCACCACCACTCTTCTTGAGTTGGTCAAGTCTCGCCGCACATACTATGGCCTCAAGGGCGAGAGCCCCATCTCTGATGATGCCATTGAGCGCATTGTTGAGGACTCCGTTCTCCACGTCCCCAGCTCTTTTAACACACAGACCTCCCGTGTTGTCCTTCTCCTGAAGGAGGAGCACAAGAAGGTGTGGGATATCGCTATCCGTGCCATGGAGGGTCTCGTTGCCGCTGGTCACATTACCAAGGAGTCCTTCGAGACTGCCACCAAGCCTAAGCTCGAGTCTTTCCGTGCCGCTTACGGAACCGTATGTTTACCCCGAGGCTGGAACCTCAACCGATTGCGCAGCATTCGGTGTACAAAGTACCATTTTGCAAATTTCTAATGATGGAATAGGTTCTTTTCTTCGTTGATTACGAGTCCCTTGCCCCTATCAAGGAGAAGTTCGCCATCTACGCCGACAAGTTCGACCCCTTCGCCCTGGAGTCCAACGCCATGTCTCAGTACCTTGGTAAGTCTTTGAATTTCTGCAACCCATGTACGCGACATCAATTCTAACATTGAATAGTCTGGCTCGCTCTTGAGTCCGAAGGCTTCGGTGCCAACCTGCAGCACTACAGCCCTCTGATTGATGCCGAGATTACCAAGACCTGGGATCTCCCCGCCTCTTGGAAGTTGGATGCCCAGCTGGTCTTCGGTACTCCCACTTCTGAGGCCGGTGAGAAGGCTTTCCAGCCTCTTGAGACCCGCCTGAAGGTCTTCGGCAAATAGACATATATTTATAAAGACAATATAGAGAGACTTATTAGATACGGTGCTTAGATCATCGAACTTTGGGTCTACAAATCATACATATAACGGTTTCAAAGAACCACGAACAAGAAACATATCTTTTATCAATTCTTCCGTAAGCAATCTCCATTAGATAACCATCAGACATAGATCGCGTCTTGCGGAGCAGGGCGGCTGCACGTGGACCGTTCCTCTTAGTTAGGATTGTCTCTCTCGCTTTGATGAATCTCACGCTCGTGACGACTTCATAAATGACAGTAAGACCAGAGCTCTCTCAATAGAAGCGGTGTCACCACGGGTACGGTAAGTGTCGAAGAATTTGGGGAGAACTTCTCCCTAGAATTTTTTATCCGGTTCTTTGAATATGGACTTATCGGAGCTAGGAATATGGGTCAGAGCCTGAGCTGCGCCATGGTCTTGATCAAATGCTGCCGAAACACGATGGTGGTTTTCAAAGTCCCGCCGGAGATTGGAGGGTCATGTCTCGTCGCCTGGGTTTTCTTTCTTAAGGACGTATTGCTTCATAGTGACTTCGAAGCGGTACCTCGTAGTCCACCACTGATTTGTTTGTTCGCTAGAGATTGGTTTAGAAACGCGCGCTTTGGAAACGGTGGCTGAATGATGAGGATCCATAGTGACTTTTTCTTTGCAGATGGGGGTTGTGGAGGATGAATAGTGAGGATCATTGGCGAGAATTGTTTTGAATGGTTGTGGAGGATGAATGGTCTTTGGACAATATAAAGTGAGGTTATATAAAATGAATGGGAAGTGAATGGTGAAGTGAAAGAAAATTCAAACTAGGCATAAATAAGCGGGTTAGCAAGTCTGAGGTAGCTTCCTTTCTGCTGGTTCGTGTCTTTAGCTCTTCTGGGTAAGCTAGTTACCCTTTCAATCTATTACGCACCCAGTCAACCCTCTATTTAGTCTATAAGTCAGTTACTCAATTACTCAATCACTCACCTACTTAGTGCTTTGCGTACTATCCCACTTATTCGCCAATGTATAATGCTTTTATTGAATCACGGGAGTCAGCTCCTCGTACTCTCTTTGCATATATCCCGGGGTATAAAGATGGCATTATTCTTCTTATCAATTCTTTCCTGCAAATTTGAAATTCGGTTGATTCCCATCTCTCTTTCATATAGTCACCTTAAACTTCTCCTACCTATCATACGCCACTGGAGCATGTCCTTACTATTATAGGGGCTTCCAGAGCTAGGTAGTGGGGTTCCAATCTCATGTCTCTTCTCTCTTCGATAATTTTTTTCTAAAACTCATCTGGGCGGCCTCCAATCAGCGTGACGGAAATCCAGGTCCGAGATTGTATGATGACGGGCTTAGGGGTATATTGAGGACAAATATAACACTGATAGGTGCTCTGGATGTTGATTCATTCGTTGGGAAATACCAGTTATGGATGCAAAGTAGCTGGTCTAGGTTGCCGTCGAATAATGGACGTCCTGAGCGACAAAGAATCCCCTCCTTGATCGAGAACTATGATAAGACAGAAAGGATCCGAATGAGAAGGGATAGCGGTGGGACACCTGAAAAATCCCAGGGGAGCTTGTGAGTCTGCGTGAATACTATGTCTGTTTCTGTATTGACTTAATGTCTAAGCCTGTTATTCAACCCTCGTGTTTAGGTGTGTATCTAATGCGGAGTGCCATAAGACTCCTCATCAATCATAATGATGGGCATGTAGCAGTCTTCGGAGACCATATTTCACACTGTATCGCTGCACGGTCAGGAACAGCCCGCCTGCCATGACCAGGTTAAAGACATATATATATGTATTCTATATTTTGGAGCCCCAGTGTATCATCGTCTTTATCACGGTGAACTTCTGGGTCTAACTTTGCCAAAATAACAATATTGCGTTCATCGTTCATCCATGTTACGATATTCCCCTCATCCCTATGAAATTCTACTGGAAAGCAAATGTATATTGAGTTTGGATGGGGGTAGCATCAGTTAATTCTTACAGCCCAATCGAATAACTTTAATACGATTCATGTCCTTCTTCATCCCGTCCATCCAACTCCTTTCCAAAAGTATCACCATCCTCTTCCTATTCCTCACAATATAGACCCCGATGAACATCCACCGACACAGACTTATCTTCCCGTGGTCGCTATATGGCTCTCCGCAGAAGAACTACCAGTTCGTGCCACTATCTTCCACGGAGCAGATCATATGGCCACACCCAAATGTTCTATCACACAATATTTCGCATCCTGGGCATGTCTTGATACGGACCGTGTCTTTCTAAATCGCCCCATGCAAAGAATTCCAAGTTCTCCTCGGCCCCTGCGAATTTAGCGGAATCATCGTTTTCAGCGGCCAGTGTTGGATATATATATATAGGTGGGACCAGCGAGATGGTGCACCAGTCATATACCACGATTCGTCAACAACCAAGCTAATAAACCTCTTCACAGGGTTACAAATGAAAAATATAGCGCGCGTAGGTGGGAAACAGCAGCAGAGAATCGTCCTAAAAGAGCACGAGAGAAGACAATCCAGGTGTTAGTGGATGCTAGGGCCGCGATGGTTTATGATAATGCAGCTGGGAAAACGCCGCCCTATCCTTCTCGCCCGGTGGTTGATATCCGTCTTGCTGCTGAGCCCGACCATTGACGTGTAGACAAACCCTCTGTTGGAGTCCCATATACAAAGACAAAAATCATTAGCTATGGATGCCATGCAGTGTCTGTTCTTGCGGCGCGACCTGTCCCGCCCGGAAACTCCCCCCTTTAGAATGTGGTGGACCTATACCATTGAAGAAACGGTGCTTTGGCCAATTCTTAAGATGATAGTCTTCTGACTCCGAAGCAATCGCGGACTTTTTAGTTCATTCGAAAGAGACCCACTGTAGCTCGTTAAGCTTAACTCTTTATTGTATGCCCGCGTTTCCAAACACGTCAGACCGAATCTTTAGCTCTTTCCGCGATTTTCCGATTGTTGTAAAAAGTTGGTATGTTCCATGGTTCGTCAAGTGGGAACACTATTAGGACCCGGCATCGGAGTCCGGGATATCAATTTAATTTATGTATCGGTCATCATGTATTCAAGGCTCTAGATGCTGTTAAGCGGTAGATCGGTAGATCTTCGGGGAAAACAACGTTTGAAGCTTGGAACAACGTCAAATGTATAGCCCTAGGAATACCTCCTAGTACCTATGTGGATCAATGTGCCAGTCGATGCCTAGTGTTGTCAAAAATAAGATATCCATGAACATGTGGATTCTAGGTCTAGCCTATATCTTATGACAAAAATCCAATTGACCCGCACTGATCTCGATTCATGGCCAAATTGTCACAAGGTCCTGAGACAAATTTTTCCTATACAGTCTTTAATATGCAACAGCCTGGCTTCCACGGATTGAATGGACAGACAATTTCAAATATCATGTTTACGAGCTGGAATTGGGAACACTTAGAGACCAGTACGTAATATAAAGGGAAAAATCGGAAATAGAAAAGTCTTCATAATATGTGGAGAAGCTCGGTTGGTATCCACGCTAAACCATTTTGGGTCCGAATCCTCCCTTGTTCCTCCGTCAGTATTTCAATAGGCGCGCAAAAGAGACCAGCTGAATCTCCTGGTCCCATTTACACATTTCTTATTGGCTGAATTATGATGGGATTTTAATAGTTCCATGGGTTCGTGTTCAACCATGTGGTGGTCTGTGCTCTCCAGTCATGTCTAACCCACTGTAGATAGCTTTTTTTGGTCTGCATGTCGTTTGCTATTTCTATACTACTCTCATGCTCTTCTTTTATATTTGAAAATCGGATCGGTTAAGCTGTTTGAGGGTTAAAAGGTTGATAAAAAATGGTTGTGATACCGACCAATCCACAAGCGCAGAAGCGCCAGATGATAATTCTGCGCGTCGCTTAAAATGCCAAATCAAAACAGGAAAATTCAAAGCAAATGAAGAAATAGGAATAGCTCATACTAAATTTAACCTTAGAAAGAGATAGTTTAAGCTTTGCCTGATGCGGGTAGAAGTTCCGACTCGGATATCCCGAGCTTCAGCTACAAGTCGGGCTCCTTAAGACCGAAATCCCGGCGGGTCTCAGGTACAGACCCTGTTGAACCCTGTTAAACCCTGTTCCAGGGTTTCGGGGTCCCAGGGTTTGTTAGGCTGCCATTTTGATTCCATTTGTTGACATGAGTTTTGACGACTGTAATTACTAGGTACAGTTTATGTAAGATCTACTTAATTTATCGAAGATACGCCGTACCGAGAGCCCGGCAATGGTCGGATCCAACGCCTCCTTTTTCTAATAGGACCTTCCATTGGCCATATTTGCCATGTGCCTGAAAAGTGGGACGATGGCTCCGAATACGATTGCGCTAAGGCCCAGAACAATCGTTCCACTCTTCTAGGCTGTGGAAATTAAACCATATTGGTGCTCGATCCCGGCCTAAAATGCCCATCGGCTTTCAAAAAGCAGGCAGATAATCGGGCCGAATGGGTCTCTTGTAGTTAGCGTATAAAAATCAAGCTGCTGGGTGGATTGCGACCTTTTTCGTTCTTTTCTGCGAATCATTTCCAATATTGGTGGAGAAGGTCTTCCTGGAATGATTATGTAGCAAAATATGCCGAGGTGTAGCGATTGCCTTAAGGAGAAGAAGTATAAGATGGCCCTCAAACCCCGGAAATCTGCGTCGGTTTGCCCACACTCGTTTTTTGGCCCTACCATACCCAGTCGTTCTTTAATCTCTTTATTAATTCAAATCATTCGTTAATCTCGCCTGCCATGCGTTTCCTTGGCCTTGTTGCAGGAGCCGCCTCTCTTGGCGTTGCTACTGCTGGACTGATTCTCCCCAAGTCAAACGATGACACCTGCGCTAATGTTGTGAATACCGGTGAAGTCTTGCACCTTTCCGTCAACATCATTGAGTACCCTGTTATCGTTGATGTTGAACTCGAGGAGGACGCTGTCATTACCATCGACAACACTATTCTTATTGACTGCACCAATGCCCCCACCCACCTTCACACTACCGTTTGGGCCATCGAGACTTCCACTGTCACTAAGACTATTTCTACCGCTACTATTTCTGCTGAGGGTGTCGCTACCCAGGCTGCTCAGACCGCCGCTGCTTCCAACGATGACGGCCGTACCGTTGTCACCAAGATTGCCACCAAGACCAAGGACACCAAGCCGTACGTTGATACTTGCCATATCTTGCACACTGTCACATCTAACCAATTTTATCTAGTGACTCAACCATTGCCCCGGTTGCCGGTGGCTCTGCTGTCGGTTCCGGTTTCAACACTGCCTGGAACACCAAGCCCGTTTCCCAGACTGCTGTTCGCACTATTACCAGAACTGCTACCTACCACGGATCTACCACCACCAAGACTTACACCACCGTTGTTGCCTCCACCACTGCTACCATTGCCGCTGGACAGTACACCAACTGGACTACCTACAAGGCCAACGGTGTCAACCTCGGTGGCTGGCTCGAGATGGAGAAGGTCTTCAACCAGTACTGGTGGGACCAGTATGCCCCCAATGCCGATGATGAGTGGACTTTCTGCAAGACCCTCGGCGTCCAGTGTGGTCCTGTCCTTGAGGAACACTATGCTACTTACGTCACCACCGCTGATATCGACAAGATGGCCTCTGTTGGTAAGTCATCTCTTACACTTTCTCCCTTTATCCACAGCTACTAATCAAATATTGCAGGTGTCAACACTCTCCGAATCCCCACCACCTACGCTGCCTGGATCAAGTTCCCCGGATCCGAACTGTACCACGGCAACCAGCAGGAATGGTTGAGAAAGATCACCGTCTACGCCATCGAGAAGTACAACATGCGCGTTATCGTCGGCCTGCACTCCCTCCCCGGCGGTGTTAACAGCCTGGATATCGGTGAAGCTTCCGGCCACGATGCCTGGTTCTTCAACACCACCAACCTGGACTACTCCTACCAAGCTGTCGACAAGGTCCTCGCCTTCTTCGTCAACACCGGATACCCTTGGGCCTTCACCATTGCTCCTATCAACGAAGCCTCCGATAACCCCAGTGGCTTCGCCTCAAGCACCACCCTGAGCGCGAGCGGTAAGGCCTGGATCGTCAAGTACATGCAGGGCGTCCTGAAGCGCATCGCCAAGATCGACAAGCGCATCCCTGTCATGCTCCAGGACTGCTTCATCGGCGAGGAATCCTGGTCTCCTTACTTCCCTGCTGGTACCAACCTGGTCATCGATATGCACGTCTACTACTTCGCTGCTTCCGGTGTCTACTCTCAGTGGGCCCAGGGCGCCATCTGTGGACAGGCTTCTGTCCTCGCTGGTGATGGCAAGTTCCCTGTGTTTGTTGGTGAGTGGGCTCTGCAGACTCTGTACAGCAACACCTACGCCAACCGTAAGGAGCTCTTCAACACTCAGCGCTATGCTTGGAGCTTGTATGTCCAGGGTGGTTCGTTCTGGAGCATTAAGCACAACAGCAGTGCTGCTGTTGATGGACAGGGTACCCAGCGTGATTACTGGTCTTACGAGAGACTTATCGACGCTGGTGTTATCACCAACGTTGTGGCCAACGCTACTTACTGCTAGAGGAGTGGGTTTCCCCTACTTCATGAGTCATCTTGGCATGATGATCACATTACGTTCACTTAGTGTATAATTTGTATCAACTAGATTTTAATTCTAGAAGTACTTTTATCTCGTCACATTTATTCAAATGAATATATTGTTGATGTGCCACCTTCAATTAGAGACTGTGCTCAGTTCACTGCAATATTATTCCCATTCATAAAGTAAGACCATCATTATCACAACGTGGAATTGATTCTAAAAGAATCCAAATCAAGAAATAATGAACCTGCTTAAAAGCGATCTGAGCAGCCATCCCAGATTTTTAAATACCCACTTTTTACCAGTAGAATGCCCAAATCCAATCCTCTCATGCGAAAAATCAAAAACAGGCTCAAATCTCGCAATACTATTCCGATCATAAGAAGCAGCCGCAATATCCATGGAAATACTAGAGCAAATCTGCTCTGTCAAATCCCACCCATTCTTCAACGCCAAATTGGCACCTAAAAACTCAAACGGGCTGGAGAATATGGTTCGCATCCCCAATGAACATGACACCCTTCAATGTGGCATCGTGTCGAAAAGCGAATATCTCCATGGCAGGTCGAAATAAACGTCGTACCTGGCAGTGTAGCCTCAACGACCATTTTGAATGGTTCTTGGAACATGGGCGCTGTTGTGAGGGCTTCGCGTTTCAAGGCTTCAAATTCTTCAAATTCTTCGGCACTGAATTCGAATTTTGGGGCTCGTTCAGGTCCGACTGTGCTAACAGCCCAGGCTGAGTGTTCATTATCAAAGGGGTTATAGATACAGCATACGCCTCGGCCGGAGGACATTTGGGGTTCGTAGTTCTCGTTTATAGCTTTGGGGAGTTCGGCGGGTAGATGAGCAATGCCATCGATCTGGGTTGCGCCAGCGTACTGGGTCTTGTCATTCGGTCGGAAGTATGCTTGGATGGAACTGTCTGCGCCGTCTGCTGCGAGAGGAGGTCGCAGTCTTGTGTTCTGCCATCTGAAAGGGTAACTCGAATCTGTCCGTTAGGCAGTCTTTCAGCTGATTCGCAAGCTGATTCCCAGCTTAGGGTTGCTCTAGTGCTCTCGACCTCTGTAAGGAGGATTTGGTTGAGATCTTTGCGTGTTATGCGCATTGTGGCTGCGGGGAGACTCCCGTGTCGTTTGGGATTGATGGATGAAAGCCATTTCCAATTATCGGACCAGACTCGGATATCTCCGCTGTTGAGGGTCGCGTGTGGCTGGATCCGGTCTATTAGTCCGAGCTGTTGGAGGGCGACTAGGCCACCTTCATGGCTGGCTCCGTTGATGTTGAGCGTATAGGGGTCTTTTTCGATTGACTTGTTGTGCTCGTCGCGCTCGTATAGGGTGATTTGGGTAAATTTGAGTAAGGGGTTCCATAGTTTGTCTAGAGCAATGTTGAAGGATAGTGCCGCGAAACTTCTACTAACAAAAATAATGCGTTGGTCGGCGAGAAAGTGGTCTATGGCTCGTGGAATTTTTAAGATGATTGATATATTTTATATAGTGCTGTGGAGCATGTGAAATGAATATTTGAGATCAGTAGGCCCCTTCCAAAGACACAAAGCTATCCAGGATATATAGAAATCACAAAAGCTTTTTCCGTCGGGTATTGTTTTGCGGATAAACGTTCGAAGGTATAGTAATTTTTATATGTAGCGAGTGGATGGTATAGGAAGACCGAAGCCCGAAATTCGCTGTCATTCCTAATCACCTTGTCTCTACTCACTACTTTACTGGTGGTTTATCAAACCTCTCGGTGTTACAGCAAGTGAAGGATCCTGCGTCGATGTAGATCTTACCAGATTTAATTTTCGCGAGAAGGGAAAAGACATCGGTAGAGAACTCTTTCCACTATTGAAGTTCAGCGCGGACTCGTTAGAAATGATCTTGCTGATCTTACCTTCCAATTGTTTCCACAAATGTCAAGTTTTTGTCCGGTCTTCATTTTAAATGAGATGTCTCGCTTAAGTAGCCCGACCTCATAAATTGTGCTAGACCTGATTAGGGGCATGAGAACTGTGGCCAGCAGAAATCATTAAAAAATAAGTGTTACACAGAAAATGATCAGAAGTATCTGTAGGATCCATAATATCCATCTGAAATAAAAAGCTTCTTTCTCAAGACCGCGCAATCTTGAAAATCATCATATTAAAAATCACCATAAAATGAGTGTTATATAGATATGGCCAGGTTTTTTAGTATTCCAAATTCCCATACAATTTCAATTCTATATAGTGAAACAAAAGTCACAGCTATGGCAAAAAGCGGTGCCCTGGTGCAGAGCGGAACCATATCCCCAGGGACTCATTTCAGCGTTCCTGAGCGTTCTCAAAAATGATTTTCAAAGCGAGGCTTGCCCAGATGTCGCCGAAACTTTTCGAATATGTATTGCGTGGAATATATCGTTCACATTTGTTTCTGAGAGCAGTCGAGAAGCTTCGCATTTCGATTTATAAACTGATCCTGCCAAATGTGTCGCGATACAGTCTCATAGAGATGACATAGCATGTCACATGGACGGTGTAGATCGACAGTATTAGCGGTGAAATTTGGCAATATCGTGGAGTGATTAAAATGGCAAGAGGGAAGAGTCTCTGGGATTGCTCCCTCCTTGAGACATTGCAGATCCCTGATTCTTCTATCAGAACTGGTATGCATTTATCTCAGTTGGCTCATGTTACAACTCTCCGCAAACGTGCCATGGAATGCAGGGACGGATCTTATCACAGGATTGTGGATCTCACCCACGGGATGAGACATGGAAAGAATGCGATCTTGTTGAAGATGCGAGAATAGTACTATAGACCATATGGCTATTGGGAAGAAGAAAATGCATTGATTTATATATATATGGATATGCGGATAGGCAAATCTAATCATAAGTTCCGAATAGCATTGAGTTCATGCCGATGTCCTGATATCGGAAGATGACATTCCTGCCAGTGGTAGGTCATACGACCGAACAATTGCCGACTTCTAGTCCATTCCCGGTCCCTCCCTTCGGTTAAACCTGCCGTGGCTTGGCATTCTTCTCCTTTTGAATAAAATTACTGGGGGAAAAAAAAAGCGACAGAGTCAGTTTAAAATGACGTGGGTGGTTATAACTAGCTAGATTATCTGTAACCCCAGAAAGTGACGTACGGAAATGATTGATTTTGGCATCCCCGGATGGCGGGGTGATACGTTTACAGACACCGGTGTACCTCCGCATGAAGCTTTCGTGAAGTCCAAGACTGGGGAAAACTCAAAGTGAAATTCTCCAGGTCCAAAATTCTCAACTTCCTCATTGACCCCGATTTTCCACGCATTGACCGGCCCGATTAACCAATCAAAGACAAAGGACCAGGAACCAGGCAATCCTATTTTCCGGTTCTCGGAGACCTTCCACTAACAAAATCCCGAATAACCCGAAAAAACCTGCCGTTTGTGCGTCCATCCCGACGCCAAGGTTAAATCTCCACCTTTTGCCCCCGCAAATTACGATAATTGCAGCGTGGGGGTCACCGGGGTCTGTACTCTTCCAGATTAGCGTGGGGGGAAAAGGTTTGTGTGACTTTTCGTCATAAGAGAAGACTCGATCCCCAGTTGAACAATTTCTTCTGCATTCTCATCACATCACACATCATGGCGGACGATATCTCACGAAACAACGATCGCATCGAGTTGGAAGTCGAGAAGGAGAAGGCTGAGAATCTGGAGCATGTCGCTGAGCTACAGAATGTCCTCCCACATATTGATCCTGCTCGGAGAATCGTCGTGGAGAAGAGCTTGAAACGCAAACTCGATGCTCGCTGCAGTTTATTCGTTTTGATTTACATCATGAATTATCTTGATCGCAACAATATCTCTGCGGCGAGGTTGAAGGGTTTGCAGACTGATCTTGGTCTCACCGATACACAGTACTCGACCTGTCTGAGCATCTTGTATGTTGGATACATTTTGATGCAGGTCCCCTCCAACATGTTTATCAATCGTATCTCGCGCCCTTCAATTTACATTTCCATTGCCATGACTCTGTGGGGTCTGATCTCTACCTGCTCCGGACTCGCTCAGAACTTCAGCCATATGGTCGCTATTCGGTTCCTCTTGGGTTTCGTCGAGGCTGCTTTCCTGCCTGGTGCCCTACTCATTCTATCCAAGTGGTACACACGCAAGGAGTTGACCACCCGGAACGCCATTCTGTTCTGTGGTAACCTCATTTCCAATGCTTTCTCCTCGCTCGTCGCCGCAGGTGTCCTGTCCAACATGGAGGGTGTCCTGGGCCACGCTGCCTGGCGATGGCTCTTCTGGATCGAGGGTGCCATTACCATGACCATTGCCATCTCCGCTGGTTTCATCCTTCCTGACTTGCCCACCAATGCTCGTGGATTCACCGAAGAGGAGCGTCTTGTTGCTCAGCTCCGTCTTCTCGAGGATGTGGGCGAAGCTGATACCGATGACACCGAGCAGAGCCCTTTCACCGGCCTCATCATGACACTGAAGGATATCAAAATCTACATTATGATGTTGGCTTTCACAGCCTACGTCGTGGGTCTGTCTTTCAACGCTTTCTTCGTAAGTTACTCCCCTCCACCGATTTATCCATTTACTAACCCTCTGCAGCCCACCCTCACCGGTACCCTCGGCTTCTCATACGTGCCTACCCTCCTCATGAGCGCTCCCCCATGGGTCTTCTCCTGTATTTTCTCCGTCGTCAACGCCTGGCACGCAGACAGAACCCAAGAAAAGGTCAGCAGCCTTCCCACCTGATATTAAATCCAAGCTAACAAACCTAGATCTGGCACATCTACGGCCCAATCTTCATGGGTCTCGTCGGCTTCATCATCAGCATGTCAACCCTGAACGTCGCAGCCCGCTACATTGCCCTCTTCCTGCAAGCAGGCTCCTACGCAGGCTTTATCGTCTTCTACTCATGGATCAGCTCCTCCTTCCCCCGCCCACCGGCCAAACGAGCCGTAGCCCTCGCTCTCATCAACGCCTTCAGTCAGCTGGGTAACGTCGCCGGATCGTACGTCTGGGATCTTTCCGATAACGGGTACCGCAAGAGTTACGGAATCGTAACTGCTATGTACGGTATTACGATTGTCGGATTCTGGGTCTTCCGCATGATTCTCGTTAATCTGAATAAGAAGCTCGAGCAGAGTGAGGCGGAGTGGGATGCCCAGCATCCTGATGCTCAGGCTGGTGATGTGGCGTTTATTGAGAGTCCCGATGAGTCTTTGCGCATGCGTAAGGGTTTCAGGTATCTTGTTTAAGAATATTTTTATGCTATTTTTTCGTTACTGTACCTTGTTTAAGGGAGCGATATGCATTACATAGCCTGGAATGAATTATGTTGCATGAATCATAAAAGAATGGTCAAATCCCGTACTCGTCAACCCTTCATTTCATTCAAATGTTGCCAAAACTCAATATATCGTACCCCTAAACCGAATAAAATTATCAGCCGACGTCGTATCCTCCCCCACGCAAAACCCGCCGAATTTGTTGGGAGTGGATCCATATCCGCGGCAAACCCAAACCTTTCCCGAGGTCACCATCCCTGACCCAAAATTGAATAATTTCAGTTTGTTTCCATCCAGTAGAACCAGAGCGAGGCATCGTCCGTGAATTTGTCACGAGGCAGCAAAGAGACCATTGGACTACCTGTTTTCTGTCGAAGGTATGACCAGGTAAATGACGTACCTGACGAAGGTGATGATTTCAAGTTCTTCCAGATGGATATAATGGCTCTTTTGCGAGTGATGTCAGCCACGGAGTGCTTGCGGAATACCTCTGTGGTGAACGGGTGGTCTTATTCCGCTTCATCACCTTGGTATTGAAGGTGGTGGCGATGTAATCTCCAGTTTCATGAGTCGGAGCATACTTCAAAGGCCGGGGGATGATTCTCAGCGTAGAAATTTAGTCATTCTCAAAGGTGCTTCTACGTACCTGCTAAAGTGTATTTATTCTTGTGATAATTGTCCTCCAAGTCCCCAACGCTGTGTCCCGGTTTTCAACATCCATAAACTATTCTGGTAGCTCAGCCACTTCTTGAATGGCAGTCGACTTCCACATTATCGCCTCATGATGAATGGTATTGTCCTTGAGGTGCCCACCCACAGCAACCATACTCCTTTTATGAACACTACCTGTTATGCATTATTCCCAGAGTTTTCTCCTGATGTATCGCCTTAAAGTACCTACTATACCCCTCTGTTATCTGAACCTAGACATCAAAGTAGCCCGCGGGCTGCCTTCAAAAGGTTACCTGCGGACCCGCCTGTATGCGGGTTGAGGGCCAGTCTAGCCCGCCAGCGAGTTTTTGAGGGCCGATAAATATAACAAATTGTATAATTACTTTTGAAGACCTACATTTGTACAAATTATATATATATTTTTGCTGTATTTTTAGGAATTTATTTACTTTATACTTTTCTTACTGATGTTGGTAGGGTTTATAGGTCAAATAGAGGGAGAATAAATGGGTGTAAAATAGCAGATATCGGATTGTATCAATACTGATTCTTAAAAAGGAATCAGGGGTCCTGAGAGAACGATGGCTTTTTTCCCCGCACTCTCTTAGTAAGGTCAGCCCGGGGCATAGTTATGAGAGATCATGAAAACAGTCCTTGTCGATGTTGCGATAATTATCCCCTCTCTCAGGTGCAACTACCCTAGATCAACCTAAGAGCACACAGACAGAGACGATTAAACCCGGCCGGATGGATTTAGTCCGACTTTATACAAAGAAGTAGAACGACTTGAGCACTCTTATATTATTTTCTCGCTAGCCTATCTCTCATTTTATGAGGGTCTAGTAATAGCTGGTAGGGGAGGATGTGATAACGGGATAATGACTAAGTATGGGGCTATAGTTAAGTTAACTATGCGATTAGGTCCGGTAGGCCCTAACCGAACATAAATAGATCTCTTGTACTTAAAAGAACTACTAGAATAATAAATAAAAGTATGCATTCCATACTCAGATCACAGCCCCACCGACGCTGTATTCTACTGTTACCATATATCTCGAGATTCTGTAACAACCTAAATCAAAGATAGACTAGCGTGTTTTATATAAGAGCTTAGGAAAGAAGAAAGGAGAGTGGAAAGGTGAGGCTCATTTCAAGCGCGCCTGTAAACTTGCTCGAGGGAAATAGTGGACTTTGAGCGCTCACGACGGACACTGAGGGCTTCTTATTTCATGCACTTACCCAGATCTGCCCAGGACAATAGGAAGCGTCCCGGCTTGGGCATACCACACCAAAACGAATTAATGACTTGCGCCAGTTCATCCAAGGCGTTACAGTCGCGCATGATACCGCTATAGGTCACAGCACCAGTAGTTATCGCGATGAACCCGAATGGCAGGATGATGCGGTCAATCACATTATGTACCACGTTGAATATGCGAAGGATGAAATTAGAGACCATACCCGGGCCGCGGGTCGAGAGAAACCGATCAACAACGATTTTGCGAAATGAGCCACGCAGAGCAGCCTGTTCCAGAAGCCCATCCTTGTTCTTTTCGAGTCCGTCATACTCGGCGGTGGACCTGTAGGATGATGATCCAAGGCCATGGCTCGGCAAGTTCGACTCATTACTCTGGCCATTATCTTTGGACGAGCAGTAATCGTGCAATGCGCCAGTCGTATGATAAAATACCGACTTGTACATTGACTGAGACTCGGTGCGCCCAGAGTAGGTGAGAATCAGTGCCAGAATGATATGGGCGCCGATCAGCCATGTTCCAATCCATCCTATCTTGTGGTGGGCGTTGTTCTTATATAGATCCGGTGTTTGGCTATTATAGACAATGCCCAGGAGGAGACCAAAGGTATTGAGAAGCAGGAAGATAAATTGCGACAGGAGCGCAAGTCGCGAGCGTTTAATGCTCAAAATGACCGCTATTGCCATAAGTCAATTGCTGCTCTCATTTTCTCTATCAGACCAATCACTGTTGAATTTTTCTTACCTGCAGGTAGAACAAAGCACCAGCCCAGCATCATCAACGTAATATGTGCCATAATCGTATCCGAGTGCTTGTCATAGGCGAAGTAGCTCATGTGTCCATTGCTGTTAATATGCGGCATGGGGATCCTTGTCGCTGCAGCGCCAGCGTCTATGTCCTCATAGTCATCAAGGGGAATGGCCGTCGCGAAAGAGAACAGAAAAAATATCTGCAAAGCAGCTCCAGTCGCTATCAATCGCATCGAGCCCAGACTAAATCAAAATCTTCTCGATGCAAGATGCAATTACCACGACGGTATGTGCGCTTTTCAGAGGGAGTACGAAAAAGGAACAAAAAGGAAGGTGCTGCAGAGCTCCCACAGCGGACGATCGATACTCCTATAGATTGTGACGTGACTGAGACTGCCAAACGTGGGATATGTAAGCCGCCGCCAGCGTCCCGGTCTCTCTTAGAGTAAATTGAGCAACTGGACGAGATAGGAACCAATGATCACTGCCGCCACATAGTGAACCTACACGCGTGTCCGTGGAGGTAATGCCAGTAGTATAAAGTAGCTGTGTAGTCGACGGGGCTGTGTTTGGAAAATCAATAGAACCCCAGAAAAAAATGCGCCAAGAACTGAGACGCAGATTGTGAGACAATGGCGAAATGGAAATTCAAGGAAGAGAAACAAGGGTCGCTGGCGCTGATTTCGGATGCTTCGGATAGTGGCAGGAACACTTGGCAATATTCAATTGCTACGATACGATTACGATAAGAATAATTTCTTTTCGATTACCGGAGTCCCTCGGCCTCATAACAGGCCGAGGTTTGCTCTTTAGCAATTCGTCTGCTAGCAGCTGGATACTTTCTCGGACACGGCGTTTGTGGCATCCGTTCTCCGGCCTCCACCCAAAGCGGATTTGATCTACCACGGGTAACATATCCTTAGCATTTAATAGTTACTTTAATTACTGGTTAAGTAGTCGACTAACTTAACTTGGTTACTAAGTAGTCGACTAACTTAACTTGGTTACGTCCAGTAGGCCTAAATGACTAAGCGGCCGGGAGTCGTTCCGACCACTTGACCAACGCTTTCCTTGAATTTTGTTGAATATTAATCTCGTCGTATGGGAATCGGGTCATCGGTAGTATATTTGCCCGAGCGGGAAAGCCATTTCCTTACATATCCAACTTTTTGGTGGACTCGGTGGGTCCTGCTATCCATAGATAGAATGGAGGGATCATGCTTGGCATGCTAGGGGTCTAGATGTACGAATACGATGTCTATGTGTAGTGGCGTTCCCTGAGTTTGAAACCCCCTTTCGACCCACTTATTACAGGATTCTGCAGCATTTTCTGCCAGATAACCTTATATTCAGTAACTACTTTACTTCGTATATGAGCCATCAATAACAATATCCTGTTTGACCCGGTTAGGTATAGTAATAGTTTAGTTTACTAGCATGTCAGATGCAAGCTCAGACTATATCTCCTGCTCTACTTGCGGTGAATAGGGGGGTTTTCAAATTCATGGAACGCCACTGTACATTCCGAATCCAATAACAAGTTTAAGTTTTCAAATTTCTAGAAGTGGGTCCATTGTTCTGCCCTACATGTAGGGTTTCTCCCCCTGAATCATTTCCACAATCGATTCCCATGACGTATTCATGGTGAATTCCAGGTTATAATTTATCTACGAATACGTAAGCCTGGATATAGGGTAGAAATTAGGCCAATTTTTGTATAAGAACACATTAGATGTAATATGCGATGAAACGTGGTAGAGGGGAATAGAATAGTAGGTGGTAGAATGGTCGGTAGATTTTGGTCTCAAAACATTTTCAATGCCAATTTAGAAACCCTGTTTACCTCGTTCGCTATGTACCTATCTTGGCAATTGTGGGTCTGACGAGAGACCGTACATACGTGTCTTGCATTAAAGAGCTGGCATGATTGGAACACGCCTGTCGCGTGGACAAAAATCTATGCAATTTCCTTATAATTACCTCGCACACAATTATCGAAATTCTTATGCTTCAAAAACTCATTAATTAGCTCGGTATTTCGGCCTACTCGACGCTATTACCATTGCCGTCGGTACCACAGGCCGTGGACGCCCATGGGTGGATAAAGGATTTCGGGGAGACCAACTTTCCGGTCGCCGAGATCCGTTGATATTTATGCACAATAATCTGAAACCTTTGGGAGATAGACCATTCGATCAGGGGTTGGTTCTAATAGACACGTGATACACTACTGTATGTGAATCGCCCTTTCTAGAAGTCTCTTATTTTTCCTTTCTTTCTTGTTTCTCGGCACATAAGATTGCTTTACGCTGTACTCCAGATCTGGTATATTTATCGGAGCTTCGCTCAAGAGACAATTGGCCTCACCCTGCCTTTGAGGTACCCTAGTCAGAAATGGCAACGATAGCGGCCGCCAGTTCAAACATGGCGACTATCACATATTTAAATGGCCGCGCCACGCCCGACCTAGGGAAGCCACAATTGGCATCTCACGCATGGCTTGAGCCTATTGTAAGTTCAATCTATGCACATGTGTGGTTAGACCTGTGGTTAATCTCCAGACCCATAGGTGGTTGTCAGTATCATGATTGGATCTTTAATTGTGAACCGCAGAAGGAACAGAAACTCGCTAGAATCGCCAAACTTTTTGAATGCGAACCGAAGTCGAGGTAGCTACGCTATACTAGAGGACGGCGATACTCGTATAATCAACGAACTCCATTCGAAGACCGAAAATGTGTACGGCATTACTATCAAAAACCGAGACTCATCCCGCTGGTCGCACCACATCCACAGCAGGATCTTGCAAAAATTTCCCTTCTTGGTTGAAATGTTCTACTGGATTATGAATTATTTGTTTTATTCTATCACCAAGCGCACGGCCCAGTGGTTGTCACCGGCCCAGATAGGAGTTGTCCAGGTTGCGCGAGACCACGCCATCAGCATCCTCGACTTTGAACAACAAACCGCCCCTTGGATATTCCCCATCAAGGAAGTGGAATTCCAATCATTTTTTATCCAGAATCATCCGGCAATTTTGACTGTATTTAATCGAATTTATTCCTTGGTGCATATTCCGGGGACTGTGTTGTGAGTGTGGTTGACTTCTCATTCTTCCTGTCCTTCCATCAAAAAACTGATTAATCCGATAGATTCCTCTCTTGGTATTACTACGCCGCGAAAGACCATGCTACCTTTGCTGTGGCTCGACGAACTATGACGCTTGGAAATTTTGTGGCCTTCTTAGTGTTCTGCGTCTACCCGTGTATGCCCCCTCGGTTACTTCCCAAGTCCTTTGGATTCTACGACACCGTCCGACAAGGGAATGCCGAAAGTATATGGGTTGGTGGTGAATCTGTGAATCAATTCGCTGCTATGCCCAGCCTCCACTTCACATATGCCTTTGTGATTGGCTGCACTTTTCTCTATCATTCTGGAGTGTTGCAAATACTCTTTGGCAAGCCAACAAAAAAGTCATGTTTGACTCGGATTTCTTTCTTGGTGCTCGCTATACTATACCCGATTCTTGTCCTGAGTGTGATCGTTGCTACCGCCAACCACTACTGGTTAGATGCCGTTGTGGCCATTTTCTCGGTTACCCTGTGCTTCCGCTTCAACCGGGTTCTTTTACTCTTTCTTCCCGTCGAATATGCAATCTGCTGGGCTTTACGACTCACAAAGCCCGTCCATACCACCGGTTGCCAAAGCAGATAAACGATAAACCTACAGCAGAGTTCCATTTTCGTCGGTGCTGGTGTCTATTAATATAATTATTACCTAAAGAGGACAAACCTGGGATCTCACTGCCGGGATTCAATTTCGCCCGTCCTAATTTAATACCTCATAGGCAAATTGCGATACCTAATTAAATCTGTTTCAAACCATGAAAGGCGTTAGAGCCACACATGCATGACGTGGCAATGTATACAGCACTGAAATCCGGAATTTTGTAATCGATCATTAATCGAATATATCTTTATCGACCCGGGGTTCAATATTACTAATGACCTGTGTTTTGGTTCTGCTTATGAAACTATGCTATATCCCTGTACTGTCCCACGAACCTAAAATCCAGCTTAAAACTTTAGAAACCTTAGCCATATCCGAGATTGACTTTTAGGCTATCCAAGATAATAGGTAAGAGGAGTACTTTTATTTATTCTCGTGTCGGAGGATCTTTGCTAATATCGTGTGGAGCTTGCTGTAAGCTAGAATTAAGATATTAGTGCTGCTGATTGAAATAGAAAGGAGTTCTAAGTACCATACTTTCTAGAGGTATAGAATAGAGCGAAGTAGACCTTGAAAGTGACCCGCGGGCGGCCCTTAAGAGTATTACCTGCGGACCCGCATTAGGGCGGGGTGAGCGTTGGTCTAGCCTACCCGCGGGTCGGGTAGGTTTTTTGACCCAGGACCTATAAACATAAACACTATAAATACTTTAAGAGACTTGTATTTATATAAATTATGCGTTTTTCAGTTATATTTTTAGGTATTTACTTTATACCTTTCTTACTGATTTAAATAGGGTAGTAGTATTTTCGGATAGATTAATTAATAGTCATTTTTGAAACAGTCGATCGGTTGTCCGAATGGTTGGGCGTGGTCATAGGTTCGCTGTTCTCCGAGCCTTCCATATGGAAATAGAAATATGGCTAGTGAGCTCGGGAGTTTATAAGCCTAAGTTTTATTTTCAAACGCATTGAAACTGAACGCTAAAAGGTACGCGCAATCCATATAATATCCGTGGATAAGCGCTGATTCGACAACGTTCCAAAGTGGGGCCGAGGCTGAGGACATCAAAATTGTTCAGTTTGTCCCGATTTGCCAAAGACCAAAAGACACACACACATTGGTTCACTTGCCACATCGCCCTCCATATTTACCCAGAATCCAAGTGATCAACCTATAGCATCATGCCTATCATCAGAGATTTTACCCCGCCAGCCAACGCCCAGTTGCTGGAACTGCCCGAGGGCCCCAATCCGAAACTGTTCATTGCTTTCGTATCATCGGACGATCCCATCACCTCTCAGCCTTGGTGCCCGGATGTTCGGGCTGCAATGCCTCATATCGATACCGCCTTTGCGGCAGGCGACGCGCCGACTGTAGCGATTGTCCCAGTTGGGCAGAAGCCAGAGTACGTTGTCAGGAATAGTACCTTGAACTCATCCGGATCAGCTGAATGACGATGGAGCATCTTTACATGAAATGAGACTGACATTATTTAGATGGAGGGACCCGAAAAATGTCTACCGCGCAAACTGGAATGTCCAAAATGTTCCCGCGCTGGTACGCTTTGAGCGTGTGGATGGGAAGGTCTCGGCGACAGGAAAATTGATTGAAGGCGAGATCTTAGACAAGGCTAAGCTCGGTGCTTTTCTCGCTTGATTGACTCGGATTGAGTGAGCATCAGCAATTGTGAAAATATCCATATTCCGAATCACGACGTCCATGACATGCTTTTCATGTTTATCAACCTTTTCTGTGCCTGCATTTCTTTTATCATGGGAGCATTTCCATCGCATTTCAAGTACATCATGTATAGGAATATCAACTCTAGAGGATCCGAACTCCATCAACAGGACCTGAGGCGATCAGCACTTTCCTGAAGAACTTCTCCTTCTGTAATTCCGTTTGCAGGTATATTGCATGAGCTTCATCCTTTGCCAAAAATGCGCACGTCGATCCTGAACCACTCATTAGACTTGTTACTGCACCATGCGATCTTCCCGCCTGAAGTGCAAGACCTATATCAGGCAATAGTCGTATAGAGGGTGGCTCAAGATCATTGACAAGAGCAGGCAACAAGTCCATCGGCGAGGTGGTTCCCCAAGCGAGATCAATACATTCTTGCCTTCTCCATGCATATTCCTCCTCTTCTTCCGGTAAAGAACCAGTCAACCCATTATCGAATTCCTGAAAGACTGTCTTTGTTGACAGACCACGGAAGGGGACCCCCAACACCCAGATCCACGTGTGATCCGCTACGTCCAGGCTGATGAGTGGCTGTTTATGACCCAGTCCCAGCGCCATCATACCCACGAGAAAGAATGGCACATCTTCCCCGATCTGAGCTCCCAGTGTCATGAGATCGTCGTTGTTGAGCTTGGATCCCCATAGGATATTACACCCCACCAGCCCCGCAGCGGCATCACCACTTCCACCCCCAAGACCAGCTTCTGATGGAATGGATTTGGCAAGTTCGAAATGCAACTTTGGCTGCACGCCAAGATGGCTACCGAGAAGAGCTGCTGCTTTCACGACTAGGTTTCGACTATCGGCCGGAACGCGATCGCTGTCTATGCCGGTGACGTTGATTGTCGGGCCCTCAGGATTTGGAGAAATCGTCAGGACATCATAGAGCGATATAGCTTGGTAGGCTAATGTGATATCGTGGTATCCATCTTTTCGGAGGGGTCCCACGCGAATTTGGGGATTGATTTTTGCAGGGACTTGTAGTGTAATTGTTTGAGAGACGGTCATTATGGGGGTTGCAGATACCAGAGAACCAAGAAAGTATTGGAAAGGAAACAGATCACGCGACACGTAAATTAATTCGGATGCGACGCAGATCGGAGGGGCACGAGTTCCCGTTTCCCACGTTTCGCCGTTGTTTACCTCATCAACATTGAATTGACAATGCAAGAAAACCTAACAATCGGTATCGTCATTCCAGCTGCTGGGAGAGGCACACGAGCAGGTCAAGGCTGTCAAAAAGCTTATCGTCGAATCTTGGGCGACACAGTGATCAACCGCACTGTTAAGCTATTCCGATTCTGGAATGCGAATTGTCCCATCGTGATTGTTCATCACGCAGATGATACTGCCTTGCTAGAGGCCTCCATTGACCGCGACAACAATATCCATACAACGGCTGGTGGTGCAGAGCGAGGAGCCTCCGTTCTACAGGGTCTTCGCCTCCTTTCTGCACTTAAACAGCCTCCATCACACGTCTTCATCCATGATGCCGCCCGACCGTTCGCATCGCCTCAGCTACTGGATAGGGTACTAGAGTCCATCCAGAAAGACCCATCTGTTGGCGTGATCCCAGGTCTTGCTGTCGCGGACACGCTCAAAAAAGCCGATTCTAACGGCCACATTACAGCTACTGTCCCTCGAGATGGTCTCTTCCGTGTACAGACACCGCAAGCATTTGAGCTACTGATGATTCTGATCGCGCACGAACAAGCCGCGAATGCTGGAAAGGATTACACGGACGATGCAGCTTTATTCGAAGAATCAGGATACCCTGTTCGCATTGTGCCCGGTGAATCCGAAAATATCAAATTAACCTACAGCACCGACTTTGAAGAAGCGGAGCGCTTCTTACGCGCGAAACATCCTACAAACATCCCAGTGCCGGATGTTCGAGTCGGCCACGGTTATGACACACACCGACTCGTACCGGGAGAAGAGATCATCCTGTGTGGCGTCAAAATTCCACATACGGCATCCCTCCTTGGCCACTCGGATGCTGATGTTGGTCTACATGCTCTGACGAATGCTTTCCTGGGAACTATCGCCGCGAATGATATTGGGAGTCATTTCTCCGATAAGGATCCGAGATGGAGGGGTGCTTCGTCGGATAAGTTTTTGCAGCATGCTGCTAAGCTTGTTGCTGAGGCGGGCGGGACGATCACGCATTGTGATGTTAGCTTTGTATGCGAGCAGCCGAGGATTAGTATTCATCGAGATGCGATGCGAGACTTTGTGGCGAGTATTGTCGGGTTGGATCGGAGTCGTGTCTCTGTTAAAGCGGGGACAAATGAGAGAAATGGATTTGTGGGACGTGAAGAGGGAATTGTGGCGTTGGCTACAGCTACGGCGGTGTTTATGGGGACTTGATTTCTCATGTTCCAAGGTTTTTGTATGTATACTTATCGTATAGATCATTAATGATACGTTTATTTACTTGCTTTACTCAACCTCACTACGTAAATGTTGTCATGCATGATGCAAGCGAGTCAACACTCTTTGGAAGATGTTCAGCTGAATGTCTCCACTAAGATCCGATCTTTTACCCCTTTTGGCCAGAAGCGGTGTACATCTCGGCTAGATCTGACCCATCCTACTAGCGATTTTAGGAAAAGCGTTATCATTGGTTGAATCTGCAGAATCGTGAAGATCGAGGGTTTGGAGGGGTTCGTGGGGGGAAGCTTGGACACGCGACAGCTCCATGTCGCATGTCCAACCTTGACCAAACATTTGTCAACAGCTTAGATTCCAAATGAGAATCTGCGTCTTCCAATCCTCCTTCGAGGAGCTCCAAGCTTCAGTCGGCGACTCCGAGTCAAAGAAATTATGCATGAACCCAGGCGTGTTCACTACGCAACACACAGTATCGCACAAGACAATCCACAAAAAAACAGCCAAGCAACAAATCGACGAAGCCGTCAAAGAAGGCCATGATTTCTATTTAAATTTCATGTGGGGAACACACGATGACTCCCTAGCCGGTATAGAAGCCATCCAATACTTCGAGTCGCTCAACCTCCCCCATGCAGGCGTCCAAAGCTCAGAGAGATCGCAATCGAAGTGGGACTTTTTCGCCGAAGCGAAAAGAGCAGGAACTCCTCTCGTGCCTGGGACTGAAAAATTTCCTCTATTCGTGAAGCCTGCGTCCAGCTATGGAAGTATGTTCATCGATGAACATTCCCTCTGCAACGATGAAGCAGAGTTGGATAGTTGTATCGCGCGATTGAACACGCTGATGCGCTCTGTGCGGGTTCAACGGGCGCTCGCTCTGGGAGAATCAGATCCAGAGCGATATGCTGATTTCCGTGAAGCGGATGGGCGTGACAGTACGGATATCGTCGTTCAAGAGTTCATTGCCGGAGAAGAGTATTCGGTGGTTGTCATCGCGATGGGGGAAACTCCTGTCCCACTGATCCCGCAACGGGCAAAATACAAGCAAGTAGGCGATGGCGCGCGAATTTTGACGCTGGAATTGAAGTTCGACGAGGAATCTGGATATGAGCTCTTATCCGAGGATGAAGATCCTGCTTTGTGGAAACATCTCCAAGAGACGGCCGTGGAAGCGTTTACGGTTAAGAAGATGTATACGAATCACATGGGTTGTGATGTTGATATGAGAATCGGTCGGGATGGTAGAGCTTATGTTATCGAAGTTGATCCGCTTCCTGTGTTCTTTTATCCCACTGGATCGCAGCTTGAGGATACGGATGTGAAGAACGGGTTTCCTGGAGGGTATAGGGCTGTTATCAACACTTATATCACCAATTACTTTCTCAAGAACCCCGCGTCACAGGAGGCTCGGTTCGCTGAGATCACCGCGCATTTCGATAAGATGCCTGCGGAGTGTGGAGATGGAGTTGCAAAAATTGGCACATTGTCAGCTTTCACAGGCACTGCAATCGACCTTGGGTGCGGAACCGGAGCCGTGGGCCATGCTTTGAGGTCTGATCCGAAGAACAAAATCACAGATCTCATTGGCATCGATATTTCGAATAAGAGCTTGGATACTTGTCGCGAGCAGGGCAGGTACACTGAATTAATTCACAATTGCATGGAGTCATTCCTCGCCACAACAACAGAAATGGTGGACCATATCTTCTGTGCCTCAGCTTTGGAATTCCTTTCCATGGAAGCCCTTGATTTCGTCCTTGCACGCTGCTTCCAACTTGCCAGACAATCTATAACAATCGTTATCGAAAATCCCGAGGCAAGCTCTGAATCTATTTCATCAGATGGAATCAGAAAATACTCCACAGATCATTATGAGAACATCAGCACGTTCCAGATCCAGCGTGGTTGGACTTTGCAGTCAGTGACAAAGACCCATTGCCGTGAAGCTCACCCTTTGTTCCACTTCCAGCGCCAGAATGTATAGAATAGGTATAGAATCAAATGCATATCATTGGTCCGCTCAAGTGTTTCCTCTGTCCAATCCAGAGCTAGCCTGCAGAATCCCTATACAGAAGTCACACTTATTACCCCGAGATAAGGCCCCTGAGTTTCGCCACTTAGCTAATCTCCATCAAATCTCCAATCTCCTCGCGGAGATATCTCAGCCGCATGTTTCTTTCCTAGCATGGTAGGTCCATCCAGTACTAGTTTTACCTATCGTAATTATCTCCATCTCAGTAACGGCTTGTATTGAGTTTTCAGCGTCGAAATGCCTATTTCGAACTCTGTCACACTGTATGAATCCAAGTACGGTAGATCCGTCTCCACACGGGAGATAAAACGGGGGTCCAGTCGGAGGGTGCGGTCGTGTGAGCTAAAGTCGCGTATACGGATTGATCTGCGGTGATGTATTAGTACGGCGCTACCGTAGACCTAATGTGAGGCTTTATTTTATCTGATCTATTACTGATTCCATACAGGTTTTATCTGCATGCGATTTAATCTTTATTTCCGTCTTGATAATGGTAGGGCCACAAAAGACAGGGGTTAGGGATGACTGCACTCGGCTCTTATCTATAACCGAGCTCATGCGGGGATTGGGAGATAAGGCACAAGCCTTCGGGAAGAGGCTTAGCGTCGGCTTATCCAGGCCTTTCTCCACCGGGCCAAGAGCCTAAAATGGATCTGATGACCGAGTCTTTGGCTTATCAGTGGATTTGAGTTTCATTAGATGTCAGCAGATTAAGAGAATAGATTTGGATGCCAAAGTAAATGGGTATTCGGGTGAATTTCACCACAGTTCGGTCTAATCAATGCGGAATGCCATGGCTTAAGGCCAGAAAAGAACAGTTGCAGAGTATAAACACGCAAAACGTAGACACAGGTATTAGGGATAAATATGCAGGAAAACGATGCGAAGGATTCGCTAATAGTTGCACGAGTGCAAACGGTATACTTATCTCTAAAGGTGGCCATCGCGAATACGGAGGAAGTTCTCGTATCGCTTCTGAGTCATCCGACGACACTTCTTTCCCCAATAGATCATAGGTGCAGTGGTCATGAGGAACGCCCAGCTCAGAACCCCAATAGCAATGAAGACCTGAGACAAAGACTGTGCGTCGATCCAGTATCCGGCAGCGAAGGTGAAAATGCATCCAATCGTATTATTTATGACGGACACACCCACCATGCCCTCGAGGACCATATCCGGATATGCATCTTGGAGGTAGGCCATGCTGAGATCGCCAGCGCAGCCCCAGCCAAATCCGATGAAGCCCAATCCCACGTATGGCCAAGGCCAACTCCAACCTTTGTCGGAGCCAATACCGAACAACATGAGACCTGCAGGTGCGATGAAAGCAACGGGAAAGAGGAGCCACAGACGCTGCTCTGCTTCGAAGATACCGCCATTTCGTCGAGCCATCCAGGTGACGAAGAAATCAGAGAACCATCCACCGTAGATACAGCCAATGCAGGCACCGATCAGAGTGGGCACGTTCATAATACCCACCGCAGCATCGGTGTAGTACCAGGGGGCATCGTACCAATTATCTTCTTCGACTGTGAGATAAAAGGTCAGCCACGCATCCTGGGCACCCCATTGTAGTCCCGAGTAGATCACCGCGGGGAAGGTGAAGATACGCAGGGTGTGCCAGATGCGGAGGTAGTACTGTTTGAAACCGGTACCGATAAGAGTCGGAGCGGGAGTGATCAAGGCAATGCGTTGCCAATAGGTTTTCCCTTTCTTCTGGCCACTTTCTTCGTCAGTCGCACTGTTGACGAGAATGGGCTCGACCTGCGGGGGACGGTCGGCCTTTTCATCTGAGGGTGCTCGGCTTATGTTGTGGCCCTCTTGACGCACGTCCAGTCCCTGGAGGACGCTCTTGCGATCGAATGACGTCTCCTCCAGTCCGAAGTAGAACACGATTATCAGAAATCCTGAAATGATAACCGCGAGCCATCCTGCCCACCTCCACCCCATCACCGGGCTATCGGTGATGAACCCGGCGACCAACGGTCCCATGAACGTCCCGATACTAGTCGCAAGAATGTAGAGACCCAGGACCATACCACGATTGTGCTGGTAAAAGATATCCGACAAGGATAGCTGGGCCATGGCTTCGGCGCATGACTCCGACGCGCCAACGAACAATTGATTCCAAATGTTGTCCTGCACGGTTTCCACCCGCGCAAACCAGATGGAGCCAATGATGGAAAACACCAAACAGAGAAGGTAGGAGATGCGGCGCCCGTAGAGAAAGGGGGACGGGCTCAACAGCAAGGTACAGTACCCAATGCCGACAAACAAAACACCGGCTGCAATGTTGATATCATTCCAACTGATCCCCAGCTCCGCATTCATACCGTTTCCAGCGGTGCCAGCATCGTTGGAGGTTGCGGCGGTGAATGCGACAATGAACAAGATCAAGAACGCGTGCCAATAACGGCGCCACGTGCTCCAGTTCAGTGGATCATCGGGGGAATTGGTCGGGGTAGGAATCAAAGTGATATCCCCATTTGCATCTGCCAAGCGTTCCGTACCATTCAAAGGGGCTTCTTCCTCCATTTCTGGTTGAAGGTCGACTGGAGCAGGCTCCGTCGCTGCCCATGTTGGTGCATTTAAGTCAACGTTCATCGGATTCCTGACGCGGTTCCCGTAGGCCGAGGGAGATTAGAGATAAGGACAGAAGCTTTACGCTTCTGTCAAACCGCAAGGACTTGCTTAAATATGACTAGCACGGGACGTGCTCATGCGGGTGTGAGAGGTTGGGAGGAAAGATAAATAAAAAACTCTGAACAGAGAAAACAAGGCAAAAATGGTAAAAGAGGGGCGGTAGATAGGCGCCGTTTAGCTTGGTATTTTCGGGTTTTTGATTGTATTCTGACGTATTTTGTTAGTTTTTCTTAGTTTTGCTTAATATTGCTTGATATTAATTACGGGCCTTTTAGGCATAGTGTGTATTTTCATTGTAAAATAACGATACCCAGAAGTGGAGAAAATCACCGTAAAAACCAGATCAAAACGTGGATACAGTATCCATACAAGACTAGGTATCCATGGATTTAACTCCCTGAGGAGCTACTTTAGCCCCTCCGCCACCCTCAAATTTTGTTTCTTATCACTTCTTCAACTTGCACTTTTGCAACCGAATGTCAACTTGTCAACTCAGAATGGCTCAAGCATTTCACGTCTCTTCTTCTCTTCCGGGCAATAGTCCCCCCTTAAAACCAAGTAATTGTGGCTCCGACCTGGCTGCGCGCCTCAACGCCGCGACTCTGGTGGAGTCTGCGCCCGATGAGGCACCACGCACAGCAAGGTCGGAGCCCAAGAAGGTGATTGTGGTGGGGGCTGGAATTTCAGGTCTTCGTGCTGCTGCTGTTTTGCAGCGTCACGGTTGTGAGGTTGTCGTGCTTGAAGCTCGCGATCGCATCGGTGGACGAATTCTGACCAGCCGGAACGGAGAGCATGTTCGAGATATTGGTAGGGTTCCGAGGTTGCGATGAAAACCGGTGGTGACCCTGACCTTCCAGGTTTCGTTTAGCTGTGGCGGTAATAATAAAAAAGTCGCTGACAATCCTCAGGTGCGGCTTGGATGCACGAAACTTCCCAGAATGGTCTGGTGAAGCTCATCCCAAGGCTAAACATCCCTTACTATTATGATGACGGCGCCCCGCTCTATTTTACCCGCGAGGGTCGCGCCGGTTCGCAATTCAAGGCGAAAAAGGTCGCCGATGAATTCGCCGATTACTGCGAGTGGTATTACGAAACCCACCCCGACGCCGAGGATCGTCCCGTCGACGAATTCGTCCGGGAGTTTGTCCTCGAGCACCAGCTTATTAGCGATGATGAGCGTATCTGGGCGCCTCAGGCCGTCCGCGAAGTGGAATTGTGGCTCGGAACCAGTACGACCCTCGCCTCTTCGAAACATTTGTCTTACTTTATAACCGAGCGGAACCTGTACATGAAAGGCGGATATGATCGCATTGTGAACTGGACCGCCGAGCCTCTCCGTGAGGATCCCAGCATCATCCGTCTAAACCACCACGTCGAGGACGTCGAGTGGAATGAGGAGGGCACTGCGCCCACCCGCGTCCGATACCGAGATGCGACCGGAGCTACTGGGATCGTGGAAGGAGATGCCGTGGTGATGAGCTGCCCGCTGGGCGTCTATCACCACAACCTGATTAATTTCAACCCCCCCTTGCCGAGTGACATCCAAGAGGGCATGTCCAAATTCAGCTACGGCGCATTGGGCAAGGTTTTTTTTGAATTCACCGATGTATTCTGGCCCAAAGACAACGACCAGTTTATCTTCTACCCTTCCCCTTCGGAAGAGGACCTGGATACTGTCTCCGGATCCTCGGTCAATTCGTCCAACAGCATGGGCTCCATCCAGGAAAAGGACAACATCCTCAATTACGCCACTGTCACCATCAACTTGTGGATCATGACCGGCGGCAAGGAACTATGTGTTCAAATCGCCGAGCCTCTTACTCAGCGCATTGAGGCCATGACCGACAAGAAGGAGATCTATCGCTTCTTCGAACCTCTCTTCAAACTGCTCCGCGCGGAGCCATACAAAGCACTCCCACGTCTGGTCAGTGTTGAAACTACACACTGGACCCAGGACCCGCTGGCCGGGTACGGGACCTACTCTGCCGACAAGGTCGGGGACGAACCGGAACTTCTAATCGAAGCCTTTGAAAACCACAAAGACAGTGCCATGCAATTTGCAGGTGAGCATTGTACTATGGTGGCGAATGGCTGTGTACACGGTGCGTATAAGACGGGTGAAACCGCTGCGTCCAACCTACTGCACAGATTTGGTATTCCTTATGACGGACATGATGCCGTCAGTGACGCTGTTCTCAAATAAGTATGTCAGGGTTAAGCCTTTGGAGGTGATTTCCGAGTCACTTGGCTGGTCCTGATATTCAACATTATCACTGGAGTATAGCCAGAGCGCGCCCCAGTGCACTCAGTGAAACCCTGGAGGTTTTGTTTTGCATTTTCCTTAAGCATATTTTAAGCATATTTCACTATATAGCATCTAGCAGCCATCTACTAGTAGCATTGAACTAATTGAAGCATGTGGATGTATACTGCCAAGACAAGTTTGGTTCAAATGTTCACAGGTCCCGTATCGTTTGGGAATGTATGGTTCCCCCATAGGTCGTAACGCCAGATCAAAGTATTATATAGTTCGATTTAGCCCCAATCTGCAGGTAAATAGTCCAAACGTGGTACCTGCATGGAATTAAAGTTTCAAGAACGAACCATACCCACTAAACACAATAAATGGCCTTACTGTTAACCTGTATAGGAAGCTCAAGGAACTCACGGGGTGTAACCCATATGACAAGGATGGCTTTATGGGGTTGTCTCAGCCATTATGAAGTCTCTCCGTCGATATGAAATTCATGAAGGTACTCAAATATGGCGATACAGACTACGGCTACAGCTACAGTACTTCCAATGATAATTGTGCTGCAAACTGAAAAGCCCGGAGGTGTACATTGAAATCAACAATCAAATACCCCTATTTCATTCTCGGAACGCCTCATGGCGATCTGGTCACCCCGGCATCTGGGTTAGAATAGATTAAATTTAGCCCGGGGGGTACAAACTTTCCCACGGAAGAAGCCGTCCCGCCGGCGTGGCCGGTACCGTCTGCCTTGGGCATGTGACTATTTCCATGCTGACTCATCAGTCATTTCTATGGTGGTGGATCCACTTGTGGGGCAGACCAAGAAGTTGGCGTTATCGTTCCACGGAACCTTCTATTCCATTATCAGAATTTTACTTTCAATTGAGATTGTTTCGTCATTGGTATGGAGAGTAGGTTTCGATGTCGTAGGGCTGAACAGGAAAAGTATCTCGGTCTCAATTGATTGTTTGGTAGACTGAACAAGTTGATCCCTACTTAGGGCACACCGTGTGCACAGTGTAATCACTTGGACCATTCGGGAACAGCCCGAGCCGAGTTTTCTACAGGTATCAAATCCATTCAAATGGTAGTGACTTATAATGCTCCCTTGGAGCCCTCAAATATGCATGTATAGATGTTCGAATGTTGCATCCGAGGATTCTACATCGTCTGGATTATCTATACTTCGATTAAAAATATGTTGATCACCAGTGTTGAACAATTGAACGCAGTAGACAAGCCGGCGTTGCGTGAGTCAATCCACGTTGTACGTTTTGCAGTCTCTATGCCATGCGCATGTGGCTGATCAACTTTGTTGTTCCAATTTTAAGATAAGTATCTTATGATGAATCAGGTTTTGCAGTTGCCCAATATCGGGCTTCAAATGAGTGCAACATTTGAACCCTCTGACTTGAACCAGTACTGTATACCTGCATGTAGTCCACTTATATGTTGTTCCGTGGCTAGTACCGACGCCAGAATAAAGAGGCATGTATTGAAACAGTAGAATGCTTTCTATCGAGGATCTCATTCATATTCCAACATTTGAAGGTTGTGATAGGTGTTCTAAACCTTGCAATTGCACCGGCCCGATAAGCACCCGCTTAGCCTTTAGCCACGACGACATGACCCACATACTAACAGCCGATTGATCGATCACAGCCTCCACTATCCGAAGCCCACAAATATTATCCAATAGGAAGTCAGCCCTGCAAAGACTAGTATAGAATTCTCAAAGTGGGGCACCTAGCGTTCTAGAGAACGTAACACCCAAGAGGACGCGTAATAACGGCTTGGACTTTTCATTAGTGCATTTTCGCCCGTCATGATTCGAAAAGTATCCTTTCTCAGGAGCTTCTGCGACAGACGTGATTGTTAGTGGTGGGGCATATCTCCACCACGTCTGTCACTCCAGAGGGATTTCCCTTTACACATATCCATCCAGCCATATCCATGCACTCGCTTTCTCTCTCCACATCGTATCTCGTATAGTGATGCCCTGCAGATCTGAAACCATCGGCTTACGATGTCTGTGACAGATTATGTTGTGAGGGTCTGCCGGCAATACAATGCCAACCAACTCAAGCGTGCCTTAGCTATTGTCGGTCTTTGCGCGGCGTTTGCCATAGTTTTGCTTTTTCCTGGAGTGAAGGAGCATATTATACCTGTTAGTCCAGCACAGGACGTACTGGAGGTTGAAAAAGCAGCGTAGGTACCCCCGAGGTCATTGAAAATTTGCATTGAAAATTTGGGGACTTTACTCGCAGAAAATCCAGTTTCGGACCCACTGACACCCGCCTAGCCCCGTTCCTGAGACGAGCTTCTACTTAGCCAGCGATGCCACTGCAGATGGGGATGATGCACCAGTGCATATTATAGAAACGTCACAGGAATCCGAATCGGTGGCATATGATCCATATTCGGACTATAACAGTGCAGCCTGGAAATTAGAATGGAAAGGAGAGTTTAAGCAATGTATTGGTCCAGCTGGAACACTTCTAAGCAGGAACGATAAACAATTCTTGATGAAAGGATACAACTGGAATGTGTCAAGTACGGATCCAGTCCTATATTTGGTATTGCGTTTTTACTGACAGCCACAGGTTTCCCAAGCCCAGTCTTTGGTTCATACGAGGCGTGGGATCTTGACAGTAGTCTCTGTACTGATCGTTTTTCGCAATATGGTGCCTATGGATATGGAAATGAGACCGGTGAAATATGGGCCAATGTGAACTTGGGATATCTACAAGAAGATTGCCTGCGGCGCAACATTGAGCGGTACCAACCCCACAATATCGAGAAGCTGCCAACACTCCACAAGGGACATGATAGGCGTGAGAATGAAGAAACATCTGCACCCACCCAAGACAGTCCTGGCAGTTATCATACTCGCACGGCAGTCATCCTACGCTCATGGATAAACAAGCATTACACGGAAAATGACCTCCATTTCATTCGGTCCATGATCATGGAACTCTCGCTATTCTCCGGAGCAGAATATGAAGTAATCCTCTTAGTCGATTCAAAAGATATTGAAATACCCGACCCGTCAGACAATACTGGCATGGACGAGTTCAAGAAGAAATACCTCCCCCAGGAGCTCCAAGGCATTGCAGTCTTCTTCGATGAGAAAATCCTCGCTGACTGGTACCCGAAGATTGATGTTCACGAGTAGGTTTCCCCAAGTGCGATTCTTCTCATGATACTAACCACATCCCAGGGCGATCCTACAATATTTCCAGCCGATCCAGATATTCTCCCGGCTCAATCCCCAGTACGACTATATCTGGCAATTCGAGTTGGATGCGCGGTACACTGGACATTTATACCATTTTCTCGAACAAGCAGCCATCTTTGCCAAGAAACAACCTCGCAAGAATCTCTGGGAGCGCAACTCCTATTTCTACATCCCAGCTGTTCACGGTGATTGGGAACAATTCATGGACACCGTGGATCGAGGAATGAGCAACCACGAAGATGTCTGGGGCCCACAACCCGCCATCGGCATCCACGTCGAAGACGAGTCCCCACCTGTACCAACCTCCGACGATCAAGATAACCTTTGGCAATGGGGAATCGGCGAAGAAGCCGACGTTATAACCTGGATGCCCCAGTTTAATCCAAAGAACACAGGCTGGCCCTTTCGCGACCGGATTTTCAATTTCTGGCAGGGCGGACGCACGCCTGTTCGCGCGTCCCCTGTTGCTATGTCTCGTGTCTCGGCGCGACTTCTCAGACTGATGCATAATGATAAAACCAGATCTGGACTGGGTTTGGCATCGGAGATGTCGCCGGTTTCCTGGGCTCTTTTTTATGGCTTGAAATCAGTGCAGGTTCCGCAGCCTATCTATCATGAAAAGAGGTGGGATCCCGTGGAGCTGAATCGTCGCGCGAATCCTGGGAAACCCGGTAGTATCAATGCCGGCAAGGATAGTATTTGGAGTTGGCAGATGCATGATGATATTATGTTGAAGTTATCTTACATGTTTTCGTCTGACTTTCCCGAGAAGCTTTATCGAGCTTGGTTAGGACTTGACGATACTGCTGAGGTAGGTGGTATTACCAGTTTTCGGCAATTCATGGTTTGCTAACTATTTATAGTGGGAGAATAATCACCAGCGCCTTTGTCTGCCTCCTATGCTCTTACATCCTATTAAAAGGACCGAGTGACGGTCACCCGTTGGATAATCACTTGCCCTCGTAAAGGCCTTCACATCGCAAATGATCTATCTTCTCATGCCTCCTTTCTCATCTCTCTTCTCTCCCTACGATTCGCCCATCATTTGCCGGCTTTGATGGTTAGGTCCAAATTTTCATCGTCTTCCCTTCCTTCGTTCGTACCGCGTGCTCTGTCAGGTTGGGACAGGCTTCTTGCTCATATCCAGCGACCTCGATTTATTAAATTAATTAGAGCTTCTCATGGATCATGATACATTATGAATCATTGAAAGCCAACGATGTGTATAATAGCGATGTAGAATACTTAATTTGCTTGCTTTAAAATAGACTGGCGTATTCAATTGTTCCAAATTTCTCTCACAGGTACATGTATTAGGTATCCATTCATTACCATAACAACTGAAGAAATTCGACATGTCTTGACCCACTTCGAGGTCAAAATTCACTTGGAGGCAGCTCTAAGGTCAAGGTCTTTTGATTTGCGCTATCAAAGGCACTAATTCCCACGTGGAAACGATCGATGTGATACAACCGTACAAGGCTATGCCTGCACCACAGTAGGTATAAAGTGACTAAGCCACCTCGACACGGACCCCATTTTCTTTCATACCTCCCATGTTATTGGCCGTGATCTACTTTACCAGAAAATGATCAAGGGGTTCTCGGCTCGGTGTTCAAGAATCTGAAGCGGCAGACCCACATTGGAGAATGATGACTTGATCTAACCGTATCGGGTTGATTGATGACAAAAGCTAACCACATTAGGAAGTTTACTATGCCGATTGCATCATGATTGATCATGATTGAATCCAATGACGGTGAATGCTGTAGACTAAGCTACTAGAATTATTAAACCACGGACTCGATCGAACTTGGAAGAACTCTATTTCAACTTACTATTTAAGCTCTACCATGCCCCTGGAATCTTCGTCTTCATTCATTCACTCTGATTAACCTTCCATCCTTCAGAATGGAATACTTCCGGACAGTGTGCCCTCCGGCACCCACCTTCACAGAGAAAAATGTTCCTGATCAATCCGGCAAGGTAAATCTCCTAATCCCCTCGAAAGACTCAATCTAACAAGCTGGATGATTTTAGGTTTTTATCGTAACGGGTGCGAACTCCGGCGTCGGTGCTGAGCTCGCCAAAATTTTATACGGTCAAAATGCCACCGTATACATCGGCGCCAGATCTAAAGAAAAGGCCATGGATGCCATTGAAGAGATCAAAACTGCACACCCCGACTCTACTGGAAGACTCGTTTTCCTTCAATTGGATCTTTCCGACCTGACGACAATTCAGAGGTCCGCCGATGAATTTCTGGCAGCGGAGTCTCGTCTCGACGTTCTGTGGCTGAATGCAGGAGTGAGTGACCAAACATGATCTTTGAAATTTTTGCAATTTTTCCCCTCATTATCTAATTGTCTGTTGTAGGTGATGATGCCCCCTCAGGGTAGCAAGACGAAACAAGGATACGAGCTACAACTTGGTACCAACAATCTCGGACACTTTTTGTTCGTCAAGTATCTGCATGATATCTTGAAGAAGACTGCACTCACAGCGCCTAAGGCTAGTGTTCGTGTGATCTGGGTTTCATCTTCGGCTATCTTGATGGCGCCAAAGCCAGCGATCGACTTCGATAACATGGATTATCATCAAGAGGAGAGCGCTATGAAGAAATACGCCCGCAGCAAGGCTGGTAATGTAATTCATTGTGCTGAGTATGCCAAGAGGACTGCTGGGGACGGAGTGTTGAGCTTGGTAAGTGACTTCATTCAGTGTGAGATATGGTTGATTGGAGTCAGGGGGTATAACTTACTAACTGTGAGATGTGTGAATAGTGCTTGAATCCTGGTAATTTGAAGAGCGGACTTCAGAGACACATGTCAAGAGTACAGGGTTTCCTGACGGTACGTATTTCTCGATCATCAAGCGTTTCTGTTTGCTGATTGCAAGTTGCAGAATTTGATCCTCTACCCTGCTATTAATGGGGCTTATACAGAGCTCTACGCAGGTTTGAGTGCGGATATTACTGAGGAACAGAATGCATCCTTTGGTAAGACCCATTGCCACTTCCGTTCAGACTCGTCTAATTGTCTTTAGTCGCTCCTTGGGGTAGAGTCATTCCCATCAGACAAGATCTGTATGATCCGGAGCTCACCAAGAAATACTGGGAATGGTCTGAGGAGCAAGTCCAAGGCTACTGAAATTGGCCTTGAAGTGTATATCAGTATGGAATGATGTAATTCTAGTGATGCTTTGTTGTGATATATAACAATGACACTTAATTGGCTGGGTGATGGAAGTTCATTCACTGCTGTGACTTGTCCTAGTGAATGAGCGTTTGAGCGTTTGGGCAGCCCCACCTTATTGTTGGCAATGTTTTGTTATGAATCTCATCTCCTTTCTTCCATCTTCTTTTCTTTCCTCTTCCCATGTATGGGAAGTCTCTTCTAAACAACAAGCCCTATGGAAATCGATGTTCGTTATCAACAAGCCCCTGAGCATTATCTGGATCTAATATTCGAGCAACAACAGATGGAGAAGTACTACGCCAAGCTTAAACTGCCCAGCTGGGGTTAGCTTCCAGTCGAACAATTCTTGATCGTGTGTCTTCCATCGCTTCACACGAAAACCTCACTAACAAACTAACAGCGACACTGGAACCCTTTCTCCAATGATAGCCCTGACACGCAGCGCTTCAGGCTCGTCCGCAAATTTCTGAATCTGCCAAGAATCCCTCGCGTTTGGTATCTGGAGGACCGGATCCGCGAGCCCACTGCGAACGAAATCAACTTGATCCTCCGCCCTTACCGATCCGACAATGTGCGCAAAGTGGCTTGGGCTATCTGGCGGGAAAGACACTCTTTCCCAGTTCTCCTGCGGACACACTACAACCCTGACATGCCTGTTCACAACGCCATGATGAACAACTGGATCAATGTTGGCCAGTACATCAGTCAGCTCGCCCCCTGGGCTGTGATCAATGACCCCGACTTCTTTGGAATCCCCGAAAGTGACAATACCCGAGCCCCGTCAGTCGACTGGCGCAGAGTCAGTTTCAAACTCCCCGAGGCTGCGGGCCCGGAGGCCATTCTCACCGATGGCGACGACACTGTTCGCTGGAGGGATCTTCCGCCCTGGTACCGGTACAAACGCGGTCTCTTCAAGGCCCAGCTTGCCTTTGAGAAGAAGTGCAAGCCTTATGAGTGGCTTGCAGATCCCAAACAAATGATCGAGATGTGTGCTGCCGGGGTCCAGTTTGGTGTCTGCGCCATGGTCTTGATCGTTGTGGATAAGGATGCGTTCGACACTGGCTGTCCCTTGTTGATGTACGTGGACCACTTTCAGCAGCCCATTCGGTCTACTCGCTTTGTCTTGAACGAAAAGTCCCTCAACGCCATTGTTCTTGATTGGAGTCGTGGTCTTTTGACTCCGTGGATGTGGGAGGAGAGTGAGGTTGGGGACAATTACAAGGCCGATGGGGAAGTTGGTAAGGTCCTTTACCAGTTGAACCAGACAGACATGACTCTCCCTGGTACTCTCCGCTGAGACATGTCTCCATGGTTCCGACAACACGCAAACTGTTGCAAAGTTGTCTCCTTGAGGCTTTTTATTCTTGTGCCTCGGCCAGGCTTAATGTTAAAATAGTCTGAACTGAGTGCCAATGAACCTTCTTACCAGGCTATTTTCTCATATTTGTGTATCAAACTTACCATAGATCTAGGAAAGACGCGTCCTGAAAGGTTTGGTCTACTTTAGAAGTTGACTATTAATGTTCGTGCCCAGACAGGAATGGTCTTCACTAAACATTCAGACATTATGAGGGCAATCCCGACCAATCGTAGAATTCAGCATATGTGCAGACAAATCGAATATCGGTTGAAAGATCATCATAAGGCTGAAATTTAAGAAGATAATAGTATTATTGGAACAATAGTAGATCTAGAGCAACATTTTCAAAAATTTTTACCGTGGCGGGAAATGAACGTTAGTAAGATGAATTATACGACATTCAGGGGAATACAATTGTCAATTGACATCCGTGTGGTCGAGTGGTAAACACTCCCACCAGCTGGCACTATATGTGACCAAACAATTTAGTCCATGGGACTTGAATGGTGTTGTCAATTAGTATCGGGGAACACCAACTCGGAGCAGACCCCTCCAATGTGACTAATAAAGGCACAGGAGGAGTCCTTCTGAGTAAGATGTTTTGTTTGTTAGTTAATAATTCTGGCGAGTATCTACTCCTTGACTTATCGTCTTACCCTAAATCGATTGTGGGGCGGGGTACGACGTGGGGTAAATTATGGGTGAACTTAAGGGTGATGCAAATGAAGCTATTCACAATGCACCTTCTAAGTACTCTGTGAGAATAGGTAAAACTTACAACAACCAAAATCCTGCGATTCGATTTGTTTTCATCGAACTTTTCAAATACCTCTGGTAAGGTCGCAGGAAACATTATCTGGCATGGTACATATTGATGCCCAGCGTATGTATCATCACGCTACTACCCACCCAGCCCACTATGCATGCATATTTAGGCGCCGATGACCACGTCAGTCCAGATTTCAGCTTGCCTTTTCTCTGCTGACATCCCTTAGTCAGATTATTCATATCTCTTATTCTATTATCCCCGATCGGAAAACACGGAAAATCTGCCCACCATCACGAAATGCCCGATTCGCGTCTTCGAAAACATAGACCCTTCAAATGGCTTCGAAACAGACAGGAAGACAAATCAGGGAATGGAAATGGTACTCATCAACTGACCATTCGCAATGCGACTCCTAAGCCCAATGCGACTCCTGAAGCGATAGAGAATTCGACCACGACTGCCGAGGCTGAAGACTTGTGGGCAATGGCCAGGAAAATACTGGCCCAGGATAAAAGGATGTGCCTGATGTTGGAAGAAGCAACGAAAATCGTTGAACAACATGGCCTTGAGGGTGTAACACAGGGCACATCCAATTCCGAACAACTCCACAGCTCTCTTACCGCCAAGGTCGAAGAACTGAAGCGGAAGGAGATGGTGATCCAGATTGATGACCACTATATCCATGTCAAAGAGAAAATAATGCAGGCCATCTGGAATGTCCTAGTGTTGAAGGATCTGGTCAGCACAGCTGCATCTACCAGCCCTCCAGTGGCGATAGTCTGTGCCTGCATGACTGTCGCTCTCCTGGTGAGTCTCTGACCCTATGTGTTGTTTGGAAACATCTTGCTGACTGACTCTCCCTAGATGTTTATCCGTGCCGATGATCAAGAAAAAGACCTTCTCGAAGGGTTAGAGAAAACATCTGGATTGATTCCTCGTCTCCGCATGATGGAAGATCTCTATCTCAAATCTAATATTAGTCTCCCCAGTGATTTTACCAAACAATTCAAAGAAGAGCTGGTGTCTTTGTACGGGAGAGTTCTCGAGTTCCAGGCTCGAGCGCTATGTTTCTTGCAAAGGCATACCTTGGAGAGAATGTTCCGCAATATGTTTCATGAAGACTGGAATGCGCTGAAAGTCAACATTGCGAGCCAAGAAAATGAAGCCCGAAACTTCACTCAGCTTATTGAAGCCCAAGGGAGGAAGCAGGACATGGAAAAGCTCTCACGTTCAATGCAAAAAGCTGAAGAAAGGCATCAGCTCCAGCAAAGCATTTTGGATCGAAATAAAAAAGTGTTCCACTTCCTTAAGCTGCTCTATCGCGTCTGTCCATACAAAGAGCGAAAAGACCGAGTTGACAAGCGTGTACACGGCACGTGCCAGTGGTTTACCAAACACATCGAGTTCCATAAATGGAAAGAAAACCAAGATTTGAAACTTCTATTCGTCTCAGCAGGTCCAGGATGTGGAAAGTCAGTCTTGTCAAGATATCTAGTTGATGAGGTTCTCCCTGCTGAAAGAAGGACGATTTGTTACTTCTTCTTTCGTGACGACTATCCTGATCAGAAAACACACACAATTGCGCTTGCCAGTATGTTACATCAGCTCTTCCTGGCTCATCCATATCTTGTGTCAGATGCTGTGCTAGGCCAATATGACGCCGAAGGCGAAAGGCTTCTTGAATCATTCCACACCCTGTGGAAGATTTTCATAGATAGCATGACCGGCCTCGAAACTGAAACTATAATCTGTGTGATAGATGCCTTGGATGAGTGCCAAGAAGATGAAAGAAGGCAGTTTGTTAAAGCCATAGAGGACTTCTATCGGACAGATAAAAATAACCGAAAGTTGAAGTTCCTTCTAACAAGAAGACCTTATGGGGCAATCGTTGAGGATTTTCGTGAGCTAGAGGCTCAAATGCCGACAATCCACTTGAGTGGAGATGGTGAGACTGAATCGGCAGCAATTTCAGGCGAGATCAACCTGGTGATCAAGAAAAGAGTTCACGACATCCGCATTCGCAAAGGTCTGGATAATGACGACGAAGAATTCCTGGAAAGGAAGTTGACAGCGATGCCGAACCAAACATATCTTTGGGTTGCTCTTACTATGGATTATATTCGCGATCTCGACGGCTTCACCAAAGGAAACGTCCGCGAAACAGTGCTTCCTGAAACGGTCGATGATGCTTACGAGAAGATATTGAACAGAAGCAAAGATAAACTCAAAGCCAAGCGTTTACTTCATATTGTCCTGGCCGCGGCAAGACCACTATCTGTGGAAGAACTATCTTTAGCCATGGCACTGAAAAGGAAAGACCAGCCTCTTGATGACATACTGGAGTCAATGGAGTCTTCTGATAGGTTCAGAATCACATTACGAAGCATCTGTGGATTGATGCTTGTCGTCGTTAACGATAAGATCTACCTTCTGCATCAAACTGTAAAGGAATTCTTGGTTCGGGATTCTTCAACGTCAGCTGATCCAGTATCATCTATCCACTGGAAGCATGCACTTTCAGCAGAGGAGTCACACAAGACTCTTGCAAAAATATGCGTGTGGAATATATGTGCTGCTTCGATGGAGACCGGTCTGAATGTACTTCTGAGATACTCGGCAGACTATTGGTTAGATCACTTCCGTGAAGCCCGTTTTCGTCACCAGGACGAGATGACAAATTTGGGATGTTGTCTTTGTGTTCCAGGATCGAAATTATACAATACATGGGCAGAGGTTTCTCCAAAGTGGGTTCTTCCGGAAGAACGAACAGGACTTATTCTTGCAGCGAGTTATGGGCTTTCGTCCGTCGTGCAAAGATTTCTAGAGCATACCGGCGTGGAAGTGAATAGCACGGATGCCAAGTTTGGCCGCACTCCACTTTCATGGGCTGCTTTTAGGGGACATGGAACTGTGGTTAGTCTGCTTCTCGATGCTAAGGCCGACATAGAGTCTAAGGACTCTAATGGCCAGACCGCGCTTTCATTGGCTGCTGAAAGTGGACATGATACTGTGGTCAGTCTGCTTCTTGATGCTAAGGCCGATATAGAGTCTAAGGACTCTTATGGCCAGACTGCGCTTTCATTGGCTGCTTTTAGGGGACATGGAACTGTGGTTAGTCTGCTTCTTGATGCTAAGGCCGATATAGAGTCTAAGGACTCCATTGGCCAGACTGCGCTTTCATTGGCTGCTGAAGTGGACATGATATTGTGGTCGGTCTCCTTTCGAGCGTCGATGAGATGGATGCAGAGTAGTCTAAATTGGCTTACCTGATTCTAAGTTCTATCAAAACATTCTTTAAGCATGCTCATTCCTTTCCTAGCTGATCAAGCGATTGTGGAAACCGTATAAGGGCACTCGAAGTCCACAAATTAATTAATCCATTTAATACAAGTCCCAGCTATCATATGTTACAGCTGCACAAATGTTTACGTTGATATGATATCAGCTGCCTTCTCAGCAATTGCATACACTACAGCCTGGTAATGACCCGCCAAGGACAACGGCAACACACTTGCATCCACCACACGCAGAGCCTCAACTCCATGAACTCGCAGCTGGGTGTCAACCACCTTCCCCATGGCCGCTGACCCAGCCGGATGGTAGAACGTCGCACCCCCAAGCTTAATCGCCTCATCAAGCTCTGCATCTGTCGATGATGCACTTAAAGGTCCCAGTCCAGGACGAGGAGTCTCTTCAACAACAATCTCCCGACCCTCGGGCGTATCCCTGAGTAAATGGGTGACCTGTCGAACACCCGCCCGCAATGCCGCCCGATCAACCTCCGTCGCATAGTAATTTGGATCAACCAACGGCGCGGCACTGGGATCTGCTGAAGAAAGCGTGATACTTCCTCGGGAGGTGGGGACTATTCCGAGCACGGCGGATGCGATATATGTTCCATCCATGGGAACGTCCACACCCGCTACAGCTGCACCGGCAGGGGCATACACAACCAGAGTCTCGACGTGGGCAAACTCTGGAGCGAGATACGGGTGGTTAGGGACGCCGTCTACTTGCAATGCGCGTTCCAGTTCGTTGCGTGGTGTCTGTACAGTGGCAACCCAGCTACCTGGAAGCCCGAGGCCATATGCTGGACTGTTCCAGAGTGGGGTTCCGATCGACAAACCCTTTTCAGGGTGACGGAGCTTCCACCACTGGTTAAAAGAGAAGTGGTCGTGGAAGTTGCGGCCTACTTCTGGTGCATTTACTTGCACGGGGATACCGTGTCTGGCCAGCTCGTCGCTGGGGCCGATGCCGGATAGCATTAGTACTTGAGGTGTGCGGTAGGCACCAGCGGAGACCACCACTTCGCGAGATGCTTTCAAGATCGTTCCATCTAGAAGCTCGATCCCAGTTGCAACCTTGGTACCATTTCCCTCGGACAAAAACACACGTTTCACCAGTGTCTCGGTTTTGATCGTGATATTAGACTTCTTGGTGATTCCATATGCTTCACTCGCGAGCTGACGTTGCCCATCGCGCCAGTTCTCTGTGAGTTCAGCCAGACCCAAGGGGGATCCATCATTCCCATCAGAAGTGGTGTTAACCCCTAGTCTAGCCCAGGCCTCTCGCATAGTATCGCGAAGTGGATATATCCGATCAGGACTGCTGGAAGCAACTGTCGCATTGTGTATGGGACCCGATCGGCCATGAACTGACAAATCGGCATTCTTATCCCAGTGTGTCTCAGTGCGCTTGAAATACGGCAGAAGTGACTTATAGCTCCATCCATCATCACCCACAATCTCAGCCCAGAGATCATAGTCGGCAGCATTCCCTCGAGTCCAGGTACCGTAGTTCGTGGCCGTACCACCGCCAAGCGCTTTGCCAGCGGCGGCGTAGCATTGCCGACCATTGAGATGAACCTGTGGTACGGTGGTATATGCCCAGTCGAGTGGAGATAAATGAGCCCCGAAGCAGGCGAGAGGGGAGCTTGTCAATGGATGTCCAACAACATTGGAGCCGGCTTCGACAATCAGAATTGATCGTGCGGGGTGGTATTCGGCCAATCGACCAGCGAGAGCTGACCCCGCAAGGCCGCCACCGATGATGATATAGTCGTAAGATTCGCTGGCGGGCATTGTGTAGTATATTTGGATGTGAGGAAATGCAAGTGCAAGTATCTGCGGAAATTGGAATTGACACTAGCTAAATATATGGACGGCCGATAATCCGCGTTTTTCCGACAATAAGTAGATTCATTCGCAGAAAATGACGCAACAACGTTTAGTCTCTGGGGGCCAAAACTATGGATAATTACGATGTTACGAGCGCCCGCTACGATTACATCTTGGGATGCTGAGTCACCAACCAAGAATAGGCCTCCAATGCGGTGATCATTTATTCCGTGTCCTGGTGCTCTGATTGGTCGATATTGGATTATGTTCCAGACCAATATGATCAATGCGAAGTCAAATCCTACTTCTTTCCCGCTAGACTTTCACAGTAGAGTGAGCATACAGCTGACTAAAGCTACCTTGCCGGCCTCAGGCAGCGCAGCGCTTCCCGCCCCAACAACTTTTTCATAAATCAGGTATTAAAGCGGACCTAGGACAGACATCTTCGATAGAAGCGGACATACAAAGGCCCAAAATCCAATGACTAGACTAATTAGCTTCCAAAAAATCAGGATTAGAGAATTGAACGGACGTCAGGGACTGAGGCATCAAAATAACGCTTTACATACGACTACCAAGATGCCTTCGATAGGGAGAAAATAGATGCATCTTGTCCACACAAGAGAGTCTAGAGAACGCCACCTGAGGCGACTACACCCATCGCGGCCTGAACTACAAATTCCTGCACGAAGCTGAACGGCATCACGTACGCAAACCAGGGCACGCACATGTAGAGCCAGGTGAGTCCCCACAATAACCCTATGAAACTCGTGGGCCCCAGGTAAGATGCTCTGTTTACCCGAGTTCTGCATGCATCCTCCATCGTAATTATGAAGGGGACTGTGATAAAGAACAGAAGCACTGCCCCCGAGCTGTCCGAGACACCCGCATACACTGCACTCATAACGTGCAGAAAGCCGGGTAAAGAGAAGACCAGGAAGAGATTCGTAAATTTCTGTCCCTGGAGAGATGATGGAATGCAGAATACGAGATGTCGTCGGATATACTCGCTAAGCTTCACCAAGGGCCAATGTAATAATTGATGCCAATATCTGCTGCGGAATAACAAACAATAAGTAAGCATACTAAAAGTACGGAAAAGCACAAATTTTCGGACACAACTCACGACCAGAATTCTCGGATGCTGAAATTCTGGAATTGTCCCATACCCCGAATAGCGGCGGCCAGTCCATAGGAGGTGTCAACTGCAAAAGAACAGATACCAAGGCGAGAACCCCTATACTATCGCGACAAGTAAGCGGAGGTTGGCCACTAGAATACAAGACAGCGGAAATCGTGCTATCAACTGCTCCTTGATTGACCTAGGGCCAAGAAACTCCGCCCCTGCTGCCAAAGTATCGGGCCAATTGCGGTGGAAATATCTCAATGCCCCGAAATTTAGGAGGTCAAGTGTTAAATATTGCCAGCCCAGAGCAAGTATAGTTTCAGCGATATATTGGCCCTTTGGGATATATTGGCCCTTTGGAGTTTCTGTATTTTGATGCTGAGTTTTCACCTCCCATGGCGTCCCAATTTCGCGAGTACTTGTCACACAGTTCAGGGCAGCACTAAAGCGCTTAAAGGAGGAGTTCGAGCCTGTGGGAAGTAAATGCTGGATTTCAACCTGAAGGACCAAGGAAAAGGTTAATAAAATGGAGAAGTTTGACAATGCAGCAGAATGCGATTACTCCTCGTAGCAGTTCTGGCTCTGGTAAAAAGTGTAGGAGTTGGATTTCAGGAATTGCCAGAATGAGGAGGGAAAACATAAAATAACAAAGCGACAGGAAGTTGATCCATGGCTAGTGAAGGCCAAAGCAGTTGACGAAATCTGGTACTCAAAGAGCATAATAGCCACCAACATCCAGATGCACGACATGGTGACAATTTCGATGTGCATGTGGCGAGTGACTACCCACATTCCACATTCCGCAGATTGTGTAGCTTATATCGTGTCTCTGAGTCTCGAATACCATTCATTATGTCAATTTCATCAACCCTTTACATAACACGCCCCTTGCAGCATACATAATTATTAGATCTTCAGGAAATAAGGTACGCGTCCGATTTACTACACCCTTAAACGTTACAGAATTAGCCAAAAGGACTGAAAGTCCAGATGGGTATTTCATCGAACAGTACCTGTCTTTCAGGTGGACAATCGGTTGAGTTATCCTCCACTGACTCGTGCCAGGATGGACTCTATTGTATGAATCTTCCATTATGATTTACTGTGTATTTTAATAACAATTTACAGGTCCATCAAACAACAAACAAAGCCAATTGGTGTATTGCCCCCCTCCCCCAACTGCCTCCTGACACGACTTAAAAGCAATAACAACCGCTGCCCCCCAAGGAGACTCGGAGCCGACAGTATGGATTTTGTCCACCTGGAAAGGAACAACAGATTGAGTGTCCTAGTGGATATTTTTGCCCTCTAGGGACGGCAACTCCGTTCAAATGTACGGTCATGTCAATATGCCCACCAAGAAGTTCTTATCAAATTCCGCTATTGGGACTTTGCCTTTGCCTTCTACTAGACCTGTTGATGATAGGGATGTGTATTGTTTTGCGATCTTCATCGCCATTAAAAAATGGATGCGGTATCGCTTAAACAGACCTCGTTCTCGTACTCAAGTCAACAAGAACGGTTCAAACGCGCGCCCTGCTTGTTTGCAGCAATTTCAGGATTTTTTATCCGGTGAGAATCTTGCCGACTTTGACCTCACTTTGAGTTTCACCGATATTTGTTTCACGCCTCGACGTTCACGACGCAAGATCTTGTCTGATCTACATGTGACTATCAATTCTGGCTCGGTTCTCGGAATTATTGGAGCTTCTTGGTCAGGAAAATGTGAGGGCCACTAAATGTGCGATTTAGAAACATTATTTAACCTTTTATGCACCACAGCAAGCTTGGTTAATATCTTATCGGGCAGAATGCGTCCTACCCATGGATGGATCTCTATGAATGGCCTGACAAGTCAACCTACGCAGTGAATTCATATTCCATCTCACAAATGAAAGCTTCTATGCCAATCGTGCCATTCTCTTATGTATTACAATAGGCTACGAGATTTGATCGGCTTCATTCCCCAGCATGACACGATTCTTCCCGATTTTACCATACGAAGAATATCCTGTACTCTAGTCGTGTGCTACTTGGTGGGCAGCTGCAAGACCACAGAATTCGGGAGTATGTAGATTTTTTGATTTCCTCTATTGGCCTAGAGAGTGTCTGTGATCAATTAGTCGGCGGACTCCTGGGAGGTGGTGGTAGAGGTACATCTGGGGGTGAGTATAAGCGTGTGAGTATTGCCCTCGCATTGACTGCCGCACCAAAGGCTTTGATTCTGGATGAGCCAACGTCCAGTCTGGATGCCACGGCTGCGCATTCCCTGATGAAACTTCTTCATTCAAGTTCCCGTCAGAATATCATGGTTATTTGTCTTATCCACCAGCCGCGCGTCGAGAAATCTCATCTGCTGGATGATCTTCTTGTTCTGAATTCTGGGGAGCAGGTCTATCTTGGCAAAGCGGCGGAGGCACTAGGCCACGAGTTTTCTGTTGCGTCAACCCCAGCGGATATGATTCTTGATGTTTTGATAAATCATTGCGCTACACAGAACGAGAAAAAGATATCCCTGTGTGCCTTTACGGAGCAAAAATCCTCCGGAATCGAAATGTCGGAAGCCATGACTGCGCTCTTTCAGGTCGTCAAGCAAAGGAGAGCGTCCTGGCTTCGTCAACTCTGGCTCGCCTTTTCTCGGAATATTGCCCAACAAAGTCAACAGATAACAGGCCTTGCTCTGGAGATTGTATTCGGTGCAGTAATCGGTCTCATGATCGGATTGGCTGCTTTTGAGTCAAGGGGCCACTTCTTCCAAGAAATCCACCATCATCCGTTTCACCTTCTTTCCAGTGCAGTTTATTATCGTCTCGTAGTCGAGCAAGGCCTTTTATGTTGTCTCGCCATATGTAAAACTTCCCCGTTCTTCTGCGACACCCACATAAGTTGGCTAACAAAGAGTTATGATCCAGCTTGCGCGGCAGGACCTCCGGGATTTACAACATTCGGAGAGGAGAAGTCGATATTTTATCGAGAGTCTCAGTCAGGCCATTCTCGCAGCGCTTATTTTCTGGGGAAAAACCTGGCGGTCTGTTTCCGAATGGTTGTGGCGTCTTTGCATTTCACCGCATTCTACTTGATTTCAGCGGCTCCTATAATTCCGTTTAATAAGCAGCTTGGTCTTACCTTCTTATACTTTTACTGTAAGTTTGACTGCTTCTGAAAGGCATACTTGACAACCACTCAACTCTTATTCCAGGCATCTACGGCCTTCGATTCGTTGTATCGGCCGTCATACGGCGAGAAGACGGACCACTACTGTGCATGTTACTGGGCCTCATCATCTCTGCCCTGAGTGGGTGTGCCCGCCGGCTGTCAACTGTTCGGAACTGGCATCTCGCGTGGTTCTGGTATTCGTGGCCTGCGGTAAGCTATTCTTCACTAAGAGATTAATCAATTGAAGCTCCAGCTGAACCGAGCATGGTTGTCAGACTTGGTTCTCAGAAACATTTTACCACGAAAATACAGCCTCCCTAGCTTACCTTTATGATATCGACGACGCTGCCATATTTACTGGCTATAGGATGGGGAGAACAGGGATGGACATGAGGTATGTATACATACGTGGGGTCTTGTCGATGTCGAAATGATGGCATCAACATCCATAGGTTTCTTGTCTTAATTGGGTACATCGGGTCTTATCATATTTCTTTTTTGTTTTCTGGGGGTGGAAGCCACAGCGGCAATAGATCATGAGACTTTTATTTGTTCAACGAGAGCAATAGTGCTTTGCATACCGCTACTGGAATCTTGTGCGGGAATAGGTTGGATTGATGTGGCACACTTTCAAGGACCCGGAAGGTAGCCGACGGTGTACATAGGAAGGAGAGATCAAGGACAAGGTCACATATCGCCTGGCTAGCTGATAGAACGCGGAGTCTGTCGGATCCGGTGACTCTGCGAAAAATTGTTGATGTGGTTCATTTTGAGTGGCAGGGGCAGATTGGTGATGCGGGTTACTGTCCGTAGCCAGAGAGCTTACAAAATGTCGAATAATGAAAGATTATGTAACAACAAGTTTCGAAGTTTGGATCAGATCTATAGAATAAGTAATGATTAATGTTGGAAGTTATGTACGAATATACATTAAGTACTCCAACAAGAAGGGGTACATTCACTGAATTATATTTCCACCGACCTGAGGCATGCAGGGATATCCCCAGTCCATTGAATGCCGGATTTTTCAAGTGAGACTCCATTTCTCGCCACTCTGATTGACCCAGCTCAGAAGTGATGCTGTAGAGTTATATGAATAATATGAAATCAAATCCTATTTCCCCTTGATACACTACTAGAATCTAGTATTCACCTTGTTGAACGCGACCGCCTTCAACTCGAAGAAAAATTGGGGCTCAAGGGACACTGTGGGGGCCAAGAATACATCAAGGTTGGTCCATTTGATAAGGTTGTTGATCATAAGCCCACAATATAGCGAGATAATTAATTCGGTAGAAAATCTCGACTATTGCGGAGTAAGTATAACAAAGGAATCACCCGGAAAAAAGCCTCCTTCGAAATTCAATCAGTGCCTATGAACACACTTTCCATGAACGCGGTGAATGTGCTCCTCCAAATTATCCTTACGGTTAAAGAACTTCGTGCATGGCTTCTCCGAGCATTTGTACGAGCGTGGAGCTACATGTTGAGTGTCGATGTGTCGCATCAGAGTTCCCTTTGAGTTGAATGGGCCCCTTTTGCAGTTGTTCCATTGGCATATGAAAGAACCGATTGCCTCGCTGGAGTTCCTAGAATCAGAAGAATGTACATAAATGGGAGTAAGTCCTGTATCACATACCCGATCATCCTGGGATTACAATTTACGGTTGTTGGCTCATTCGCGGGAGCGCTAGTGGTGACGGTGAACAATGATTGAGTAGTGTCGTGTGTCGGGTGCGGGAAATTAAACCAATGTGACATCAAATTGTCTTGGCCAGCATCTTCGAACATCAAATGATTGTGGTATTTGTCCAAAGGCGAGAAAATTTCAATCGTATCATCATGTGTGTGGTGGACATCGAGTGGATCATAACTAGCAAACTTATAAGGTTGTGACAAGGCACGGTTTGACAAAGGCTGTTCCGGTGTTACGGTAGACCCGGTGGTTAGGTATATAGGTCGGGTGATCGGCGGCTGAATTTTGGAAATTTTTCGAGGGCCAGCACTTGGTCCAGCATCCTGACTCCAGTGGTCTGGCAAGATATTGTATAAATAGCAGTCCATCTTAAGTAACGCTCAAATGAATCTTTGGAGCTATGTACGTTTACCAAAGCAAAAAAGCCCCCACAAATTTTGAGGAAAGAAGTGAGATTTATATCTGTGATTATATGCAAGTGGAAATGTGGAAGTTGCGTAAGTTGCGCGAGTTGCCACCAGGTCACCGAAGGGATCTGGTCTGGCCGGGCTTTTCGCCTGACGAGGGGCTATGATAGGGACGCGCAAGGAACCTGAACATACCAAGAAGAAACTTAAAAACCACTACAACACACATTTATTATGAGTGGTCCTTAGGTTCCCATCAAAATCTCCAATCATAGCTCGACTGCTCCACATCTAACCTGTTTGGATCGTTTTGTGCCGTCATTTCCCAATTCAGCAAAAATGATTCTGTTTCGCTGAGGGCAGCGACTAGAAGGGACCTATTTCTGCCGCCGGAAACCGAGATGCGGTTATCATTGGCCCCTCCTCCTCAATATGACAATCTCAGGCAATCTAACCACGTCATTCATGTGTCGGACAAGTCAGAACCAACCGAAGGATCGCACAACCAAATGATCGCACATGGCGCTTTGCGGGCCTCCAGAGACCCCAAATGATCAAATTCCACACTGGCCAGCCAATGCGGATCATTACTGCGACAAAAGTGAGCTGTACAGTAAAACATCAATGTTCAGAGCGTCCCATCATGTTCTTTAACCCGTACACTCAACTAACCATTTCCCTATGTAATTGATTATAACGGCTTTCCTGATCTCGTCATCTTTAGTAAAAAGCACAAGCGCTAGTCTAACCTAGCACGGTATTAAGTAAGATGTTCTTAAGGCTTGGCACATTTACGGAGTACTATGCATTAAGGTAAAGGATAAGTGGGGTGAAGTAGGGGCTATAGATCGCCTGTACTATCTATCTGTTAAGTTTACTAAGCCTGTGATAGAATAAAATAAAAGATTCAAGAAAAAACTCGGGTATTACTGAGAAAAGATCAATGATAACAAACAAAAGCGACTAAATAGCTCCCTCATTCACATCAATTCAGCGCCTATGAACACATTTCCCATGAACGCGGTGAATGTGTTCTTCCATATTATCCTTACGATTAAAGGATTTTGTGCACTGTCTCTCTGAGCATCTATATGAGCGCGGAGCTACATGTTGCGTGTCGATATGCCGCATCAGGCTCCCCTTTGAGTTGAATGAGTCCCGTCGGCAGTTCTTCCATTCGCATACGAAAGAAGCAGTGGCCTCACTAGTACTTTTAGTATCACATAAATGCGCTTGTGTACGGAGAAGTCCTAAATTACTTACCGGATGTTCTTGGAACGGCCATTAGTGCAGGCGGTTGGCAGCTCATTGGCGGGAGCGCTTGGGGCAACCAATGATTGACTGATGTCGTATCTCGAGGAGGGAAAAACAGACCACGGTGCAATCGGATTGACTTGGGTAAAATGGCCAACCCTCAAAAACTGAGAGTAGCTCTGAACAGGTGGGAAAATATTTGTAGGGGTATTCTCGGTACAGCGGATATCAGAAGTATCGTAACCAGAAACGGTATGGAAGGGTCGTAAGGAAGGATTGCGTGACAAGAGGTCTTCAGATAAATAAGTAGACGATATGGCTGGATATATAGGCCGGGAAATCGAGGACTGAAGTTCAGTCACGTTCAAATGGCCAGTAGTGTTCTCGAGCCATCGTGGTTCAGCAACATGGCTCTGGTGGTCTGGTAAGGAGTTGTATGAAGTGTAATCCATCTCAGACCTGGAGATGTCTGTATGGGCTCTTTTAAAACAATGAAAATCTGGAAGAAATACTATCTTGTTGAACTGCAGATTACAAGTGAGAGTTACAGGATAAGGGGAGGGGGAGTTATAAATAAGCCGTCTTCATGGGTAGATTTAATTTGGAGAAGCGGAAGTTGCCAGACTTTTCAGGTTGAAAAACCAGGCATCCCCTTTGGGACTATATATACGCAGAGCGGTACCACACTAGCCGGATTTTACCGCTCCCGCCACTGTGGCGCAGTTAGCACTTCTCTGGGGACAAACTTGGCTTTCAATATTTGATAGATAAGGGCAACCTTGAAACACGTCAGATTGTTTATCAAATGAGCCCCGATGAATGATTCAGCCGCGATATTTCAGACAAGTGATCATGGATCAAGGCTACGGAGATAGCGGAAGTGAGCTCTAACGAAAGAAAAATATGGGGTCGGAGATACTGTCTATGATAAGCGCGAGCGAGAGGCACGGAAGGAACTACAAGATACTACACTAGCCGTGCAGCCTTGCTTAGGTTGCAGAGGTGTCGCCAAGTTGAACGCGAAATAATTCCGCTTGGGGAGAGCGAGAGAAATTTACGCCACATTTGCTTTTGTTCTTTCGCCTGTATTTGTATGTTAGCACTATCTAGGCAAAGCACCCACTAGAGTCGTGTACGAATGGCAATGAATTTACAGTGCTTTAATATCGCGACTAGACAAGACTAGCCCAGACTAGTCTAGCATCAAATTAGCACTACTGCAGTGTTCTTTCATGATTCTACCCTGCACTAAGACCGATGCGATCCTCCAAATAGGCAGCCACTTATTAGGACCCTTCATAGCGTTATAGCTTGCGACACACACAACTAAAGGTCTAGAACACCCCTCAAATAGAATTTTTCTCGAGTCCAATAATCACACACAAACTGCTTTGCTGGCTTTTGTTTCTCTCCGCAGGCCTTGCATATGGCGCAACAGTTGTCGCCCGTGGATAGTCCCTTGATGTCGCCGTCGCCGTCGCCAAGGAAGATTTGCGTCATTGGTATTGCCTTTTTTCTTGCCCTTTTTAGATCACTCCTAAGATTCCGTCGACTGACTATCGACCTTTCCAGGAGGTGGAATCGCCGGTGTTTGTCTCGTACATGAATTGGCAAAGAAGCAGGACCCCGACATCCCACTTCAAATAACCATATTCGAGCGGGAGTCATATATCGGCGGTCGAATGAAGCAGGTCTTTATGTATGACGAAGCAGGAAAGTTTCAACTTGACTGGGCAAATACGGGCGCTCAATCATTTGATGTGGAAGACATATTCTTGGCAGGCTTAGGGCGAGACGTGGGTATCAAGTTCGAGATTCAACATCCTCACGTTCTGGGGGCACCCTTATCTCAGGTCAATGTATGGGATGGAGAGCGACTGATTCCTCAGGAGCTGGAAAGACTTACTATCACTGATATATACGAGAGAGTCATGTGGCGGGTTTTCCGATCTCATCGCTTCTGGGCCCAGTTAGCCGTTGATTTGCGGGAGATCTGGGAAGGTGGGTATGAGCACTGGGTTACAATTGGAGAAGAGGCCACACTTGGAAGAGATGGTTTTGATAAGGATGCACTAACTCAATTTGCTCGGAAATGGGGTATAAGCCGTGCACCTCAGCAATCGCCGGACATTCGACGTCGTAAACATTCGTTTCTGGAACTGGTGGTGAGGAAGGCTGGAGCAATTGTTTCCCTGCAGTCCACCGTCACGAAAATCAAAAGATTGGAAAACAATACGTTTCAAGTTTCGTGGCTGCAACAATCTACAGACAAAGCCATGGATCAACAAAAGTCTCATCTGGAGAATTTCGATGCAGTCGTATTAGCTCATGCATTCGGCCAGACGGATATCGATTTCGATCCACCACTCCCCGTTTTGCCGGAGAAGATCACCTATACTCCTCTTCATGTCACCCATTTCATCTCCAACCTCCAATTAGACCCTGTCACATTCAATCTGAGAGGCAAAGCAGAAGTCCCTGATCTTATTTGGAATTTGGAAATCAACTCCAATACACCCCGATTCAAGAACAAAGTTCCGCCCTTTTTAACAATCCAGAGATCGGATAGGGACTATCTGGAGGGATGTGAAATATATTCAGAGAATGTATATCGCGTTGTCTCTACAAAGCCATTTTCTGACCAGAATATCACGTCCTTATTGGAACACAACGGAATCGCCAGGAAACATGTCACATTTCCAGACCAAGTGCCGTATCCGGTTCTTTCTGATTTGGCCATCACGCTCCCCAGTGATTATAGACTTCACATCGTTCAAGAGTTTATTCCAATCCGGGATTTCGACCTATCTTCAGCTCATCAATCTTCAGCTCATCGATCTTCAGCTCATCAGTCCAGATCCGATGCGAACATCATTTTGTCCAGGTTGGACCCCGTGGTGACTAAAATTAATCCAACTGTTCGTGGGTGCATCGTCAGCATTGGCCTAATGGGGTTGCGGTGATGGATATTGAAAATCAGGATGACGATCAAGATGTCGAACTTGTCCCGGGTCTGTTTTATCTTTCTGGATTTGAAGGTAGAACCGGTGCTTCAATATCCAACGGTATTTCTTCTGGAGTGCATGTATCACAGATATTGCTATCTCGATGGAGAAGAAATCGCTAGGTTGAAAGTTTAACAATCTGTTGATTGATTGAAACATTTCAAATAAAAGTTCTGATACCTCTAATTCAAGGAACTCCTGTACGCATTCGTGTTGGCCGATTCGTATGCAAAATCTACTTGGCACACTAGATCCAGAAGCAGGTCTAGAGTCCCTTGGCTCATTCTTTAGAATCATCATGCAGTTCCGCGCCTGCCACAGCACTTACACTCCCAGCGCTACTTGTCTCTTTGAACCATGAAGCACTTCCACTCCTTTTATTACTTGCTGCAGGTCAATAATATTTCATTCTGCTCTGATTCTTAGCCAGACCCTTTAATAAGACGAACAATGGTTTGAGCAGCGGCCTCAAAGTCGGGTTCTACCATGAGATTTTCCATATTCGAGTTTTCAATCTACTACATTTCAGTATTCCAAGTCTTCACATGATACCCCAAAAATGAGAACTTACCAGCTTTAAGCCCTTATCGGAATTAGTACCTTGCAAGCGAACCACAACGGGAACCTTGAAACCGCCCCTTTCAGCCGCAGCATCAATTATAGACTCAGCAATCATGTCGCATCGGACGATACCTAGGATTACTCGATTAGAACCAGTATTCCATGTCATAGAACTCTATACTTACCTCCGTATATGTTGACCAGAATTCCTTTTATCCGCGCATCATTGTTCAAAATCTCGAACGCCTTTGACAGAGTCTCCTTGGTTGCTCCCCCACCCACATCAAGGAAGTTAGCACACTTGCCACCATACAAGCCAATCAAGTCATTAGTCGCCATAGCAAGGCCAGCACCATTGACTATATTTCCAATATCGCCGTCAAGTCGTACATAGGAAAGTCCTAATTCAGAAGCCTCAAACTCCAATTCCTCCTCCGGGGACCGTTCCTCAAGACTGAAAAGACCCTTTTGTCGGAATCTCGCTGAATTATCGAAACTAAATTTTGCATCAAGACAAACAAAGTCACCCTCTGGTGTCCGAACTAGAGGGTTTAACTCGAGAAGCGTGGCATCCTTTTCCTCAAAAAGTTCAACCATCTGATGGATGATATGCGAAAGTGTCGCCATTTCTGGATCCGAGAACCCCAGCTGGGCTTGGATGTAGGCGATTATCTCCGGGCCTATACCGTGGGGCATGTGGAACCAGAATTTCTGAAGCTTGCTCACGTTAGATTCAATATCCACACCGCCATCGTCCGATATGAGTAGGACGGGCATGCCGCGATCGCGATCGAATGTGATTGCAACATAGAGCTCCTGTGCTACGTCAACGGCTTTGTAGATGTAGAGCTTATTGACTAGCAGGCCTCCTGGGGGAGTTTGTTTTGTTGTCAAGTTATAACCGAGCATTTTACTGGCATTTTCGAATGCCTCGCTTGGTCTATGCACTGTGAAAATCAATTCAGAATCGCCGTGCTGATGCTTACGTGTTGACCATGCGTACTCCTCCTTTGCCATCGCTGCTGTATTTCCCTTTTCCTCGACCGCCCGCTAGGACCTGGGCTTTGATGATTGATGGCGCATCTGCATGCTCTTAGTATGGGAAAGTTGTGTCAAAGGTAGAGACATACGAATAGTGGACACCACGGTCTGAGCTTCTTCTGGGTTTGTCACCACATGGCCATTTGGGACTGGAATGTCGAACTTGGTCGGAATTTAGCTGGAGCCCAGTTGAACAATATTCAGGTATCCTACATGTCTCAGGAGCTTATGAGAATTAAATTCCAGTAGTCCCAGACCTCTTCTTTGAGACTTCCATGGGATTCGGGCCTGTGACGTTCAGCACAAGCTTCCCGCCATCGCGAGGCGCGACTCACATGAAAAAGTCGCGAAGTTGGACGCCAGGTGATCATTATATGTTCCTAACCGGGTTCATGAAGTGATTTATTGGATCAGATCGAATCGAAGATCTCACCGTAGATATATTCCCGTTCGAATGTGGGGTTTGCCTTGATGACATCAACACTGTATGTCACGATGTGGTCACGCGAACGAATTGAGTTTGATGGAAGCTTAATTGATATCAGTTATTGGTTAAACCCCGGATATACTAATAACTATCCTCGCCTTCACAAGGTTATTCATGCATTCCTTATTGTTAAAGTTAGCTTGAAATGACATCACCGGGGAAAGGTATCGAACGGTAATCGAAGTTCTGCTTTTGAAATTAATGTCAATAATATGAATTTAGACTTTGTTTGAACAGTAGCATATACTTTCAAAAAGGAAAATCATGGAAGTTAAACACCTGAGTAAGTGGCCCATGCAGCCAAAAGTTAAAGACCGGATTTGTTATCTCCCCAGCACACGGCGTTTCAATTCTTGAGGTCATGAATTTCTGTCGCTGGAATGGACTCTGCGCCCTCAGTAACTCTTATCGTCACAAACGACAGACAGGTGGATCAAAATCGCCGCATATTGGCTCATGAAAGTGACAAATGTGAGCTGCGGAGCAGCCCATAATCCGAAGACTCTTAAGAGGCTAACTGAAATGCACCTAAACCGGGATATCCAATCGGGTTATTTCAGGCACGATATCCCGGAGCATGCAATGGTTTGAGGGAAACTTTAAGTAGCTTAGTATATCATGAGAAGATCTGGTGCGTAGGGATGTACTCTTAGCATACCGAATGGTAAGGGCTCGGCAAACCGTTACACCTTCCAGACTGTTGTCCCCAAACTGGCCCGATTAGATGTCTCTATTCAAGTGCATTAGAGTCAGGCTCTTGATGCTCCTGGGACCTTCGGCGACGTTGAAGATATGTAAACATGAGCCACTGTCGATCCATGCTGCTGTGACTTGTTAGCTAGGGGAAGAGACTGCATCGGCATACAAAGGCTGGAGCCAGTAAAATTTCATACAAACTGTATTTCAAGAGGAATGGAGAAAAAATGATGATGAAGAAGAGAGAGGGAGACAAATATCGATACAACAATTGAAGTAAACGCTGGAGCAAACGGAGTTGGTCACCTGACCCAATACTCCAACTGTCATCCTTTCATCAATCTGGAACTCGGTCGACAGGGCTCCAAGATCCAGAATCTGCTACATGCATGAAAATAGAAGATAGTGCGCAGCTAAAATGGTAGATATCTAGAAAGTATTGGACAGCATGGGAGAAACATATATTTTGTAGCATTGGTGCGGCTACTGGGAGTTGAAATCTTTCATGCGAATCGATCACTTTTTGCTAGTACAGTGACATCTGGATGCAAGTGATAGCTATCAAGATCAACCTATAAATCTTCAGTAATAAATTCAAGTCGCAATTTGGACGCCACAGTCGTCTTTGACTTTGAAATATTCGTCAATTTACACATTCATAGAACATCATCACGTGACAACCCGCCTGATTGATTGTGACGCGTTATCAAATCAACATCGATTTAGGGAAACGGGGGCATTAAAAAGAACACATTTTCACTTTACTTCAAACTTTGGAGTCCCAATAATTGCTATCCTGATTGAAAACCCACCCTTGGGCCCACTTGACGCCGCGTGCCTCTGCTGATTCATCCCTTACCATCCACCAACTTCCCATTCTGCTCCCCTTCCACTTTCAAGCCTTCTTAATCCATTATCTCTAGCCATGTATTCTGACGAAGAAGATGACCCCATGTTGAAAGCAGCGATCGAGGCTTCCCTCAGAGATGATAGCAACACAGCTCCCCTCAGTGAAGATCATGGTAACGTTGCTCCCCTCAGTGAGGATCATGGTAACGTTGGCCTATCTTCGCCTGAACCGCCATCAAAGGATGTGGTTGACTTGACCTACGATTCTGATGATCAGTCGGCCGTGCAGGAAGTCTTTCAAAAGTCTAATTCTATGGTGGGGCCCGACACTGATGACGAAGCTGAGCAAGACATGCACGTTGATGACGAAGATCAAGGCATGCAAGACGATGAGGAAGACCTACGGCGAGCAATCGCCATGTCACTGCAAGACTCCCAAGATGCCGACTTTCCATCAACCGGAGGCGAGTCAGCTGGGCCCACTCTGAGCAAGTCCCATTCTCCCCCTCGAGGTCTCCTTGGTCTGGATCGAAAGCAAATGGAGCAAGAGCGTCTTGCCCGAATGAAGAAACGCAAGCCCGAAGATTCTGTTTCTCCTCCAGGACAGCCCCGAACCAAACTCCACAAGGCTGGGTCTGAATCAACTAAGACTCTCTCTGCCCATGATTCCAGTACCACTTCTCACGAATTTTCATTGCATAGCTCGCCATCCACTGTTAGGCCCACTGCGCGACCAGCTATTCAGTGGCCACTTGGGGCCGTCAGAAAGACGCACGTTGCCAATACAGATCGTGGTCCAGATGAGATTACCATCGAGGAGGTTGTTCAACGAAGTGACCTGCAACTTGGCGTCTTCAGCTCTTTTCTTTGGGACATGGAATGGTTCTTTACGAAGTGTGACACGTGGCGAACGAGATTCCTCCTCATCATGCATGCCAAAGAACAAGAATTAGTGAGAAAATGGAATAGCTGCCGAGGATAACAAGAATTAGGAACTGACAAGTGAATTACGCAGCGTGATACGATGATAGCTGATACCAAAGATATGAAAAACATCCGACTGTGTTTTCCACCCATGAATGGTCAGATCACCACTATGCATTCGAAGCTGATGCTGTTGTTTCATACGAATTACATGCGCATTGCTATCCCAACAGCTAATCTTACAAGGACCGACTGGGGAGAGGATCGCTTGATGGAGAATGTAAGTTCATTATCCCGGAAATGCCTCCCTTTGCTAATTTTATGAAGACCGTCTTTCTTATCGACCTACCGAAGAAGGAAAGCAATGGCATTGAATACCCAAAGACGTTTTTTAATGAAGAGTTGCTCTACTTCTTGAAAGCTAGTACAGTGCACGAGAGTGTGATTGCGAAGTTGGATGACTATGATTTCACTGAGACGGCACGTTACGCCTTTGTGCACACAATGTTAGTCTTATACCCACTCCATCCAGGTGTTCTGCGAGAAATTTTGATTTAACAAACTCCCAGTGGCGGCAGCAGCGGACCCGGCCCTGACGACTTGTGGAGACGAACCGGATACTGTGGCTTGGGCCGGGCTGTGAAGCACCTGGGCTTGGGATCTCTCTCACCCATTAATGTTGACTATGTGGTAGGTTACGCTGGAAAAACTCTACAGCTCAATGCTAATCAGTCATAGGCCTCCTCCATCGGATCACTCAACAACGAGTTTATCCGTACTATCTATCTCGCTTGCAAAGGTTTCTACTATTCCTATACCCACTACCTGGTCACAATCTAACTATAATATATAGGAGATGATGGGCTCGCTGACTATACGATGCGCTACGCGAAGTCTGGAATTGGACATACCGACCCCGAACAACAGACTATGATACAAACTAGTAAAGAATGGCAAGGCCGCTTCCATGTCTACTTTCCTTCAGATGATACTGTCCACTGCGCCCATGACATCCCTGAAAATACCGCAGGCACCGTCTGCTTCCAATCTAGATGGTGGCAGGGCGGCAAGTTCCCAAGGGAGATAATGAGAGACTGCATTAGCAAAAAGCCTGTTTTGATGCACAATAAGGTATGAAAGAAGATTTTCAGTCCCAGAACGATATTTCATATTCTGACATATCTCAAGCTTATCTACGTCTGGCCTGCCAAGCCGATCCTGCTCCCAAATAACCGCGAATGCAAGGGATGGGCTTACATCGGTAGTGCCAACATCTCTGAAAGTGCCTGGTGAGTTGTTATTTGTACCTGCCAAATGCCACAGCTCGGCTAACACTGCAATTAAAGGGGTCGCCTTGTCAAAGACCGCCAGACCAACCGACCGAAACTGAACTGCCGGAATTGGGAATGTGGAGTGTTGGTTCCCGTTACGACAAAGGCTCCTCAAAGTCTCCAGGATGCCGAACTGCGCGACTCGAGACCTCAACCCCGAGACCTCCCTGCTGAGATTTTCGAGAACACAATCCCCGTTCCGATGATTATTCCTGCGCCTTCACTGGATGACCAGCTTAAGCCCTGGTTTTTCATGGGAGAGGATTAGATCAGCATCTTCAGATGTCAGACGGTTTCGAGTGAAACGCTAGACTGCCGGTGGCACCGTTGACCATTGATTTTGAGCTACATTTTGAGCTTTTGCTTAGCTTGTTCTTTGATTCATTTGCAGCGGATCTGGGGCGGTTAGGTTGAATAGTGTGTAGTACATTTTACTAGAAATTATGATAACAATGACAACAAAGTCTATGAAAATGAAATTTCTCAATATGAAGCACCTAGTCTTGGTCCTGGGCACCAATTTTGCTGTTGGAATGGTTGCTCTTGGGAGATATCTAATAGAGACTCATGGTCGACATTGTCTACTAGGAGCCCTGGGATGGCCTGACGTATTGCCATCATACAGTAAAGTGGAAAATGTCAAATCATATGGTGATCTCAGAACTACCCATGCAGGATCAAACGGATCAAACGAGCAGATAAGTCTGAGTCTGAATCCGAACCCCACTTGATAGGCCGATCCTGGAGTGGTGATCTTGAAGGACGTGATCCTGGGATCATTCACTTCACCCAGTGACCCCACCCACTACTATAAATACCTCTTACCTCACTTCCCTTCTCCCTCTTTCGTTCTTTTTTCTTCATCACTCCTTCAAGTTTAAACTTCTACCTTCTCTGCTCAAGCTTCAAGCTTCAAGCTTCTATCTTCATATCTACGAGCTTCCACTCCTCAAGGGTTCATCTTTAATCCTTTCATCTTCCATCTTATGTTTTTGGATATCCATCCGTCACTATGAACTTCCATCTTCCATCTCTCTGAAGTTCCAACCTCGAACTTCCATCAAACAATTCATCAATCCGATCAACAATGGCATCCACCATGCCTGAATGTTCACCAACATTCCCACCTTTATCATTCTGATAAACACACCCTCTTCTAGCATTAAAACTCCTCTCAACATGCCTCGATGAGCTTCAAGGTATCAATGCAATTATCATTCCCCACATCCCCACACTAACAGTTCAGACTGCCCAAGTATCTTCTCTTCCAGATGCCCCCACAATCCGCTCCCACACCAATCGAGTCTGCTAAAAAGCAGCTTCTGTTGAAGCTCCCAACAGATTCCTGCGCATCTGGGAACAGTCACTGAACTCATCGCCGGCAACAAAGATGTTTAGCTTCTGCTCCTCTCTGAACAGGCGTCACTTTTGTGTCAGGACAAATTCATTGCGGACTGAGTCAGGACAACACTTTGGGCTTCGAAGTTGTCGTGGACTTCAAGCTTTTCTGTTTTGTTTTATGTGGTGTGGAGGGACAACCCACTGGGCATCATTTTGCGGTGAAGAAGCATCGGTGGCAAGGAGGATACAGCCTCAGCCACGGTTCAACAATGGCATGCGGTGAAGAAGCATCGGCCACCTTTTCATTTTCCCCTCTTTCTTTTGAGGGAATGTTGTGATCGTGTAGGAACCACAGGCCAACATTGAGATACCCGTGGATTGACGTGGCTACGATGTCTAAACATAAAATTAACAACCACATCAACATCAATTCAAACAAAATTTCTTGGTGATTAAAGCAAATAGCCTTGTTGATGCTACATCCTATTTTATGTTCTTCTTTGTGTTTGTGAATACTGTCATACTTGGTTGATGTCGGAGGATCGGATCTTGAACTTGAGGCTTAACAATTTGTACTTTATCGACTTGTCAATCCAAAAGTCGTGAATCTAGACGGTCTTGTCTTTCTATCAGAACTATCATATACTTACTTTGTTTCCAAAAATTTCCTTATTATTTCTGGAAACCTTGACTTTAACTATTGTAATATCTCTGTTCTCTGGACTTATCGCCTGAAAGATCCAAGTTTCTATGATAATCAACCGTCTCAGCGCCACAGGGGCACCTGATATACCCACCCCTCTTTCAGCTGACAGTTGCCAAACTTCCCTTCACATACAACGCATAACAATGGAATCAATCTCGTTCTCTGGGGACAACCATGGAATCCAGGTTGGACGTAACACTGGCTCAATAGAGTTTTATCTTCCTTCTGGCAAGCATGATATCTTCATCCCATGAATATCTATGGAATAGCCAATGCTAAATTCCGGCGAATACAGTTGACGATACAAATTTAAATATGTCTACACGCTTTGCAATGTCCTGATCCTCTGTTTGTCAAAAATCGGCTCAAAGAAAACAAAGACAAGTTACTACTCAAAGTTGTTGAGTGGGTTTTCAAAGATCCACAGTATTGTCTGTGGCTGAAAAATCACAATGTCAATCTCCTTTGGATCAGAGGAGGCGCTGGTAAAGGCAAAAAAATGGCGTCAATTGGCATTGTTGAACAAATTTCCAGGGAAGCTTCTTCTATGACCACATACTTCTTCTGCCAGAATACCGATTACACTCTTAATTCTGTTGAAGCAATCATCAAGGGTCTCATTCGGCAATTAATCAGACAACAAAAGGAGCTTGTGGATATTCTTCGCCTTCGTTGTAACACAACTCGCGCATGTTTCAGAGATAACCTTTCTTCCTGGGAGGAACTTTGGAAAACATTTTTCGAAATGTTGATTCATTGTGCGAACCACAGAGTATACGTGATAGTGGATGCTCTTGATGAGTGCCGAACTGATAGTATGGGCGATTTCTTGAAAGTCATCGTTCGAACTGGGCTGGATCTCACACATGTCAAATGGCTTTTCACAAGTCGACCTCTGGATATTGCTGATCAGGAACTGCTCAATTCACCCGATCAAGTAGGAATTAGCTTGGAGTTGAGCTCTGGTCATCTGGAGTCCGCTATCAAAACATACATCAGTTTCAAAGTGGTTGAACTCTATCCCCGCCATTATCATCAACCCCAGGAGCTTGAGATCATCGAATCTGAGCTTCTTCAGCGGGCGGAAGGGACATTCTTATGGGTCAGCCTGGTGTTTAAGAAACTCGAGAATGATGGTAGCGGCAAACGTGTTTCATTGCGCAACGTATTGTCTACTATTCAAGTTCTGCCATCTGGACTGCGTCCCCTCTATGAACGGGTGTTTCAGCAGGTCACCGATGGTGAGGCAAATATGGTGACCGCCTGTCTGCGACTCCTCAAGGTCATGATGCTGGTCTATAGGCCCTTGAATGAGGCTGAAATACTCAGTGTGACAGGACCGTTAGACTTGGATGTTGTCATTAAAAGAATAGTCGATCGTTGTGCATCTTTCATTAAAATGCGAGGAAGTGCCATCGAATTCGCACACCAATCATCCCGAGATTTTTTGACCGACTTACCTATGCTCAGATCTCTTGAGCTTGGCGGACATGAGACGATAATGCTGAATTGTCTGTCATATCTGACAGGGTTTCTTAAATGTAATGTTCTTGATTTGCCGCTCCCTGATTCGCAAATACGAACGGAACCGCAGGACTCGGAGAGTAATGCGACAGATACTTCAGTTCTCCGTGGCATGAACTATGCTGCAACGCTTTGGGCTGAGCATCTTGAAGCGTCTAGATACACAAGTTAGACACAACAGGCGCTTGGCGACCGAGGTGAGGTGATGGAATTCATTCGCCTGAAGCTGCTGGAGTGGCTAGAGTGCCTAAGTTTGCTTGACATGTTACCCTTTGCGGCAAAGTCATTGAAAATCCTGGCAGTTTTGGCCGGGGACAATGTGAGAAATACCTATTATTATTATAAAGTCTTGTTATCTAAAGATTAACCTTAGAACCCAATCCTGAAGAGGATTGTCTACGACGCCAATCGGTTTTTGTTGCACCACTATCCGACCATTTCAACTTGGCCTTTGCAAATATATAGCTCTGGTATTGTCTTTAGCCCTGAGACGAGTGTTGCTAGAGCCAAGAATAACCTGGAAAAAGTTCCTGTGTGGTTGAGAAGACTTCCGCGTGGTCCAACTGCTTGGGATCCACTGGTTCAAACACTTCAAGGGCATTCAGGATCGATTACTGCTGTGGCATCCTCCCCAGATGGCAAGAAAATTGCATCTGCATCTGAAGATCATACAGCAATATTATGGAATACAGAAATTGGCAGTGAACATAGAGCTCTAACAGGCCACACAGGCTCACTTACCGCTCTATCATTCTCTCCAGATTCTCAACAGATTATCACAGCATCGAAAGATCGAACGGTGCGGCTCTGGGACGTCTCAACAGGGAGTACTCTGAATACCTTTGAGTGTTACGCAAGTTCGGTAACAGCCTTATCGTTCTTCCCAGACGGCAAAAAGGTCATTTTAGGTTTCCACGATCGCACAGTCTGGCTATGGGATTTAATAACGGACACTTGTGAAATTTCACCTTCTATCCATCTAGAACCAGTGAATGCTGTGACCTTGTGCGCAGATGGCAGTCAGGTTGCATCAGTGTGCAATGCTATGGAATTGTGGCGATGGGACATGAAAAGTGATCCAGACTCACCGGACTGGCCAGACTATGAAGTAGTCGATTCCCTTTTTCATGGATTCCCTCATCAGATTGCGATCATGAAATTCTCACCGGATGGTCTGTTTCTTGCATACGAGGAGCCTCTAGGTCGCATTACCATATGGAATACTGAGCTTCGGGAGCTCACAGTGACCTTGACAGATGAATATGGGCTTTTCCAAATAAATATTTCTCCCATTCAATCTATCAGCTCTAGCATTCTCAGCGGATGGCAAATATCTCGCATCGGCCTGCGGAACAGGATACATCAGGATATGGGACGCGAAGTCGTATCAAATGCTGCAAAAAATATTAAATCATCATCCAGGTAAAATTACGGCTTTGGTGTTCTCTCCAGACGGCACACAAATTATATCCGGATCCGATAATCATATAGTCATGCGTTGGAATATACCGACAGGCAGTCAAGAGCTACCTTTCGCAGGACGTCCAGGGCCGGCGGACTGTGTGGCATTTTCCCGCGGATGGCACGTTGATTGCATCAGCCACTAGTTTCGGAGTGTATCTCTGGGATGCTGCTACCGGGACTCTGCAGAGGAATCTAGATCGGCTAGATATCTTTATTTCATATAGAACTGTCTCATTCTCAGCAGACGGCAAGAAGATCGCAGCTGCATCTAACTACGAACTACGTGAATACCATGATTTGCCCTCTACAGGAATAAGCAAAGTTTCGATCCTTGCGTTCATTCAATTTTGGGATGTGACAACAGGTGTTCGGCAAATAAGGGCCGAAGGTTCTCTACAGTCCTTCACTGCGCTAGTATTTTCTCGGGATGGCAAGCAACTCGCATCTGGCTCCAGCAACGGCACAATCGAATTATGGGATGTAGCAAACGGAAGGCCTATAAAGGAATTCAGTGGGCATTCAGGTTCAGTGACTACTATAGCATTTTCATCGGATGGCAAGATGATCGCCTCAGCGGGTGCTGATTTAACGCTGAGGCTCTGGGAAATTGACTCTGTCTTGGATTCCATACCGCTCGTCAGAAAGGTTTTCGTTGGACTTTTGCACTTAAATGGAAAATGCATGTTCGATCTTCCGGAACGCGTACGGACTTTGAGATTTTCACCGGATAACATGCAGCTTTGGACGGATCTAGGCTGCGTTGAACTGGGAGCATCTCCTGCAATTCAGTCGAATATCAATTCGGGTCTGCCAGTGCATCTATTCGTAAGAGATGGCTGGATATGCTACCGATCTCTCAGAATATTGAAGTTTCCATCTGGGTACGTGAACTCTTCATTTGATGTGTGGGGAAATCGTATGGCAGTAAATTTCACAAACGGCGAGCTCTTGATATTCGAGTGTGATTGTGGTCTGTTGTCTACTTTGATGCTTAGCCAATGACGAAAGAAGAATGGTAATTTTACTATTTTGAAGGAAAAATATATATATATATGTGACAAAGAAAGAAAGCAAGAGATTGCACGCCTCTGGCGTCATGTCTCCTGACATGCCATGCGCCATCTAAATGCATATGTATTAGATCAATATCCCAAAGACATTGAACCATAGACCAAGTCTAGGACAAAGTATAACAGAACAGAATAAAGGAAAGAAACAGATCACTGCTGAATCTCCTTCTTTTTCGGCTGGAAGAGGCGCTTCACGCCCTCAACCAACATTCCACCCAAACCAAACACATAGCCAAATCCAAAGGTCCAGCCACGTACACGAACAGTGTAAATGAAGAAGTAAACCAGGAACCAGTTGATAATGACAAAGGCCAAGAAGATGCCGAAGCAGCGCCACTTATCTCCATCGTGCACGTTCAGCTGTTGCATGTACTCGGACCCATTGCTGTAGGCACAGTACTGGCATTCAGAAGTGGAGGAAGTGTCAAGTAGGTATCCACTTCCGGCGATATTCTTAACATAGTCGCCTGCATACTCGCCACATGTCATACCGGATGGAGGGGTGAACTTTGTCGTCTCGCCTTCTGCGCAGGTAATTTTCACAGGGGGCAAGATGGCAGAGAGAACACCGCGAAGCCACCATGTTACAGGGTTGACGTAGTACATCCAGTATTTCCAGAAAACGGGGTAATCAGCGTAGGGGCGGACGATACCGTTGAAGAGGTTGACCATGACGAAGAAGAAGGGGAGGACGTTCGAGATGACAGTGAAGGATGGAGCGAAGGCGCAGATCCACTGGCCCCATGAGGCTTGGAAGAGGAAGAAGAGCATTGACATCAGGAAGACGTAGCCTGCGCTTGAGGAGTCGGTGGGGAGACCGACGGGGTAGTACCAGAGGAGCCAGTAGACGAGTCCGGTGACGATTGCGGCGGGGATCTCACCGACGACGTTGGCGGTGCAGAAAGCTACCCAGCCGTAGATGCGGGAAGGGTATTCGCGGGCTTCCCAGAGGGCGCGGTTGATGTAAAATTTGGGAACGACGGAGTTCATGACAATTGGAGGGATTAGGATGATAAGGAAGCAGGAGAACATGCGATCTTGCATGCTTGCGACAGTATTGGGGAGCATGTAGAAGGTGAAACCATTGAAGATACCGATGATGACGCTGACGAAGAGTTTGCCGTAGTAGTATGATGGGTCACGCCAGTAGTTTAGGAAGAGACGCTTGGTGAGAAGCTCGGTCTGGACCATGGTCGGGGCGGCGAATTCGTAGTGTGTGCTGCCAGAGTCGTCGACGGGGAGCTTACTGCGCTCGGTTCTGATGCGGTGGATCTCGTCGAGAACCGCGCGGTTTTCATCGGAGTTGCGCCATTCCTCGTTCCAGTCGATTTTTTTGCCATTTTTCTCGGTTGCCTTGGCGGCGGTTTCGAGGATGAACTCGGCGACGTTCTTTGTGGGAGGACAAACGAATCCACGGGCGGCGAAGTACTTGATCACTGCAGCGCCCTCTTTGCCAACGGGTCCGAAGTAGAAAGTATTACCACCGGGGTTGAGGGCGAGAATCATGTCGAATTGCTGAACCAGCATGGAAGAAGGTTGGTGGATGGTGCAGACGATAGCCTGACCGGCCTGGGACAGCTTCTTCAAGAAACGGACAATGGAGAAGGCAGCCTGGCTGTCAAGACCCGAAGTGGGTTCATCCAGGAACAGAAGAAGACTGGGCTTCGCAGCAAGTTCCACACCGATGGTGACACGCTTCTTCTGTTCAACATTCAGGGAACCGATGATCGCATCTTGAATGTCTTCCAATTCCAAAAGGTCAATAATACGGTTAACATAGTCGATCTTCTCCTCGCGCGGGATAGTGCGCTCCTGGCGGAGAATGGCGGAGAACTCAAATGCTTCGCGAATGGTGGAGGTGTTATCATGCAGATCCATCTGCTCACAGAATCCAGTACCACGTTGGAAGTCAGCGCCAAGTGGGTGACCGTCAACAAGCATATCACCCCTGATAACACCTGTCTTCTGGCGTTGGGCGAGGGTGTTCAGCAGAGTAGTCTTTCCAGCACCAGAGGCACCCATCAGGGCGATCATGACACCAGGCTTGGCGTATCCGTTGACCTTGTTGAGAAGCTTGCGGGTCCCATTTCCATATGGTACTGTGTATTCGACATCTGACCAGGTGAAACAGCGCTCGCTGGAGGACAGCTTTTTGAAACCATCACCAGATGGAGCTGATGAAGCTTCGCCACGGGCCAGGGCAGCATCATCACTGGGCTTGCCCACCTTCTCTTCGTCATTGCCCGAGTCGGTCTTCGCAGCGATCTGCTTAGAGCGCTTAGACTTCTTGAAGATCAGGGCACCGCCACCACCGCCAACAAAGGAGAGGAACTCGGCAGCCCAGATTGTGACCAGGATGTAGAGAACGGTAAAGGCAATGACAACACCAAAGTTGCGCCAGAGATGGGAACGGGTAAACTCAAAGTTCGCTGTCAAGTACTGGGTTCCCGGAACAGAAGTCTGATCGACGGAGGATCCAGTCAGAGCACAACCTTGGTGTCCTGTAACGGCTCCCGGTCCAGATGGAACAAGCTGCGAGGCAGCACACTCCATCGTTCGACCAGAAAACTCATTAGTCAAGACTGCCTCATAACTGTAGGAAATGGGGTTCACGTAGAACAGCCATCCAAACCAGATCGAGTTGTTAATCAGCGTTTGCTTGGGAATCACGTAGCCGACGTAGAGAATCAGCAGGTTAAGCGCGATACCAGCAAAGCGAACAGCGTCATCGATGCTCGGCGAAAGGGCTGCAAACATGCGGTACATCGAGGTGATGCAGAAGGTAGTGGTATACACGAACAGGAAGTAGATGAAGAACTGGGAAGCAGTCACATCCAGGCCTGCCATGAAATAGACGATGATACAAAACGGAACGACCATGCAGAAAATGGCAGGGAAATCCACGACGACACGGGCGATCGAGACAGCAGAGGGGCGATAGAAGGCGTAATCCTTGTGGCGAGCGACGATTCCTCGGCCCGAGACAGCGGGCATGAGTTCAGTCAATTGCAACCAACCAAGGAACAGAATCGAGAAGAAGAGGGCACCGCCGCGCGAGAAGGCACCGCTGGTATCCATGGCTTCACCGTAGAACAAAGAAGAAACAATAAGACCGTTGGAGATGATGATGAAGTACTTGGTGTAGAGAGAGGTCTTGTCACCGAACAGGAGCCAGAACTCGCGCTTCACACAGGCAGCGACCTGGCGAACCAGAGAAACAGTGTAAGGAGACTTCTTAGAGACAGTCTTACTCTTGGACTGAGCAACACTGCTCTCAAAGCGACGGGTGTCCTCTCGCTGGGTCTCCTCGAGCTGCTTCTCATAGGTGCTAACGTTGTTCAAAATTTGCTTGTAAGCCTCGCTGCTCTTGAAGACACGTTCGAGTTCCTCAGCGGTCTTGGGGGTGGATGCCTCGCGGCCAGGCTGGAATTCGCGGGCATTGACATCACAGACGGAGGTGAGAAAATCGGCAGTGGTCATCTGATCAGAGCAGTAAAATCCAAGGTCGAAGAAGTACTGGCGCGCCTGGTTGGCAGGGCCTTGGTAGAGCATGCGGCCCTCATCGATAACCAAAACCTTATCCATGAGCTCGTAGATGCTCTCTCCTGCTTGGTATAGGGTGACCAGGGTTGTGCGCTTGCTAACATCGGTCATGATGCGAAGAGACTTGGCGTAGTCCAGAGCAGTGCTGGCATCCAGACCACGTGTCGAGTTATCCCAACAGACCACAGTGGACTTGGTAGCAAGGGTCTCGGCGATACTGACTCGCTTCCTCTCACCACCAGACACACCACGCACATACTCGTTACCAACGAGAGTGTTCTTGGTGTGGCTGATACCGAACATCTTTAGCAGTGCGTCAATGATAATAGGAATGCTCTCGCGATCATGCTTGCGAGTCTTGTTCATCAGCGAAAATTTCAAGGTCTGCCAGACCGTCAGGGACGGGAAGTGCTGGTCATCCTCGGGATTATAGTTGACCTCGCCACGGAAATAACGATTTTGGTCCTCAGCAGAGAGACCACCGTAGCTAACCTCGCCTTTAACCCCAGCAAAGGCCTGGCGATCATTGGCAATAGCTTTCAGAAAAGTGGTACATCCTGCACCAGGACGACCCAGGACGAGCATCATCTCACCCTCACGAACCGAACCGCTAAAATCGCGGATCAACTCCCGAACAGGAGGCTTCTTGCCGAATTGCAGCTGGGGCACGAAGCGACAGATCACATTGTAGAGATCGGGACCGAAGGTACCCACCACAGCATGGGGTAGGGTGCGCACAAACGATGCGCCCGTCTGCACACCCATCACGGTAAGGTTTTTGAACACCACACCAACTTTCTTGGCGGGTTCGCCAGCAGTAGTGCGGCGCTCCAGGTGTCCACTGACCAGGAAATCACCAAGATCGAAACCTTGTTCTTCGTCTTCTTCGTCGAGACCTTTCTCTTCATCGTAGCGCTGGCTTGCCTTGGATTTGAGGCGATGCACACTCTTGGAGGTAGCTGAGCGGGTACGGTGCAGACTGAGACGGGTCAATTCGCGACGCATCTCTTCCAGATCTTCCATTGCGCCGCTGCGGGAGACTGGTTCGCCGGCCTGCTCACCCCAGCGACCACTGTCGCTTCCATGTGAAGATAGGGTAGATGATGCGCTCGAGGCAGCGGGCTCGGCAACTTCATGCTGGGTGGATTCTTCATGGCGGGATTCATTGTTGGATTCATTGAATTCCACGACATTGTTGTAGTTGGATTCAGACATGTTGGAGGCGACTGTGGTGGTTTGGTAAGTCGACTGCTCCGAGTAATGACGTTGTGCCTCCGGTTGATGGCCAGAATCCATCTTGCCGGAGTTTGAAGAAGTTGGGTCTAATAAAAAGCCTCAATGCAAAAGCAAGTATTAAGTGTATTAGGGAGAGGGTATATGTACAAAGTAAAGAAAACCAAGGGAGTGGGATGGGATGGATGAGGAGACTGTTGATTGATATATAATCTTAAAAGGCACGTCTTAACTCCGTCAATTTTGGATTTGTAAGGAAAGGAGTCCCATAATTAAAGAATTTGAATTGAGGGCGAAGAATTAGGTATATGTGGATCCTATGAGTAAATATGATTCATGGTCTAGGCGGCCCTAACCGCAACAACGAGGAAAGGTTTTTTTTTTTCTTTCTTTTTCTTCGTGAGTGGTCGGAGATACTGAGCGGCGTTTAGCCGATAACCGGTAGTCAGCAGGATTCAGACATTCCTATTGGTCAATAAGATTCAGCGGAATATCGAATTCCTCAATCGGGTTCCATTTTAGGTTTAGCGCGTCAGCAAGTGGATCTCATCACTTGGAAATTATATTCCGGTTGAAAACCCATTTCAACTGAGTAATGCGTGTGGCTAACTTTGGCCCCCACTATGGCAAACTTGAATCAGTTCGAACCTCCCGGAGACTTTGTATGCATGTGTCCAAACTGCTCATTTGCATTGGCGCTGACAGGTCCGGGCTTTGGAGTTCGGGTGTCGGCATCGTTTGAGATCTTTTCGCTTATCAATTCAATTCGCTCAGAAGGTTCCTGAATCTGTCTCCACATATGAATTTCACTATTTACCCACTTAGGTTAGCGAGGCCCGATCCTAAAAATTCTATCTGCCGAGTCTCTGTGGTTATCCCGACTACAGGGGTCTAGGATCCTCTTGGATGTTCAGGCAGACGCGTAGTGCAGTTGTAACGGGCATGTCACCTAATGCAGTCTCCAAATATGACTGATCCAGTGCTTTTCTTTCTCGGATGCTATTTCCTGAACAGTACAATACATCCAGGGGGTTTTTCCGCCGTAACATTTGCCCGTAAGACTCGTATTGGTTACCACATCAAACTTGATAGCCGAGCGTCAGTTTGCAGATCAGGTTTTAACTTGAACCCACTGGAGACTAGCACTGATTACCCGTTTGTTAATGCACACATACCGCAAATCTTGGAATAAATTTGACGAATCGCGCAAATGTTTCATGTTTATCTATTTATGTACTATGTGTAGGTATAGATGAAGCTCCCAACGCCTACTCGAAAAGGTTGAATTATGATGCGGTCCAAAATTGAAAAGATGCAGGTGCTGATACACGAAATGGGCTGATGATACTGTACAATGATCGATTCGGATCAGGGCTTTCGCTTTGCAGCCGCTGCAGCAATCCGTTTCTGGATTTCCTCGCTGCTGAGAATCTTCACCGCATTGTTGGACAAAACGTAACTCAATCCAGACCAAATCGTTGTTCCCGCCACAAGGTACCTGCACAGTCTTAGTCAGCGACCAATCAAAATCATGCTAATCCCAGTAAATTGCCCGCATGAACGAAGTAATGCTTTTCTTTTTTTCAAAAGAATAAACAAAAACATACAACAGTCAGGATTCGCATGTGGTCACCCACCATACTACTAACTAACCGGCGTGTGGCTTAAGTACGGCTGAGCGGACGGGAAGCCCTGTTCTCCACACCCTATGGTCGTATGTGCTAGGTATTTCATCGAACTGCCTTAAGGCGGCCCGTGCCCACACCCACTGGAGCCACGCAGATATGCATGAAAAACAAAACAAGGTAGGGTTATCACTTACTGGAATCCAGTCATGGCCTCTGACAAATGCCAAGCACTGATGAAAGCCTCGGGGAGCACGGGCAGTCCAATTGCGGTGCCTACCAACACGAGCTGCAGGGCAGTATTGATCTTCGAAATTTCGGTCGGCTTGACTTCGGCGGATGGAAGCGAAAAGTCCCAGTATCGAGCCATAGTCTTCGGAGGTGGAAGAGAAATCCATCGGTAATAGATTGCCGAGATGGCCAACCCAATGTCACGGCCAAGAATAATAACGGCCAGCCATACTGCAAGCCAGTGTCAGGTAAGATGCAAGACAACGGGGGGACAAAGAACATACTGGGAAGAGAGCCATTGACCGCCAGACACGCCACTCCGATCGTCATCAGCAGCTTATCGGCCATGGGATCAATGATCGTTCCCACGACTGTCTGCAGGTTATATTTGCGGGCAATCCAGCCATCCACCAGATCGGTAATACCTGCATATGCGAACAAGGACAAAGCGGCCGCATGGTAGTCATGGACGAGCAAATATCCTACCACGGGTGCTGCAATCAACCGAGTGAAGGTAAGAATGTTAGGTACTGTGTAAATGTTCTCATGACTCTTCGCCATGGGAAGCTTAGACAGCAGGCGTTTGGCAGCAGCTGTGGTTTTGGAGCTAAATTGGTCAGTCATTGCCCCAACATGCGATTGGGATTCTTCAACCATACTCTTCTGGTTGAGACTCTTTGGGGTCGCCGGGCTTTGATGATGTCCATCTCCTGCCATAGCTTATCAACGATGCCCCTGGGACAAAAAGTAGGCGACTCCGTGGTTGCAAGTGTCTTCAGAAAATTAGATCCGAAGCTTCCGGAACACATAAAGCATCATACCTGATTGATAACTGGGCTGGTGTGGGAATATTTATCAATGTGGACATGCATTGAGGACGCAACCCACACCGAGCCTGGACGTAAAGTCGAGTAGGGTTAGAGAGTGGCCAGGTAAGGCGAGATGCCGGAAGAGGCTGCAGCATTTTCGATGCAGAAATAGAGAACATATTGACAAAAGAAACACAAGCCGCAATGAAACACCTGATGACCTAGAAATGCTTGATGAAAAGTGATGGAAACGAATGAAGTCGGCGAAAATCAAGCCAGGATATAAAACATGCCCTGGAAATGGCTTTTCATCAAAATTTCAACACAAATGCCAATATTCTGATACTGGTGCCTTGAAGAAAGCGAGTGAGCTGGAACTGTCAATGGTGATCACACGACCACGAGCAAATTGATCCAGGTGAGTTATAATACAGGCCGAACGGTTAAGGGAGTAACTTATCCAACAATGGCTGAGTAGTAAGCCAAGGTGAACCAATAAACCCGAGAAGCTCAGAATTTTGACTGTATGCGATAGAGCCCGAGGTACCCCCGGATGTTAGTTAAAGAAAAGTGACGTGAATTTCATGTGGGTACCCGGATTATCTATTCCTCCGGGCCCCGACCCCAGTTCTCCGGATCAACCTCAAAACACTTGTTCTTCTTTGTAACCTCTATATCTTCCCATTTAATCTATATTATTTGGAATGACTTATGCAGTAGCCAGGCAGACTCAATGCTATTATTCATGATGAAGTCTGCCAAGAAAAACCCAAGTCATTATGGCTGACCACATTGCCTCACTCACCTGATTGCTGATCTACACATGACGAGCCGCCTGATGTCCGGCATCATCCTGGGGCCATGGAATTGATCCATCTTTTTTTGACAACAAATAACTCTTTATTTACAAATATACCGACAAGGTGACGCATCTGTGAAGTTCAAGCACTTCACAGCGTCAAAATATTCCAGATGGAGAGCAAAACGCGGATTTTAACAGGGGATATCGTGGGTCGTCTCACGAGCGGCGCCGACTCATCATGGCTACTTCACTTTCAACCACAGCGGGGCCTATCTCTCAACCCACCGTCTCGGATCCAATCAACCCTGGAACTGACAACGCCCATAAGAAGGCTCGAGATCCAAACATGTCTGATCCTCGGCTGTTTGTTAACCGCCCCTGTGTCTATGAGCGTCGGCTTCCAGGCGATGCATACATAACTGCACACGTTCAGCGTCTCCAACATGGCTTCTATTCCAGTCCTTCAGTCTCGGATGCAGATGCTGAGCATGTTGACTTCCTTGCGATTGGCTTCGTTTTTCATTCTCCTCACACTCTATCCCACCGCTTCAAATCTGCAACTATCCGGGTAGCCATCCGTGGAAGCGAGGAGAGGGCCACCTCTGCCACTTATCCACTTGGCTATCCACCAGGCAACCCCCGCTTTCTGATGCACGCACCGCACCTCATCTTCGGCACAGTATCGCCTGAGACCATGCAATGGACCTTCAGCCTGGCAGGGTCCCTTGGTATCTCTGACACTCCGGTTAGCGCAAGCTTGATCCCATCCGGAAACGTCAGCAAACAATTCCGCCGCTATGAGATGATGCGCATCCAGGGCTCTGCCCGTACTTTGAAGAGCGCCCTCGGCCCTCAGTTCGATGTCGAGGCCGGTGAAATCGTCTGGTCGCTTGAAGAGAACAATCTCCAACGTTCCGGCCTGCCTCGCGAGTTTACGTTTGTCATGCTCATCCAGAAGCCGACCGCGGATTCCAAAATCAATCTGACTCTCGATATCGAGCCGGTTCTCAAGACATGGTATGGCATTTACCCTAAAGCGCTGCTTTCGCTGTCCACCTACCAGCCTCAAGCGCGTCGGACTGTCAACTTTCGTCGAGAGGTTGGCCAGAAATTCGAGCCTGCGGATGCACAGCGGGGCTTCAACTTTGCAGCTCTGGAAAGTTCGTTCGACCACTACATCGCGATGCCCGGCAGAAAATTCACGCGCTCGGTACGTCCCCTTTTTGAAAGAGATATCAATCAGAGAAATGAGCGATGATAGATGCTAATCTCAGTATTAGGTCCAAATTCCCGCTGATAACTCTGCGTCCCAGAACAACGAGTCCCAGAACAACGGGTCCCAGAACAACGGGCTCCCTGGAAACAACATCGGGCAGAGCTACCCACAGTACGGGAATGGTCAATACGTCGGTCGTTACGGCAATGGCCAGTACCCAAGCGTTCAATACAACGGTCTGAATCCTGTGGCACGTGCAAAAGGTGGAGTTCTGTTCCGCGAGAATTTCACCCCGGGCTTTATCCAAACCCAGCTTCGCCAGTGGCAGATGCAAGCGCCCACTATGAACATCAGTGGGCCTTCGGGTCAAAACTCCTCGGGCGCCAACAGCAGTGGGTTTCCCGTCCTGGAAAGCTACATGGAAGTCCGAGCTCCGTCCTCTCTCCCCTCTCGCGTAAGAGACCTTCACGCAGAAGTCCACCCTGAGAACAGGGCAAGCGTCGACATCCGCAGCGACGCAACTGCCGCTGCGACCCAGGGAGAGTCCATCGACCAGACTGCAGTTTGGATAAAACACCAGCAGGCCAACGATGAGATCCGGGCTCGCGTTGTCAGAGGTAAGGTCTACGAGGAGGAAAAGAATCGCCGGGTATCTCGTCGGCTCCGTTCTGCGTCAGCGTCAGAGACCTCCGGGACCTCGGGGAGTATCATGACGCTGGCCAATGTGCCGCTCACTGAGCACTTGGTTATTGCACTGACGGAGAGCGCCGGTAGTTTGACGTGATTCGGGTCTTCGTGAATGATCGGTCGATCTCAGTTTGCTTTCTGTTTCTTCACATGAAGTGAAGTGTTCTGACTCACTTGAGTCATAAACAAGATATCAAATATATTACATCATTACCTAGTCAATATTATCAGCAGATTATTATCAATCATACCTCACATCTAACCTCCATTTCTTTTCATGAATGATTTATCTTGCCTTGTACACGCTTTTTGCTCCCTTCTTGATCCTTTCCAAGGTTATTGAGCAGATATCCTTACTCTATTGTTTGCTGCCAGATTCCTACTCCATATGATATCTGTTACTTCTTTTACCCTTCTGTTTAGACCCACGTTCTTTTGCGCTTGTAATTGTTCTCGAATAAAGATTTATTCTTCCATGACCTAGTAGGTATTTGATATCAGGATGCACAACAATGTAGATGAAAAGAGCTCGGTTCCTTATTTAGGCCTCCGTACGGTCAGTAGCGACCATGTGGTCAGATCCTTTTATCACAGGAATATTATTCACCGCTTTTGCTAATTTTGTACTGTATTATACCAGAATATCCATAATTCCAGTATTATCCAGTACTAGGCTCATTTGAAACTTGACTACCTAGGCCACAGATCAATCTCCCACTAAGGGGAATCGAGTCCCTTCCCAAGCGAGCATATATACTCTTAAAGATATCTATAATACTCTCAATGGGATTATACTAACTTAATTCTTAGGACTTTGGAAGTTTAAAGATCTACTTACGAGTTAACCTAGACTAGGCGGGAACCGATATATGTAAGGGTTAGGTACTATATAACATATGCACAGTCGTTTACTCCCTTATAAATAACTGTTTTCTGCCCTTTAGGTCTTTAGATCTTCTACCATTTTACAAAGGCGAGTAGCGGCCATTAGAACCTTTAAACTCACATAATAAATAGCAGAAAATCACATATACTATAAAGCGAATCTACCCCTTTATCAATTTAATATACCGCAGACTTTTTGAACGTACGTTTAAAATCTTCAGACTTTTTCAACTTGGAGAGCCCTTTGACCATTTAACTAATCTGGTACGAAAGAAGGAAGAATACTAGATAGGATACTAAGAAGGAGACTAAGTAGGAGACTAAGTAGGATACGAAGTAAGAGACTGAGTAGGAGATATAGTAGGAGATATAATATAATATTTAAGAGCTAGGCGTTACGCTAAGAGGTTCTGTCCTCATGGCCGCTACTGACCTCCGCGTACATGCCCACCATGTAAACTATACATCTCTCTTTACTTGCTGTTTTACCCCTTTCCTCGCAGTTTCACATATACATATTCTTTCCAACGCTCTAGTATATACCCATATATCAGTAAAAGCCATCAATTTCGAGCCTCAAATAAACCCATGTCCTAGCTACCCAATCGAATCTCAAATTGTTGCCTTTGGCCATCGGGCCTCGTCTAAGAAAGCAGACATGTCACGGCTTGAGAACCACTGATCTCCTGACCAATAACGGATCATTTAGAGAGGCCGCGCTCATCTTCAGGTTCCAAATTTGAAGGAAGCGATGCCTAGAAGTGGCCTTATGTTTTCCTACCTTCACCGCCGTTTTTCGCAGAATGCTGCTGAGCCATTATCCAGATCTGCCCAAGTGCCGTGGCTCATACAAAGCAAACATAGCGTGAGAGGGCTCAAACTAAGGCCCGTCTAATCAGACATAAAACTAGACTTCCCCCCGCCATATTTGCTTCCATACTTAGTTCCGACGTGTCCAGCATAAAGTCCCAGCTGAGCCGTCAATTAGTGGGGTTAAGGGATATCCAAGGGGCTATACCCAATCAGAAAACTTTCCAGGATTCCGCATGTCTTATTTGTTTTGTTTCCTGCGGCTCGACTAAGCCATTATTTAATGGAGTCAAAAGGCCATACCCACTCAGTGACCAATAGAATATTCTCCATGCCCCCTGATTTGATCTGATTTTCTTGTGGCTGCACTGCCCCAGCTAGCCGTAATTTAGCGGGATTGTGAGGGACATATCCAATCATAGTTCAGTAGAAACTTCCCCACGCCATATTTGGTTTCATTTTTTGTGGTTTGCACAGCCCAGCTGAGCCGTTTTCTAGTGGGGTTGAAGCAATTGCGGGGATTATAACCAATCAGAGGCCATCAGTAGCTCCCCCATGCCATATCTGGTTTCGAATTGCTCTGCCTCAAGCACACGTGATGAACCGCTGAGCCGTGATCTGCAGGTATCTCTCCCCTCTTCCAGGCGGGTGGGTTGTCCAGGCGGGTGGGTTGTGGCAGGTTTTACCTCATCAAATATCATCATAGCACTAATCTGCTTTCGCTCGAGCTTTATATAGGCAAAAACTAATGCAGAGACTTTTACTGAGCGGTGATCAATAGTGTACATCCTCCAAGGCTGTCGTCTTCCTATCCAATCAGAGATTATTAGACCCTACCCCCGCCCATATTTGATTTCATCCTGAGGGTGTAAGACGGCCCTTTCCGGTAGCTGAGCCGTGATCTGCAATGATAATTTACAAAAATGTCAGCCCGACTTGGGCAGCTACTCACGAGGGGTCATGGCCAATCAGAGATCATTAATGGATTCTGCCCGTCATATTTGGTTTCGATTGTAGGAGGCAAAGAGTGTATTCTGAGTCGTAATCTACAGTCAGAATCTGCCTGGGTTCCAGGGCTGTAGGCAGTGACGGGGACCATGTCCAACCAATATTTGGACTAGATTTATTTAGTCTTTATCTATCACTGTGTTATATAGTTACTATTCTAGGCTCATGACTACGTGGACTCCTATAAGATACTCAGTGGCAGAATTACGCAGCAATAGTAGCCGCAAGAATTATTGTTGTTGTCTCTAGGTTTGAGTAGATGATAATATAATGGTTCTAGCCGGGCAGATATATCGTGCCTCCAATTTTGACCTAACCCAAAACCTTAGTCTTCTTTAAAAAGTCCAGGGGCAGCTGAATGAGATTGGGCAAAATTATCGGCGGGGTCTGATGTGAGATTTAAAGCATATCTTAGGCACTCCTAACCCTTTAGAGGGTATATGTCACAATAATTTCGAGCATTAGCCTTTAAGTATCATCTTTTCATTCACTAATTTACGTTTCTGAGCCGTCAGTTGTGATTGATGATAATAGGCGATCAAATAAGTTTAGAAACCCTTCAGGAAAGGTTGATCGCTTTGAAATCATATCCATCGCCGTCAGACGTTTCTTGTTTCGATCCGATGGATTTAAGCCCTTTAGCTCCGAACAAAGCAAAATATTGAGTGTTTCACAGTCCCCTTCCAGTGCCGCCGAATGAAGGATAGTTGATCCATCATGATTTGCAATGGTGTAATCAGAGGACCATTCTAAAAGTAGTTTGAGGAATTCATGGCTACTATGGAAAATCGCTTCAAATAGAGCGGTTTCACCATTTGCACCCTGCACATCAATGTCCGCACCTTGACGCAGAAGATATCTGCCGATTTTGAAGTTATTCCGGATTGCCGCACCAATCAAGGCAGTATGTCCATTCTTATTTTGAGTATTCAAACGCGCACCCCACTTCAGCAGAAGAATGACCGGAGGTAATCCTCTCTGGTGTCTGCAAGCAAAGTAGAGTGCGTCCGAGCCATAGTGGTTCTTTAAGTGAACACTACTGTCAGCATCTAGGAGTAGTTTCAAACATTTCAGGCAACCAGAGGATGCGGCGAACATCAATGGTGTTCCACCTGATTCATCCGTCACAGCCACATTGGCCCCATATTTGAGAAGGATCTCAATACCTTCAAAATCACCGCGAGTTGCTGCCCAATGCAAAGGCGATTTTCCGGTCAAATCGGGCCGGTCGATTTGTGTTCGATAACTTCTGATCTTTAATGTCTCTACAAGATCACCCTGTAAAAGACCAAGCACCAGCATGTGAATGTGTGAAAATCCCATGTCATCAACAAAATCAATATCAGGAAATAGCGTTCTGAGTTTTTCAATCTGTGTCGGACTACCTCGGCGCGTCAAGATATGTTCCCAGGCCTTGATTGTTGGGGTCCTGAAGAATAGGAATTAGTGTAAAATAGGACATATATGGTACCAGGAACACTTACATTCCAGTATAATCCATAGCATGGACATTGGCGGAAGCATTACGAAGAAATTCGCAAACTACAAGATGATTCCACATCACTGCATAGTGCTTTTTATCAGATTAGTATGTTGGCATTTGAATCCCTACTAATGAGTAGACTTCTACAAAACCCAATTTTGGACCCAATCTTAGCAATGCCAAGGACCCAAAAACCCCATTAGGACCCAACTTTTTGTATAAGTATGTATGAACAATCCAAATTAGGAAATCCTTGGCATTTTTATGCATTTTTATGTCAAAAGTTGGGTCTAAGATTCAAAATTATTGGGGTTTGGGTCCAGACCTTGGACCCAAATTGGGTTTTGTAGAAGTCTACTAATGAGTCTTATAACTCACATGCAGTGCTGTCCTTCCATGTTTCTGATCTATATAGTGCAGGGCATATGCAGCCCCACTGAGTGGCATTTTGAGACCCTCGACATTACCTTCGTACGCATTCTTCAAAATGGTGTCAGCATTGCCCCATCCTAATCTCCGTGGAAAACTTAGCCCATAAGACGGACTCCCAGAGAAGATCAATGTCACATCAAGTAGCCAATTGGGGAAACAATAGATAGCCTCGAGAGATCTGGGATTATCATTGCTGCAAGTTTTTGCGTTGCAAGTCGATTTGAAAAGAGAGGATCCTTCATAACGAACAAAAAAAGTACCAATTATAGGCCTCGTGGAAATAGATACCTGTATTCGATGTTTTCTGTGACAGTTGCACGGGCAAAATTTATCACAAATCCTGGCTCTTGGCACCTGATCATAAGGATCATCAAATTTCACCGCTAATGATGTGACAGCCGTGTTGATAAATTCCTTTGGCTGGCTAATCATCTTTGGCATGGATTCTGGAGTACTATGACGGGCATCAGAGTGAGCGATCGACAGTGAGCCACTGGCTGTCTCTGGCAACGAAAAGGATGGTTCATCTCAGTGTGAGCAAACTTGTCGAGCATCTATATGTCTTCTATTTCCCGAATAATGTTATCACTGTTGATGTCTGACAATTCTGTCAGTGACCGGCTTTAACACAAGGTAGATATTCTAATCGGTATGGACGAGTTTGCATTCAGTGTGAGATGATCCAGCGCCAGGAAAATTTGCAGGAGTCCAGCTTTATGGAGGCCCTTGCTAGACTGTTGATTCGGATTGTGATATAAAAAGTCTCTAAAAATCTTCAGTAGCGTTGTTTTTTGACCTCTTCAAACCGCTCCTCTTCGAGAAGTTGAAACGCCTTAATTACTGCGAATCCGCTTTATGAGAAGCAAAGTATAGGCGGGTGTGGCCTTAGAGCAGTCCTAGTCCATTTCAGCACAGAATTGATGGTCATCGATCGTTGTAGAAAATAAGACAGGAGTCAAATGTGAGGCGGTTGGAAAGTTGGTTACATTCCACTGATCTCGCATTTGACATTTCGATCTAACGAGACAGTTCTTTCTAGATAAGTCGAAATTTTACATTTGAACATGATGGCTTTTGAATTTCACTCGACATTCCATGAACATAATGATAACCAGAACTTACTGTGCACCGACCAATCACTGCGATATTGACCTGTTCCCGCCCATATTATGATTTTAATTATCGCATCGGAACCTGCCAATGGATTATGGAGCTGAGCCATGTAGCTTACTGAGTGCCGACCAATCGTAATGATATTGAGTGTTCCCCACACATATTTTAGTTCCAGAAAAACATCATCTTTCCCGTGAGCATATGCAGCTGAGCCATGGGGCTTAGTGGGCACGATCATTTGCCCCCTTATCCTCTGAGGCTATGCCACCGAGCTTACTGTGTACCGACCAATCATAATGATAAAATATGCTCTTCACCCCTATATTTGTTTCATCCATACACTGCCACCCTGGGTTGAATATGTAGCTGAGCCATAGGGCTTGCGCACCGACCGTTTCCTACGAGGCTTTGCTATTTAACTCCGAGCCTGCTGGACACCGACCATTCCGCCCCCTCTTTCCCCGCTAAGCCACAGAGCCTGTTGGGTATTGACGAGATACTTCTCGTCCATTTTTCACTTTTAAAAACTCACCCAAAGTAGATTTTGGCAAAACATGTCAAGCTGCTGAGCCATAAACACGTGCATGTAGGCACCGACCGATCGTGGTGGTATTAAATAATCCCCAAACGTAACAACATCTTTGCAGGAGTTATTCAGCTGAGCCAAGACGCGTACTGGATGCCAACCAATAACAACGATGATACAGGGCGCTAGCATCCCAGAGTCTGTAGCTAGTAGATAGGCACTGACCAATCGCAGTAGTATTAAGTAGTTCCTGCCCATTAATCAGTTTCATTTAAATCACAGAAATCCAATATCAGTCTAATTGGATTTTCTGATTTCTACACAGTATATAACCAGGCCTTGACGCTGAGCCGTGAGTTCGTTACAAGGATAGAACGGGAACGTGAAAGGTAATCTCATCATATGCTCAGTTGGTTACTTATCCTTGCCCGGGATGACGGGAAAGTAATTTTCAGTCGGTAAGATCGGAGCTTGGTTTCTTTCTCGTCTTGGATCATATGAGGGTTTAAGAGTCTGAAAATTCAATCTTTCAACTGACCTCTCTAGCCATACAGATTAAATCAGGTTCCATTTGCTATTTCTGTAGTTCTTGGCTTTATTGCATTTGAAGATCGGGTGAAAAGAATGTCAGGAAATGGGAAAGCACTTGGGGGTAAAGATGGTGTATGAAGGGGGTTATTCAATTAAGAAATGACAAGATTGTATGAGATTCAGGTCTGTTTGATACGCTTGATATGAAAAGGTGGCTGATATACTTCCGCATAGTGTGCTCGTCTTGGTTCTGGAATGGAACAGACACTGATTAATGGGAAGGTAACACCCAATTGAGCTAGTTTGGGACATTTCAATTGACCATCTAAATGTTGAGAACTTAATTTCAATATCAACATCAATGGTATTGGTAATCACATCAACACAAGAAAAGGAGCAGCAATTGCTGATATTAAACAGTCAAGGTAAAGTTCACTGCATTCACAGCCCCATTATCGCGAGGAAAAAATTCAAAAGTGAACACAGTCGTAACCCCTGCCGAGATAACAGAGCTAATAGCTGATGAGGTCAAAATCACGTCCGAGGAATCCCAGTTGTACTGGCTACTATAAGTCTGCAAATGTACATTAGTCTCTCTTCAGCACAAAATTAAGGTAAACACTCACAGTTCTGGCCTGCTGAATCGGACCAAGGTATACGGTCCAAGTATCGACCAGGTATACACCACTCGTAGTCATTGCTTTAACTGCAGCCACTGTTGGAAGACCACCCCAGGTTATGGGAATATATAAATCTGCGCCGGAAACTGATGATGCCACCGCCGATGTTGATGATACAGTGGGCGTTTTCCATTGAACGATCTGGACTATGGGCGAGGAATCACCTCCGGAGAACTTCAAAGTCAGATTCGCAATAATGCCTGGAGAAGTCGTTGCTGAGAGGTGTTTCGAAAGGTAAGAGGCAGTGAAGGTGATGTTGGATCCCGAGACTGAGTAGTCCGTTCCGGATACTAAAGTCGAGCCGGTGGAATCACTGATTGATGAAAGCGTGTTTCCATTGAAAATAAATGGAAGACTTTGCGCGACAACTGAAGTTCCATACTCATGGAATATATAGGCGGAGGACCACTGGGTAGTCGCAGTAGAATCTTCGGTGCTGTCGGGTAGGCTATTTTCTGTTGACTCGGTTGACTTAGTGATCATTGAAATGGAGTTCGGATCGCGCCACGTATTAGTGTCTCGATCTAGATGATCCAAGCCATTATCCCATAGAATGAAGGAGATGTCCAGCTCAAGAGCGTTTCGAATTAAATAGTCGATATACTTCCATCGGGCGGCGGGCTCCGTGTTAGTAGGAGATGCATCATATTCACCAAGGACAATGGGTACGTCCGTGAAGTTGTCTCGAAGTAATTGGAGGTCGGATAGAACTGTGGCTTTGTCGGAATCAGATCCCCAAATCGTCTTGCCCCTATAGAACATCAGAAATATATTTTTCAATTTGCGTCATGCTACCTACCATGCACTGAAGATGAAATCATCTGTCAAGCGTTAGAGTTGACGTTCTCCAGGGGAAAAGCTCATCACTTACAAGGGCTGTAATAGTGGAATTGAATGGCATACGGGTTGGGAAATCCAGATGGTGCCACAAACCACTCAGATGTCTTGACACTGTCCTCACCACCTCCGACAAGAGTGACGACTCGTTGGGAATTAAAACCACCTGCATCATTGATTGCCTGGAGGAATATTTTGTTGAGTTTGTTGATTTCCGTCGCATCATCAGCATCGTCACATGGGGGCTCGTTGATGGGCTCAAAGGCGACAAGACTCGACTTGCAAGCTAATGTTGTGCCGACTTGATACCAGAGTCTGTAGAATTTCTCTTCGATCATTGTAATGTTAGCATCTGACTGAGTGACATCGGCCCAGATCCATGAATCTAGTCGTTGTTAGCGTGGATTCTAAAGTCATTTCATTCCGTGGCTTACCATGGTGTGCATTGACAATAGTATACAGTCCAAGAGACGTGATCATGTCAACTACATCAGAAACACGCTGCAACCAGTCTGGATCAATTGTCCAGTCAGGTGAACTTCCCGTGAAATGATATGCGTAAGTTACTACGCAACGTCAGCGACTTGATAAGATTCATGAAACTTGTGAAACTCACCTGGGAGTCGAACGCTCTTGAAGCCCGCTGCTTGAACATCTTCAAATGTGGATGCGACGACAGGAGCATTGTTCCAGGATCCTTCATCCGGTGTGGCATCAAGTGTGTTACCTAAATTCCATCCAGGATGAAGGCTGGCAACAAAGTCGGATGCGGAAATTGAACTAAACGATCCCGTGCAGCTGGCGGCCGCTGAAGTGGCTGTAGAAGTAGTGGTTTTAGTAGATGTCGTTGCAGTTGCAGTGGTGGTTGACTTTGTTGACGTTGACGTGGCTGTTGTGGTAGTCTTGCTCGTGGACGTCGTTGATGTTGTAGTCGTAGTTGTAGCAATTGTGGCTGTTGTCGATTTCGATGTCGTGCTAGCTGTTGCAGTCCCCGGGACACACTGGTAGTACCCTTGACATATATCAGATAAACAAGTGCGAAGGTTCAGAGTTTAAATGACGAACATGGATTTTGGGAGGTACAGTAGTACCCTGATGTGCAGGTTGAACTTCCTGAGTATGCACTGCCTCCACCTATCCATATTCATTAGCGTAGCCAAGTAATTGTTCCCTGACTGTTTGGCAACTAACATTGTCCGTATGCAGCAACTTGGGCGTATGCAGCTTGTGCTAAAGCCAAGATAGCAACAACAGCTTTAAAAGCTTGCATCGTGAGATATTACGCAGCAATCAATCCGTCCAGAATTATGTTGCTTTGAAGATATTGTTTTACTTGATTCAATGTTCGAAAGAATATCATAATTTATAACTCATTTTAACTATGAAAATTGGAATGTACATGTCCATGGGGCCCAGAAAGACACGGACCCTTTCCAGATGGCTATTTCTTAGCTTCATACACTGCGGTCTTATGGACTCGGGATTTTGAGTTTATTTAATTTCTTCACGATTTATCCGACGGAAACTAGGTCCATGTTCTTCAATGCCTATATGCTTTGTGGCTTGGCACTGCACACAGGGGTAAAACACTATATTTCCTCCAATCCGATCGCTCGCTTTGATTCTACTTTACCCCAAGTTATTGTGAAACAAGTCACCCGAGCACACAGATATGCAGGAGACTACCGAAGATGTGCATTCCCCGCTTCTACAGACTTTCACTTAATTCCGTGCCAAATTGGACGGAGCAAGCCCGTGCTAGATCTAGATATTGCCGCGCCGTGGCTAAAGAGGGTTTCAAAATAGATGGGCTACTATCATGGGTCTCAAGATTCTACATCGCGTGGATCCAAGCCAAGTACATCGCTTCTCATATTCAAACGGGAAATCCTCAACCCCCCCGCACTCATGTCATCATTCTTAGTTGAGGATAGTCTGCTCCTGCGTCGTCGGATCAACACCAAACAGATCCTGCTTGGGTCAGCAACTGCATATGTATATTGTTCGACAGTAATATTTACCTGCAAGGACTGAAGTCTGTCAGCGTCTCGATTATTCTCCTTTTGGAATCCGCCACCTGCTGTTTGCAGCTTTTTGCGTTGACGTGGAACGACATGGGTCTATTCAAGTCAGTCAATAACTTCTATTAGAAGCAGATATAACCGACCTCTTCCACTGTGTTTGTCAGTATATATCGAACGATTGTCACCCGAGAAAGCTGGCCTAGTCGAAGCGCTCTTCCTATTGCTTGGTCTTCAATGGACGGGTTCCACTGTGGCTCGAGGAGATAAATGCAGGATGACGATGTTATATTCAGGCTTTTGTAATAGATCGGGAGTTAGAAATGAAACTTGCGGAAATCATAGAACCACTTACCCAACAGCGCCCGTCCCCAGGGTCATAAGAAGAACATTGATATGTGGTTTCTCGTAATTCTTCAACTCTGCTATTCGCCGAGACAATGGCAATGACCCATCAATCATGCTGTATGCGATTCCCCGGCTTGCGAGCATTTCGGCAATGAGGGTGAGGCTTTTCTTCCAGCTTGAAAAAACAATGCTATATTCAAGATAAGTATACAGAGTCGAGCAGTAGATAAACATTGAATGGGGATTTTACCATTTTTGAGATGGATTTTGCATTATATCGGACAAAAGAGCACGTAATTTTGTCGTGTATTGGGTGAAGCCACGATGAATAGGCGCTGTATGTGCTATCAATTGATTTGTGGTTGCGTTTGTTGGTTGGGATTCCATGGCACTGGGAGTACAGGAGGGGCATTTCTTATGATCCATGAGATGCTGGGGTATGCAGCCGTGGCACACAATATGTTGACAAGTAGGAACCATGATTCCTCCATCTGACTCTGGAGCTTCGCTCAATTGAAGGACCGTACATCCACAGTATACACAATGATCTTCATCGAGGAGCTGAAGTAAAGAAAGAGCTTCATCCATATCGGTGGGTGCTCCTTCGACTGCTTTTCCATTGTTGCAATACAAGCGAAGAGCGAGGAATAGCTCCAAAATGGTCGAGTTAAATCTTCCCTTTCGGCGCCCAGCGACAACCATCTCAATTCGAGTTTTGCACTGTTGAAAAAGCTCACGGTATTCCTCAAGCTCCGCTGGTGACATGGTAAGTGTTCTTCGGATCTCAATAGGCTCGGGAATATTCAAAAGCTCGCGTGTTCTCCGGATGCATATTGAGCGAAGAAGAATTTGGAGATTATTAAATCGATTTTTGACGTTCAAGGATATTGGCGAGGAGATCAATTTCCGAAATGCAGATGGGCGTTTGAGGATCGGCACCCTTGCAAAGGCTACTAAAGCGCCGAGATCTTCGATATTGTTCTGGATTGGAGTACCAGTAAGGCACCAGTAATACTGGGCGGACAGACTCATGACTGCTTGAAATTGCTTTGTGGATCGGTTTCTTACATAGTGTGCTGGTCTCAGATGTTAAAAGATAATAGCGAACGGATCATGTTGTAGCATACCCTCATCTAGAACGATTCGGAACCATTCGATCTTCGAAAGAATGCCCTCTCCACGACAGGTCTCGGCTGCTAGGGTAGCATACGTCGAGAAGATGATGTCCCTTTTTTGAAGTAAGTCTCTTTCGATATACCGCTCCGACCCGATATGTTGATGAGATGACAGAGTTGCGGAGAAAATGTGTCTAGCGGGTTTTTAGAAAATGACAATCAAGTAATAATCAAATACGATGCCCTCATTACTTTTGAATTTCATTGATCCAGTTACCGATCAAAACTGTGCGAATTAGCCAAGCCTTTTCGGTGTATTCATGTCCTTTCTTTGGTCGACTTACTAGTTGACGGTACAATTATAAGCGTTGCTTGCGACGGAGTCCGGGTTTGCGATTGGGTCAATTGAAATCTCTGAGCGCCAAACCGTCGGGCCTCGTCTAGAGATCCAGCGATTACCGATAGGATTACCAAAGACTTCCCAAGGCCCATCTCGTCGGCCACAATTCCACCTTTGGCATGTTCCGGTTCTCGTCGTCTTTCTCCATTCAGAACATGCTGATAACTGTTGGCACATCAATCAGCCAGGTTCTTCAAGACTCATCTGAGAGTAAATACAATGGTTCATCCTCATCTGTGTTATTGTATGTCCAAAGTCCTTCTAATTCAGTTCCGCCTTTCTCGCGCTGGGATATGAAATCAATCGCTTCTTTCTGGTGGCTGGATTATGGTTAATTAGATTTCTCATCGTCGTTTGTGAACTCTTACTCTAAAAGTTTGCTCTTGATCCGACGATCGATGGATATGTTGGTTGTCAAGACATGCTGCAATTGAGAATCAAGAAAATGTTCCAAATTCATCGGATCGTCTTGAGTATCAGGTTCCTCGTCAGGCAGTTCTGAAGCCTGATCTTCTCCGCTGTCAGAGTCAAGAGCCAAACTATCATACTCAGTTGCATATCCTGGCATCCGAAGAATATGAGGGTTGATATATCTCATCCCCCCAGCTCCAAATCGAGGGTGTTGTAGATAGTTCCCTGATATGCTCAATTTTTTGCCTGCTTTTCCAGACTCGGCCTCCGGTCCGTACACGTTGACTTCAACGGTTACTGCGTTTCCCGGACGCCAAGATTGAGAACCAATCTCCAGATCTTTCCGTGACAAGTAGGCCTGAAGTCGCACGGAGGGACATGATTGAAGGAGTTCATTCAAATTGCCACTGATCAATTTGTTCAGGCGTGCGAAACTCTCCCCGTTGTGTTGAAGTGAGAAGAACTTCCCTTCCCGAAGTACTGTGAGCGATTGCGACACAGTGGATCCAAGCGACAATTGATCGAGACCAGAGCCGTATAGTTGAGCTTTGATTCTGACAAGCTGCTGGTGATTAGCAATCGACTAGGATGGATTGAATGAACTGAAAGAGCATATAATGCGTAGATTGATGTCAAGCCAGTACGTACCGTTCCAAAACAAACTTCTTCTTCTAAGACTTCCTTTGGAGTGGAGGTTGATGGAGAATCTGAGGAATCATCTGCTTCAAAGGGCCATTTGCGTTTCAAAGTTTCTGACTGGTTGAGCATCCATTCAAAATCTTGCGACAGGTGAAAGTCGTCCATTGCAAAGTCACTACCTGGCGGTATGTGGCTTAGGTGTTGGCTACCAGCGATCAGCAAACAGTGGACGGGGTGGCCGCCCAGATGAGATGAGTGCGGAGGCTGATAGCGGGCATAGAGAAAAGAACTCACGAGTATATACGGTTTGATTGGTAGAAAACCTGCACGATTGAGATTATATGTGTACTTCAGTCGGAATTTATTATACCATAAGTGAAGACGTTTTACGATCCAAGGTGGTTAGGCAAGTTGAGAATCTCGATTTGTTGTGAGGTACTAGTTACGCCGCACGCCGTAGTCTGGGATCGCCGTCCATTTCTCAACCCAGTGAGACTGAGCAGCTGATTGATGATAAGGCTAGAATAATTGACTGGATAGTGGGTACCACAGGGACTTATGCTAAATTAATTACATTGGTCGTCGTGATTCGTGGCTATGAGGCGATTGGGCAGACAAACGTGCATATACGATTGTGGCTATGTCAGCCTCAGCGGTAATGCAAGGCAGATTCGTGTCAGACTTTGGTGCCTGAGGCAGTATGGAGAGTAGATCGAGGCTCTTCTTTCCTCGTCCTTTCCCCCAATATTACTGCAGAGCTGATCCACTGTGATCTTTTTATTTTCATTTATATGGCCCAAAATGGCTCAAGTGCCTCAGAATGCACCGCAGAACCTACCCCAGGCGGCCTTTGACCGCGCACTTGACTCCTTCAAGAAAGACTTGACTAAGCGGGACAGAGACAGTTTCAAGATTACGACTTTTCAAGACCTTCAAAAAAGCATTGATGATCTCCAGAAAAAGCATCATTCAGCTCGCCGACTTCAAGATCTGAGTCGTTTGGGAGTCTTTCTTGAAGCTATTGAGCAATACACCAAGGTGGTGGACCCGTTTTGCAACAGCAATGAGATTGTTGCATTTGTTTTGGTAAGAAAACATCATGGAATTTCTAGTCCCTGATATTGATTGTTCCTAGGGACCTGTCAAGTTTTTATTGCAGGTATGATATCATCCGTTTTTTAATAAGTGCTGGACTAATTAATACCAGATTGCGAGTTCGTACCAGAAGGCATTCCAGGAGCTTGTCAGCATCTATGAAGATATTGGGAAGAACCTTCCATTGCTTCTCCAGTATCAGGAGCTGTTTCGCACCAAGCCTCACATGGTCAAGGTGTTATTGCTTATCTACGAAGACATTCTCAAGTTTCATCGACTTGCCATGCGTTATTTTCAAAGGCGTGGTACATATTCTCCTTTCATCTCAATTCAAGTAGTCAGAGGAAGCATGCGGAACTGTTCTACGAAAAAGGATGGGGATGCTTGTCTTCTTGAGGCAGACATATGACTAACTTACATTTCCTAGTATGGAAACAACTGTTCGATGCAACTTGGCCCAGTCACACGTCTCGCTTTTCTGCCATTATCGACAATTTGCGTAAGCACCAGACGTTAATCGACCGACAAGCCACTATTGCACAGATCGAAGATGAACAAGCAGCACGACTTATTGAAGAGGATAGATTCGAGGTACTTATGCAAAATGAGGACCTGGAACGGTCACGCGTCGTTTTCAATTGGCTCAAGTCTCCACAAATGGATACCGATCAGTATAACTTCACAAAAGTCCGGGCAGATTACCCAGACTCTGGGAAGTGGCTTCTTGACAATCAATCTTTCAAAGAGTGGTTTGACCCCAGCTATCCAAAGATCCCCCCTCTTCTTTGGGTCAATGGAATTCCGGGCTCAGGTATGTTGCTGTCCTTTTCGATATGAAGCATGCTGATTGGAAACGTCAGGGAAAACAATTCTGGCCTCTTTTGTAGTGGAAGAGGCTCGGAAGCTTGCTACAAAACCTACAGTCCTCTTCTTCTATTGCAAACATGACGATCCTGAGCATGACAATTTTCTAGCCCTTGCACGAGGAATCCTAGCTCAAATTTTGCACCAGGACAAAGATCTACTGCTGTATTTTTATCAAGAGCGCTGCAATAGCAAAGAAGCTGTTCTGGCTGTTCCTGATCAGGTCCGTAGACTCCTCACCTTTGCATTTCAAAACTGCAAGAATGCATATATCATTCTGGATGGGCTAGATGAGTGCAAAAGGGATGATCGCAAAGACATTGTACAGTGGTTTATCAAACTTGTTGAAAGCCTTCCGGTCAGTGAATCATCTAGATTGCGATGCCTCTTCACAAGTCGAGATGATGGCCCTGGCCGCAAGGACTTTGAAAACATTGACATTTTGACGATTCGACAGCAGGATACGCAGGGGGATTTACAACGATACTGCCAATTTCAGGCTGAGAGATTGAAAGATAAACTTTGGCTATCACCAGATAGGGCACAAGAAATTTCTCTAATTGTGTCTCAGCGAGCTGGAGGTATGTTTTGAATTGCGTTATCTGATCAAGTTCATTAATCCGGCGACAGCACTGTTTCTTCTTGCAAGATTGATATGGGATTCGCTGTTGGAAGCAATGTCTATCCAGAGCTTGGAACAGCAGTTGGAGCCCAGTCGGCTTCCAGCGGATCTTGATGACGCGTATGTACAACGAAACTGCTAAAAGACGATATCTAACCAGGTACCAGATATCGCCGGATTCATGATAAAATGAAGACTCTCGTTGGATACTCCACAGATGTTCTGCCGCTACTGCGGTGGCTGGTACTAGCGAGAAGACCACTCAAATGGCGCGAAATTCAGGTCTTGAGGTCAATCAACCTCCATGCCCAGTCTGTGGATTTTCAACGGCAAATGTTCCGGGTAGCGAGTGCTAAGGATTTATGTGGTTCTCTGGTAGACGTGCGAAATGATGATACCGTTGAGTTGATTCATCTAACGGCCAAGCAGTATGAGTCTCTTCAAGTTTGCGCTCAGAAGCTTTGCTAACATTTTGTGTAGCTTCCTAGTAGATGAGGATATTGTCAACCCATTGACTCATGATATAGAGATGGGATGTCTATGTCTTGACTATCTGAATCTCCCCATTTTCACGGATTCAATCTCCACGCGAGCCACTTGCCAAGGTAATTATGGTTTAATGGATTACGCAGTTATTTACTGGATCAAACATCTTGAAGGTGTGCTTGCGGAAGCCGGTCGAAGAATGAAGACTAGGCTGCAGGAGGGCCATCGCGTGCAAGCCAATTCGGAAGACCAAGACCGGTCTTTTGTCTACCCTACATTACGAGAAGAAGATTATGCGCAGGTCATGTTTCCGTTTGCCGAATCTTTGAGTGTCTTTCTTGATAAGCATTGGATAAAACCGAAGATATCACTTGAGGTTTCTTCGCGCAACAAAAGGAAATTGCAGGTATTCCAGGGAAAGGACTTTCACGAACAATTGGAGCAGATCTTCGTCTTCACAAGAAAACAACTCCACTCATTCAGCACGATAAAGAAGGACGAAATGTCAACAGATATCTCCGATATTGTTCACGAGGTGCGAGGAGAGATTGAAAAGGCTTTTACAAGTGCGGATCCACCTTCAAAAAGCTCAATCATTGAAAAATACGGAGACAATCTCTTCAAATGTCCACGGCTGAGCTGTCGGTATTTTACATCCGGCTTTCCAACAGCTGAGGAGAGAGATAAACACATTCGAAAGCACGAGCGTCCACTCAGATGCAATTATAAGGACTGTATCACCGGCTTTGAGATTGGATATGTCAACCAGGCCCAGTACAAAAGGCACATGAGGGACTTGCACCCATCGCCGTCTACACAGGTCGACCAGTTTCCTACAGACCAGGAGATCCACCAAAGCAAACAAATCATACTAAAAGATCAGGCTAAAGCTCGGCCTGTCCCTTCTTCGTCCAATAACCCCCAGCCGAATCAAAATCAAAATTCGCCCGCTGGGGTACCAGCTGGGGTGTCATCAAACCCACAGACAGTAGACTCTTCGTCTGATTCCGAACCAGAGATTCGACCCCTTCCACGACCTGAGCGCACAGTGGAAGACCTGACGTGTCCGACCTGCTCGCGCGTATACACAAAGCTATATAACCTCCGCTCGCATCTTCGGGTCCATGAGACGAATCGGCCTTTCTCGTGTGAATTTTGTCAGAAGTCGTTTGCCCGGAAAAATGATTGTAATAGACACAGGAAGATTCATTTGGGGACTAGGGACTGGGTTTGTGGTGGTTGTCAGCAAGCTTTTTCTCGACCAGATGTGTTGAATGCGCATTTTCAGTCACAGAGAGGTCAGGCTTGTTTACAGATGATTGGTCAACAGCCGCAATAGTACAATAGAATCTCAGTCCTGAATTAGCCAATCGACGCGATTTGAAGAGATGGCCCCCTGATATTTGGTTTCCAATACAGGGTCGCTCACGTAGAGCATTCTCAGCTGAGCCGTTGACGTGATAACTATTTTCATGTCCGAGTACAGGTAGCGATAGGGGGCACGGGAAAAGAATTAATAAAGAGTAACTAAGCTGTATGTAATATTGCAAGTTGATTTGTAAAAGAGTAGAGTCATCATATTAAGTCAGTGGAGAAGAAGATTAAGTACTAGTATACAAAAAAAGCTTGGAAGTGTTAATGAAAAGCAGACCTCCATAACCTCCTCGCCCACCCAAACATCAAAACCCCCCTTCCAATCAAATGTCCAAACATCAACGGAATCCCAAATTTCAACCACGTAAAAGGCTTCCACAGCCTTGCCTGAGGAAACATAACCAGCCCACTCCCCTTGCTAACAACCTCCCCCTCTCCCTCTACTTTTACGCTTCCCAAAAACGCCCCAACAGCCTCCAAAATAATCCCCACTGTAGCCTCAGGCATGCTCAAAAACGGCGAATGACTAGTCCTCAGCTCCCGATGCTCAACAGAACACCCCATCCCCCTCGCAATACCAACCCCCATTCTCTGCACAAGTACAGGTAACCCTCTATCCTCAACAGTCCCAATATACCAAACAGGCACATCCCGCCAACCCGCATAACTGTATTCTCCACCCTCAAATAGCGACTTCAGGCTATGCGGTGTAAGTTGGGAGGACCAGTAATCTGCCTCCTCTTGCGGGAGGTCATGGTAGAACATTTCCTGGGGTGGAGTTACTAGCTCTGCGAACCCGGTTGAGCTATTTACGCGCCAGGTGGGGGGTGGGCGGCCGAAGAAGGGATCCATGAATGAGAGGCCGGTGAGTGTGAAGCCTGAGGCTATTAGGATGAGGCCGATTACGGATCCTTCCGTCCCTGTCCCTGTGCCTGTCTGGGTTTGGGCTTGGTTTTGGGTTTGGGTCTTGGTGGAAGTGAAGTCTTTGATTGCGCTATTGGCTACCATCCCGCCGTAGGAGTGTGCGATGACGACAACATTGCGACCCTGTGTTGTTTCATTGGATATAGCTGTGCGGGTGGTGTCGAGGTCATCTTTGAAAGACGCGTTGGGGTCTCCTGTCGTGGAGGGGAGGGTGATGGGGACGCATTTGTATTTTAAGAGATTGATTATCTTGTTGTAGCATGATGGTTTGTGCCAGGCTCCTGGTACGAAGATGAGGGTTGGTTCCATCTTTCAGCACCTAGGTAGGTAGGTTGAGCCTTGAAGTTTCGTTTTCCCGTGCGGGGGATAACATAGGGTAAATTTAGTGGACCCTGGACTTCTTTCTTTGGGTTTAGACTAATTTGGTTCCACATTGACACAGACCACAGACCACAGACACAAACCATAGATCACTCCGCAATCGGTGCTAGAAAATAGAAAATATAACGCAAATGATAGCGTGCATTGTGTTATTATACTATTCTACTCAGGAATGAAACCAAGTACACTATTTGCAGGATTTTGCGACATACTGATTGGCTTCGTTTGAGCCGAATTTTACGTGCCTTTCAAATTTCTTTGAATTAGCTGATCTCTAGTCAGTACTGGGTACAAGAAGCAACGCGAATGAAGTCGGCAATATAGAGATAGCCGATGTCGATGCCTAACTCCGGGTGAAACAACATCCGGGATGCCCCGATGAAAGGATCAACTCGGATAACATTCAAATATAGATTATATCCCAAGTCACCTTGGAGGACTTGCCATATGATTACCTGATAAACACAGGGTAGGCATTCCTAATACCTAGTAGGTAGGTTCAGCTAGACATCATTTTCATTTCCAAGCTCAGCTGAATTAAATATCCTCATCCTCCCCATAGATGAACAGCGGAATCAACTACAGCCCAACAAATCCACGGTACGGTACAGACATCCACCCAAACCTAGTTAGTCATGGACAACCCGGCATATCATTAAAGTTATAGTGGAGAAACCATCAAACCTTGCAGACATTCAGGACCCATCGACCCAGAACTAAGGGCAGCAAATGCCGAGCCAAGCTCGAGCAGGAGGGAAGAAAGAAGTGGGAGAATGGAATAAGAAAGGATAAAAGAAAACGGTCAGTTTTGTCGGTTGCATCACATCGTCAGGGAATCACACAAAACGCCGCCCATATTGGGTTGTTCCCCCATCGAAACATGGAATCAGAGCAGGAAAAGAAGCGCGGACAGAAATATCAATATCAGAATCCCACCCAAAGGCCAACAAACAAGGGCTATATAGACAGACATGAGCAAAGCGGGGCAGGCTCAGGGAGCCCAAGCGAAGGGTCTCCATCCTCTCAAAAGCCAGAATAAGTCTATTCGCCGAGCAAAAGCAAAATCCACGAACCCATCCCTAAAAGCTAGACCAAAACAAGGGGTAATCGAAAGCACAAAACCGCCCTAGAAGACTCCCGGCTCCAGATATCCTTGAAACGTTGGATATGACCGGAGCAATACAAATGAATAATGGGAAAGAAGAAACGACAGAAAAGAAGAAAATTCCTCTGGAAACAAGGTCATAAAAAAAGGCCCAAAACAATCCGTCAGGATATCGGAGTACATTAGATTTGGGGTTGGGCTGGAGCGGTGGTTGTCCAGGCCGCATAGTGGGTGTGGTTAACAGGAGCTCCCGCACCGACGTAGTATTGCGAACGATCGGGGGTGTAGTAGGGATGAACGGGATTAGATTCGCGACGTGGTACATTTGGATCGAGAGGGCCGATGCCGCGAGAATCAAGATGAGAGTTATCCATGTGGTTGGGGAGGCCAAAGCTGCCTCGTGAATACGTGGCTGGCGTCGAGGGGTCCATGGGGGAGGTGGCGTCGGTTGCGACGCTTCGAGAGGAGATTGAGGAGTTGCGGTAGGCCGAAGGGCTATGATCGGATGTTGATCGATTGCGCTCGCTGAGAGAGCTAGACATGCTAGCATTCATTCCTCCAGGGATGGACGAGGACAGGCTGTGGCTCATGGAATCCATGCTTCCCCCGTATGGACCGGCACGGAATGCATGGTAGTCGTCTTGCTTCGGGGCCATTGCGGCTGCCACGGCGGGTGAAGGGAGATATGGGTTTGGGGCTGGTTGGCCGGGCATGGAGCCGCCCATGGAGTATCCAGCTATGGGGCCCGGCTGCGGGGCGTGGGTAGCGGCATAATGGTTGGGGTGCATGTAGAAATCGGCCGAAGGATTCGGCATTCCATAGGTCGGCGGAGCCATCATCTGTGGGCGGTATCCGTAGAGGGCGGCGTGTGAAGGGTCATGGGCTGCACTCTCCATCGCGTTCGACTCCAGGTCGTCGATGGGGGCACGGAAGCTCTGTTTCTGGGTAAGGTCGATGCGCGGACGAATGTAGCGCAGAGACTCGACCATGGATGGTGGATTCAAGGCCCCGCGCATCACATCATCGACGCTGTAGTAGGACACCAGGTGGTGGGTAATGCCCATGACGGTCACACTCATGGTCTTCTTGACCAAGCCCGAGTCCTTGAAGCCATATGAATCGACCAGCGATCCCACCAACGCGCGCTCCACCTCCGACTGATGTGGACGATCTCCAAATGCCGCAGGGGGGGATGTCGGGGAATAACTTTGACCGTTGCTGTCGTGTCGTGGATAAGGCTCTCCAGGTCGGGTGGGCGGCACCGGCCGTCGATTGGCCTTCTTCATGGCGCGCTTCTTCTCACCGGGCGGGAATGGTTTATCGAGCTCGCGATAGACCAAGAAATTACCCAAGATTCGACTGGGACTCCAGGTGACTCCGTCAGTCCATCGTTTGATCCCTGATGAGTTCTCCTCGTAAATGAAGACACTCCCACTGCGAACCAGATGACTCCGCTCTCGATCATGTGGTCGACGAGGAACATGATGCAAGACACCTGTCAAGCATGCTTCGAAGAGAATCAGCGCATCTTGTGTGGTCGCCACATACCCTGTAAATGTGGGCTCTAACACCGCCGCAGTCCCGTTCACCATGATGGGGAAGGCGGTGATGTGGGTTGAGAGGGGGTGGTGGGATAAATAGGGGGGGTTAAGTGATGTTAAGGAGGAACAAAATAAGAAAAAAAATTAAGCTAAAGGAGATCGACCAGGGTATGGAGAAGTGGGAGAGCGGAGTGGTTTTGAGTTGGAAGGTTAGTTAACCCCTCCTCTCTGACTCTCTCGGGATCGACCAAAGGAAAATGCACGGACCCAAGAGTCGTAAGAGTGTTGCACCGATCTGGATATGGGGATCTGCTTTACACGGTTCCACGGATCCTGCGGTAATTCCCAGGTTTCTATGATCCCTTAACACTGATAGGAAAGAACCAGTGATGTAGGAATGGAAAGAACCGAAAGTCAAGGAAATCGAATAAAAAAGAGAAGAAAAAAGAAAAAAACAAAGAAAAAAAGGGCCAAAAAAACTACATTATAGCAAAGGGGGAAATCAGGGGGCCAAGGACTGCAGAAAGGATCGACGGTATGGTAATTAGTTACAAGGTATCGGAGGGTTCAATTTGCGGGGCAAAGTGCCCAGCTTCATATCTGACAGAACTTTGCATATATGGTTAATGGTTAAGGGAAAGGGCGGAGAAATACGGAGCAACGGAATGATTTCATCACGGAAGGAAAAGATAGTAGAAAGATTAGAAAATTAGACCAAGCAGGTACCGAGTTTATTCTTTAATTCCGTCATTTTACTCAAGTCTTTTCGGTGATCAAAAATGCAATCATCATCGAGTAGCCATGGACGATCCTTTGTGGAGACCTCATCTGACTCAGCCAACCACCTTCTTATTCAAGACTGGCTTATAGTAGAGTAGATGTAGATATAGCATACCTTATATCAGAGTAAGATATTAGCTTCTATATAAATAACAATTAACATTAACGTTAAAGAGAATGTTTAAAGTGATATGATAAACTTCTTGTACCGATAATTTGCAACTCTTTAGGATTGGTCAGCCAACTTCCATGGTTCGAGTCTTCTCCCAAGGAATTTCGGTGTCAGCAGGGGTCCGATCGAGACTCTTTTCAACAATTGAACCATCCAATCATCTTCCATCAAACACGAATTTGAAAAATAAAAATATAAATAATAATAAAAAAGAACACGAAAAAGAAAAAAGACCAAAAACCAAAAAAACCAGAGGGAAATCCTAAAGTGGGGAGCGCCCGAGTGGAAAACTGGCCAGTGCTGAACTATTGAAATGGAACTTCCATGGGGGATGTGATCACCCAACGGCACGTCCGTAAGATCGGGGAATGACCTAAATTGGTTCACCTCCTATCCCCTGCTCACAGTACTTACTGTGCTCACTGTGCAAATACGGAAACTATCACGTCCTAAAAGGAACACGACTACTCCGTAAAAAGACACCCAAAAAATAGTATGTCGTCAGCGAATCCTGAAAAGGGTTAAGTGATTCCCACTTTCAAGAGGACTGAGCGTCAATGGTCTAGCCTCCAAGTCCCCGGCTCATCTCCGTTCGCCCCCCAGGCGTTTTCCAATCAGCGCTACCGGATGTGCAGAACCACCACGCGTCGCAAGGTTTGAACAAATTGTTTTTCGGTAACTTTAGAAACCTTAGCACCTTTCTGAGGGGCAAGAGGGTCCCGTACCTGACTGGGGCTCATTGGATGTTGGAAACTCTCGCGGGAGATCCTCAGCAGATCCAGTCCCTACTAGACCAGTGTGATTGTACGGAGTACTCCGTACTGAGGTCTGATACTCAGTACTCCCTACTCACAGTACTCCGTACAGGAATTCTCACAGTACAGCGATCGACATCCCCACTGGAACCTTCTTTTTGGGTTTCATTTTGCGATTCTATTCTTTGCTTCTTCCGCACATGGTCGTTTCAGCTTTATCGGTAAAGATCCCAGAGGTTTGGGTGAACAGCGATCTAATTTGGCGCACGCTTGTGAAACTCAATTGGCGCCCATGACATCTGTCATATCATTCTTCGAGAAAGAGGCGCGAAGTTATTCTGTATAGACTGGTCCTCGGTCCTCCGTCCTCCGAAATACTAATCATCGTATGGTAATTTTCCCCCTGTACCACACTTAGCTCCGAGTAATTAGGTAGATTGACCCGACCCAGATTTGATTTCATGGGTCCGGCGATCAAATGACTTATTCTACTCCGTAGTTAAAATAACTAGAGATTACTATACACACTCTAAGAGGACGGAGTACACGACAAATCTCCGGTTACACCTATCTCACGTCCCCACTATGCTCAAATTATTGGAAGTGGAATGGGAATTATCGAATTATCTCAAGAGTATGGATGGAATTATCCACTTGCTTCTCTTTTCCGCTAAAAAATCCACAGCCACGGACGGCGTACCCGTACCAGATACTCGGGCCAGGCATCCGTGCCACATGAGACAATTATCCCCACTAGTACATACACGGAGTACAAAGTACACATCAAATCATTTTTAATCATTTTAGCCATTTTAATCCTTTTAAATCATTTTAAACATTTTAGTATTCCATCCTTAATTCCTGGTTAACCTACTTCCTTGGACTGAACCAGAAAAGATGGCTTGGATGTGGGTTGGCTTATCTACAGTATTTTCGGTCGATCTTCGTATTTACGCCACTAGACCCAAAGCCAAGGTCAAAGCCATCACCCGAGGTTATTGAGAACAGACCGGAACAACACGCAACCCAACCAAAACTTCAGATGCACGTCCCTCCGAGCTCACAAAATAAATCAAAAAAAAAATGTCCTGAAATCCGTTCTGTAATCCGTAGATTTTACTTGGTGGCGCTTCCCAGTTTAAGTCTAGCGCCTAAGAAATCGCGCAAGGCCACAGGGTCTAGGATGATCATCCTTTGATTTTCGGTGGATGATCCGGTTTCTGAACCGGTATAAAGTATTTACGTAGTTGAATTGAAATTGAAATATCGTAAGACATGTGAAGATACTGGTAAACACTTGAGGTGACCATGACATTGTTTCCCCTCATGCTCTCTTCTCTCTTTACTTCTCCTCTCCTACTCTCCTCGGATGACATTTCTATAGGTCAGTGAGATCGGGGTCTGAGGACACGGATCAACACGATCGTCTATTTATTCCATTCTCGGCGGACCCAGTTGGGAATTATGGAGTCGCTATGTCACTGACTTGGTGGATCCCGACCAGAACTGGGGAAGGTTAACGATTGACGATCGATAAATGACTTTGGATCTTCTTTACGTACAAAGATTTAGTAGAACTTAAACCTGAACTATCAATTTGACTTTGTAGATGTTCTTCAATATAGCTTCACGTTCTCAAGCAAAACATACCTAAACAACTCAAGAACCTGGAAACTTCATTTTTCCTCAAGCCGAGCCCACGACCATGTGGCCGTTTAACCGTGTGCGAAGCGACGTCCCATCCTGCGCACGGTGTTGCATACGCAAGGATGTTCCCTCCGAGACATGGCGTGTTCCTTCGGACTTCCCTCCTAGCCTACATCCGTTCTGAAGTACAGTTCGTTATCAGTATTATATCTAAATATACAAGAGTAGAGGATATTGTGTCCGAATGTTCAGCCAACTGGTACCTCTCCCAATCCTCGGGCCTACATGCACACTAAAGTACCGGTGGTGCATTGTAATAGGTATATCACACCAAGCCCTGCATCTCGCATCCTTCAGTCTTGTATATCCTAATGTCTTTTCCTCCGAACATTGGAACTCAACCCTTGGCTCCGCATGGGCGGCTATCTTGCGTCTGCGGGCGAAGTGGCGGCTTGTGATTGAGCCGTCACGCCGGTCGGATCACCTGCTGAACCGCCGCTGTGGACTGGTCACTTGCTTCGTTTGGATTGTCGGGTCGAGTATGCGGATCCGGGGTCTTTGGAACGGAGGATAGCGATCCCTGTAATCCTTGTTTTTGGCTACTCCACTTGGTTTCCTGTTGTTGCAGGGAAATTGATGCCACATCCAAATACATGATCTGTCATTTTTGCTTGACATCTCACCCCCGCAGACGACCGCTATGATGACCCAATACAGGCCCGTCAAATACAGTGTCATATGTGAGTAGAGGTGGGAACTGCAAGTGATCAAGCCACAAAGCATAAACCTCCCAGAAGAGAATGGAAGTGTGATCTACTAATCATGTCCGTGCTAACTTCTATCCCTCCTGGTCCCCCTTGCGTTCGTTTCCACTCCGCCGGTATTGGTTCGCACGGTTGGGCTCGTTTCGCGTGCTTTGGTTCTGGGGAAGCGTGGAATGTGAGGTGCATGGGGCTTGCGTTTTGCCTTTCCAAACGGTCCCCCGCTTAATATTTGTTTTTCCAAGGGGGATTTTCTGAAATGTCGGGTTAAGCTTTGGGTCTGTCGATTGGACTTTGGTAATTCCTATAAGTACGTGTTTTTGAGCCTATTCTCAATCCATACATTCCAAATGTTATATGCATCTCAAATGTTCTATGCATCGTTACTTAGTTTGGTATTGTGGGTATAGAACTGCCAGTACTTTTCCCCTTCAAATATTAAGGCTAAGGCTCCAAAATTTGGTGTCAGACTGTACAGACGAAAGAAACAGCCGGTACATTAGTACGTACATTACTACACACGTAGATTTAGGCAACAACCAATCGATGTAGCAGTATTTTGTACATAGCATAGGTAGCCCTAGTTATGTACATTCCGGCAACCTTGGAAGGTCTAGAAAAGTGAGTGTTGATTCGAATGAGACTTTGGAAGATGTCATATATTCTTGTTATACAGTGTAATTTACCCTCTATGCACCGCAATGCTAGTTAGAAGAGCAAATAGATTACATAATTGGAAGAAATGTCCAGACCGATCCCTATTGTACATGGATTCCCAGGCGCCGTGTTGCTTCGCTAATGCCAGCAGATGCTATATATCAAAACATGTAAGAAATGCCCAGATGGCCCGTAGGCTGTTCAGGGCGACGACTGCAGCACTTCGGCCACAGCAGGATCCTCTTCAGCCTCCTTGGTAAAACCAGTGCCCTTCCGGACGTGCATCAGCAGACGCAGTGCACCGGCAGGGGTGACACCTTCGATACGCCTTGCCATGCCAACACTGACAGGCCGCACACGTTCAAGTGCCTGTTTCTCCTCGTTGCTGATCCCGTGGATGATGCTGTAATCGAGGTCCGCTGGCAATAGAAGATTCTCATCTTGCTGGAATCGCTGGGCCATCTTCTCTTGTCGCTTGAGGTACGGGGCATATCGGCCTTCAATGGCGACGCGGGCCCGGATGACCGGATCGAATGACTCGGGGGCATAGGCGACTCCAGGTGCAGCCTCAATGTGTGGGATCAAGGTGTTGATGTCGATATCATCGAGACACAGGATCTCAAGGGCCGAGCGGATCGAGGTGTCGGCGCGGACCTTGAAGCCTTTTCGAGACCAAGCGGTTGATGAGAGCTTGGTCTTGGAAAGTAAGGCCTGGAGCTCTGCGATCTGTGTTTCCGTCTCTGTGAAGTGCTGCCAGCGCTTGTCCGAAACGACGCCAGCCTCGCGAGCCATGCGGGTCAGGCGAAGATCGGCATTGTCAGCGCGAGTAGAGATGCGGTATTCGCTTCGAGTGGTAAACATGCGGTATGGCTCAGACACACCCTTAGTGATGAGATCGTCGATCATGATACCGATGAATCCGTCTGACCGAGTCAGAGTAAGAGGCTTTCGATCCTGGGATTCCAAACCGGCGTTCATGCCTGCAATGATACCCTGTCCTGTTGCCTCTTCATATCCGGTTGTGCCGTTGATTTGACCCGCCAGGTAGAGACCGCTAATCAGTTTGGTTTCCAACGTGGGTCGGAGATTGCGAGGATCGATGTAGTCGTATTCTACACCATAGCCGGGCTGCAGCATGGTCACATTCTCAAGACCCTGTACGGTACGCAGCATAGCATACTGCGCATCCGCTGGAATGGTCATGGAAATCCCGTTCGGATAAATCACGTCGTTGGGGGCGAATCCTTCGGGCTCAAGCCAAATTTGATGCCGTGTCTTGTCCTTGAAACGCATGATCTTTGATTCTAACGATGGACAGTAACGGGGTCCTCGAACAGTCTCTCTAATATGAATAGATTTGTCCAGGTTCGCGCGGACAATCTCATGAGAATTTTCATTGGTATGGGTCATCCAACAGGTGAGTTGTCCTTCGTCACCGACCTCAACCGTTTTGTTCAGGTATGAGAATGGCACCGGAGGCGAGTCTCCACGCTGAACCTCGAGCGCTGAGAAATCAATGCTCTTCATGTCTAACCGGGGCGGCGTGCCAGTCTTCAGTCGTCCCAAAGAGAAACCCGCATCACGGAGAGACTTGCTCAGCCCATAAGTCGGGGCCTCCCCCATCCGGCCGGATGGGAAAGACTCCAATCCAATGTGGATCTCACCACCCAAGAAAGTTCCAGTGGTAATGACCACACGGCCAGTAGGAATGACCTCGCCAGATTCCAGTCGAACACCCACAATCTTGCCCTGTGCACCCGGAGTATTTTCCACTCCTTCTTTGGATATCACAATGTCCGCCACCTTGCCCTCCACAATGCTCAAGTTCTGGGTGTTGACCAATTCCTCCGTCATATGCTTCCTATACAGATCACGGTCGATCTGCGCACGCGGCCCCCACACCGCGGGACCCTTGGAGCGATTCAGCATCCGAAACATGATACCCGCCTTATCGATGATTCGGCCTGCGACACCATCCATCGCATCTACCTCTCGGATCATTGTGCCCTTTCCTATTCCACCGAAGCTGGGGTTGCACGAACACACACCAATGTTCGATAACGAGGGGGTCACAAGCGCTGTGCGCGCTCCAGAACGAGCAGCAGCAGCACATGCCTCCGAGCCAGCATGGCCACCACCGATTACGACGACATCGTAGGGTCTACTTCATAGGATGTATTAGCGATGCGTCAACACAGTCAGGAGAGAGATCGTACCGGGAGCCTTCGGCCACAGTTGCCAGCCCACGGATTCTGCAAACAGGCAAGCGAATCCCGATGCGCGGGCGTAACAGAGTCCCAGGCCGAGCTCGAAACGCCATGTCGAGATTGTAATGCAAACAGGCAAACTTGAAGGTTTGGTTCGTTTGTTATCGCGATAAGACAAAAAAGTTGACGATATCACGTGAAACGATAAGCAGCTCACGTAATCGCCTTGCGCCATCGGCCAATTGCGGGGCTGTAGATATTCAGCGACCCCAATCTCACTCTTCTACTTCGTTTGATCTCAGTTCTTCTCATACTCATTCAATAAATACATCAATATGAAGGCATACTGGTACGATAACAAGCCGGTAAGTTGACCAGTTCCAATCTAGCGTCAAAATAACCCGAACCCTTCAAATATATCACGCAAATGGTTCACCGAGCTTTACTAAATAACATCTTACGCGAAACATAGGGTGACCAGCGCGAGCCCCACGATTCCGGCCGTGCTGTCTCTGAGGATATCCTTGCCAAACTGGGAGTCATTTACAGACACTGCCCCACGATTGAGCACGTTGATGCCATTGCGGCCGATCGTGGCTACAAGAACCGTGACCAGATTTGCGTCTCGCCGCAGACTATGGGCGATGTTTACGAGGAGAAGGTCAAGTCTTTCTTCTCGGAGCATCTGCACGAGGATGAAGAGATTCGCTACATTCTTGACGGCGAGGGATACTTTGATGTCCGCGGTCAGGAAGATGAGTGGATCCGGATCGACTTGGTCAAGGACGATATGATTATTCTACCTGCTGGTATCTATCATCGTTTCACGACCAACGAACAGAACGTACGTCATTCGGTTTTTTTCCGGGCATTCAGTCTTTGTACATCTTTTCTAACTTGTTCTATAGTATGTCAAGGCTATGCGTCTGTTCCAGGAAGAACCTAAATGGACACCGCTTAACCGTGGCGCTGAGGTTGATGTGAACCCTTACCGCAAGACATACACAGGCACTTTCCTGCAGCCGACTGCCGCCGCAAACTAATATGGTCGACCGGTGCTTGATGCTTAATGACTGAATTGACATAATGGAAAAGCATGGATATATAGTTCATTCAATACATATATCCACCTTGGTTTCGGGTGTTTTTACACTTATCTTGGACTTTCTTGGATGCAACTTTGGCTCTTTTTCTTTCATTCTAGAGGACTGCCTCGCTACTATACAGAATTGGACCCAGCCGCAGAGTAGTAAAACACAGTATAGCAATGGAAACAAGGAACGAACTATGAGTCTCTGGGCGTGGATACCCCAGTCGGCATACCACCAGGCATAGAGAACTGATCACTTGCACCGCCAGTACTATCCTGCCGGGTCATACTCGGGCTCCGTAAACTCCCCATATCCACATTGAAACTGCTGCTGCGCGAACCTGCCCCGAGTCCTAAACGAGGATCCAAAGGCAAAGGCCCACGGAACCGCAGTCCTTCTGGCTCTCTGCCATCGGCGAACGGATATGGTCCCGATCCAACCTCGGTAGAGCCAGCACTCCGCGGGGGGGCGGTAGACCCGGCATCGGAGTCTTCACCAGTTCTTACACCAGTCCTGCCCATACGGGGCCATAGATCTGGGAGTCCAACGACTTGCACACGGGGCTCAACAACACGTTCTTCAAACCAAGCATGAACTCGGGCTTCGACCAATTGAGCAATTTTCGGCACATCCTGGAGACGGCTCCGCGAACCGATTAAGGAGCGCACCGAAAGATCGAGACGGTAATCTGGAAGGAATGAGAACGCGACATTGCTCTTAGGACTGCTTTTAGGTGGATTCTGATCCTTGGAAGAGGCCCCCTGGGGAGATCCAGGGGCATTGGGATCGGTCGTGGGTGGTTCGGGTGTTTTGGCAGGCGTATCGAGTGGATCCTCTGTCGATGCCGGAATCAAGGAAATGCATAGCGTCCCTGAAAAACGTACAACTGAGACCGATAGCGCAACCGGTAGAATGGCGGAGCGAGGCTTGGGATAATTGAGTACCATGGAGGTTTCTACGGCAATTGAGAGGTTGTCGTCGCTGAGGTCAACATCCAACAAAGCTTGTAGCCTGCCACCGTCGGAATTAGGATCGTCCACGGCGATGATACGACAATTGCTGAAGATGGGGAATTCCTCCCCTAATGAGATATCCGTGACTGTAATTTTGTCAATGAAGGATGGCTTCTTCTCGGGGTTGTTCATAGAGGCGTTCAGGGAGCTCAGGATTGAGGATGTGGGCGAGTCCTTCAGCACATAGGCAGTTTGCCTGTACTGCGCAATGGTTTGTGCAATCAAGACATTGAACCAATCCAGCGACTCCGGTTGGTGGGACGAGTGGTGCATTCGATGCCGGCCATGTTTGGATGGGTTGGTAGGAATGGCGCTGTAGTAGGTCTTTCGAAGAATAGAGCGGGTATTGGTGGAGGAAGCAGGTACTGGGCGAAGTACATTCGAATTTGAGGGTTTTTCTCGAAGCGTCTTCTGATCTTGTGGCGGGTTGTAGACCGAGCTGTACCGGCGGTGGGATGTGCGGTTGGATAAGCCACGCGAAGGAGGTGGCGGAGCTTCACCAAAGATGAAGAACTTGATAAACGCGCCAATAAGTAATACAACAGAAAGCTGTCCTAGGAGGAAGCCCTGCGTGAAGGACAAGCTTTGGATCGAGGGGTTAGCGATCTAGATCTCATTTCATGACGAAGTGGACATACGATGATTGTGGCGCCACTAGCGCAGGGTCTATAAGATTGTCAGCATTAAGCATTCCATGGAGTTTATTCATACGAACCTTGTTGGAGCACCATCATCAGCGGTGGACAATGCCTGTTTGTTGTGCACCCATCCCCACTGTGAGTTGGAGGTTCGCAAGTCTCGAGTGGATCTTTTTCTTGGCCCGAACCGCTTATCGCTTATCCCTTATCGCCTTTGGGACCCCCCCACCGAGGTACAGAACAGCTATTGGTATTACAGCTTTGGATCTTGGTAGAGAATGGTCGTAGAAAGCTCATATTTTATACATTTGTGATGAAGCCAAGCCTGTAGATAGTCAAAAAATTTGAATGAGAATGGTCTTGGTTATGGTGGAGAAATTCAAGTAAAGAATTCGGCGAAGGCGGCGGCTAAACAAGGAACTTGCCAACCTGGCAGAACTTCTGATATCATTCAGCCTACAGTCACATTGATATAAGTTTCGCTTCACTCTGCTACACAAATCAACAATCTTCAACAACCTACAATAATCAAGCCCTCGCACGCCACCACACTGGCTGAAATAAAACATGCGTGGGCTAACGGTCATCACCGCGCTGCTGCTCACCTCCCCAGCACTATGCGCGAGATCCAACCCACCAGGCAAAGATGCCATTTTACTCTCGAATGTCAACACTCTGACACTACGTGCAAACAGCTTGACAAAATCTCGTCGAGTTTCGCCCATCCAGCAGCTTACCTGTGTCGGTCCATCCAAAAAGATATGTGGCCTCTACCAGCCAGAAGTCATGCGCTGTACCAATCAAGGTTATGGCTACAACGAAGAGGATATAGAGTGGACATGTGAAGCTTCTCTTCCGTCTGAATTCAAGCTTGGTGCTACAGATGTTGTGTGTGAGGGGTATCGAAGCGCAGATGACAAGTGGGTTCTTAAGGGGAGTTGTGGTGTTGAATATCGAATGCTATTGACAGAGCATGGCGAGGACCGGTTTGGAAGATCTGCGAACAAGAATATGGATGATTCTGAGCCATGGGCGTGGTGGGCGAGTCTCTTGTTTTTCATGTTCATGTTTGGTACTTTTGCGGTGATCATTTGGCAATTGTGTTGGGGGGCCGCTTCACCTCGGAGAGATGCTCGGAGGGCAAGACGGGGGTTCTGGGGTGGAGGTGGAGGTGGAGGTGGAGGTCCTGGTGGTGGGGGAGGCGGTGGCTATGATCCTTACTCGGGACAACCTCCTGCCTACGGTAGCTGGGATACTTCTGCGCCTGGATGCTCTTCTCAAGGTTGGACTCCTGGGTTCTGGACTGGTGCCCTAGGAGGCGGCGCTGCTGGGTATGCGATGGGACGTCGTAGATCGTCCCAGTCTCAGCGAGGGCATACGCGGTATAATTCAGGCGAAGGCAGTTCGGGAGGTCGCTCACCACCACGATTCTCCAGCACATCTAGTAGTACTGGGTTTGGATCGACGAAACGGAGATAGGAGTCGCCTCCAGATATATGTCTGGTACAACCAGACAAATACGAATTGTGTATCTACAATAGCTTATTCAGGGGAGGCAGGTGATCTACCTCGATGTAGCAACTCAAAAAATCATAGCATTCTTCTCTATGATGCAGCTGTCCATGGCTGTGAAACTCCGACCATACCCACCTGTGTATCATTCGCTGAACGCAAAAACGCCGATAAAGTAATTTCCAGTGGTATTCAATCAATCGAATCCGTAAAACTCCTGTTGGAAAAAAGCAATCCTATCCATCGATAGATCCCAGCACCTCCTCTGTTCCACCACCGGCGTTCTTGATCTGCTTTTTGTTGTTGCGTCCTTTACCCTTAGTGGGCGCAGAGTTGGCTTTCGCATCAGCAGCGTCCCCATCGGCACCAGCGGTAGGATTTCGAATCATGTCTTCCTGAAGCTTTTTTTCCTTTTCATGCTGTTCCTCAATCTTTGCCTTCTCTTCGTCCAGTTCTTTCTGGATGAGCTTGGGATCATCGTATGTTTTGTTGGTCATCAGTGAGTATTCTTGGATATCAATGGCCTCACTGGGGCCAAGCAATGTGTCTTTGATCCGTTGAGGATCCTTGCGCTCTTCGTTATTGAACTTGAGCTTAATTTGCCGACGGCTTCGCCCAGGGAACAGCTTGCTGATGACCATAAAGTCTGTTCCGAACATGCGTAGACCACGGTAGAACAAATCGGTCATCTCCTCATCCCAGGTTTCCGTTTTGGACCGTTTGCCATATGTGGCCTGGTTGATCTTCCTGGTGAGTTGGTTTTCCTCCACGACGTCCATGTCACCGGCGTCTCGAGCTGCATCCGCATGGCGATCCACCTGAAGCGAGGCCGCATCAAGCACAATCTCACCATTGACGATTCGCATCACGGGACCATTTGCTCTTTCACTGGCCCCGGGTGGATCGGCTTTTTCTTTGCTAGCCTCGCCTGCTTTAGAGGCCCCGGGCGTTCCAGGCGTTCCAGGCGTCCCATCCTTTGCCTTCAACTTCCGCTCATGCTCCTCTAGTTCAATTCGACGCAGTGCAATCTCACGATTCGACTTTTTGCCAGTCTTCAAATCCTTGCAGAGTTCTGACATCTTGATAACATTCGGTAGGATTTCTACCGTGTCTGCACCTTCGGGTGTAACTTCACGTTTTCGTCGACGAATCTTCTTCGGTTTCTCGGATCCATCAACATCCGAAGTTCCTGCTTTGGATGCTTTCCGTTTTCCTTTCGCGGACGCTTGACTCGGATCTGGAGTTGAAAGTGCCAAGGAGGGCGCCACGGAAGTCACGGGTGTTTCACTGGTACGCTGAGTAGTTGGGGGAGTTACGATAGGTCCCCTAGGGCGTGGCTGGGCCCTAGACTTGGTGATTTCCGAGGTTTTCCTTGCTCCTTTCAATGAGATGCGACGTTGTTCTTGGGGTTCAGCCCCCGAGTCTTGGGTAGAGGGTCCCACGGTCTCGGAATCAGTAGAGCGTGCGGCTTCCAATGCGACTCGGCTGGCAACAGCATGCTCAACATCATTCTCAATTGACTGCACAATAATGTGTTCGGAAGTGAGAGTGCGGGGAGATGTCGATCCGTCTGCTGTAGAGGGCGGGGTTGGTGCAGCGAATGCAGGTGTTAAATCAGGAGTTTGTACAGGAGTTGTAATGGGGGTTGCGACCTGGGGGGCTTTGTTCTTTGGACGTGGGATTGAGATAGATGTGGCTGGTTTCGGTACGCTTTGCACTGTCTCTGCAGGCTGGGACGCGGTAAAGGGTGTTTCGACGGTTGCTTGCTCTGGTGCGGCCGGGGAGACGGAAGGTGGGGGAACCGGTGTTACCGCGGAGGTCGCATTTGATTTTTCCTTGTCTTGTGCAGCTGCCTGGGAAGCCTGGGCAGCCTGTGCCTGTGCCTGTTGAATTGCACTGGGCCGTCGCGCAGGCGCGGCAGGTGCGCGACGAACAGGCGCCTTCGGCGCAAATTTCTTGCCCGACTTATCTGAAACAAAAGGCTGTTAGTAAGATGACCTAGTAGACTTGAAGAGCATAATAGGGACACGTACTGATCGCAGAGCTCGAGAACGACTTCATTTTATCCCATAACTAAGGTTATCGGGTGGGGTTCAGAGATAGAAAAAGTTCAAGACCCATATCATATATGCGGGTAATATCACGTGAGGGGGTGAGACTTACGTAATTCAAACCCTTGTATTTTCAAACTTGGATACAACTTGAATGAATACGGAAGTGAAAGCAGGTGATCAGATGTGAAGATAAGTTAAACCAGCAAATTTAGGTTATTTGAAATAACAAAAACAAGGTTATACCATGTTTTATGAACTCATAGCAAATGACCATAGACCAAACTACATTTCAGTAACTAGTATAGAGATGTAATATACAAATCAAATGGAAGGACCACACAGTATGTTTGTATAAGAAAGGTAATTATTAGCTCCACAGTTGAAGATCTCATATTAACTGCAAATTACACATATAGATCAGCTGGGTAAGCTATTCTGTAGTAATAACTACCGAGTCATTGATCTACTAGGAATATCGGCACGTGCGTTAATTTCAATATTCTTTACATAAACAGATAGAATAGATTAAACATACCAGTATATAAGTATAATAGTTAAAAGAGTAGGCAGGAAAAGGAGCCCGGAATGACCGGTAGTTTTTTCCTCAGGTATGAACCATACAGCTTCCCGCGGGTATATCCATGGCGTGATGTGGATTGAACATAATCAATTAATAGGAAAAGATCGGGGAAAGATCAAAATTCTTCTGTAAAATAATATCCTCCGAGATGTTTATTAAAACAGGTAAATAGCAAAGATATAAAGTTAAGTCACCTGATTATCAAAGCCACATGAGACTCATTCCTTGTCATGTAATTTTACGGGGAAATCTCTGTCTACAGAAACAGAAACTTCCATTTTCCCCTCAAATCCAACAAAACTCAACATTTGAACCTCACTCTTAATAAAATCTGATTATTTGTTGGATTTCTCTGGTCTCTCTCCTAATTTTCCATTGTTTTTTAGGTTCTCTTTATTCTATCAAATCCCTCCAAAAGCCCTAGATCGTCATTGTTCCCCACTCGGCAGGCGACTTATCGCGGGACCCAGAAACGCGCTGAAAGGCCTTGCTTCCTCTTTCACCTGACTTCCTTTCTCCTCCACCCCCATTCATCTGGAGCTTCCCTCCAATTCCTGTCCACCTCTCCCCACTTACATATTTCAATCCGTGCCATTATGGGTCAGACCTTGTCGGAACCCGTGGTCGAAAAGGTAAGTTGGTCGCAATTTTCCATTGCCTGCCCCTGCCCCTCCCCACACCAAATGGATCTTCCGGTTTTCTTCGCTCGAAGTCCATCACCGCCCCCATGCCCGCAACGTCCTGATGTACGGCCGAATATTTTATTCGGTGACTCAAATGACAGTCCGCCGGGATCTTCAGTGTCGAAGTCCCCAAGGCCAGAATTCCACTTTTTGAGGATCGGCCATGCGGGGTTCTGCTGACTCGGAGGGGCTGAGATCGTCTCGATCCATCATAGGCCATCCTACTTTTATATTGGCTTCTCACGAAACACTTTTGCTACCGCAGACAAGCTTAACAGCATAGCTAACCTATCACTGTTCGTTTTCTTTTTAGACATCGGCCGAGGGCGGAGATGACTGCTGCATCTACGGCGTGTCTGCCATGCAAGGCTGGCGAATCAGTATGGAGGACGCCCACGCTGCGATCCTCGATCTTCAAGCAAAGTACATCAACGAAGATGAGAAACCGACCCCTCCGGACCAGCGTCTAGCCTTCTTCGGTGTATATGATGGTCACGGTGGAGACAAAGTGGCGCTATTCACCGGGGAGAACCTCCACAAGATTGTGGCCAAGCAGGATGCTTTTGCCAAGGGAGATATTGAGCAGGCTTTGAAGGATGGCTTCCTGGCTACCGATCGCGCAATTCTGGAAGGTTCGTGGGACCCTTGACTCCCGCAGATTGGATTTAACTTTGTCTATTCTCCGCTGCTCTACCCTGGAAATGTGTTTCTAATCATTCTTTTCTCACAGACCCCAAATACGAAGAGGAAGTTTCCGGATGTACTGCTTCAACCAGCATTATCTCGAAGAATAAGATCTGGGTGGTACGTGACAGGAGAAGCTAAGGACTACGAAAAAGATCGGGAAATGGCTAACATCGGAAACAGGCCAACGCTGGTGACTCTCGTTCAGTCCTTGGTGTCAAGGGCCGCGCAAAGCCCCTATCATTTGATCACAAGCCCCAGAATGAAGGTCAGTGGTAATTCCATTCAGATTCATGCCCCTCTGCTCACACCCATATAGGCGAGAAAGCTCGCATTAGTGCTGCGGGTGGATTTGTCGACTTTGGCCGTGTCAATGGAAACCTAGCCCTGTCCCGTGCCATTGGTGATTTTGAATTCAAGAAGAGCCCCGAGTTGTCCCCCGAGCAGCAGATTGTCACCGCATACCCCGATGTGACCGTGCACGATCTCACTGAGGATGACGAGTTCCTCGTCATTGCTTGTGATGGTATGTCTTCCCCCGCCCCCCTTGGGACACCAATATTGATATAATTTCAGGTATCTGGGATTGCCAGTCCTCTCAAGCCGTGGTTGAATTTGTTCGGAGAGGTATTGCCGCCAAGCAGGACCTTTACCGGATCTGTGAGAACATGATGGACAACTGCCTGGCTTCCAACAGCGAGACCGGTGGAGTCGGATGCGACAACATGACCATGATTGTCATCGGATTGCTCCACGGCAAAACCAAGGAGGAATGGTACAACCGGATTGCAGAGCGGGTTGCGAACGGAGACGGTCCTTGCGCCCCGCCCGAGTACGGCAAGTCTCACGAGGAATCCGAAGGAAGCCCCTCTTCGTGCTGACGGTCAGAATTGCGCACAGCCGAATTCCGAGGCCCTGGAATCCGCAATCAGTTCGAGGATCAGCCCGATGACTATGACTTGGAGATGGAGCGTTCGCGGGCCTTTAGTGTTCGCTCGGCCGGAGGCCGGATCATTCTGCTTGGCGATGGCACCGAGGTCATCCCGGATCAGAATGAGGAGGAGCTGTTTGATCAGACAGAAGAGAATGATCTGGTCAACCAGGTGCACCCGACTGATTCCACCCGGAATGACCGTGAGGGTACCCCTGGTCCGCAAGGAAAACATGATTCCTCTCAAATATCCGAATCCCCCGCCTCTACCGACGATAAGTCGGCCGCCTAGGTTCTGGTTCTGTGAGAACCTGTGGCTGATCTATCTTCCTCATCTACTAAACATTCTGTCCTTGTTTGACTTTCCTTTTTTTATCGTCTTCCCTCCCGTTATTGTTTGTCTTATGACCGATTCTCTGCCCCCTTACGAACCGAACCATGCCCCTGCTTTTGTTCCCTTACCCCATTTCTCTTCATTTATTAGCCATCTTATTTGGGTGTTCCGAGTCCGTTAGGTGTGTTTGCCTTGAGGATTCTTGTCAAAGTGAGATGGAAAGAGAGACCGGGGTGCGGGTGTAGAGATGGGGTTGATCGATCATAGGTATGAGGGAGGCCCTTCGCCGGGAGCCATGGGCCTTCATGAACACGTCTTGTCCTTTTTTTATGCCTTCACACCACGAGATACCGCAGAAAATGCCTCGCTATTGACGAACCATTACACTTTATCCGCGCCGTTTTACTATACTTTATGCTTTCAAGACCTGCGTGGTCCCTAGACTGGATCATAGCTAGCTGGATCGGGGGGGGGGTTTGACATTCCAAATTTTCTGGAAGTGAATCAAAAAAAGGGAGTTTATACAGTATCCATTGTATGTCTAGATATCTAGAATATGCTTGGAGATGGTAGAGAATTTGACTGTTTATTAGCAATGGAGTCAAGGGGTGTGCGGTCCAATATCGTTACAAATGTCCCGAGCTTCCAGGGCTTCTATAGATGATTCTAAGGGAATAATACTAGATTCCCAGGAATATATACAGATGAAGGTTTCACAGGGTCTGCCAGTCATCACGAGTAATACGAGTAGTTTCTACTTTCCTCGTTGATAGTGTCGTCACCAACCAAGAAAGCACGCGGGAGCGGCAGCCCCCACTCTTGCCCCAAAAAAGAAAATTACCCCTAAAACCGGATCATCCCGCTTGGCTTTGGCTTCAGACAACTCTCTCTCTTTCCTTCCCTAAGAAGGTCATCTCTATCTCCAGCCATGTCGTCAGCAAGTCCCCCCGCCGGTAAACGCAAGCGCAGCGCCTCACACCTCCCCGTACCTCAACCCACAGAGCTTCAACCCTCTTCGCGCGACGCGTCCGGCGAAGGCGAGGACTCGACCGGTCCTACCAATGCGCCACCCAAAACCAAGACACAGGCCGACTCCACCACTCCCTCTCACAAACGGGCCCGCAAGAGCTCAGGCGCGTCTGTAACTAACGGTGCCACACACAAGGAGGATCCTGGGGAGCCCTCAGAAACCACCGTGGCATCCTCCGATATTGAGGATCCGCCGAGGAACCGGCCTGGCTTGCACATTGACTTGCCGACGGATCAGGAGGCTATGCCTCCGCCACAGCGTGGTGTATTGCAAGACCCGGTGGGTTACAAGACTAATCCGCCGCCGGTTGGACGGCCAGTTCGAGTCTACGCAGATGGAGTTTTTGATTTGTTCCACCTTGGGTATGTTTGATCTCAATTTGATTGCACCTCCCATTTTTATTGGACACAGAGACACATTGACAGATGCTAATTACGTGCAGTCATATGAGACAGCTTGAGCAGGCTAAGCACGCTTGCCCCGACACTTACCTCATTGTCGGTGTCACCGGTGATGAGGAGACGCACCTTCGGAAAGGCCTCACAGTGCTCAGTGGTGCTGAGCGAGCAGAGACCGTTCGACATTGCAAGTGGGTGGATGAAGTGATCCCCAATTGCCCATGGGTGGTGACCCCAGAGTTTTTGGCTGAACATCAGATTGACTATGTCGCTCACGATGACCTACCATACGAGGCTGCGGAAGGAGATGATATCTACGAACCCATCAAGGCCCAGGGCAAGTTCCTGGTCACTCAGAGAACGGAAGGAGTCAGCACCACCGGTCTCATTACTCGGTAGGGACACTTATCCCAGATTCATTTCCTTTTCCCTATACTGACAAGCGATCTCTGTTAGGATTGTCCGAGACTACGACCAATATATCTCCCGTCAATTCAAGCGCGGTGCCTCCCGTCAAGAACTCAATGTCTCGTGGTTGAAGAAGAACGAGCTTGAGATTAAGCGACACGTGGTGGAACTTCGGGACAACATCAAGAACAACTGGACCATGACCGGCCAAGAGCTGGGCCGGGAACTGCGCCAGATCTGGCAAAACAGCCGGCCCAGCAGCCCAGCACCCAGTACCCGCAACAGTATGGATTTCGGTACTGCGCGTGGTCCCCTGGCCAGCCCAACTGGGGGTGGCAAATCACATCTGTCTCGTGTGGAGGCGCTGAACCGTCCCGACAGCCCCATGGCTGGTGCCCGGAATGAGGACTTTGCAACTGGTTACAGCCTGGGACTGATTGGAGGTGTACGAGCATGGGTAAGTGATATTCTCATTTCCACATGAGTCATTACTAACTTGATCCAGATGATGCGTAGCCGCCTCTCCCTCCAGGAAACGCCCAGCCAAATGCATTCGCCCACAGATGAGGAACCCGGGTCTGAGCAGACTAACGGGTATGAAGATGAACATCGTGGGCGAGAAGGCAAAGGTGTCTCTGCTCAGTAGGGAATTGGAATCGATATATCTTGCATCCGCCACAATTGCATTCGGTCCGTTTGTCATACTTTGCTTAATCCCTAAATTGCTGGCGATCTCCTTTGTCGGGTGTTTGGCGTCTTGCTTTGTCCTTTAATACTCCGAAATTGAACCCATCTCGGTATGCCAGGTGGTTTGGCCCATTTTCCTTATGCATCTTCATTCTGCTTGTTTGAGTTATTCGCGCCACGGTATATGGTCAAAAGCTTTGGTTTGGCTGGTGGATGAAAAGGTTCTTGTATAGACAGCCCTTATCTCGGTTATATATGAATTATTACATGGATTTGATCAGGAGAAATCTTGAAATGTTAGAATTGTAGAACATGCGATTCTAGCTGTATCTATCAGAAACTCTTATGCAACTTGAACAAACAAAGGGGTATCAAGCAGTAATAGCCAACTGCCTTCTAGTTGGCTTCATCTCCAAAATCTCAAGGTCCTTCAACCCTAATCCAATCTCCTCCAATGACACACCGACCGGCGAACACATGATCAACCTCAAGTGATCCCTTAACATTCCGGCCTCCTTTACCAAATCCTCTTCAATCGCCCCCTTCGCCGCAATATCACACCGAGCCGTAACCGCCAATTCAAAGTCCTTCAACCCCCGAATCTTCCACAATGGCGACAACCACGACGCAGTAATTCCCAATGGAATCCCCTCCTGTCCCCCAGCAGCCACCACAACTCCGCCCCCAGAAACAAAACGACCCAGATCAAGACTCAACTTGAGTTCTGCCAGGTATGGAAGTTGGGTAGCTACTATACCCCAGAACTGGATCCAAAGAGCATCACTATGTGTATAAGCATAAAGTGAACCCTTGTGATCCCTCCCGGAAAGAGGTTGCCAAACCGGCATCCACTGAACAGTAAGTCGTCTAATGGAAGCGAGATGTCTTTTTCCGATCCCTTGCGCAAATGCAATGAATGTATGAAGATCATCTACATCGAATGTCGCATTGCGGTAGAGTAGCTCTGCAGACTCGGCGTAGATAGCTTGACAGCTACGTAGCAGTTCGGGATGGCTGGTACTTAGATTTTGAGGGAGGAGATCATGTGTATGTGGATATAAAAGTCTATCCGAGTGACCGGGGATACGGCCGTCGTAGATTCGCCATCGTGCTGGGGTTAATGGGCAACAGTGTCGGTGTTGGGTTAAGAATGGATTGTCTTGGGGGCAGATGACATGGCGGACTTTGTTTTTGATTGTTACGAGGTGAATTGTGTTGGAGCCGAAGACGTAGGTCCAGATCATTTGACGGATCTCTGGAGGGAGGTTTGTAATGAGTGGACTCAATGACTGGGGGTTCACCGGTTGTTTTCGGTTGATGTTGATGTTGGAGGTATTTTGGTTTGGAGAACAGATTTTTCGTTCTTGGATCAGGGTTTGAATAGTTTCTTGCCAAATGCATCGTTTATCGGATGGATAATAGTGCCAGATTGAATAAGGGTCTCGAACGACCCAAGTATCAAAGTGTCGCATTATGATAAGAATATAGAGTATAGAACATACATAAAGAGTGTAGATAAAGTGTAGATAAAGTGCAAGATGTAAATCCGGGGGAATTGAATCCACCTAAAACTGGGGCAAAAAGTGGACTCTTTATCTCCGTAGGAAGTCATATCGGTTTCAACCAAACTACATAGAACCAATCAATCATCTCGGGCAAATTCGGATTTTCGTTTTGGTTGTAACCTTATGACGTCGAGTGGAGAGATAATCGACAGATGCGGATGGAGCAGAGTACTCCGAGATATGCATGTCGTAATAGATGGAGATGCGCCATTTAAACTCCTAAACTCAATCAATCCGTATCACCTCTGAGGTAATCAAGCCTCCTCGTCAATGTCCTTGAACTGCGGCTGTTCAACAGGTTTCGGCTCGGATCGTCCTTCTTGCACAACAGCCACATAAATCGCACACGCAAGGATAAGCACCGACCCCGCTGCACTAACAAGGGACAAAGTTGTCCCCCAAACCATCTTGTCATAGAAAAGTGCAAACACAACTTGTGTATACACCATACTTGTCGCCCGTGATCCCTGTCCTTTACCAACAGATACCTCCGCCGGCGGTACATATGACAGCCCCGCCGTCAAAAGGAACTGCAATAGGAACCCACAAACCCCCAGACCAGCCATAAATGACCACTCCAGCGTGGTACTCGGTAACCGGAACGGAACCCCGGGCACAGCTGCCATCGCGACAAGCGAGATAATGGTCGTGACACTAGAAAAGTACGTCACTGAGACGAGCGCATGCGCACGTCGTCCGATCATACGAATACACGTGTATGCGCCCGCAGCTCCGATAACACCTGCAAAGGCAACTATTGTCGCTAAAACATGGTGGTACGAGTCCGCTGCACCGGGACTTTCTCCGTTGCCGCCTTCGCGCTTGCGGAATGGCTGCGCGATCAGGACCACACCTCCGAGAGAGACGAGAGCTGCGAGTTGTTGGCGGGTGGAAAATGTTTCGCCCGGGATGAGTAGCGAGCAGGCGTAGCAGGTCAGTATTGGGGCGAGGAAGGTGATTACTGTCGCTTCTGCTAGGGGGAGGTATTGGACTGAGTAGTAAATTCCGTAGACGCCTAGGAAGCCGAATGTTGCGCGGGTGATGAGGAGGCCTAGGATTGGTTTTGTGCCAAATGGTGCAGGGACTTTAGCATACCACATGTAGAGGTAGCTTGCTACTGCTGTGATTGACATCCGGGCGAATAGGATCTAACTGTGTTATTAGATTTCATCATAGCTTGGGTAGGAACTGTAAGCGAATTTACCTGGAATGGATGCAAAGAGCTATTAATCTCCAATAATTGTGTCATGACATTCATCGAGGCGCCGAACATCTGCGCTAATAGCACTAGGAACATGCCCTTATTCCTTAACCAGAATATGCGTAGCTTTGCGTGTGATGCGTGGCGGGGCCGGGAGGCGGCCGCAGCAAGTTCGGATTCATCGTCTTCGATCGGAATTGGTTCATATTCTATCAGAGACTGGGTTTCATCATGATATGACCCGATCGGTAGAGGTGCGTCAGGGTGGTCTTGATCAGATGCGTTTGAGGCACTGGGCTGGACCATGCTTGAGTCTTTCAGTCGTTGCGTCGTATAGTCGTTGCTTCGTTTAATCGTTGCGTCGTTTCAGTCGTTGCTCTATCTTGATATAGAGAGCTTGATGTAGACTATAAATATTTCATGGAGGAATGTAATGATCAGATAAATGAAAAAAGTGAGACTTTCAGTTGAGAGAAGAAAGAAATGAAAAAGATAAAAAGATGAATAGCGCCTGACCAAGTGGATCCACATCTCCAGTTGACCACATTTTATAGAAATTACTTGCTTTTCTTCACTGATACCAATGATATAGTGCCAACGATGGGGTATTGATACAGATTCCTTAACCTTGGAATCTTCATTACATTTTATCTATACAAAGGTAAAAGTATCACCTCCCTTCTCACGCATCATATTTCCAATACGCTGAGTTCCAACCACACGTTCCAACTTCAGTGCATCCCACTTGGAAAACAGCACCCGCACGCCGCCCTCGGTGGCCTCAACCAGCATAGCCGGATCAAGTCCAAGGAATCCAACAATCTCCTGGTAGAACACAGGGTTCTCCGGTAGCCCATACATGATGATACGCTTGACCCCACGGATTTGGTAGCGACGGAAATGGTGCGCACGTTCCGTGTACAATAGCACCGAATGACGACCACTCATGAAATGACTACGGGCCCGCGACATATCACTGGTCTCACTGTACTCGGAGATCGCGCCGAAGGAGACGTGCGTCGTTTGCGCCGAGGTGGCAAAGTGATTACGCACGCGCACGAAATCCAGGTACGATGGGACGAAGATCAGCGTACCCGAGCTACCCTTAGTGCTTCCCGTGATGTTTTTGACTAGCGTCGAGAGAACAGTTGATGTGAAGTGCTTGAACCGTGCGTCGGGGTCCTTGGCCGGGGAGAGACTGTCGATCCGGGAGAATGTCTGTTTGACCGAGACTGGGAGGGGGAGCTCGGTGATCGCGCCGGCGTATGTGGGGGTGGCCTTGAGGCGACCAGATGCGTTTTGCATTTTGGTGGAGAAGAGTGAGTTTATCTCGGGTGTGATGAAGGATGCAAGCATAATGGTCTGTCGCACGTAGCGGGCCTGGTCGTCAAGATACCAGTTGCGGACACGGCTGAAGTCACAGCCGTGGGCTTCCTTGGGTTGGAGGTTGAGGTGCTGGAAGATATACAACACATGGTCCCAGTTCTGCATGAGCAAGGCATCGGCGTGGTCCACAATTACGACTTCGATGGAGGAGAGGAAGTCATGGTCTCGCTTCTTGGCACTGCAAGGATTAGTATAAACTTCTACTAAGGTGTAAAAGGTACTCACTCTGCTTGATCCATGATTGTCCGCATGCCCAGTGGACTGGCCAGAATGATGTCTGAACTGTAGAATTGAGAAAAGTACTTCACCGTCTTGCGGGTGAACTTCAGTCCCATTCGGAACATATCGTCATTGTTACCGCCGAACAATTCCCGGGCATCCTCGGTCTTGTGATCCCATCCCTCATCGGATGAGGAGAAGGTATCGAGGAACCGCTTTTTGTTCTCCTGCTGGTCAACCTGGTAGAACTTGGTGATGGAATTGATGGTCCGGACGCAAGCTTGCCGAGTGGGCAACAGGTAAAGGATCTTAGGTCGGGTAAATCCCTGGTCCCGACACTCCACATCGGTATCAGGGTCCTTGGCCAGACGAGCATTGTTCTTCAACACCTGGTCTCGAGTCTTCAGCAGGTGGTTGACAGCATGGAGGGCCATAACATCACGCATGGCGTCTGCTTTATCCGTAGTTCGAGCTCCGTAGAGGACATCCTGATAGTCGAATACGTAAGGAGCAATTTGCTGTACATCGCCCTGGACTGCGGGTAGGGACTCTGCGACGCGAGGCTTCAGCTTTTGCTTGACCTGAGATAGTTAGTCGGTGCCCATCTCTACTATTGATCTGCCGTACCTTGAGATTGGTCGTGGTTTTCAATGCCGGAAGCAGGGATGGAGTACCATCACCATGGCCAGGTACCGTGCGCACCAGTCGTAGCCCATCCACTTCCTTCTTAGTCGAGGTCCATTTGTTGGCTTCGATTTGCGCAATCTTCTTCGTAAGTTCGAATTCCTCTCCAATATCAAAGTGTTTCTCGAACGGCCCAAGCGCATCGACTTCGTCTTCGTCATCATCTTCAGCTTCGTCTTCGTCTTGATCCTCTTCCTCGTCGTCTGAAGGTGCTTGAGCTTCCAAATCATCGTTGCCTCCGGACTCTTCCTCATCCTCCTCAACCAATGTAGAAGCATCCTCTCTTTTTGAATCGAGCTTTCTGCGCTTCGCAGCTGGTGCTTTAGAATCCGAATTGGCGTGGAGTAGTTCAAGTAATTCGTTATATGGGCGTCCTGTGGTCTCTTCTTCTTCGTCGCTACTAGATGATCCCTCGTCCATCATGGTCTCATCGACAATCTCCTCCTCTGACTGAATGCCAGCATCATCACCGGAAGATTCCTCCGATCTATTCCACGTTAGTTCTCTGGTTGTTCGAGCTTGCGATTCCCGTACTTACTCAACCTCGTTCAATCTCGAATTGGTGAATCCTCTGCGACCACCACGACCACGACCACGAGAACCAGAGCCACGACCTCTGAAAGATCTACCACCTCTTCCACCTCTTCCACCTCTTGGTGCAGGCATAATGAAATGATTTAAAGTAGTTCTTGTTGAGGTTTTCTTTTCCTTCTCTGAGAAGGTTGGTTCTTTTTGCTTATCTTATCTTAGCGCGAAAATTCCCACACACAAAGAATCGGAACAACCAAAGTCACGGCGCACTCCACTTGGCTCCCAAAGGAAAAATTGTCCCTCCGAAGTCTCCAAAGGTCGTTGAGAGAGTGTCGAAAAACCTCCTCCCCACATCCCATCTCAATCCCACCATGGCCGAAGACTCCTTCCTGCACCTCGCCCGCCCTCTGGGCCCTGTCTCTGTGGGGACCGCTCCCACCACTGCCCCTCTGAATGTGGTGATCCAGCCGCAGGTAATAATCCCAAAACCTCCACATCAAAACTCATATCCAAGGTCCAGGTACCTAATCCTATCGCTTATATAGGCCATCTTCTCTATCCTCGATCACTCGCTTCGCCGTAATGCCGACCAGGAACGTGTCATCGGAACACTGCTTGGAACACGATCGGAGGATGGTGGTGAGGTCGAAGTGCGCTCCGCGTTTGCCGTGGGCCACTCTGAGGCTGAGGACCAGGTCGAGGTCGACATGGAGTACCACAAGCAGATGCTCGCCCTGCACTTGAAGGCCAACCCGCGCGAGGTCCTGGTCGGCTGGTATGCCACCGCCTCTGAGCTCAACACTTTCTCCGCTTTGATCCAGAACTTCTACAGCGGTCAGGGTGATGGCACATGGCCTCACCCTGCCGTTCACCTGACTGTTTCGACCGAGCCCGGCAAGGACCTCGAGACCCGTGCCTACATCTCCGCCCCCGTTGGTGTCACCGCTGAGCGGGCCGCCGACAGCGCCGCTTTCATTCCCGTTCCCTACGAGCTCCGATACGGCGAGGCCGACAAGAGTGGCCTCGAGGCCATTGCCAACGCCAAGGATTCCGAGGACCGCTCTGCTTCCATTACTACCGACGTTGAGGCTCTGGAGCGTGCCATTGAGGAGGTTATTTCCATGATTGACCGTGTTTCACGATATGTCGAGTCGGTGATTGACGAGGAGGCCCCTGCTTCGACTGCTATGGGACAGTTCTTGCTGAATGCCCTTGCTCTTGCCCCCAAGGTTGAGCCGGCGGACATTGAGCGCGACTTGTATGTTCCTCCCCTACTTTCGTTTGTAGATGTCTTTACTAACAGCACAACAGCAACAACCACATCCAGGACGTCCTGGTGGTTTCCTACCTCGCCAACACCATCCGCACACAGATGGAGCTGTCCAACCGGCTAGCAACCGCCCAGCTTACCCTGGGTAGTGGTGAGGGTGGCAACGCTGAGGGTCAGCGCAACAACCAGCGCGGTGGCAAGGGTGGCCGCAACCAACGCCAGGACCGTCCCGCCGAGGAAGCCCGCGCATAAGAGGGTTATGACGGAGAAACGATGCATTTGATTTCATCCCTTTTGATTTTTATGTCTCGATTCCTTGTTCCAACCATCAATGGATTCGTGTCTTTTGTTTGTTCCTATCTACGTTTTTTTTATTCCTCTCTTCGACCATCCATTTTCCTTATGAGACAGGCATTTCTCGGAGACACAGCTGTCTCCTTTGGTCGTTCTCGCCCAGACCCGAGCAGACCAAAAAAAAAAGCAACGTGGCGCATCGGAGTCGATCTGGCTTGGTTCAGATAGAGCTGGGGCATATGAAGTGAAGGTACTGCAAGTAAGCGGGGAGAGAGACTTGGAAGAGAGTCTGTTGCAGACCATGTTGAGGACAATCCGGGTTTTGTTTATCCCGGTTTCACGAAGTCGCATCTTACTTGGACGCGGCGTTTAGTTATGATGAAATGGACATAAAAATTAGATCTCGTGTGTCTTAGTAATTGTAGCACTATAAGCATAGCTTTGATAAACACGTTTAGATTCCTTCGACTCTGTCATATTTCACAGATACAGAAAGATCATGCTGAGGGACCGTTCAATCGAAAAGACAACCTTGGAATTCCAATATGGTACAATATGTGCAAGCATGTCAGGATATCAGAAAAACTATAAAACTATAAAACTATGAAACAACTTCCAAAAAGATTTAACGCCGAAATCATGCACCAACAAACATGAAGCTGGCCATACCCAACAAGCCTCCAACAAAAACGACCGTCAGAATTCCAGCACCAGCTCGATCACCAGTGGTAATCGGTGATGACGTTGACGCGCTACTGCCGGCGCTTTCATTCTCACCAGCGTTCACATCACTGGTACTATTTCCACCCGTGGTCGAGGTAACTGGCGGTCCGTATTCGGTGTCTTTGATCCATGGTAGCATCTGTACACTAAAGGTATTGCTGGCGCTGATCTCCTGCTCCATTCCTGACGTTCCATCCCAGGTACCGGTTGTCCATCGGATACCGCATGTGCTGTTATTGTCGCCTGTGCAGGAGTTTGCAGCGCCTTGGCCGGTGGCTTGGAGTTTGGCGAGGATCTCGTCGTACAGGGAAGGGATTAGCATGGCGGTTTGGGCGAGCCAGCTGGTGACGAGGCCTTTGAAGAGGACTTCATTGTTGTTGCAGTTCCCCTGAGTTTCGCACTCCCAGTCTGAGATGATGTAGTTGTTCTTCTCGGTAAAGAATGTGGTGAAGAGCGTGTTTAGTAGGCCCGTTGTACAGTTGAGCCAGTACTCGTCGTTTGTCTAGCAGAGTTGGCTGGTTAGGATATTTTACATCTTGGTTCGGGTTCGAAGGAAATGTTACCTTGGCATATAGGTAGGCGCAACCGCCAAAGTAAACACCATAATTGTATGTCCACTGGATCTGGTCTCCATTGGCACATTGTTCCTGTCCGTTCGTAGAGTCGTCAATCGTCCACGTTTTGTTGTTGACGAGTGGTACTGAACAGGACCACTCCCATGTCTTCTTCGCCCATGTGTAATATTCCTCGTTTCCGGTGTATCGGTAGAGGCGAGCGGCCAGCTGGAAGAAACCACCATTGGAAACCGCGTTCTTCATATAGTATCCGGTTCCTTCGTAGACGTAGATTTGCCACCTTAATCCTCCACCGCACATGGTCGTGTCCCATCGACTCTTCTGCGTGTTGAAGACACCCTGGGCAAGCGAAAGCCAGGAGAATCCGGTTGAGCGATCGGGGAGCTTGTATTCAACCGCCGTCATGGCTGAAAGGCCCCAGAACATTTGATCATCGTTACCCTGGATTACCGGTTTGATTAGCGAATCATCTTCCTTCAAGACTGTTTCGTCATCCTTACCAGGAAGCTACTATAGTTGGACGGCATATAATCTCCGTTCGTACCACCCTGCCATTGCAAGGCAACACTCAGCTCGTCGTTGTAGGTGTCATCCCCCGTGAAGTGCCAGTAGTTGAGCAGCGCCAACAGCAGTGCTGAACCTTCCCACCATTTACTGGGGAATGCACCGGGAATCCCACCAGTATCGTTACCAGAATAGTAGGTCATCATCCCATAGGTGGCGGTACTGGCGGCACTTTTAATGGAGTCTGTGAACGTGTCAGCAAGGGTTTTGTCGCGACTCGAGACCCGAGCGACCCGATCAGACAACATCTTTCCATACCTTCACTGGTAGCAACGAGTTCAATCGCCAAGGCTTGTTGGGCAAGCGCCAGCACATATAGAATACCTGCACATATTGACCTTGTGCCGTTAATCCGCATGACTGAAAGGAAGGTGAGAGACCGAGACTGAGGGAGCGATAGCGGAGCGGAAAGGACCGTAGCGACAGGATGTGGACGATAAATGAAACGGAAGTATGTTATATATGGGATAGCCTTGAAGCATTGAAGGTGTTAAAGTTGGAGAAGGAAAAAGACCAAAAGTTCCCCAATTTGCCCCGCGAGCCTTCGTCGGCTTGAAAGGCTTGGGCCCTGGAAATTAGGATAGACCCTGGTAAAGTGGAGTTTTACCCTATCGTCCATGTTCCAATTGGCCAAATACATGAAGGGTCTGATTTTGACCCACTTTGGTAAGTGGAGAATGAGAATAATGGACTTTCAGCTTTTCACACAGTGTCATCACGTCAGAATAGATCGTCAGGAGATGTATCATATACTGTATGGTAATCTATGGAAATGTGTTGATGATAACAACTCCTTGATTGTCTCATATTGAACAGCCACTCATCTCACCAATCAAGGAAGTGTGGTTGATCCTAATCCTTGGTTTCTTGACCAATTGAATTCCCAAGTCCCGTTATTCTATTTTTGGTTTAGCCGATCTCCGGACATGGCGATTCAAGGTTTCTGACATCATTCAGGTTTGGATCACCCGTGGCAGTGCGTTTCAAGGTTAATTATGTGTACCCATAGATTTGGGGAGATCATCCAAGTAATGCATAACTGTGGAGAGGTCTCTTCTGATATGGATACAGTCGAATATGTATCGCCAAGCCCAGCTCTCCATGCTTATCTCCGTATGACAAAAAGTGGCGTTAAATGCCATTCAGTGCCATATGACTGGCTGATCAGGTTGTACAACCGTTAAGAGAAGGTTAAATTCAATCTGACTATATCCATGGGTATTTTGGTCTGACATATTGTTCCTGTTCCGTACTCCCTCCATGAGAAAAGCAGCCCAAACGCCGATTAATGATAGGGTCTGAAAATAAGATCCGAAATGAAATCATCCGAGAGTTTTCCTCTTCTTAGAGACTGACTCCTCAGTAGCATCTGACCCTCGTCGAGTTGCAGCTCTCTTCCCTTTACCTTTCGCCTTCTTGCCTGTCGGAGCAGGCAATGCTTCAGTTTCAGCATCTGCATTATTGCCAGGAGCAGTTCCCTTTTTCCCCGCGTCCTTGGCAACCTGGTCATCATTCTGATCAAATGCCTTCCGCGCCTCTTTGAGTTCACGCTCCATGCGCAATAGCTCTTGCACACGGCCCAGCTTGTTCGGGTCCCGGCGTAGCGCGAATCGGAAATCATCAACCTTGATCTTTTGTCGGCGGGCATGGTGCGCGACCTGCGCGGCACCGTGGCAGAGTTCGAGAATGAAGTCCGTGACAATCTCATCGAGGACGCGCACGGTTTCGGGAAGGGGTTCGGATGAGAATGAGGGGTGGGGGCTTGGGTCGCCGTAAGCGAGGAGGAGTAGCCGTACTAGAAAATCATGTTAGTTTCCGGATTTGAGATTTGGTATAGATATAAAATATAGAACGTTGAAAAAACTTACACTCAGATGAGAAGTTCATCTGGCCCTTGTGCCGAGCGGCACGGGCTCGGGGCTCCGCCATCCCGGATAGATGAGTGAGTCGTCTTTTGGAGGCTGATGTGGTAACAGTAAGTCTGGAAGAAGGATTGCTCGTCTTGCAGGCGGCTTCGTAGCCGTCAATATAATTGTTGTCCTGGGAGTTATATCGTCCGGATTGCTCGAATGCCCCAGGTGGATGCCCCGGTACAGACTTGAGCGATGTGGGGAACTTCAGGAGCAGCGGGCGTCGGACTGTGGGAGTTGAACTTGAGATGGGCGTAGTGTCAACTTGGCTGGGGATGGGAGGTGGCGGCATCTTCAGTCGGAGCTTCAAATGTCCCCGATGGTCCGTGCGCTCAGCGGACATGGTGGGCAGAATGTCGTGAGGGTCAAACGATTGAACCTCTTCCTTCTCTTCGCCAGTCTTACGGATTTGATACTTTTTGTTCTTGTTCCTGAAGGGACAAAGGGCAAGACTGCTATTTCAAGATGGTAAGTCGGATTGAGGTTTCGATTCTATTCAAGTTGTTGAGTTCGGAGCTGTCCAGCCTGCGCATATCAGCATACTGTGTACACTTTGTATAGCCCCCGACGACATCATCGCTGACCACGAGACTCTACCTAGACGGCCCTTTTCAACCTCCAATCACTAGTTTTGGTGATTCTCTTGTTGATCTGTACAAGCACATATGCCCACTCGATCATGCCGGGAATCATGGATCGCAACCAGAGCGGGTAAGGGCCCTCGAGACTCGAGCTGGAGAGAAATAAAAGTGACCAGAACTGATTATGGATTGTTGCAGGGTGTTTGGTATCTTCTGGAAATGCGCGCGTATTGGAGAACGACTCAGTCCCTATGTCAGCATATGCTGTTTTGCGATGGCTGTAAGATGCTCAGACCCCCTTTCTAAGTAGAATCCAATACTCACTCTGATTCACTTGTAGGTCTCGATCTTTGTCGGTGGTTGAATATGTCCCCGGTAGTTTTTCCTCGGGTCGGGTACTGGATCAAAGAAAGTAGAAAGAGGAGATGAAACAAAGAGAAAGGCGTTTACTGGATCGACCAGCCTGTTTATGAATTGCTTCAAGCGCATGGCAAATTGTCATAATGATTCTATGTATAGTACATGAGCCGAATTGAGATTAAATTCGCAAAACCAACGCTTGCCTTGCAAGACTGGACCAAGGCATATGTGATGCATATGATACATAAAGGTATATGATACAAAGAATTTGAGAGATAGTGATCATTCTTGCGGCTGGGGCTTCATCTTGGAGCCTAACTTTTCTAATCCACTGTCAACCAGCTGATCATGATCCTGTTGCTTGTTACCTGTAGACTCAGTCTCCGTGCCAAGCGCCAGGCTCGTCTCCGTAGCTTTGCGGTCCAGCTCATCAATGGCAATCCAAAGCCTCTCCGGGTCACGGAGATATCGCAAGCTCTTCATGGTGTAGGAGTCAATGGAGAACCCTTCTTGCTCCATCGCCTTGATCGCAGCAGCCGTCTCGGGGATATTCTGTGCGTTGGCATAGCCATTAACGATGATGTTCCATGTCACGTCGCTATACTGCACATTGTGATTGTCCATCATCTCCCGAATTCTCTCTGAGGCTTTGATCTGCCTGTGGAAAATAAAGGAGCCGAGGAGGAGGGTCCAGGTACGCACAGTGGGCTTCGTAGGAACGATTGCCTTGTCTGTCTGATCAAGTTGCGGGCTCGCTGGATGGAGCATGTCCTCAACGAGTTGTACACACGATCGCAGGCCACGCGGACTGTTGCGGAAAGCGATGAGAAATTCATTGTAGGTATGATCGGTCTCTACCATAGGAGCGATAGAAGGATGTCCCTGAGCAACGAGCTCCCGGAAACGGCCGTAGATTCGTTGCACGTTCGCGAGGCGGTTCTGGCAGCGGAAATAGGTCGCAAGCATGATGTATAGGGGAATTGGAGAAGGAGGAGCATTAGCGCCGTCACTTCGAGGGATGTAGCGAGGAGGAATGACGGAAAGTTCTTTAAGGGGTGTGATGTCGTAAATGTTGTTGTACATGTCAAGCATCGAGTAGAAGATGTCGGAAGGATCAGCATCCGCATCAATATGCTTGACGGTGAAGATATAGTAAGAATGGAAGATTTTGCTGGCAATCCATGGATTCTTGCGCAGCTCTTCCTGCGTCTCGACCTCGCGGATGAGAGAATCAACATGACCGCGATCTCCGCGAGCGACGGCGTCTTTGAGCAAAGTCAGATAGCTGTAAGAGTCAAGCTCATAGCCGTGGCTTTGCATAAACTGAAGGATATCAGATCCTAGCTCCCCATTGGTCTTGAAGGCATTGGCAAGCACAACGTTGAGCATATCTCGGTCTGGTGTAATGCCCATCTCCAAAAGTCGCGGAAGAATCTTGAAATTGCGTTCGCCCGTCTCCTCTTCCACGGTGTCCAAAGTTAAGAGTTTACAGCAATGCCGGTGAACACTCTGCGAGTTCATAGAGAAGTTATCTTTCTTGAGGCTCGGAAGAATAGCGAGAGCCTCCAGTGCTCGATCCGCGTCCTCGAATTCGGTGAATCGCCACATGAAGCACAATGCGGTTTCGGGTCCAATATAAAGAGATCTTTCTTTGGCAATGTTCAGGGCCAGAGAAACAGCTTCGTGCCCTGCTCGTCGAATATAGAGCCGGACACCCTTCTGCGGCAATGAAAGTACAGGCCATTGATTTGGATTGAGGCATGATTCAATCACAGACCGATATGTGCAGGTACCACTCCGCCAATCTTTCAGCCAGTCCTGATAATAGAACGCATCCAAGTAAAGCAGACAATCAGCAACCATGCTAAAGTCTGGCTTCACCTGACCCTCTGTCGTCACAATAAGAAAATTCAAGAGCAGTTTTGGTTCATTTTGCAAAAGCCAAAACGCGAGGGGCTGCCAAGCATCAGCTTTGGCATTCTGGTCCATGGCTTGCCATTCTCGTCGAAAACTCCCCAGGCAATCCGTCTGAATTTTGGCCAGCAATACCAACCCTTCTTCCTTCAATGCTGGTATAACACCTTTTTTTCGTACTACTCGCTTGTAGTGCTTGGCTTTGTAGATCTCCGTGTATCCGTCTTTCCATTGCTGAGGACCCAGTCCTTGGGAGTAGAGAGAGCTGGCACGGAGTACTACCGCCAGATGCAGCGTCTTTTGATCAATATATCTGTCTTGTCCTGTGTGTGCAAGTTTGGCGTTCAGCCAGCCGGATACACGATCAGTAAGGCTAGTACTCAGATTATGAGCCTCAAGCACAGAGGAAACTTTGGACTTGGACAGTGGGTATGTGACGAGTTTTTGGCGATTGAGGGGCTTGGTTTCTTCGGCTTCAGAGCGTTTTGTATTCTCCGAGGAGCCATCTGATGGTGTATGGGGCCATGTCTGCCCTAGCCTCCCCGAAGCTTGACTGGTTTTTGAGTGTGAAGTTTCGGGCGCATCGCGGCTGGCTATGGGCTGCGAGGCATCTGAGACTGAAGCATCGAGTCCCCCTGGAGTCGCCTCGCTCATGAATGGGGTGTCTGTTGACACATGGCGAGCTCGATATGTTTTGATCGGCGTCCTTGACCTCCGATATAGGCCGGGGATTCTACATCGTGCCGACAACAGCCCGTTGAGCCGAGCAGGAGCGAGTAGGTGCGGACGCAATGACATTCAGGGATTCGCGATCGTCGACATTAGGGTATGGGGTATCGAATAAAAGAAAAAGAGGTCGTAAATGTGGTGGGAGTTACGGACCAAGTTCGTGAAGAAACGCGATCCGGAAGACTAGAATGACCGCCCGATTTTGCTGTGGCTAGTGTGTGGCGGCCCGTTAATCGTTATCGCCCGCATCATCAATTATTTCCAGCTTTTTTCAAGGTGCGCAGGACTCTAGGGCTTTATTCAGCATCACTTTGCCATTTACTCCTTTATTACGAGAATTCGAGTACCCTCCATACTACCATCATTCAACGCGCTTTCACACAATGTCGTCGAGTCACGCCTCTCTTGATGCGGCATCCAGCGACCGCAAAGCCCGCCTCGCCAAGCTCGCGGCCCTGAAGCGCAAACAACCCGAGCCCGATACTCAGGAACCGAGCACAGTCAATGGTGAATCAAGTGAGCCGATCTCAGAAGTGACAACAAAATTCCTTTCCGGGCGGAACTATGACGTCGAGGCCCGCGGGCCGAAACTAGGCTTTGAGCAAGGTCCGCAAGAGGGCCAAGTGACTGTTGAAATGCAGGCAGCCCAGATCGCGGAGGCTGTGAAGGAACAGTCTCAGAAGGAGGAAGATGTCGACCAACCAGTTGATCTATTCAAACTACAACCGAAGAAACCCAACTGGGACTTGCGGCGAGATTTAGATGAGAAGCTCAAGACTCTCAACGTGAGGACGGAGAATGCTATTGCCCGCCTTGTTCGACAGCGGATAGAGAATGCCCAACGTGAGGCAAAGCAGCGAGGGGCTGTTTCGAATGGAGATGACCAAGGGGAGGAAGTGGGCATCGAAGGCCAGATGCTGGTGGAGGGGATCCATGTTCGTGAACAGGAGGAAGAAGAAGATGAGGACTGATTTGAAGTGATACCCTATATTGCAGAACTACACGCATGGACTCGGTTTTAATCTGCTCTTTTTGTACTTGTTTCTTCTCCTTTTTTATCCCATGTCTTTCTGATTGGACTTGATTGATTGTCACTTGTGGGGAGTCCGACGAGGAAAAAGAGCACTCGACAGACTCAAAATGGAGGCGTTGGAAAGGGGTTTGCACATTGGGATCGACGAATATGCTATTAATACAAATTGTTCCACTTGGAACGTGAAAGTTGGCAATGTGTGTTCATCAAGAACCGCAAGCTGCACCAATGAAAAAAGCCCAGATTTTGTCCAGCCAAAAAAAAAAAGGAAATAAGAATAACACGCTTCCTCAGTAGTTGCTTTAATTCATGGCCTTGGTCAAGGCAAGGCGCTTGCTATATGGACTCATACTTCGTTCTCGGGGTGGCCCTGCTCTAGCCCGGGGTTCCTGTCTGGATCTTGCTGGGTGAGCATGTACTGGAGGACTTCGATCCCGGTACGACCGCTGTCCAGACCGGTTGCGGCCAGCTCTGGGAGGAGTAGATCGCCTTTCCTTTGCAATTTGACCCTGGTCCACACATGAGCTGCGGCGGTGATCTCGGTTTCGAGAGTCTCTATGCCTTCCACGTTCTTCGGGGCTGCTTTCTCGACGTCGTCGCCGGATGTTCCTATCTTCAGCCCATTCTCGAGATCTGGATCTATGTCTCGCTCCTGAGTAGGACGACCCTGAGTAGCTCTCGCCAGAGTCGCTCAGTCTTCTCTTGCGTGACTTGTCAGCGGGTGGTGACACTGAGCTGGTTGCGCGGTCCCTCGCATGCTCCCTGGGGTTGCTCCGGCGGTCAGGCGACGCTGAAGCGGAACGGGTTGTGGATATCGTGGCAACGGAGTTCGTAGAGTGAGATGAAAGCGACCGTGCTCGCTTTGACGAGTGGGTATCGCGGTCTGCGTCCTCATTGTCAAGGTCTCTTTTGCGGCCACGCTCTTCTTCTCGTTTGGCCAGTATTCCATCTGCCAAACCATTGCTAATCTTCTGTAAGTCTGTCGATCTTGTTGCAAATATGAGTCACAAGGTCCCAGAAAGGGCCCTGAGAACTTTAGGCAAAGAGAAACTTACGTTTGAAGCAGCGCATTCGGGTTCTCCGTAGAAAGTTTGGGCATTAGTCGTGGATTTAGCAATTGTTGGGTCCGCGATGGTCGTGCCGTGTATGGGCGCTCTTGAGCCGTTGCCTTGCATTCATAGCTATAATGTCGTGGGACAGAGTCAGTAAAGGATCATGCGAAGGTGGGCATCACGCGGAACATATCTCGTTTTAGGCATTTTTGGCATAAGGTATTGGCCGACGCTTTACTGGGGCCTCGCAGGCTAGGAGCGTTCCGATAACGATTCATTGGCGGTCGCGCAAGAAAAGACTGGTATTGGGTAGAAAGGGTGAATAATGCAGGCAATATCAAAGAGGAATTTCAAGCCCAACCGTGTTTGGTCTACGGCGCATCCACAGTCTCCGCGGCTGAGGAAATTGTAGGCGCGCTACGGTGGTCCAGAGGGGCCACATTTCGGTTACATAAGCACACCTAAACTCAAAGCTGGCAGAAAGTTTAAATACAATGATAACAATGTACAAGACTTTGTACGATGAAAGCTAGACAAGTTTATTAATAATCAACAATCCAACTGGCCAAAATTCACTTGACTGAACTTGAATATCCTGCAAGTCCTTTCAAGTACGTTGATCATAGAAGTGTATTCCGTATTGGTGGAGAAATAAGCTTAAGACCCCATACTGCACATTGAAAAGAGCGGTGTCTAGGACGGTCTGGAGGTTGTACTTCATTCAAATTTGCTTACATAATCTGACTTGTGGCTCCATGCGGACCACCGTAGCGCGCAGTAGAGGCGGTCGAACGCGGCAATTAAATCGCCCACTGAAACTCTTCGGGCGTCGAAGATTCGGAATTTCAATCTCCCAGCGCTCCTTCTTCTCCTCGTTCTCCCTCACTCGGAGCTTTTTTTTTTTGAAGATCGCACTTACGGCAGTGTGGTTTTTGAATTCGGGTGTTTTTAGTTTTCCTCACCTTTTCTGGCGAGAACGCTCTTCCCATCTCAATTCAAGGTCTTTATCGTCTTGACTATGAACCAGATCTGACATCGTGTAAGGCCCGCTTATCATATCAACTTCCTGTTGGTCACAATCCTAGCGCCAGTATAGACTTGAATAGATTTTAACATTTTCTATTTCCGCAGCTTTTCCATATGGCGAAGGCCCTGTACCTGAGATATGTCTTTCTTTTTGGGCTTGTGTGAAACGGGATTATCCAGTCGCCTCATTTCGATTCAATCCGCAATTTCTATGGGCAAGATCACCAAGACCTGCTGATTAGATATTTGCATCATCTTGATTTCTGCTCCTTGGGAATCTTTCCAAAAAAAAAACACCCAGTCCAGATTCCCATCCCATGGCCTACATTTTGAATATGGCATCAACGAGTACATCGCAGGAGGACGGCCATTTCTCCTTTGCAAAGGTTCGCTATCCCATGAAGCTGTTCTCGGCTCCAAACTAACAGTTCGCCATCAGATCGCTGCTATGCCCGCACCCACTACCAACCAACCATGCTCGATATCCGACATCAACAGTGCTCAGCCGGAGCACACATCGAATTCTGCGGAACAATTTGACGCTATCTCCTCGTTACCGACATCACATCATTTGACCACATTTACCTCAGAGAGCTCCACCGGTGGTCCTGTTGTGCATGGCCTAGAAAGGGCAGTGCAGGACATTAACCTGCAAAAAGACCATGATTCTTCTTCGGTAGATGACAGTGAGAGTGGTCTTCCTAAACGAGACAACTTTTTCGACGATGATCGCACCCATCTCTCCACCTCCTCTACCAAACTTACCAATTTTGATTCAAAGAGTCTTGCCTCGGTGACAACGTTTGCAATGGATGAAAAGGATTCCGTACGACCCGACGACAGTGCGAGCGTCCAGGCAATTGACGAAGAGGAATCTCTGTCTGGGCTTGCAACCGGTGCACCAAACTCAGTCACAGGCTCTGAGGCTGGTGGCCGAGGATACCGAGACCAATTCCGAGATGGCAATGGTCAAAGACCCCGTGGCATTCTTCCTTTGGCAGGTCCTCTCTACAATGGTGGACTTCAACGGACTGCCGGTACTATCCCGCCAGACTCTGTATCCAACAATTTCGTGATTGCTGCGAACCCTGATTGTTTGCAAGACAATCAACCCCTGAATGGATTTCCTCTGGAGCCGGATGAGAAGCTGTTAGAAGCGATGAAATCTCCCAAGGACCGACTCATGATACTTCAATTGGAGGAAAATATACGGTGCTTCATCCAAGACGACAGGTATGTGAAAGATCCCATATGTCACTGGATCTGACCGATAATGGAGGCTAATTTCATCAGCAGTGAACAATCACTCGAGCTGCCACCATCCAATGCATTTGGACGACTACTTGCACATAAATTAGGGGATTATTATCACCTTACACATTTTGTGGATAACAATGTAACATCGGTCCGGCTTCATCGGACGCCCTTTTGCCGCCTGTAAGCACGTTCTTTTTGTTTACGGAGTTTGACCTTCCAGCTGACTGTTATTAGCCCCACGCCTCTTTCCGACATACATGCTGCTACCAATACTGCACCGCCACCAACTCTCCCAGCCATGAAAATCATGCGCCGGACAGACGGAGAACGACCTTCTGTCGAGGGTAGTGTAGGAGCAAGCTCATCAGTCCCGTCAAAGGCCCCATCCGAGGCTGGTGATGGTCAGGATTCGGGATCCTCGGGCGGGTCCCCAACAAAGGACCGCCTAGCATTGACAAGGGAGGAACGCGAAGCCAAATATAACCAGGCTCGCGAGCGAATCTTCCGCGACTTCCCTGACAGTGCCAAATCGGACCCGGCTAGTGGTGATTCAAACCCCAACATGTCTCGCTCCAGCTCAACAACTGGACGCAAGAAGAACGGCAAACAGCGTACGCCTCATGATGACGGGTTTGTAGCCCGTTCCTTATTCAATACCTACTACAATTCACCCTGCAACAACGATGCATCTTATAGCAACCCGGTGCCTTTCCTTGTTGGGCCGGGTGTGCCACCTCCAACTGGTGGCTTTGTGCCTTCCGGGGGAAATGGTATGCCATACCTTGGAAACATGGGTGGAAACATGGGTACGAGCATGGGTACGAACATGGGGGTGAACAATGTGCCGCAGTATCCAATGGGGCTGCCATCTCAAATGGCCTCTAACGGCCAGTGGCAAGGAGGAAACCCCCAGCAATCGCCATACTCAGGATATGCATCGATGAATCAGTCTGGGATGAGCCAACAATCATCCACCAAGTCCTCTCCAGCCATGAGCAACTTTGCTATCCCTCAGTCTGGCCCATACCAGCAATTCCCTTCCTGGAATGGCCAGTCTTATCAAGGGAACTACCCGCAAGGCCCGTACCAGCCAGCTCCGCATCAAGCTCCACATCAGCAAGCTCTGCACCAGCAGGCTCCACACCAGCAGGCTCCGCATCAGCGTAACAAAGGCCCTGGTCAATGGCCTTACTACCCTTCTGCTCAGTCGATGACCCCCAATATGGCATCCTACCCTTATGCTCAGTACCCTGGGCAACATTTGAATCCTTCTCTCCAGAACCCCAACGGTTCTCCGATGCAGGGAAACATGGCACGATCCCATTTCAACCCCCAGACACGTTCGTTCGTCCCAGGCGGGGCCTCAGCACCGCGTCATCCACTGCCATCGTATCCTAATATGACGCCCGGAGCTCAGGGTCAATGGAACGGATACCCTGAACCCGCCTTCAATCGAAATGTGGACCACGGCAACCAAGCCCGCCCATCAAACACAAACTCCCGCGATTCGATCGCCAAATGGGGCACACCTTCCCACCTTCCCCCCAAGCCTCCGCCTTCCGAGGTACCCTCTGATTTTGATATGAAGCATCGAGCCGGGCCGACAATGTCTACGCCTCCATCCTACCCTAGCGGAATAGTCGGTGCTAAGAACGGCCCGCTTGTGGTCTCTGGAGGCAACTCTACCTCAAAAACGCACTAGGCTTAGCCAATAGCTCTCTCCCTACTCCTATTCCGCGTGCATTGTGTCAGTCTGTGGTCCTTGCCGTAAAGATTGATGATGGCTAGCGATAGTTGTCAGGGAAAGAAGCTCATGATGATATGGCCGCCAGTATTGTACAGTTAAAACTGCATAACGGTCGGGTGCCTGGAGTGCAAATGACCTGTCAGCTAGGCATGAATTGATTTCTCATTCCTACTAGTACTTTTTATCTTCCGCATAAATTTTCCCGTGCATCAAGTCGAACTGGTGTAGGGCAGTGACGAGAGCCTGACTAAGCCAAAAATGGTAGTTACGTATAGTTGACCTATAAAAGCATATAAAACACGATCTTTATCACTGGACTTCAGTGAATGGAACTGAATTCTGGAATATATAACCGGAAACAGTACATATATGAATCCACATTTAAAGAATTCGATTGAAAGAATCCGAGCGCGTTCATCAGGACGCTTAGCTAAGCTACGTTGACGTCTTTCTGCTTGCGGCCATGAGATTCTATTTACCATCAGCAATCACAGTCGCTGGTTTCGGCATCACGAGGACGAGTACGAGGACTGTTTGCGTTTTTTTTCTATGCTCTTCACTCCTTTCTCATTATCAGAATGAATTAATCCTTATTTCCTAAACTCTGAAACAAAGCACGGATCTCTCCGCAAACCAACCCCGACTGCCCAGGCACGAGCATGCTCCACGGGATCACTCTTTAAGACCACAACATCTTTTATATTCTTTATCAAGGGCCAAATCGTCTCGAGATCCCGACTGAGACTGTGTTCGTATGACACAACTCCGAGAACAGCAACCGCAGAACCGTTTAATCGCTTATCAGTAACCTGCCCCGCCGCCTTTCCAAACCCCTGCACCGTGTACATCGCGTCCTTCAACTCGACTATGATGCGCCGTAACTCCGATATCGAGATTCAGCTCCCCGATGCAGGTCCAACCCCCCCTCTCCCCTGACTCTGTGACCGAGCCCGACGTGGAAATGCTGTCCGAGGAGCCGATACCTCCGTTGACCCTCCCGGCACACATCGCTGCGCGATTCTACCGCCGAAGTAGTAAAGTCAAGCGCTCCTCTGCCACCTCATCGCGACGAAGCTCCATATCATCTCTACATTCTCACCATTCGAACGCGTCCTCCACTGGTGTACCAAGCGCGGATCACATTGCCCAACACCTCCGGCGCACCTCTATTCTTGAAACTCGTAAAGCGCGACTGGCTGACCGGGCGCTACACGCCGACAAGGTCAGGCTGCGTGCTGCCCTTGCGAAGGCTGCGACGAGAAATCTACAGATTGAAGAGCGAGCTTTGGCTGCTCAGCAAGCTCGAGAGCGTCTGTTGGCGGATATTACGGCCAAGTGCGAGGATCAGGTTAAGCGGGCCAAGAAGAAGGCCGAGGACCAACGGGAAAAGAAAGCTGCTGAATACGCACGCCAGAAACTAGAGATGGCAGAGAAGTTTGTGGAAGCCGAAAAGCGGCGAGCACTTTACCAGCAAACGCATCGGCGCCAGCGTACTAGTAGCCTACCAGCTTCGGAGGAAAAGAAAATGGCACGAGTTGTCACCAAGTCTCTCACTCGGGATACGGCTGCTCGGAAGATTCAACGAGTGTGGAGAACTCACCATGCAAAGCAGATCATGCAGGAATTCCGGGCATTAAACTTGTCTGTTGATCGGGTTCGTGAAATGGCGTTTGAGGATGTTGGGCGTTTCGTCTCAAATCGTGAGGTACTTGATACTATGACCAAAGTACTCAAACTCTGCGGCTTGGGTGATATAGAAGGTGGCGCGATGGGGGAACGAGGTGCGGTGCGCACCTTCCTTAGCAGCTATCTCATCGTCACTCATACGGCTGAGGTCCTAAGTGGGGACGGCGAGCAGGAGCAAGATCTGATCTCCAAGGCTCGCGAACTACTCGTGGCATTTGATCAGGTTGCCGCATTGCTGTCTTCGGGCTGCTGCTCGCCTACCGTGATTACTGCGGACCTTCAGATTCTATGTGAATCTCATAATGTATTCTTCTCGGCCTTCCACGCATGGAAATCTCATGACTCCACGGTGCTGATTGAGATCATGCTTGCCCAGTTTGTCGAACTGGAAATGATTTGGCAAACGGTCAAGGGTAATACAGCTGGCGGCGTTGCCGAGGATTACCGAGAAGGCATTCGTCAGAATCAGATCCTTCTTCTGGCCCGTCTGAAGCGTCTTGCAGGCTCAGAGCGCGCTATGCAGATGGTTCGGGACTCGCTTAAGAAGGCGAAGCGTGAGAGAAAAAGATCTGCCTCTAAGCAGGCCATTCCTCGATCTGCTGAGGTGGCATCGTCTCCGGGAGATGTCTTGACAGAGAGTGTCACATCTCCCATCAGCGAGTCATTCAATAATGTTGAAGCCGCAGTCCTCCAGGAGCTGGAAAAGCAGCGGTCCTCTCCCCATGAACAATTCACCAAGATCCTTACAGCGCTTCCGGAGAACCGGGTCCTGGTGCATGAGCTCCTCCTCAACAAGGAATTCAAGATTGAAGAATCTTCGTATGCTGATCCCCGAAGGCAGATTATGGAGCACATGTGTGCGCAGATGAGACAAGATGTCGAGGCTGGACAAGGAACAGCCTGGACAGTCTCCATGGCCACTGTGATTCAAGACCGTCTCCTACGCTCGCTTCGACCTGGCAATTCTCTGTACGTGCTAATCAGTGAAGTACTGGATCCAAAGCTTGTTGAGAGCCAGTGTAAGGCTGGATCTTTCTCTTATGAGAATTTCTTTGATTTTATGAATAACATCCTACCTCGCCTTTGTGCTCCTTATCGTGATCCTGTGGTCAAGGCATTTGCAGAGGACACTTCAGGGGATGCCATTGACCGACTTGCAAGGCTGATGAGCATCATTGATCTGCTCTCTCTAGATCACACGAATTTCATGATACAGGTGGCCGCGCCCCAGTTGATCCAAGATGCCCCCGGATATGAGCAGCGCACGTTTGAAAGAGGGCTCACAGAAGGCTCGATTACCCTCGGCAAGGTCCGGCGTTTCTGGCGCACGCATCGAAAGATTATTGTCGATGAAATGAAGAAGCGAGATCCCGAGAACATCCATGGAGAGCCCCATCCACCCGCCACTCGAGTATATGCACACGGCCTCACAGACCTGGTGTTTAGCAATGCTACTGTGTCGGAAGATTTAATTCCCGAGACTTTGGCGCTGGATCATCAACGACTAGAACGTCTGCACGCCAAGGCCTTCCAGATCGTGGCCACGGCATCTATTCTATTGACTGCCAAGAATCTATTGAAGCGTGATGCCCGCTCTCAATGGAAGGCGGAGGCCGACCGCATTCTCTCTTTGGACTTCAATGAAATCAGCGCCGACCGTGTGCAGTCTATCCTTGAATCCACGCATCCCATGCCACCCGCTGCAAGTGCTCAGCTTGCCGCCACAATTAGACGAGTGCTGGCGCCCGTCGCAACCGCAAGTACTGCGGCTGCACCCCAAGCTGCTGTTCACGTTCACCACGACAAGTCTACTGGCTCAGCTGCAGAGTCTAGCTGTGGATCTCCTGCCCCCAGCTTCTCAGACCCGGTAGCTCGGTTGATCCTTTCCCGCCTCCGAAGTCATGTTCTCTCCCGGTTGAGCGCTACTAGTGCTTCTGAGCGAATTCGTGCCACGACAACGGCTAGTCAAAGCTTAGCTGGAGCTGGAATGCCCGAGTTTGTGAGTGAAGTTGGGCAGCTGGTGGAGGAGCTTGAGAAAGTGCGCGAGGTTGATTGGCTTTGCCACGAATCAGTCTATAACCGTCTATTTGAAGAGAGTGCCTCGCAGTAATGGCGTTATTGGCAGGCACATTTCTATTAAATCACATGTCTGGTGTTTTGGTTGCTTTGAGTTTCCTTTGAAGGTTGTTGAGACTTCTGGATACAGATTGGCAGATTGGCAGGGACTATATAAGTAGTAATTGAATAGGCAGATTTGAATCTACAATAACCGTATTGGTCTAATCGATATTGCACAGGTTTATATATCTATTTTCCTAGAAATGAGACCTTGGATCGTCTTCTCTGTGCACGCTTGCTCGTATGCCCTAGTAAGCTCAGTCTAGAAAGCTAGTCAAGAGGGTTGCTGTTTAACCATAGTTTTCTGTTGCACAGAAACCATATGTGCTGCGACAATCTGGCCATTAGCTTTATATGCGCTGGCGAGATTACGCCGGGACATCAACCGGGAGGGATGTTCTTCAGCCAGGGTTCTCTCCTGCACAGAAACCACATGCTTCAGCAGTTCCATTGCTTCGACAATCCGGCCGTTAGCCTGGTATGCACTAGCAAGCTTATCTTGGGAGTCCAGTAGAGAAGGATGCTCTTCGGCCAGAGTCCTCTCTCGTATCGTAACCACATGCTCAAAGAGCTCAACGGCTTGGGTGAGCTGACCGTTAGCTTGATAGGCACTAGCAAGCTTATGTTGGGATGATAATCGAGATGGGTGCTCTTCGGCTAGAGTTCTCTCTTGTATCGCAACAACATGCTCGAATAGCTTAACGGCTTCGACAATCTGGCCATTAGCTTGATATGCGCTCGCCAATTTACGCTGGGATATCAACCGAGAGGGATGCTCTTCAGCCAGGGTTCTCTCCTGCACAGAAACCACATGTTCAAGTAGTTCGACTGCTTCGACAATCCGGTTGTTAGCCTGATATGCGCTAGCAAGCTTGTACTGGGAGACCAGTAGAGAGGGGTGCTCTTTAGCTAGTGTTTTCCCTTGTATTGCAACCACAGACTCAAGCAGCTCGACCGCCTTGGCAATCTGGCCGTTGGCTTGGTATGCGGTGGCTAGCTCACGCTGGGATATCAGTCGGTCAGGCTGGCCTTCATCTGCTGTTTTCTCTTGTATCGCAACCACATACTCAAGCAGCTCCACGGCTTTGGCAATCTGACCATTAGCTTGGTATGCGCTGGCTAGCTCACGCTCAGAGGCCAGTCGGTCAGAGTGGCCTTCGTCTAGCGTTTTCCCTTGTATCGTGACCACATGCTCAAGCAGCTCAACTGCTTTTACAATCTGGCCGTCGGCTTGGTATGCGCTAGCAAGCTGATATTGGGATACCAGTCGATCAGGGTCCTTCTCATCTAGTGTTCCCTCTTGTACCGCAACCACATGCTCAAGCAGCTCGACCGCCTTAGCAATCTGGCCGTTAGCTTGGTATGCGGTGGCTAGCTCACGCTGGGATATCATTCGGTCAGGCTGGCCTTCATCTCGGGTTTTCTTTTGCATCGCAACCACAAACTCAAGCGCCATGGCTTTGGGGATCTGGCCATTAGCTTGATATGCGCTAGCAAGCTGATATTGGGATCCCAGTCGATCAGGGTCCTTCTCATCTAAAGTTCTCCCTTGTACTCCAACAACATGCTCAAGTAGCTTAACCGCTTTAACAAGCTGGCCGTCGGCCTGGTATGCGCTAGCCAGCTCACGCTGAGATGCCAGTCGGTCAGAGTGGTCTTCATCTAGCGTTTTCCCTTGTACTGCGACCACGTGCTCAAGCAGCTTGACCGCTGCGGCATTATGACCGTTATTCCTGTATCCGTTGGCGAGGGACCTTAGTACAGAGATGTCTTCTTCATCGATGGCTCTGTCTAGGGTGGTGAGCTCAGGCTGCTCTTCAACCATGGCCCCACTCAGACGATCATCACTGATTGACATGACCGGGCTCTGAGGCTCCACTATATTGCCGCTGGAGAGGGGATGAGAGACTGGAAGAAGAACCGGAGACGGCTGGAGCCCAGCATTTGGTGAAGTTCCGAGATCAGGACTGAAACGACGGTTCTGCAATTTAAGGAGAGACGTCAAGCCCTCACGAACACTCGCAAGGAGTGTTGGATTATCGGGTGGACTAATGATAAGGCAGTCGGCTGTTAGTAAAAAATTGAAATCGACAGTGGGCTTACATACTCCTTCACCGCGTCTCCTAGCTCCCTGAGGAAAATCTTGTATCTTGCCAGGCGGGTTGAAAGGCTGTACTGCGACTCATCCCAGAAAAACCTACTCATCTCCAGCCACACCATCTTGTAGTCTGCAATGGTGTTGTTGTCACCATCAAGACGGTGAAAATGATCGAAAATATCCTTCAAAGTTAGTTGCATACTACTCAGCACCAAGTTCACGTCGGACCGGATGCGAAAGTACCGGGCATCATGCGAAAATACCTCCAGGCTGGTCAACGAGGAGCTGATTGTATGTAGATCAGACATCATACCGGTCACCTCAGCTGCATATTCTGGAAGAGGGGTATGAAAGGTAATGAAGCCGGCTGCCGCATCCTCGGCATCTTCAGCAGACATACGCAGAGTCTTTTTCACCGCAGCCGCATCCTCTTCATGAATTATACCAGGGATCTCAACACCCTCGATATCCAGACTCGATTGGTCAAGACTTACACCGCTACTCAAAGGGCCTCCTGAGCTATCAGAATCAACTTGAGCTCTGTAGGATACTTCGCTAGAAGGGTCGCGATTGTTTCCGCTGCCAGACAGCCTCGGAAGAGCAAAACTTGCTATGCGCTGAAGATGGTAGGCAATATGAGAGACTGATATATCCTGGGCGTGGCAAATCAGGCATTCCCTTGTTTGACTTTTAGGGGAACTGTCTCTTGCGGCACTCGTTGGCAAATGCCAAGTACTTTCATGTGCGACCCAGTCGTGAAGACTATCATACTGTTGATCAGGGTCCCGGCAGTGTTCGTAGGTACAAATATAAGGCCGTAGATCCCGAAAGACATGTGTTCAAGATTGTAAGTCAGTAAGCATTATTTTAATTTCAGGAAAGAGCACTCACTCCCATGCTTTTTTCTCTAGTGTTTTCCGTGGGCACATAGTGCAGCAAAGGTGGCATTCAAATTCTTTGGCGGACACATCTACTACTGGTGGGGATGGGATCACTGCCTGATCACCATTTCGCTCATTGGGTGTTGATAGAAAGGTACTTGTCGATGATATTGCAGAGACATTATCATCCAGATTTACCTTTTCTGGATTAAGCCAAGTCGCTGTCGAGGGCATCGAGGGAGCTGATTGCGCTCGCGGCAGCTTTGGATTTTCTGCTCTAGAAGAATTCTCTTCGTCAAGAGTCTTTTTTGTCTCATGCTGGCGATCGAGCGATTCATACTTTGCTCTGCGCTTCTGCCAATATCGAAATTGTTGCCTCCGCCGGGTATTCGCCTTTGCTAGACGTTCGATCAAGTACTGACATTGACTAAGGTCAGTATGACCGAAAGAACGAAATAGCTCTTGTACATGGAGAACATCAACTATCGCAAACTCTTTGATGAGGTCTCGGCCAGTCTCTGGGTCAGTCTCGGTGTAGGTCGATGCTTTGGAAAGTCCAAATCTCATGGCAGGATTTCGAATCTTGAATGCGAGTCGATAAAGTCTATCGATTGTCGAGACGATATTAATGAAGAAAGCTTCGGTTGGGGGTTCAGTTTGGTATGACGAAAGATCCTCTTCATCGGAATCTTCCTCGATATCGATATGTAGATCGGTATCATCTTTTATGAGAGATGTTTGGACTGAGATATCTCAGTTATACACACCTGCGATGGGACTGGGACTACTTACACTGATGCAGCGCCCGTTCCAAGTCGTGAAGTAAGTCAAGAGTATAATTAAAAACAAGAGATGCATCCCGTAGACGGTAATCGAGGGAACTATGCCCACCGTGATAAACTCCGAGATTGATTGCCCATAGTTCGAACCTTTGCAGCTCATTCGAAAGGGCTAGATCATCCCTAACCAGACGCTCGACAGAGACAAACTGATCCCGAATGTTCCGTCCAACTTTGCACAGAGTATCTGCTGGATTTGCCATCATGCAATGGTTGGAGTCCCCAAAGCGGGGTAAGTGAAATGATAAAAATCACGGAGTAAGCAGTGTACTATGAACAGTCACAACATCTCTCCTTTTCAGGTTTAGCGGTATTTTTGGTCAATTCTAGCCCCTCGTAATCTCGTAAACAGCTCAACTCCGCTTCCTAATTTCATACAAAATGAGCGGCTTTGAAGTTGTCGGAATTGTTCTAGGTGCACTTCCATTGATTATCACGGCTATTGATCAATATCGAGTCAGCAAGAAGTTATTTCAGGCGTTTCGGCACAAAGAACCCTATATCGATCGGCTCCTCCAGTCCCTGAAGGAGCAGAATTTCTTTCTGGAATCTGACCTGTTCATGACCTTGAAAGAAACCTTTGGTGATCGTTATTCCTTCCAGACAACCTCCATCATCTTCGAAAATCCCGAAGTTGCTAAGGGGGTTCAAGAATATCTTGGTGACGGATATGAGCACTATATTGGCGCACTGTCGCGATGCGAGCAAATATTGACCGATATAGTTGGGCATATCAAGGGTTTAGCATCAGAAAAACAGGTATGACCTTGAGAGAATCCATCGGTATGGTTTCTAACTGCCAGTATAGAACCTTTCGACACTCATTCAAACCTATCCACGGAGGAACGGGACCTATGAGTTGACCAAAAAGATCAAGTTCGCTCTAGCAAGAGATGATTTAGAGAAAAGAATCCAAGATTTGAACGATGCCACCATGATGCTACGTCGGATTCGCGACTGTAGTCTCTCACGGACTGGAATCGCCATTCAATCTAGATCTTCAACGACCAAGAGAAGCACGTCTTATTTTGATACGATTAGAAAGCATGCCAGTCGTTTATACTCGGCAATTTCCACTGCATATGGGGGAAGCTGTCATCCAGAGCATGGAGCTCATCTATTCCTTCAAAGTAGGGCCGACTTGCTGGGCAGATCAAGTTCCCGGAATAGAGCCATGGTTTTCACAATATCATTTGGTCCTGTTGACCATGCCATCATCACAGAAGTGAAAGTCGTGGAAGACTTAACCTCTCCTTCCAAGTAAGTATGAACCATACCATCATACAAAATTGGGATCTAATCAGAGGAGCTTTGGCAGCACTCGTACGACTCGTGTATCTTACGCAGTTTCTGATTCGATTCAGCAACCTACGCTCAGCGTCATACAAGATTTATGTCTGCATCTTTCCAACATAATGGATACAAACTTGCAACTATCCGAGGACTGTCAGCTTTATTACCGTCCAGGTCCCGAGACAATAATTCGACAACCTGCAGCGCCCGGTACGGTCTACTCACTCGATCAAGTCCTCCAACCCACATCTGCCATGAAGCCACCCCTCAACTCACGAATTGCTTTGTCCTTCAATATCGCATCTTCAGTGATGCAGTTGAATTTCACACAATGGTTTCAGTGCCCTTTAACAAGCAATATGATCCGTCTTCTACCCGGAAATTCCGAGCCAGGGCCGGGGATTCAGCCATATATCAGCCACAAGTTTTATTCCTCTCCCTCCGACGTAACATGCGCCTGCAATGTTCGGCGAGTCATGCTTGAGCTCGGTATCATTCTGCTTGAGCTATGGCATGCACAAACATTTACCACATACGCAGCGGGGGTTGGAAAGCCGCTTGATGAGACTTTCGGATTTCGATACGACATGGCGTGCAAATGGTTGGACATCAGTAGAGACCACATTCTCCCATTCTACTTGGATGTGGCGACCAGATGCATCGAGTGTACCTTTGCCACTAGTACTGCAAGTCTGGACTGGAATGATACAGTATTCCGAGAATCAGTTTTCGACTATGTAGTGAAGCCTCTGTGGGAGAACTGCCCGAAACCTATTAAATAGGGACGAATGCATGACACTAAGGCAAAAAAACTCAAGGGTCTAATTGGTGCTAGAATATGAATGTACATATGAGATTCCATTCATTATTATTTCAAAGGGCTTCCAAGGTTCTTCGGATGGTAAAGATCACGATGGTCATAATATATATCTCTACATAGATTTGCTCTCAACTAGTAAAAAGCTCAAATTAACGATATTTGGAGGACTTGGTGATTTCTCTATGGTATTGACTGAGTGGAATTGGATTTTTTTTTTTTTTAAAAAAAAACATCACTAATAAGTGTACCCAGTACCAATTATATCCAAATCTGATGTTGGAAAGAAAAAAAAAAAGAATGCATTGGAAAGCTCCTACCCTGGTTCGAACAGGGGTTTGCTGAAGACAAGAAATTCCAGTCAAAATCAGCCGGGATGACCACTACCCCATAGGAGCCTTTTTGCTTATTTGAGGACTTTTGATCATGGTATATAACCTACAAATCAAATATACTAAAAAGTATTCCAACATTCGAACTTGGATAGCTATCTAATCTGAAGTTAGAATCCCCCCACCTATCGAAGTTAATCGCTTTAAATAAATTTCCCCCTCCACCACATGTACACCTTCAGTCCCAATTGAACTCCCTCTATCACACCCAATATGACGGAGCCCAAACTCACCCTCCTGTCGGACCTGACACCCCCGTCCCTAGAACGCACATGGCTCACCGCACCACACCCCACTCTCCCCATCGTTGCGACCTGCAGCTCCGACAAGACTGTTCGGATATACTCACTCACAAACTTCAAACTCCTATCAACTATTACAGGCGGACATAAGCGCAGTGTCCGCACGGCTGCTTGGAAGCCACACGTACAAGGCGAAAGTGTCCTAGCTACCGGTAGCTTTGACGCTACTGTTGGTGTTTGGCGACGATGGGATAGCTACGGGCGCTCCGAGGAGGCTTCCGGGAATGACATTTCCAATGCCAATGCTGATATGGATGGGGAGGATGTCGATGCGGAGGATGAGGAGGAGTGGCGCTTTGCTGTACTGCTGGATGGACATGATAGTGAGGTCAAGTCTGTTTCGTGGTCACCGTCTGGAATGTTGTTGGCAACTTGTGCGCGTGATAAGTCGATTTGGATCTGGGAGGATCTGGATGATGGGGATAACAACTTTGAGACGGTTGCTGTTATGCAGGAGCATAGTGGTGATGTTAAGTGTGTGGCGTGGCACCCTGTTGAGGAATGTCTCGCGAGTGGCGGATACGACGATACGATTCGACTATGGAGAGAGGATCTGGATGATTGGGGTCAGGTCGCTTGTATCAAGAAGCATGAGGGGACTGTGTGGTTTGTGGATTGGGAGGGGACCGACACGGTGCCGAGGGTGGAGGGATCCGATGCGGTGGCATTACAAAGTCAATGGCGAGAACAACGTGTGCTTTCTGGCCCAAGACTGGTTTCTTGCTCGGATGATCGTACTGTTCGGGTTTGGCGTCGGCTGCCTAAGGAGAGTGTGCAGATGGGCGCCTTGTCATCGGCTGCTACTGGGATCCCGAGTATTATTCGGCCCACTGGTACCGATGAGACATGGGAAGAGGATGCTTTGTTGCCACATGCCCATGAACTAGCGGTCTATGCGGTTGCTTGGAGTCGACGGACGGGTCTTATTGCGTCGGTTGGTGCTGACGGACGGATCATTCTATACGAGGAGCGGATTGTACATCCTGACGCGGATGCTATGGACACCGAGTCGGAGGGCAAGGCCCTCCTGCAGACGGAGTGGTCAATACTCGCCGTGGTGAATGGTGCGCATGGTATCTACGAGATCAACCACGCTGCTTGGGCCAAACGGGCAGACCGTGGGGCCGTGGAAGATGAGGAAGTTCTGGTCACAACCGCGGACGATGGCAGTGTCAAGGTATGGACACTGCAGCGGTGATCTACATAGTCATGTGTTTAAATACTTCATGTCACTCGAGCGGAAACGAGTGACTTCGGACATAGAAGAGACCTGTGATCTAGTAACTCACAATGCTACAGAGTGCATATGGCAGACTCGAAACAAAATCATGTCAATATCATCATTTATATTGTAGTCTATTGGAAGATCCAGAAGTATACGCCTTTGTACAGATGCAGCCAAACCACAGGGATTGAAAATCGAATCCCAAATAACAGCAATCCGAACAAAATGAAAATCCAATACACCACTACAACACCAACATGCATGCTTCTTCTCATCATTATGGTTAATGGTGATTGTTATCAACGGGATGAGAGCCGATGTGAGGATCATTCACGTCGTGGTCCTCATCATCGCTAACATCCCCAACTGCGTAATGATTCCGATCAAGGCCAGTCAGATGCAATTCATCCAGCTCCGATTCATCAAAGTCACCGGCCTCAAGATCGTTATTATGCTTGTTTTGGAATCGATCCAAGACAGATCCAGCCCGCATATCCATATCTTGAGGATTGACCCCACGGTAACCGCGTTGGGTTCGGCGACTGCGCCAGATGAAGAAACCCCAGACAGTGACACCAATTATGACCACCACCAGGATGGCCTCTCCAGATTTGGTGTAGGCGTGCATCTCGGTATCCTTGATCTTTTTCTTCTCTTCCTGCTCGGCGACAGTGCTATTGGTTTGACCACCTACCGAGGTCTGGGGCAATTTCTCGCCGTCGATACGCGAGTCAGCGGGCCGCCCACCGATACTGGCGATGTCCACATTCATGAAACGGTCAAGCATATCGCGAGTCTGGCGAGGTGAGTCGAAGGGGACCATGTGGCTGGCATTGTAGAACAAGACATAGGTCAGATTACGGGCATGTTGGTAGATGCCGGCCGGTTCACCCTCGAAAGTCCAGTCATGGCGCGGAGCCCACTCGCCCGGCGCGGTCTCAAAGCCCGTGGCACCCTTCCACTTCAAGCCGTGTATGTAGGTCTCCGTTCCAATGTGATTGCAGATCATATCCTTATCACCACTGAACAGAAGCACGTTGATTCCATCCTCAATCAGGCCAGGAATCAACTTGCCTGCCGCCTGGGAATTTGAGGCGTGGAAGGCCTTGCTTACACCACCGGAGCATTCCTGCCAGCCGGTCATCTTCGCAGGATTGATGTTCAAGGCTTTAACCACGTCCTGGCGCTGCAGGTACGGTGAAATGAACGTCAAGTCTGGGGGCCAGTTCATGCCACACGCAGGCCATGAGTCTTTCAAACGAATGTCGTATACGTTCATGCACTCGCCATCGTACTGGCCAATGGACAGCATGCTTTGCAAGACCTGTTCGCACTCGGGAACATTGACGTGATCCATGATCCCCGGGGTTTCCAGCTTGGATAAACAAACCGAGTTCACGGCTTCGATTCTTTTGTATTCAGACGACCCCTTCTCAATCAAACCTTCACGCTCGGCGAATTCAAAGTAAGACGGATACTGTTCAGGTGAGATCCAACCGTTTCCGATGAGCAGGCCCTTGAGTGGCCACTTTCTTTGTCCATTTTCCTCAGCCGCCTTGTTGCGATCTTTGATAGCTCTGGCGATGTAGGGGATATGCTGGCCTGCGTACGATTCACCGGCAATATAAATCTACGGAGTTCAGTCAGCATGAGCCCAGGGAAAAAAAGGCAGGAAGCACATACGTCGTCTCGTTCATACTCTGGGAACAATTCAAAGAAGGACTCCAAGAAGATCATAAAATGGGCCGCCATTTGATCTAACTCATGGAGGTAGCTGTTGGTGTTGGCGTAACTGAAGCCGGTACCAACAGGTTGGTCAACAAAGAGCAAATTAGCGAACTCATCCCACGAGCCCTTGTTGTACTCCAATGTGTGATCGTCCTTGAGCCGGTATGGGCCAACCTCCATCAGAGCACCATCCATGGAGCTACATCCCGGTCCACCATTAAGCCAGATCACCGTGCGCTGTCGGTTTGCGATATGTCGATTCTGGTAATGCCAGAAGAAGAGGTTGCCGTTAGTCTCCGGGTCGACTTCGATGTGTCTGTCATAGTTAGCCGCAAGTTCACCCTTTGCGCAGAATTCTGCAGAAACCTACCCGGCGTGCATCTTCAAAAGCGGCCCTTCCGGAGCCCCTGGTAAATCGTGGACATAATAATCGGCTTGTGAAGCCGCGGCTGCAAGTGTTGGACCTAGTAAGGACAAGGTCCATGACAGCATGGCTAGAGCCCCACCCTTGGAGCGGCGCAAGGGCATCGAGAACATGATCTCTTGATCCTGCACCCTATCTTTTAAATATTTTCCAAGGTTGTCTTCGCGTGTGCTCTTCCAGTAAAGGAAGTGCGCAGTGTTGAAGGCCCGCGACGGACTGGCAATGACGGGATCAAGTGGTCATCGGAATCTTGGCGGATAAAAGGGGGCGGAAATGCACGGGTAAAGGTAACAGAGATAAGGAGAAGCTTGATCCCTCCACGAATCCCCTGAATATGTATGCCCAGTCTGAAGATGAATAGGAAGTGGAAAGGGACTAGAAGGGAGTAATGGGACGATCGGGGGTTTGCGTGGCCTGGACCCGGTCAGGTATTCTATATGGTATATGTAATACATGTAATTTACTAGCAATACAGATGGATGATACTGGTTTTAAGGTATACCATACATGTATGAGACCACTTAGCCACCTAATTGCCCGATTAGGGACTCTTTAGGTTGAATTATGTAGATTTCTTTGTATCATGATATCTTTATTGATTTGAACTGGAACTGGAACTGAAATTGGAACTGGACCATCATTATCATATATTCGACTTTATTTCTAGTTGACATTCAAAGCTTAGAAGAAATCCACGCTTTTATCAGCATCGTTTTTAATCAGATCCACCATCCCCTGAGTTGGTTAGCCAAGATTCTCTATTTAAAGAATAATAGTTTGCTTACATCGGGCATGATCGGCTCGCCATTGGCATCTTTCACGTAGCGGAACGGCATTTCAGTTCGTTCGTGCTCGTTGATCAAAATTTCAGGGTAGTCGACATAGGGAATCTGCTCTAGCGGGACTATTGAGGGTTAACCAATAACCATAAAAGTAGAGCTCAAGTGATAGTACCTTTCTCATGAACTACCATGCGAGTCACTCGCACTGCAGTATCAGTAGTCATCTGCTTGGGACCTAGACGTCGACCAACGTAGCCCTTTTTACGCAGTTCGGAAGTACGGTCTAATTAAGTCAGTACAGAGTCAATTGCTTTCATAGTAAAGACATACCTCGTGGTGGATCATCACCTAACAAAGTTGCAATTTAAGTTAGCCTTTTGCTAGAATAAAGCGGGATTTTCCCTTTCTTCTCTTTTTTTTTTTTAATCGCGGGGGTTTGAAAAAGAAGAATCCGTACCGAGAATGCCGCCGAACAAGAATACATCAAATGTCTCTCCATCTTCCGGACTCAATTCCACCTTCGCTGAGGGATCCAACAGACAGACTCTATCCTTGCAATCAGCAAAGATATCCTCGACACTGCGTTGCTCCACCTCAAGGCCCCGGGTGGCGGCTAGGTCGGCGGGCATCTGCAGCTCGGCGGGCACGGAGCTTAGCAGGAATCGAGCTCCGCGATCGTGCGATTCGCGAGCGATAGCAGCATATTCCAGTGCGGACCATGGACCCAGTTCAGGATCCAGGTGTTCAACCACAAAGGCTCGGGTCTTCTGATCAGTCATGGCGGGGGTGGAAGGTGAAAGAGGAAAAGGAAAAGAGTTTGGTCCCACTCGGAGAACTTCAGACGATGCGGCTAACTTGGCCCTGGGAGTAGTTTTAAGAGGTTTGAGGATACGACCTCGGGAGTTGGGCATTAATTCCCTCTATTGATTTGATAATTTGAGTTGATGTTCTGATGTTTCTTCTATTCCTCTGTTCATTTTCCCTTTTATACAGAATAGCTCGTCATGAGATGATGACGTATATTTGTGTTGCCGCACACAAAGCTTCCTATATAGAGTAAATTAGCTAGAATATTCTGAGAGACAGAAATAATACCAGATCAGATGATCAAAAATCATTTTGAGCTTAAAACTGAGATGAAAGTATCCGAAATCCGAAGTCCCAAAGTCCAAAGTTTGTCTCCACGAGATTGGGCGCGGATAAGTTATCGATAGAGTAATCAATTCCCCTCCCCCCCAAGAACGTTTTCAACCTTTCAACTTTTCCACTTTCCCAACTTCATTACTCTGGGGCTTCTCAAATATTCCAATCGAAACTTCCTTTCTCAACCTTTAACTAGCATTCACCATGAATCCCCTCAAGCAAAGTGATGTCGATACTAGCGTGAGTCGTTGCGACCCCCCTCCCCCAAGTTCCATAACCTAATCTCTACTTGGTAGAAATTGAGCCCGGATGAGCAGCGTCTTTATGCCTTGTACGGTAAGAGACCCAACAAGAAGGATGTGCTGCAAAACAAGCTCAAGGTGAGTTCAAGTCGACCCCTCTCTACGATCGCCTCCACCCCTCACCATCACCCTCCGGTGATTTTATGAGGATTTGACCATATCCTTTTCCCAAATATAACCCTGGATCTCTAAATCTGACTCTGATTCTTTTATTTTCCTCTACATAGGAGCGCAAATACTTTGATTCTGGCGACTACGCGCTGAGCAAGGCCGGCAAAGCTTCGGATGTCGGCGTCACCAACATCGGCTCCCGCCACCCAGTCCCTGAGAACATCCCACACCTGACAGCCACCTCCCCAGGTGCCAACAACCCCACAATGGGAAATGGCAGTATCAGTGCTCAAGGTGGTCAACAAATCCCGGGCAGCTTTAGTGGTCACCCCAGCTCGATCGGGTTCCAGAGCCGTAGCCCCATTAAAGAGGGTAGCTTCCTGCACCGTGGTTCTAGCCTCAGTGAGGGTTCTGCGGGCCCGGATACCCAGGATAAGGAGCTGAGTGTGAGCCCACCACCTGCTCGGGAAGGTGTGCCCATTCGCCGTTGATTGGATGGTTCTCTTGCATTGCATGGATATCTGGGTTTTTGGTTTTGTTATTCATTTTTTGGGAGGGATTTGCTACGGATTTCTGCCTTTTTTTTCTTTCCCTTTTTTACTCATTCCACCTTATCTCTTCTGCTCTTATGTTCAAAAGCCTGGCGCTATGGCGGTATATCTCTGGGGATGTGCACTGCAGGACAGGCCCCAGAGAAAACAGAGAGGGTGATATACAAATGCTTGAAAAAACAAGAAAAAAAACGTGGAGGGAAAACACCGCAGAGGCATGGGGTCTCGACCATTTTCCTGAGTCGTGATAAATATTCCCCACATTAGAACATCAGCGCATGGCATCTTGTTCTTCAGCTCTCGTTTTAGTTGCAATCTTCGTCATCTGCGTTCCACGCTTATTTCAAGTTTTTATGCATTTCCTGTATTCCGTACACGTTTTCTTACTCGTCTCTTTCATATATTTCGAAAGCTTTCTTCCTTGTCTTATATTTTGATCCATTTCATTTGGACCAATTTGTCAATGTGAAATTATCTGGCCCTCAGACAGTCTCGATAACACTTACCTGTCGTAATCTGACGATGTAGACATGGCCAGGTGGCTTCGAGGTCGGTACGACCCTGAATTTAATTATGCTTGTGTAGCCTAAGGTATCCCAATAACGTCCATGTCTCCTAGGCACCTGTGGATGATTGCTATGGAAGACTTTCCCAATCGGGTTAGTATACGGTGCAGTTTAGCATATCGTTCAATGATATCGTTGTATCTAGTTTAGATGCCACATAGGGCGGGATGTATTCAGATATTTTATGTACATAGATGACAAGCAACAGTCAAACATTACTGAGGGTGAACCCAAGTCCTTTAGCCAGAGCATGAGAAAGCATGTCAGATAAACCGGACCAGATGGATGGCAAAGGGTATAGGTAGCAGATGTGAGTCAGGCTAAGATAGGGCAATGCGATGGCGAGAAAATTGATACTGGTATCAGGGGGTCATGACAAGAACGAACCAACAAAACCTAGATAATGACCAGGTAGAAGAATGAGAGGAAAACACCCGGGGAGATTGAAGGGCTAAAGGCCACGCCCAATAGAAAAGGTGGTGCTCTCTCAAAGGTAAATGCCACCTCTTAAACATGGAGGTTGGGAGCTGCCATACAGCCAAGGGCTTGGTAGAAGCAAAAGGGGGTTCCAATATGATGCCCGTTTATAGCAGCGGGGAAGGGGTTAGGAGGGATTTAGATAGGTCATCGCGAATTGCAAGAGTGACTGGGTAGGCAAGTGACCTCCATTTGAAACGAGGCAGATGACACATGGCATTGAACTTCCCCGGAGAGTTCCCAGAAAAGGCGGCTGGTTCTTTCTCAACGGTCTTGGTTGAAGTGCATATCGACGGGCATGGCGTTGAGTGACAGCCATATTTTTTCACATGGTCGTTTGGGTCGAAGTTGGGCGTAGCGACTTAAGAATGCGGGCGGTATTGGAGGAAACCGGGTATTTCGATTCTGGACACGATCCCAGAATACAAAGCGAATTGCACGCTCCAATGACGCTCCAAACCAAGAAGATTTTCAGTCGGTTTTCCAATGGCCAGTCAGTCCATTGTCAAGGTCGTTGTGCTCCCCAAGCCAAAGCTCAACTGCGTACAATGCGGTAGTGCACGCTAGGTTGATCCATCGCCAGAGATTGCTTCCGCCAGCACCTTGAGTGCTCCACCACTCGCCGACGCCTCCCATTGCTTGTGAGGTGGACGAGAAGTGCTGCATTAGGAGACTGGTGTAGACAGCAATGAGTATCGACGGCGAGAAGTAGCTCAGGAAAGCCAGGACTTGACCAGCGGCATCAGAATCTTCAAGAGAAGCCTCCTGTGAGAGAGCGCGGGCTCCGGATTCACGCACTGCTGGGATAATTCGCGTTGATGCATACAGGACAAGGAGTCGGTAGGCGAGCGAGATCAGAACTGATGGCGTGACCGCACTGAAGACAGCCGTGATGACGTTGAAGCCCGCGTGGATGATTGAGGGTAGGAGAGACAAGGCGTGCATGAGAGTGGTGTATGAAGCCATAAAGATGGGCGGGAGCGGGGGAAATTCGCCTGCTTGTGAGGGAGACGGAATCTGCTCGACTGGGTACGACGGCTGGTAGTCGGTAAAGATCTGGTAAATGCAGAGAACGATGTAGGCGAACAGCAGCGAGCTCTCCACTGGGTTTCCACGCCCACTACCAATGCCCCAGGCACATAGGATGACTGCGCAAGTAATCGAAACGCCGATCAGGGCCGCATCCACATTGGAAATTTCCGGGAACTGAAGAACGCGCCAAAGGAAGTAGACGGAGCTAGAGATGACGGTAGCTGATAGGACGAGGAGACCGATCTGTAGCAGGTTAGGTTCCTGTCAAGGCGCAAAGGGGGGACAAAGGTGAGAACATACCATCCAGCTATCGCTGCGTCCGCCTCGGTTCACAAGCCACCGGGTGATTTGGCCAGCGGCCTGAATCACCAAGAGGCTACAGAAACCCTCTGCTAGCTGGAAGACAGGGGTAGACCAGCGCAGAAGCCGGTCCCAGTTGCCCAGGGTCGCAGTTTCGACCAAACCATCCCGACCGAACAGCCATTCCTGAATGGAGCTATCCTGCGCTCGGTTCCCGCTGAAGGTGCGCTCCACCCACCCGCTACTATTCTCCGGGTCAACCGAGAACCGATTAAGGGACCAGATCAACAATATCGGAATTATAATCCATTGTGTCGAGCGGACGATGGCAACAAGCGATGATCGGAACCAGGAGCGCTTAGGGGTAGCGAGGCGCAATAGTGAGAAGAGGAAGTAAAATGTTGCGAGAGATAGGGAGAAGGCCAGACCACATGTCTTCCCGCCCACGTCAAAGGCCAAGGGGATAGAAGAGACCGTGACGGCGAGGAAGACGGCCGACGAGAAGACTCGAAAGAGCCACATTCAGGGAGGAGACGCGCAAGGGCGCGTAGAGCAAGTCGCGTTTTGGTGTTGATGAGGAGAATGGGGAAGAGGGGGGGAAAGGCACACGATCGGGGTTTTTTTTCCCTTATTTTTCGTCCCTTCTCTCTCGAGCTTATCGCTGGTTTCACGGTTGGTCTCAGGAATTGTGTTAAGTTTTGAAAATCAAACAAGAGGAATTATATCTATAGATAGACATGTAGATGAAGAATTTGAAAAATTCAAGTTCAAATAGATTAAAGTGCATTCTAACTCTGCACATGTGCTGGTGTCGTGCTAGGGCAGCAAAAGGCTAGACTGGCGGTCAGAGCGCCCAGCTTATACAGTAGAGAAGCAGAGAACTACATATGGTTACATATATGCCTAAGAATATGTATATAGTATGATATATCAAAGGCTCTATATCTATATATCAACTAATTTCAGGTTTTACAAAAGGTTCTACGATCTTGATGGTTTGTCACATACTAAAAACTAGTGGAATGCTACCATAGTTTTGTACTTCATACTTTTGGTTTACCTCTTTCCCTCGAAACAGTCAAAATATGAGAGTTTTGCTACATCAGGAAGGTGCGACTGTCTACATACATGTATATCCCTTCCTTCTTCTGAATTATTATTAAAACCTTAGAAATCTGGCAAACAAAATCAATCACCTGAGTCTATTCAACCCTATTGCTAAGCCCTGATTTCCTGATATAGCTCTCCCCCGCCGCTGATAAGATTGAACCAGCCAGATCAAAGCTAATCATAATCGCCTTTTCTCTTTACATGCTACGCTTTCGTACTTTTTCGAAAATGGCTGAAACTGTTTCAAAGAAGCTTAAGACTGCTCCAGTCATTGGAACCCACAAGTATGTTATCCTTCAATGGAGACTTGGTATTCTTTCACCTTGAAAAAAAAAAGTCTGTAACTAATAGCTTCCAATCAGTGGTCACTTCCATGCTGATGAAGCCCTAGCGGTTTACCTGCTCCAGCTTTTGCCTACTTATGCTTCATCCCCGCTGATTCGCACCCGCGACCCGGCTCAGCTGGAGACCTGCCACACTGTTGTCGATGTGGGTGGAGTGTATGATCCTGAGATCAACCGTTACGACCACCACCAGCGCACCTTTGATACCACTTTCCCCCAGCACAACACCAAGCTCTCCTCCGCTGGACTGGTTTACATGCACTTTGGCCGTGCCATTATTGCCCAGAAGCTATCCCTGCCCCAGGACCACCAGGATGTGGACCTGCTGTACGAGAAGCTCTACACAGACTTTATTGAGGCGATCGATGCCAACGACAACGGTATCTCTGTCTACGATCCTGCTGCCATCGCTGCTGCCAACTTGGAGAAGCGTTTCAAGAACGGTGGTGTCACTCTTGCCTCCATTGTCGGTGACATGAACAACCCGGACCCAACCAGCCCACCTGGCGAGGCCCAGGATGAGGATAGCCTGTTCGGCCGGGCCAGCAAGCTCATCGGTAACGTTTTCGCCCGCAAGCTGCATCACGCTTGCCACTCGTGGCTTCCTGCCCGCACCACCGTCGGTAATGCCTACCAATCACGCCACGAGGTTCACTCCTCTGGTCGCATCGTTGTGTTCCCCGAGGGCGGTGTTCCCTGGAAGGAGCACCTCTACAACTTCGAGAAGGACGCCTCCAGCGGTGAGGGTATCGACCCTGACGCGCAGGTCTACTATGTTCTGTACCCTGAGAGCAGCGCCGCGGACTCCAAGTGGCGTGTGCAGTGCGTTTCCGAGTCCGAAGGTAGCTTCGTGTCCCGGAAGCCTCTCCCCGAAGCCTGGCGCGGCGTTCGTGACCAAGATCTGGATGGACTGATGGCCTCCCAGGCTGAGCAGGCCGGCCAGGAGAAGCTCCCCGCCGGTGCTATCTTTGTGCATGCCAGCGGTTTCATTGGTGGCCACAAGACCAAGGAAGGTGCTATGGCCATGGCTATCCGCAGCTTGGAGTAATAATGAGATACGGTTCGGAAAGGAATACCAATATCAAAAAAGTTCATGGTTATTATATGATGATATCAAGCATAATCTTTGAAATATAGAGAATATCTAAATGTTCACACTGAATTATACGGTCAAATACAGTAGCCTCAGAAACATAATAGACAAGGTCTAGTATGGCAATTTAATACAATCAACATGTAACGTGGACGAGCAAACAAGGAATCTTGACCTCCGCGGCTTCTCATGCGAATCTCTTCCTCAACGTCATAACATTATGGGTCTTTTCCACGGCCATAGTGTTCGTTGGACACTGTTCTTTTGATGAGGTAAATGGCTGCTGTTGGAACCAAGATTGCGGTCGACAGGGACACAGCTTGAATATTTAGCCACGGGCTATACTCTGCTCCTCATACAATGTTGTATGAGAGAGCTCTGGGGCGCTAGACGCCAGAAAAGGGCTAGCCAATTAAGCTCATCGAACACCAAGCCCATGCTGGAGAAGGACGTATAATTCAACCCGGGCTCAGAATTGAGCCAGGATAGGGAAGCAAGGCTATCCGAGGACTAGTTGCTGTCCAACGTTCTGCTGAGAGTAATATTCTCGATGGTGAGGCGGAATTTTCTGCCAATGACAAGGGGCACAGGAAAACTGGCGCTGGAAAGGCTATGAATCTTTGGGTAGGATCAATGACGAATGTTCAACGAGCTGATGTCTTCAATACTGCCAGTTCCGTCTCCAGGCTTTGAAACATCTTTGGCGTAGGATTGGACACCTAGTGGCTCTTCACTTTCACCCATGGCTCGCTGGATGAGCTTGGCTTTGACCGCAGCACCTTTCAAGCGCTCATCGACATCGTTCACGGCTTCTTCCGTATTGCTCATATCCAAGGAAGCAGGATCAACTAGCTCCAATAGAGTAGCTAAGTTTCTTGCCAGACGGGCACTATGTGCTGGGATCTTGGGCATTGCTTTGCAGATCGACGAAGGGTCTAGAGATAAGACATCTGACTGATCGACTGGTTGTTCGCATGATTCGTTCGGTTTGGCATCAGCCAATCGCTGGGCCCAGACGAGTGCCTTTCCATACAATCGGCCCATTTCCACGAACTTCTCAAAGCCTTTCTCGACGGCGAAAACGCTACCTTCTGTGTAGCCGGCTTCGGCGCCATCGGCGACACCCAACTGGTAGCCTTCGTTGTAGAATTGCTCCTCCAAATCAAGGAGGCCATCCAGGAGATCCGATTCCATGATTATGAGAGAGACTTTGCAGATGTCACAAGAGACAAGGGGGGTTTATATGAAAGTAAGTAGGATTTCCAAGGAGGAAGTTTTTTAGTTTTTTTCTTTGGCTGATACAGTCAGTATGCGGGGCGGATGTCACGAGCTGATAAAGCCCACTTTTCTCGATTTTCCGACTTTCCCCTCCATCTTTCTCATCTACAAACCACAATGGCGGCAACAAACCCAATTTTGCCCAAGAAGGGCGAGCGCAATATTCTCATCACTAGCGCACTGCCATATGTGAACAATGTGCCTCACCTGGGCAATGTTGTCGGCTCTGTCCTGAGTGCTGATGCCTTTTCGAGGTATGACTCAACACATCCCACCATGAAGTCTTCAAAGAAATCTGACATTTAGTGATCATAAGATACCACAAGGCTTGTGGACGGCAAACACTTTACATCTGCGGAACGGACGAGTATGGTACAGCCACCGAGACAAAGGCATTGGAGGAGAAGGTGACTCCGGAGGAGCTCTGCGCCAAGTACAACAAGATCCATCAGGAGGTGTACGAATGGTTTAACATTGGATTCGACCACTTTGGTCGCACTCCGACTCAGCAACACACCGAGATCTCCCAGGCGATATTCAAGCGGCTCCAGGAGAACGGCTTCCTGGCTGAGCGCACTGCCGAGCAGCCTTTCTGTGAACAACACGGCTCGTTCCTGGCGGATCGATATGTCGAGGGTGAATGTCCCCGGTGCCACTACGACGATGCGCGTGGAGATCAGTGTGACAAGTGCGGTCACCTCCTGGATCCCTTTGACCTTATCAAGCCTCGGTGCAAGCTCGACGGAGCAACCCCTGTGCGCCGCGAGACAAAACACATCCACCTGCTGCTCGACAAGCTTCAGCCGGAGGTTGAGAAGTGGGCTAACGAGTCAATTGCCAAGGGTCAGTGGCCTAAGAACTCACGGATTATCACCGAGTCATGGTTGAAGGAGGGACTGAAGGACCGTGGTATCACTCGCGACCTGAAGTGGGGTGTCCCCGTCCCGCTGGATGGATTCGAGAACAAGGTGCTGTATGTGTGGTTTGAGGCTTGTATCGGATACCCCTCGATCACCGCCAACTACACCAAGGACTGGGAACTTTGGTGGCGCAATCCGGAGGATGTGCAGCTGTACCAGTTCCTGGGTAAGGACAACGTGCCTTTCCACAGTGTCATCTTCCCCGCCACCCAGATCGGTACTCGCGACCCCTGGACTATGAACCACCACCTGAGTGCCACAGAATACCTACAATACGAGGGCGGCAAATTCAGCAAGTCCCGCGGAGTTGGTGTTTTCGGTACCAACGCCAAGGAGACCGGTGTGCCCGCGGATGTGTGGCGTTACTACTTGCTCAAGAACCGTCCCGAAACCGGCGACACTTTCTTCGAGTGGCGATCATTCGTTGACTCTAACAACAGTGAGCTGCTGGCCAAGCTTGGTAACCTCGTTAACCGAGTCATCAAGCTTGTTGCTGCGTCTTACGGATCCGTTGTTCCTGAGTTCACCATCCCGGAGAGCTTCGCTCCTTTCCAGGAGGAGGTCACTACTCACCTGCGCCAGTACATTGAGGATATGGAGAGTGTTCACATCCGTGCAGGTGTCGCAACTGCTATGCGTATCGCCGAGGCTGGTAACGGTCTGATCCAGGCCAACCGTCTTGATAACGCGCTGATTGCCAATGAGCCCGAACGTGCTGCCGCCGTTGTCGGAGCTGTTCTGAACCTGATCCACCTGCTATCCTCTGTGTTCTCTCCATTCATGCCCGCTACCGCCAAGTCGATTCTGGAGCAATTGAACTCCCCGGTTCTGTTGATCCCTAGCCTCGAGGAACTCAAGGATGGATGGAAGCCTACCAGCATCAAGGCTGGCCACAAGATTGGCAAGGCCCAGTACCTGTTCTCGCGCATTGATCCCAAGAAGGCAGAGGAGTGGCGCGAGGCTTTCGGTGGCTCTCAGGCTGATCGGGCCAAGAAGGCCGAGGAGGCTGCTAAGGCCGCTGCTAAGAAGGCCGCCGCGAAGGCCAAGAAGCTGGCCAAGAAGGAGCAGGCCAAGGCCGCTGGAAGTGTGGAGGCTACTGCCAAGGGTGGAGTTCCCGTTTCCCAAGAAGAGGCTGTGCAGAGTGTCACCGACGGCGTCGCACAGGTTACCCTTCCCTCATCTTAAAAGATTTGCATTATAAATTTGTTTTCTGTGGGGCTGGCGTGGCGGAGATAGCGAGTGATACCGAGTGAGTTTTGAACTGTGGCGCACGACATTGGGCTTTGGTCATGGTCACGGTTGGACTGAAGTGGGTTTAGTCTTGATATACTTCACTATGACATGCCAGAGTCATATACATGAATCTACGAGAATTGATTATGATTTTTTTTTTCTGGAAAGAGCAGTCATTGTTTGGCTGGTGTTTAATCAAATTGAATCGTAGAATTTGGTCAACTTCAAAGACTTGAATCTATTCAGAGACGTAAGCGGCGTTGCTGATGACTCTAATGTTTGTTTTATTGACTAACATAGGATAGTAAATCCAGTTTCAAAGATTCCCATTCGCAATTGTTTAAAAAAATACACACGCCGATATGATAAGAGTTTCATTAAATGCTCATAGCGCCAGTCGCTCCACGACGCGGGAAGCAAATCTAGCCCATCTTCCTTCGCAACCTCGATTACCGCTTCCGAGGGTTTGGTCGAGGCTTGGTTTCCTCTGGCCCGACAGGGTGCAGCATGACCTTGTTCGGGGTCTGCTGGGTGTTGGCCGAGTAACCCTTGCTCCAGTCATAGCTGACAGCATAGGCAAAGATATTTCCGTCGCGGCTAAAGGCGGTGCTTGAGATGGGACCGCCAACGGCTGGGTAACCCTTGAGGCGGTGCTTGGCGTCCTTGTCCCAGAAGTGGAAGGTACCGTCACTACCGGCAGTGCTGAAGGTACCATGGACGGGGTGAAAGCAGATGGAGTTGACGGAGTAGATGTTGCAGATGTCGCGGTTGTTGGGTGGGGTCTCACGGTGGCATTTGAAGGAGAAGTTGGAGGCAGAATCCTTCTCTTCGACGTACTGGATGGCACAACGGCCCTCGATACTGCCGACAGCGAAGCCAGAAGCATCAGCAAAGCAGCTGACTACCCGCGTCTGCCACTTGAGGGGGGATTGCATGGTCTTGTAGAATTTGGTGGGCTGGTCGAGGTTGACAATGTTGATATAGCGGTCAGCGGTACCAATGACTAGCAGCTTGTTCTTAACATCCATAGTGTACACGCGCTCCTGACAATCGATATTGGCGATGGGGGTTTGTTGCCGCAAGTCCCAGTATTTGACTGTCTTGTCCCACGAACCCGTCACAAGGAGTGGTGATCCGCCTACTGTTGGGTTGGGAAACATATGACAGCTGCGGATTGGACCATCGTGTTTCGCAACGGGAGTTGTGGTACCGGAACCGAGATCGAGGAGCTTGGCCATGTTGTCTGCACCTGCACCAACCACTTTGGTTCCATCCTGGAGAATGGGGATGTTAGCTTAATGCATGCCAGAATTGAAGAAGAGAGAGAGAGAGAGAGAGAAAAAAGGGAAAAGACCTACTGGAGACCAACAGCAGTTCAAAACTGGCGCATCTGCGTTCAATATCGCCTTTCCTTCACTCTGACCGGTAGAACTGATTTCATAAATTCGGACCTTGTTGTCCCAGGACGCGACAGCCAGATGTTCACTGGTAGGCGAGAATCGCATATCCGAGATACTATCCTCTGGGGGCTGGTTGAGGGTGACATCCTTGGAAATGTCGCCAGTAGTGTTGGTCTGCCCAGCTGTTGTCGCCGCCGCAGCGGGAGCACCAAAGAGGGACATTGAGGGCACGCGAAATAGAGCTAGCTCCTGTGTTTGAGTTTCGAAGGTGAAAAGAAAGAAAGGGATATAATCTGATCACACCTAGAGCTACCAGGCTTCAGGTGGAAGAGGGTAGTGTAGGGAGAGGGGGAAAGGGTGTTAGGAGCCGCGTGGAGAGAGCTGGAAAAAGTGACTGCGCGGATCGGGAAGTTGATTGGGATGCGTTGATGCAGCGGCAGAAAAACACTGACCGCCTTTATTCAACTATAGGCGTCTTGAATGAAATGACCTCGGGACACATTAGTTGATGTGGAAGGAGATTGAAATGGAATTGGGTGGTCCAATGGAGGTTAAGTTCATGATTTGAATTTACGGATGATTATAAGCATGTCAATTGTCCATGGATTTGGGCGACAAGTGGCTGTTTCATCGCATGGCAACCTAAGATCCAACGATATATATGCGCCTGAAGGTGAATCTCATTTACCAGAGCCACAAAATTGACATCTGTATACATTTCGAATACATTCGTACATAAATAATCCTTTATACCTGGACACTATATAGATTGACTCCTCAACAGCGATATGGCATACTACTAAATTTCTATCTCTTTACAGTCTATAATTATATGGGCAGGTATCCATAGGGTACTCGAGTACTTATACAGTAGAAGAGGGAAGATCAAAGCACCGAAAATGATCGAATTCCATAGAGATCTGACATATCATTTCGAGGGTTATTGGAAGTGGTCAACTGGTCCGGAAGGTTGCATTTCATGATGTGTTATTTCTATATTGCAATTCTTCTTGTAAATTCTCATTTCATTCATGATTTATTCTTAGAGTCAAGTAGATACGAAATTTGCATGAATAAAGTGAGAGAACTCAGCAGTTGATGTGCAGAACAAATAGCTACGGAGTACATGTGCAGTAGTATGTGGCTTGGCCCGATGTGGGGAACATAGGATCCACCCGAGTTAGAAGGATCAGCATCTCTCGGAATGAGAGCTTCGGGTGCTCAGGAAAGAGTGGGTTCATAGGCTAAATATTCCAGACAAATCAAAGGGAAAATTGGGAAACAAGAATGAAATGGCATGTTGTGATCTTCTGGGCTGATCAGTGATGATGTCAGGCGATCGTCCGACCTTGGGGGACGTATGTTTCTGATTCTGATTCTGATTCTAATTCTGGATCTATTTCTCTCACTGGTCTAGAATATAATGAAGAGGAATTGAATCTGATGAGAATACCAGCTTGATTCCATTCATAGAAGATCATAAAAATAAAGATAAAGCTGGGGGAGTGGAGCAAGAATGCGGGGTGCAGCCAGATTGGCCCACTGATGTCAGTTGCTCGTGTGATCCGGGGATGCCGTTTGTACTCCAAGAGAAATACGAAATCCGTTCCTTGGGGGAATAAAATGTTCCAATGTTCAACTTCAGATATTCTATGATTGATGAGATAGAGATAATTGTATCCAAATCAAATTTGATGATAGATGTTAAAAGAAAACCAGTTGGAAGAGTTGAAAGAGTGAAACTGAGAGAAGTACATATAAACGGAATGACATCCTTGACTTACCAAACCCCCGCTCTTTTTAAGTCACCTGCTCTTTCCCCCTCTTCTTCTCCTGCAATCCTTCTCATCGCCTTTCCTTCCCACTGATACTCCCCATATCAATCATGTCTGTTCCACTCACCAAGGTCGATTCTGCTATCGCTGGCTTGTCTATAGACGAGAAGCCCCCAGCTCCAACAGAAACAGAAGTCAAGAAGGAGAAGAAGTCCAGGCGACTCTCATCTCAAGCTGAAGATGTCTGGAATATTAAGGATCTGGGTAAGGTCTACACTAAATCATCCTGTGACATCCTCACTGATGTATTTGATAGAGGAGCAAAAGATCGAAATCACTCTGCCCATCGAGACTCAAAAGACTGGATGGTCAGTGGACTCTCCTATCCAACTGCATTGGTTCCTTTTACTAACACTCCTCCAAGGAGACTTAACACTTCACCAAACACCGTCGAGGATAAAGAAATCCTCCAACTCAAGCTCACAAATCCCCCAGTCAAGAAGATTGACCTGCACTTCCCCTTAGGCCTTGAGGTCACCGCCCGGAATCTCAAGGGTGTCACAATCAAGGATGCCTTAGACGCCATCTACAAACAGTACAAGAAGAAGGTTCGTCCTTTCACCATTCACTTTCACTACACCCTTATTGACTGAAGCTGTGTAGTCGGATGACGAGCTAGAGAAACCATACCTCGCTGGCTTCGAGTGGGACAAAGAGGAGTGCTGGACACGGTTCATTGTACACCAAACCGACAAGAACACCGCGTCACACCCAAGTGATAACAGCAAGAAATCTAAGAAGAAGAAGAAGGACGAAGAGTAGATCGGTCCAATCCGTTCCCCTGTGCCAATGGCACTTTCGTTGTCTCGGATTCTTGCTATTTGATGCCTTTCCTTTTCTCATACCTGAAACGACAAGGGTCAACTCCCTCTTCAACTGATGTTTGTCTCGCCCGTTTTCTAAATCTGATTAGCCTTTTCTAACCTGATCCCACGGGATCTCGTTTCTCCCGGGTTTCTGGGAGATAGAAAGAATTAATAGGGCGTGAGTGAAATTCAGCTTGGTTATTATCCTTTGTCTGTCATTTTCTTTATGTATTTTGCTTGCTTTACCTGATCATTCTGAATGTTTAGTTGACCTGAGTGAGACCCGATGGGAGTAGTCTGCTCCATCTGTTCCTTCATTTTTATTCCACTCAGATAATTCAACTAATTACTCATTTGTCTTTTGATACTACCACTTGAAATGTACTCTGTATACTCCACATGTCATATGCGACGTCAGGAATGAGCGTTGCGCTAAGCACGGATAGCCGGAGATCCACTGGGGGCCCACAACCCGCGTCTTAGCACCTTCTAATCGATCTCTTATCGCGGCTTCATGCAGTAAAATAGCCATTTATCAACATATGGGGTTATTCATTGTGTATCAGACACCAGGTGCGATATTCTAGGTATGTACATCGCTAGAGACAAAAAAAAAGTTGAAAAGAAGTTGGCAGGGCTAATATGGACGGACAGGTTCGCGATACTAACATTTCAGGAATAAATCTTGAATGCAGCAGACATTAACGGGAGCGACCGGGCTCCCGACTGCCAAAGAGTACCAGGACAATCTCATCAATGAGAGTAAAGACCAGGTGAGTGTTGAGCGGTTTATTATTCAAGGTAGCAAAGAGCCGGCGGGCGGCGGCTTGGGCGTTGGCGCGACCGACAACATTAGCAGCTAGATCCGGGATAAGTGTAGCGAGGACGACGGTAGCCTCGGTACGGCTTTTGTGTCGGTCTGCCATTGATCGTGGTAGAGCCTTGCGCAAGACACCACCAGGCCAGAGGGAGTCGCGAGCGATAGCAAGGTATCGCAACATCGAGTCGCCCTGGAACAAGGAACGGGCACTGTCCCGGACCTTTCGCTCAATAGTACCACCAAGAAGCTGGTGCAGGACGACAACAACTGCGCGACCGCGCAGCCAGTTGTTTCCGCGGTTCAGCTCAAAGGCTTCCAGGAAGAGGTCGCATACAGGTTTAATGAAGGGCTCCAGTTCACGGTCTTCAAATGCACTGAGCTCTGCTTCGGCCTCCGCGGTGGTGACGGCATCTTCAGTGGCCAGCGCGGGGTCATGGGTGGTACTGGTGTTCATGTTCACCTGGTTCGTCGCGGCCGAGATGAGATTCTGACCGGCTGTAGATAATTGATCGAGGACACCAAAGTTCCCGAGAAAGTCATCCATGCCATCAGCGACGGAATTATAAATGCGCGTGACAAGGTCCTTCGTATCACCCTCGCTACTGCGTGAATCTACCCTAGGCAAGATTGCCCTTTGAGAGAGGAAAGCTCGCAAGTCTCGACTGCGGCAGACCTCGGGAAGATGAAGCAATTTTTCAAGGTATCCCTCTAGAGCCTGGCGTCTCTTTTGAAGAAATTCCTTCTGGAGCTTCATGACCACGCGACGCCGAGGAAATTCCAGATGTCGTACCGATGGATAGTTCATGCGTAGCTTCTGATGAAGCTCATGGAACTCACTATAGCGGCGAGGAACCGCCCAAGATGCGGCAGGCATCTGTTCACCACCATTTCGTTGAACTTCAATGACATCTGGGTTTGAATGTTAGCAAAATAAAGCCAAGGAAGAGACCAAGAACACATCTTACACATTGCGAATTCCCGGCCATCGTCCTCCTTGCCGACCATGATAGATTTGATACGGACTGTAGACCGGCCATAGAGGCTGTTGTCGCTTTCTTGGATAATGTACTGCTGCCGCTGCATCTCTTTGCGGTGAACCTCCCGTTCGATGCTGGCTTTGGACTTGCGCAAAATTCTCAACTCAGCCGTGTTATTCGTCAGTTCGGCTTTCCGGGTCAACGCATCAACCACGGAATCTTGCGCAGTCAGCTTGTCGATTTCGGTAGTCAGCACCTCAATCGCTTCAGTAAGTCCCAAATCGCCAGGGGCAGCTTCGTGGACTTCGTCTGCTGGATCCTTGTCTTCGCCGCCCATCGGTTCTTCATATTCATCCTCGATGAATTTCTGCTGGTCCGGGAAAAGATCGTCATCAAAGACACCTCGTCGTGAGGCATGGTCGACCAGACCTAGTGATGCAATGCTTTTCTTCGCCTTCTCATTGATGCGGCCGTCGACTCGCGGGATTTCAGACAAGCCACGAGTGGAGCTCTCCGATTGCCCTCCAAAGAGAGAGGAGGAAGAGAGATCACTGCCCCTGAGCTCCTCTACTCGTGTATTCTTGGGCTCGTTGATGATAATGTCATTGAGAGCAGCTTCCATGGTTTCAAGGACGTGGTTTTGACTTGCATCGTTATCACCATTCTGGGAGTCCTTCCCCAGACTGTTGGTAGACATGGCAAGCTGATCGGTATCATAGTCGTCGTCAAAAAGAGGCACAGATCGCTCAGAATCTATAGATCGTCGTGGTGAATCGTCATCGTCAAACAGCTTGCCCATGCCCCGTACATCACTTGATGAAACAGCGGCTCTACGAAGGTCCATGGCCGGCTTGTTGGCCGGCTGTGAGGCCGTCCGTGCAATAATAGGGGGAAGGGGTCGCCTCTCTCGGGGATCAGGGGTGACCACTGGCGGAGATGGAGGGGGAATCGGCGCATGAGAGCCAGAGGCCTCATCTGACGCAAGGTATTTCCAGTAAAGATCCGATTCCTTAAACTTTGGATAGTAAACATTCTTCATGTGTTCCAGCACATCGGACTGGGTGGTCAAAACCACAGTCCTAGCCTTGCGGTACTGCTCGGGGGTTGCTCGCTTTCCTGCACTCAAGAACGTCTTCACTGCCCGACGCGACTCATCGGAAACCTTGAGTTCTGGTTTGGTAAGGTATGTTTCGCTCAAAAGCGCCAAGTCATTCCTATCTGCTGTCGTCCATGTCACCGATGCCGAGGCAGTCTCGTCTCCAAAGTCATCTTCCAGAGGATTTCGAAATCCATCGACCACTATCCAGAATTGCACTAGAGGCATTAATCGTTGACGGTCCATGAACTCCATGAAATAGGATAAACCCGCTGCATTACGCAGCACATCTACCAGGGAGGACTCGTGGGTCGTAGAAGAGCTTCCATGGCGAGTATGTCTAGCTGTCACAGGAGGCATCTGAGAAGACTCTCCTGGGGTGGAAAGCTTGGCGACCTTTTGATCTAGAACTCTTTTACCCGTTTCTAGGCGCCTGAGGTAGACCTGATCCTGTCCTTCCACCATACTTTCTCTCTTCAATTGGCTAGAAACCAACGCACGAAACCGGCGGGCATCAGATAGATTATTGCAGCGTCTTATGGCTCGGACAAAGCGCTCAAATGCTCTTTCGGAATCATTTGCAGAGAGTTTTGGGAACGGTTGCCCCCGTTTGGACTTGGGGGCAGGAGATGCGTGCTCATCGAGTGCAGCCCGTAATTTGCGCACGGTCTTCCGATCCTGCAAAGCCGAGCGTCCATAAGCTTCCATTAGCTGATTCCACGTGTCGGGATCCGACAACGCTGTCACGGCTGGAAGAAGAACCGCACATGAGATAATCTCACGGATCAGAACAGAAACGGCCTTGCTCTTTAGTACGCTCTCTGGGAACAATTGAGGAAGCAATGCCACGGTAATCTTTCTTAAATATTCCTGCTGGAGGGTTTTCTGGTCCACCGAGGAGAGACCGACCGCCGGATGAAGGCGACCCTCGCGAAATTTGTTGGCAATGGCCAGGTCCAGCTCCTCGGATTCGGTCACATTTCGACTCAGGTTACGTCCACGGACAGAACGCTCGGCAATATCGAATTCCTTGAGGTGAGATGTTAAGATTGGAAATATGCGGGACACGATCAAAGAAATAAAGTCCTCTGCCAGTAGTCTATCTCGGAAATTCTCCAGGGCAACACGGATGACTTTATCGACTTCATTTGCAAAAATAGGGCTTGGGCTAATATTCTGGTACCAGGATGAGACAAAATCCCGAGTCACAAGAGAGAGCAGTTCGTCAATTCCCTCTGACACGACAAAGGACTCTGGGTAGAGGGGCCGCGGTCGGTACCGAGTGGCCTTGCGCACATTGAAAAGCTCTTTCCGCCAGTTATCGGATTTGATGAATGCGACCGAGGCATTTTTGGGAGCGCGAGGGTTATCGGTTGGGTTTCGCGTCGTCAAGAGCACCAGGCTCAGAAAGCCGAAAGAAGACAGTGCAACCCCAAGAGCTAGTGCATATCCCAGATATCGGAGGATCGGTAGCCAGCGCACTATCAGACCCCAGGAAATAAATACACCAACACTGGCTAAAAGCAAATCTCGACGTTGAAGGGCCATTCTCCCCAGACACGCATGAGAGCTTCACGTCTCATGACGGCCAGTCGCCGCAAATCAAGATGGAGGAGCTTGACTGGACATTGAATGAATAGGGCAATGTAAAAGGGTTGGACTAGAAAACAGTATCAATCCCGATGTCGAATTAAAAAAAAAAAAGTGTAGAGTACTACGCAGAAATGCTCGAAGGGCAAAAGATGGAATGATCGCCCAAATGGCAATCCCGTGACATGCGGAGACAAACGTCACTTTGTTTACTTAAGCTCGCGAGCTTCCGTTTCTTCTCTTTAACCCGAATTCGAATTTCCCCCTCTTTCCTTTCTCTTCCTTGAACCTCTCCCAACAGAAACCTGTCCTTTTCTTGAGATTTTTAAAAACATGGTTACTCTGAGTGATATTATCGATCTGTCGTCGACCTCACTATTATGTATGTGGAATTTGTTCATCGTTTTCTCCGCATTTTGCATGTGAATGCGGGAAACTGACCCTTGCAGTGTCGGCGGCCACCATTGCCTTCAACCCTATTTTCTGGAAGTAAGTACTGACCCAAGACTGTTTGAATCTGTGAAAAATGGCACTAACATTTCTTACAGCATCGTTGCCCGCGCAGGTTAGTTGGTGACTCGACTCGTCTATTGGTGCACAGCTAACACCGTCAGAATACAACAATCATATCCTGACTCGTATCTTTGGAGGAGCTTACAGAGGATGTTATGCTCTCGCTTTTGCCATCTTTTCGCTCGGTATTCTGCGTGATCATGTGTACCAGGTCGCTCTGGAGGAGCAGCCGTTTTACGCCCCCGTACACCAGCCCATCATCGGTGGAATTCTGTTTGCGGTGGGCTCCGTGTTAGTCCTGTCTAGCATGTGGGCTCTTGGGGTGACTGGAACTTATCTTGGTGACTACTTTGGCATTCTGATGGATGCCCCCGTCACTGGCTTCCCGTTCAACGTGACTGGTTCGCCGATGTACTGGGGAAGTACTATGAACTTCCTGGGAGTCGCTCTGTACAAGGGTCGGGTGGCCGGTCTCTTGTTGACTGCTCAGGTCTTTGTCCTGTACTTTTTCGCTCTCAAGTGGGAGGAGTAAGTCTTGATTACACCCCCAGCCTTGAAACGCGAATATACTAACCTGTTGACCAGCCCCTTTACTGCTGAGATTTATGCCAAGCGTGAGCGTGAGCGTGCCAAGAAGCAGGGAGGCAAGAAGCAGTAAACGCCGTGCATGTATAATAGGGTTGACTGGGACTTTCAACATCCACAATCCGCGCATGACATTTTCTCGGGCAGAACGAGACATAATAGCCCGAACCCCATCACCGGAAAGGTCTTTCTCGGGAGGGGGGTGGCACTTATCCAGCACACGGGTACATCCCGAATCTTCAACGATGCTGGAAAAAAAAGTAGACGATTAGACATTTGCTTTCGCCCCCATGGCTAAGCATCCCGGCGACTGAGCGCAGGATCTGCAGGATCTGCCCTTCAGCGATTTCCCTCACGCGACTCCAAAGAAACAAAAAACACCCATTGCGCCAAACCTCGAACGATCTCCCGCTTTCATTAGCAGTAGATAGTAGATATCTTTAATTAGGGAGCCAATACCATTACCGTACATTATTTTACCATCTATTCACTCGAGTTCCATGGCAATTGATATTTCAAGTCATCCCTATACGCGACTTCTATAATTGAAGTGTATCAACGCAACTCTATATCTGCAGCAATAACGAACAACCAACTAGAAGAAAAGAGCAGAAATGAAATAAAGAATAGGAGACATGATTTTGTTAACCATTGTCCAAGGGGTATATTGACACCGACCATGGTCTAATGCACAACGGGAGTCTTTGTGCATTTACCGAATACCACCAACACCACGCTATGAGAGTAAAAAGGAAGTTAAACAATGAACAACTTAGACGTCAGCAAAGACCAGAGCGGGGATTGCATGATTATGCCCTTCGCCCGCGACCTCGTTTGGCCGTCGTCCGACTATCATCCACCGTCTCCACTTCGTCTTCGTCCGTTCCCTTTTTGAGATCCTCACCTTCCGCCAGACCCCATTTCTCACGATCATACCAATCTTCACCATCGCTCATCTCACCCACGTGGCCCTCGGCCTTGCACCATTCGAGTACATCGGCCTTCATGTGGCACGCCCGGAACAAGGAGTTGAGCATGGTCTCGAACCCTCTTACCGTCTCCTCCTGTTTCTGGATGTAGGACCAAAGAAGACGACGTGTTTCTTCAGCCTCGGTGGCAGGAAGACCAAAGTTTGCATCAGGGCGGACGTTATCTGGAATAAGAAAGAGTGGATGCGGAGTGAGAAAGGTGCTGACAGTATCCGAGGATAGAAACTGGTTTTCGTCATGAGGATTGGCTGCATTTGCCTGGGCACGGGTCGTCATACGTCGGGGTGGCTCGGGCGATGAGCCGTCGTGCATCTCAGCATCGTGGTCGGTTTCATCGTGTTGTTCATTCGAATCGGCGTTTGGAACCCTGGACTCGTTCTTCTGTCCGTCTCTAGAGGTGTCCATTTTGTCTTTTTTGTCCCCCACCTGGCTGAAGTTGTTCCCATTCTCTTGGGCGAGTTCGTCTGCACCCTTAGGGTGAGGTGGGAGGTCGTTCACCGTAGAATCGGCTTCTTCTGATTTGAGGGCCTTGTTAGGTTCCCCGGTATCGATGTACGCCGTTGGATCCCCAGAGCCAGCTGGGTATTGAGCCATCTCCACGTCATGTGTGGTCTGGAGCTCGCTCTCGGTCCCATTCTGGGCGTAATGCGCTTCCCTGGATGCTGTAGACGATATCTCAGGAACCCCATTAATATCGCCATTTGCAGATGATGTTCCAGGTCTACCTAGATTTTGTTGCTCCGCGGATCCACGGGTGTGCTCGCCTTGAGTCCTAGGCTCAAAGATGTAACGGTCCTCGAGCGCTTCCACGGTGCCGCAGGGCATCCAGCCGGCGTCACCTAGAAAGTGACGGTGAAGATTCCGTGCGCGCCATAGGAGAGCCTTTTCCTGTCGCAATTTCTCTTCGACGGCGACTGCCATCTGGTCCAGAGCCTTCGAGGTGTACGCTTGGGAAAGCGAAGGGTGGGAGGGGAGTTCGGAAGGGTGCTTCAAGGGACACAAGAGTGCTGCATAGATCACATCAGTCAGGATATGAATAGAAATAAATTCAAGGTGCAAATGGCATCACCGACTTTCTAGTGCAATCCCCGAAAACGGGTTCTCTTCGGCCGCCGCGGCATCGGCCTCAGAATCTTCATCCTCGTCGTCGAGTTCATCCCCCTCTGAATCATAACGGATAGGGTTGCGCTGTATAATATGGCGTGTATAGCCAGCATGTTCGACTTTCTATTTAAACGGACAAAAATTGAGCGTCAATCTTCGAGTCTTTCAAGTCGCCACATTTGCGCCCGCGGAGGGGCCGTTTCTGATGAATGATGTACCTCTCTGTAAAATTTCTCTGCATGGATGTATCCCATCGCCCCCTCACGAACGTATTTCGCGTTTGCTTTCATTTTATTCCCACGATTCGTGGGCTGCATGATAGCATCATCGGGTCCAGAGTCTGCGAGGGACAAGATGTCAGTAACACGATTTGGGGCAGATTTAGAGTCGACATTGACATACCATCGCGTTCTCTGCGCAATGCTCTCTTCATTCCGATAATCGTGTCGGCAATCAACGCTGCCTGAGTCGCCATGGCTACGAGTCTGCGACGAGGCCGTGGGATCAGACACGTGAAGATGGGGTGTAAGAACGGGATTTGGGTGAGGAGAAAAGTATGCTTTAAAATGCCAACAAGGCTTCAAAGAATGCAATTGGAAATGGACGAATTCAAAGATTTCACAAGGATTACCCATCCGCAGCAGAGCGGCACAACTGGATGTGACGAAGCTCGGCGGAGAAGCTGCGACGCCCGATAAACGCTAACCGCTTTGGGAAGGAACGGTGATAGAGGGCCTATGCACGTGACTTATCTACTATCATCAGGCACCAAGGCCAACTTCCTTCGGATCTATAAACATTACTTTCTAGGACAAACGCTAGGAGACTTATTGAAATGATAAATCAAATCACCCAGGTGCCTAGGTATGGTTGTATCATACTGAAATCACTATTCATCATGCACTATACCTATAGATGTATGTGTCAGGTCTTCACGAGTCACATATAGTTTAACCTTGTAATTATACAACCCTTAATCCGACCCTCATTTGCCCCTTCCCACCTCGATTTGCCCTTAGATAATAAGGAATAAAACATAGGTCCTTTCGTTCCTTGATCCTTGTTGTTTGAGGTTCCACCGCAATTTGCCTGCTCCAATTCGAGATGTCTAGCTCCCCCACAAAGCCGTCCACAGCGATAATGGAAATGTAGGAGTCTGGCTGAGATCGTAGCTCCTCTAGTAAGGGCACACTAGGATCAAAGAGAGATTTCTGCATTCCTTACATTAGTACTTTGCTCCGCAAGCATGTGGCCTGGCTTTGTTACCTTGAAATGGTTCGATTCCCACGGGTGATCAACATCCTCAACACAATAAATAATCGGTCCGCGTCTAACATATGCGATGGGCTGTAATGTTAGAGGATTTGGTCGGACTATCTCTGGTTTCATAGGACATGAAAGGCGAAAGCGCGAATTTTCTTGCAGCCAGTTGGCGCTTAGGAACAAATATCCATTCTGGACATCTGACTTCTTCGGAGAGGGAGTGACCTGATTTATGCGGATTAGCCCATAAATACTTCTTTTGATAATTTGAGATCACGGAAGGTTTTACCTCCCAAGATGTCGCCCACCCAGGAATTCGCAGTCGTAAATTCAGATCAATAGGCGGCCCATCAGTGTGGATATCAAAGTCAACATCACCATGCCATGGCCATTCTGTTTTCTGCGTGATTGCCACAGTGGACGAGGAGACTTTAAGATTAATCGTCGCCGAAGAGTACATATGTACATTGACAACGGCACATTGACCCTTTCCCGTGTGACTCCAGAGATATCCACCGAGGAAGCCTAGCGTTCGGGTGACATTTGGCGGACAGCAAGCGCACTCGAACCACTCGTGGCGCTGTGAAAGATCCTGATCTGAAGATGCCAGTTGGTTCACATAAGTGAAGGCTTTTCCATCCAGGCTCATGCCCGTCAGGACTGCATTGTAAAGACAGAGTTCCATGATATCCGCATAGTGGCTGTCAAGTTCGATCTAATATCATCAGTGACCAAGGTATTTGAAAGAATTTAGGCAAAAGTTTACCTGTAATAGTCTCTCAGCAAGCATCATAACTCCTATCGCAGCGCAGGTTTCAGCATAGCATCCTCCCTCATCGGTACCTTGAGGGAGGAAGTAATCAATTCCAAATCCTTCCCACTTCTTTATGGCCCCAATGCCTCCCGTTACGTAGGACTTCTTTTCCACCATATTGGACCATAGTAGATGGACGGCTGGTAAGAACTTTGCCCCAATTTCGCTGCTGGGCTGGCAAATCCGAACTAAATCCGCCACGGCTGTGAGGAGGTACATGGCACGCACAGAATGACCTTCGATTGTTTTTTGATTGACAATAGGAGCATGGGCTTGCTGGTACCAATAGCTTCTTGCAGCAGGGAAGTACATGGGCAAGTCATGCTCACTTTCACCACGAGCCTTTGCTTCCACGTCATAGTAATGGCGCCCTTCTTTCCCACCCGTGGGATTTCCTCTCTCTTCGATGAAGAATTGAGCCAGCCGTAGATGATCTGGATTTCCTGAAACATTGTAAAGGCGCAAGAGAGCCAGTTCAATCTCTGGGTGGCCAGGATAGCCAGGAATTTGGTCCTCGTGGGCACCAAAAGTAGCAGCTAGAAGATCCACGTACTTGAGAATGGGTGACAGCAGTTCATCATTGCTATAAAGAAGATGATGGGCGAGGGCTGCTTCTATCAGATGACCTGCATTGTAACTTCATACACATCTTCTGTCAGTCTTGAAACCTGTAAGAATGGGACTCCGGAAACGATTACAGTTCATGCATATCTCGCAAATTGGTGAAACGCTTCCCCGGTTCGACCACAGAGTAATGGATATTAAGATAGCCATCTTGTTTCTGCGCTCCTCGAATCATTTCTACCAATTCTTTCACAGCCACATCAATCTCGGCGTCGAATTGATTCATGAGCAAATAGCAAGCGCCTTCAATCCACTTCGCCACATCGGAGTCCCAAAATTGGTGATTGGGGATTGGATAGACCGTAGGAGGGACCGAGTAGCTCGGATGCCACTTTAGTTTGAACGCCTCATATCGGCCAGTCTCTTTGAGCATTTGAAGCTGATGCCGTAATGTTTGAACTCGAACCACTTCACGGCGACGAGCCCAAAAGGATTCAGGTGCAAATCTAGTCGCAATAAAACTCTCTTGGGGGTAATCCATGATTCAAAAACCCGATCAGATACCTGGAAGTTCAGTAAAAGAGATAAAAATGAAGATGAAAAGAAAATCCGAAACATCAGACTTCCAACGGGTTTCCTTATACCTCGGATCGGGAATGCCTTCGGAGTGAAAGATCGGAGATTGAGCGAGCCCGATATCTGCGGTACTCCGTATACTTCGAAGTTTTGATGCGGGATGTCCGTAGGGTAAGACTCCGGTGGAGTTCCGGTGGAGAGAAGACCCGAAGTACAAAGCCGGGGTAGAACTCATTCACCCCCACATTTCAATGTTTAATTCCCTTAAACTCTGAGGTATCTGGGGACTCATGCACTCCAGACCAAAATGATGTGGAGTCCCGAAGCTCCGGGTTTGATCTTGTATATATATCAGCGGGGAAAGATCATCCGCCCCATGTAGAGGCTTCATTCTCATTGAGATTTCCCCCCCTCCTTCCCCCGGCAAAATGGGCATACATTTACTAGAAAAGTTTTTACCTAAGGATGACCGGTAAGAGCCTTAGTTACGACAATTCTTCATGGTACTTGAACTGATGAAATTGTCTAGTTTCGCAGCATTGTTACTATATGGTATGGTCTTTTCGACCTGCTTCAATGGTTATGATGCTGGAATTATGACCGTCATCTTGGCCGATGATCAGTTTATCAGCTACTACAAAATAAATGCCGCTAAATCTGGCTTGGTGGCTGTCATTCCCTGGGCAATGACTGGTGGGTCAATTATCACGCACTCGGATCGACATCACTAATCGTGGAACTCGGTGTATAGCTGTGGCTCAAGTATATCTAGGAGGTACTCTAGCTGGATGGCTAGGACGTCTTTGGGCCCTGCGGATTTCTATCTGCATCATGATTATTGGAGTGTATGCAACCCTTGCAAGGATCAAATGATAACAATTGAGACTGACCATATAGAATTGTCGAGGTTGTTCCAAATAGCTTTGGTGTCTTGATCCTGGGTCGACTCCTAACGTGAGCTTCTTACTTCTGCAAAGAAATTAATTCCAATGCTAATCATGTACTAGAGGTCTTGGATTCGGCTGTGTCTATATCGCAACCAATCTATACGTTGCGGAATGTGCACCTACCAAGCTCAGAGGCAGTTTTGTCGGCACCGTTTCCCAGTTTGGCTACCAATTAGGCACACTCATCGCCTTCTGGGCCGGCTATGGCATGTCATTCCATAAGCATCCATACAATATTGCATGGCGTGTGTCAAATATTGTTCAGATTCCTATCGGGATCGCTTTTATCCTTGTCTCGTTCTTTTACCCCGAGAGCCCCCGATTCATGCTAGAAAGATACCCCGAGACGCCTGAGCGAGCGATGCAGGCACTGAGCCGGTTAAGATCAGGTGCTCCTACAGATGACCGTATTCGTGCTGAATTTCATGAGCTGGTCGCCTCTCACGAGTTCCGTCGTCGATACGACCCGGGATATATTGGTTTGATCAAAGACAAAAGTATGCGAAAGCGTCTCGCATATGGGTTCTATGCAGCAGGCCTTCAGCAGGTACGTTGGCTCCACACAGAGAGTACATAATGAAAACATTGATAGATTTAGATGGGTGGTATTGCCGCGCTCACTATGTATGCCACGCTCATCTACGAGAGTCTCGGATGGGACGCCGGCTCGCAAGCACTAGCTATAAATGGAATCCAATCCTGTCTTCAGTTGCTCATCGTGTTCGTGAACACTTTTACCGTGGATCGGTTTGGCCGAAGAAGTCTTCTGATGGCTGGTTTTGCCATCCAGTCCGTCGCACTATTGATCATGGCCTGTCTTTGCACCGCATTTCCTTCCAATGGAAACAGAGCCGCCGCTATCGTGGAGGTTGCCATGCTTTTCATTGTCGGCCTGACATATTGCTGGTCTAATGGACCTATTGCACCCGCAATTGTTTCAGAAATCTTCCCGCAGCATGTTCGAGACAAGGTAAGTTAAAATCCAGTCGAATCAGGAGATAGACGCTAATGTATCATAACAGGGTTTTGGCTTGTCGATGCTTGGCCAAACATGTTGGCTCATTTTGCTGACGGAGTCCTGGCCTTCTTTCAATGCTCAAGTTGGGGGGAAGAGCTATTGGTTGCTGTTTGGCCTCAATGTGATTGCAGGAGTAAATTGATCTTTTCTTGGTTTTGGTGACAACACTAACTGTATTTTAGCTTTCTGTCTTCTTCATTCTTCCCGAAACCAAAGGCATCTCTCTGGAGAGGATGGAAAAGATCTTCGGAGGGGTGGATTATGTTGAGGAGGGCGAGCGTGAGGGAGGCTCCGAGAAGCGTGAAGCTCGAGCGCTGGTGACCGATGATGTTGACGAGAAGACTCCTACCAGTCATGTAGAGAGTACTTTCGGTGTTCAGGGACCGGAAAGATCCATGGCCTAAAGTGAACCTTTACAGCCCTACTACATGTGTTCTATGTAACGGAAGGGGTGGGGAATTGTATGTCAGTTTTAGGAAATTGGTCAACCATCTGGCCTGGATGACAATTAACATAAGTCGAAGAGTCATGATGTTTAAATGAACCAATGATATATTTGAGATATACATTCGTGGCGAATACAGTGTACAGAGTTCATCACGTTCCATTTTTCATAGTCCAGGTGATGTGTGTATGTAAATGCCACCATCACTTTAAAGCTTGTCATTTTCGATGTATTCGAAGTACTATTTATAGAGATTGTATTTAAGAATGCTACCATACCTATGGAGCAGACTGATATACACTGGAATATGCAAGGAAGATGTCATTATCTTTCGTGGAGCTAAACGGCCTCCGTAATGCGAATGCTAAATGGAAAATTTGAATATGCCATGCCATCAAATGCAAAAAGGGGTTCGAACCGCGATAACAATCCACGGAGCTTGTGAGATTCTCAACTTGGCTGCCCCCTGGTCGGCCCAAGCCCAGCGTTCAGTGGACCTCTGCAAATTTCCAATTAGAAATACATCGCCCAATGAGCCGACCTCTCGATGAGTACCGAGAATGTGAGCGTATTTGTCTCTTCTTCTCCAATAAAAAAGGAGGCTGGAACAACCTTGTCAAGTTGGCTGGTATTCAAATTGCCAATGGGCCAGATATTGGCAAACGTAACCACCAAGCAGCCCAAGCGTTGATGTGTGTAGTAACGCCTGTCCGCTTGGAATCGAAGACACTAATTTCAATTGAGATCATCGGTGACCAAATATGTCCATATACTCATCATCCTCATCCTCGTCATCTTCATCCTCGTCCTCATCCCCTTCGTCCGATGCCGAGCCGCCTTCGGACTCCGCCTCATCTTCTTCTTCGACTTCTGATGGACCCTCAGCTATCGATTCACTGGTGAGAAATCCATAGCGATCTCGAAGCTTTTGACTTAAAAAGTTCAAAGCCCCATAATCAGTCTCATTATCTGCTCGCGATGGGCCGCCAAAGAAGGGCAAAGACGATGGTTTCTCGGATTCTCGCTCCGAAGGCAGGCCAAAATAGTTACTAACGACCGGGGAAATCGCTCGACCGCGGGTCATATTATATGACACAGTACGCTGGTCTGGCCCAGCAAGGGTTGGGACACTAAGATGTGAGTCGGGTGTCGGATTCGTGTTGAGGTGGAGGGATCTCAATGACGTCGTCGGCTCCTCGCTTGCATTCAAGGATGATGATCGGGTCCGCGGTGGGGGGTCACCAACGCCCTCCTCCGCAAGCACAGCAGATATATCTCCTTGCAGGAGTCGAATTTGGGCTGTATTATATGACTCGCACCTATGTTCATTAGCTTCCACCCGACCTACAGTATTTGATGGTCAAGACTCACAAATCACATTTTAAGCCAAGCCAATGATACTTGACGACGGATTTTGCGCCGCAGTCATTACAGTAGATGAGACCTTTGGTGTCCTTGAACTCAGAAGGCATAGGCTGGCTCCCAATTGTGCGATCCAGATTTCGAAATGTCGACTCCATGTTGGTGATAGTCTTGCTGCAAATAGGACAACGGAAAGAGGTCTTCGAATACTCCCCTAGACACTTATGATGCATGCTGTGGCCACAGCGCATCACAACCACCGTTTCTGGAGAGGTGAACATATAGTCCCCACAGATTGGACAGTCACACTGTGTGGATCTTTCAATGCACCGATGTGTATCCTCAATTGAAATAGGCAGACAGACGCAGCAAGTCTAGGGAAAAGTAAGCATTTCTGTATGGCATATTGAGATGAGCTGCTAGCCTACCTGGCAGTGGAAGAAATCCTTTCCAAGGCCCTGGCCAATCCGACATATACCACAATCATTACAGTGATAGATGCTTTTTTCGCAATCGTTATCCCAAAGTTTACAAACATCACAGTAATATTGCGCACTCTGTTCACCACACTGCCTACAGTGTTGATCCGCAGGCTGGGGATGACCACACAGCATACATAACATATTTTCCGTATCGCGCCGAATCAAATGATGATCTTCAGATGCATCATGGCAGAAACGGCAAGTATACCATTTTTTGCAGGTGAAGCACTGGAGCTTGACATTTCGCATATAGTGCTGGCAGCCTAGTAGCGCCCCGTACAATTCTTCAGTGTCTGGATCTTCGTCGCCTGTCTCCACCACAGGTGATTCAGGTTCAATCCTCGGCACATATGTAGGCTGTAAATCTTCAGCGGTAAGGTTGAACAGGTTCTCGAATTTGGGATTGGACGTGGTCAATGTCGGGCTCGTTGAACTCGACTTCAATGGTTTCACTTGGGAGAGCGATTGACTAGCAGGCGTATCCGGGAGAGGAGGAAGTAGTGTTGAAGAGTTCGGCGGTAGTGGACGAGAAGAGTTATAGCTTTCCGTCATGAGACCGTGAACCCTCCGTGCCTTTTCATGATTATCGAGATCCAAGGCCCGTATGGCATGAATTTTGTTCCTGAGCCACCCCATGCCATCGTCCGCGGGTAATGAGATTTCCCCTAGCTCATCACTATCAAAGGTTTGACCTGGACTTTGTTGATTGCCGTCCCTTGTTTCATGTCTCGATTCCGAGTCGTTGTCCGGTGGCCCGTTCGGGGGTTCAGTCGACTCGTCATTTTGAGTCGAAGATTCATGGGGACTCGTTGTATTGTTATTTGTATCGTATCTTCTCTCAGTGCCATTCTGATCTTCGATCAAAGGTCGAGAGGCCGGTAGGTCTGCAGTGCGACCATCCATGTCTTTCGGTGGGATTGGAAAGAAAGGAGGGCTGGGCAAGGACCCCGCATCTCCGCCAATAGACTCTAGCTCTCCACGATCGGAGTTTTGGTGGGAAGCGGTAGGTTGAGTGAGTCCACTGACCGAGGACGACTTTGTTTGTTCGTTTCGAAGGGATTCCGATTCCGACTCCGGTAGCTGAGGATGACCGGGAGGTGTGCGGGTAAGAAGTCCGAGGTCAGTCAGCAGCGATGAGATGAAGCTGCTCATGAAGGGCTGTGATCACATCTAGCAATATAAATACCAGATTTCTAAGCATAAAAAAGATGAAACATCAAACTACAACATAAGCTACAAACTACAGAGCCAACAAGAAGATTCCTTGAAAACATCGAAAAGTCATGTGGTTTGGTTGTCTGGCATGTGATCGTGCTGAATCATCACGAATAGGAGTTATACACAAGCTTGAAATGGATTTTATGAATCTATGAATCTAAATCAAGCCTAATAAATTCATTTAATCAAGGTTAATTATATCCAATGTCGTGAAGGTGGTGACAATTTGTACTTTGTGTCAAATACTTGATTTTTTTGGTCATCTCGGGCCGCCAGACATGCAGCAATGATGCATTTCCCCATCTTTCTTGAGTGAACTGGGGGTGGCCATGCATTCTAAAGGCCATAAACGGAAATACCGATAGAAAAAGGTCATCGACTCTGCCTTCCCTCGGGGGGTGTATCCGGGATACTGACCTTCGAAGTGTGTTTTATCACGTCCAACGAAGTTCATTCGTGAAGTCGAGTGGAAAGTGCTCCCAAAGTCCAGAAAAGCGGATCTATAAGGAGATTATTCATATTCCCATATTGGGAGAGTTGCTTTGGCGCCCCATTTGATATTCATGCCCAAGGCGATGTACGAGCGCCTGATGGAGGATCTGTGGTGCAGCGAATCGGAAAGACAGTGGATCACTTCAGGCATGTCCCCAGACTCTCGTTCAGGCGTCCGAGTGTCAAATTGTAATGCTCATAAGCCATTTTGCGTAGTCGTTCCTCTTCGCTGAATAGACCTAGAGACTTTAATCTGCGACCAAGTCAGAATCAAGCACATCTCGTTCTCCACTGTAGTGATGGGGCCACCTACACTCGTGTCTCTCGAGTAGGGGGGTTTTCCCAGTATCTTGCCAACATTAGGTTCTTCAAAATTTTATGTTCTAGACCGCGAATGTCGGTGGCTCGTTCCAAAAAGCGTATGGTGTTGGCGATCCTCGTGGGATCTAACTCGGTAAGAGGCGAGCGAAAGGCACTCCGCATGGTGGATCTTAAGACATAGCGAGCAGGAGTAGAATATCGAATTGCTTTGAGGGCTTGCCGATAGACACAGCGATATGCTTGAACTATCTGGGAAGTAACCATCGTAGGTGTGATGGGTAGAAGAGCCAAGTGAGAAGGATAAATAATCCGTGTGCAGTTTGTAAGGTTTCCCCATGCCCATGTCACGTGGGTGTTATACCTAGAATCAACACTGATCTTTCTCGGATCATAAAGATTGTATAATAAGTTCTTGATTTATTTGAATAGCTTAAGTTAAATAATTTATGAAGAAAGAGAGTTATAAGTATATATAACTCCTGAAATAGGAGAAAATACGGAGTATTAGTACATACACAACACATAATACAGACTACATGCAGCCTCAGGCCCCACCTTCCCCATAAGAAACAGGTGACTTTGGGCCGCAACACTTCATGCTGATGTTCTCTCTCTCCCTCAACCACTTCCACTTCCACTCTCCTTTGCCGAGAAAAAAAAAGAGAGAGAAACTGTTGAAACCCCAGGATCTCCGTCATCTCCGGTTCATCTTGTATGAGCTGGCTCCAATCGTTTTGCATTCAGTTTTCAACCTAATTCTACTGTGTACTTCATCTCCACCAAAAAGTGGTGGTTTTTATACGATCTGACCGCCCGACTCTTGCGACCATCCACTCCTTCCTCCGATCTCCCCTCCCAGTCGACCTTTTCGACCCAAAGTCATGTGTTGAAACTTCCCAGATGGTGTGGTATAAAGTACCAACCGTTGGAACAGACAAATAGAATGGCCCGAGTTGCGAGGAGAGCTGCGTCGGTTGCGGCCTGGCGCGCCCCCAGCCGGGCCATCCAGAGGAGAGCTCGAAAGCACAAGGTTATTATGGAGTCTGTGACTCAGGAGAAGAAAAAACTGCGAAGTGTTGTGCGTGCCTCTGTGAATATATGTGTCAAAATGAAAAGGTGGCCTAACAATTTAACTAGCTCTGTTTTGAGGCGAAAGCACCCATGGGTTATACTTTCATCCCCGCAGGAAACCCCATTTTGACTACAGCTTGCAAAGAGAGATGTAGGAAAGAAGGTTCTCAGATACATGCCGTCTCGGTAAGAAGCACCGTCTCTGCTAGCTTGGATCCAGCCCTATGGGACGCTGCTCATCGAATCTAGACAACCCCTCATATGCACACTCACAACCTCTCCCAACATGTCCACCGCATAGGGTATCATTTCCCAAGCACAGTGGTCGCAGCAGTATGCTCAGAGCTCGGATTGTACCTCACCAGTGCAGGAAAGGCGGTCTCCTTCCACACGCTTGGCACTCAAGAGGCTCCCCGCCCACCGGACTCCGAGGTCTCCCAAGAGGTGATCAATACAGAGGCAAGGGACGCGATTAAGGATCTGTTTCCCAATATTCCAGACAAAGATCTGTTTCAGATCATTAAAACTTCATTCCAAAAGGTATGTTCCTTGAAATTCCCAATTCCCAATTGCAAGTTGTCAGATTGGGGATGCCTGACATCGTAGATGTCAGGGTCAACGCAAAGTTGGTACAGCACCGGAACTACCTTTAGCTCGCCGAGCACAGTTGGCAGTAGTGGCCCATGTCCGCCATCTCTACACTGATTATGACCGGCTTCTTAAACAGGGGTCATTCCAGGAGGCCAGGTCTGAGGTCGAGCAGCCCACTCTGGCAAAGGTTGTTGCATGGCGTGGCGACGATGAGAATGGTCAGACTGTCCTGGAAGATGTTTTCCGGGAGGTCATCGTAATATCAGACGATGAAGAAAGTGAAACCGAAGAAGAATCCACCACTACCAGAGACGCCCGAGACTACAGCGTGGAAATTCTTTCGAATACAGCCAAGGCCCATGAGATCCAGACCCAACCTATAAGCGCTGAGTTTGTACTCGGCCAAAATCACACCCGGGAGCCCTCCGAGGAGGCGCCACCTGGCTTCCGGGTCATCCCCAGGATCTCCACGCAGAAGAACGTCGACCGGCGAGGATTTACCAGATACAGATACCAAGCCTGGAATCGTGCATTGCATAAATATGGAGTTAAGGCTCAACACACCGAGCAACCCCGGCTTGGTGACGTCTCACCGGAGCAGCAAAGTCCTCGATATGCAAAAAGACCCGCAGCCACACAAGAGAATCTAGAGCCCCCAAGGCGCCGAGAAATTCCTAATCATTCCGTGGAACCCACCTCTAGAGTCATTTCAGGTCCCCTCTATGGAGAAACACCAGTTCAGCGACCACCTGCTGGCAGGAGTCACGTAGGCACTATGGAAAGGCGTGTCCCATTAGAAAGCGAAGGCCTATTCTCTCAGCCTGTATTCTCTCAGCCTGGGACAATGGGAAGGCCTCCAGTACTAATAACACAGAACTCACATACGATACGCCCTATCGACACAAACCCTCGCTGGAACGTTCATACCTTCAACCCTCAAGGTAAATCTCAGCCGGTTGTTGATTCAACACGGCCTGAACGGATTTCTATGCCATCACATGACCGAGTTAATGCACCTGTGTTTGTGAGCGGGCCAAAAGAATTGCAACCGAACCATGAGGGCCAATTTGGTGCTATGACTGAACCTCTGCTACCATCTCAGGCCAGACCAGGAGCATTTACTCAGGATCGTGTTCTCCCATCCATTGAAGCTCCCTGGCCCTTGGAAAAACGGCGGGTTGAATCCCGTTTAGAGCACTTGACTAAAAGAATGTCGCTTCGTTCTGTAACCCCAGTCCATTCACAAGAAGAGAATCATGGCAGTGGCGCCGGCCCAGGTAGCCCGGACGATCCAAACTGCAAGAGGAGAAGATTGGCTTACTACGCTGGTCCTCAGTCCGACTCTCGCTCCGATGCTCGGATTGCAAGACCCACTGGAGTGCCAGTTTCTGAAGGACAGGGGCCAAGAGTGCAATATCGCCGTGATGAACCCGGACCCGAGTATCGTTCTCAGGATGTGCAATATCTCCGTCGAGACCAAGTCCCTTCAGGGGAACAGCCTTTGCTTACAGGACACCAGCGTGAAAGACAACCTGGTCCCTTTGTTCCACAGATCATCGGCCTGGATACTAGACGGGAATTGGATCGCCCACATCTCCCGGAACCACCAGGGCAAAACTCCATGCACTCCTTCCAACCCTTTCTTGGACCCAGTGATATGATGACAGCATTCAGACCGGTCCCGGACGTCTCTCGGCCCGAAGTTCGCTCGTACTATGGTGATCGTAGCCCCCACATGAACCATGTCCGTCATTCAACCCTTGAGGAATTGCGCCCATCAAACTGGAACCCCCGTATTGATGGAGACCGTCCCATGGCCTATACCGCCCCCCTTGGAAAACAATACGCCAATGGATTTGTTCGTTCCGTTGATGTTCGCGATGTGCGTCCGGTTGATTATCTCGTGGCACGCCCACGACCTCAATTTACTCGTGGAGGAGAAAACCTCATCCCGCCGAGCAGGGCCAGGATTCCCGACCAAGCACTTGCCCAGGATCTTCTCCAGTCTCGAGCCTTTTCAGAGCAACGCCTGCCAAGTCCACGAGCGACGCATAGCTCTCACCAGATATCCAACCATCTAGAGACTGCTCCTGGGAGTCGCCAACCCCAAGGGCGTATCCCCAGTTCCCGGGAAAGACGGCCTGGCAGCGGGCTTAGCACCACGCGGTAAGCCATCTATTTGGAACCAAAACCAAAACCAAAACATTGGCGCGCACTTTCTAGTCTTTCCCTCCGATGTAACTGACTGGCTCTACAGACGCATGCATGATCCCCGAACTTTTCAGATGGCGGAGCAGAACCGCCCTATCTACGTGCAACGAGTTGAATCACAGCCACCTCAGTATCCCATGTCAGACGGAAGACCTGTGATCATTGTGGATTGAGTCAACGGAAGGAAAGAGGAGGATTTCTTTGATGCCTGGAATGTTGGTTTCCACATGTTTTTTTTGTTCAAATTCATGATACCCATCTGTATTCTTAGAACGCTTATGTTCATGGGAGTTGTAACACAATATTTCCCAACATCTATGGTCTTGGATTAAAAAGAAATACAATGTAAAAATTGTAAAAAAATGTCCCAGAGGAAAGTAAGTGATATATTGCGCTTATGACATGAAACCTTTGTTACCCAACATGCCCAGTTAGGCGGGAAAGAGGCGCCTTGCTCTAAGGTCTGTACGGTTGTTGATTCCGAAATATTTCTAGCCGTTCAAACGCTCATGGTTTGGCCATCTGCCTCTCCACTGTTCACAGTCTTTCCAGTCTTCTTAATCGCGGCTAGCACGGTATCGTAGGAAACAGTAGGCTCGGTGGAGATGCTTGCGGTCTGGGATTCGAGGTTGACATCGAAGGACTTGACACCTGGTTATGATCATTAATTTTGAGCCAGAACAGGTAGAAGTCGTGGAGGGTACCTTCTAATTTCTTGAGGATCCGCTCAACAGCGCCAGAGCAACCACCACAACTCATGGACACATTGAACTTGTACTGGTGGTCGGACATGATTGGGATGAGGTGAAGGTTAGGAGCGGGGAGATGCGGGGGGTAAAAATAACGGAGAGTTGGAATCGGATAAGAAATCAAAAGTTGGTATTTATCAGAACAGAGACTCGGATACACGAAATGAAGTATTTTAAGTGTTTGTGGATTTATAATCATTTTGTGCTTCATCCCTTTCATTGAGCGATTTCTGCCATTGGGTTTTTTCCCATTACAAATTTGGATTTGACCTGCAATAATTCATGCATTATCTAGCCTTCCTGCTATTTACTAGTAGAAGGGATAAACAATATGAATATCTATCTACATCTCCTTAAAATCCTCCTGCACGCTTCTTCTTGATCTTACTCTTCTTCACTTCCCGTGCCCCAAACTGTCCTCGCTCGGTCTGAGTCATGGGAATGTCGCTTATCGAGGGCTGGCTGCTTAGCAGTGGGAATCGGTTATCAGGCTGACTACCCCAGGTCCGAATCTGAGGAGCGCTAGGTGTGGCCAGAGATGGCGTGTCGAGCGTGGACGTCTGCTGCGATGACTGTGGTTGCTGCGATAGCCGTGACCGCTTCTTACGCACTCGACGATTAGGTACCTCTTCCTCCTGTCCCTGTGAGACCTTTCGCCATTTGTAGGTGGAGGGATCAGACCCCACCTGCCAGTGGGAAAGCATATTGACGACATTTCGGGGAAGTGGGCGGGGCTTCTTGAAGATAGTAAATGCAGAGAGACTAGTGTAGGCTGCAGGAGCCTTCTCATCTTCTGGTAGTGGCTGGGAGCTTCTATTCTCAAACAGCGTAGTTTGACTTGAAGAAAGCTGTGAGGATGCTAGTTCTGCCCTAACTGGCATGTCCTTGGTGGATGCATCAGGTTGTGGTATATTAGCCTTTCTGGGCTCATTGGAAATTCGAATAAGTCTTGCTAATAGAATATCGAGGGCGATTCCACGAATGATTCTCTCCTTCATCCGGCGTGTCAGGTCGGGTATATCATGTGGAAGGTTGGCTAGCCACTCGTCAACGAGTCGATCATAAGTCTCCAAGAAATCTAGGCTCGACTGCTTCTCCAGAGAAGCTACGGGCATCCCTGGAAACTGATTGGAAAATCGGAGCGGCAGAATCATGAACCGATACTGGAGTTGCTGGTCAGGAGTCTCAGGAAGAGCGGCAGACAGGAGACGTTGCAAGTCGTACGCATTTTGATCAATATCATTTGACGCCGGTCGACCACCGCTAATCTCGAGCCTGGAACAAATCAGTCAATGGGGGATCTAAGGCGAACTTTCTCCTAATTGAACTTACATTGATTGGCTGCTCTGCCAGGACTCTACACCTTCAAGTGTTTCCTTTTCCAGATCTTCAATCATTTTGTCAAAGGTTGGTCGGGACCGTTCAAGTTCTGCCTGGGCAGCACAGCCTGCGATATCTGCCAAGGCAAGGTTATATATGGGAGTCAAGTTCAAAGTCCAGTCCAGATCTTCATAGGTAGAGATGAGGTTGGTGTTCGGAGCAGTCGTTTGGGGAACCATTGCAGACTCATCCCAGTCATTAACCACAAAACCATCGTCAATGCGGTCCCTGGATGTCTTAGAGGGAGGTACACTCGCACGAAGGATGTTACGATCCTCGTTGTCTTCAATTTTGTGACTCCTGACCTGGTCTTGCAAGCTCCGTCGTGGGCCCTTGAAAAGCGTCTCATGCACTGCGAGTGACGAATCCACCCAAAAAAGCTTAATGAGGCTCATGTCGAAGCTGTGTGTGGTTCCAGGAACGGGAGAATGATCGACTTCTCTAAACACAAATGTCGAGTACCGCAGTGGTTTATCAGAATCCATCTTTAATGCTGATCTTAGATGCAACAAGAAGGGATCCGGACTAACAAATGCGTCTGTTTGTAGATTACCAACGAATGGACACGGGAATACCTGAATAAGCTCCGTGACTCGGGAGTACAGGACGAGATATAGACCTGTTAAAGTCAGCAGTACATTCAACAAGCACAAGTTACGTACATACTGTCTCTGATTAATAGATTGCTGAGCCTTAAAGTAGTATCATGGCTGTCTCGAAAATGATGTCTGACAAGGGATGCTTCTAGAGGCAGACTCAGGCCCTCTTCATCCTGCGCAGCAGTTCTCACATCATATATTAGTAACCTCCTGGAAGTGAGAATGAAGAACTGTGACGTGTTCTGGGTGTTCCTCTTGACCTCGAGGACCCATTCGGGTCGTCTCCCCATTCTCAATTCGATGCTGCGGGATCGAACTTCGCCTCCCTCCATCTGAAAAAGCATGGCAGATCGACGATTAGCAACCAGGATCTTTGAGGAATCAGAGACCCATTGAATTGACCCCCAGCCATCATGCCCAAGTCCATCAGAATCTATCTGATCGGAGGTTGACAATGAGCCTTTCGGGCCAGGAACGGCAATTTCATCGCCGTTGCGTTGTTTTCGCGGGGTTTGAATTTCCCAAATACTCCAGTTGCCTCTGGTATCAACGATGGCCAGCTGCCTCTGCAACCAAGGATTGAATGCTACATCAGCATGTGGGAACCCTCCGGTATATGCGTTCAGGATCTCGACGACGGGATTTGCAGCAAGGCGAGAGTTTCGTAGCGAAAATGGGATTGTCGCAGGATCATCATGACGGATGTGCACCGGTGCTGGATTGGGCTGATATAGAGGCCGAAATACCGTAGTCGAATCTAAAAGACGAGCAGCCATCCAATTGGATTGATCCTCGTCGTCCTTGGGCGGCCGTGAAAAGCAAATTTGCTGCACCTGAGCTCCTTGTGTTGACCATTCAGTCGTTTCTTCGTCACCTATGGTTGGCACAATTGCTGCATATTCATCAAGCGGCAGCTCCACGGCATCCTCAACTATCGCATGGAATGAAATGACATTTCTACACTCTCCGGTCACAGTGGCCGCGACCGAGATGTGATTGGACACCTCTGGTCCAAGTACTGAAGCATACCCAAAGTCCAGGAGCGTTGACACATGAGGGTCATAAGGGTCATAAGGATCGCTGGTTGCCGAAAGCAACTTGGAGGACGGATGGTCGGAAATGGAGGGCCAGTGTACGCCCAGATCCGGGTATGCATGTTGGATTGAGTTCGGATTGGGTGGTCGGCCATATGGACCGAATAGCTTGCGCGAGGGAGTCTCTGAAGGTGAAGGAATCACCGTCTTCGTCACACCTGTATAGTAGATTGATGGGCCTGGGTTTAGCGCTTTTGAGAAGCTCCAGGATCCGGTCTTGATGAAGTAGAACGGTTTTCCCATATGCCCATAGTGTAGAGCCGTGTCGGTATTATCACCCATTGGATTTTGCTGTACTTCTTGCGAGGTGCGCAAGACCCGGCCAGATCATGTCGAGGGCAGGGAAAACCCGAGTTTCAAAAGTTATCCAAAGAGGAAGTGAAGCTATCAAAGATTCTCTCTCGATGAGAGTTTTTTCTTATCGATAAGATAAGTTCCGCGGTTGCGCCGCAACCCCCAAACACTTCATCTTCCACGCGGTTTGTTTCAATCAGTTTACATTCGCGTCAAATCAACTCAAACCACACTAAAACATGACATCTTCATTTGATCCATCACTCTCAACGAGTGGTATGCGTCCTCCGTTGATCTCGGCAGATGCGCCATCCATGGCGGACTCTCTTCCCAGCATCAACTTTGGTTTTGATGACCTGCGCAATCGCATGGCACAGTTTACGGTTAAATTCGATGCATTCATTGAGCGAGGGCGCAAACAAGTTCTGGAGGAGAGGAACCAGTTTCATATCAATCTTGCTGAATTACAAGGTACACTGTGATCTCCTACCCTCTAATCCCCCCACCTGTTGAACTGACTGGAAAACATAGAGGACGAGCGGATGCGACAGCGTGATATTGAGATCCTGAACCTCAAAACCCAGACCCATGAACAAACTCTTCAAAAAGAGGCGGCTGAGGCTGCTGAAATGCACACTGCGATTTCCTCGATCACTATGGAGCGCGACTCTCGACTCACCAAGCGGGACCGTCTCAAACAACAGATCACGGAGACCCGAAAGGCAATCGACCAAAGACTGGAGGCACAGAAAAACCACGCAAAACAATTGGATGCGCAATCTCGTCTCAACAACCCGGAACTGGAGTTCTGGCAGGATTATCTTTGTTTACGGATCGAGGGGGCTGGCCGAGAGGATCGATTGAAATTCGTTTACAGTCATATAGTAGAGAAGGATTGGGAATCAGAGGCATGGTTCGAATTGGGAACTGCTAGTCGAGATTATGAAGTGTTCCACACGCGGCCAAAGGTGAACCGTGAAGCTTTGGAGCGTGAGGTCGATCTTGTCAACGAGGACCGGGACTTTGGCGCATTTCTCAAGCGAATGAGAAAGTTATTTGTGGAAACTATGAATTGAACTGAAGATGTAATTTCCCAGGGTGTATGGATATCTGTGATATGAAATTTATGAGCTTTATGCCGAATTATCTTTGTCGTCGCCGAAATCATCAAGTCTACGTAGGTCACGGGCAAAGGCAACGTTTTTCTTTAGCCCCCGGTAGCCTCTCGGTAAAATGCGAGGCTTCTATTCGCACCGGCTGCTGCAAAGGCTTCTGATCTGCCGTTCTTGGGCAGCCACTTAACGCTCCAGACAGCCTTTTCGGTCTCAGATTGGGTGGCAACACACATCTTGGTTTCCATAGACCAGACCTTGACTTTCCCATCGAAAGAACTGCGGACATTGGTAAGCAATGGGTCCCATTTGGTAAAAGTGAGGGTTGTATGGTTTACCTGCTGAGAAGATACTCCCCAGTGAAGCTCCAAGAAAGAGACAGTACCCAAGCAGAATGGCCTGAGAGATTTGCAATCTGTTCGCCGGATGACGTATCATACAACACAATCACCTTGGAGTCTCCAGCCGCCGCCAGAATTTTCCCTCCAGGAGAGAAAGCAACCGAACGAACTGGCTTCACCAAGCCTGGTATATCATGTTAGATCATGTAGAGTCACCGGGGCTTGTACCACGTACCGGAAAGAGAGAACGGCATTCGGCCAATTTCAGTGGTAAAGATGTAGACGGCACCATTTTCATGTCCGCTAGCAATGAATCGGCCATCGGGCGACTAGGAATGTCAGAAGATGATTTGTTGGCAGCTCCTCATGAACCTACCAGGTCGATACAAGTACCAAAGCTGCCCTTGGTCTCGTGGTCTCGAATTTGGGCCCCATCTGCGGCTAGGTCCCATACTCCGATTCGACCATCTTGAGAAACACCTGCCAGGTACTGACCATCCTCCGCCAATGCGACTGCCCAAACCTTCACATCATCTAGATTGGCTAGCATTTGGTCAGTATGTCAAAGCCTCTCGTCTAACGTGAACCGTACCTGAAGAAGTCTTGTCGAGAGACCAATGGCCCTCCTGGCAAGACCAGACTTTGATGTCACCTGCGAAGCCTGCACTAACAGCTCGAGAGCCCTTTGCATCGGTGACCACATGATGACAACCTAAAGTGTGAGCTCCGTCAATCGATTGAACTAGCGGAAAGTCTGCTTCGGTGGCTGAGTGCACTTTAATAGACGGTGCGCCTGATGCAGATAGAATCTGATCATTTGTTACTGCTAGCGAGAAGATATCCACGGGGTGCGCTGAGGGTGGGGTTAGCTCGTCGTTTTTGCGTAACAAACACGCGATCCATGATCACTCACCATTGTCTGCGGATCCCCACGCGAGGTATTGTCTCGACTGCGGACTATTAGCTTATAAATCCTAGCAACTTGAATGATTATCATACCATGCTTTTTTGGTACAATATGCAAGTCAAGGTTGGGTGGTCCAAAATTGTCGCGGTTGCGGAAATGACGTTGGTTAACTTTTGCCCGCATTTCCGCCTTTTCTACCCCAGTTGACATGCAAATCAGGACAACTTCTCTACGTCTTTCTAAACTAACCACGTACGCTTACAATTGGAAGTTTGGAAATTATCGTCAATTGGAGTTGACAATTGATTGGAGGCCATCAGGACCTTTTGGAATAATACAAGTTTTCTTGTCCCCCACGTAACCAGACGCCAGGTGCCATGCAGCAGATAGATATTATCTGCAGATCCCATAGAAAAAGAAATGAAAAAAATAAACTCTAGAAATACACAATTCGTCTTTATATTTCCACTTGAACAAGTCGAATGCACTTGACCGCGCGATCAGAATCCTGTATCATTGCCACTTCAAGCGGTTTGAGTGGTCTGAGCCGACTTCCATGATTGCTGGATATCTACTTCCGGTGTTAGCTCTTGCCTTGTCTCCCTTGAATGAGTAGGTCAAATGCAAATCGCCATTGCAGGCGGCATGCCTTTCTCGAGAAAATTCCCCACATACCTTTGACACAGTTGGAACACAGCAGATGCGCCCGCTTCACCTGACCACAACCCGGGCACTTGTTGAGACTGTGGACATCCTTCAGGGCTTTTCCAGCCATTTGACGATGGCGCTTCTTCATGTGCGAGGTCTTCTTCTTCGGGACAGCGCGGAGGACCGAGTCCCAGAGATCGGAGAGTAGCGGTGGAACGGAGATGGAGATTGAGGGCAAGGCGATAGCGGAGAGTAAAGAGAACCGGGGAAGCTGAGGCAGAGCTCTGGCGAGCGGAGAGATTGACATTGCCATTATGTCGGGGTTTATGTGTAAGGTCGAGCTTCGGACAAGTTGGAAGTTGAAGTTCGTGAAAACCAAAACCAAAACCAAAACCAAAGAAACCAAAGAAACCAAAGTTTCGGTTTGCGCCGTACAACACTAGTCCAAATTAGGTATAGCGTTACACCCCTGAGTTGTCGATAGAGAAAGAACAACTTAAGGGGCTTCAAAGTACAACTATTCTTGTTGAGGTTTTTGCTTGACTTTGGGGTAATTCTTGAAACTTCTTTTCTATTTATCCTCAAATTCTTCCTCCAACAATGGCCGCCGCCGCTACCACCTCTGCTACTGGTCAACAGCCTACCGTTTTCCCCCACAGCCATGTCGGTTTCGATAGCATCACCTCCCAGATTGAGCGGAAGCTGTTGAAGCGTGGTTTCCAGTTCAATGTCATGTGTGTTGGTATGCGCCACCTCGATTCCCCCTACAGTTCCTCACTTTGATTATTTCTGACGCCCTATACAGGACAAACCGGTCTGGGCAAGTCCACGCTTGTCAACACCATCTTCGCGTCCCACCTGATCGACTCCAAGGGTCGCCTTACCCCCAATGAACCCGTGCGCTCCACCACCGAAATTCAGACAGTTTCGCATAGTATGTTCTCAAATTAGAAGCTTTTTTCGCCCAAGGAGAATCGCAATGGCTCACGGGTTCCACTAGTCATCGAGGAAAACGGCGTGCGTCTCCGCCTGAACATCGTCGACACCCCTGGTTACGGAGACCAGGTCAACAACGACCGTTGGTACGGACCTGATTATCCCACTTCAATATACCCTCTCGCGCTAACATTCCTCTAGCTGGGACCCCATTGTCAAGTACATCAAGGACCAGCACTCTGCATACCTTCGCAAGGAGCTCACAGCTCAGCGTGAGCGTTATATCCAAGATACACGCATCCACTGCTGCTTGTTCTTCATCCAGCCCTCCGGTCATGCGTGCGTTTCTCCTGCCAAAATCAAACGAAGCTCCGGTCTTTCAGTGCCAGTCTCCCACTAACCGATGATGATTATACAGCCTTAAGCCCATCGATATTGTTGTTCTGAAGAAGCTCTCCGATGTTGTCAATGTTGTCCCCGTTATTGCCAAGTCTGATTCCCTGACCCTCGAGGAGCGCCTAGCCTTCAAGGAGCGCATCAAGGAGGAGTTTGCCTTCCACAATCTAAAGATGTACCCCTACGACAACGGCGAGCTTGATGATGAGGAGCGGGCTATCAATGCTCAGATTAAGGTAAGGAGAGAGTATCCACATGATCCTGGTTTTGAGATACATATTAACCTGGGCTTGTAGGACATCATTCCCTTCTCGGTTGTCGGCAGTGAGAAGACCATCGTGGTCAACGGCAAGCAGGTTCGCGGCCGCCAGAACCGCTGGGGAGTAATCAACGTTGAGGACGAGACCCACTGCGAGTTTGTCTATCTGCGTAACTTCCTCACCCGTACCCACCTCCAGGACCTGGTGGAAACCACCAGCCAAATCCACTACGAGACCTTCCGTGCCAAGCAGCTGTTGGCTCTGAAGGAGAGCAGCGCTGCTGGTGGCCACACCGGTGGCAGCCGACCCATCAGCCCCTCGGCGGATCGCGAACTCAGCCGCAACTCGCAACGTGCGGCCATGAACGGATACTAAATCCCTCAGGTGGCGTATGTGTCCATCTTTGGTGAATTTGAGTGATGTGAAATGGTCACCACTGGACAACATCATTCTGAAAAATTTCCTGTCCCTTTCGACGGCCTTTGCAGATATCCCATTTCTCCTTTACGTCTCCTGTTTTCGTCCTCTCCCTGTTCTCCCCGTTTCGCGGGCACAGATTCCGGGCTTCTTTATTACCATTTGTATTGCGGGGGAAAGTCTTTTGGTATCGAGCGCTTCTGCTATCTGGTTTTCTCCATGTACTTAGTTTCCTTAATCATCCCTGAGAAACTCATATTGGCTCACTCATCCTCGTCCCTTTCACTATAAAGGACTTCTATGCAGTAGCTGATGACCCAGGTTGTTTTTGGTAAGCTTTCCAGGTCCTGATTATCCTTGTGGCCAGACTTCCTGGTTCCACACATTACGTCAGCAACTAGGCGCCTTACAAATAGGACTGGGCAGAGAATCAGGCGCCCTTAAATAGATACCAGGTCCTTATCGAAAGAAAACTCGAGAACGAGTAGAAATATGCGGTGGTTGGAGATGCCCACTATGAGATCTCGTTTCTATACATGAACCATAACACTAGAGCATTATGATTTAGTAGGTCCTGAGTGGCTACCTCGTCGCATCGCGTTCAGGTTGCCCGCCTCTGCTTCCTGCTCCAGGAAATTGGACCATAACTCCGCCAGTGTTTCCTTGCTGGACGCTCCATTGTCCATGAATTCGGCCAGGTTGGGCGTACTGGGAGTCCGTAAAGGAGTCCCGGGAACCCGAAGCTTACCAGACATAGTTGAGGTGCCTGGTCGAGCGAGCCCAGCTTGTTCTCGTTGTTCTAGATGTATTCATGAGTGAACATGTAGGGTGAAGTTACATAGGGTGGAGAACTTACCGTCATCCCAGCCCAAAAGGGCTGCTATGAGTTGTAGGATTTGGAACTTCTTAGGATCCGATCGATCTAGCGCCAGGAAATGCAGCAGGTGGTTTGTGACAATATGCCTAGAGATATCAGTCAAGGTGGAACCCCTTACGGAATCTGTCAAGGTAAGAACTTACCGGTCCACGTTATCCTCCGGCTTCCCCTTCTTGAGGAATCGCAAGGCCTTGGTAAGGTGATCATTTAATGTGACTGCTTCATGACGCAGCTTTCCGATGAGCAGATTTTTCTCTTTCACCTCCTTCTCAAACGGGCGCACCCGATCTAGTTCTTCTTGCGCATTCTTCATATTCTTGTCTGCATCGCCAGCTTGTTGTTGTGCCTCTCGTAGCGATCTTCTCAGCTCCTCCAGCTGAGCATCTGAACTTTCTACCAGCTCGCGGAGTTCCTGCTTCCGTGCTGATTGGATTTCCTGCAATGCACGCTGGAGACCGTCGATGGTCGATTGCTGGGTATCCCGGTCACTTGTGGCCTTCTCGTAGGCATCGCGAAGGTTCCCAAGCTGCTCCTCAAGATCAACGACTTTCTCGCCCAGGTTCTCCCGGATAGAGCGTTCCTCCATCGCAAGTACCTCCCAGTTGTGCATGGCCTCCTTGGCTTGTTCGAACTCGGATTGGAGATAGGACTCTTGGTCGATCAATTCCTGCTTTTCTTTCAACCAATTCTGCTGTGACAGGGTTGCGCGATCTCGAAGTGTGGCGATCTCTTTGGACTGCAGTGCTGATCCATCGGAGAGGTCAGCAAGCTCGGCTGACTTGGCATCAAGCTGTGACTTTAAGTTTGCGTTCTCGTCTTCGAGCTCCTCGATCTGAGATCGCGCCTGGGCCAATTCCTCCTATACGGACTGTATGAGCAAGACAGAATCAAGTGAGCATCAATTGAGCCAATTCAACACACCTCGTCCTCCTTGAGGCGCTCTCCCAATTGAGATTTGATAATATTCACACGCTCCAGCAGCTTCTGGAATTGGGTTTCAGCCTGTTCCTTCTTGGACTCTGCATCATCCAATTTCTGCTGCAACACTTCCATTTCCACTCGATGTTTGGACTGGATCTCCTCCAGTGATTTCCGCATGTCGGTGACCTCGGCCCGTAGGGAGTCTCGCTCTCGAACCAGCGCATCGAAGCGATCTTTGGGCTCGGTCACGGTCGCGGTTGCGGTTGCGGTTGCAGGCGCCGGTTGAGTGTCTTGCGTCTCTCGTGTTACATTGCCGTATTTGGTATCATTGGCGGACTGATATAGCGCGCTGCCAGGGTCGGGAGGGGCATCGGTGGAGGGGGTTTCTACCGCATCGTCCAGTTCCTCGACATCATTCTGTGAAATTCTCAGCACGGGGTCACAATTACAGAGAAACCCATGGCGCACCTGAGTGGCATCCTCGGGCTGTTCATGTTCAACGCCTGGGGAGTCGGCCAGTTCGGCATCCACCTTGGCCTTGGCCTTCTTCTTGCTCTTCTTAGATTTCGCGCCTAGTGAGGCATGAGTATGGGATTATTAAGGGAGGAATTATTTATGCGCGCACCTTGGGGGTTCTCAGGCATGCTGGGTGGTTGGGGGATGGTTGAAGGGGAGACTGGGGAAGCTGTCAACATCAAAGGTCCTTTCCGCTCCAGATCACGATGATTAATCTATCCGGCACCAACAGAAATTTATAGTAAGTATGCGTATATGTATGCATGTTTTTATCCATATCTATCTATATATCCAACTATATATCTATCTATATATGTATCGATATTTTATTAACTATTTAAATCGACATCTTTATTGCAATACCCAGGTATATATATTATACATATGACGTATTTGTATATGTAGTTACATACGTGTCTACCAACCTTGGAAGGCGTACCTGGATACACATTTGAGCCAAGTTTTTCTTCTGTTCACCTTCCATATGTTTCTGAACAGGAAAAGCCGAAATCTTTTAACTTCAATTCCGGCGCAATAACCTGTCTGGGCTTTAGCTTCCTCTCGGTTCAAGTCTCTCCCCACTGCAAGGGCCTTTCAATTCCAATTACCCGGCACATTCCGTCAAAAAACCAGCCTTAACGATGGGGCTCCGAGATCGCGTATCACAGAGACATTCTGAAACAAACTAGGAAGCTCGAGATCAAGATGGACCTAGTGGGCCAACTTGGGAGATTCGGGAATGAAAAGGTGAAACGGACTTGCCGGGATTTCTACAAGTGAAGCTTGTACTCTCTCTCTCTCTCTCTTAATTTGAACTAAACCCATTCTGAGTTAACCGTTCATAGCAACGAATCAAACGGTTTCATCCTCTCGATCCCCGGTCTAGTTCGATCCTAGCCGAAGCATGTCATTTTATTAAAACCGTTACGCCAGTGAACTCTTTTCTATGAACCGCAACCCCACTTTAGCTTCGTTCTCGCCCCATAATGGATGTTTTGCGTCTTTTTTTTCTCTCTTCCCGGGATGATGGCCGATTCGTGCTTTTGTGCAACCGAGAAGGTATAGCTCTATTCCGAACTTACATGATAATCTCGGCTTTGTCTTCTCTATAACCCGGAGATATACCTCTTTTTTCCCCCTTTCTCTTTTTTTTATTTCCACACCCCCCTGCTAACTGCTCCACTTTTGACTCCATCTCATGATTGAAAAGCCTCGGGTTTTCCCTTCAGTCGCATGTTCCATTTCATCTCTGTCTTTACTTTCGGTGGGTGTCTGAACCCGTGGCTCTTCCTTTAACACGGCCTCGGAGGAATCATTTCAATATGTCTGAAACCAATCAGGCAAACATTCGACAAGCCTTGGACCGCGCTCGTACTAGTGAGCTACCTGTGGACGATCCAACCTCCAGAATTCTAGAGGTCGCCATCACCGATCTATGGGCTCGAATTCAAGCGGAACCAGACACTATTATTTTGAGCCCAGATGAATTCGCCCTGTTCAATTATTTTCTTGAGCGTTTTCGGGCCACTCAACCCTCAATCACCCAAGGGGTCGTGAATCGCTATTGGAACAGTTTTCATGCCTCCAATAATGGTGCCAAGAAATAACCTGGATCTACCGAATGGGCCAAATCTGTGATCGGCCCAACATGGGTACACCTGCGCATCCCAGGAGTCAGAACTACAATGACATTGTTGATTGCTTGTTCTGTCAGAACACCCAACACGATCATGGTGATTCCACATGTCATCGTCTACTACACCGACACTTTTACCTCCCAACCGGAGCAAGGGCCTTGTTCCCCTCTCCATTGGTCATAAATGGAGGGATGGGAAGGTGGAGCAAGAACATGTTTCTCCCGGTTGGATCGCCTCAGTCCTAGGTCGCCTACAAAGGAGGGGTTGGGGTGAAAGCAGGATGCAGGTCATTGCGCTTCCAGCGGGAATGGGGTATATATGCATGACTAAATCCTGGTCTCAGTTGGGACCTCATGCATCAAAACAAGGCATCTCCGCATGGAATGTAATTTGAAGCCGCGGGGCGGTATTCATGTTTTTCCATTGGATTTTGTACGGATACAAGAAAAACAGAAACAGAAAAAAAAATAACCAAAAGACGGTCATTTAATTTGAGGATTTGGTGGTGTGACGCTGACGCGACTCCACATATGGTCCCATTAGCAATTCTTCCGGGGAAAATGTACTTCCGTACTTTTGCTCTTGGAAAAGGTGGCCTAATCCTGGTAGAGATTGGTCGATTCTAATGTATATTAATGTACTTTTTGTCCCTATAGATTTTACGTTTTCATCCTTCCAACTGTTATGAGAATCTTACTTGAGTAGTCTACTTCAAATGAGCTTGTCAAGGCAATCTGAATACATGTGTCCACGTGAATCTATGAAGATCTAGAGTCCTGGGAATAACTTGTGCTGAAACCGCTAACTGAACAAAATATGCTGGTAGATGGACCAAATAGAGCAATACATACCGATAATCCACTCATTCCCGTCAGTTTCAACTTCAAAGTGGGCTCTTTTGGATTTACAATGAGTAGCATCAAGGTCAATATGGAAAGGTTGACGAATAATGTCATCATTTGTTTTTGGGTCAAGAACGAGCTATTTCGCTTGACATAAAGCCGGAACATAAGTGGAAGATTGGAAGGAACACATATGATAGGCAGTGAGCCCTCGTTTCATTAGCTCGAGTTACAGATCGAAGCAGGGAAGAACGTACCACATTAAGCCTGTCCTTGGAGATAGGGATTCCTTCGGTAATGACCCAGGATACGATATAAAGGCTTGCATAGCTCACAGCCCATGTGCCTCGGCCTGCATAAGATCGGTTGTGCATGGAGTTGATATCACAGACCATACGGAGGTAGATGAGCTTGACCACAACATGGGCAGTCACCACTACCCCGACGACAAGCTAGAATGTCCCGGTAAGTGAATTGATAGGAATGTTATTTCTTGGGCACTAACCGCTGGCGTTGCAATCCCATAGGAGATGGAGATCTGACGATGGAGTTTCCCGACAGCGCTGAGGGCAAGAGGTATGGCCTCGTTGCCAACAAAGGCATGGATGGCGATTGCTGAAGGCTTGTACAGGATCGCTACCCGGGAGTGTAGAGATACAAGGGCATTGGGAAGAGCATCGATGTCTTCGAGTTCGGAGAAAAGAAAGAAGACAACATAACCAGCATATGTAAAGACGATGTCGGCAATAGCAAGACAGGCATATTGTATTGTCGGAACTGGAGGGAATGCCTGGAGGTGAGGAGAAGTCCAACCAAGGGAAATCGCGACCATACTCATGAGAACTGCGATGAGAATGCTTGTGAAGCTGACCGTTGACAGATAGAATGGCGGTCCGATTGGGAGAGTTGGGAGAAAGTCCATAAGTGCCCCAATAGATACATACGGAATGATACAATTGGGATGCTCGGTGAGGACATTCGTCATGATAGAACAGATGAGAACATGGCTCCCGATCAGGATATCTCCAGCATCTTCCACCTGTTGGATTTTGATAAAATCTTGTTCCAGCCGGGCAACAGTGTCCATGCCAGTGATACTTCTAATAACAAAACATGTTAGCACCAGGATTTCCCTAGAGCTAGAGAGAGAGCGAGGCATGTCAGCATACAGGAGATGATTAAGCAAGTGAGCACGGTAGAGAGAGTAAGGATCCTGAGATAATAGCCGTTCAGTCTCAGCCAGAAGATTGAGTACACCAGGAATAGTGCAGGGAACCAACTTGAGTCGTCTTGCCTGGAGGCAATCCGTCCTAACGACGCCAACTCCGGACCTAGAGCCAGGCTGACCACCAGCGATTGCGTCCGGAGCATCGCGCAACGAGGTAGAAGAATCTCACCCATGCCAGTCATCGGAACACTCCATTACCTGACAGCCGGAAAAGGGACGGATGTGAAAAAATTGATATTATCAGCATGAGATGAAAGCAGCAGATGTCAAGTAGACCATGAGCCGCACTTTCCTGTATTATATGAATCCTACTGGTAAAACCCATGGCATAAGAAACAGCTAGGAACAACCCGCTGGAGGAATAAAGTAACATTTCTATTTGTACAAAGCCGGTTCTATTATTTCATCTATTGGGCTGACGCAGATGCCGTGGGCTCGGTGCTGTAGATGATTGGGGAGGTGACAGCGTCACTCTTGAGAATATCGGCAGGGGGTTCTACGGAATTGTCAACGAATTGCATAAATGAAGAAACGTAGGGAAATTTAGAATGGAACTTACCAGTTCGAATCAAAGTCTTGAACGCGACCTCATCGAGGTCCTGGACGCGGCCATCCTGAACCTCCTGACGAGACAGGCCCTGGAAGTTCTTGGGGAGACCCATCGATCGGAGGTATGACATGGAATCCTTCCACTCCACCTCCTTACGCTGGTTGCTCCAGTTCAACTCCTCGGCCATCAAGTCAATCACCTTTGGCAACGCTTCCAGAGCGGCCTCGGCGTTCAAGAAAGCCAACCGGGTACGACGGGCAATCACATCAACGGCAGTTTGGGCGTACTCGTGGCGAATGGCGTAGCGGACCTCACCATCCACGAAGGGGTACAGGGCCGAAATGCGCTGGCCGCGCACAGGGAAGCGAGCATTGGTGGGCGAGGAAAGAGCAGCCACCTGCCAAGCACGGTCACCGTACGACTCAGTCAGGTGCTTGGCAACATCGGTCTCCAGGCCAAAGTGCTGGATAAGGTTGATGAAGAGGGTCTTGGAGAAACCGTGGGCACCGATGAGGCGGACCTGGTGGGTCTGGCAGCTGCCGTCCAGGGTGGCACCGTCCGCGACCAGGCCACTTCCACCAACACCACTGATATCCGGGACCGCGAGCGGCTCACGGGGTTGCAGCTTGAACACATCGATAGCTTCATCCACGGCCTCCTCGGCCATTTGGCGGTAGGTGGTCCACTTACCACCAGCGCAGGTCAACAATCCCGAGGGAGAAACAGAGATCAGATGGTTGCGAACCAGCGCCTGAGAGCTAGACTTGGCCGGGTCGCGCACCAAGGGGCGGATACCAGACCACGCAGCCAGGACATCACTTCGGTCAACGTTGATGTCGGGAGCCAGGTAACCACGGATCTCAGACAGAATCCAGCTGATGTCCTTCTCAGAGGGTTCAGGGTGACGGGAGATCTCCGCAGGGGCATCGGTAGTACCGGCAATGGTGTTACCCTGCCAGGGGAGGAAGAAGATGACACGGCCGTCAGACGTGGCCGGGTCGATGAGACCCATGTTTGACGGACTGTAGTATCCAGGAAGAATGATGTGAACACCGGAGCTGGGGGCCACAATCTCCTTGACATCAGGCTCGTCCATCTTGCGGATCGAGTCTGTGAAGGGACCGGTGGCATTAATAATACCCTTGGCACGAATGGTGAATTCCTGTGCCTCTTCACCATCCTTGCCCGGAATCACGTCCTTCAGGCGGGCTCCATTGAGCTTACCGTCGGCATCCTTAGTCAATCCGGTGACTTCCATGTGGTTGACGACAGTGCTGCCGTAGAGGGCGGCGGTCATGGCGAGGGAAACATTCATTCGAGAGTCGTTGTGCGCACCATCTAAAAAACATCAGTCAGTCCCTCACAATCGCCTTAGTTGGCAAAGAATCGGATTTCATCTTACCATAGTAGACCATTGCACCAATGACGTTATCCCGCTTGAGCATAGGGAAGGAATCGATCGCCTTACTCTTTGTCAAAAAGTATGAGCTCTCAATTCCCTCGGAACCAGCCAAGAGATCATAAGCCTTGCAACCGGCCCAGAAATAAGGAGCCTGCCACCATTTTTGGAGCGGCACCATGATGGGCAGCCATTGTGAGAGATGGGGAGCAGTGTTCAGGAAATATTTGCGCTCACGAAGCGCCTCCTTTACCAGCTTGTACCTGTGGATGCAATATCGCTTGTTAGCAATGCCAACTCTTCTGTTTGGTTTTTATTTTTTTTGCTTCTTTTGTCAAGAGCCAACTGACTGGTTGTAATCCAATTCCCAAAACGCCTTCTCCAAGTAGCGGACACCACCGTGCACGAGCTTAGTGCTCTTACTGCTGGTACCGGCACTGAAATCATCACGCTCCACCACAGCCACCTTTAATCCGCGGGTGGCGGCATCTAGCGCAATACCGGCACCGGTGGCACCGGCACCGATGACCAGCAGATCATAGGACTCCCCATCCTGACTCTGCTTCAAGTCCTTAATCTGATCGATACGCGACTTGATTGTGGGGAAATTTGGAGGAACAAGTTTTCCCTCATGGTAACCGGGAGGGGGAACGGCAGGGGCCTCGAGACCGGGGATGTTACGTGGACGATAAGAAATGTAGAGAACACCGGCTCCGGCGGCGGCGGCGGCGGAGGTATACAGCAACGGTCGCAGAAATCTGCGTGAGTGACGAGCGGCCATTATCCGCGAGTATGTGATGAACGATAAGTATTAACCAATGTTGAGCTCAGTGAGCTCAGTCTGTCCCAATTGGACTATAATGCAATGACTCCTTATTTCAAGATATAAAAAGAAGGAGGTTTGACAAGAATAGTGGAAAGGGGTGGGAATAGAGAAAAGGTCGAGATATATGGAAGGAGGAAAAAGGATGGGGGGGGGGGACTTAGATAAATGACGGGATACAAGGAAGATTTGCATGAACACGTAGATTGACAAGTTCGGTTTACCTTCCATAAACCGGTTCAACAAGGACTCAAGAGAACCTGCGTCATATTGGTGGATCGGCGTTGACCCTTGGAATTCCCACCAATCAAGTAATCAGAAGTGAACATTCGGAATTCCACTCCGCGTGACCAACAGGTTTTCACCAAATAGCTGTATATCTAGTACTAGTTATATATAGTATACATATAGTATGGAAAGTATATAGTATACTATGTAGAGTATAATACTTATAGGTATGGAGTATATATGATGATGGTATTATACTATATTATATGTCTTACTGGTCTGGAGCAAATCTCTGCATGGGCAGCTGACTTGCGGCTCCGATCCACTTCGATCGCGGCCCCATTTTTCCCTTTCACAATCCTAGAGAGTAAAGGTAAGTAACCCACTTTTACCAATTGCTAACCTGTTTTAAGCTCCTTCCAGATACTTCCCAAGTACCGGGCTCGTAAGGTAGAGGCTATGCATCGAAAATTAATATCATCACACTTGCGCAACAAGGTACCCCCTGGAATGTTAATGCGGATCAAGTGGGCCATAAATTTGTATTGCCCACGGGCCCCAGGAAAGCTCTGCGAGTGGATCAATTGATGATCCACTAGACTGGATTCGTACAATGCTTTCTTTTTTTGGACTTCCCCTTATACAGAACGTAGCAAATCGGAGAAAAAGAAAGGAAGAGCCCAGAGGCGTTCTAATTAGGCCTGGATCAGGGATTGTGTGGACTTGGGGAGATCATTGGACCCACCACGCCAGGAGCTGAATTTCGACCCCCTTTATACACCAAATCCTGAATATTGAACTACTAACCCGAGAGTACGTATATGAGAAGTGGAATATAGAAACATGTGCTCCGTAGTTATCAGTTGTAGAACTACATGGATAGAATTCAAATGTTGGCACCGATCGAAGGCATCTTAAACCACACTTGGTGTGTGCTTTGCGACTGTGATTCCCTAATGCTACCTCAATGCACCTAGGAGACATGAGGTGAAGAAAAGGAATGATGGTACTCTACCTTGTTATAGACATGGGGATTTATCTCCTCATAGATATACATAGACCAAACGTGGCTGGACTGCGCTCGATTTCCGGTCGAGCGGAGTAATTCCGTGCGGAACTCGGCTGTGGCTAACGGTTGCACCTGGGGAAGTGTGGGGTACAATCTGGATGCTTGTATGACGAGTACGGAAATGTTCCATTGAAAACCCAGCTGAATACGGCTATATAGATGGCTGTTATGACTGTCTCTTGCTTCAGCACAAACCCTTGATCATGGCTATCGTATCGAGCCTGTTGGCCTTACAGAGGCAAGTGATCAACGACCCATGGCAGTTTCTGGGGATCGCTGCTGCCTTGCTACCATTCCTCTATGTCATCCTGAACGAGTTTATTCGGGCCTCAGCCCGCGTCAAGGGCATGAAAGGCCCCCGAGGCCTGCCCTTGATAGGAAATTTGGCCCAAATCCGAGTTAATGCGGCGGAGCAGTATCGAATCTGGTCCAAGCAATTTGGTGCTGTATATCAGATTCAGCTGGGGAATATTCCGGTCGTCGTCGTGAACTCGGCAGCTTCCGCCAAGGTGATCTTTGGCCAGAATGCCCAAGCCTTGAGCTCACGACCTGAGTTCTATACATTCCACAAGGTAAGTGATAATGCCCGGATATTCCCCACAGTATGATCTGACCACTGGGCGTTGTTCTATAGATTGTTTCAAACACCGCAGGCACCACAATTGGAACTTCACCTTACAGTGACTCTCTAAAGCGCCGTCGCAAGGGTGCCGCCTCCGCTCTGAATCGACCCTCGGTCGACTCGTATGTCTCCCATCTGGATGTCGAGTCCAAGACCTTTGTGGAGGAGCTATTCCGGTACGGCAAGGGTGGGGCGATGCCTGTCGATCCGATGCCTATGATCCAGCGCCTAAGCTTGAGTCTAGCCTTAACGCTCAACTGGGGGGTACGGGTTGCATCACAGGAATCTGAACTGTTTGATGAGATCACCCACGTGGAAGAGGAGATCAGCAGGTTCCGAAGCACCACGGGAAATCTGCAGGACTATATTCCGCTCCTTCGCTTGGATCCATTCAGTAGGAACTCGAAAAAGGCAGCGGAGATGCGCATTCGTCGAGATAGGTACCTGGGTTCCCTCAATCGAGACCTGGATGATCGAATGGCAAAGGGAATCCACACGCCATGCATCCAGGCCAATGTGATCCTGGACAAGGAAGCCAAGTTAAACACCGAAGAACTCACATCAATCAGTCTGACCATGCTCTCTGGAGGTCTGGATACCGTCACCACTCTTGTCGCATGGAGTATTGGTCTGCTCTCCACGCGCCCCGATGTACAAGACAAGGCCGCCAAAGCCATTCAGGAGATGTATGGTCAGGATGAGCCCATGTGCTCGGCCGATGACGATCAGAAGTGTGCCTACATTGCAGCACTAGTCCGGGAGTGTCTCCGGTAGGTTCTTGTCCTTTGGAAGATGAAAAATACTCCCTTCGATCTGACACCATCTCTAAAATTTTGTAGATACTTCACGGTCCTCCGACTGGCTCTACCTCGAACATCAATCCGGGAGATCACCTACCAGGGGACGGTGATCCCCAAGGGCACCGTGTTCTTCTTGAATGCATGGGCATGTAATATGGGTATTTAACCCCCCCCCCCCCCTGGAATTGTCTTTGCCAAAATGCCAACGTTTGACACTAGATCCGGATGTGTGGACTGACCCTAAAGAATTCCGACCGGAGCGATGGTTGGAGCAACCCGACGCGCCACTATTTACCTACGGCATGGGCTATCGTATGTGTGCCGGATCATTACTGGCCAACCGAGAGCTTTATCTGGTCTTCATGCGGACTCTGAACAGCTTTCGGATTGAACCCCACGATCACACTGACTGGCACCCCGTCCGTGGGAACTCGGACCCCACCAGTCTAGTAGCCATCCCACAAAGGTATAAGGTGAGATTCGTACCCAAAGACGTAACCGCATTGGAAAAAGTGGTGGCGCAATAAAGCCACAAGATACCAAGTGGAGATGACGGTGGCGACTTTTAGGAAATTTGGATAAACCACGGGTCGATCAGGTCCGATCCCCACTTGTATACTTTTCTCTATGATCATGGGAATTATCATTTGATTTCACTTGAATTATTATTCTACATTCTGTATCTGCCATTTAAAAAGATTAAAAAAAATGCCAGTTTTGACAGTTTCCCAGTGTCCAGATTCCCTTCCCCTCGGAACATTCTGATCCGGTGTATGATGCGCCCTATTAAATCCAACGCCAATATATCACAGATATCACAGACATCACAGATGAAGTTTCAGGAAAAAAAGATAAAGAAAAATTGAGACAAAAGGGTATATACATAAGGTTCGTGAGGAGTGGGGTGAAAAACAGTCCTGTTTTTGCAAGCAATGACGCCTGGTTTGGGGGGTTTTTTGAGGATTCATTCTGTTTCCGAGATATGCAAATGATTCGTTGAGGTCGAAGGGAGATTTTTTTTTTTTTTGGATTCGAGTTCGTATTAGGAGGTTGTTATGCGTCGCTTGAGGTCTCGTACAGGATCGAAGGAGCTAGCATAGTCTCGTAGCTCAACTTGTAGGTGATCGGAGAAGGTAGTATTGGAAGTGTGACTCCGAAGTGAGGATAGAGATGTTTGAGAAGAAGAAGCAGATAGACTGCGAGAGGATCTGGACTCAGGGTGAGAGTCGAGGGTAGAAGAACGTGAGTGTGAAGCTTTTGGGGATGACTCGTCCTCTGGGGTTGGACGATCCAACTCGGCGAGACGACATGATTGAGAGCAATAAGGACCACCTAGAGTCTGACGGTCACACGCCAAACAGAAATCTAGAGACCATTCTGTGGACATGATGAGAGTGTATGTGAGAGTGTGTGTGTGTGTGTGTGTGAGAGAGAGAGAGAGAGAGAGAGAGAGAGAGAGAGAGAGAGAGAGAGAGAGAGAGAGAGAGAGAGAGAGAGTATGTGTATAATTGTGTCAAGTTGGAAGGAAGATATGAGGGGTTTATGAATGTAAATAGGCCTTGAGGAAAATCACCTCATTGCGCTTTTTTAGCTCCCTAACACCATGCCATAAGCGTCCTATCATATGGCTTGCGGGGTCCATTATGTCGTGGTTCGGGCGCTTAAGACGAAAAGGCAGAGAAGAGGGAATTATGCGAGCTGCAGGAACCTGGAAGGGGCAACCATCGGAGTTTCTCCACTTGTTGAAACATTTTATTGGTTCAAATTTGTCCAAATTAACCCTCTTAATCTGCTGACTGGCCTGAGCGTCTGTGCCTGATCACTGCATCCTTATCCCTCTAATGCTTTAATGCACTTCCCCCTCTTGGTCCCAGATTAACTTAGTTGCATATCCGTGCTCGTTCCACAGGGGTCACGCAATAAGTCTCTCCGCTAGAAATGCGGGGAAAGAAGAAGATAGGTAATTCGAAAGGGAAAGCACGCAAAAAAAAAGAAAAAAAAGGAAAAAAAACCCCTATAGAAAACCCAAACCAAGAGGATCGTGCGAGAGTAGAGTGACCCTCCCCCCAATGAGATAATCCTAGAAGATCCTTCATAAGGGATTTCGTTTCCCTCATCTTCAATGATCAGGCACTGTAAATCCGCTTATCTTGCCTTTCCTCTTCAGCGGTCCCCGCCTATTTGGGTTTAGGGTGGAGAGGGGAGGGGAGAAGAGGGGGGATGTGGTTATTTCGTAATTGCCATGCGTACCATGGCGAATTGAATTACGATCGTGGTTCATTCACCCTGGTCTGGGATGCGAACCAAGGTGGCTGGCAAACCAGAGTCACCCGGGTCCTCGGCTTGATCCGGGTCAAGCCCACCAGCTTTCTCTGCATTCGAGTTAGTGGCGTACAATCGCTGATAAGCCCTATCGCGCAAGCTTACTGGAGGCTAGACTGATGGCGCGGAGCACATTGTCCCAATTGGCAAGAACGCATGCAACGGCTGAGAATCAACATCAGTCAGGAGAACACTTGGCCGAAGAATGGAATTCACCTTCAGTGCCATCTTTCAACGTAGCAATCTTGCTCTCCAGCGCTTGCATTTGCATGGCAAGGGTCCCGCTCAGATCACGGAGCTGGCGGAGATTCTCCAACTCTGCTTTTTTGGCGGCAATGCGCGTGGTCAGAGCTGAGGATGGTTGGGGCTGACGGAATCCCCCAGGAAGCATGGAAGGTGGTCGCGACGAGTACGCCATGATTGGAATGTGGCGCGTTTCAGTGATGAATGTTTTGGCGATACGTAGAAGCTGAACGGTTGAATACAAACGAGACAAACATGAGATCACGGGATCCACTTATGAAGAAAATATGCACTAGTCTTGATTCGGACAAACGTCAACAATCGTGTTTACTTGGGAACTCACATATGAAGTTTCACTCTCTTCATCATTGTTGCACTCCCCTCCCCTCCCCACCTGGTGGCCATAGACCATCATGGCTCGGCTAAATGACTATACAGCTCCTCCAGAGTCAATCGAGGCCCGTAAGTGGAAAAAAAAAAAGAAAGCGAATGATAATTCTCATTAACACCTTGCTCTAGTCAAGCGAAGATTTGTGCGACAGAATAAAGAGATCGCGCGGGTCAATTCCATGCAGTCCCTTCGGATCCGAAGTCTAGAGTCTGAAGTCGCCCACCTGCTCGCGGAGAATGTCTCCTTACGACAACAAGTGATCAATGTCACTCAGGAGGCCGAGAGATTGGAGGCCGCGAAAATGCTCCATGCCGGGGTCTACGCGATAAAATCCCGACTTGACGCCAAGATTGCAGAGCTTAATGACCTTGCATTAGATCTTGGTATGCTTCCTCGCAAGGTTGGCACGCTAGAAAAGTCCGATATGGAGCGCCCCAAAATGGCGGGGTCGCGACCGCAACCAATAGACCCGGATTATCCTGGCGTGGAAGATGGGAAGCTGCCTGCCATTTTGGAAGATAAATGCTACCCCCGGCGTACTCTAGAGTAGGTCTCCCTTCCCCAAGTCCTTTACGAGTTATGTCCGCTAATTTATATAGACCACTAGAGATCCAGAATGTCGTGCAGATGGACTCCAGTCCCGCTCCACCTGTATTTGAGGTCGATCTAACACAGCATCCTGTCACGGAAAGCCCCTCACCTAGTCCAGCAATCCATGAAGTCCTGCCAGAGAGCCAGCTAGGCAATCCCCCGATTTCTGACCACTTTCTCCCACCCACACTCGAGACACGCAAGAAGAAAAAGAGAACAGACTCCGTGACCCCCGCAAAGAAAGATTTCACAGCGGAGGAACAGAAACCCCCTGTAGGAGACATTATACGGCCGGTGAAGTCAGGGTCCAAACGCAAATTTAGCCCAGACAAAGACGGAGCTCTATCGGATGAGGATGGACTTTCAGAAAGTGACGAGTTCCAATTCAGCCGACCTAGTCAGAGTCCACAAAGGCATGTTGACTTGTTGCAGTTGATGCATCAGGATCCTTCACCCACGAAGACCCCGGTGAGCATCAAACGTGGACCAGCCACTGGAACTATGAAACGGAAAGTTCTTGAACCGAGTATGGAATCCATTTTCCGCCTTCCTTGTTTTTTTTATATGGTGCATTTATACTGACAACCAACAATTAGAGAGTGCAAATGTCAACTTCAGCTCACCCAAGAAAGCTCGGGCATCGTTGCATTCTGATAATAAGCTCCCACTGCCGATTGTTGGCAACGAAAATACCGTGTCGCCCCAGAAACCGAAGGACTTGGAAAAACACAGAGGCCGTGGCTTGAATCAGGCGGCGCGTCGACCTCGTCCAGCGTCCGATGCTCAGAGAGAAAGAAGCTTTCAGCCCTCGATGCAGTCAGAACAACCGACTCCTACACTACTCAAAGATTCTCCAATCGTCCAGTCCGACATTGTGGTCAGTGTTGCAGATGCTGCAGCGACATCCCGATCTTCGCGACGCCGGGGAGCAGTGGTCAGCTATGCGGAGCCTAACCTGCGTGACAAAATGCGTCGCCCAACCAAAGAACTGATTGATGCGGTGGGAAGAAATGGAGCCCGCAGATCCTCAAGCTTCCTACTTGGTGCAGAAAACTCGGGTGAGGCGGGTGATCTATCTCAAGGAGAAAAGCCGACCAGCCCTTGTCCGCAGCCGAACCAAATCAAAGCCAACTCAGATTCCACTCATGAAGCAATTGATATGTCTTCCAAAGACGACGCATCAAATCAATTGTTGGAAGCAATGTCACGACGGAGGCAATCACGGCGCCACTCGTCTAATCCAAACAGCGGCACTCGCGATAAATCGCCCCCAAGGCATACCTCTGGGAATGGAGAACCACAGTCTCCAGTGTGGAAGAAATCCTCCCCCAACACAAGTCTAGCTGACATACAGCCAGATAGCTCTTTGGACAATGATGACTTCGCTGGTCAAGGTTCCAGAGTGGATGCCAGTTATCGCCGAGAGACTCGTGTGGCGGCTAGAAGGAAGAGTATGATGGTGTAAACAGACACCGGGTGCGCGGCTTGAACATTCATTTTCGTACTTGTGTATTTAATCTTTAATTGTGCCTGATGCAGTCGTGATTCAGATACCCATTGGCGTTTAGATATTGTGAATTGACAGGATATGTTGCCTTTCGCTCCAAGCTGATCATCCCTCAAGTCCTGAACATAAGAACTACTCACAGATATCTAGGTCAGTAGCCAGTGACCATTGTAGGCCTGCCTTCATTGCACCTAGCAGGTGATTCACATGCCATTGAACAGCACCCGCACAATATTATATGACATCAGAGCCCACGTTCACATTTTCTGAGGTCTCATGTGGGGGAACTTAGTCGCGTGGCCCTGTTAACCGCGCTTTCTTCCCTGCCTCGATGAATTCCTGGATTGTTGCACACATTTTGTCTCTGACGATCCCAAAATCGGATTGCTTCGCCGGGGTTTATCAGATCATGTACCGCGAGATGAATTCTTCGATGATCTGGGCATCTTCTCATATGCATTCGGGCTTGGTTTCCTCTTGGGCTTGGAATGGCGATGGCGATGTTGAGGGCAGACAGCTGAAGCTTGGTCTTGCGACTGATCGGATGCACCCTCCTCCCCTGCCAATCCCCGTCCTCGTGGATGAGAAGAATGATTATTGGGCCTGGCCCTGCGGCGGTCTATCTCACTGTCACTGTCTGAATCGGACGAACTGGAGGAAGACTCCGATTCGGAGCTGCTCTCGCCCACGGGTCGAGCTTTGTGGTAGATGCAGCAAACTAGAAACGGGGTCAGTGTGACTGACGAGTGGGAGGAAGGGAGTGAATTTTACCTTTGGAACTTTTCTTTCCCATGCCCTCGTTATCTACGACATCTTCGCTCCATCTAATGCGTCGAGAGGAGGATGGCTCTGGCGTGACGCTGGGAGCATCTTCGCCCCGCAATCGAAGGGTTCCCGATAATCGGAGGGGCAAATCTTGAGATGTTTCGGTGGTAGTCTGCTGTTGTTGATTTCTTGGTTGACGATTTTGAGACATGATGCAGGATATAAGTGTGCTCCTAGCAAAGAGAGATGATTGGGTTGTGAAGGAAGATACTGTCTTTTTTTTCTGTGTCAAAAGGCCAATCCAACGCCCGATAAGTAATCCAGTAAGATAAGACTCTCACCGCCCGCATTACCAACTACAGGAGTATGACGCATGTCCATGATATGAATTTGATTCATTGGATGTTTACATTTTTCCCACATCATGGGGTGATTCATTTGAAAAGCCATCTTCTTTAAGAGATATCAAACAAGATCATCCTAACAGTGCAAAGTACAAGAGGACCAACGGGGCGTATCCCGTGATCGAGCTCACCGCAAAAACTAACACAGGAAAGCAAGGTCAGGTCTATCATGTATGGCCCTTCTCGACTCCAGCACAATGCATCATGGTTTTTTCCCATGATTTAGAGCTCATAGAGGGACCAGCCATCGAGGCCGTCATTCCTTGATAACGACGTCGGGTTCCCCGTCCTTTCAGAGGAGCTAGTTGACATGAAATGGGGGATCTCCGACCGTAATTCTTGGTCGAGTCACAGTTCATCTTCTTGATCCATCTCCGATGGCTTCAGTAAGCCTCCAACCTTCATTGCGCGGCTCCTCTCGGCGGTTTGAGCATCCCGGACAGCCTGCTCCCTTTCTTCGGCATATAGCTCAGCGTTGTCGTCGGAGAATTCCTTCAACGAGATGAGGAAGTCACGCAGATGGGTCTTGAACTTGTTCAGATCATCGGTATAGGCGAAAAGGCCAATGACAAATTGCTGGATTTGCACTCTGCTACAATTAGTATCAACTAGGCTTAACCACTGCCCCGTGCTGGACAGAGGCGTTCGATGAGGGACATACTCTTGTAAATTCTTGAAAGCGTTCTGCAGCAAGTTGGCGACATACTGCTGGAGGAAATCCTTGTTCGAAGTGCCAACAGGGGCCTGATCTGGAGTGTAGATAGGCTCGGAGATCTTTTGCGATTCGACAAAGTAGAACATGCGGGACAAAAGCATAGCCTGGGATTTGAAGCCTAGGGTGGACCAAAAATCAGTTTTGTGCAACAGAGGTATGGAGGTTTCATTGGAGGAGTGCAAATACATACCAGCCTTGTGGTCGCTGTCGGTAAGAACGAAGAAGACATCTTGGAGAATGGGGATGTAAAATTGACGGAAGAAGATGCTTGCGGTCTGTAAGTCAGTCTCGGCCATGTTGTTCATCAATTCCAAACACATGGTGAGACCCGTGTTCTCAACCTCTCTGTTGTCATGCTTCGATGCCCACATGCAAGAATCAATAACAAATTTGAACTGGGGGCCATCAAGTTTCAGTAATGCCTGGAAGCAGTATAGATTGATGGCCTGCAGCAACTTGAAGAACTGAACACGATGTTCAGGGTACTCATGGAAGTCTTTGTTGATCATTTCCAGTGTACAGGTAAAGACGCTGTCCATGATGGCAGGGATCTTATCTTCCATTAGATTCTGTGGCCCAAGGGAGAAAAAGGTTAGCTGTGATTGCCCGTCTTTTGAGGGGAAGGAATAAAATATGGAATATCACGTACGTGGAGCTTATGAATGATGGTTGTCATGACATTCAAGACTTCCGCTTCGCGTGCATCCGGTACGTTGCGGTGATAATCAATGAGGACTGCCTCAAGAAGGGGCGGCACCATGCTTTCATTAACCATTTCGAGATCATCCGACTTCTCAACGTATGTATCAATGAGCTTCAAGATCTCCTTCTTGATGGTGCGAAGACCGCGAACTTTAGGTGTCTTGGGGGCGATTTGTCCTATGGAGATATTAGCATGCCGTATGAGTAATTCGGGTTTTGGGGGAAATACCATCGCTGGCTACAGCGTCGTTGATCAATTGACTGGAAGCGCGGTACATGTTCAACATGTCATGGAAGATGCGGCCAATCTGAGAATAGAAGTAGGTTCCAATAGATGAGCAAGCCGCAACGTTAGTCTTCATAATGTTGCCAATAATCTTGATAGTGTTAGCATCCTGGAGAATCGCAGCATTCTGGTTGGCTTCCGCGATGATCTGGTCCCAGGCCGAATTTGGCAAGGCCATCAAATTTTCAGTTAGGCGATCTTGAAGGCCCTTTTGACCTTGTGCAGAGATCATGTAGCCACATGCTTCGTAGAATGTGTGGATCTGCTGAGGAGAAAGATCCATGGTGATCTTCCTCATGTTCCGCACGATTTCCTCAATAAACGGCTCATTCTCCCCGGGTTGCAATGCAACAAAGTGTCGGCGGCACTTGTTGGCGATCTTGATGAATGTATCACAAGCCATGTCTTGGACACCTTCGTGTGTTTCGTGCATGAACTCAAATAGCTTATTCACCACAGTCTTCAAGAACTTCCAGTGGGCCTTCAAGAATCGCGGATATTGGCCCACAATGTACATGATATTACTCGCCACCACAGCTTTGTTGTCCTTTCCGCGCTTTTGCTCGGTCAGGCCTAAAAGGTCTTTGATGACAGTGACTAGGAACCGTTTCTCTGTTTCCTCGTTCATGGCTCCGGAGATAGATCCAATTGCCCAACACAGGGTATTGCAGTTCACCCAGGACCATTCGGATCCGTCAACTTGCTTCGCCAGCTTATCAATCATGATGGTCTCGGTATCGACCACATCTAAATGCGTGAGGTAGACCAAGCACTCTCGGATGGTCTTGTAGAGCTGGATTGTGTCACTCTCCTTGACGAATTCACGTACGATCTCACCTTCATCATTCTCGACGATCAATACCTCCTCGGGTCGGACCATCTTCTCGATCATGACCGTGCGGAGGTTCGAAAGAACAGTCTCGTACTTGTGTTTGCGGAGAGGGTAGTTGGCGAGGGTGCTGGGGTGAGGCGCACCCCCGTTCGCCAACCCACTGACACCCATAGTCACGAGCGGGTTGATATCCGTGATGGGGAGTTGCTGCATCTCCTCATAAAGTTCTTGCACCAACCGAGTCCAGTAATCCAAGCAAATCTTAAACACCTCTCGGTCATCAATCTGGCTAACACGAATGAGGTAAAAGTGGGCGTGCGTAAGATAGTCTTGGTTGGGGAGCTTCTCGATCAGCTATAAAATTGCAACAATAGCGTTAGTACTGAGCCCGGTTCGCAGGGATGCGGGGAATTGGTTGGAACATACGTCTAGGTGGGCGCTGAAAAAGCTCGACAGGAAAAGTGCCAGATTCGATACAAACTCCTGGTCTCTGCCATTGCTCTGCGCGTAGGTCTCTTTCAGGTCCATGGAAAGAGGGATTACGGTGGAGACGGTAGTCAGAGTCTCGGTGAACATATGAACCAGTCTCTCATCATAGTTATACGGAGCACCAATTTGCAGGCCGCCGATTTCGGTGAGACACTTGAGGGTGACATTTCGGAATTCGGGGGTGCCCAAGAATCGCGTCAAGAGAGTATTAATAATTGGGGTTTCAAATATGTAGCCCAGGGGAATCCAGTTCAGGAAGCGCAAAAGGGTTTCCAGTGTTGCCTTGACCAGGCTCGGTTGGTTCGCGGTGTTGAGAACCTCGGAGCAAAGTTGGAAGATAGAAGCGAACTCCTGGGTCATGGATGTTTTCAAGTTTCTGGCCTTAACCGACGTCATCTGGTCTTGTGAAAAATCAAAGACCTCCTCGGATAACAGGCGCAGAATAGCCATGTTGTTTTCACAGATGGAGAGACTGGAGTGGCAAGAGGAGATTATCTCGTTGATGAAGGTCGGCCAGTTGTGCGGCCATTCCTGCTTCAAGATCGAGACCAGGACAAGGTTGAGTTTGTTCACGAAAGCACGTTCAGACCGGAGCTTCTCCTCGGAGCCAGAGTTTTCGATGATGAAATTGACGATGAAATTTCGAATTCCTGAGATTAACGAGTAAATGCATCAGCAAAAGTCACTCAAAAAAACAAAAGAAGGTCAAACGGGAGATGGGAGGGGACATGTTGAACGCTACCTTGACACTGGTCTCTCGGAAGGACCTTCCACCGGGTCATGATCACATCGTCAAGAACCTGAAGAGCGATGTCTGGCAACGGGTAAGCATATATTGCGATCGGAGCTACGGTAAGGGGAAAAATCACGCACATTTGGTCTGGGGGTATGATGCTTCCTGTAGGATGTTGCCAACAGTTACCCAGGCATCAGGATTTTGCTTGAACTAGATCGACATGTAAGACTTGAGCACTAAATCGCGTTGTGGATAAGGCACGCTTACTTCGGTGAGGGTCTGCTGGGCTTGTTTTTGCTGCGCATCGTCAGTTTCCAATATTTCCTGGTTCGTATATTATCCTCAAGTCCACTTGAACTTACCACGTCGCCCTTGCCTTCGAAGAAAGCGCGGACCGTGCTGTCCAGCTCTTGCACGGAAACAGACATCACGCCGCAAAGATTGGCGCAGTCGCCGGGATCACGAAGTCGTCACGGCAATCCCCAATGGAAAGATAAAAATGGAAAAAGAAACAGAGTGTCAACAGAGGTCCCAGCAAGGAATTGGCAGGGACGTATGAGTGCGCGTCACCGTTGGAGATGGAGAGCGGAAGAATTGGTTGAAGAGGGGGAGGGGGAGATGTTAGGTAGAAAGAGTGAGAGGGAAGGGGAGAGAGGACTGGTGGGGTAGCAAATATGGACTCTTGGAGGGGCTTGGAGAGTCAGCAGATTATGCTTCTTTACACAAAATGGAGCACCCAAGCTTTCGCAGTAATGATCGACGGGAACTCCCAGGAGCTGAGTCAAAGTCAGTTGTGGGATAGAAAAGACGAAGTCATCAACACTGGCGGTGAAGCGCGTCGTTTCGACTTAGGACGGGGAACTCGGGATCTTAGTCAGCCAAGCTCTCCCGGTCGCTTCCCATGGTTCTACAATCGAAGGAGAGAGAGGAGGGGGTTGGGTGAAAATGAAGAAGAGAATAGAAGAGAATGAGAAAAGGTATAGTGATGTACAATGATACTTACTATACATTAGTAGAAAAATTTAGCTCGGCTGTAGGGAAGGATAAGGGACTAGGCCTTTCACAAGTTGCCTGATACAGTCGATTAGTATATACATACTATATACATCAGCACTCTCCTTAGACCGATTGATGATAATTTGTTAGTATGATTTCTCACTTTTTTCAAAATAATCTTTTATATCTAAGGATCTAAGAAGATATACTAGATTATGGATATACCAGATGGCAGATACTAGGCCAAGTGACTCAGACCCATGTATATTCCTGATCAAATTAAAGTAAATCAATAACAATTATGTATGATACATAGTAAACCTGATTTATCTTATATAAAAATATAATTTAATAGACTTGGGGTGTAGAGAGATGTAAGAGAAGTATGGCGTACACTTTATAAGTATTAGGCTCTGGGGAAAATAGTTAATAAAGAAAATGACATACAGTACATTACAAGTCTATATATATGTGTCCTGTACGGACCTTGTGTATACTATTTGTAAAAGAGGGGGGAAAGTATGTGATGGCGGGTGACCAGCTGATAAGCGATGCATAACCGCCCAATGCGCCCACACGCCAAATGGCTAAAGTGGTATCGCGCCCGCTTCCAGACCGCCCAAAGCCGCCCGATTAGCCCCACTAAGAGGGACACGGGGCGCCTGGGAACGCGCGCCATTGTCGCTCCCGTTCGTTTGGGAAATTGTTGTCTCAGTCACTCACTCATATGGCGCCTACGTCTTCCGATTGGTAGCTTATATGTGACGTCCTTGCCGATCCCGCGCCAACTTCCCTTTTCTTTTGCCCCCCGGCTTCTTCTTTCAAATATTTAATTTCGATTAGGGGCCATTGAGAGAGAGAAAAAAATCATAGAGAAAATAGTAAGAGAAGGGAAAGAGAGAAAAGGGTTAAAAAATGAAGGTTAAAAAGTTGAGGGGCAAAGGGCATCATTCATTTCCCTCTCTCTCTTACTCCTATACATTGTAACTATTAGTACGGAGTAGTTAATGTAAGTTCTTTTCTTTCTATATTTTTAGCCCCTCTTTCCTCGTTCCTTTCTTCTTTCCTCTTTCCTTTTCCTTTTTCTTTCCCTTCTTCTTTCTCTCCCTTATACTCTCTCTTTCTCTTTTCCCCCTTCTCTCCCCCTACCTTTCCCACCATATTTCTTTTATCTAGTTCCCGTTTACTCTACCACCTATAGGGCCCAATTTCATCTTCTACTTATTATCTTTTATTGAACCAAGAAAAGGAACTGGTCTCTGTTCTCTATTCTCTGATCTGGGAATTCTTCTCTCTCTGGTAAAGGTGTGTTTGGTCCTGGGCGCCACGGAAACCCGCCCACATCTCCCACGCCCCACTCCAGACAAGGTTCACGCGATCTATCTGGGGAGTAGGAGAACGGGATTCTGAATCCGTACGCTCTCCGGAAGGTAGAGAGAGAACAAAACCCAAAAAAAAGAAAAAACAAAGAACTGACAAGCGCGGGGATCATAACAACCCCCTCGTGTTTCTATTCTCGGCAATTTCCCGGCGCGCGTCTGCGGGTAAGACCCGTGGCACAGCGCATCGCTTTTGACAGGGCAAAGTAAAAGGCGCGGCGTAACAGAAAACACAACGCCAACCTCTGTTGGAGAAAGGGGTGGGCAAATGACAGCTATAGTCACTGTTCCAGCCATGAGCAGCCATGATTCTGGTGCAGAGGCAGGAACTGAGCACAGTCCATCCCGCTTCACCGCGGTTAATGGCAAGGACTCGTCCGTCTCCAAGGTCAATTCTTTTCCAAAGGATAGAGACACCTCGCCAGATTTCAAGGCTATGCCCGAATCAGAAAGTCCGGAGCAAGAGCACAGCCCGGAAGACCACGGGTCGCAACGATCATCGCTGGAGGCATCTGTTCACACCCATAAGCGCAAGAGATCCAACTCTTCCTCTCGGGAACATGAGTCGAGACATCCATCCGAGCTCCACGGCACGGTCAGGGGCTCCAAAGGTAATCCCACCGAGTTGAGTGCGCCCCCCAACTCCAACGGGGCGGGTTCAGGATCAGTCTCGGATTTGGAACCGGCTCCCCATGGCCCATCCCGATCAGACCCCCATGAGTCCTCCCGGATATCTTCTAATGGACCATGGCCTGAATACGATACTCAGTTGGCGAGTCAAGCCCAGAGGGTCCAGCAGATCGATGCCTCTGATGCCCAACTGGCCGATGCACTCCAAAGAGAAGCACATTCCCTGGACCCCAATCACCGAAACATGAACGCATCTCGGTCAACCCCGGCCCCCACGGTGCAATCATCCTCGTCACCTCCATATTCCTCGGAGCGACCAACAACGGCGCAGATGGCGCCCAAACGCAAACGAGTTTTTAGCAACCGAACCAAGACCGGCTGTATGACGTGTCGTCGTAGGAAAAAGAAATGTGATGAACAGCACCCAGCCTGTAAGTATTTACTGCAGCCTTTCTTCTTCCTTTTCTCCTTCTTCATCGTACGCCCAAATTCCATTCATTATGGAAAGCAGCAGGTCATGGTGGCTTTGCTTAAAGGGCGTCATGTTAACAATTGATACCAGGTAACAACTGCCTTCGTGGGGGCTTTTTGTGTGAAGGGTACACATCGCGGAACATGTGGCAGAAGCCTTCGAATTCGAAGCCACCAATACCCTTACAGTCAAAAGAAGAATGTCCCGAATCCAGTGATCAAAATATCCCAGAGAATCAGGACCGGCATTTGTCAGAGCAAATGGAACGGAAAACGCGACCAATCGTGGAAGACGAGCGATCTGCTCCACAATATAACACCAGCGCCACCGACCCTGTCTCCAAAAATCACATGTTATGGCCCAAACGACTTTGGTCTAATCCGGGTCATTCGGGGCCAGCATATCCCCCGGGGCACGTGGCCAAGGGAGATTATAGAGAGGTCTCGTCCATCCATGAACTCCCTCGGGATGTACCCTCCAAACCGGATTTCCCTGGGGTGCCTCTGATTCGAGAAATCTCTCATGGACCGTCCCCGAAAACTAATGGGCCTCTACTGTTTCAGGGAGCGGTGGCACCGTCAACGCCTGCCACGTCGTTAGACACTAATAGCCCCCAAGTGCAGGCTCGAATGGCCCTAAGCATTGAAAACCAGTTATCTAGTCGCATGGCGAGCATTGAAGACACCGAGATGGACAAAATGATCAAAGGCGACCTCTACCGGCCATTTGATGTGTACCTCGTAGAGGAAAGAGACCGATGCCGACGCGCACTCGCCCGATTCAACAACGCCTGCAATCCTCTCAGCGGGCTCAGCTCAAAAGAACAAAATCGTCTCCTCAAGGAGATTCTGGCAGCCCAACCCCCTTGCACCCTGAAGCCTCCAGGGTCTCCGGGTATGTCCAGCCCGACGATGCGACGTCCGACCCCTAGTCTCGGACCGGGAGCGATTGTGGAGTCACCATTCACCTGCCACTATGGGTACCTTAGCATTGGAGAAGACGTGATGATCTCCCATGACTGTGTATTTGTTGATGATTGCTTTATTTTCGTGGGCGCTCATACCTGGGTGGGGTCTAATGTCACCATTCTCACCACCATGGCACATTCTAGCATGCAGGAGCGAAAAGGCACACAAAGCCGATATCAAGGCCGCCGCGTCCGTATCATGGAAGACTGCTATATTGGAGCAGGATGTACTATCTATCCCGGAGTGACACTTGGCCGAGGGGCCTACATTGCTCCCGGAGAGGTCGTTCGAAGTGATGTGGTCCCTTATGGCTTTCAAGGGTTCAAGCCAAACTATATGTGAGATGTTGGAATGTTACAAGCCACGGTTCTTATGTTTAATGATTCCCGGATTTCTTTGCCTCTTCTCTTTCTTGTGGATCTTACCTTTTCCTTCCTTTATATTCCTCTTTTTGTCTTTCTTAATGTACATGATTCTGGGGCGCTCTGGGGAACTCTAGGGGGCAGCGGAGCCAAGCGAATTGTTGCACAGTACATATATAATCCCCTCGGTTTATTCCAATGGTCTTCCCCTTCTCTTTTGAGGGGGACTTCTCAGCTTAGAATACGCATTGAATATATGAAAGGCTATTCTTACTACCCATATTACTTATGCAATCCTCTATAGCCGAATCAGAAACCTAGATGTATTTGGCACTAGTAGCCTCATATATACATATAATTATAATACCAAGGTATATAATAAATAGAACTTTACATCAAAAAAGGAAATACAATGAGGGTACTCAATTTGAAGCCTGCATGTGAGACATTTGCAACTTATTCCAACCCGTTTAGAGAGAAACACGTCAGCAAATTAGGGACTACGAATAACAATTTCTTGGGTATGTATTGACTTTTATTTTTGGTACAAAGTACTCTCATCAGAGAAAAAAGGTATTGAGATGAGATTCATGATATGGTAAGTTGGACTTCCTTAGTTCTCTTTTAAAACATTGCGACAATAAGAGAAACAAGTCACAAGGGGTATCTATCTTGATTTTAGGAGCGAGGGATTTCCGGTAACGCGATGCAGTTGGATGTACAGTCCTCAGCCTCCCTAGGGCGTGGACTGGCGACGATTGGAGCCATGTCGGAATTGCGGAAGAGGACAAGTTACTTAAAGCCAATCCAGGAATTCTGGGACAAAGTAGCTAACCACAATCCCTGCTCCCGCCCTTAGAATCCCTTCAGTGCTTTCAAAGGCCATGGCTTTTAGGTCGAAAACGCCTGCCTTCGCAGCCGCGTGAATCATAGCGAATTCACCACTAACTTGATATGCCGCCACTGGGAGATCCTGAGCAAGGTCTTTTGCGTCACGAATAATGTCCAGGTAGCTGCTGGCCGGCTTGACCATGATAATGTCCGCACCCTCATTCATGTCACGCTGAATCGCCCGTCGGGCAAGTCCTCGACCACCCGGGGGGAGTTGATAGCAACGGCGATCTCCAAATGAAGGACATGACCCGGCCGCATCACGGAAGGGGCCATATAGACAGCCGCTAAACTTTGCACTGTACGACATCAAGAGCACCCGGTGGGCCAGACCCGCCTCAATCAGTTTGAGCTTAATCCCACGCACTCTTCCATCATTCATGTCGGACGGCGCAACACAGTGGGCACCCGCGACGGCGTATGCTAATGCCACATCAGCGATGCGGTCGACAGATTGTGCATTGTCTAGTGTCCCGTCCTCCCGAAGGATTCCACAATGACCATGAGATGTGTACTCGCAAAGGCAAACATCCGTCGTGATGTAAAGTTGGGGAAGCCGAGAGCGCAGCAGCCGGATCGCCTGTATAACAGGACCTTCCGGGTCATCGGCAGCCGTTCCAAGAGCATCCTTGGCCGAGGGGTGCAAGGGGACACCAAAGAGCATGACCGAACGAAGTCCTTTTCGGACTAGAGGGGCCAGGAAAGGAATAAGGCGATTGACACCTCGGCGGTACTGGTTAGGCAGAGACGGAATCGGGCTCTCTTCGTCCGGATTGTCGGTGATGAATAGCGGGTATATAAGCATTTCCTGGAAAAGTCTAGATGAGATTGGATGCAACCGTGATATTGGGAGTTTAAGTACTTACTTTGGTCAACTGCCTCTCTGCCTGCCACGATCGACTTAATGGGTGGCTGTATCCAGCATGGAGTTGGCTAGAAATATCCCCAGATATGCTGACACTCGTGGCTGTTGTACTCGTGTAGGAACGAGCGGTACGGGATTGAGCACGCGAAATCTGCGAGCCCCGCTCGTCGGCATTGGAATCCCGGAAAGCGAGATCAGAGACCAGATTAGAGAATGACATGGTTTTAGTATCAGGATCGTGAGTCGACTGTAAAATCCCAGGGTATAACAGGAATAACGAAGGAAAGGAAACGCGGGTGGCGGGAGTTGAACTGGGCGGGTACGGAGTAAAAAGCGAATCTGTCAGCCGAGGCGCGGGTAAGGCGAATGACAATCAATGTGATTGGCGGGGAAGAAAGAACATTAATAATAGTGATCACCTTGGAGATAGTAACCTTTTTCTTCTTCTTTTTTCAGTGTAGCAATACCCAGGCATCTTTAAGAGTAGTCAATCATCCAAATTTGCCCTTCAGACAGATCAACCAGAGACCCCAGGACCTTGATCCCAAGGATGCTAGCCACTTTTAAAGACAAGTCCATGAACAGTTGAAGGACTATGAATGGGCTTGACATCTGACCTGCTTTCTAAATTATGCTAGTGAAACCGCGGACATTAGATCATATACCTTGGTTGGATCCATTAGCTTTTTGCGATCTTTATTGGATAAGTAGGGCTGATTTATCCGAAGTCGATGTATACTTCTAAAACCCCTTATCGATATCTCTTTATAATACATAAGATAGAGTAATAATAGGTTTATTAAGATATTAGGGTAGTAAATATCATATTGACTACGGTGTTTGGGAGTGACCGGACTGACCATATGACCAGCCTGGCCGTGCGTGCACTAGTAATTGATAGTAATTGCTGTCCGCTAAAAACTGATAAGCCAGGTACGTTCCCCGGCCATTACCTAGGTATTCTAAAGAATTCTTCTCCTAGTTCCTTGAGTGCCTATGAGCATAATTCAGCCTTACGACATCATGCCAATATCATAAGCATAGAGAGGTCTCAAAGCCTCCATCGAGCTATATATTAACGAACGAATAGAGCGAAAGCACGTTTAAAACCGGATCTCCCAGCGATGCGCACGTGGGAAGAAGGCCGCCCAGCAGCTTTATCTAGTGAAGTTCCGCGACTTACTCAAGAAAAGCGTAATGGACACACAGGGATCTAATATTGCTATTTAATGCTTATATAGGGCTCCTATAGGAGAACGAACGTCTCAGTAAGGCGTTACTTGTAATGCGAGAGAAGTTGCTTAGCATCAGTAATAGATATGCTGGCTTTTTCAGATCATCATTAATATTATTCTTCTTCATATTAATACTGTAAATAGACTTGATATATTGAAAAAGATTTAACATTATAGTTTTGATAGTTTCAATAAAGAAATTCAGTCTGCAAAATATTATTATGAGAGTAAAGCTAATTAAATTAATTTAAATAAAAAGTTGGTTTTAATCAATTGAAGAATCTTTTAAAAAAACCTAACATACATCGAATATTCATTGAGATCTTGGATTAAATTAGCTATTAATTAATGTTTAAACTAGTTAAGATTCCAATTATATGATATCTATTATAGGCCAGTACCTAATATTACCTTTATAAACAAAAGTGTAAGCCTAAGCCTAACCTAATAGGCTTTTTTCGGCCTATTGCTACCTGATTCTGCCTGATTTTTTAATATAAACTACTAACTTATCTCTATTATTTACCTACGTTTTTGTAAAAATACATACTACTTACCTTACTTTCTACCTTCTTATATATGTTTTTATAAAATATCCCTATTTATAGATAGATAGTATATATCTTTATTAGTATAATAGCTATTTTTAATAGATAAGGGTAGGGTATATAGTATATTATGAGTAATAGTTAATAGCCCTACTCAGATATAAAGATATATATCTTATATATATATACTCTTACTATTTTTCTAGTTATCCTGTCTTTAGTACTAAATTTACCTAAAAAGTGCGTTTTAAAACTATTCTAAAGTAGAATCTAATGAAATAGACCCTCTTTATCGATATTCTTTATTCAATTTATTATAAATAGCTTAAAACAGTATGAAAGTTCAGATAAAAGATTAGAAATACTAGACTTAAATAAACCTTACTAAATACTAGCCCTAGTTAGATCTATTGATCCTTTTTATCTTTACATTTCTTTACTTTTTCTTCTCTAATTCTTCTCTAATTCTTCTCTTATTTATCTCTTATATTGATGTATCTTAAATCTTATTTTATAGTAATAGTATTAATAGTATTAATCTTTCTAATTCTATATTATTATTTTTATCTTTCACACTATCTTTAATTGTATCTCTTATCCTATCTAAATTAATCAAGTAAATTAGGGTTAATAGTAAAGAATATATACTTTAGACTAGAAAATCTAAGATTAGATACTTATACTATAAAAAATCTGTATTTATCTATTATAGAGTCTTTTTATTAGTTTATTATAGTCCTATATAAAATAAAGAATATTACTATCTATACTATTTTCTTAATCTATAATAAGCTATTCATTTATCTAGAAGCTTTAATCTAGAAACTAGAGTAAAAAACGATAAGTTTTATCTAATCTTTTTTTATTGAAAAGATAATATCTTCTCTTTAGATTCTATAGAAATAGTATATACTTTAGATTTTAGAAATAGCTAAGATTAAGCTATCTAAGTATTATATTTAAACTAATAGCCCTAATCTTAATAATCTATATATATAGGATAATTTTTATCTCTTAATATAAGCTCTACTTTTTTAAACTATTAATTAGTTAGATTAAGATTATATTATGTAATATAAGATAAGTTTTAAAGCTAAGAAAGCTTAATAACTCTATCTCTAGATAAAACTTTATTAGATATTTAATAATTTTAGAGAGAAAATAAGACTAAATATCTAATTTTTATATAAATTATATATAATATCTTCTCTATCCTAGCTATAGATACTAAAATAAAAAGACTTTTTAATTTAGTATATAATATTTACTACTATTAATATAGTTATCTAAAGATAAATATAATTAAAGATCTTATACTCTATAGTTATATTATCTAATTTAAGATAGAAGAGACAGAGCTTACTTTTATCTAATCTTTAGATATCTTTAATAAAGAAGAAAAGAATAAAATTTAGATAAAAAAGAGTAATATTAGTAAAATTAGTAATATTAAGAAGAGTAAGAATAAGAATAAGAGTATAAAAGAGAGTATAAGGAAGAGTAAGAATAAGAATAAGAGTATAAAAGAGAGTATAAGATTAAAGAGAAATTTATCTATATCTTATATCTCTACTTATATATAGAAGCGCTCTAATTAGCTAATTAGATTTTATTTAATTAATTAGGTATTTTTAGTTATTATTTATTATTTATTATTAAATTTTATTAGATTAATAAGGGTTACTAATTTCTATATAAATAAATAACTCCTAAAATTTTAGATAATAGAAATTGTATATATAAAACCCTATCTCGTAGTAATAAAACTATACATTTTATATAGTATCTAATAGCTAGAATACTAAAAATATAGTATATCTTTTAAGTATATTAATTACTTATAAATATATATTCTAGCGTTAATATAGGAGGTATAATAGGAATATTCTATTCTAGGTATTATATAAAGTATATAGGGGAAAGCCTCTAGTATATATAACTTACTTTACTATATACCGCCCTTAATCTCTCTTTACTACTTACTTCGCTTAGAAGAAGACTATCGCGCCCTCTTAAGAATAGTTTGTAAAAAATAAAAATAATTAATATTCCTTAACTACTATTAGACCCTATAACTTTAGGACACTAAGGCCTTAATAAGTAAAAGGGATAGACTAGATATAATTAAGGAATAAGAAATAGAAAAAGGGATCTCCTACGAAGACTACTTTATAATCCCCCTAGTATAATTTTACCCCTTTTTTATATAATTAGTCTTAAACCTATTATATGAGAATTTCTCCACATACTCCCTAAAGATCTCACGTACCCCCTCTAACCCGATTCGGCCATTGATCTAAGTACCCCCTAAGTACCGATACTTTTTCTGCCACACTTATAATATGATTTCTCTCTCTATATACGTGCTTTGATCTCAATGAATTCGGTTATAATATTCAGCACATAAATCATATATTATCAACGATTTTTGATACAATTAAAACTCATTAATCTAACCTCGCTGCCTCTGAGTCCCCACATCCAACATTCAAAACGCGAGGACTCCTATCATATAGTGCGGTATATCTGGTACTAGACCTATATCTGTATTACAGAATCTACCATGTCCTCGCTTTATCGGACTCTGCCCCTGCTGAGTCCTAGCAGAGAACGCTGAGTGTGCTATGGCGGTTCCTGTGTCTACCGTGAATATTGCATTCTATTAAAAAGCATACAGAACTCGGTCAATTCCTAGCCATTACAGCTTAGAGATCATATAGTCTACAGGGTCATAGTCTCAGAAAGCATTAAGTAACTCGGGATTTGGCTCCCTAACTTTGGGAGTCAATTTATATAAAGAGGTGAGATAAAATACTTAGGGGTACTTGGACACAATGGCCGAATCGGGTTAGAGGGGGTACGTGAGAACTTGAGGGAGTACGTGGAGAAATCCTCTATTATATTAGCTTCTAAAAAGAACTAATTAGTTACTTCATTAGCTCTACTTTCTAATAGGGTACCTATTATATTATAGGGACTTAGGATCCTCTTAAATAAAACTCTTAGCTACTCTATACCGCTGGAGACTTAATCTTATTAATATACCTTCCTAGAGTTACTATCTTAATATCTATATATAAGCTAAGATAAATTCTATCTTTTTTTTAATTCCTTTCTATAGCGCCTAAGATATCTATATCTTATTTTTAATACTAAATTCTATAATATATCTAGTGTAACTATAGTTTCTTCTTCTAATATAATCTACTATATAGAGATAGATAGACTATAGAAGAATAAACTATATAGGAATAGCGCTATATAGGGGAATTAATAGTATATAATTCCGCTACTTAATTACTTTCCTATCTTATTTTTATATCTCTATATTATATCTTACTATAGAGATTATGAGAGATAATCTATAATACTATATTAATATATATAACTAATATAATTAGTGATTTAAGCTACTTTAGTAAGGTTTAATATACTAT